TACTACTAGGCAGTTCCTGACCCTAGCCAATCAATCAAACGCAAAAGGAAGACGTCTTCAACGCTCTTTGTGGCACGTTGCGGTCCGACGGCATCATGTGTGTTACAGCCATGCCACACCACAAGAGAGAAAACACCAGAGTCGTTGTCTTCTCCTGTGTACGCTCTACATTCTCTGATTCAACTGGCCCTTACGACGCCATCGCGTTTGAGCAGTGCGCTATCTTGCTGTGTGGACGTCGAAGGTGGACGATCTGCAGCAGCATCGTCAGGTCTACTACTCGGATCACACTGTTCTGACTAAATCTATTACGCAGCTGATCACCGCTCACTGCTACTACAGCAACCGCCATGTCTACCTCACGCCTTCTTGGCCTTTTTGCCCCTTGCCGCTCCGGCCGGAGTAGAAGCTCGGCTGCTTCCAGCCCCGCTGCCACCTCCATTGACGTCTAAGTCCTTCCTCTTCTTGCCACCTTTGCCCTTTTCACCACCTGCGCCTCCATTGACTGTAGCACCGCCTTTGATCTCCTCGGCTCCGTCCCCTCGGTTCAACAGACCCAGTAGAGTGGTGCAACGTCTGGACAGCTCGGCAGGCGTGCGTGAGCGGATAAACCAGTCGAAGCGGAAACCAGGCGAGGTAGCGATATCCTTTTTGATCCTGTCGTATACTTCTCCATCATTGAGCCCGTACTCGGCCAGACGCTGCAAGATGAAGAGGTCCTCGTTTTCGTCGAAGGTCTTGCTCTTGTTGCTATTGGCGTATGGGATTTGGAATCCGTTTGTTCCGACCTTCTTGCGCAGCAGCTCCTCACTGTGTGCGACCTTCTTGCGCTTCTCTTCTCCGGCATCGATGCGCTCCACCAGGCGCTGGTAGTCTGGTACCTCGGTGTACCTGTCCCAGAAGACTTTCGAGTATTCGCGCACCTCCTTCTCTGTCTTCGTCTCGATCTCGCCGGCGATGTCTGCATACTTTGACCTGCCGAACTTTTCAGCACCGCGGATGAAGTGCTGGAAGTCACGACGGGTCCAGTCAACAAAGCCATGCGTCGCGAGATCCTCCTTCTCCTGCTCTTCCTCTTCCGTCAGAGGCTCAGCCTGATCGACGAAAGCTTGTTCCTTTTCACGCTCCTGCTCTACGTCTTCAGGGCTCTCACCCTCCTTGGTCTCGCGCGAGGGGACCTTGTAGTTGATGCTCTTCTGATAAGCAGCAGTCTCCCTCGCCTGTAGCTCAGCCAATCGGGGCGGAAAGAATTGCCAGTCATTGACGCTAGTCTGCTTAGGAGGCTTGGGCGTCTTGTTGGCAGGCTTCGATGGCCCGACCCGCATGGCCTCCTTGAAGTAGGCATCCACGGAGTAGTTGTTCTTCCTTTCTCGCTTGGAGGGCTCAATCCATAGGGGCAGTCGCCCGCTTCCTGACCCAGACCCACCAGGTCGTTGGAAGTTCTCACCTTCCCAATTATAGGCCGTCTCACCACCCTTGAAACTGTTGAGCTCGTCCAGGTTGAACGACTTGTACTTGTCGTTGAGCTGAGTGGTACGCTCTTCTCCGCTCTTGATGATGGCATCAATGTCCTCATCTACTGTGACTGCATTCTTGGAGTTGATGATTTCTTCGGCGCCGTGCTGAATCATGTCGACGAGCTCATCTTTGTTCTGGGCACTCTTGCCAGGCTGAGCCCGACCCTGCTGGATAACCAGCTTGTCCAGCTGCAGCTTTTGAGCTGCTCGCTCCAGGATTCTCTCCTCGATCGACTTATCAGCGACAAACCTGAAGACATAGACCTGCTTCGTCTGACCGATTCGGTGAGCTCTGTCCATGGCCTGGAGGTCGGCCTGGGGATTCCAGTCGGAGTCGAAGAGGACAACGACGTCGGCGGTAGTGAGATTGATGCCCAATCCACCTGCTCGGGTGGTGAGGAGGAAGATGAACTTCTCGCTGCCTGGCCTGTTGTAGTCATCAATGGCAGCAATCCGGTCTTCGTGAGCTGAGGATCCGTCAATTCGGCAGTATTGGTAGTCACGGAAGAAGCAGTAGTCCTCCATGATGTCGAGGACACGACTCATTTGCGAGAAGATGAGGACTCGTGAGCCCTTGGCTTTCATTGACTTCAGCAGCTTGTCGAGGATGATCATCTTACCCGAGTTGAACACCAAGTGCTCATCGGTAGTGAAGGGCGGTCCAGGCTCAGCTCCGTCGAAGAGGTAGGGATGATTGCAACACTTTCGCAACTGCATGACAATGTTCAGCAAGCGCGTCTTGCCTTCCTTCTTGCCGCCACCGCCATTGACGGCATCAATGTCCTTCTCCAGGATGCTCTTGTACCACTTGCGCTGCATCTCGGTCAATCCGACGAAGATGTTGATTTCCTTCTTTGGCAAAAGGGACTTCTCTACGTCGGCTTTGACACGTCGAAGCAAGAAAGGTCGCAAGACCTTGTGCAGTTGCTGAATGACTACGTCCTGCGATTCATCTCCCTTGCCTCTGAACCAGGTCTCAAAGTCTGCAGACGAGGAGAAGACGTCGGGCAATAGGAAGTTGAGCAGACTCCAGAGCTCCATAAGGTTGTTTTGCAGGGGCGTTCCGGTGATGAGGAGACGGCTGCGAGAGGAGAAGGTTCGGACGATCTGCGACAGCATGGAGTCGACGTTCTTGATACGGTGAGCTTCGTCGATGACGATGTACTCCCAAGAAAGCCTCTTGAGGGAACCCTTCTCTCGCAGACACATTTCATAAGTGGTCAGGAGTACGTCGAACTTCTGCGGCAGGATGACGTCCTGGATGATGTCGCCTCGATCTTCTTTTGTACCTTGTAGTACGACAACTCGGAAGCCTGGCACCCACTTTTCGAATTCCCTGCGCCAGTTGTCAAGTGTGCTCTTGGGCACGACGACCAGATGGTAGCCAGGCGTGTCTTTGTAGTCGCGCAGATAGCCCAAGAAGGAGATGGTCTGTAGGGTCTTACCTAGTCCCATCTCGTCTGCAAGGATACCGTTGATACCATTGTGGTAGAGGGAGATCATCCAATTGAGACCCTGAATCTGATAGTCGCGCATAGCGCCACCCTTCACATAGGGTGGGCTCTCGTGGAAGGTGAAGGGCGCGTCTTCTTCATCGCCCTCTTTGAGCAGCTCTTCGTCCTCTTCCTTCTCCGTCTTTCTCCTGCGAGAGCCACCTGTATTGGAAGCTCCTCGCTTCTTGCCCTTTGCACTCTGTGCGGAGCTCTCCTCGAGTAGCTTAGCGAATTCTGGGTCGCGGTCCTTCTTGATGTCGATGAAGTGCTGGAAGAGCTCGGTCTGACCCAGGAGGTAGCTGAACCTCTTCATGGAGTCTGCCGTCTTGCGAGCCTGCTGCTTCTCACGGGTGGAAGTGAGGTCTGAGACTTGGGCTGCCTTCTTTTCGCCCTTGACTTTGCGTTCCTCTGCCCTCTGAGATTTCTCCTTTTCCTTTTCCATCTGGCGAGCGGTCTTGCTTGGCGATCCATCCGCACCGCCGTAGCTCATGCTGGCGTCTGCTTCTTCGCCATCTTCCTCGTCCAGATCTTCGCTCGTCGCGCTGGGTGCCTTGGAAGGGACTCTGCTGACGCTTGCGCTTGCTGTGGGCTGTCTACTGAGTTCGCCGGAGACGGGTATATAGTCTGACAGCTGATCTTGGTCCAGACCGCCTATCGAGGGCGTCGTCGTCTTTGAGATTTCTACCGCCGGGATCTTTGAGCTGGATGTGGGCGGAGAAGGCATGTCTGATGTTGCAAGGCGAGGGGAGCCACTATGTGCAGGCGCCGGGGAGAGGGTGCAGTTCTTCCTGTGGTGTGTCGAGACGAAGCTGGTGTATTGGCCTCTATGGCATTCGCGGCGTCGAATGCTGTTGTAGGAACGCGCGTGTAGAAGATTTCGCGTGACTCTTGGTGTTTGAAGCCGCGAACGGGAGAAGAGATGACGTCGGAGAAGGACGAAGTAGTGAGGAGCTCTGGCTAGGTATGAGATGCCGCGACGTGTAGGGGGGAGCGAGGTGCCGAGAGGTGGCGATGGCGGGTGATGGTGGTGGTGGTGGTGCAGAGCAGAGGAAAGGCGTGGATGCTCTCCCACTCACTCACCACGTAAGTAGGCAGAGACGTCTGGCAGGCAGAGCTTCGGAAGCGGGGGGCGCGGGGGCAGGCGGGCGAGGAGGAAGGACGTGCTTGTCAGACTCAGCGACACAGGCAGGAGCCAATGCGCGTCTTCTCCCCCCCCCCCCCCACCCCCCCCCCCCCCCCCCCCCCCCCCCCCCCCCCCCCCCGTTCCGCTCACATTCGCGCCGTCGTCGCACAGGCATTCACACTCCGACCCGTCCGCGCCACGTCCGATCAATGCCGGCATTGATTCCTTCACCCGCACCGCCCCACTTTACGCGATCATGCAGCAGCGCAGACCCTGCAAGTGCGGAAGTAGATGCTAGTCTACCCTCTCCTCCCCCGCACAGGCAGACGAGGATAAGGCACATCTACTTGCACCGCACTCCTCGCCCGTGCCACTGGCGGTACCGTTTCAGCAATCAGTCTGTCACATCCATACATCTCCAGCACCCACACTCTCGATCATCCGGCTCACTTGGCCCACTACAAAGATGGCGTCTGATCATGACGCCGTCCAGGGCAACTTCGAAGTCAACAAACAATGTAGAGATAGCGAAGAACAAGATGAAGCAACCTATGCCGACATCACCCTCTCCGCAGTCTTGTCTCTCTTCCCTCGGTCTCCCATCTCCCGCGCATCCGTACACGCTTTACCCGAGCTGATTGCAGCATTCGTTCACGTCTTCATCCTCCTGCCCCTCTCCCTCGGTCTCGCAGTCACCAGCCACGTCTTTCTCAATCGCTCCATGTGGGCCAGGGGAGGTGGTCCACCTCGCCTCTCCTTCCCCGTGCGCCGAGCTCGCAACTGGTCGCTCCGCGATACTGCCTCGGTCGCAGTCGTCTCACACCTCCTACCAGCATTCACTAGACTGTCCCGTACTCATCTCTGCCCGTCAGCCGAGAAGCTCATTCCGTACTTTTCGCAGAGCCTCTTCGGCGTCAAGCATCAGGGCTGGTCCATTGGGGGCATATCCATCACATTGGAGGCGCTTCCATCCGAAGTAGCAGTGACGGTACCTTCGCGCGCTTCTCAGACCAATGGCAAGACTTCTCGCAGGGACGAACTACTTTCACGTAGTGCCGTCTTCATCTGGAAGAGCCAAGCAAGCAATGTACACCACCACGCTGTACAGTCCTTCAAGCCAGCCGTTTCCTGCGGCGGTATCGGAGCAGGAGCAGCCAGGAAGGATGAGCGGGTGATACTGCTGTTGTCCGGGGCCAGCTACGCAGATCGTGACCCCGTCGCGGGGCTCTTGGCCTGCAATCTCGTCAATCTCTCTGGTCTACGAACGCTTTGCGTCAACTGGCGCAAGCCAGTACCCTACTCCAGCGCTGGAGAGGGAGCTTTCCCCGCCGGCCTCAACGACGCTCTGCAGGCATACGTTCACCTCGTGCGAACTCTCGGCTTCAAGCCAGAGAATATTTGTCTCACAGCCGAAGGCAGCGGAGCGGGCGTGGCGATGGGATTGATGATATGGTTGAGCGCTCTGGCCAACGATGGCAAAGGCGTCGACCTTGGTCGGCCTGGCAAGGTCATATTGTGGACACCCTGGTGCGACCTGACAATGAGGAGTCCCACATGGCAGACGAATGGTGAGTGCAAAGAGTGCAACGAAACCATTCAACAGGTGTCTGTCCTTAGACTGACCCGTCCTGGTCATCCACCTCTGAACAGCTGCCTTCGACATCATCTCGCCTCGTCTCTCTCGCGAAGCAAGGGGCTTCTACACCTCCTCTGCCCTTCCAGTCAGCGGCAGCAGTGTCTCTCCGAGTGCGTCATATCGCCTCTCTAAACTCCCTCGCGTGCCCTCTCAACAAGACTCAGACTCTGGAATCGAGCTCGACTCGTCGTCCTCGATGTCTCCTTCGCTGGAAGATGAGTATGCGCCTGCTGGGTCGTACGATCAGCAGAAGTCCCTTGCCAAGCGTCTGTCAACACAGCCTCGCGAGAAAGCAAAGACTCTTCTGTCCTGCATACCTTCACTTGGTTTGGAGCATCCTCTCCTCAGTCCCGGTCTACCCATTGACGATTCACGACCGTTCAATACGGCTATTCTCTCTCTCTTGGGTAGATCTACCGCCCCTTTCGGACCATCTACAATTCCAGCCACGAGGTATCTCATCTTCTGCGGAAAAGACTCCGTCTTTTGCGGTGAAGCAGCCTCCCTCTCCCGCAACCTCGACTCTGTCGCCAAGGCCCAATCCGTACAGACCCAGGAACGAAAGCGCGCCGCCGGCTCAAACCGATCACTAGAGGTTTCGCTGTTGGAGGCGATTGATACGCCCACACACTTCAATGTACTCCCGTCGACGTTCATGCCCCGGGCGCAGGAAAAAGTGGATGAAGTCGTTCGAGGCTGGCTGCTTGGAGACCTCGCCTGACCGTGATGTCTCACTTGTGCTCGTGTCTGGACTTTCTGTTATATACCCCATGTCGTTAGTGGTGTCAAGCTCGCCCGCCGAAGCACCTCTACTCGTACTGTCTCTTCTTGTCGTCTTCGCATCTAGATCTTGTGTCTTTGGATGTATCGCATTGCACTACATAATCACATATTACATTACAAGTACTATTTGAAATGATCCGCGTCGCCGCCTCGGCAGAAGGAGCAGCACGGTGTCAAGACGACCTTTCTTGTTCTTCTGCAAATCCTTCCCCTGCACCCGATACCTGCCCCACCACCTCTTCCTCGACCATGATCTCCCTCCAAATTGCACGCTCCATCTCTCGCTGTCCTTGTTCCTTCCCGTACCCGTCCACGTCCACATCCCCCTCTCCCTCTCCACAGGTGAGTATGGCCTGCCGATGACTCAGCCGCAAGTTTGCAGCCTCGTTGAGAATCTTCTCCACGTCCAGATCCGGCAGACCACGCAGGAAAGACTCGCATTCAGAGCGGTCTAGCTCCTCGAGGGTGTCTTTGCAATGCAGCAGGATGGCCAGGCAGACGTACAGGTGCAGCGAGAGAGGCGTCGAGGACGACGGTGGCAGGACGGCCGCATTTTCACCGTCGTCTACGGTTTGAACTCCATAGTGACCTTTCTTCGCCGCCATCGCTGCTCCTGCTGGAGGAGGGTTCTGGTCCGAAGCAGAGGACACGAGATCCATCGTTGGTAGGGATGAGAAATAGGCGTCCCATAGGCGCAGACATCCCCCTTCGTTGAGCTTCATCTGTCCGCTGAAGAGGGATTCCAGCCAACCTTTGACAAAAGGAGTCACGTCCAGGCCTTCATCGTCGAAGTAGGCTCTGAGGTCGGGAAGAGTCCGACGGAGGAGAGAGTGAAAGGTTGCCAGGATGTGTGAGATAGGGAAAGCTTTGCGACGAGACTCTGCATGACTCAAGGACAGGAGAGACGGTCAGTGAAAGTCTGCCGAGGCGATCGCTCGCTCATCAAGTGTCTCACCGATTAGAGTCATCAATTTATCAAAGGCGAAGAAGATCCCAGCTTCCACCCTCTTCTTGCCGCTGATGAGCACAAAGGGACTGGCCAGCTGCACCAGATGAGGTGACCAAAGCCTCTCCTGAATCTGCAGAAGCTCCTCGTCAATTGCACGGCTCTCTTCTTCTTCTCCATCAGCCTCTTCGTCCGATCCGGCGGAAGACGGAGAGCCACGTGATCGAGGCCTGGGCGAGAGTGAGCCGAGGTGACCTGCCCGAGCACGATGAGGAGAGGTATAGCCCGAATGGGGCGACCTAGGCCTCCCAGAAGAGTGAAGACGGGTGTGGAAGCGGGAACTGTTCTGTTGGGAAGGGGAAGAAGAAGAAGAAGGAAGAGCCTTTGATTGATCCCACCCTGAGACTCCGAGGCCCACTTGATCTTCGCCGTTGGCCGTTGCAATGGGAATCGGCTGCGAGTCAGCAACGCTGCTGCCTAGGCCCGCGCCATCAGATGCAGAGTTGGAGTCTCCATCCGTCGAAGCCTGGTGTGCAAGTCGAGATGAGTCCCTTTTGCTATCTGCTCTCGATCTATTCCGGACGTGTGCATGCGGACTATCGAAGGGGGCGAGATCGTCTGGGTAGCCATAGTCGTCGTTGTCTTCAACGCCCATGCCCATGGCAGGGTCAAAAGGCTCCTCCCCGCTGTCGTCATCGACGGCTTGCTCCTCGACATGACTTGGATGACCCACTCGTCCAGGCAGTGATCTTGCATAGCCTGCACTCTGCTCGACCGGCCACTCTGAATGTTGCCGAGGAGGACGAGGGGTTGACACCTCTTCGCTTTCTCCAGATCGGCGCAGAGCCACCGCGTAGGGTCTCGTATCGGCATCTCGTGAGGTTAGCGAGCTGCCCTCTGAAGCCGTTTCATTGGCTGAGAGGAGGTTGCCTGGGTATAAAGTCTCTTCGGATGAGAGATCGCCCGAGCCTGACGCTTCGTCTTGTCTCGCTACGCTTGCTTCCTGCAGTAGCCTCTCACGCAATTTTGCAGCCTCTCTTTGCTCCGACGACTTCCTGCCGATCCAAACGCTGAGGACGTTGTGTATGCGCTTGATGAAGTGTTGTTTGAGCTCGTCATGCTCTATGGCCGCCTGTGACAGATGCTCCTGTGCTGCCAGCGAGGACGTGGACGAGGGGATTGGACCGCTGCCAGCATTACTGGGGAGGCCGTGGCAATTCATCGCCCTGATCGGCCTCAGAGGGCCGCGATCGCGTGCGCCTTTGGCCTTTGTGGGCAAGGATCGACCGATGCTTCCTTCCTTGGCCTTGGGCAGCTCGGGCGGATGATGTGAAGAGGATGCATCGTACTGTGTGCGCTGATCTCCGCGGAGGTAGTCAAAGTCGTGAGGTACGCGATGCCTCCAGACTCGCTCTGCCTCCTGTCGAATGAGATCGGACACCTTTGACGAAAAGGAGCGTGGGTGCGAGTAAGAGGAGAAGAGGCCGTCGTAGGTATTGTAGAGGGCTCGCACAGAAGTCATCTCCTGACTCTTGTCCGGGGAGAGGACGCCGAGGAGATACATCCATACCTCGCCACGCACTGCAGGATGGACGCCATGCCTGGAGAGGTGCCGCAGTCGAGCAATGTCCACATGCTGCTCCGAGGAGAGTAGCTGAATGGACGGTGGGTAGAAGAGAGGTGGGCGATGGTGAGGAGCCAGTGCTGGGGCCTCTCTTGGGCAGCGCAGGGCCCATTGCTTAGGCCTGGCTGGATGCATGACTTACCTCTACGAACTCCTCGACCGAGGCGGCCATCCTTGGCGAGCGTGTGAGGAGGAGGAGTGCCGGATCAGGACGCTTCCGATTGCATCACTGGGTCATGACAAGACCATGACAATGGGCAGCAGAGGCGATACGCAGCAGCAGAGGGAACACTGCTCCCGGCACACAATGGCCGTGCACCCCGACGCGCCCGCTTTGCATTGACCTGCTCCCTCCGCTCCGTTCCGACTTGGAAGCCACTTGATCTCACCTCACACCAACACCACAGTTGCCGTACAGCCGTATTGCCGCTCGCCATGTCTGACCGAGGCTCCAACTCCGGTCGACGGGTTGGCGGCTACTCCAGCTCTCCCCTCAGCGACGACAGCCACGCTCTCAGCCAGATGCAGAGCCTCAAGTCTCGCCCACCCTGGGCAGCCTCAGCAGCGAGCTCGTATGTGCGATCTGGAAGCTACCGCGACATCAACCTCCGATCAGCGCACGTCTATGTCGAAGAGGTTGCCATGCAGGACTGGCCAGCTCATATCTTGCAACTCGCCGAAGCTCTCGCAGGCCCTGGTGGGGGCCCCGCTCCGGCTGTGCTCCAGCCCAATCCTACCTTGACCGATGACCCGTTGAGAGAATCGGCCGTGACCCTTGCCGGACAAGTCAGCAACTATCGCTTGAAGAGCGAGTCTGATTGGATGGAACTGAACAGGCGCGTACTGAGTGTACTCGAACATGATCATCTCATCAAAAGCCAGGACCGAAGGTTTGACGCTCAAGTCGGCCCCACGAGCGACACCAACCTCTTCCTTTCGACTCCGACGCCCGACCTCGCGTTTGGCCTGCCTACGTCTCTTGATGAAGATGCAGACGAACCTCTGTCTCGGAGCCTTCTCACACAATGGTATAATCTTCGCGGTGTACAAGCTTTCCCTTCGCCCGGTCGTCCGGACATGGCCTTTCCCTGCCTCATCTACGAGGCTGAACCGGACACTGGGAATCTTGTGGCTCCAGAAAATCAGGCATCTTACGGAGCAGCCAAGGCACTATCAATGATACAGAGTCTTCGAAATCGATATCACGAGTTGGGAGGTTCTCGAATGTCCGAACGCCTGCCGGTCATTGTCATTTGTTCTCGAGGCCCTATATACGAAGTTCTCGTGGCATTCGATCTGCACGCAAACGAGATTCCCCCCAAGACGACTGACCCAGCTTCCGCCAAGTCGACCGCAAAGGCAGGTGTACACCTTGTTGAGATCTGGACGGGTAGTGTACACCGTCCAGAGGTGATGTACCTGTTTCAGTTGCTCCTCAACAGAGTGCTGAGCTGGTTCTTAGCAACCTTCCGACCGACCATTATCAACATGATCAACACTGTCAAGGCGTCGGTTTCATAGAAAGCACTTCGATCTGAGTAGGCGCAAGACCAAGATTCAGCTCCCGTACGCGGGAGACATGTGACGATCTGAGATCTCTGCACTGGGAGTCTGGCTAGCTCGATAACGTTAGGCCAGCTCTGATCTTTCATCGCGGCGTGACCCCATCCCACTCCAGAGTAAGATTCGCCGTTCAATCATATACCCGTCTCATTCATTGTGGCGTCCCTTTGAGGTCTGTCCTTGAATAGTGGCCAGTAGTGTGTTGCTGTTGGTACGCGAGTGAGTCTCCTCGGCTGAAGCCAAGCTGAGTTCGAGTCCCGAGAGCGGCCCACTCTTCAGAGCGATCCTGGATGTGTGCGCTAGCTCCTGCAATCTGATACATAGGCGGACGCTTGGGGACCTTACGCTAGCCATTCTCTTCTTTTGAGCGCATTACTGCCTGGCCTTCGATCCTGTATGCTAGCCACAAGCAATTTGCGACGAGTGTTCCTGTTCCAATTCCAAGCGACGTCTGCACAACTTTGTTGCTCAATTGCCTCTGGGTCTTACTGTCAGCATACAATGTAGAGAGAGGGTCCTGTTGCCACTCTGTCTCCCGTCTGCGTATTTCTCAGGTGACTTGACCACGCCTTCGCAATCTGTCACCTGTCAGGCGGTGCGGGGTGCAATCGGCACGGAATGGGCGTCGTGGCTGCCACCCAGCACCGCGCGTCGGCCAGACGCACACACAAGCGGGTCGGTGCGCCTTTTGCCTCGGCTCAATGCAACGCACGCAACGCAACACACCCACGCCAACGCTCACACACGCTCACACACCCCTCCTCTGCTCCCTACCACTGTACCCGTCTCGTACCAGCAGGCCCTCCGAGGTCATCGTCGACATCGTACAGATCCAGAGCAGCGTGGAAGCCCCGTACCACTGCCACGCATCCCCAGCAAAGGCCCACCGCCCTCCCTCTACCTCTCGGTCGATCTCTCTGCGCCGACCTCAGCTGCTTCCCTACGAGGAAGATCCATTCCGGACGCTGTCCACTCGGTCCAGGGGAGTGCGACGAGGATTATGGACCCACAGGACCATTTGCGCACGTCGCAAGAGCCGAACGGCACCTCCGACCATGCATCGCAAGATCCGCACGTGGAGTATGCCGCCGCCGCCTCCCTAGAAGATTCGGGTGCGGCAGATTCACATCCACCTGTAGCAACTTCTTCGGACTCGGCAGTCGAAGACACAACGGCGATTGCTCCAGTACTTCAACATGCGACAGAGGCAGCCGAAGAGGACAGTCACGAGACGGGTAAACCAAGTCTATCAGCTGGGACCTCGATCCTGCCTCAAGGGCGCATATCCTCGGCACAAGAACAGTCCACTACCAACGGTGGTATCCGGAATCAGGAGGCTACCGAGAGCAAGGCAGGCGCCGTGACCCCTCCGCCGCTTTCTGAAGGTTTAGACCGACAGCAGCCAGTCGAATCTGAACCCGAAGCCGTTGTTCCCGAATCCGACGAGCAGTCGCAAGTGGCCGCCCCAAATGTCGATGATCAGGGCAAGCCAGAGTCTCTTTCAGGAAAGATCCCTGTGAAACCTACGCAGACGCTAGAGGACACGAATGTAGCTGTGGAATCGACACCAAAGTCGCGGAGCTTCTCATCAGTCCCCCTTGGCGGACCTTCCGTCTTCATCCTTGCGGCACTGGAACAATTGATCTCATCGAAGGACGCCAAAGGCTCCAAGAGCGCTGCAAAGCAACTACGAGAGGCTGCCGAATCAGCTCGTGACCTCGTCAGGAGTGTTGCTGGAGATTCGAGCGCCGAATATGATCCGAGGATCATCTTCGAGCCCTTCCGGCTCGCCTGCGAGCCTGGCCGAAGTACGACGACGCATACAACTGCACTAGACTGCGTTGGGAAGATGGTCAGCTATGGTTTCTTCTCCGGGGAGCGTGGCTCTGCACAAGGCCAGGGAGATTTGTCCGATACCGTCGTGACGACTATATGCCAATTGCCGCCGACAAGCCCTAGCGCAGTCAGCCTACAGCAGCTCAAAGCTCTGCTCGCACTGGTTTTGGCTGGTCTTGCTAGGCAGAGCTCGCTTTTGCAAGCCGTTAGGACGGCATATGACGTTTTCCTCCTCTCCAAGGACCCACAAACGCAAGCCGTTGCTCAAGGCGTCTTGACCCAGATGTGCAGCTCTACTTTTGGTCGAGTCAAGATTCGTGAGCCGCCGAGCGGAGCCGAGGGAGGAGCTGGCCCGGACGGAGCTGGCAGTGCGAATGGCGGTGGTCAGCTTCTGACCAAACAATCTGGACCCGAGTCGGCTGGTGAGGCATCCGAAGAAGGTCGTGTGACGCTGAAAGACCTGGAGACACGAGCTTCTTTCGACCAAGAAGCTCCGGGACTGCAATCCGGACTTACAGGCCAAGGCGACAGAAGAGAAGGCACGGCTGAGAAGCCTGCGTCAGTTGCAGATGAATCCACATTGGTCGGAGTAGCATCAAGTGATCTGACAGAGGAGGAGCTTTTGACCAAAGACGCCTTCCTGGTCTTGAGGGCTCTCTGCAAACTCAGTTGGAAGCCGCTGGCCGCTGACTCGGAGCGTGATGTTCGCTCTCACGGGATGCGTAGTAAGCTTCTTGCTCTTCATCTCATTTTGGGAATTCTGCAAGGTCATCTGCGTGTATTCCAAGACCCAAGCATCTCCTTGTCAAGCTCGACTACAGGAGAACGGACACCACTCGTTCAGGCAGTCAAACAGTACCTCTGTCTCAGTCTCAGTCGGAACGCCGTTTCGCCCGTCAACCAGGTGTTCGAGGTCTCTTGCGAAATTTTTTGGAGAGTCCTAGATGGACTTCGAACGAAGCTGAAGGTGAGTGAGAAGTCCTAGCAATCGGCAGGACACACGCTGAAATTACTTAATCCGACATGAAAAATCGCAGAAAGAGATCGAGGTTCTATTGAGCGAGATATTCCTGCCGATCCTGGAGATGCGAACGTCCACCACTACACAGAAGAGCATCTTGTTGAGCATCTTGATGCGGATCTGCCGGAATCCTCAAGCCCTCGTCGAGATTTACCTCAACTACGACTGTGATCGTACAGCCCTCGACAACGTCTACGAGCGTCTAATCACTGTCATCTCCAAGATCAGTCAGACCCATCTCAGCCAAGAAGTCAAAGACAAAGCGAGAGAAGCGCAATTGGCCGCTGAAGCTGATCAGCAGAATGCTCCTGCAGCAAGCCGGATGAGCAGATCAAGCAACGTCTCTAGCTCTGGGCCCGGTAACGTAACACTGCCGCCTCAGCTTTCGACCTCTGAGGTCGCTTCGTCCGACGTCACCTCTTCGAGCGCTGGTGGAGCCGATGGACAGGGCAACAGTCCGGTGGAAGTGAGGCTGAAGCGCCAATCTTTAGACTGTCTTTGTGCTGTTCTGCGGTCGCTTGTAGTGTGGTCTCAGAGGGGAGCGTCTGCTTCTGATCAGTCAACATCGACAATGGCCTTACCACGCAGCGTCAGCAATGCCAGTATCAGCCTTGAGACTGGGCAAAGCTCTCATTCACCTCGAACCAGCGAGGACATAAGACCAGGAGATGACTTGACTGGGCTCTCTAGAGAGTCGCAGCCGTCAGGGTACAGCGCTGGCTCCAATGGAGCGAGTCTTGACCATTCGCGAGTTGCCACACCAGACGTCAACGGCAAGGCAGCCTCGGCCGATGATGATCCGACTCGTTTTCAGGACGCCAAGCAACGCAAGACCATTCTCCTGGAAGGAATTCGTAAATTCAACTTCAAACCCAAGCGAGGTATTGAATTCCTGCACCAGCACGGCTTCCTTCGGTCTCGCCAGCCAAGTGACATCGCTCGGTTCCTCCTCTACGCTGATGGTCTGAACAAAGCTCAGATCGGAGAATATTTGGGGGAAGGCGATGCTGAAAATATCGCCACGATGCACGCATTTGTGGATCTGATGGACTTTGACAATATGCCTTTCACGACGGCTCTGCGGCGCTTCCTCCAGGCTTTCCGTCTACCCGGAGAGTCTCAAAAGATCGATCGATACATGCTCAAGTTTGCTGAGCGTTACGTCGCAGGCAACCCTTCTACTTTTGCAAATGCCGACACTGCCTACGTATTTGCCTACTCGGTTATCATGCTCAATACAGACGCTCACAATGCCCAAGTCAAGCACCGCATGACTCTGAAGGACTTTGTGCGCAACAACGAAGGCATCGACGATGGCAAGAGTCTCCCTGAGGAATACGTTCGTAGTGTCTTTGAGGAGATTCAGACGAACGAAATCAAAATGAAGGACGAACAAATTGCAGCTAGTACCACTGCGCCACCACCAGCGACAGGCCTAGCCGGCGCCATTGCGACCGTGGGTAGGGATCTGCAACGAGAGGCATACGTTCTGCAGTCCGAGGGCATGGCGAGTAAGACCGAGGCTCTCTTCAGAACGATGGTCCGAGCTCAACGGCGCATCCATCCACAACAGCGCGCCGCCGCTGAACAATTCTTTTCTGCGAGCCACTTTGAACATGTACGACCGATGTTCGAAGTCGCCTGGATGGCATTTCTCGCGGGTGTCTCTGGCCCTATGCAAGAGTCCGACGATGCAGAAACAATTGCGCTCTGTTTAGCTGCATTCCGTGATGCTATCCACATCGTCTGTCTCTTCGGGATGGAATTGGAGAGAAACGCGTTTATCACCACTCTAGCGAAATTCACCTTCCTCAACAATCTCGGCGAGATGAAAAACAAGAATGTCGAGGCGATCAAAACTTTACTCGGCATCGCTCAGACTGAGGGCAATTACCTGAAAGGCAGCTGGCGAGAAGTGCTCGCTTGCGTGAGTCAGCTGGAGCGTTTCCAACTCATCTCAGGAGGCGTCGACGAGCGCCAAATACCAGATGTTGGACGACGCAATTCTCGCAATGCAGCAAGCGCAAATGGCCGCGCCCCGTTGACCCTTCCCGATGAGGACGTCGTCCTAGCAGGAGGCTCGACGGAGGTCACTGTGGCTGCCGATATGGTCTTTGCATCCTCTGCGAGACTCTCCGGTGAAGCTATCGTCGACTTTGTGCAATGCCTCGTTGAGAATTCGTGGGAGGAGATCCAGTCTTCGAGCATGACGGAGCATCCGCGCCTCTTCTCCCTCCAGAAGTTGGTCGAGATCTCGTATTACAATATGAACCGCATCAGACTAGAGTGGAGCTCCATCTGGGCCGTCCTTGGGCAGCACTTCAACCGAGTCTGTATTCACCCACGACCACAAGTCTCAGCTTTTGCCCTCGATTCGCTGCGTCAATTGTCCAACCGCTTTCTGGAGCTGGAGGAATTGCCTCTTTTCAAATTCCAAAAGGACTTTTTGAAACCATTCGAGTACACAATGCGCAATACAACGAGCACTGAATCCAAGGAGATGGTACTCAGTTGTATTCAGCAGATGATCCTCTCGCGGATTCACAACATGCGCTCGGGATGGAGGACATTGCTAGGTACTTTAGCCGCGTCCGCAAAGTCGTCTGAAAGGGTGGCGACGAGCGGCTTCGAGCTCGTGCGCGGCCTTTATACTGATCACTTCGACGACATTATTCAAGCCGGCGCTTTCGCAGATCTCACGGTTTGCTTGACCGACTTTGCCAAAGCGACACAAGCTCAGAAGATTGCTCTCCGTAGTGTAGAGCTCCTCTCCTCCATTGTACCTGCCATGCTCGCTTCGCCAATCTGCCCTCTACATCCTCACAACGACCCTGGTCCGTCGCAAGCACAAGCTCCGGCTGACGATCCGATGGTACGGTTCTGGTTCCCAAGTCTCTTTAGCTTCTACGACGTCATTATGAACGGCGATGATCTTGAAGTGCGGAGGGTAGCGCTGGACTCCCTCTTTGAGATCCTGAGACGATACGGCTCCACATTTAGGCATGATTTCTGGGCAACCGTATGCCAAGAGGTCATATTCCCGATCTTTGCCGTCTTGCGATCGCGCTCAGACGTGTCGAGGTTCAGCACGCAGGAGGATATGAGCGTCTGGCTCTCGACGACGATGATTCAGGCCTTGCGCAATCTCGTCACCCTTTGGACGTACTACTTCGAAACGCTGGAGTCGCTCTTGCCCAAGCTACTTAATCTGCTTTGCGCCTGTATCTGTCAGGAGAATGACACTCTTGCTCGCATCGGTACATCATGCCTCCAACAGCTGCTGGAGGCGAATGTTCGCAAACTGTCGGATCCCCAATGGACAGAGGTCGTCGATACATTCCTGGAGCTATTCCGCACTACGACAGCACAGCAGCTCTTTGATCCTGCCCTGCGAGCCGAGAGTGTCGCAGCCTCACCAGGCGGCCCTTCACGATCTCACACTTCGGGAGAGGCAGCTATCAACCCCCTAAGCCCGGGGGTCATTCCTTCTGAAGCTGCCGGCGCAGGCGCGGATGAGGGAGAGCCGGACTATACCTCCCACCGGCAAAGCTTGACAGCATCGGAGCGGCGACGAGCCTTCAAGCAGATCATTGTCAAATGTGTTTTGCAGCTGCTGCTCATCGAGACGACGCATAGCCTGTTGGCAAAGCCGATCGTGTATGAATTGATTCCCCCTGCCGAGCTTCTCAGGCTGATGGAGGTGCTGGAGAAAAGCTATCACTTCAGTAGGAAATTCAATTCGAACAAGGAGCTGCGCATGGCGCTTTGGAAAGTCGGATTCATGAAGCAATTGCCCAATCTGCTCAAGCAAGAGAGCTCCTCCGCTGCCACCCTGATCAATGTGCTGGTGAGACTGCATGGAGATAGGCGACCATCGCACCGACTACTGAGGGCCAAGGTCCGAAAGACGCTCGTCCCTCTGGGAGAGGCTGTCGTCAATTCTTACCTTCCTCTCGATCCTGAGACGCAGGGAAGGAATGTTGCAGCCTGGACGCCCGTCGTAGCCGAAGTGTTCAGTGGACTCTGCACATTCCACGACGTTGCCGAGGGGGAAGAGATCAATGACGACGAGTCTGCATCCCCCGGCTTTGCGGGCCCTAAAGACATGGGGGGCAAAGTATTCACGCATCATGCTAAGATCTTCTTTCCGCTCGCAGTCGATCTGCTTTCGCGCGAACCGCTCCCTACCTCAATCGGGGAGGCTTTGCGGACTTTCTTCTATAAAGTAGGCGTTGCACAGGGCATGATCGATGAGGAGTCGGATCGGGAGAGGAGGCGGAAGATCCAGGAGGGGAGGGACAGGGAGAAGGGGTTGCGCACCGTCTCACTGGATGCCGAACAGCAGCAGCAGCCGCGGTTCAAGCTGAGAGACCCGCCAGCACCCAAGCTCGCTGCGGATGTGCACGCTGCTGAAAAGAGGTTGGGGGAGGACGTGCCAATTCATCGGCCCACAAGTGCGGATGCCACGTTCGCTCCTACCCCTCCGGAGCAAGACTAGACCTCTCTGTTCACCGCCTACGTATTGTCATAAAGACTCTGCTTCGCCTTTAGCAATGAATGCACGCTGTCTACACTGTTTGCATAGAAGATGCGCGCACTATCTTGAATCTCGAGCTGCGCTTGAAAGTCGACCACGGTACCAGCACGAGTGCTGTACCAGGCAGAAAGAGAAGACCAGTGCAGCGCAGCGGCAAAGGTTGTGTCGCCACTGGGTTCGCTAGAGGTGTTTCGTGCTTGCTTCGTTCTGGCGACCGTCATACTGACTTGGCTCTTACGAATACCATCACACTCTTCGACGCATGTCACCTCGTCAGCGACACTCTCGCTCCTGCGGCTCTACGTCCAGAGTCTAGCAACGTTCCATTGCAGAATTTGCATTATTTTCCAGCGCACTGTGTCTCCGCATCCTTTCACACAAGGACTGCTCGCTCCTCTCTTGAGGCTTGGAAAAATGGTGGAACTTTGTTGCGTATTGTGCAGCGCTCGGCACCTCAGGAGATTTGCAATGACGACATCGTCACCGTACCACATGTTCCACGAGGTGAAGTGTCAGAGGCACCACATAGCAATTCATGACGCCCACGCCGCAAGTCTGCGCTCCGGCTTTCGGGTCTCCTGCGACCACTGCGTGCATCCACAGGTCAAAGGCCATCGGTTGAGCAATTTGGAGTTCATGCGGAGGAAGCCAGAATCGTCAGTCGTGCCGGGCGCATTTGAACGTTCCCCGATGGACAGCGGGGACAGCGGGCGTAGCATCAAATCCAAGTCGCAATCTGCTGACACTCGTTCGCGGGAGAGCCTCCAGTCAGCAGTCACCACGAGTTCCCCGAGGCGCCGGGCGGCATCGCTGTACCCGAGGTCCGTTGCGCGCGTGGCTGACGCAGGGCTGACGGACTGACCCACTGAGGCTAGGCAAGACGCCGAACGGGCCGCGGACGAGAACACTGATGAGATGAAGTGCTGCAAGCTGCTGCCACCCAGAAGTGAGATAGAACACCGGTCGCTTGTGCTTGAGCAGGCCAGTTCCCCGGTCAGCATAACCTGGATGTCAGCTGACTTCCTCCATGCACCACCCCACATACGCAACGCCCAGGAGAGGTCGGCTTTCTCTCCATCGGTCGGGGCTCCACCTTCCCCGCTTCGGAGATCGCCTGCCCCACATTAGGAACATTCCTCACGCCAGCAATTGTGACGCTCAGCATTGCCGATTGTTGCTCTCTTCTCACAGCCTTGCTGTCTCCTCAGTCATCCCTCGGCCACTCACACAGCGTACGCAAGGACCGACTAGGCGCGCGGTGGCAGAGATATAAAAGGGCTCTCGTGGAGCATGCGGAGTGACCCTTTTTCTCAACATCCACCCACCCCCCTACCCCTCAGACCAGCCAATTGTGACCTTCTGTTTCAGCAATGCGTACCTCAGTGGTCTCGTTAGCTGCTGTCCTCACAGCACCCGTACTGTTGTGGTCTGCGCCAGCTCTGGCGCAGCGCAACGATAGCGTCGGCGCTTTGCCTCAGATGGTAAGGCTCTCTTCGCGCTGAGTGTTACCTGGCTGCCCACTGACAGACCTCACTCTGCTCGTGTTGATGGCAGGGCTGGAATTCTTACAACGCGTACGGCTGTGCTCCGAATGAGACCAAGGTCAGAGCAAACCTCAATGCGTTAAAGTCCAACGATCTCATCTCACTAGGATACTCTCTCTTCCAAGTCGACTGCGGTTGGCAGGCAAGCTTTCGAAACGCCTCGAACGGAGCCATTTCGATAGTGACCGATCGCTTCCCCAACGGCTTCCAGAAGCTTGCCAACGACGTACGAGCTGCTGGAATGTCTTGGGGAATGTATACCGACGAAGGCGAATTGAGCTGTGACACCGACCCTAGTCGCGGAGCGATCGGTTCACTAGGCCATGAAGCCGCCGATGCCGCCTTCTTCAAGTCACTCGGCACCGTGACGGTCAAGGTTGACAATTGTTTCGTTGATGGCCGCAATAACGCACCGAAGACTCCATCATCGGACTTTGTCACCCGCTACAGTGTCATGTCCAGAGCTCTGACTGCTCAGGGCATAGGTGGTATGGAGGTCTGCCAGTGGGGCGTTCCGTACTCGAGCTCTTCCGGCTTGCAAGGCCCTGCGCAATGGACAGCCAACCTGTCTACCAGTTTCCGCCTAAGTGACGACATCAGTAACGACTGGGTCTCTGTCGTTCGTATCTCAAATCAGGCTATGAACATCGTCAACAAGGGACTCAGCGGACCGCGATCCTATGCCGATGCGGACCTCCTGGAGATTGGTAACAACGTACTGACTTTCGAAGAGCAGAAAACGCACTTCACGCTTTGGGCGGCTTTGAAAAGTCCTTTGATGGTACGTAGCTCGTCTCATGACATAAAGTCCTGTGCGCGAGAACGGCCTTGGAAATAAATGGCAAAGCAGTAATGGCAGTCGATCCTTAGCCCTGACATTTCTTCGCACACTCCCGACAGATTTCGACGGACCTGAGCACCGCATCGCAAAACACGCTGACGATTCTCAAGAACACTGACGTCATTGCGCTGAACCAGGACACCAGAGGAGAGCCTGTGAAGCTTGTACAGCGCTATTCCAATGCCTATGACTTATACCAAGGGACTTTGGCCAACGGGGACCGCATTGTCCTTCTGATCGAACAGGGCAACCAAGTCCGCTCATACACCATCAACTTTACCCAATTCGGCATCTCCACCGCCAATATGTACGAGCTTTGGTCGAAACAGCGACGTACAAGTGTCTCCTCCTTCGCAGGCACTGTTCTTCCTCACGGAGTCATTGCTTTACGACTCTCCAACATCGTGGTGTCGGGCGCTGTGGCGCCGACTCTCACATACTATGAGGCCGAGGCTGCTACTCTGTCAGCAGGTGCTGTAGCACAAGCTTGTGCTGGCTGCAGCGGGGGCAAGAACGTCGGCTACGTCGGCACTCTCACCTTCAACAATGTCGCATCGAAGGGGACTACTCAGACCGTCTTCTTTGACTATGTCAACGCCAACATCTCCTACCTTGGCACGAACAGCACCTCTGCTATTGGAGCCAATGTCAGAGTCAACGGAGGAAGTCCGCAAGAGGTGCTGTTCCCTCTGTCGGGATACAACTGGGGAGAAGATGTATGGCAGGGCTTCAAAGTCGATCTGAGTGGCTTTAAGCCTGGAACGTCCAACACCCTTGCAATCAGTGGGGGTCACTATCTCAGTCGCTACGCACCAGACATCGACCGCATTGGCATTGTCGCTTAGCCAAGTCTACGAATTCCATTTCTACTCATTGTTCTGATAGGGCACGTTCAACCGCGTGAAGGACTCATTCCTGCGCGACCAGTGCGGTGTGATGACGGTTGCCGAAACATTTCGTTTTTTCGTGGGACCGTTGGTTGTATCCATCTTGTGGCGTGCTGTAAAGGAAGGCAATGACAATGCGCGATACTCATGTCTGATGCTAAGAGCTCAAGTAGATGTCACTCTTTTCTCGATTCGTCACAACGGATCGTCACGTCCAAATTTATCGCCGTGCGTTAGTGATACCCAGATCAACCACGGTAACATCGCTCTGCGTGACCTCTTCACACACTGTGAAAGCTTAGCATGTGCTTCTCAAATATGCATCTTGATCTCGATGCCCGTACCTCGAAGAAAGGTGCACAATCTGTCACAGCAAGCTCAACAGCTGCCGCACATGAAGTTGTTGGAATTGTGCAACTTGTGCTAGTAGGCTGCGTACAGTACCGTACAGTACATCGCTGCTCTCCTGACGCGCATCGAAGATCAGCGGAACGGCACCATCTTACGACAACACGATTCGACGGTACAGTAACGTGCCGCACAGCACGGCACTGTACTGTACCCTCTTTTTCCACCCTCTCTTTGATGCGCAAGCGCAGTGCACAGCAGTCAGCATCTTCTCCAACAGCAGAGTCTGACAGTGCCGATCAGATGCTGATGCAATGGTCCAGTAAGCTTTGCGGTAATCGCGTTATACTGTCTGTCTTTCGGCACAGCATTCACACATGTACTGTACTGTAGCCTAGTAATCTCAAGTGCGAGGATGTGGCACAACAAGCCACTGTACGTTCCTGCTGCATCCTGCGACATCAACGGGCACCTTTTGTTTGCCATCCAACGTTGCTCAAAACAGACTCACAAGTCGGCACCTTGAAAACAGAACTGGCGGTCTTCCTTATACTTTTACGGTCTGATGTGAGTAGATGTATAGCTCTCTAGCCAAAGACAAGCACAGATCTGTGTCAGCTATGCCGTCCACTGCGTCATTGCATAATGCCAAAACGCTTCTTTCCGCTAGTGTTCGTCTGAGGCGAGTGGTGACAATCGAGTAAGCTCTCGCAAAAAGTGCGCAGAGCTGCAACTGTGGTGGTACAGTACAGTACACCAGGAAAGTCAGAGTTGCGCCATTCGCATTCTTCGACATGACAAAAACAAAAACGTCAGAATTGCAAAAGATGCAATTGACTGCAGCACAGTGCGCTACAGTCAGACCCGAGACATTGTGAGTATTCTCTGAGGAGGCCATTAGATTACCCTCCTGTGTCTTTGCAGCGATATGGATACTTTGATCGCCATTTTCGCTCCTACGTTGAGTCTCTGATTTTTTTTGGCTTGGACTGTATGTGTTGCACGGAATTGTCGAACCTCTCGACACAACAGCAGCTTTGATCTCCATGATCGGTTCTGCCATCAACCGCGGAATACTGTACTCTTTTCAGTCAAAGTCTCCAGCTTTGTTGTTGTAGGATGAGGGAGCGGTTCCTGCGAGAATGCGAAAGCTCTGGATCTCTCTGAATGGAAGCAGTGGAACCTCGCAGACAATGTGCAATTCTGACAAGGCTGCAGTGGGCAAAAGAGCGGCCCAGATCTGACAACAGGGGTCGCAATATGTTGCAATGTATTCGATTGCGTGATTGTGCATGTGTGTGCGGGAACAGCGAGTCTGTGCTGGCTGGGAAGGCCTGCGTTATCTTTACATCAACCTTTGATCCGCCCACAGGTTGGCGCACTGGAAATCAGGGCGGTAATGCGTGACTTTGTATTATACGATTCTGCTCAAATTGCGTAGAGCGATATGGTATCAAATGCGCCACTCAAATTGCAACACAGCAGGTCAGCTGAAAGCTACGGCAGATGATAGATGCAGCTGTAGATATCCTGTAGAGGAATTGCCTATCAGTCACTGTCTCATACCATTTACATAGCCCATATGCACATTCTGAGTTCTAGGCAACTCTTTTGGATTCTGCTCGTGTCCTGGACAGTGTTTTGCGAAATTATTCTTCTCACATGGTGGAATTACCGCATCACTCGCTGTAGCTGTAAAAATACTCTTTTTGTGAATCAATTCTAGCCGAATGGGTTTCAGATCAGCCGCTCTGCCCAGATTCTAGCCAAGGCAAGAAACCTCTGGCAGGATACACGTTCAAGAGTAATCGCATGACACTGCTCTAGTGCTTGAATCTGGCTACAACATGGCTCATTCTCAGGCTTTGATTGTCGAAATGCGAGGCAGACTGCCAATCTCACCTGCAGCGGGCTAGATTTGAGTGACGAAAGGAGTACGGTCCTCCAAGCCAAATCATGAACCATGAGCCTCTGAAGTGATCTACAGGACCCAATGCGGGACTGCAGCACAATCATATCAAAGATAATCCGTTGTCTACTCGACAGCGCTGTACAGTACTAGAGCATACTGTATTGTACTGTACCACAGTAAAGAGTAGTATGTACAGACTCAAATCTCGATACTGCAATCTATAGTACAGTACGCTTGTACTGTACCAGTGCTTCTTTTGTCACTCAGTTCTAGCCACATGGAGTCCGGGTAGGCAGGCTTCTGCACCATCTGGCAAATTGCCTCAGACTTTGGCCATCTGAGCTTGTGATCAAGCCCTCTCTAGCAGAGACAGGATACTAGAGCAGTGTCTGGCTGCCAGGATTCACTGTGCATGCCGCCGAAATACTGATGTTCTGGCTAGGATTGAGAAAGTCGGCTTCAACTGGCTGCAGCTGGCTAGAAATAAGTGACAAAAGGAGTACAGAAATGGTAAACGAGAATGAAGACACCACGTCTCACAATGCCCGAGGAGAGACTAAAGCAATGCTGTACGATCCCATGAGTTGAGACGGTGACATACAGTAAGGCGGCAGATGACCTGTAAAAAGGCAAAACCACTGGAAAAGATGTCGTCCGAACAAAAGAAAAGGGCATGGTCAGAAACGAGAGATGGCATCACACTGTGCACACTGCGGCAGTTGGAGCATCAACCCTGGCAGGAGTGCGTTGTGCAGGCACAAGCGACGGCGTACAACGGACAAGTTGGCAAGATATCGCGAGGTGTTGCCAAAGTGGACCGCTACGGTAGATCCACAGACGATAGCCCGCACGAATCGGCCTACTTTCGCAAACACGCTGGGTCGCTCATGTTTCATCTGTCCAAGGAAGAAGAGATGTCCTCTGTATTGACACGCCGTTCTCAACAATGCTGTCACGTTGCCTCCCCTGGCGACCGCTGGGCGAGCTGTGGGGAAACCGGACTCCCTCGAAGAGTACAGTCGAACATCGAACGACCAGCAATCCGAGCAGCAGCAGCAGCATCGTGACAATTCTGCGACACGGTCAAGGAAGGGACCAGCCCTGACATCATACATTCACTATGAGCTTGACACACTGGCCCTGTGGAAATGGCTATCGTATCCACCAAACAAGGTTGCGAAGATCGAGTCGTTCAAGAATTTGCATCGTATACTCTTGCCGTGATGCAACACGTTGACGTGAGTCTGACGATCAGGGTGCTTGCAATCACCGATGTGTGTGTTCATTGGCTTTCTGATTCGACCTGGCGGTGTATCAAGAACGTACGTGCTAGAAGAGTGAAATGTCTGACTGCCTATTGGCTAATGTCTGCGGTATGGCTGTCCGCTCGACTTACTGAAGGGCTTCCTGCCGGAGAGTTGAGAGGAGCCGGCGTCCACAAGATGTACACGAGTGCGCCATAACATGCGACTCGAGACTACGAAGCTACGTACGAAGCTACGTGGCTTGCGACGATTTTGTGTCTGAATCCTGAACGACCGTGTGCCGGGTTCCACGCGATTGAGCTGCTGAGCCTGACATCAAGCTATTGTCTGCCTCCACGCCGAACGAGCCTTCCTTTGTCTCGCCTGTGCGGTGCTTGAGCCTGGGGCTTCGAACTAGATTTGCTGCCTTACAGAGCGGAGAGTTGCTTTTATGCCTTCCTCTGATACAGCTGACAGATGTGCGGCCTGGATTGAACAGCTTTCAATCGAGGTCGATTGCTCTCCGATCTTCACCTGGTATCTCTGAGGTTGAAGCAGCAAAGTTGCAAAGACCCTGTGCTTCTGACGGGTCACGAGTGCGCCTGCGATGTCACTCGAGACACTGAACTCTTACAGCACAACTGCAATACGTAACGACTCCGACCGTATAGTGGGGAGTGTGTCGCAAGTTGGACTCGAGCAGTGGCGTCGCTGAGCTATCTAGAAACGTCCCCGATGGTCAGCATCACCGAAGGTCCGGCTTTGTCGCACGGGCGCTCGTTGCAGTGAAAGCGGTCGAAGCTTGTGAGCTGGCAGTGCTGGGCGCGAGGCCGCAGAAAGCATCTCTACGATCATGGAGGGTACTGGAGGCGAATTTGTGCGAGGAACAATTTGCATTGATGTGCAGAATCTCGACGCCTTCCTAGCAAGCTTACCCCAGAGACGCTTCCTGAAGGGTGCTACCGTGTCTGAAGTACGGCTGAGTCGGCTATCGACTGCGCGATGAGACTGCCGACCTCAGTGCGCTACTTAGTCTGGCGATATTCGGGAGTGACAGATGTTGTGCCAACTTAGAGGCGACACTTGCACCATGTCTTCGCGAGCAGCCGTGGCTCGAAGATGCGATTTCAGGGTCTCGAGGAACGCGTGGCTTGCTTGCGGGTTGATAGTGGGCGGAGCTGCAATGTGGATCAGGCGGAAGGGCCGTGGCGCGGCGGAGATCAGCAGCAGCTGGTGCACCTTGTTGCAACAACCACGACACGGACTCACACCTTGATTGACCCCGGCGGTATCCCCGACTGTCCCTCCTCCCTCTTGATCCTTTCCTCTCAGGAAGTCACATCGCTGCCGTCTCCATGTACACTGGCTGCACGAGGGGCGTATCCCTGTACGTCACAGACTAGGTCTCAGCTCCATCTCCATCTGACCTGTGCGAAGACGGCAAGATGGCAGCCCTTCCTCCTTCTCACCCACACCGTCCGGACTCTCGCGCAGCCCATGCATCGCAGAGCACCTCACGGGGCGCAGTGCGTTCGCGACCGAGATCTGCTCTGGCTTTCGCCCGCAACTTCTTAAGCCAATCGGGCAAAGCTGCTAATCAAGGGAAAGTCTCTGACAGCTCAGCAAGGCCGGAAGCCACACTCTCAAAGCCACGAGGCCAGCCAAGTACCAGAGACTCCCTCTTGAGGCCAACCACTCCTTCTCATACGCTCGTGTCAGAGTCCATACAAGATACACGCAGACCGGGGCGCTATTCATCCCTCTTCCGCAGACCAAGTGGACCGGATCTCGCCACCTCGCCCGTATTTTCGGCCTCCTCTTCCTCCCTTCCCTTGACGCATACAATGCCGCTGGATGGTCAGTCTCACAGCACCCGTGACCGCCAGAGAAGAGCAAGCTTCTCCCACTTGACGCGCGGCAAATCCTCGTCTGGCGTGGGCAACAAAGCACGCGTTGCCACGTCAGATGTGCTTGACGAAGGCCTGGCTCAAGCACCTCCTTCTGCTGCTCGCAAAATCTACAAGAGCGAGGACGTGGTGAACTACATCAGGCAAGGAGTCGTTCCGCAGTCGAATGTAGACAAGACGACCGAAGCCGAGACTCGCTCGGCCATCTTGGCATCGTCCAGCTTCGATAATTCTTCTATCGCTCCAGAGACCCCTGACAACAGCAATAGGCCTCATCGCAGGAGCAATAGTCTGAGTTCTGCAGCCTTACTGAGCACCGATGCCTTCAGTATACGTCGGGGTATCTTCGAGCGCAAGAAACACACAAACAAAGACGAACATGACTGCGTCGTATCGGAAAGCAGCGATACCCTTGCCCCAACGAACTCGCCGACCCCTCTCTCGGGCATTTCCACGCGGGGAACTTTATGGTCCGATAGACCATCTTCATCCCAAAGCTTTTCTCTCCTCCCAAGGTCCAGCAATAAGCTCAGACTCAAAAGTTCCCCTTCGACAATGACGGGAAGCATCAAATCTGCCGGTAGGAAAGGTTGGACAGTGGTTCGTGGACGGGTGACAACGCCAACAACCTCGGCAGATGAGTCGGGATGGTCTCTGACCTCATCATGCGAGAGAGACCTGCTCAATGATGCCACTCAGCGCTGGCTGCAGCTGGAAGACGCAAGCTTTGCAGAGTCGCCCGCGGGTCATGGCCTGATCTTTGGGGTGCCCCTCGCATCGGCTGTGATCCGAACCCGCCTCGTCTCGCCAGGCGCTGATTCCGATCATCATTTGGGTGCCCCCGAGACGGTTGATCGCAGCCAACCTCAAGGTGAAAAAGTATGCTTGGCCCTCGCAGAAAGTCCTGCCTCCACAATTGGTACTCTTGATTTCGGCGAAGAGTTCACATTTCCCTTGTCCCTTTTGACGGGAGAGACGGGCGACGGCTCTGCACTCCAGTCAGACGAAATAGTGACACCTTCCGCGAACACCAACTCTGGAGCGCACTTGCCGCAGAGCTCCCCCGTCGTTTCAAATCCACTCGATCGTCAGAGTGCCCGGCACCAGATGCTGCCCAGATTCGTGACCAGGTGCCTCGAATCCCTAGAGACGTTTGGTGTACAAGAGGAAGGGATCTATCGTCTTTCTGGCCGATCCTCACACACTGCCAGGTTGCGAACCGTCTTTGATGGCAAGTGTGAGCCGCCTTGGGCACGGCAAGGCGGATTTGCCTACGACTTGGACCTGAGGCTCGTCTCACCGGCCGACTGCGATATCAATTCGGTGTGTTCAATCCTGAAGGCGTACCTGCGGGAGCTTCCGCAGCCCCTTCTTACAAGAGCTCAGCTTGGCAGACTCGACGCCTCCCTCTCTGGCGACACGATTGACCTTGATGAAGCTCGAGACAGCCTACAGGATTCTGGAGTCTACGAATGGTATCTTATGAGAGAAATCGCGTTGCATCTCTTAGACATCTCTTCCGACAAAGCAGTTGCCAAGACACGGATGACTCTGTCGAGCATATGTCTGGTGCTTGCGCCAACGCTCGCGATCCCTGTCCACCTCTTGCGATTCATCGTGCAAGAGCACGAGGCCCTTTTCGCTAGCGGCCCAAGGCAAAATCCCGAATCCAGCATTGGTAGCCGCTCGACCCAGTTGGAACGTGCATGCGAAGCGAACTTGCTCATCGGTGAGAGTTCAGCCAATAGCAATCGACAATCGAATGCAAGCAGTGTCTCCACCATCCTTCCGCGTCGCGAACAAGCCGGGCCTGGCTGCGCGGGTGCAGTCCAATCCGGACAGGTATGGTCCCCGACAGCGGCGCCTGCTTTGACTTGGCTCACACGTCGGCCCGTTGGCTCGCAGGGGTCCGACCGTCAGCATGACCACCGGCCTTCCACGAGCTTTGCTTCTCTATCTCTTTCATGCACGGACACGGCATCAACGCAGCAATCGTGTCCTTCTTTGGTCAATCTGGAACCGCAAGATTCTGGAGTTTCTTCCGAAGCAGCATCCAGTCTCAACACTATTGCTTCTGCGACCTTCAAGGAAGGAGCTTTTGAGACTCTCACCCACTCTGCGGCGTGCTCGAGCTCCCTTCCGCACGACCTACCTCATGACATGCCGGCTCAGCCCTCCCCAGATGACGTCCGTGGGCGAGCAGGCTCGCCAACCCTACCCTCTTTCACACTGACTTCTTATCCTGCTTTGAGTGCTGCTGGTGACAAGCACATGACGTCGACGTCTTCAGTTCTGATACCCCAGGGATCCTCCTCCTCGCTGCGTAGCAGTAGACCACCCAGCCAGTATGTCACCCCCACGTCTTCTCCTCGCATGAGCGAAGGCTCACCATAGTGGCCACGTCTGGTGTCTTGTCGCCCCTGTACCTCCCTTGTTCGTCGCCCTGGAATTACCTGCCTTCTGCGACATGTGCGAAGACCAAAGGTGCCTCGTCGCCTGCCCTTCCGTTGTGCGCGGCTCACAGGGTCGAAGCCAGGACGTGCGTGACCTTGCGTGATACTTGTCAGGTGCTGCGAGAGGTGGGTCAGCACAAGCCCGCCTCGAGAGCGGGGGTGGAGGTCTGTGCAGGCGGAGGTCCGGCGATTTCCTGGCCGCCTCGGCTACGCTATGACTCGACTGATTCGACGACCAGTGTGCGGATCGGTTGAAGGAAGCAACGCTCCTGACTCATGCGTGGCGAGCATGTTAGAGCTGGCGTCAAGACGACGACACGGCCTACTTCAAACACACGAACATCTCGCCTTCAATGTCAGCGTCCCTGAGTCCTCACTCTCGCGAGTGACCATGTCTTCTCTGACCACGGACCTTCTGATCGTAGGCGGTGGCCCGGCCGGGCTTACCTGCGCTCTCGTCTTCGCTCGCCTGGCCAGGCCGGCAATACTTTATGATTCCGGTCTCTATCGAAATGCACAGAGCAAAGAGGCGCACACCATTCCTGGGTATGACGGCAAGAGTCCAGCAGACTGGAGGAGAGACGTCGTCGCCGAGATCCAGGCCTCCTATCCATGGGTCACAATCCGGCGTGGACAGATCGACAAGATTCACAAATCAGAATCGGGCATCTTCGAGGCTTCGGCTGCCGACGGTGCATCTTTGAGAGCTCGCAAGGTTGTACTCGCTACGGGTATACAAGACAATTTGCCGGACGTTCCCGGTACGTACCGACCAAAAACTTCACATTATCTTCGAACTTACCCTGAATGTTTGTGATCGTCGTGCAGGTGTTGCTAAGATATGGGGAACCAAAGCGCTCCATTGCATCTTCTGTCACGGCACCGAGACTCGCTTTTCGCCCTTAGCGTTCCTCCTTGACGCAAAGAAACCTCGATTCAATTCAATGGTAGTGGCCTCTTCACTGAGCCTGTGGCCATCTCTGCGCCATCCTGCAACTTACTACCTCACAGACGGTCTAGACATTGCAGATGAAGGTCAACTCGTCAAGTCGGGCTTGCAGTCCGAACTCAGGGTCATCAAAGCAAATGGCTCCATCATCATCACAGAGAAGATCTCGCGCATCGAGGACACATCGGATGGGCTGCTGGTACACTTTGAAAACCACAGAGAGCCCTTGGCCGTTGGTCACGTGGCCGTCATGCCCAATTCTTGGTCTCCCAATCCTCACAGTCGGGCGTTTCTCGATGAAGCCCTCCTGAGCAGACCTTTGTCTCCCGATGGAAGCATTGTACCTGCCGAGTCTAAAGACCTCGAGGGTCGAGGCACCTTGCCGCCTCTGATGGGCGACGAGCCTCGTACAGCCACCAGAGGCCTCTTCTGGGCCGGCAATTCTGGAAGTTTCATGGGCAATGTCATCAATGCCATATCACAAGGTCAGATGTCCGCTGTCATGGCTGGCAAGGAACTAGGTGATGAAGACTTGGCGCAAGCGAGACAATGAGCTCACGGTACTAGCTGCATGGCCAGATACAGGAGGCGTGACTCACGTGCGCTGACCACGGCGGCTTGACGAAGCAGCGGAGCTCGGCACACGCGCGGATGCGGTGAATGGAAACGGCATCAACGCCGAGATATGCACAAGCGGGGAGGTTCCTGCATCTGCGGCGGCAAAGTTCGGACCAGCTGGGCTGTCGGATGGTCGGGCACAGGCCACAAACGCTTGACCACGCAGCTACCATTTCGTAATGAATGGATATTTATCCGTCAGTCTTGCAGTACTGCCTGTTGCGATAGTTCCTGATTGTGGTCCATGTGCGTGCATCGGGCTCTAGTCGAAGCCATTTGCAGCCACAATATGAATCACTCCCCTGGGCTGCAGGTCTCAGCGGCTTTTTCAACCCACGCTTGGCGACTTCGGGGAATTCCGGCACTTTAGATCAAGTAGGCAGAAGACCAGTATCAGATAAGAACAGCGCCGCAAACTTTGAGCTTTTCCAGCATCGGCGAGACTCAGACGGGAGGGGACCTTATCGGTCCAAGGTAGAAGAACCCGCCCTTCGCGAGCGGGTCCCGTCCGCCTTTCACCACTTCTCCCCATCAGTTTTGCTCTCTGTGATCTCCACCATATTGAGCTTTCTCCACTCATAAGCTCTACGCTCCTTGGCATAGAGACCTCATCTGGCTTCGGCGGCATTCTTCCTGTTTCAACAGACACGGAACGATGCCCAGCAATATAGTCGAGCACGAAACGTTACCCAGGCTGGACAGCGACGTTGGGGCGGCTGAGAAACACCTCGAAGATGTCTCGTTCGAGCCAGACTCAAAGGCGTTCGATGAGTCAAATGAGAATCCTCGGCAAATTTCACAGATGGCGCAGCACGGTGTGCAGGCCGTAGAGGCTATAACTCTGAATTGGTCCAAAGGATGGCTTTGGACTGCTTACGGCTCGTGAGTGATGTGTCCAGAGAAGGGCGCAACGCTGCAGATGTCATCTTGCCACGTGACGCCCGTGGCGGCTACCGGTCGATGACAGCTTGCTCACACAAACGCAGCTCCTTCCCCTCAGCATGTGGCTGATCTACCTTGTCAACGCCTTCCAAGGGTCGATCACCTCTAATCTTGCCGCATACATTGCCAGCGACTTTGAAGATGCGCCACTAGTCACCGTTATCGGAACGGTTTCCTCCATCATGGCGACCGCTATGACTATGCCGATTGCGAGGATGTTGAACGTCTGGGATCGAGGTAACGGTTTCCTGTTCCTGGCAGCCATTGCAACTCTGGGTCTGATCCTATCAGCCGCCTGCAATAGTCTGCCAGTGTATTGTGCCGCTCAAGTATTCTACTACGTTGGTTTCCAAGGCCTAATCTTCTGCGTCGATGTCATCACTTTGGACACTTCGACTCTGAGGGATCGAGGCCTTGCATACGCGTTCACCTCGTCGCCATACATCATCAGCGCCTTCGCCGGGCCTAAAGCAGCCGAAGGGTTCAACGACTACAACTGGCGCTGGGGGTATGGCTGCTTTGCCATCATCCTGCCATTCGTCTGTATCCCCTTGTATGGTACCCTCTTGTACAACAAGAAGAAGGCGATTGCCTCTGGTGCTCTCATCCAGCCGGTATCGGACAAGAAGAGCGTCAAGGCCTGGCTATGGGACTTCATCATTGAGTTCGACTGTGAGTGTGATTGACCATGCTAGCATGATGCGACGAAGCGACGCTTCGCTCATCGCTGCAACTCACGCTACTTCTCTTCATCTCCGTCCTGGCAGTGGTGGGCGTAATCTTGTTGGCTGGCGGCATGTCCCTCTTCCTGTTGCCGTTCATCATCGCTGGGTCAACAGAAGATCAGTGGGCTGCTCCGCACATCATTGCGATGCTAGTGGTGGGATTCATTCTCCTGGTTGCTTTCGCGCTATTCGAACGCTTTGTTGCGCCAAGGCCTTTCATTCCCTACTCCGTCCTACGGAACCGTACCATTCTTGGTGCTTGTCTGCTGGATTTGGTCTACCAGATCGCCTACTATTGCTGGGACGACTATTTTTCCTCCTACTTGCAAGTCGTCTACAACAGGTCGCTGGCAGACGCTGGCTACATCGGCAACATCTTTGATGTTGTCTCGGGTGTCTGGTTGCTGGGCGTCGGCTACTGCATTCGAAGAACTTGCCGCTTCAGGTGGTTGTTGTACTGGTCCGTACCTCTATACATACTGGGCGAAGGGCTGCTCATCTACTTCCGAAAGGAGGGGACCAACATTGGCTACATCATCATGTGCCAGATCTTCATGGCCATCGGCGGTGGTACCATTATCATTGTGGAGCAAGTTGCTATCCTCTCTGTCCCAACTCACAACGACGCTGCCTCCGCGTTGGCTATTCTCGAGATGTTTGGAACCGTAGGTGACGCCGTGGGCGCCTCGGTCTCTGGTGCTATATGGACGCAACTCTTCCCCAATTACCTCCAGACATTACTTCCGGAAGAAAGCGTAGGGGACTGGGAGACCATCTACGACTCACTGGATGTACAGCTGAGCTACCCAGTGGGCAACGTGACCCGCACAGCCATCTCGCAGGCCTATGGCGATACTCAGACCTGGATGGTCACAGCTGGTACCATCTTCATGGCTTTCTCGCTCGTATGTATTTTCATCATTCGAGATATTAAGCTGGACACCAAGAGTCAGGTCAAGGGCCTCTTATTCTAATTTACCAGCCGTTAACCCGGCATAGCGTCGTTGGGTGAACGGCGAAGACCGACGATGGAAAGACTGGCGGTACAGTGGGGCTGCTTTTGGTGGATTACGAACAGAAGTGGCCGGATGTCAATGTCAAAGTCATGACGAGAGCCAATAATATATATCGGTCCTGAAAGACCAGACTGAGGCAAAATGTGGCATGTCAGGCTGCCGCGTCTAGAGGCCTTGTGTTCTGACACAGGCAACCACGAAGATTAAAGTCGCACCGTTTACTGCCCTCGCTCTACTTACGATTTCAGTGTAATTCTCTGTCTGCCAATATGCACGCCGCCCCGACCGATGCAATGAACCTATCCCATGCCCCATTCGTCGTCGCTCGCTGCAGCAAATCAACCTGCCCTCGAGATGTGCATCACAAAGCTCTTCTCCTACGGAGACTCGTCATGAAGGTGGTATTTCTGCGGTGGGTAATAATGTTACACGGCCGTTCGCTTTGCAAATGTCGCAGCCTGCGTTGACGCGGTAGCAGCGGGGAGAAGAATGTCGCCTAAATTTGCGCTTCGGGTTTCCGACCCGTCTATTTTCCTGAAGACGAAGCGGACGGCTGGAATGAAGGAGCAGCAGCAGACAGCGTAGCTGAGTCAGCAGGCCGAGGCTGCAGGGAGGACTTTGCGCCATTGGGTATGGCTGATGAGGGTGGCTCTGGCGCAGCGTGAGAAGCCCCTTTCCCTCCCTTTGAGCCACCGCCACGAGAAGAGCCTCCACCCCGACCACCACGTGCAGCGCTTCCTTCGCGACCACCACGATCCGGCTGACCGCCGCCGCGATTGTGATTCCCTGCTGAGCGCTTGGGTCCTTTAGGCGGAGCTTGGCCCTGTGGCTTCGGCGTCGAAGAGTCCCCTTTGACAGAGGTCTCTTGTCCGCCGGTACCCTCGTCTCCCTGCTTGTTGGCAGTGCCTCCCTTGCCCTTCTTCTTCCCCTCTTTGCTGCCGCTACCTCCAGTCTGCCTACTCGCAGCCTTCTCTTCCGCCTTGACTCTGCGACTCTCTTCCTCGAACCACTTCTCAAATTCCAGCCGCTCCTTTTCGGCTCTCAGCCTCTCCCCTTCGGCTTTGCGATCCTCGGCCTGAATCTCAGCAAAAGACTTCTTCTGCGGGGTCATAGCTTCAGAAGCCACCGCTGCAGCCACTTGCTGGGCCTGAATCTCCGCAAATGTCATCCCAATCGTGCTCGGGCTTGGTGAAGGTGACAGGGGAGCCGCTGGCGTCCGCTGCGAGGTCGAATGAGACCTGCCAGAGACTGGTGCCCTCTGCGACGACGGTGGAGGCGTAGCACCCGGTCTTGACCAAACAGCTTCAGAGACACTTCGCGAGAGGGATGGAGCGGTGGCTTTGACCGGAGTGAACGTGGGGCCGAGGTGCGGCGAAGGGAAGGAGCCAGATGGAGTTCGTTGATCAGAGGAACCGCCGGCAGGTCCGGAACGTAGAGGTGGTCGATTTGGATTAGGCGATGCCAACTCATTCATGACTGCTGCGTGTCGAAGGTTTGGAGGTGTGTCTACCACCTTCCAAGGAGAACCCTTGCTCGGAGTGGTACTTGGAACACTTTCTGATGGATTCGGATCTTGGCTGGTCGACGCCATCAATTGCTGCTGAGCAAGCTTCTTTCGTTCCTTCTGGCTCAGCTTGGGAGCAAGGCTGAGCGCAGACAGATCCGGCACGTCGCCTGCTCCACTTCCACTTGCATCCGCGATCACAGGTGTCCCTGGAGGACGCAGAGGTGTAGTGATCCCGCTGGAGGTATTGGACCCCCGGGTAGGTAGAGCCGAGGACCGAATTGTAGGCACAGGTGTCGACGTCGAAGCACGACTCTTTTCGGCGGCCATGATGCTGCGAAGATCGCTGCTTCCGGCCGCTGCTGTTGATGCTTGCCTCGCCTTCGTTGAGGCCAGGTCGTTTTGTGGACGCTTGCTGAGCCAAGGAGCAGCTGCCGATTTGCCATCAAGAGCTTTTGGCAGCTGAAATGCATCAGCCTGGAGCCGTTGCGAGTGTAAACTGCGGTCGACCACAGCGCCGAGGCTTGGACTGCTTGTGAATTCCTCGTCCATGTCGAACAACGCCGAATCTTGGGAAACTGCAGGGCGAAGCTCAGGAGAGGCGAGAGGACTGGCCGGGGTCCTCAATCCCTTGCGAGATGATGAGGCTGGGAGTGGCGGTCTCTTGCCGATCTTGTAACAAGACAGGTTGAGAGAGGCAGGGGGTATGTCGAGCGACTCATGGTAATCTTGATGCTTCACCATGAGGGCACTGAGGAAGTCGCTTTGAAGCGATCTATGCAATCGGTCGTCCTGTTTCTTCTTGACGAATTGGGCCAGTTCACGAATCATTCTATGCTCCAGGTCATCCAACATGCCGCCCTCCAGAAGACTTTCGAGATTCTGGGCGCAGTATAGCAAGCTGGCCTCCTTGAGCGGTAGTGCGTAGAAGGTATCGGCGATGGTAAGCAGCGCTGCGATATTGTTCGGCGAAGTTCTGGCGCGCAGCAGCGAGCTGCAGATGAGCTTCAGACGGTCCAAGAGCAGCTCATTGCTTGCTCCTAGTATCTCAGTGAGATAATCGATCCACTCATCTTGAGTCATGCTCTTGTCCCTGCCATCTAGGATTTCGCCAGAAGCGGCATCGCCGTAGAGGTACTGCAAATGAACTCCAAGCACATTCCATCTGAGATGACTCAGGTCGATTGCAATCTTGCCATTCGACCAGCGCGAAGATGACCAGTCCGGCTGCAATAGCGCGGTGAAGAAGGGAGATCTGCGGAGAATAACGGAGTGTGCAGGCACTGTACGGTCCGACAAGCGTAGCTCGATGTCGTGGAGGGGAGAATCTGCAACAGCGCAGTCGACCGACGAGTTGAAGAAGCTACGTAGATCGGTGCAGAGCGTCGATGTTGGAGTCCGAGGCACAGGACTGTTCAGGCATGGCGTGAGAGCGGGCAAAGCCAGTATGCTGGCAAGCTCCTTCAGCTGAGACTGGACAGTGCTACGATTGACTTTGGCGAGGCTAAGTTGTCGATCCGCCCTCATGCCGACGCTGGCAGTCCAGATGGCAGGCAGATCATCTGCGTAGAGGTAATAGAGCAGAAACAGACCAGTGTGGAAACTGCATTGGGGTAGGAGCATGGTCGTCACATCTGGACGGGGTCTCTTGACAATGACGCCCTCTGGGGCATCCCTTGGTCCTCTCTCCCCTGGATGCTCGAGCACGTGTCGAATCGTCGGGATGCGAGCAGCGACTATGGCTCGATGAGCAGGCAAATACTTGCCTCCAGCGATGATGAACATGTCGCAGCCCGTAGGCGGATCGAGGGCCTTAGGTCCGTACTTGTCCTGAGCGCTATCCCACCGACGAGCGGCCTCTGCCAAGAGTGAAGCAATTGCACTGTGACGCTGTATCGTAGAGTCTCCTCTCTCGTCATCTGAATCGTCGCCCTCTTCCTCTGAGTCTGAAGGGCCGGTCTGCGCCTTCTCGTCACTGACGACATCGACGCCAATATCCGCAGTGATGTGGCTGTCTTTATTGTCTGAAAAACCGCCCCTATCTGAAGAGATGCGGAGGAACGGCAGTGATCTGGCCATGTCCTCGGCCAATGTGTTGCCTTTGATGCGGATGTCCTTCACAGGGGGGTGACCACGAATGGCTGCAAAGCCGCCACTTTCGTTGGTGGCGACCTTGATCACTCGCTGTAACAAAGGGGTTTGGGCGAACTTGAATGCGCGGGCATTTCCGGTCTTGGAGGAGGGCTTCCCTGCCGAAGCCGCCTCACCCGAGCGACGCGAGCGAACAAAGACGTGGCCGGACGAGGTACACAGAATGATGGAGCCATCGAGACTGATGGCAACATCTCTTACAGCCGTGAATTTCTTTCTGACAGACCAGACGAGCTGAGGCTCGGGCGCAGGTATCCTCTTCGTCGCAGTGGAGCTGACGGAAGACCCAGTGGCATACTCGCTAGGATGGCCAAGGCTGAAAGTGAAGAGATCACCGTAGTCACTCAAAGCAGCAAAAGTGCTGCCAGAGCTCGTAATTTTGGCGATACTAGGCTTAGGCTGAGCTTGCCGCGGCCTGAAGACGGACATTTTCTCGCTGAATCGTGTCATGGGAAATTGCAGTCTAAAGTTAAGGTCTCCATGGTACACCAGGACATCGAATGTGCTGAGAAGCAACGCTGTAGCATGGTCGGTACAGGCCACTTGTCGGACTTGTGAAGTGACAGATGTGACCTTGCGAGGTTGAATTTGCAAGGGCGTGGCGGTCTTGTCGTACCCAAGCTGTCCGGTGTTGGAGCCCCAGGTGTAGAGCGAATCAGCAGAGAAAGCTACAGAGTGCAGCTTGCTCACAGCTGCGCCAAGAATCTCCTCTTTCTTCAAGGGTCCGACGATTTTGCGAGGTGTGATCTGTACATCTAGGATCTTGGTTGAGGAGCTCGCGGACTGACCGCTACTGCCAGATGCACTGCCTGCCCCACTGGATCCAACGAGTCCTTGCCCTGACTCGAGCGTATAGCCGAGTACGCCGAACTTGTTCAAACCGAATGAGTAGATATTGCCGGACGTTGTAACGATGAGTGTGTGATCCGGCCCAACTGCAACGCTGGCAGCTGTTTCTTTGAAGTCGGCCAGAGGTGTGAGGGTGGGCTGGGTAGAGGCATTGCGCCCCAGACGGCCGTTCGAGCCGATTCCGGCAACCCAGACGTTCCCGCTGCTTTCGTTGGTCACCACCACGGTGTGCATCTTTGACATCTGTACATCTTTGACGGTGATACGATCGAACTGACGTCCAGCAGGCAGAGTATACGAGGTTTGAGCTTCGTTGCCCTCAACTGATGGTCGTTTCAGCAAGACAGAGTCTGGCAGGGCACGATCATTGCCGTCTCCAAGGCCAAGTGTGTAATTCCGGTTGGAGCCCCAGAGGTAGAGATCACCTGGCGATGCGTTTCCTCGCACACCAGAGTCCGCCAGTAGATTGGGCGGGGCCGGGTTGGTGCCGGAGACCGTGGAATTGTACAGATCGAAGGCACTGAGTCCTTCACTATCTTTTAGACGGACATCGATGGCGGTATGCCGTAGTAGGGTGAGGGCGTGATGCAGATTGCCATGGTAGAGGGCACGATGAAGAGCGGTATACCCTGTCATTGTCAAGAGAAGTCGAGTGGAAGCGAGGCGGCACTGTCGTCAGTTTCTGACTACACGAGATATAGCCTCAAAGATTTGCTTAGACTGTCTCGCTACTCACCTGACTCGCCGTCTTGAACATTGACGTTGCAGCTCGGGTGACTCAGCAGAGCCAAGAGAAAGTCAGTGCTGATACCTTCATCCGAGCTTGCGATGAGATGCAGCGCGGTTCTCCCGTAGTGGTCGCGTCTATTCACCTCGCTGGGCGGAGCAGGTGCAATCTGACTACTGTTCCAAGACCCATACGAGTTCCCGCCATAGGAGTGGTAGGTCGGCGATTTCGAGTAGGAAGACGAGGACGCATGCTGATTGTGACCCGAGGTATTCAGGCCCGCTGCAGCGGGTCCTCCTTTCAGCACGGCACGAAATCTCTGCAAATCTCGAACCCGCCAGCAGTCAATCAAGGTGGGAATGCCCGCACCTGCATTGCTAGACGGCGCCATGCGTTACGGTCTGAGCGAAGCCTCCTCCCCGGGCTCAGAGACGCCAATTCCCGCCTTGAGATGACAGGAACGAGCGACCTCTATCCGGCAAGAGGGAGAGCAACGCACAAGGGACTTTCCTCAAAGAAAGGTCAGCCCTGGTATCGGAAGACGAGCTCCAAATGACCCCAATCGAAGCTCGAGCGAGATCCTTTGAGCTCGCGGCTGGGTATATGCGATGCTCGAAGACGGGGGCGAGCGATGCGCGGCTCAGTGGCGAAAGATGCCCGGAGTGAGCTCAGCTGAACGAGGCCGGAGGAAGACGAAGTGTGTGAAGTGAGGCTACAGTCATATAGAGCAGAGGATGTGGAAGTGAGTCGATGCCTGAGGTGGGGCCAAGTAAGTGAGTGAGCGGTAGGACCAAGGTGTGGCGGGGGGCGAACGTTTTGGCGAGCCTGCCTTGCTTGCTTCGCGTTCCGCCTTCCGCCATGACTCCACGTCTTGCTTCCGATTCCGACCCTGAAACGCCGCCAAGACAAAGGCAGCGATAACAGAAAGTATCATTAGAGACAGGAGCGGCAGAACCCGATGAATTGAGAATGTCATCATTATCGAAGCACAAGAGGAATCGAGTCGCAGCAGGAAGGTCCGACGGCCACCGCTGGCTTCTTTACCTTTCCCTGTCATCATCTATCTCGCTAAGCTCTTCCTCGCGATCTAACCCCCCCCCCTCACTTTCGTCCCCCTTTGCTCCCCTTCTTCGGACCAGCTCCCCTCTTGAGCACCTTACCAGCCCTCCTCATCGCCTCCTCCAACCTCTTCGCCTCAGAAATCACCTCGTCCCAGTCTCCGTCAAGGACAATGGCTTCCATCAACCCTGGCAGGGGTGTAGCACCATAGCCTCTCCACCTGCCAGGTCCGACGAGCAGACTCTTGTACCACGGACGGTCTTTGAGTCCCGAGGGAGAAATGAAGGTCTGCTCGAAGAGGCGTAGCGAGCGGTTGATGCTGGCGACGCGGGCCAGAAGGGCGGGCAAGGGGGAGGGCTGCGGGAGAGATGAAGAGGAGAGTTCGGCAAGGCGAGAGAGGCTGAAGTGGGCTTCGCTCGGAAGGTCGGATGGTGTTGAAGATACGTCGGAGAGGACGGCATCGCCAAGTCCAGGGCCAGACATAGGTTCAGAGGCAGAGTAGGTGTGATCGCCAGCCAGATCCCGGAGCTCCTTCTCGACTTGAGCCTTCTCGTCATATAGTTCCTTGGTAGCGGCTTGTAGCCTTGCATGAGAGCTCTTGAGGTCCTTGAAGAGCGCATGATGACAACCTTGCCACCTTCCACTGGACCGACTTGTTCCCTTTCCGAGCGGTCCGTCCCTTTTGGCTTTGTTGAATTTGGCCTGCACCTCATCGATGTACTCCCCAATCACCGAGACATACTCGCCGACATCGAGCTGCAGGAAGAGACTCTGGGACATACGCCAGGTAGCTAGTCCAAGAACCTTGGCAATCGTGGTGATGCGCTTGAAGCCCGGGTCGCCAAAGTGATCCATGTAGTAGAAGGAGTCGTAGTTGGAGTGGTAGTGGTACACTGCATCTCCGTCCCGGGCACTGTAGGCGAATCCAATGTCGGACGAGGGGATACCAAGGTGCTGCAAGAAGACAGAGTAGTCTGAACCTGAACCCAGAGGGCCTACTTTGGTGATGTTGAGCTTGGGGCTGGCCTCGTCTTTGGAGTTTGGATCCTCAACGCTCTTGGCTACATCTCTGTACAGCTGTGCTAGCGAAGGAGAAGCTCCCATCCTCAGCCAGGAGCCGGCAGCTGCCACGTCTGTGTTGAAGTAGGCCACCGCATGCTCCCGGAGCCATTGTGCATAATCTTCGCCAAATTCGGTGCTGCCGACCAGACCGTACTCTTCTGCGTCCCAGCTGGCGATGAGAATGTTCCTCATAGGTCTCCAGTGGTACTCATTGGTGAGATGTCCGAGACCAGCAACGAGCTCGTGCATCGCGGCTGTACCGCTGGAGGGATCTGCCCCACCAAAAGTCCAAGCATCTCGGTGCACAGCGGTGATTACGGTCTCGTCCGAAATGAGCCCTGGGATGAAGGCGTAGGTGTTCCAGATGGCCTTTGACTCAATGGACGTCATGTTGTTCTCCATCGAGGCGACCATCTCGCTTGGGCCAGACCAGTATTCTTCCACGCCTGGTACCTTGCCCACCCACAGAGAATCCTTGGATTCCAGCTCGGCAGTATTGACGCCGTGCCCCACGAGGGCCTCCAGAAGAGGTTTGGCATTCGAGTAACTGATGGGAAGGCTGGGGATCTTGGGAAGGGAGTCGGCTTCTTCAGGATCGAGGCGCGTTGCATTCTTGTAGCTAGGCTCGCCTGGTGTTCCTGGGTCTCCGGGATAGAAGCTCAGAGCTTGTACGCTGCCTCGCTGGACGGAATGGGGTTGCCGAGCTGGACCATGTGGGTAAGGCTTATAACCATTGGCTTCGGTCACGTTGCCGTCCTCAAGAGGGTCGCTGTAGATGAGTGTACCAACTGCCCCGGCATCAGCAGAGGCACGTACCTTGAGACCTCGGAAGGGACCTCCGTATCTGCAGAGCGTGATGGCCCCTTCGACCTTGACGCCTTTCTTCTTGAGGGCAGCGAAGTCATCGATGGTACACAGGCCAGCGTACACGATGGGTCCAGATGCTGAGCCTGGCTTGCTGTAGCCATGGAAAGGCTGGTTGCCCTGAGAGCTGGTTGGATCTTCTTTGATGACGTCCTCCGACAGATTAGCGGTGAAGGCAACTTCGCCACCCGGACGGGAGAGCGAGAGTGACGAGTTCTTGGGATAATTGAGCCAGACATAGTAGGTGTCTGTCCAGACTCGGGCCTTGTTGCCGCTTGCGGTCCAATCTCCGGTGAGGTAATGGATACTCTCGGGTGAACCAGCGTCAAAGAGGAGCGCTGTAGGGTCGTCGACTTTGGGAGCACCGAGTAGCTCTGCCCATTCTTGCTGGATCTGTAGAGCAGACTGGTAGTCATGATCTGTACCCGCTACGTGCAGGCTATGAGCGGCAAGGGAGCGACAGGGGCATATGAGTCAGCTCTTACGTCTGCCTGATCGCCCGTGCCCATTGAACGCAGAGATCCTTGGCACGGTATTACTCACCGACTTGTGTAATTCTTCAATGCTGCGCGTGCGCTCTTGGGGTCAGGCACGCTGAGAAATTGCTCCTCGAGGTATTTGGCGACGTCTGGCATGGTGGTGTGCAGTGTTGCATTGCTTGAGGAGGGGCTGTCGATGTCGCCGGCATCCACCATGTGCTCAGCAAAGGCAGCTTTAGCATGAAGCGCCTCAAGCATGCCGTTGACTGTACGCTGTACTCTCGCACGATGGGGACATTGATGGTGGGAAGATGCTCCAGTGAGCGACTTCCACCAGGAATGAGAGTGGGACTTGGATTGCGAGTGTGAGTGATGCCCCTTGTTCTTCCAAGACAGGGACGCAGACCAAGAGTGAAAGTTGACTTCTTCGCCGTAGACGGAAGTGTCGGGTGTGCTGGACAGGGTGTAGTAGGTGAACCCAGCAGACAGGCTGAGGAGGAGGAGCAGAGTGCGTAGGCCCATGTATCTCCGAGGTGGTGGTGTTGTACGCTGCGATGCGGAGTAGGGGAGCAGTGCCGAGCCCTTTGCGTCGATACGATCATTGTCCAAGGATTGTTTGACGTCGGCGCTGTAGTTGTCAGCAGCCATGGTATAAGGAGGGGGGCTGTCTCGAAGCTCTTGCTGTGAGCGCGAGCGGATGGTCATGGTGGGCGGCTGTTGGTGGAGGTGGTGGAGGGGGAGGTGAGGCTGATGGCGATGATGGCGAGTGTGATACGTCTGCTGCTGCTGCTGCTGCTGCTCAGAAGCCAAGTGGCTCCAGATGAGCATCTGTCCGTGGGAGGTGTGGAGATGATGGTAGGAGTGTGAGTGGATGGGGGCCCGAGGGAGATAGCGGAGTGCCTCTGTGTGCGGCTGAGTGAGGCCAGGGGCGGCGGCTGTGGTGCCTGGCAGGGGTGCAGTGCCTGGCCAGGCGCATCTCCCCCGGTCCTTGGTCCTTGCGCTCAGATCACGTCGTCCGCCTGAGTTCCGCCCTGCTTCCGTTCCTACCGTCGATGTTGCTCTCCTACTTTCTTGCTCCGCTCCTGCCCACCCTCCTTCTATCAGCACCACCACTACCCTCGAGCACCATCGTCTCGTCCAGGAGGATGTCCTTGGCGGCTACTACCTCCACTGCGGCTGCAGCGGGCTCGCCGCCTCTGGTAGGCGCAACGCCTCAGTGGTCCGACTTGGTCAAGCGATCCCTCTCTCCACGTCTAGTGCGGCTGCCCATTCTCACCCTCGTATTCCTGCACCTGGCACTCACCATCGTCCACTTACCCACCTCGCTCCATTCCACACTGGACCTGGTCCTGCTCCCTCTGCGGCCTACACTCTTCCTCTGCTCTCTGCTGGCCTTCATCGTCGGCGTACTTCCAACACTCGTAGTCAGGCGCAGGATTCTTGCCAGGACCACTTGGCAGGCGGCACTATGCGGGCCAGCAGCCTCGCCAAGAGCAATGCCATCTGTCGTCACGCTCCCGCTAGGCGTCAAAGTATCGACGAGTACCACCGGCGGTCGAGCAAACTACCACCTCACTCTTTCGTCCACCTGGCTGTCCGCAGCCCTCCACGGTCTGGCAACACTCCTGTCAAATGCCCTCCTCGTGGCTTCCTTTGCCGCTTACTCCCCAGAGCCCACTTGGTGGTTGCCATACCAGCGTGTGCCTTCGACTCGCAAGAGTACTGGCTCATTCGGTAGAACAGTCACCACCACCACTCATCACTGGAGGCCCAATGAGGCGGTATGGCTCTTGCTCCTCCAACCCTTGGTCCTTGGTATAGCTTCAAGTCTGCTAGCTTCGGCTCTACCTCATGGAGTGTGGTCGGTGCCGCCACTCCGGGTCCCTCAATTCCCCACTTTCCTCATCAACAGCCTCCCGGCGTCCATCGGTGGAGCAGCCTTTGTATCATCTACGCTTTCCAAGAGGGTCTCGACCTCAATGTCGCCCCTGGTCGTCAAGGCTGCTCTGCAGTACCTCGTACTCTCCACAGCGCTTCTACTCTTCTACCTACCCCTACGCCTGCCTTTTTTCAGACTGCTTCTCATCTTTCTCCCGCCCTATTCGGCCCTACGCCGTATGGTCATTCCGTCTCTACGAAGCGGCTTCAGCCTCACTACGATGTCCCACCTTACCACCCTCTTTCTCACATCAGGAGCATGCGCAATGGTGCAAGGCGCAACTAGGGCACTCGCCGCCAATCTCTGGGAAGTCTATGCTACCCATCCGCTGGCAATCACGGCTACTCAGGTGTCCAGCTCCGTGGCCCAAGGGGCGAATGGCAAGTCCCTCGAGGTCATGATTGGCGCCCTGGAAAAGTACGCGCCGAGGCGCACACCAGCGGCTACAGCCAGCGCTGGTGCTGAGAGCGAAGCGGAGCGCGCTTTCCTCTTCACCCACGCCCTCTTCGACTTTACAGCCCTCTGCACAGACACTACTACACAAGGCGCACAAGTCAGGCGGGCGTTCTTCAAGCACTTTGCTGTGCCCAGCGTCCCCAGTTCCCAGGACTCCGCTTCTGCCTCTGCTGCCGCGGGTGGAGGAGGTGGAACCGTCAGCGCGTGGGAGAGGGTCAGTGAGGTCTTACTTGGAGTCGTTGACGGGGCGGTCGATGAATGGGAGAAGGGTGCATCTACTGAAATTGGGTCAAGCGTTGCGGCACAGAGGACTGGCGAGGTCAAGAAAGGATCCGAGTCGTCGGTAGCTGTTGCTGCCCGCAGCAAGGGTAAGGAGCTCGAGGTTGTCAAGGGCGGCATGGCCGGAAGTGTCCCTCCGCCAGCGGCATCAACTGCACGACTGGCAGCAGCGCAAGGACATGGCCAGTCCTCGGCTGTGAGCTCGGCAGGTGAAGGGCAGACGACGGTCTGGCAGAGACTTGTCGCTCCTCCGCCGTCTACAGGAGCTGGCTCTTCTAACACCTCGGCGACGTCAAGCTCGCAAGGCGCGTCTGCTCCAGCACCCGCCGCAGGCACGACCACTGCTTCATCGAGCTCTCTAGGCGCTCTCGGCCCCCTCGCAAGCACTCTCCAAGCGCTAGGCTCTCGTATTTCCTCCCTTCTACCCGCTCCGGTCTCCTCCCTCCTACTCTCGGGACCCCGCGCTGCCAACAGCCAAAGTTCCTCCAGCGCGAGCGCAAACGCCAACGGGGACGCAAGCGATTCGTTGCTGCACTTGCTCCTGACGCTCCACGCAATCTACACGCTCCTCCTCTTCTCTCTGCAGGAAGACGAGTGGGGCTCTGTGACGCTGAGCGAGCGACGTGCGCTGGGCGTCGAAAGATGGATCGCGCTGGGCGGGAGGGTGGAGAGGGCGGTTAGGCGAATGGTACCTGCGCTTGCTGCTGGTGCTGGTGCTGGTGCTGGTGCTGGTGCTGGTGCTGGTGCTGGTGCTGGTGCTGGTGCTGGTGCTGGTGCTGGTGCTGGTGCTGGTGCTGGTGCTGATGAGAAAGAGGAGAAGGATCCAAAAGCGGGTGGAGCAAAGGGCGAGGCGGACGAGACGGGCTGGGAATGGCGACTACTCGTGCAAGAGGCACAACGCGGTCGTGAGGGCGTGGCGAGGGAATTTGGAATCGTCTCGTAGTGGGGGACAGCTCAAGCCCTGTCCCCAGCAATTAGCCGCGGGAGAGCCAATGTGATCAAAAGAATTCATACGAGCCCAATCGATGGAAATCAGCTCGCAGCTCGCCGCCGCTTTGAGAGCATTTTGTACTACTTCTTCCCACGCATAACCTGCCTTGCATATGAATTGACATCACCTTCGCATCTCACAGCCCTTCGACACCCGATAGAGTTCGAAATCGAGCAGTCCTTCCGTTTCTTCCTGGCAACCTCTCCACTTGCAATGGTCGTTTGTCCATCCGACAGACACAGCACACGTGACATTGTGAATGATGTAAAGGGGTTGATACACGTGATCTTGTTCTAATCGTGGACACAGCTCAGCACAGAGAGGTTAGAGGAGAAGAGACATCGACAGGAGGGATGAGGGGGGGATCGTCATTGTGCCTTTCGAGATAGAGAAGAGGAAAAGCAAGAGGAAAGGGGAAATGTGTCATGAAAGCGAAAGCGAAAGCGAAAGCGGAAGTGAAGTATGGGTACTTGAAGAAACTGTCCATGGGTCCAATCCGTCCATCCGTGCATCCGTCCAGCCCGGAGCGCCGTGCCGCCTAAGCGTAGAACTTCCTATTGATCAAATGAATGAGCAAATTGAGGTTCAACTTGGCCTTTGCTCCACCAATTGCAATCTCCTGCACATTTCCCGTCCCACTAGCCTGCAACTCCAACAACTCTTCGATTCTCAAATCTGTACTCCCCGCTTTCACACCGAGGAGAAGCGCGTCAATTGTGAAGACTCCTGCTTGATCAGAGGAGATGGTGAGTGTGAGTTGGTCAAACTGACCTGCCCGCTCGCCAAAGTCGTCGATGCTGAGGAGCACACCCTTCTCGTGGAGACGTGCAGCGGGGTACTTGTAAGAGCCAAATTGCGGGACTTTGCCTTGCTGCTTGAGCTCTCGGAGGTGGAAGTATTGCTGGGAGAAGGGCACGACGAAGCGCTTCTTTGTACCCTTTTTCTGCATCGTCTGCATCGAAGCATCCACATAGGAGTGGTACGAGGCAATTTGCTCCTCGAGGTACCGCTTCTTCTGCGCCAGGTTGTCTAGGGTGCTGAGCATGGAACTCTTCTCATTGGCGCGCTGCACACGCTTGCGATGCTTCTGCCGAATGTCCGACGCGATACTGTTGAGCATCTCCGTGTACCCGCTCGCGCGCGTAACCTTGCCGGCTTTCTCGAGCTGCAAGATATTCTCCATCGTCCGGGCCTTGAGCTCTGTGAGTGACATCTGACGGACGTCCTCGAGACGTGGAGCATGGCGACGCTGCTGCTGCTGGTGGTGTTGCTGGCTGGCCGCCAGCTGCTGGCTTTCCGCCAGCTGCTGGCTTTCGAGCGCCACAATCTCCTGCCATGTAGCCTCGTCCTGTTCGGTGATCGGGGTGAGGAAGACATCCACGAGCGTCTTGCCCGACTGCACTTTAAGCAGGGAGAGGACCAGTCGCTTCGTCTCTACGAAAAGAGCCTTTGTGTCCGCCTCTGGATCCCTGAGAGAAGTCCGCCTGCTCACCAGCTCAAAGGTGATCTCACCCAGACGGGCATCACTCAGCTCCTGTGTGCTGGAAACAGGCGGTGCGCCCAGCTCCTCGAGGATCACCCTCAGTGGATCCTCCATATCAGGGGCGATGGCGCTGAGCTGCTGTGAGACCAGTAGGTGCATCGAGTAGATCTCATTGGGCGAAATGTAGATGACGGGACGCTGTGCCTGTACAGCAGCATGGTCCAGGAATTCATCCGCGTGGAAGTACTCCTCGGCATCGGGCACATCGATGACGGCATACAGCCACTGGATGAACCTCGCCGAAGCCTGAGTGACATACTCATTGAGTGGTTGCAGGTAAGGGTTATCGTCAGAGAAGAGACGTCCATTGGAGATCTGCGTGAGCATCTTGGACACCTCTGCGAGATTCTTGCGTTGTGTAGGCCCAATGACATTTTCGATGACATCAAACGACTCTGGCGCCACCACGGCCGGGTTGAGGTAGCGGTAGTAGACGAGGTGTCCGACGATTTTGATCAGGCTGTCCTCTGACTCGTGCGGGAAGCGAGCTTGCAGGGCGCGGAAGACCTCTCGGCCGATGTAGCGAATCCCAAAGGGCATGCGACGAGTCGAGGCCGTGATGCTCGAGAGGAAGGCTTCAGTGGAGGCTCGCAGAGCTTGCAGGTGACGAATGAAGATGGTACGAGCCATTGGGTCGGCTAGAGCTTCCTGGAAGTCTACTTCGAGAGGACGAGCCGAGGCCCTGCCCGTCTCCATCTCTTCCTGGTTGATGGTGGCTTGATAGATGGCGCACGGGTCCGTCTCGAGATCCAAGCCCTCATCTTCGATGATGCTTCTGACGAGCGGAGAGAGGACATCGCGGAGATACTGCCTTTCCTTTGCACCTCGGTTGTATTGCACTACGAGCTTGAAGAATTGCGGGTTGCCACGCATAAAGTCCTGCACGGAACCGGCAAGAACGAGCTCTTCGGGCACACATCGTTGGAAGAGCTTCAGCAGGAGAAACTCCTCTCGAGCCTTTTGTGCATATCCAAAGAGGGTCAGGACAATCTTCTCCACTTGCTTGCGTTGGCGGTCGGCCATGTCCAGCTTGCCCACTCTGGCAAAGAGTCTTGCGAGGTACTCAGGTCGAGTTTGAAGAGAGTAGAAGAGTTCCTGGTAGAGTTCCAGCTTCGCCCGCGCCGCCTTGTCCAGCGTCTCATCGGCAAATGGATCTCCAGCGGCAGCCAAGACGGACGAGGTGGCAGCGTTGGCCTCCCTCGGCCTGAGAAGTCCCCTTTCGTTCTTGGCCTTGATCAACTCCTCGATACCAATCTTATTCTTGACCAGCAGAGCAATCTTTCCATCCAGCTCCGTCACATCATTTTCGAGCGTTTGGTTCTCCCTGATGCTCCTCACGACAAGCTTCCTCAGCCTCTCTACCTCGATCTCATCTTCAAAGTCATGATCAGAGTCGTTGAGCAGATGACCGAAATTCTTGATGGTAGAGACGGGAACATTCTTGCCCATGGTAAGGGAACGATACTGCTCGCCCTGTTGTCTTCCGCGGAAGAGAGACTGAATCTTGACGACCTTGTCCATGTGCTCGTGATAATGTCGCATCTTGTTGCGGAAAGCCCTGCGGGCCAGCATACCCCGCACGAGGGACTGCAGATACACCGCTACTGGCTCATTTTCGTGGATATGGTATCTCCACCAGTCGTACTCCTGTCTGACCATCATCCCCCGGATCTGCGCCTGCAGAGCCGTGACGTCTTGCGAGACGTAGCTGAGCTGCTTCTGCTGTTCCTGGTGCTTGCGTCGAGCCAAGACGGCACGGGCGAGACTCTGCACCCCACCTACCGACCGAGTGACTTCTGCCCTCTGAAATGCCGAACCCAGGGCTTCTTGCTTTCTCCTCGCGAGCACTCCCCGGATTTGAGCTTGCACCAGCACAATCTCGCCATCTACAGATCTCATGCTTCGAATCTTGGTCAACAGAGCCCTCTTGGCCAAGAGAGCTCTAGCAGCAGTCTGTGCCTTGATGATGTCAGGGGTAGCTTCTGCAAGATGGGAGAGGAGTTGCTGGTGAGCACGTCGGCCAATTGCTCCCCTCGCTCGAGCTTGCAATTCGACAATCTTCGAGTCGTGCGCTTCAAGTGAGGCAAATCGGCTGTAGAAGCGTTTGCGAACAAGGGCACCTCGGACGGCCGATTGAAGACGGGGAGCAAAGGCCTCGAGGCGTCGTTGTCGCTCGGCAGCGGCAGCAAGTCTCGCGGCCTCTTCTTCCTCGAGAAGTCGTCGTCGTCGTTGCTCTTCTTCAATCGCTCGTTGTCGTTCTGCTTCTGCTCGTCGGGCATCTCCTCGTCGAATCTGGAACTCGTCTCGGGCCAGGGCTCCTCTGCAAGCGGCTTGCAGAGAAATGACCGAGCCGACATTTTCTTGCAACTCACGATCGATGCGCTCTTGTTCTGTCTCTTCTGGCTCTGGCTCCGGCTCTGGCTCGATGTTCATCTCCTTGGCGAGGGCCTTGCCCAGGCCTCCAAAGCTGGGCATAGCCACACCGGCAGCATCGAGGCCTCGCTGCGTCTGCTGTAGCTGGTCATCTGTGAACTCTAGCTTGCCGATGAGGTTGTTGACCTTGACCGACCTGCCTTGGCGGGCGAGGATGTGACTGCGCAGAGAGAAGGAGAGAGACGTGGGAGGAAGAATCGATCAGTAATGCTCCTTCCGCCGAGGACGCTCTCTTTGCCGCCCTTGCACACTCACCTCAGAGCATGAATACAGTAGATGACCTTTGGGAAGTTCTTCTTCTCATACAAGTCCGTCAGCTCGAAATGGAAAAAGACCGGCAGGCCAACCCAGTGGACGAATTTGAAAAAGTAATTGACGTTGTCCGTATGTCTATACTGTAGCTTTGGATGAGTGAAGATCCTCGGTACCAAGTCGGGCTCAAAGTGGCGGGCAATCTTGGCAAGGGTGACTCCGTTGCGCATCTGGTTCTCCATGTCCACCACATCACCTACACCTCCCCCTTCAGTCAAGGCGGCTTCGTCGTGAGCGTCGACGAGGCAGGCTTCCATCCATTGCTTTGCTTCCCCACAGTGGCAGAGGTACTCGTAGGCTTGCAAGAGGTGACGTTGCGTATCCATCCACTTTGAATTGGCAGAAAAGGGCAGGGAGGATGTCATGCTGCTCGTTGCCACAACCGGACCACCAGCACTACTGCTCGACTTGCCCATTGCAATCGTACCAGGTCCAGCAGTGTCCTGTCTTGCAAGACGAATACGGCCATGCAGACCAGAGACGTCTTCTGCGCCGGTGGTGATTCCTGGAATGTAGATCTCTCCTCCCTCCTGATCCTCTGATTCTATTCGACCCGGACGTTCAGGACGTTGATCCTCGGCCACCGAGTCCAGCCCTAGGCTAGGGGGCCCGGCAGGCTTATGACTGCTTTCGGCCCTAGCGCGGCCCACTGTCATACGCATCGTCCCCGCATCTCCACCAGCAGCGCTATGGGAGGAGGGCGAAGCGGGGTCCGACTTGGCTGTGAAGTTCCTCATCATCTTCAGAGCTCCCACGCTGGACCGTTTCAGATCACCTACCCCACCTAGGTGCACTGCAGCGGGAGCCTGAGCAGGGGAATTGGTCGCAGAGTGGGACCAGAACGATCCTCCGTCTGCAGGTGCACTGCTGATTCCTCCTACTCCATTCTTGATCCACGAGGCATCATCCTTGCCAGGACTCTTGTGCGGGGAAGGGGGCCGATCGTAATACATCTTCGTAGGGGAAAGGGGGCGAGGTGCGCCGGGAAATACGCTGCCGAGCTTGACAGGGGAGGGTGGTTGTGAAGAGGATGAAGAGTAGGCGTCTGCCTCCCTGGGAGCTGGAGGCATCGAGTAATGTCGGTTGACCCTAGAGGAGGCGGCATTGCCTAGCGCACTCGGAGGAGTCGAAGGGGCAACACCGCTCATCCCGGTACGATAGCTGCTCTTGGGAGGTGAGCCGCTCAGTCCCGACCTGGGAGTAGAGGCAGAAGCCGGCCCGTCAGAGAGGGCATGCCTGCTTGCACTACCATTGCCCAGACCACCTGTAGCGCCGGCTGCGAACTTGCTTGGGTCAAAGGAACTGGTGTGACGATGACCTCCGGGCATTGGGTATTTGCGCAGACTGGTCGAGGATGTCATACCGCCTCCCATTGTACTGCTACTGCCACCGCTCCCGCTGCCGCCATGTCCATTTGCGCCACTCCCGGCGAGTGCAGCGGGCTTAGACCCGGACCGTTCGAGGAGCTTCTGCTGGTATGCGAAGGGCGATGAGCGTGAAGGGGACATGGCCGCGGCGGAGGAAGAGGAGGAGGTGCGGATCGGCTGGTCCCTGCTTGACGAAGAGGCTGCCGCCGAGCGAGTGGGTGAGTAGCCGTCCATATTGGTGGTGGTGGTGGTGAGAGGGATGGTTGGGTGGAAGACGAGCTAGTGTGCGGCAATTGGTTGGCCTCGATCAAAGCCCTATTCTTTGAGTCTTGCAGGTCGGGCGAGTATCAAGGGACCTCCTAGCTTGTGCTTGAATGCAACCTCTACTTGCAGGTTACCTCGTGCGTGCCAGTCTTGCAGCAGCAGCAGCAGAGTACCAAGAGGGCTCGTCGAGGATGAGGATGTTGTACGCCGAGAAAGAAGGAGACTGGCGGATATCTCTTGGATGGATGGACTTTGTGCTCCTCTCTTGCTTCCCTGCCTACAAGTCAGGAAGCGGAAAGGGGCGCAGGGCAGGGCAGCAGCAGCCGCCAAAGTGTTGTTTGGGTGAAATAGGGGCCGCCGCACAACACGCGCGGAGCTTCAACACACACACGCAACACACACACACACGCCCACGCCCACGCCCACGCCCACGCGCAGGGCGCCAGGCGCGGAATGCAAGCAGAGAAGGAGCGCGCCGGGGAACAGGGAGTGAATGACAGGCAGGCATAGAAGGTCAATCGACTTGCTGCCATCAGTTAACAGGGTGGTCATGGCGGTCAAGCGGCGATGGTGACAGTAGGTACAAGACACAAAGATTCATGATTGAAGTGGCATGGCATTGTATTGTATCGCAGATAGGCAAGGCAGGCAGACAGGCAGGAAGCACACATAACGCCCACCTGACTGACTGACTGACTGACTGACAGGGCGACTGACCCAGCATAACGGTGGAGGTTGGCCGGGTCGCAATCTATTCCACAGCTTCAACAGCCACTCCCCACTTAGACCTTCATCGCACCCACTCCATCCTCCACCTCTCCCAACCCCACCGTCTCTCCAGTGACTGCACTCTTCTTGAGCAACTTTGTCACTTTACCAATTCCAATGGTCCTGCCTTCATCTCGCACCGTAAATCGTCCCAATTGTGGGTAATCTGCAAAGCGCTCGATGCACACTGGCGCCGTAGTCTCGATGAGGGCTACAATCTTCATGCCCTTTCGAGCAAATTGCGGGGGCTTCCTACTCTTCTTGCCCGTCTTCTTGTCATAGTAGTGCAATAGAGCAGGAATGGTAATCTCCTCTGAAAGAGTGTGCACGTGCATCACTGCCGAGTAGCCAGCAGCGATGATGTTCCTGTGCTCCAGAATGGCAAGCTGGGCCTCGAATTGCGTCACTACATTCACCGGCTTCGCCGGGTCGGTGAGAACGTAGCCTACATTGACGTCTTCCGAGTCGATGCCCTTGATCTTGATCCTGACATTGTCTCCCGAAATGGCCGCTGGCACCTCCTCTTCTTGCTCATTGAAAATGCCCACCACTTCAACACTCGTACGGTTGGGCATCAGCAGCAGAGAGTCACCACGCTTCAGCTTTCCACTCTCCACTTTGCCCACAACGACCGTACCCATGTCGGCGTACTTTTCGCTGATGGGCATCTTGAGCGGATCATTGATCTTGCGGTCGCCCAGAGAGAGGTCGTCCAGATACTCGAGGAGAGCAGGACCTTCGTACCAGCTGCAGACCTCCTTGGGCACGCGCTCCTTGAGGTTCTGACCAGCATAGGCAGAGACGGGAATGAAGACCACGTCCGTCTTGGGGTTGAAACCAGATCCCCTCAAGAAGGGCGTGAGCTTGCCGGTGATCTCATTGTACCTCGACTCCTCCCAGTTCACCGTGCCCTCGTCCATCTTGTTGATGACGACAATCAGACGCTGCACACCGGCCGTCTTGACCAGCATCACGTGCTCTCTTGTCTGTCCACCCTTTTCGAATCCAGTCTCAAACTCTCCTCGTCGAGCCGAGATGACCAGGATGGCCACATCGGCCTGAGCGGCGCCGGAAATCATAGAGGGCACAAAGGTCTTATGACCTGGAGCATCAAGGATGGTGTACCGCCTCTTGCCAGTCTCAAAGTATGCTCGTCCCACCTCGACCGTCTTTCCCTTCTCCCTCTCCTGAGGAGTCGAGTCCAACGCCCACGAGAGGTACCAGCTCTCTCTTCCGGCATCCTTTGCTTCCTTTTCGTACTTCTCCAGAGTACGCTTGTCAACCATACCAGTGAGGTACAGGAGGTTACCACCCATGGTCGACTTTCCAGCATCGACGTGTCCGATGAAGACGACGTTGAGGTGGGACTTCATGTCCTCGGCCTTGTCACCGAACAAGTCCTTGAGTGTTTCTTCATCCGTCACCTGCTTGGCCTCGGCGAGAATCTTCTCAGCGTCCGTCTGCGACTTTTCGACCTTTGCCTCTACCTTGGCAGACTGTTTTGCGCTCTTTCCTCCCGTCTTTGTTGGGGTGGTAGAGGAAGTGCTGCCGGTGGCATTGGGAGTAGGGGAGGCAGGCCGAGCAGTAGCAGGAGCATCGCCAGCAGATGGAGCAACGGCGTCTGCAGGAGCAGCTTCTTCGGCCTTGATGCTAGCAACGGCAGCAGCAGGAGCAGGTTCTGCATTGTCAGTGTCAGCAGGAGGGGTAGGCTTGACCTCATTCTCGGCGCTAGGCTTGGCTGCTGCTGCTGCTGCCGGAGCTGCAGCTTTGGCTGATGAACCACCAATGGAGATGCTGACGGGCTTCTTGTCGGCTGGTGGGGCAGCAGCAGCGGCGGCAGCGCCACCACCACCGCCGCCAATGCTGATGCTGACTGGCTTGCGGGGAGCGGATGAGGATGCAGATGATGTGCTTCCTCCGAGCGAGAGGGAGACGGGCTTTCGAGCTTCGCCGTCGGCATTGGTGGCCGAGGGTCTAGGGGGCAGCCCACTGCCAGCGGGCTTCGGGGCGGGGGCAGCAGCGCTTTGTTGTGGCCTTGGAATACCCCTTTGTTGCTGCTGCTGCTGTTGCTGAGGGTATCCCCCATATCCTCCGCCTACGCCGACACCAGCTCCGCCTTGCTGGGCAGGCTGCTGCTGCTGCTGCTGCGATCCAAATCCAGCATAGTATCCTCCACCGACTCCAGCTCCTGCGCCAGCCTGTGGAGGTTGGCCATAGGCAGATCCATAGTAGCCACCTCCCTGTTGCTGGGGTTGCTGCTGGTAGTAGGGAGCCTGACCACCTTGGGCGCCGTAGCCCTGGTTGTAGTAGGCATTGGGATCCTGCTGATATTGACCTTGCTGACCCTGCTGCCCTTGCTGGGGAGGGGCAAAGCCCTGGGCAGATGGGTTGAAGGCGAAGTTGCGGGCGTTGGGATTCATGCCCGGAGAGGTGGGATGGGATGCGGAAGGGGGGAGAGAGTGCGATGAGACGAGGAGATGGTAGTGGCTGGATGTATGCGTATGTATGTGTGATGAGCCTTCCCTTGTGTGACTGATCCTCTCTGGTGGGTAGGAAGGATGTGCGTACCGTCTGCTCCTCCAAATTCTTCGACGACGATTGGCGAAAATGGCCGGGCGGCGAGCGACAGTGGCTGGGCAGGCAGGCAGGCGGGCGGGCAGCGACTCGCGCGCACAAGGACACTGTCTGGCCCTGGCCGTGGCTGCCAGCCCTCGCGTGCGTGCGTGCGTGTGCGAGTGTGCGGTGGTCCGAGAGCGACTCAGTCAGTCATTCCACTCACGCCCAAAGTCATCCTACCAGTCACCACTACTCTCATACCACGACCAACTCCACACGCCATGTCCGCCCGTAAACCCCCAGCAGCAAGGACACAATCTGGCCAAGCATCGTCGTCATCCTCCTCCTCCAGCCCAGCCATCTCCGGCAAGGTCTCTTCTGCAGCATCCTCGTGAGCGAGAGCGAGCACACATCACCGCCTTGCCCTCCCCTGCACCGCTACTGACCCTTCCTTTTTCCTCGGTCCTTTTCCCAACACTACAGCAACAACAACCCCATTCCCGCACTCTACAAGGCCTACTCTGAATCCACTCCTCCTAGACACAAGCTCATCGATGCCTTCCTCGTATTCTACATCGTGGCAGGAGTGATCATCTTTGCTCATGGCTTGCTCGTGACCACTTTCCCTTTCAATAGCTGGATTGCTGCGTGAGTAGGAGGAGAGGAATGGTGCAAAATCGAGCAGAAAGGGAAAATATCTCTCAAGAAGGCTTGCCGTCGCTGTACCGTAGGGAAGAGTCCATCTTCTGACCCCCCTCCTTCTCCCCACCTCCTCTCCCCCCATTCCTCACACCCCACCCCTCATCTAGTTTCATCTCCACCGCTGGTCAATTTGTCCTCCTCGCTTCTCTCCGTATCCAAACTACTCCTACAAACCAAGGTGATTTCCCCAAGATTTCACCAGAGAGGGCATTTGTAGATTTCCTCTTTGCGAGTGTTATACTGCACTTTTTCGTGGTGAATTATTTGCAGTAGAGAGTAGAGAGGACGGGGGGACGGGGGAGGGGGGAGGGAGAGGGAGGAGGGTGAGGGGAAAAGAGGAGGTGAGGGGTACTCCACGGCCGATAGTAGGGCGCTACAACTACTACCGATGTAGATCTAGTCGATGAAGTTCTTCTTCGCACACACATACACACACTTGCGGCATTCTAGCCAATCAAAATTTGTTCATAGCTACTACAGATGGACGGACAACAGCGCCCCGCTCAGATCAGGTCGCCTACTACCGATTACATCCACAATCGCCCAGCTGATCTCACCCAGCCCAGTCCATATCAAGCGGATCAAGACTACTGGAAGCCGCCCCTGCCCCTGCCCCTGGCCCGTGGGTCTCCTGCTCGATACTTTCACTTGCTCGGCCAAAGAGGATGGCGAGGTCTCTCTGGGTCTCTAGCGCCTGCTGTCGTGACCAGAAATTCGCTCCGACATGCTGCTGCTGCTGTGCAGCACGCAGAGGGAGAGCAGACCGTGTCATCATGCCCGTGCCCGTGCCGGTCTGTGAAGTGGCGGAAGAGTCATCCCTCGTCTGATTCGAAAGTGCGCCCTGTGTCAGTGCTGCTGACCTCTTGTCCGGCAGCCTTCCAACCACCAACGGCGCTTGTGTACCGCTAGCGCCTGCTACTCTCCCCGGTCCCGGTCGGATCGACAAAAAGTCCAGGTCGTCAAAAGAGCTGTTGCTATAGACAGAATGAGATGTAGACCCGGAGTTCGTCCTGCCCTCTAGCTGCAGTCTGCCAAATGGCCCTCGGCTTGTGAATCGTGTCGCCGTCGTGGCCGAGGGCAGGCGCTGTGGAGGCTCAAACAGCTGAGGAGCGGTACTTTCGAGAGTCCGTTGCAGCATCACGGCAAAAGGCTGGCTGTGCTGCGAGCTGTGTGGCGTGAGCCACTCGACCAATTCGCTCCCCTGCCTGCTGCACAGGGAGATTGGACCGGACACTATCCCATCACCGTGACCTTCGTCCTCGGCGGAATGGAAGACGTCTTCCTCGCTGTAGGCTTGCTCCGCCAGAAGCTCTGGCTCTCCGATGTCTCGTCTCTCCAGGTAGAGTTGGGACGGGGGACGCATCGAACAGAACGTATCGTCCACCTTCATGTCATCCACGAGCTCTTGACTGTCCAGATGACTCAGAAGACGCCGTGACATCCGGCGATACGGCGTCGCAGCTCTGGGAGCACTGTACAACAGCACGTCATCGCTACTTGCCTGCCACTGGGCGTTGTCATGCTCTTCGCGTGGGGGGTCAGAGGAGAAGGAGCGATTTCGCTCGTCGACTGCTTCTTTGATGTCTTGCCATGCCGCGCGACCAGCGAAGATCGTAGAAGCAGCAGCCGCGGTAAAAGGTCGAGGACTGCCTACTTCTTCACCACTTTGTGCCTCTTCTTCATTCTCATCTATGGTGCAAGGTCCGCTAGCTGGGTAAGAGCGCGACTCAGAAGGGCTCGATGAGTCATGCCCCTCAAGATTGGTGCCCAGCTGGTGGTCTTCTGACTGTCCGTGTGCAAGAGGCACGTCCGCCAATTGTAGAGCACCGAGACCCATTGAGTTCAGTTCAGCGGAATTGCGTTGAGGGCTCGAGGTCAAGACTCGTGGCGTATGGGTAGTGGTAGACGCAACTCCCTTCAATGAGGTCATAGGATCTGATGAGAATCTCTGCAGAGCCATCTCCTCAACGCTACAGCCCGCAAAAGTATGAGCACGATGCGACACGTCGACTGTGCTCGTGAGGTGGTGTTGAGGCCTGGTGTGCTGCAGTCGCCAGCCATTGGCCAGATCAGCTAGATCGAGGCGGCTCGGCAGTGGGTCTGGTGCAATAGGTGTATGCAGGCTGGTGCCAGCTTGGTTTTGCTGATGGTTGTCGAATAGCGGCGCATCTGCGCTCATGCCGTCAGCAGCGGGTGCTTCTGGGTCTCCGTCGTCTCTGTGCAGGGCCAAGCCATTCAATGCCAGTCCTCGGTCTTCCTTCGGGGACGTCCAAGCCGAGCCCCGCCAGCGCGACACCTCTGAAGGCGCTTGCTCTTGTGCGCTATAGCTTGCAGCGTTCTCTGTGCCAATGCGCTCGTGTCGCTCTTCCGTGCGCTCCTGCTGCACCTCGCCTCTCCTGTATCGCGCCTGGTGCCCTTGCGGCGAAGAGTCGCCCTCGAGACTGGCTCGCAAGGCTTCCTCGTCTACTGCATTGCCAATCAGCTTACGTTTGTGTGAGCTTCCAGTCTTTGCAGGCTTGACACGCACATCGAAGTAGATGCTGTCGTCCGAGCCATTGACAACAGCCGTCTGGCCCCTCTTGTTCGGCGGTAGCTCTCGAAGCACTTGGGTCACTGCGGCCTCCCTTGCGACTTTGTCGGCTTGCTTCGGAGTGGCTGCTCGATCTCTATGGCCAGGTGACTTGCAATTAGCAGAGCTGTCACTCTGTCTCCCCTTTCGACTCTTGCTCCCTCTTGGCTGGGCTGCCTCCGCCTCAGTGGGACGGGCCTCACGAGCTTTGCTCTTCTCACTGTGCTTCTGCTGAGCTTTTGCCTTCTTTCTTCGCACTTTCGAATACTCCGAAAGACCTGATTGCTCTGAGCCAAATTGGCTACCTGCGCGGTCAGCATCAGCTCCGATCATCCCTTCAGAAGAGCCATCGTCCTCGGCTGGGCCATCGGGACTTGTCAAGAGGTTGCGATGTCGGCCAGCGGCGAGCAATGTTCTTTTGCGTCTGCGTCCGTAGTGAGGTCTTGCCTTTGTGAGGTCTGTGCTGTCACGGGCCTTCTTATGATCGTTCGAGCGGTACTGAAGCCTATCATCGGTGACCTCATCCTCATCCGCAGAGTCCTGTGTGAGGAAATTGCTTCCATCGTCTCCAGACTCGTCGTCGACCTGAGATGACAGTCTCTTGCGAGGTCGGCGCTTTCCAGCGCTGGTTGCAGATTTGGGCTCGATGCGGCTTTCTCGGTTCTGCTTTCGTGAGTCACCTCTCGTTTCATGACTCTCTGGGTCTGCGCTATCCTCGTCCGTATCAAAGTCTGGACTTTGCTCAGTCTGCAGAAATCGAGTTTCGCAGAAAGCCCGCTGCCCTGCTTTCGTGTGCGTCTTGCCACTTTTGGCTCTTCCACTGGCCTTGCCGCTGACCTTGACCGGAGCAGAGGCAGCTCCTTTGGAGAAGAGACCCCGCTTGACGCGGCCGTCCGTCTGGAGGTACGCAGGAACCGTGAGCGGAGGTAGCTGTGAGGGTCCAGCTTGTCTCAATCTCTGACTCACTGTTGTCATCCTTCCCGATCCCAGCCTGCTCACAGGCTTATACGCCTCCATTGCCAGTACAGCCTCTCTGAGCTTCTTGTTTTCTTTAGTGACTCCCCTGACAGTCGTCCTACCGTTCTCGACAATGTTCTCCTTGTTACTCTCTTTGCTCTTCTTGTCCTGGGCTCGAGCTCTGCTCCGCAAGCGCGCTGATACTGGACGAGAGCGATCTTGCACAACGAGGGCTTTCTCGCGACGTCGATTCTTACGCTGTTCGAGACCTGCAAGGATGTAGGGTTGATGACGGCGTGGGTCAGAGATGATCGTACGAGGCCCCATCCGTGCTGGTAGACTCACGCTTGGCTGTCTCCTCTAGCTCCAGCATGGGCTCCGGTATGGCCTTGCTGGTGCTCGCTCTTCGTAGTCCCGCCTTCTTGTCCTGCAGAGCACCTCGCGCCCTCTTTTTGACCTTGGCTATGTCTAGGTCTGATCTCTCACTCAGAGCTGAAGCGGAGAGTCTGGGCTTCTCGTGTGATGGGAGATTGACGGCTCGCTCCTTCAAGATCGGACTGCTGCTAAGCTGCTGGTCCATCCTCGAGACGGACGGGCTGGGCGGGGTAGCGGGTAGAGGAAATGATCCCGACCTTGAACCTGGTCGTCCTTGTACGGATGCTTCTCCCTGATCATTGTCGAAGAGTCGATCTTGAGTATTTCTCATAGGACTCAGAGAGGGCGGTCGGACTTCGCGAACGAAGTTCCCCTGGTCAGCGATGAAGCTGAGAACCTGTAGATTGTGTGGGGCCTCGGGGATTGCGGCGAGCTTGGTGGGTGTGAGTGGGAGGGTGGTGGTCATCGTGGGCTTCACATCTCAGGGAGAGAGCGCAAGGGGGCAGGTGGTGAGTGGGAGGGGAGGGCGGAGAAGAACAGTAGCCTCGCACAGACGGACGCCGGAGCGACGACGTCCTGAGAGCAATCGCACATCCCTTCTGACTCGCGGCAGCGGCGTCGCCCGGCAGAATAGATGAAGCGCTTCCCGCCGCACACCAGCCGCCTCAGAAGGTAGCGCCCGTTGGTAGACCATTGTCAGGACCATATGATCATCAGTGTAGCAGTCTACTTTGTGTTGATTGCCCCCCTTCTTGGCTTTTACCTAGTATTCCTCATCTTGATCGATCGAGGTGTTGGCCTGCGGGTAGAGAGAGTGGAGCTCCCCACCCACCCATGCACTCGGCCTGGCTGCCACCTGGGCCACGTGGTTTACTTCCCGCTGGAATGCCTCGGCGTCACTGTGCACGCACCCGCGGAAGATGGCCTGGGTGCATCGATCGAGGGCAGCAGCAGCAGCAGCCAGGCACTCAGAAGCCGCACCGCACCCATCAGAAGCTCACCCGACCCCATTCATCGAGTGTTTCATTGCACCTCCAAGGACCTTCCTAGCACTCCATCGACTTCATCTGGACACGTACACAACTCCTCATCCCTACAAGGCGTACGGCAGAGCCAGACATCACTCATCCCGTCCCCGCAAGGTCTGCCGCATCTGCTTCCCGAGGTCCGTTTGCGTATCTTGCCTTCTCGCAGCAACCCCAAGTCCCCAGCATGGCTCCCACACCTTCTTCCTCCTCGGCCTCTACAGGCAGCGGCCCAAATGCACTCGATTCGGCCCTCACCTCTATTCGTACCTCTCTCGCTCTCCCCACCACTTCTCTCAATCTCCTAGTGCAACGCTTCGTCACCCTCATGGACCAAGGCTTGGCAGAAAAGGGCGCAGATATGGCCATGATCCCTGCCTTTGTCACGGGTGTGCCCGATGGGACAGAGACGGGGACTTACCTCGCTTTGGATCTTGGGGGAACAAATCTGAGAGTGTGTGAGGTGAAGCTAAAGGGAGATGGGACCTTTGATATCACCCAGGAGAAGTACAAGGTGTGAGTACAAGACGTGCGCGAGACAGCTGGGGAATTGAAATACTTCGGGAGCTCACCTTTCACTGTCTCATATCTTACGCTCTCCAGCTCCGATGCACTAAAGCAAGGTCCCGTAAGCGATCTGATGGAATACATTGCCCAGTCCGTCGACGTCTTCCTCACAGACTACGGCTCTTCCTCAGACCAAGATGTCCTCAACATGGGCTTCACCTTTTCCTTTCCCGTAGAGCAAACGGCCATCGCAAAAGGCACCTTGATCAAATGGACAAAGGGTTTCAACTGCCCCGACGCACCTGGAAAGGATGTAGTGCAATTGCTGCAGACGGCTTTGGATAGGAAGCATATCAAGGTCAAGGTGAATGCCCTAGTCAATGATACCGTCGGCGCTCTTCTAGCCCATTCGTACCATAGTGGAGGAGCTTTCATTGGAGCCATCTACGGAACGGGAACCAATGGAGCTTATGTAGCCAATGTAGAGGAAGTGAAGAAGTTGCACTTTGGTGAAAAGGGATCAGGAGCTGATGCCAATAGGCCAAAGAAGATGTTGATCAACACAGAATGTGAGTAGAAGCGCGGCAGAGAGAGCAAGGTGATCTTCACCAAGGTACTGTAGACTGACCTCGACGCTTCATTCTGGCCTCTGCGTTTTCGTTCTACAGGGGGAGGATTTGACGACGATGCTCAATCCCGGCCCAGCGGCACAGGTCTCACCATCACTCCCTGGGACAACTACGTGGACCGCACCTCGATCCGTCCCCGTCATCACGCCTTTGAGAAGATGATCTCCGGAATGTACCTTGGCGAGGTAGCTCGGGCGATCATGGTCTCCCTCATCGATCGGCTCCTCCTCTTCAGTGGGTGGAGCTCACCAGCAATGGATACTCAGTACGGGTTCGATACTGCACTCATATCTGCCATTCAGGGGGACAAGACAGAGGCTAGCGATGCAAAATCGGCAACACGAAAGGCACTCGTGGGGACAATGGGGATCAAGGAGGAACATGTATCGGATTTGGACGTGGAGACTGTACGGACAGTCTGCGACCTGGTCGCTCTGCGCGCTGCAAGACTCTCTGCTGTGCCCATTGCAGCAACGATTCAGCACACCAAGCAAGCGCAAGAAGTGGGATCCGAAGGGAAAATCAAGGTCGGTGTGGACGGATCTGTAGTGGAGTACCTGCCTGGGTTCCAAGACCGGATGAAGGCGGCCCTGGTGGAGATGCTGGGAGAAAAGATTGGAGAAAAGGTAGTCTTTGGATTGGCAAAGGATGGTAGTGGAGTAGGAGCGGCACTCTGTGCTCTGCAAGCAGTCAAGCAAGAGAGGGAAGGTCACGTCATTGTGTGAGTGAAAGAAGGATACAGAAAATCGTCGATGATGCAGTGGCAGCTTTACTGATTCATGCGAGTCCTTCTTGACCGTCCTCTTCCATTACCAGCGCAAAGTGAAGGTCCACCCGTCATCAATCTCCGCATGTCGTGTTGTCTCTTCGTCCATGATAACTTCGACCAATGTCAATACGTGTATGGAAACTGAGCTGATACAGAGCTGTTAACTTCTTGCGAAGAAGATTGACAGCTCAGCTACCCGGGACTCTACCGCGCTCGATTGGCTGACCAGGCTCAGTGTCGTTGCCGAACTTAAGTGTAAGTACGGGCATCGTTCCTATTGTTGTGAGATGGCACCTGCTGCAACAATGCGAAGTGCGTGTGCGGATTCAAAAGCCAGCAGCATAAGCAAGAGGGACACGCCTCGTTGATTGGCCAGTCGAGTGTCTTGTTTGAGTCTGCACCAAGGACAACGAAGGAATGGCACGTACCCAATGTGCCAGAACTGCCAAAGGGCTTGGGAAAGGTTGTATGGTAGGGATTTGTAGAGGGTAGTACGCTCGAAGAAGCGAATGCTTGGGTAGGAATGAGGTAGAGGATACGATAAAGGGAACCGATGATGGCGGAGGAGAATGAGGACGCGATGACGAAAGGAGGGGAGGAAATCGAGCAAGAGACGAGAGGGCGCTCTGCGCTTCGACTGAGCACCCGGTCTGCTCCGGCGAGGGGCAAGCAATATACAGCGCCAGTGCGTGCGCTTTGCTGGGCCTGTAGTCGTGCCTGCTGCCCTGACCTTGGTTAGACCGTGACGATGCAGGGTCGTCAGCTGAGCTTGCGTTTGTGATGGATCGTATTGGCGTCTTTGCAGCTGAGACTTACCAACGTGCCTGCATCAGTCTGAGCTGTTTGACGAGTCACCGCATGGTCTCAAAATTTCGAGAAGAGAACCCAGAACAAGTCAGCATTGTACAGCCAGGAGGCTATGATTGATCGAAGTACAGCGAGGATTCTGTGAGTGCTCGTAACCCCCTTATGAGCGTCAGCCATCGCCGAGGCCAACGGGTACCTACAATCGTAAGTTGTAGCTTTCGGTGCAGGTAGATGCGCATGGGCCACTGCCAATTTTCGCCCCTTTCCTCTGCGCGGGAAGAATTGCCATGCCAGACCAATGGCCAGATTTTTTGGGCGTGGAGCCTTTGCAGATTTCGCACTTCCGTCTGAACACCTTCCTGCCTCCACCATCCACTCCCTCTCACAACAATGCCTCTTCCTTCGCTCGAGAAAGCCCCGAAGGCAACAAGCAACAACTCGGCGGCGAAGCGCAAGGCTACTACGGTGGCTGATGCTGACGGGGACGTACCACTGGCCGCCGCCGGCGCAGATGCAACAGGAGGAGATGACTCTGACTCAGGCGACTCGGATGCATCCGAGGACCCCACCTTCATCAATGTCGATTTCGACTTCCGTGCTCCTGCCGAGGTAGATGAGGCTGCGCTGAGACGGCTACTGAGACAGCTCTTTCACACACACGCCAATGATCTTGAGCTGTACAAAGTCAGCGAGGAGATGATTAGGCTGGCTGCTGGAAATCAGGTGACTGGGGAGGGTGGCATGGGGACAGTGATCAAGGTCGAGGGAGATGAAGACCAAGCGCCTTTTGCCTTTGTCACTGGTATCGAACTGAATGTGAGAGTTGGCAGAGGCAGAGATGCAGATGGGGTCTTGGCGATTGCATCCTTGACTGATCTTAGCCTCTTTTCCACCCTCCTCCACAGCAACCAAGCAACGCAGCTTCCTCTCTCTTGACAACGTATCTGGCTTCTCAACTACCGGCCACTTCTCCCATTTCTTCTGTCCTCTCATCGTCATCCACCTCGTCTCCCGCCTCCAAGCCCTGGCTGTTCCTGCACGAGCGCTTCATCAACCTACCAGCACAAGTGGCTCCACCCCTCTACCGTCTGCTGACCGAGGAGATCATCGCCTCGATGAGCAGCAGCGGTGCTGGAGAGCCCAGCCATGCCGTCTTCTTCGGCCGCGTCTTCAGCAAAGAGGCCTACTCTGATGACGAAGACGAGCCCATGAATGGACCAGGTGGGGCTGCAGAGGATGACGAGGATAAGCCAAGGGGTATGAAGGGAGCTAAGAGGAGAAAGGGGATCACCAAGAAGGCGAAGCTGCCGGTGAACAAGGGAGAGAGGAGAGACTGGGGCTACTTCCGGCCAGAAGATGAGCTGCTTGAAAAGGTGAGTCTGAGCGCCCTTGCGGGGATGATGCGAGAAGCTCAACTAGGCGTTTTTCGCTGATCACATCCTTTCCCTTCCATGATGGTCCACAGCACGCCTCGCACACCCACACGTATCGTTTTCCCCCGCCGCAAAATGCTGAAGACTCGTACGAGTCGCCCTTGTATGGGCGCATCGTGCTAGTGGAATGGGAAAAGGTCAAGAGCGGGGCTCTGTGGGATCAGCTCGAGCGGGAGCTGACGGTGCAGGCCATGGTTGCCGAGCAGCAGTAGCTGAGAAAGCCGGACTGTCAGGCGAATGAACGAGGGCAGTGGTTGAGTGACCTAGCTATCTACCTATCTGAGTGTGCAATGCAATCTGTGTCACTCTGTGTTGCCCTTTCCTTGCCTTGCCTGATCGATGAGCCGATTGTACCTCGCAGCAGCACCCAGTGTCGGAGTTGAGGGGTCAAATTCACGGAGACCTGTCTGTCTGCCTGTCTGTCTGTCAATCGGGACTGTCCGTCAGTCTGAGTGAATGTCACGGAACCGCGGCGCCCAATGGCCTCGCTTGAGTGTTTCCCGCTTCTTCCCCGCATCAGCACACTCGGGCGGAATGAGGGACGAACCCCCGTCGGCATGGCGTGTTGGGTTGCAAGTGTTTGTGCCGCGCCGCTTCGCCCCTCGTTCTTGCCTTGTATGGGAGGCGACATGCAAGGCGTCAGATCAGACATGCACAAGGTAACATGCACGCACATGCACACACCAACACTCACCCAACAGCCTCCAGGACAAGTAACTCCTCCCGCACAGCCCCAGCTCCCCTCACTCTCCACAATGGTAGACGTCTGCGCTCGCTCCTCCTCTTCTTCCCTTACCCCTTCTCTTCTTACATCTCCTCACAACGCATCGTCCCCGCCTTTCTCTCCTCTTCCCTCATTCTTTGTCCTGCATCGTATCTGGGGAAGCGCAAAGACAAGCCACACGGCGATAGCTCCTTCCTATAGTTGCTCCTTTCTCCCTTTCTCTCTTTCTGATACCACTACCACCTCCGCACCACACTCGAGAGTGGTAGCGTGATACTACCGCTCGTTGGACCTTTCCTCCTTCTTCCTCCGACCTCAATCTTCGCCCCTTTCTCTAGCCAACTCGCTTCCCCCGCGTCAAGATGAGCTACCCAATGCGCAACAATCCAGCAGCCCGCAGAAACGATGGCAGCAGCAGCAATGGCGCCCACAGTATGGACAGCAGGTCTGCCAGTGGCGGCTACAACAACGGCGGGAGCAGCAGGAGAATAGATGGCTCCCAAGGTCACGGGTACGGGCAACCTCCGGCTTCAACCTACCAAGTCGGAGCTTTTACAAACGGAACTGGGTACGCCTATGGCACTGGCAATGGCGGACATCACCCACTGCAGTACACTCATGAGCCTTACAATGACTCTACAGTGTCCCTGAATGCTCCTGGCGCCCTCTACGTAGACGCAAACAACTCAAGCTACGACCAAGGCTTCCTGAATCCCTCTACACCTCCCACAACATACGAGCATGACGATGAAGAAGCCAAGGTACCATTTGCCCAATCCATGGACAAGCCCTATCCCGCGCCGGGCAGCTATCAACTCCATGATGCCGCACTGCCCGTCGTGGGGCTGCCCCCGCAGCAGACGCCGCATCAGCCCTTTACCCCTCGCGCTGGCTTCCCGCCCCATAACACTCCTCGCATCAACAACTTTGGCTCACACGACCAGGCTTGGGTACAACGTCAGCAAGGTCCTAAGCGTGGTCTGACCCGCAAGGTCAAGCTCACCCGAGGCAATTGGATCGTCGAGCACCGCGTTCCTACTGCTGTCAAGAACGCAACCGAGGCCAAGTGGTCTCAGGGCTCCAACACGACTGAATTCACCCACATGAGGTACACAGCTGCGACGTGCGACCCTGATGACTTTACACCGCAAAATGGTTGGACCCTGCGGACTAACACCCAGTACCAACGCGATACAGAGCTACTCATTGCAATCACCTACTACAATGAAGATCGTGGCCTACTCGCGCGTACACTGCACGGTGTGATGATGAATATCCGCGATATTTGCAAGTCCAAGTCGTCTAAATTCTGGAGACGGTCCGCCGAGGAGGGCAGACCGGGATGGCAGAGGATCGTCGTCTCGCTCATCTTCGACGGCATTGATCCATGTGACAAGGAGGTGCTCGACTTGCTGGCCACAGTGGGCGTCTATCAAGATGGAGTCATGAAGAGGCAAGTCGACGGGAAGGAGACGATCGCTCACCTCTTCGAGTACACGACACAGCTGTCTGTAGATCCGACGCCTGCCCTCATTCAGCCGCATGGCGATGATTCCGCCAATCTAGTGCCGGTGCAGATGATCTTCTGCCTCAAGCAACGCAACACGAAGAAGATCAACTCCCATCGATGGCTTTTCAACGCCCTTGGGCGTCAGTTGCAGCCAGAGGTCTGCATTCTCATCGATGCTGGAACCAAGCCCGGGTACAAGTCACTCTACTACCTCTGGGAAGCCTTCCACAACAAGCCCAATCTCGGTGGTGCCTGTGGTGAGATCCACGTGATGCTCAACAAGGGCAAGAAGCTCATCAATCCGCTCGTGGCAGCTCAGAACTTTGAGTACAAGATGTCCAATATCCTCGATAAGCCCCTCGAGAGCAGCTTCGGCTACGTCTCTGTCCTGCCAGGTGCCTTTTCTGCCTATCGCTACAAGGCGATCCTGGGTCGACCACTTGAACAGTACTTCCACGGTGATCACACCATGGCTGATCGTCTGGGCAAAAAGGGTCTGCATGGCATGGGCATCTTTACAAAGAATATGTTCTTGGCCGAAGACCGTATCCTGTGCTTTGAATTGGTGGCCAAAGCCGGCGACAAGTGGACCCTCACTTACGTCAAGCCCTCAAAGGGAGAGACGGACGTGCCCGAAGGTGCTGCTGAGCTGATCTCCCAGCGTCGACGTTGGCTGAACGGCTCTTTTGCAGCGTCCATCTACGCTTCTGTGCACTTTTTCCGCATCTACAAGTCCAACCACGGCGTGGTTCGCCTCTTCTTTTTCCACGTTCAGGCAATCTACAATATGCTCGTCCTCCTCTTCTCCTGGTTTGCACCTGCAAGTCTATGGCTCACATTCTCCATCATCATCGAGTTCCTCCCGGATCTTCTCTTGGCAAATTCAAGCACGACGGTGTTGACTATCCTGCACTGGGTGAACCTGGTGCTCAAGTGGATCTACGCCGCCTTTATCGTCCTGCAATTCGTACTGGCACTAGGCAATCGTCCAAAAGGTGAAAAGACGACGTACATCATCTCCTTTATCGTCTTTGGTATCCTCGGCGTGTACATCATGACCATTTCCCTCTGGCTCACCATCAAGGCCTTTATAGCCGCAGACGTCAATTCCTGGGCTGCCCTCTGGCATCTATTCACCTCTGCACAGACAGCAGTCTTGATTGCTGCGCTGACAGCCACCTTTGGAGTATACCTCATCGGCTCTCTCCTCTTTGCCGATCCATGGCACATGCTTCACTCTTTCCCTCAATACCTCTTCCTCGCCCCTTCCTTTATCAACATCTTAAACGTCTACGCCTTTTGCAACTTGCACGATGTATCCTGGGGAACAAAGGGAAGCGATAAAGCCGATGCGCTCCCTTCTGTTGACACGTCCAAGAAGAAGGGGAGCGGAGGGGACGATGCAGCGGGGACCGTCGAGGAAATCGAACGAGAGCAAGCCGACATCGATGCTACTTTCCGTGAAGTAGTGTCTCGGGCTGTAGCTCCTCTAGATACAGGTGTTGAAGTAGCACGTGAAGAAACAACAATGGACGATTCCAATCGTACCTTTCGAACAAGGCTGGTAGCCTTTTGGCTCCTCTGTAACGGTGCACTCATTGTAGCCATTGAAAACATCAATGGTCTCAACACAGGACAAACACAGACGGAAATTAATGAAGAACAGCACGATAAACAGACCATCTTCTTTCAAGCAGTCCTCTGGGGAACATTTGGTATTACAGCATTCAAGTTCTTGGGAGCATTGTGGTTTTGGACCATCAGGCAGAGTACGAGGTGCTTTAGAAAGACGTGAAAAGGGAAAAGGGGGAGGGGGTCGGGTTGAGGCCAGCCATGGACCTGGTGGCCTCATCGTACATCTCGACTCTGTTGTACTGCTTTCACTCTCCTCTCCCCACTAAGCCTCGCTCACCGGATCGTATCGTATCGCACACACGCACGCAGGCGTGCCTAGCCCCTATCCCATGGACCTTGTCTTTCTGTCTACATGTACATCGACATCAACTTCAACTCGCAACCTCGATGCTCCCTGCTCCCTGCTTCGTGTTCTGTGCTCTGTGCTCCGTGCTCTGTGCTCCCTGCTTCGTACTCTCTTCTCCTTCTGAACTGGTAAAACCTCGTCGCCTGCTCCCCCTCACCCGAATCTTGTACGGGTCCATTGGCCGTCGGCCGTCGGCCGTCGGCCCTTCGTCGTACCCTTCCTCCAGTCACTCCTTCCAGCCACTTCAGCCAGCCCGTCAGCCAATCAGTCCTCTTGTGGATCAGTCGGTGATCGATGAACCGCATTCGCATTCGTATTCGCATTCATTCGCATTCGCATTCATATGAGAGAAACAACAAGAGTGATCGTGGAATGGGAAAATCGATCGATCGAGTAAGATCGAAGTATTGGGGAAATCGAGACCGAGGGGCGAGGAACTTGAGATTGAGACTAGAGACTGATAGTAAAAGTGAGAGTGAGAGTGAGAGTGAGAGTGAGGGGGGGGCTTTTGAGATACCAGATACCAGAGGGACAGAGAGACAGAGAGACTGAGGGACCGTGCGGTGTGAGTGGTCGAGGGAGCAAAACAAAAAAGGTGGTCGAAAGGGGGGGCTGAGAAAGGGCCAGAAGTGAAATCGAAAGCGGGTGGGGGTGGGGAAGGGGAGCTCGACGATGGTCAGGAGACTCCAGTAGGGATGTGAGATGCGCCGGGTGGGGCGAAAGGGGAAAGGGGAATGATTGTCCGTTACAAGTAAAGCCGATGTTTCGTTCCTAGAATCGTTGGATTCGAATAAGGAGTGGCTACTTCTTTTCTGCATCTACTGCTCTTCTCTCATCTAATACTAAGGGCCCGCGGTCTCCACGGCCCTACAGCTCATCTCCTTTACTCCTCAGCGTTCCGCACCTGGAGCCGGTTGGCAGACTCGCTAGCAGTGACCGTCGAAGGCACATCCTGGTGGTCCTCGTCGTATCCTGTCGAGTAAGCCAGTCCCTCATTCTCGTGCGACTCGGTAGGCGAAGGGTCACCAAAGACATTGGGGTCCAGCAGTCCCTCGGTCTCGGCGTGTGGGTTGGGCAATACGGGTGGTCCGTCGAATTGCGATGCGCCGTTGCCGTGCTCGCCGCCGTAGGACTGGCCTTGGTTGCCATAGCCGTCGTAGCCACCGTCTGTGTAGCCACCATCACCGTAGCCTCCGTACGAGTCTTGCTGACCGTGGCCCGCACCGTATCCTGTAGCCGCTCCAGCAGCGCCGAAGGTGCTGTAAAGATTGCTTTCCGTCTCACCGCCTGAGCCAGAGTGTCCACCGCTCCATGCACCCTCGCCAGAGTGAGCTCCATTGTAGTAGCCTCCGGCACCGTCGTAGGCATTGGGATCGTGTTGGCCATTGGAAGGGTAGTCAGAGTAGTACTGCTGACCGTCGTGGTCGGAGCTGCCGTAGTTGTATGCACCATAGCCAGCAGCTGCGCCGGCGGCAGCACCACCTGCAGCGGCGGGGCCCCAGGCACCATGGCCTGCCATGCCAGGTCCGGTACCGGCCGACAACATCGAAGGAGCGTATCCGTCATAGTAGCCACCGTGAGATCCAGCGCCGTTGCCGCTTCCAGCACCATAGGATGGGTCCTCGATCATCTCCGGGTCATCATCGTCGAACGGTGTACGTGTTGTCGCAGCAGCAGCGCCGGCAGCGGCCACAACGTCTGCGTCCATGCGCTGGTTCTTCCTCCTGCGGTAGAACATCCACACAATACCCGCAATGATAAAGAGGGCGACGATGCCTACTGCCGCAAAGGTTCCGCCTACTGCACCACTGTTAGCGAAGAAGGTAGAAGTGCTGCTGCCGTCGCCATTGCCGTTGAGCTGACCATTGATAGGTCGAGATGATGTGCTGGTGATGGTGACTGGAGTTTGACCGGCATTGGTCGATACGACTTGTGTGACGACTACGGGCTCGTACGATGTACTGCGCAAGTGGAAGAAAGGTAGCGGGTGTGTCAGCGGCGATACTCTGTGACGCCTTCTGCATACACGCAGCTACTCACGTTGCTGTGGCTGCCGATTGAGAAGCTGCTGCTGCTGCCGCCTGAAAGGGAGAAGACAACGGGAAAGAAAAGGTCAGTATCCCGTGCTCGATCATACTGATGAACGCTGAAGGGGAAAACCGCGACATCGGCGGTGAGGGTGAGGAAAAGTGTTATGTACTGCTAGTGATGTTGAACATCCACTGGCTAGCAAGTCATCGAAGGGGGCGAATGGGTGGTAGGCTTTCGACCAAGCACCCCCCTCTGACGAGTCGGGGAATCGACAACGGGTGAGGGGGAGACGATGGGCAACAGAAAGCTTTCCACGCAAACGACCAGGTTTCTTGACGTCGTGCTGAGGACGAATGACGTCTCCAGCATCTGACAAGAACCATACATCTTGACGACCAACACAACCCAAACCAAACACCAACCGATGAAGAAGACGCGGCGGCCTCGGAGGCCTCGGATGCCACACTCGCGCTTGCAGCAGACGCTGCCGAACTCGATGCTGAAGAGGCTTCTGCCGCTGACAGTGATGAGCTTGAGGCGGCTGCCGCGGCGTCCGACGATGCGGACTGTGATGAGAGCGATGATGAAGATGATGAAGGAGCATCACTTACTGCCGAAGACTCGCTTGCTACAAGGTCAGAGAAGAGGGGTACAGGGGTAGAGGAGGGGGTGGTGAGCTCGGGATGCCAACGATGACTTGGTGGCCCACTGTGCACAAACTCACCTACTGAAGCTGCCGAAGAGGACGAAGCAGCCGCGGCCGCAGAAGAAGCAGAAGCACGGGATGCGGCAGAGGAGGAAGAGGCAGCAGCGGCGGCAGCAGATGATGAAGATGCAGCCGCACGGTTGGACGAAGATGTAGACGACGTCGGTGTGGCGGATGAAGTAGGGGTAGAAGATGTCGTTGATGTTGACGAAGTCGACGAGGAAGATGATGAGGACGACGAAGAGGATGATGAGCGTGTGGAGGATGTTGTTGTGTCAGTGTTGGTCGATCCGGGTGTGGTGGTAGGCATGGTGGTAGTATCGTTTCCAGTAGTAGGAGTAGCCATGGTGTCGGTAGTTCGAGTGGTAGCAGTAGTTGCACCGGTGGTGGGAGTGGAGGACATAAAGTCAGTACTTCTTGTGCTTTCACCTCGGGTTGTAGAGGACGAGCTTGACTCCATAGACGAGGTCGATGAAGATGAGCGCGAACTCGAGGAACTCCTGTCAGACGTCGAAGAAGAGACGATTGAAGAGGAGGAGGAGGACGAGGAGGAGGAAGACGAGGCTGAGGAAGACGAAGATGAATCCCTGCTGCTGCTGCTACTGCTATTGCTACTATCTGGAGTTGTGGATGTGGATGCAGACGAGGAATCCGACGACGACGACGACGACGACCCTGAGGAGGGCGAATCCATCTCGAGTGGGCGGGGCAACGACAACGACGGCTGGGGGACGTCGCGCGGGTCGTAGATTGCCGGGCAGCAGGGCAGAGGGCAGTGTTTGCCTTGGGCCGGCGCAGGGGCGAGGAAACTTCAGCAGCAGCAGCTGCAAAGGAGCCGCTAAGGCGCTTCGGTTCGTCCCGCTCCGCCGCCTGTCTCCGACCGGTGTCAGGAATTCACGCACCAGGACGCGCACCACACACTTGAGAGGCCGGCCGTCTGCAGGTAGCCAGCAACGTCTAGCCCACTAAGGCTCCAAGGCACGGCAAGCCCTGCAAGTGCCCGAGCGGGAGTCGTCGTCAAGGCACCGAAGCCTCCTCAAGCACAATGGCGTCGCAATGCTACTCCGACTGGAGTAGGGTCCTTGCAAATCGAGGCCGATGAACAGGGCCTTCTTTGCCTTCGAGAAGATTCAAAGTGGTAGGACCCTACGTCCGTAGAGCAATGAGATTTCAGAGTGCTGAGTGAGACCTGGCCTCGCCTCGATCGTCTGATGAATTGACGAGGAGGAGGACCCTCAGTGGAACGGCCCAAGTGTTTCCTGGGCGAGAGGAAAGCACAAGATGGGGGGCACCGGGAGAGGGAGGGGGCAGGGCAATGGGATTACGAGGCTAGTCGCCGCGTCCACCCAAGGCCGAGACGCTCTTCTCTGGCCGATTGACCCGAGGCAGACTCTGCTTCACCGGGAGCAGTGACTGGGCGTGCAACGAATGGAATCGTAGAGAGGGCACGATAGGAGGCGGCAGAAGATGATGATGATACGATAGAGGAAGGGAGAGGAAGTGATCTCGTAACGGAGCAATGCAAAGAGGGTTCGAGGCTGGAAAGGAACACAGGAAAGACCATCACGCTCGGCGCGACGAGTCTGATCCGCTTCCAACCCACGGTAGTCTCTTGCCGGCGTATCTGTCGGTCGGTGCTGCCCTTGCAAATCCTCCATCTCGCATGACCTTGCTTGCTTGCTTGCCTGTCTGTCTGCCTGCCGGCGTACATCCCCACGCAACCCGCCATTCGCCGTTGTGCAATTCCACAGCGGAAAGGGGCAAGGGCAAATGGGCGGGCGGGGAAGGACGGCAGCGAGGGCTCCTCTTGGCTGCAGCAGCAAGGAGAAGCGGCGACGACGACGGCGGCAGCAGCGCGATGCGATTGCACGCACCTTAGCTTCGGGGCGGTGCACCTTGCATTGGCTGACTAGCAGGCTGGCTGTCTTGCCACCCTTCTCCGGCTTAGTCTTCGTCATTGTGCCCTGTCCATCTCACAGTTTGCCCTTTGCCTTTTTTGCAATCTGCGCCTTTGGGCCTTGGCGGTGACTCAATGGGTCGCAGAGGGCTCGGCCAGTGCACCGACCAAGATCGGGGCTGTCCCACGCCCGGGCCATGAATGGGAAGATGAACGTTGAACGCCGCACATTGCGGGGCAACTTCTTTACACTCGACACTTCCGCTCCACCTCTGATTTATCCACGTCTGACCCTGAGAGGAGCAGACTCGAAGCCGGAACAAAGATGGACAGCAATTGACTCACCATTATTGGCTCCCGATTCAGTTGGGCTATTTGCGCTGCCATCCCCATTCACGGTAGTGTTCGTCGGTGTGCCTTCTTGCGGCTTCTTCTTCTTCTTTTCCTTCTTGGGAGGCAAGACGACTGTGCAATTCACGTCTACGCCAACATCGTGGTCCCACACCTCAATGGTACTTCCATTCTTGTCATTGGTAATGTCCAGCACGCCTTCGGCATGAGCGGTCAGGGTGACATTGGTCCCATTGGAGTAAGTGACACTAATGGCAGATGTGTTGAGAGGGGCGCAGAAGATGCTTTCGGTAGATGGGGGAGTGGTGAGGTCAGCCGAGTCGACAGTGGTCGCGGGGGTAGGCTTGGTTCCCTCAGTAGCCTTAGCAGTAGGATTGGCGCTGCTCCCTGCCTTGTCAGACTCCTTGGGTGGAGCAGTGGGATCGTCCGTACTAGGCGGGTCTGTCGGCGTCTCCTTTGTTGCATTTTGGCCGGAGGGCGTCTGGGTGTCGTTGCCGCCGGCTGAAGGATCTGTCGTAGGATCTTTTTTCGAGGGAGTCTTTGCTCCGGGGTCCGTCTCAGCATCATCGCTTGGGTCATCATCAGTACCATCGTCATCAGGGTCGGTGGGGACTGCCGGAATCAAGTCGGTGAGGTTGGCCATCAGTATCCCAGGTGTTGCAGAGCCGTTCTTGTCCGGGATGAGGGTATTGGTGGGCGTCGGAATGATATTGGGTGTTGGAACTGGGATGATGCTGGCTGCTTCTTTGTCTTTGTCGTCTTCGCGGGAGGACGAAGACGGAGGAGGATCAGTCGTGGACGGATGAGCCCCCTCTGGCTCAGGGGTTGCCGCCTGAGCAGTCGTGGACTCGGTCTTGTTCTGGGCAGCCGTGGTGTCGCTAGCGTTGAGATGCTTATTCTGGGCAGCTTTCTCAGGCTCTGCAGCAGCAAGAGCAGAGAGGATGTCTGACGACAGTGGTACGGCAGTGAATATGAGTACACCGCGGGATGCGGTGTCAAGAAGTAAGGGTACCTGTGATGCTGCTGAGCGGGTCATGTCCTCTCTGCGTGGGGAGTCCAAGGGTCTGGCGAGAGAGGGGGGAGAGGAAGGCTCTGCGAGGGCAGTCAGGTGGTCGTCTATAGTAGTCACAGCACTCTCCCGGGCCGTAATTGCTGTTCGAGCGGCTGAGAGACTGAGGGCAGCGGTGAAGGTGAACAGGGAGGGAGGGTTGTGCTGGATCGATGATCACTCTGGTGCGGTGAAGAGTCGTGGGTAGTGAGTATCAGTGTAGCAGTCTCTTCCTTGCTCTCCCTCGGCGATGGTAGCATCGAGCCCCTTGTCTGCCAATTCAGGTACCGGAGTAGTGGAGTCAGTAGGGAAGGGGGTTCAGGCACGCGGCGGATTGCTCTGACGAAGCTGCCACCGCCCGAGTCCGGTACTGTGGTTGCAGCGATCACCCCCGCCTGACAGATCGGGCCAAGGGTGGTGGGGCATCATACCATGACTTTTGTAGATGTCCAGATGCATTAATGTCAATGGAGTACGACGTCGTCTTGGGCCAAGGCTTGGTATGCGTGCGAGGCCGAAGAAGGAAGCAGCCACGCGAGGGATGGGTCGCGTGCGTCTGTGCGCTGGCTGGCCGGCTGGCTGGGGCGCAGGTGCCACTGTGCTCTGCTGACTGAGACGAGGCCAGGCCTAGGCAGCACAGGCAGGCAGGGCAGGGCAGAGGAGGCATAGGAAGCAACACCTGCGTGGTGTGTGTGTGTGTGTGGCCTGGTGAGCTTCTTCGAGTGGCTTCTTCCCTTTGCAATTGCACCATCAACCATCACCACAGACAAGTCATCCTTTACCCACCAGCTACCCACAGCTGCCCATTCCACATCTGTACAAACCTCGTTAGGCTCACAGCACTTCTACATCAGGTCACACCACATTCCACAAAAGGTCCTTTGCCACATTACCCCTACTCTACCCACAGTCTACCTTACTACCACTCCCTTCAAGCCCCCTAGTCACAATGGCCGTAGCATCAGACGCAGTCACAGCCAATGCCGGAGGAGCGAACGATGCCCTCGCAGGGGTTAGCGTATCCGAGACTACCACCGTGGGAGTAGAGGGAGCAGCTGCCACTCAGGAAAAGAAGGAGAAGAAGCCACCCGCCGATGCAAAGAAGGTGAGTAGCAGCATGAGGCAGCAAAGGGCCCCAGATGGGCTTCGCAGCAAGACGGACAGAACGTCGAGGGATAGCAGACAAGACTCTTGACAGTCTTCGCTCGGGTCTTTCAGTCTGCTACAATACCCCCGGACTACTTACTGACTTCCAGCTCCACCTCATCCGCTCCCTCGTCTGACCTTCCCCTGGCTTCCTTCCCCACAGCAAGTATTTGCAGGTGAGCTCACACGGCCTTGGAACGACCATCTTCTCTCTCTTTTGGTGTCTTGTGCTGACCCCACCACCTCCTCACACTGTCCTCCCCCAAGGCAACCTCGCTTTCAGCACGACAGAAGATGACCTGCGAGCCCTCTTCTCTCAAGCTGGGCCAGTGTGAGTGCAATGGACCATGGAAGATTCTTCTTCTCATTGATCTGACACGCTCCCCCCTGCCTTTGCATCTCGCACAGAGCCGACATCCAGATCATCACCCGTGGAAGCCGATCTCTCGGCTACTGCTTCATCACCTACGAGTCCGAGGACTCGGCTCAAAAGGCCGTCTCTACCCTCAACAAGCAAGTCGTCGCCGGTCGAGAGATCAACCTGGAAGGCGCCAAGCCCCAAGAGGAGCTGGCTGCGCTCAAGGAAGCAAAGGCAGCTCAGAGGCGGGAGAAGAATGCAAAGAAGAAGGAAGCAAAGGAGGCCGCTGCTGCCGCTGCTGCGCCTGCCGAGGCTACCGAAACAGTCGAGGGCAGCGCTGTGAAGAAGGAAAAGAAGAAGAGGGCCAAGAAGCCCAAGACGGCTGCAGGCAGGAGACCGCGGGCTGATGATGGTGAAGAGGCAGACAAGGAGCCGGCAGCTGTAGATGGAGCCGAGGCGGCCGTGGCAACTAATGGAGCAGAGGGCACAAGCTCGACTGCTGCTCCCAAGAAGAGGAACAGGAAGACCAAAGCTCAAAAGGCTGCTGCCGCCGCCGCTGCCAATGGCGAGGCCGCTCCAGTGGAAGGAGGTGAAGGAACCGCTGCTGCGACTGCTACCCCTGCTGCAGAGAAGAAACCTCGTGAGCGCAAGCCACGGGCCCCCAAGGGCCCACCCACAGGCGAGGCCTCCTCCACTCTCCTCTTTGCAGCCAACCTCTCCTTTGAGACTGAAGACGAACAACTCAAGGAGGCCTTCACCTCGGAAGGACTTCAAGTTGTTAGCGCTACCGTCGTCAAGAGGAAGTTTGGACTGAAGAAGAGTAAAGGATTTGGATTTGTGGAATTTGCTGATAAGGAGGAGCAGACAAAGGCGCTGGAGAAAGTCAATGGAAAGGTCGTTGGCGGACGAGAGATCAGTCTCAAGGGTGAGTCGCAGGAGTGCGAACTGAATGATGCAGCAGCAGGCGTGACACGAATTGAAAGCTGACACGATGCTCCCTCTCGTCCTTTGCCACTTCTGCAGTCGCCATCCAGGGCAGTAAAGAGCAGGCAGATGCGGAATCCAAGCAGGAGGCAGACGCAGCCACCACCACTCAGGCTCCTTCCGCTGCTGCTTGAGAGGAGTCGGACTGCCGAGTTCGAGCTGCCTCTTTAGAGCAGTAGGTTGACAGGCTCGGGCTTGGGATTGAAGGGAAGAGAAAGGGCGAAGCGGTATGGCTGAAAATCTGGGGGAAATCAAGGGGACGGAACAACGAGATAACCTCTGGGGGGAGCTCGTGACGTGGGCGCGGTCGATCGCGGTGACCTACAAAGGGAGGGGCAGAGGCGGGAGGGAAAGCAAGTGGCAGCTCGCAGAGGAATCTCCTACCTCTTCCTCGTCGTTGTTGCTGTTTCCTTTGCAATTCCACATTAGCCTCACAACAACAACATCATCATCGACCATGGAGGTTAGTCCGATTCGTCTGCTTGCAATCGTATGCCTGGTTGCCTGCAAATGACAGACCGGTATTAGCGGGTTGGCAGGCTGACAGGCTCACGGTTGGCTTCACTTGCCAGGGAAGGAGGGGTGGAGACGTATATGCCTGTCAGCTTATCGTCTTGTCTTTCGGAGGCGAAGGGAGGCGAGGCGAGGCAGACATGACAAGTCGACGGACACCGTAGGATAAAATTAAGGAGCTTAGAAGGAAAGAACTCTAGATCTATACGATGGGAAGCGAAATCGATAATGAGGACGAGGGAAGCAGGACATGGGCATATTGCAAGAGGAAAGAGGTGGAGAGGTGAAGAATAGGTATACAGGGGGACGGACGCTAGTCTAGGAATCAAAAAGAGCAGGAAGCGAAGGGAAGAGCAGTGACAGTGACAGTGACAGTGGCAGTGGAAGTGGCAGTGGAAGTTTCAGTGGAAGGTCTCTCTTAGTACGCGACACTTTCCACCACTCCCTTCTCCCCTCTAGCACTATTCTTTTCCTCATCTTCACTTCCAGCCAAACTAGCACTAGTGGGTGCAAGTCCATGCTGACCCTCGTGCTGAGGTACAAAGTCTGGTTGTTGATCATAGGCCGTTCCATCAGGAGCGTAGTGTGCCTCGAATGGCAATCCATCAAAGTCGGTCTCTTCACTTCTCTTGACTCCCTTCCATCCTTTGATCCAAACTGGCACACCACCTTCCACCGGATGCAGAGTGTTGATGAGCAAGTAGACGATCCCCGCTGAGATGGAGCCGCTGAAGAAGGCTAGATCGTATACTCGCACCAGGCCAATGGGGATCGTGGCTGCTGTGCTCGTGGAGGAGACGGCAGCTACAAACCCTGGGAGATTGACGGCGCATCCTGCTAAGTAGCCACAGTAGGCTCGGTAGTTGACTCCAACAGCATTGAATGTGTACATTCCCCTAGGTGTTTTCCCACTCTTGGTCAACTCTCCAGCAGGTCCCCTCGTGGTGCTTTCCCAGGAGAAGAGGGAGGGGACGTGAATCCATCCTCGACGAAGGATGTAGGCGTCTGTTAGGACTACACCTAGAATGGGAGCTAGGAGAACCGAATAGGCAGAGAGGTAGTTGCTGAAGGAGGAAGAGGAAGAGGTAAAGTTCCAGGGACAGATGACCAGGGAGATTAGGGCACAAAGAACCTGACCTCGGACAATGGAGATATACCGGGGCATGAGAGAGGTTAGGTCCGAGCTGAGAAGGGGAAAGAGGCAGACACAAGTGTACAAGGCGCAACTTTGATCAGTATCTCCTACCTTGATGTTCAAGCCTCTTCTGTTTCACGTCGGGAGACTCACCCAACTGCAACCGAGTTGGCAGCGATGTTCGTGCCGAGCTGAGCAATGATAAAGGCAAGGGAGATGAAGAAGACTCCCGCCCTAGCTCCAGGACTATATGGGTCCTCGCTAAGGAAGTACGTCATGATATCCAGTGGGTTCCACACTGGGTCCCCACCAATGAGAACACTAGCCGAGGAGCTAATGAAGATTCCTACGAGGGAGATGACGCTGAATAGTACGGGGATGGTGATGAGCTGTGGTAAGGTGACTGCCGCACGAGATGTGGAGAGACGAGCATAATCGGCTGCATTGAGTGCAAGAGTGATCATGTTGGCCATCTGGCTCATCGTTGTAATAACGAATTGCCAGCCTAGGTTGCTACCCGTTAGGGTGCCAGAAGCATGAATGATGTTTCCTCCGCCTCCGCGAGATACAGCCCAGCCCAGTAGACCAAAGACGGCAATGGGTGCAGTGATGGCCTTGACGGTAAAGAGGTGCTTGATCTTTTGAGGCGAGACAAAGGTGATGGGAAACTGAATGATCCAGTAGACGATAAAGGAGGTGAACTGCGTGCGAGTCAGACCTGACAATTGGCCAGCTGTGTTTTCGACGTATCGAGGTGCAAGAGAAGAGAGGAGAAGCGTGACACACTCTCCTCCCACCCAAGTCTGAAAGGCAAACCAGAGGATAGCCACTACCACTCGATTGAGTACTGGCCAAACAGCACCATAGAGTCCAAAGGCTGGTCTAGCCAAGACGGGGAAACCAGTATGGCAGGAGGCTCCCACTCGTGCAGACAGGACGACGAAGATGGCCGTGAGAGAGTAGCCGAGCATGACGGCCAGGAAAGTCTGCCACCATGTCATCCCTGCCGCCACACCCGTCGAGGCAATCATCATGGAGCTCAAATTGACCGAGTCGGCTGCCCAGAAGAGGATGTAGTTCTTGGAAGACCAGGTACGCTCAGAGGGTGGAACCGGACGCAGATCATGATTGATCAGATAGGCATCCTTGCGGCTCACCACGCTTGGGTCAGGAGCACCAGCCACGACCAGGGAGAAGGGCTTGCGTTGCTTCATCATCGAAGTAAAGGGCATGGTGGGTATGTCTCTAGAGGGCCGAGGAGAAGCGAAGAGGAGCAAGCTTCAAGAGGGACAGACGGTGGAACTTTGCAACAGGAAGGAGCTTCGCTCTACATATACATTCAGTGTGCCACACCGCTACCTCGCTTCCTCTCCATCTTGCGAAGAAGGTCTGGCGCGATTAGTTCTTTATCTTTGCGAGCTGCCAGACAGTGAGAAGGACTGCCCCGTGAATAGTCTCTCTCTAGTCTCTTCTAGTCTGCCGAGCCGAGAGGACTCTTTCGCCCCACTTCCCCGCCCCGCCCCGCTCCACTGCAATTCTGGATTTCTTGCAGCCCGACTTAAAGAGACTGATCGGCTCACTTGCAGCTCCCCGCCCAACCTCGCGCCTCTCCCCTTCCTCGGCTGGAGTGGCGTGGGATGGCCATGTCTACGCCAAGGAAGCCGTGCAGGCGCCTGCCGGGCAGAGGATCAGCGGAATGAGCGGTGACTTCGGGTAGCGGGGAAAAAGATAGGGGCGGGGGGTTCCTACGGAGCTGCCAAGATGGGAAGCTGTGAGAGGCTGCCGGGCCTTGACAAAGTCCGTCTTCCTGGCCCCCTCTTGCACAAAGATAAACAAAAAAAGATTCTCCGAAATCTGTCAGACAAGCGGAGCGGACAAAGTCCTCTTGTTCACACGACGCGGGGGCGAGGCGTCGCACGCGATCTTTCAGAAGCTGCAGCACATCAAGGACTCCCATGGGCGTTCCTCTCTCCGCAAAGTAGGAGTAGGAAAGAAAGATGGCGATGATAGGGCGTTGTGTGCGGGCTTTGCCTCCGGGCATGAGTTCAGACAATGTGGCGGAATGACCTCGACCGCTGATTGCTATACATTTCGCTTCGCCGCCACGCCCATCTTAAAGGTGCCCCTGATCGGAAGCCACATCGATTTGGCTGTGTAAGTGAGAATCACCCGCCGTAAGAGGCGTCCCGACATTATTGAAAGTGCTCTATCTCGGCTCGATCCTCACGCACAGCCCCTCCAATAACCCAGGTGCGTCATCGCACCCTGAAACGCGTCCGCCTCAACCCTTGATCCCGAGCAAGGCGGGGCTTCTACTCAAACTTGATCCGCAAAGTCAGGGTGAAGGGCAGACTAGCATCCGTGACAGTCAACTCTTCTTCCTCTTCTAGCAGCTCTCCACATAGTCTCTCCAGATTGGGCCGCGTGCTTTCTTCGAGCTGTGGAGGCGCCTGATAGTAGAGAGGTCCCGAGCGGGCTGAAGAGAGCGAAGGCCTTTTGATCTGCCTGAAATGGTGGGAGGATGAGAAAAGAAGCGCTTTAGCTCGGCCTGCTGACACGAAGAGTGAGCCGTTGTTCCGACGGCCATCGACAACTCACAGGTCTTGGATCTCTCGCAGCATCTCCAGCACTCGCTCAAACTTCCAGTCTTTGCCGACCACAAACTCTCGGCTCTCCCCACCGCAGACGGGACATTCCTCTCTCTTCTCGTGTTCAAAGGTGTAGGTGTATACACCTTCGTTGCCGGTATACATCATGTAGTTGTTCAAGAAAGGGTTGCAAGTCGTGGCAATTTTGAAGGCTTCTTGAGTACAGGCCGCCGCAATGATGGCATTGGTCGAAGCGATGGCTGGGATGATGTTCTTCACTACCCCTTGTGTGAGAGAGTATGTCACACCCTCGATGTTATGTTCCTTGGCTCTGGTCTGCGCTCTTTCCAGTAACCAGGAGATGTGATCCGGGTCGTCCTTGTCCAGCTTCTTGTCTGTGTCGATTGGGACATCGTGATACTGAGTGAGCCAGACGCCCGGAGTCAATGGTCTTTACAGTGATGCACTCACCTCCCATCAGCCTAGGCCACTCTAGAACGCTAGCCCATTCGATGCAATGCTCCGGCAGCCTTGGAGTGTTTGCAATTGTGCAAATAGGGTACACAGTCTGCTTATTGAGCATGTCTAGTGAGCATTCGTAGCAGCTCGTAATGGTGGGCAGGATGACACGAGCTTGACCTTTGAAACCTTCTGTACCACCGTCGATGAGCGGTTTGAGCGACTCGGGGTTTTCTGGATCGACCATGTTCACCAGTGTTGCCGAAATCCAGCGGCGAGCATCTACCGAGTCCAGACCGCAGATGACAAGGTTGAATTGCATATAGTAGTCTTCGTCTTTGTCTTGAATCTTGCCAAAGTAACTAAAGGGAGATAGGAGGCAAAATAGGGAGAGGATGAACTCCGATTCAAACTCGACGCAGAGTTTGGGCCGGCAGAGCTTTGCAAAGACTACTCACGGGGTCACCTTGACGCCGGGCACTCTCTTCATGACAAACTCGGCCGCGGTCGTTGCTTTGGGCTGTCCTACGTCCTTCTCTCGGAAGAGGAACTGCCTGTTGAGGTTACTGACATCGATTGTATCCATGTCGATGACGTGAATGTCCCTGAACCCACTCAGCGCCAGATTTGTAATGATTTCGCAGCCAAGACCCCCTGCGCCGATGACGAGGACTTTGGACTGGTCCAGCAGGAAGGACTTGACGCTGCACATGAGAAGGCGAGGGGAAGTGAGCAGAGAAGTTCGCAATTGCTACCTCGAGTGACTTTCCATCGCTTCCTGAGGGGGTAGCCTCCTGCTACAGCAACTCACGTCTGGCCTGCTTGGAACTGTTCATCAGTAGAGGCTGCGATGGCACGGGACAAAAGGGAGGAGGTGAGAAGGGCTGGCTGGCATGCTGCCCTGTCATGCTGTCAGGATACCCACGACCAGATCTGTCCAGGATCTTGTTGATATGAGCATGTCGAGGTTTGCTGGGTCCCGCAACAGCAGGAGGAGGAGGAGGAGGAGGCTGCTGTACCGCTGCTGAAGCCATGATAGAGTTGAGGTGGAGTACAGTGCACGACGGAAGCAGGAAGCCGAGACGACGACGAAGGTCAACTCGCCTCGCCTCATCTCGTCCTGGGCGGAGCTGCAAATCTCCCCAGAATAGAGCACGGGCCAGGCACCGGCGGAGTGCGCCGATTTTTCTGGGCCTTCCTCGCCTTGAGTTTGCTGCCTGGACTGCCATCATACTAAACCATTCACCCCTCCTCCTCCCCGTCGCCTCGTCTTCGCTACCGCTACTCACCTCGAGATCACCGGTACAGGTCCTCTCAACCCCGCATATATTCCGTCATGACCTCATATATGCACCCTCGCATCACACTGGCCCAACACTGAAGGCCACTGTCAATTACATTGCACCCCACCAATTTCTGCCCTGGCAAGTTCTGGTGCCTGACCAGCGCTTTACCCCTCTGTCGGATCTGACCTTTCACCGATCACTTTCAACCGACCACTCACGCTGCAGTGACGAGAAGCAGCTCAGTCGGGAAATGGGCGACCATGCCGGTGGTGCGGGGCCAAAGGTCGTTCACCTGGCCTCCTCGGTGCATCGCCCTTCATCATCGGCACTTCGCGAGCAGAGATGTCGCAATCTGCCAGTCGAGAAGTCTCCTTCTTTCAGCGGGCAGAAGCATCACTCTCCTCCCGTCGTATCCTCCTCGACCTCCCCTCCATTGACCTCTGTCGCTGAGCCAGACGACGACGACCTCGAGGCGTTACGGCAACGAGAAATCTTTCACCACCGTCAACACCAGCTTCGCAAGCTCGAAAGGCATCGACAAAGACCGTCTTCAGCAGCAACTATACGCTCCTCTGGCAGTGCTTTCATTGCCAAGTTTACAAGACCCTCGAGTAGAACCGCCGCGTCCCACCAAGCCCATTACAGTCACAATATCTCAAATCACGACACGAGCCTGGCGCGGCAGATCAGCTCTCCAGGCTCAGTCTCCTTCAGTACCAGCTCAGGAGGTAGTACACAGTCGGCTTACACAAGCGTACACCGTTATACAGAGTATAAGCCCGGAAAGGCATCGAGCAGCAGGGCTGTTGCATCGACCGGGCGGGGTAGGTCGCAAATGGAAGATTCAGACTCTACAAACCATGAGCACTTGGAGGCTGCGCAGGACGTACTGATATGGATTCCCGAGAGTCCTGCTTCAGGAGCAGCATTACGAAGTCCCGTCCCTCAACGTGATCTCCCCTTGCCCCATGGTCAACTGAGCCGCTCGCCGCCCTCGACCAATGCAAGCATAGATGCTGGGAACAGCGGTAAGCGAGCTGGCCTGACTCCTTGCTGGCGTAAGGAAAAACAAGGAAAGGATGTGGAGAGCAGCAAGAAGACGTCTGCGACCCCAATGATGATGGGTACTTGGAGGAGGGGGGCAGTCTCCTTGAAGGAAAACGGACAGTTTTATATCTTCGGCGAGGTGAGTCGTGAAACTGTTGGCGGGCGACCCGTACGGAGCTCAACGATGCGCTTGCCCGCTCTGGCCTATTCCTCTGTACGATTCGCAGACGCGTGCACTGCTACACCCTATGTTGGCAACTCGGCTCAAGGTCACGGATATTCGGCCCGTGGATCCCAGCCTACTTCAGCGATACAATGTCCTCGGTATCTTCGCGCGGCCTCTCGCTATCGCCGGTACGTCAGCAGATTGTAGTCGCATCGGTGTGAGAGAATCCACCACCTCTGCTGTGGACCAGGCTGCTGCAACTATCGAGGAACCGGTCGTCTATATCTCCTTTCCTACTTCCCACAAGCTTCAATACTGGACTTCCCTCCTACGTGCTTACGCGATTCCAGAGATCTATGAATCGCATAGTTCTGCGTCTGCAAAGAGGTCCTATCGATGGCATAGGGAAATTCAGCTGCGCTGCCTTGATTACCGGCCGGTCGCTCCCATTGTGGCTGACGTGGGTAAGAGCCCGTCTATAGAACAATCGATTTGGTCTCAGGATGAACAAGAGGCACCCGGATCAAACTCGACGGCAAGCTCGATAGCTGAGAGGGACTTGTCCTCTGATGAGGGCCAAGGCGGAGATTCTCCCACCTTTGACGATGCCGGAAGCGCTTCGTCTGCGGGACGGCGAGGAACGGCTGAACTTCGACGGCAAGACGCTCCCACCTCCCTTCCTCAAGGCGCCCGCATCGATACGGCTGGCCGTACTACTGCAACTCCTGTCAGCCGTCATAGAATCAGCTCCGGAGGAGGCGTGCGTCGCTCGATATCGGTGCCTGGTGAAAGCTCCTCTCGCTCTGATCACCTACCGGCGACTATCTCTCGTTCTACATTGCTGACATCGGTGGGAGGGAAGAGAGACCAGCCCTATTCGGCACTTACAGCTCCGTCTGAAAAAGCTTCGGCTAACGCTTCTCCAAAGATCACGTCCCCTCTGGCTTGCTTCGTGTACCTTGACGGGGTGCTGTGCGCAAAGACCACCATGCAGCCTTGGACTCCGACTTCGCCGCACTACCACTGGATGGAAGAATTCGAATTCAGGGATTTGCCAAATGCCGAGTCTTTGCAAGTCGACGTCTATCAAGATGCTTCGTCTTCAGCGTCATCGAGTAACAAGACACCGAATCGAGCCAGCTCATCGTCCCACCCGAGCGGCTCCCCTTCGATGTCGTCACCCTCAGCGTCGACCAAAGTACGGTACAGCCTTCTTGGAAGTGCGGAAATACCTCTAGACACTTTCACTAGGGGTGAAGAGGTCTCGGGTTGGTTCCCGCTATGGGCGCGTCGCACCTCGACCTCTGATCGAAATGGGCTAAGCTCTGCGAGCGTTCAAGACTCCACTTCAAGCCCGTACGAAGCGCACTGCGTAGGGGAGCTCTGGTTGAAGCTTAAAGTGAGCGAAGAAATTGTAATGAAGAGAGCGAAGTATCTTCAAGTGGATCAGGTGAGTGAGAATTCGGACCTTCCACCTTCTGCCCTTACTGACCAAAGCTCACAATGATCTTTCTCAGGCTCTGAATACTCCTGAGACCTTCGAGCAGCTGCTCTCGTCCCTTACTCCTCATCTGTCCGAAACGGAACTCTCCTCACACTTGGTTGACGTATATTCCGCTTCAACGACCCTTGTACCTCGGCTGGTTCAGCTTGGCCAGCACCACGACTTCGGTGCCCACAATCCTGATCTCCTCTTACGGTCTGGCAACGTGATGTCTAGGCTAGTGGTCACCATCGCTTTGCGCTACGGACAAGATTGGCTGAGGGAATGTCTGTACCCAACACTGCTAAAGGTGTGCGAGGAGGGACAAAGCATCGATGTGGATGCGTTGAACTGGTTCGATACGTCGGGCGCCTCTCCCGCACCTCACTCAGACAGAGTGGCTAGTAGACAGCAAGGCACCGCTCCAACCTCGCACCATCTCTTCGTCTACATCAACAATACGAGCCCCTATGCTCTGGCTGCTGTAGATGATGGTAGGATCCAGGACGGTAAGCTAGCACTCGAAGGCAAGGCGGCTCTTGACCGATTGCGCTTGCTACTCAATCGCCTCTGGAAGAACATCTACGAGTCTCGCCACCGCTGTCCGACCGAATTGCGCCAAGTCCTCGCGTCCATCCGTCGGACGGTCTATGATCAATTCATCCTCACCTCCACTCCGAAAGTAGCGATAGCAGCCGGCTTGCAGTCTTTGGGCTCGCTCGTCTTCCTTCGCTTCTTCTGTCCTGCTATTGCGGCACCAAACGAGTACGGCCTGATGCTGCATGCACCAGATACTCGGGCCAAGAAGACACTGGCGACGCTGTCCAAGGTACTCCTGAAGCTGCACAACAAGATGGCGGGATCGGATCAGCAGAGGATGGGCGGGTGGATGAAAGAGCTGAGTGCCTTCTGGAAGGTGAGTCCGTGTCGGAAAGTCAAGGAGAGGATTCGCTACTCACCATCTAATCCCTCTCTGTCATTGATCTTCGCAAAGGAGGAGGCCTCGGCATATGATGACTTCGTCACCGCCATCTCTACTTCCCCTGACGTACCGCCTACGAGTAGTCGCTTCTCCGGAAAGAGCCGCCGCGCCCAAGCAACGCCCCTCTTTCCACAGCTTGACGAGCAGGATCAGATTGTCCATACGATGGTCGCGAGGCGGATGAACTCGTTGCCTTACACTTTGCATCGCGAGATGCTTGCTGCTGATCCTCCAGGTCTAAGGATGGGCGATCAGGCTCTACCGTTTGCACGACTGGTCAGCCTCATCGTAAGCACAATCGATGCTGGCGCACTTGCAAAGCAGCAAGACGAGAAGGCGAGCGAACCGAAAGCTGGTGGCAACAATCTGCGTACAGAGTTCAAGACTTTGGAAGCAGCTCAAGAAGGGAGTGGGACATCATCACCCCAGCCTCTTTCGACGGCACCGACAAAATCAGACGGGGTCAAAATAGAACCTTCTGACGATCAGCAAATACTGCAAAATTTTGTTGACGTCTGTCAGTCAGTGGCCGAGAAAGCCACAAGTTTGGTCGATCAAGCTGGAAGCTTCCCGTCACCTGTGGAGGCTGCGGTTCTTGCGTCGCCCAGGACGAAATCGAGTGTGATATCAGCCGAGGATAGACGTGAATCTGCCAGTCTCAATAACCCTACGAGCCCATCCCCGTCGTCAGTCGGTCTGGCTGAATCTTCACCCGTAGGCAGCAGCTCGCCGGTGACTATAGTATCTGCCGTACCGATGTCGCCCCTCGAGCAGCTGCCAAGCCGGACAGAGACTCTGCGGCCCAAAAAATCGTCAGAGGTACAAGAGCTACCCGCGACATTCACTCGCACAGTGAGCGTCGATGGCGGGAATGATATCTCCGAGGGTCAAGACAGCATACGCCCTCGATCTTCTGACAGTGTCTCCCCTCTCGATGTCCTCAAGCCCAAGATCCTCAGGAGGACGCCACCCGGCCAAGTTATCAAGACCACTCCGAAACCGCAGGGAAGCTCAGCTGCGGAGAGACCACCATCTTCTCGAGCCGCCAGATCCTCCTCAAATGCAAGCAGTCAACCCGCACTCGAGAAGTCCCAGACCGCTGTCCCTAGCGTGACGAGCTCAAAATCCCCGTCGTACGTGCTGCACACGGTCGAAGCAGGAGTCGAAAAGGTAGCCAGCATCGCACGCCCTCTGGGACCAATGTCGAGGAGGAGCACCACCAGCGTGCATACCAGCAGTACTCTCTCCGACGTCTCCGGAGAAGAGTCTTCCGGGAAGCGTAGTAGTAAGTGGTGGAAGAGGGGTTGAACTGCCTTCGCACAGTTCCAAGAGATATACACCTCAAAAGCGACCTGTCCGAGTCGGTTGCACCGCATTTGTCTTCCCTGTTTGTCTCTGCTTGTTCATGTTTCACGTCTAGTTGTTCCAACTAATTGTTTCGTCTAATTGTCCCGTCTAATGCTCATCGAAGTCGTTCACATACCTGGAGAGGCTGCAGCAATGACGTGTGTCTCTGATCACCTTATTCCAGCACCCTGGTCTATGCCAAGGTCCCTTATTCGAAGCGATAGTCTTGCCTAGCGCCTTGGCTGTCAGCAGACACCGTCTTCCGCCCCCCGGAAAGCTGTACTCTGCTTACGTTGCCTCTGGCAATCGTACACCACAGGTGGTCTCTACGGGCCGATCATGACTGTACACCCCTCCAGTCAAGACTGGCCGCCAAGGACCGCCGCGGCTCGGAAGTAGCTCGTAGCCCTCCCTCGCTTAGATCTCGTACCTGCGGGGAATGGATGTCGGAGTTCAGATCGCCTCGCCCTGACTGCAGCTAGAGTTCCATGCCGTGCTTGTCCCGACAAACGCACACCGCCAAGACTTCGCTTTGACAGGACAGGGGAACCAAGGACGGGTGCCTGACGTTCGTCTCACCCCGCTGGTCTTGGAACCCGATACCAAGCTCGCGAGTCGAGTGGGCCTCGCTCGCTGCCCTCCATGGAGTCTTTCACGAGTAATTAGGGTCGTACGTGCTCTGTGTTGGGTCGATCCACGTTCTGGCCAATGGAAAGAGTGCCAAGCCAAGCATATTGGAACGGCTTCTGAGCGAGTCAGGTACCCAATACCGGTCCCGTGCTCCCGTACGCCCTGCTGCGACTGATGATCTGATGAAGTAAGGGTCGACTAGGAGAGAGAAGCAGCGGAAAGGGGCGTAGGAGGAGATAGCCGAGCCAGACCCCGCAGATGAAGATCGCTTTACAGCCCAAGACGACAAAGCAACAGGAGGAGTCGGAAGATCAGGAAGATCAGAGGCCGAATCAGTGGGACGGAAATTGATGACGGGAGCCAAGACAAGCCAAGCCAGGGGCAGTAGAAGGGCTGACTTTCAGGAGGTGTTCAGGTCAGAGGTGTTCCGGTACAGGCGAGGTATAAAGGACCGTTCAGAAGGTCCCACACATCGAGCTGCCTTCACACGGCAATTTCTTCTCTTATTGTCATTCCTCATTTCTCCAGGAGCCATCAACCACAACAACTCCAACAGCTATGAAACTCTCTACCGCCTCGGCTGTCTTGGCTTTGGCCGCGGCCCCAGCTCTCAGCATGCCAACGGCCTTCCAGGCTCGTACAAGCTATGGGGACACGCCGTACGGCACCTTGGTCGACGAGCCCAAGTACTTCACCTCTGCCTTCTCCAGCCGAGGTGTCCCTGGAAATGTCATCGGCAAAGACGGCAAGGCCGCCTTCGGTCCCTCTAACGCTTTCGCTCACTTCGGCTACAAGATCAACAGCAAAGAGGAGATCATCTGCTTTGACATCCGCACCGTCAATGTCACTGGCGACTACCATTCCCACGTCTTCACTGCCACTCACATCGGTCAGGGCGCAGCTGGCGCTCTCGGTACTCCAAGGATCGCCTTCCCGAACCCAGTACATGTTCGAACAGACCACACTGGTGCCGAGATCCGTGAGAGCAAGGGATGTCTCCAAGGTCCCTTCATGACCAACTTCACCCTCAACGGTGTCGACACTGGCAGCAACTCTGGCTTCACCCTCTCCCAGATCGAAGCCAATCCATCCGGCTTCCTCACGGACACGCACACTACCGACTATATTCACGGCGCCGTTCGAGGCCAGCTCCTTCCCTCTGAGGTGCCCGTGAAGAGGCCTTCGTACTTCACCTCTACCCTTCGTACTACTGCCGATGGTAGTCAGGTCGTCAATGCCATGAATGCCAGTGTTCCCGGTGCGCCCGACACACGAGCAGAGTACGTCCTCGAAATCAACTCGCACGAGGAGATCTTGTGCTACGACATCACTGTGAGCGACTTCCCCGAAGGTCAAGAGTACTTCTCTCCTGCCAAGACTGCCACCCACTCCCACATTGGTGCAGCGGGTATCAGTGGTCCTCCCCGTCTCGCCTTCATGGACCCTCAGCCAGTCCAGAGCACTGGGTTGATCAGCAAGGTCAAATCAGTTCTTAAGGGAAAGAAGAGTAAGAGCAGAAACGGTACCAGGAAGTCTTCCGCCTGCGTCAAGGGACCTTTCACTACTGGTCTCCTGAACGCCGAGGGAGTTGACACAGGTTCTGCTTCGGGATTCACCCTCGCTGCTCTTGAAGCTAACCCCGCTGGCTATAATGCCGACTTCCACACTGGACCTGGTTTCGTCGCTGGAGCCGTGCGCGGGCAGCTATATGCCTGAGCGCAGCCACTTTGAGGGCAGGGCAGGGCCGGGCAGGGCGACTCAATCGCAAAAGTCGCCGACCTTCTCTCGTCGTAGTCGCAAGGCATATCTGCTAGCCTTTCTTTTCTCACGCTGTATATAGCTTTCCCCAAATTCAAATTCGAAGGCTCCGTCGATGCAAAGACATCCTCTTCACCCTCTCTTCCTGCTCACCACTGGTGAAAATGTGAGATCTTTGCCGTGTGGATCGCTGTGGTGCAGACAGGGTTGTCCGGACGTGATTTCCTTGCTTCCGATCCGATGTGGCGATTCTCCCGCTTCCGCTTGCTGAGCTTTGATCTGGTTCTCTAGTGGCTTCCGTGTCTACTTCCGTGTGAGTACATTCTGGAGCGTGTGGAGCTGACGCGGCCTTGGCGTGCCATCTTGGCTCATATGAACCTCTGGAGGACTCATTCCATCCCTCCTCATCACCTTGTACATCGCCCTTGATAACCGCAGACAAACCACAGCTGTCTTGAGTATCCTCGTCCTTCAGCTACGCCGAAGCCATGGCGCCATCACCCTCACCCTTCGCCTCGGCCTCGCCACTCAACCTCCCCTCCTCGGCCACTCGCGCCTCCTCATCACGGCATGACCCCTCCTCTTCATCGTCCTCAATACCCGCTCTCCCCTCACATGAGACACACATGCTCTTCCTAGGTCAAGCATGTCACCTCTCCAGCTGTCGTCGCGAGGACTTCCTACCCTTCCACTGCGCCAGCTGTGGTCACGACTACTGCTCTGCCCATCGGCTCCCACATCCCGGCTCAGAGCAAGGCGGGCACAGCTGTGACTTCCACTTGCAGCCGGAGAAAGCCTCGAGTGGAGAGCAGGGAGACTTCCTCGTGCCCCTCTGTCCGCTCTGTCGTGAGCCGCCGAAAGGCTGGAAAAGAGGCGAGGATCCAAACCTGGCACTGGATCGACACCTTTCCTCTGGGGACTGTCCCGAGCTTGTAGGTGAGGCCGGAGCAACGCAGAGCAGGCGAATCAAGAAGGCCAACGAATGCAACTACAAGCGATGTCATAAGATCATGATCGTCAAGATGGATTGTGAAAAGTGCAGGGAGAGCTTCTGCCCCAGTCATCGAGCTCCTGCTCAGCACCAGTGTGGTGTATCGCCAGCTCGCACTCCAGACAGGAGGCAAGACGGTCAAGCGCCTACTGCAAGCTCTACGATCTCTGGTGGGCTAGCTGCACTCAAGCGACTCAAACTCGGAGGAGCCTCAGAGGCAGCAGCGCCAGCCAAGAATAGCGGCAACCAGCATCAAGCTTCATCAGAACCAACACCAAGATCACATATACCCACAGCTTCGAACAATGATACCAGCAAGAACAACGCATCATCAAATAGCCAAAGCATCGGCACTGGCAACATCTTTGGCTTGAACCTCTCCGCTAGCTCGGCTGGCCGTAAAGTTGACAAGTGGGTACCACCGCCAATTTTTGGCCAGGCTTGAAGGAGTGATCAGATAGAAGGTGCGGCCTATGTGACTGGATGTACGCTCGCGGTGCATGACAATAGATGAGCGGCAGTCACTTGGCAGCGAAGAGTGACAAGCGTGGGAAGCAGAGCCAGAGCTGATGCAGTAGCGAGGGCAAGGATCGGGACTAGAGTCTGAAAGCGCTGTTGCTCATCCTGCCACTCTTCCACCTCCCTCTCCTGTTAATCGCTACCCCCCACCAACACTCCTTCCCTTTTCTCCCTCCAAGACGAGCCGAGTCCGAACGTCTTTCGCAGCTACGCTCTCTACAGTCACGTCGCCAACGGGGCTTCAAGCTATCGGCTGCCGAAGAGGTGAAGCTGGCCGAGCTCAGCGCTCAATTGGGCGTCAGTGACGGGGGCAGTCGATCGGCGGGGCTCAAGAGCCTGACTAAGAGGGGTGCTAAGGAGAGTGAAGGGACAGGTGCAAGCAAGAAGAGCGAGGGAGGTGGGTTGAAAGGAATGTTGAGGGGTTGGGGGTCGTGAGAGCTGGTCTCGGTGGTCACCCACTGTTGCATTACTCTACTACTGTACATACTTTACTCATCTCAATAATCACTCTGTCATGGCAGGCCCACCTCAGGTGTGTGGGCCGCCCAATGCTTCCTTTCCGTATTTTCTTAAGCCCGTTCTCGAGTCTTGAAAAGGCTCCGCATAGTGCAGCCCCGCTCCTTGGGCTCATCAGCGCCGCACCTCCCGTCGGAATTGACCCGAGCCCACTTTCCTCAGTCCGATGCATCTCTCATCTCTGCAGCCCCTCAGCTCCTAGCGGCCAGAATGCATACAGACTGCAATGGAGAGGTAAGGGGAGGTACAAGTCGCCGGTGAAACTCGATGGGATTTTTGACGGCAGATGCATGCAACGCCATTCCACCTCTTTCAGTGGTCCATGGTGCAGCGAGAGCCCCGATGAATGCCTTCTCCCACAGAAAAGAAAGAAAACTTGCCGCTCCACTTTTCTTTCGATCACCGCGAGGTGCATGCGAGCCAGGTTTTTTCGAAAGCATCGTGGCGAGGCGAGGCGAGGCGAGGCAGGAGTGATCGAACCAATGCTTCTTCCGCCGGACGACGCGAGCCTTCGGGCTCTTAGAAGGCCAAATTAAAACTTCCCAGGCGAGATGAGGTAGTCACTTGCAGGTCCACCGACCTAGAGCTTGGCCAAGCCAAGCCAAGCCAAGCCCAAGCCCAGGAGCACCACGGCTGGCTGGGCTGGGTGAGGCCAAAGCTTCCTGCCGGCCTTTAGAAAAAAATCTTCCGAGGATGCTCGGCTCGGGTAGATGAGCCGCGTGGGCCATTTTGCACAAGTGGCCAGAAGATGAGGCAACGCGCTTCATGTCATGTCAGGGCTCTTTCGAGTGGAACCAGACCCAATTCCTATGCTGCATTGTACGTCTGTCGCCGCATCGGCCTCGAGAAGAACGAGGAAGTCCTCGTCGGTCGGGCGAAGCGAAGACCGCCCCGATGACCTCGGAAGTTGCTTGAGAGAAGGGAAGCGGGCCGGCTCGGGCTCTCTCCGAAGAATGTGATGAGCTTCCCTGGGATCAGGGTTATGTTGGCCCGGTCTTAGCGTCGTCACCTTCTTTGAATCTGTCCATACCATTGTACATCCTCTCATACCTCTGTGACCATGGTGCTGAAGAAGACTTCCCTCTCCACGACCCTCTTCGGGTCGAATAGTGGGGCACAGACCAAGACTGCCACTGCAGATGTGGGACAAGACGAGCACGACAACGAGAATACCCTTGTGCACCCTACGCCTGCCGATACACCTGCTGGCACTCGAGCACCTTCACTAGCCGACTTGCCTCTGGATGAAAAGTTTGGACAGCGGAAAGGCAAGGGAAAGGATGCGAGCGTGGAGGATGGCGATAGCAAGATCATTCTCGTCGACTTTGATGAGGGCGACCCGGAGAATCCCAAGAATTGGAGCAAGGGCAGGAAATGGCTTACAACTTTCCTGCTAAACGTCATGACATTGACGATTGGTCTGAGCACGACGGCGTACTCGAGTGGTATCGATGGGATGGTGGAGGACCTCGGGGTGTCGACTGAGCTAGGTCAATTGGGCCTGTTCATGTTCAACGCGAGGTAAGTCCAGTGAGGGTAGGCTCATCGTACGAGCTGTACCGCTGACTCGTGCCCCTCTGTTGTCCCTGCAGCTGCGCTATTGCACCCCTTTTCCTCGCACCCTTTTGCGAGTTGACCGGACGCCGCGTGGTGTACGTCTCTGCCTTTGGCGCCTTTACCCTCGTGACCCTTATGCTCGTCTTTGGCAAGAATATCGAGACGATCCTCATCGGAAGACTTCTGCAAGGGCTCTCGGGTGCCGTCGGTACCATTCTCGTCGGAGGTACCTTTTCGGACATTCATGACGATGCAGAGCGTGCGCTGCCAACGTCCATCTTCACCTTTTGCGCCATCATCTCCACCGTAGGCGCACCGCTGTACGCCCAGTACATTGCTCAGTACACCGAGCCAGGCTGGCGATGGATCGAACGAGTACAGATCATCCTCTCGGGACTTGTCTTTCTCTTGGAGGCTCTCCTCTTCAAGGAGACGAGAGGTTCTGCCATCCTTGCTGCCCGCGCCAAGAAGCTCAGGAAGGACACTGGCGACGATCGCTTTCGCGCTCCGGGCGAAGTGGAGAAGCAAGGACTTGCGCAACTCTTCCGCGAGTCGAGCTTGCGAGCTGTGACGCTGCTGGTCAAGGAGCCGGTGGTGTTCCTGTACGGAGCCTACATTGCCCTTGCCTGGGGAGTGGTGTTCCTCTTCCTATCCGTCATTCCGCTTACCTTTGGTAATTTGCACGGCTGGACCACGGGTAACATCGGCCTCGCCTACATTCCCCTCATCGTGGGATGCTTCCTCGGCTTCTTTACTGGTCTGTGGCAAGACTGGATGTACGCTCGCAAGACAAAGCAGAACAGTGGCGTCGGCGTACCAGAGGCACGTCTGTACGGTGCTATGATCTTCAGCCCGCTCTTCGCAATAGGCATGATGATCTTTGCCTGGACCGGAGCGTATGCAGACGTCTCCTACTGGGGCCCCCTCATCGCCGAGTGCGCCATTTTGCTAGGCATCTACCACGTCTTCCTCTCCGTCTACTCTTACACCGGTGACGCCTACCAAGATCTGGCCTCTTCGGCCATTGCCGGGCAAGGCTTCCTGAGAAACATGTTTGCAGCCGTCACACCGCTCTTCGGCACGCAGATGTTCAACGGTATGGGCATTCAGTGGGCAGGCACCATGCTCGCCCTCTTGGCCGCTCTCCTCGCTCCTTTGCCATTTGTGCTCTTTGCCAAGGGGGAAACCATTCGAGCCAAGTCCAAGTACGCTGCACAGAACAAGGGCGCTGCCGAGGAAGGTTTGAAGAAGAAGAGAGATGAGGAAGCTAGCCCGCCGGGACTACAGGGAGAGACGGAAAAGGAGGGCGGAAAGGTCGCTGTTTAGACGTGCCAGCGGCAGTCCCATTGTGTACTTAGTTCATCCTTTATAGACTTCTATCCATTTGAGCGGACGAGCTAATGACGACGAATACCGCACGTAACAGCACCGTGAGCTTTCAAGCCTGGCAAGGCTGGTGTGTTTACAGACATTGAGGATGGCTCCTCACTCGGAAGCGCAAGCAGAGGGTCGAGTGAGGACAGAGCGACCGGCCCACTCCGCCGAGCTGAACCCACGGACACTGCAGTCGTGCGCCTCCGCGCCTCGCCTTGCGCCCGCCATCGTTGCTGCAAACTACATATACGGTCACTGGGACGGTGGGAGACATCGAAGTCGGGTCTCCATGGCTCAGTTGGTTAGCGCGCAGAGCTGTTAATATCTTCCTTGCATCCGGATTCGGAAAGAAGGTCGATCACACTCTGAGGTCCACAGTTCGAACCTGTGTGGGGACGATTCTTTTTGCTTTTCGATTGTCTGCCTTCTGCAGCGACGGATCGCAGACTTTACTCAGGCAGCGCCTCCATTGCCTTTGCAACTCTGGTCGCGATGCATCAAGGACGGTGTGTAGTCTGTATGCGATAGAAATACAGATATTGTACATTGGCAGCGGCAGAGGAGACGTCTCCTCCGACGTCAACCACGATTCGATTCTCCTAGCGTACACTTCGCTCTACTCCTTTTTTGCTTCTCGCAGCGAAGCATCCCTTCCCAGCCTCCACAGCATGTACGCCTTGAGTTCCTTGTCCAGTGCATCTACATTGCGCCAGTCTTCATCGGGGTTCACTGAGTCGTGCCCTTCCGACTCCCCTTCTGGCTTGGAGACAGGGGGAAGCAATTCGCCTACGTCTCTCCTGTCCCCGAGCTCCACCCTTCGATCTAGAATCTTCTGCCAAGGATCTGACGTGGGCTTGGGTAAAGCAGTGGCCCTACAGAGGTCGATCTGTACCGAGGCCATGGAGAGGTGGGAGCGCGACGGCCGAAAGAGAAGGTAGGAGTCTAGTGCGTACCGTCCCACACCTGGAAGGTGGGAGATCTCCGTCGCCGGGTAGAGGGGGCGTGTCTTTGTACGCTTCAACTTGCGAGCATCAGGATCGACCGCTTTAGCAGCCTTTGTATCGCCACTTCCGATAGCTCCTTCCTCTGCTGGCTCATCTACCATCGCCCAGCTGGCAGGCATGACCACCCTGCTCTTCGTCGTGACTCCCCACCGAGGAGGCGCCTCACACCACACCCTTCCCACCTCCTTCAATCTCTTAGCCCGAATGTTAAACAGTCCAATCGGCCTCAGCTTCTCTCTCAATTCATCCTCGTCCGCCTCACCCAACAGGCGCGGTGTAGGCCACCGATGCATAATCTCGTAAAAGACGGGTATGGCAGCCCGACCCGTCGTCTGATTGAGGAGTATGGTGACGACGAGCATGCCGAAGACGTCTGGTGTGAGGAGCTCTTGCACCAGACCATAGAAGCTACCTTGGCGATCCGAGGCGAGACCGTGCAGCTTGAGAGCGAGAGAGGGGAAGAGGGACGTGTCTGGGGGTGTCGCACTGGCTGGATCGTCGAGATCATCCGCTGGCTCCTCCTTGGGCTTATGCGCCTTCCGTGTCCTCTTGGCTTTTACCGAAGCAACACTCTCCACCTGCTTGCCAGGTTGCCCCTTCTTCTCAACCTTGCCCCCTTTGCTCCCCGCCGCCTTGAGCTGCGAGCTAAAGTACGAGGACAGCTGCTGGACGTTCTCGCTGCTCTCATCAACCTTGCGCCTCTTCCTGCCTGACCGCCGTACGATGACTGCTTCTGAGTCTGCATCATTGCCATCGAGCTGCACAAAGATGGCGCCGAGCTGACCTTGCTCGGAGAGATCGGTAGAGGATACAGCGGCGGCAGCGGCAGCGGGAATGACAGCGCCGTCTGAGCCGCTGTTCCTGCGATTGGCCGCTGCTGCCTTTTGCCTCTTTGCTGGCATAGATGGGCCAGATCGACGTCCAAGGCGGTACGTAGCGTGCTAGGAAGCAAGGATCGATGCCCCGTACAGGGTGTGTGCGGGAGTGGCGGGGGCGGCGGAGGTGGCCTGGGCGTGTGCGTGTGTGGTGTGCGTGTGCTTGTGCGTGGAGGTGTGGCTGAGACGATCGCCTCTCTCCGCTGACGCGGCCGCACAACGTCGAGCTTCGCCTACACCAACGATTCCTACCGTCACTCACCTCACACGTCTCGCATCCTTCCTCACACCCTTTTCTGACCCGTTATAATGTCAGATCATCAACCTCCAGCTGATACAAATGCCGCCGCCGGGCCATCGACGGGCGCGGCTGCCAACAACAGCGAAGAGCAGCAACCTCTCCTGGCTCCCGGTGACCCGGCAAAGGAGCAGGCACTCAAGGCCTTCAAGAAGGCTCTCAAGAGCCACGAAGACCTCAGTGGCGGACTCAAGAGACGTGAGTGGCAGATGACTGGCATTGGATATCAAGTCCCTGCTCTGAGGGCAATAAGACAGCATTGCTGACCATTCCGTGTATGTCTCATCCCACTCCTGGCCTTCTTTAGTGCGTTTCGGCTTGCGAGATCTAGAAAAGGACTTTGAGAAGACAGAGAATGACATGAAGGCATTGCAGTCGGTGGGACAGATCATTGGAGAGGTGTTGAAGCAGCTAGATGAGGAGAGATGTGAGTCACAGACGGGTAGCTCAAGCAGCAACTGCAGAGGTAACGAATACTTGGCTCATCGATATCGTTCCTCGTATTCCCTCCCACTAGACATTGTGAAAGCATCATCAGGCCCTCGCTACGTCGTCGGTCTCCGCTCAGCAGTTCCCAAGCACAAACTCAAGCAAGGCGTGCGAGTTTCACTAGACATGACCACCCTGACTATCATGCGTATCCTACCCCGCGAAGTAGACCCAATGGTCTTCAACATGTCCATGGAAGATCCCGGAGATGCCTCCTTTGCTGGTATCGGTGGACTGGGAGAACAGATCAGGGAACTGAGAGAGGTCATTGAGCTGCCTTTGATGAACCCAGAGCTATTTTTGAGGGTGGGCATCAAGCCTCCCAAGGGTGTACTGCTCTATGGACCGCCCGGAACTGGAAAGACGCTGCTTGCGAGAGCGGTCGCGGCTACGCTGGACACTAACTTCCTCAAGGTGGTGTCGTCGGCCATTGTTGACAAGTACATTGGAGAGAGTGCCAGGCTTGTGAGAGAGATGTTCGGGTATGCCAAGGAGCACGAGCCGGTGAGTGAAGAATGTGGTGGTGGGGTCAGCTCCCTTGAAGGGTCTGGAAGCTTACCGATCCCTTTCAAATCGCTTCGCCTGCACAGACCGTCATCTTCATGGACGAAGTGGATGCCATCGGAGGAAGACGATTCTCAGAAGGTACTTCTGCCGATCGTGAGATCCAGCGTACCCTCATGGAGCTTCTGAATCAGATGGACGGCTTCGACTACCTCGGAAAGACCAAGATCATTATGGCCACTAACCGTCCAGACACGCTGGACCCAGCCCTCATGCGTCCGGGTCGTATCGATCGAAAGATTGAGATTCCTCTGCCCAACGAGCAAGGTCGTCTTGAAATTCTCAAGGTTCACACGCGATCCATTGCCAAGAAGGAGGAGCTAGACTTTGAAGCCATCGTCAAGCTTTCAGATGGGTTCAATGGAGCCGATCTGAGGAACGTGGCTACCGAGGCGGGAATGTTTGCCATTAGGGAGGATAGAGACTACTGTCTGCAAGAGGACTTTATGAAGGCGGTGAGGAAGTTGCAGGAGGCAAAGAAGCACGAAACCAAGATTGATTACCAGGCAGTGTGAACGGGGTAAGAAGGGTCATGCGAGCGGGACTGAACTAGAGAAATAAAGGCGTTATTATCAGATACAAGCGAACCAGCCCACAATTGAGATGCTCAAAGCAGCGTGGTTTGCAAAGACAGGCGCCGACACAGAAGTTTTCCAAGGTGACTGGTGCATACTCATCCGGATGATCGTAACGTACAATATCTTTCTCCTTTTTACTTCTACTCACCTGAGACCTGACCGCTTCTCCCCTATAAGAACAGAAGCGCTCATCTACCCTTCCGACCTTGCATCTCCCTGCAATCCCAGCCCGAGCAAAGCCCCGCCCAGATCCTCCGCAACGGCCTCCTGGCTCTGCAGCGTGAGGATTGCTGCGCGCTGTCCCAACTGGATCAGCTCGGATAGGGCTTCGACGCTGAGAGTAGCCGGATCACGATCACCCCCGCTCGCGCTGCTGCTGGTGTCCCTACCTGTAGTGGAGGAGGACCGAGAGAGACAAAGGCAGAGCCCAGCGAGGACCGCACCGGCAAATGTGTCTCCAGCGCCAGTAGTGCTGACGACGTTGACCTTGCTGCCCTTGACTCCTGTACTGCTGGAGCTGGAACTCGATGCTCCTGGTGATGGATGAAGGGTGAAGTGCAGTCTGGAGGAAGACATGCTGGATTCAACCGAAGTCGGAGTCGCGCTCAATACCCCCCGTTCACCCATCGTCACTAGGAACCTGCCAAAGAAGGGCGTTAGGCTCTCGCAGAGAGCGCGAATGTACTTTTGCGTCTCTTCGACTTCGAGGGCACTGCTAGCGACATCAGTGGCAGTAGTAATGGCAGAAAGAGAAGGAGGTGGAGGGGAGGGCACCTCTTGAGGTGAGATCAACCCAATGTGCGCGGCACGAGCTACCATTGCTTGGAGCTCGATGAGATTTGGAGTGGTGAAATCGATGGGCGGTATACTTGGAGCTGCGCCTGGACTGGAGCTTTTAAGGCCTGCAAGTGCGAGTGCGTCGATGATACGTGTGCACTTGGCCGTCGAGGTGGGCTCGAAGAAGAGGATGGGTCGAGGAAGGCGAGCATCTGGAGACGTGGTAAGGTGGGTCAGAAGAAAGTTCTGCATCTGCGAACAATGCGATGGCGGGTAGGTAGACTTACCATCTTGATCCACCTTGTGCCGTATCACCTCGGTCATCGCCTCTGCAGTGAGATTTGCATCAAAGGCGATCACCCTTCCACCGCCCTGGCGGACTGCCCTCTGCAGCTCGCCTTTGACCATCTCTGGGGTCAGAGCTTCCTCAACGAGGGCCATGTCAGCCACACCAGTCACGAGATCGTTGGCTCCGTCCAGATGAAGCGAGCAAACTGGCGACCGAGACGAAGAGGCCTCCGCCCGTCCCACTGCTGCTGCTGCTGAGGGTGGCGGGATGAACAGTCCCGTGATGTCCATTCCGAGCTTTTGCAGGCCAGCACGCAATAGTGTGCCCGCTGCATCGTCCCCTAGAGGAGCGATCATCCTCACGGCGCTTGACTTCCTCTTGTCGCCAACACCAGAGGTAGAGGCCGAGGCAAGGACCTTGTGCGCCGCTTCGGCCATGTTTCTACCTACACCGCCGAGGGAGAAACGCACGCTGCCCCTGCTCGTCGAGGCAGGATTAAGAGTGGTGGAGCGACTGACTACATCCAGTGCGGCACATCCGATTATAAGAAGATCATGCCCGTGTGTTGAGCTTGCTTCACTAGTGCGCAGACTTGTCGGCTGGTGGGCAAAATGTTGAATTGCAATTTCAGCGCTTTGGCTCTTCAGTCCCAGTGTACTTCTGCATAGCTCTCACAGACTACGGACTCACTCCGCCGCCAGCCTCGAAGCCATTGAAGAGCTTCCCTTGTCCTTCGCCCCTCTGCACCGTCTCCCATCGCAATGCCTCGTACGCCTTTGCGGTTCGAGCTGCCATCCCTGCATTATTGACGACCAGCTCCACGTTGCTCTTTAAGCTGGTTCCCTTGGTCAGCTGCCCCACTCTAGCCAACAGCCAAGGCGTGACCTCTTTACCCTTCTTGTCTACCCCCAGCTGTTTCGCCTCGGCAACGGCTAGCTCGACGGCCTTCTGGATCTTTGCTCCGTCCGCCTCGCATTCAGAGGGGATGGGCACGCCGAAGACGCTCCCGCTCTGCAGTCCGTACCTCTCCCCCTGCAGGATAATCTCCGCCGCATTCCACGCGTCTTGCACAGGTGTAGCATACATCCCGCTCTTGGCAGTATAGAAGGCAGGGAATTCTCCAGAACGATTGAAGGAGTAGGTGGACACGCCTTGAGTTTCCAGGTACTCGAGTGTGAGGGGGATGTCGAGGATGGATTTCGCGCCGGAGCAGAAGATGTTGAGTGGGGTACGGGAAAGCTCAGTCAGATCTGAAGAAACATCCCAGGCTATTTGAGGGTCAAGGAGAGCAAGATTGCGTGAGCATGATAGTTGTCCAGTCCGCAAGCCTCCTCAAGCCAACTCACACCGCTCAGCGCCTCGGTGCACACCCCCGATGCCTCCCGTAGCGAAGATATTGATGCCAGCCATGTGGGCAACCAGCGCGGTCCCACTGACGGTAGTTCCGCCGATGGTTCTCCGTGCCAGCACCCCAGCCAAGTCTCTCCTGCCCGTCTTGAAAGCCTGTCCCTTGACCTGAGCGCTCTCCGCGAGCCTCTCCAGCTGTGACTCATCGCACCCTACGTGGATCTTCCCGTCCAGAAGCGCAATCGTGGCAGGCACTGCTCCCTGCGAGCGGACCTGATCCTCTACTCTTCGCGCTGTGCTGAGGTTGGTGGGATAGGGCATGCCATGGGTGATGATAGTGGACTCGAGGGCTACGAGTGGTGTGGCAGGCCGGGAGGACGTCGAGGCACGCGAGGCGAGGGCAGCTTGCACTTCTGGGTGTAGCACGAGAAGAGGATGTGGCTGTCTACGGGCCACGAGCGAGAGACGCGAGACGGTAGGGCGAACCATGGTGGCCTGCGCGCTGCGGCCCGAAGAAGGAGGAGTGATGGTATGGGATGGGGGAAGAGGTGTTGATCCCGAGAACAAAGGAAGAAGTGAGAGAGAGAAGCAGCGGAGATTGCCGATTGCGGAAGTGAGCATTGCGGGTGGCCCGGGAGCGCGACTGTCGGGGCTGCAGCATTGGTTGCGATATGGCTGTGAGGATCGCGTCTTGTTGTTCTTCTGTCACTCCATGTTTACCTCTTGGTTCAATCCTCCTCGCCACCATCAATACTCCTCGTCATCGTCCTCTTCGTCGTCGTCACCTCGGCGGACAGTGGCAACCGTAAAGACGCAGCATGTAGAGGTCAGTCCTTGCGACACTGGCACTCTCTAGACTGAGGTCTGGTCAAGAGCAGCCGCGCTGACTGCAGCTTGTCCATCCTGCCACTCACAGATCATCGGTGGTAGCCAATCACCCCTACCGCCCTTGCGACAGAGTCCTCGTTTGCCGGCGGAGCTCACCACTGAAATCTTGGTGCTAGCAGCTGCCTTGCTCCATGAGGCTCATGGTCCTGCATCTAGACGCGATGTGCTGCGACTGGCGGGCGTAGACAAGAATTCATATAGAGCCATTATGTCCCGTGTTGTCTTGCCAGCCCTAGACGTCTGCAATGTACAGCGGATCAAAGCCTTATCAGGGGCGCTGGAGGGCAGTGTAGCTGGGTTGGCCGATATTTCCAGCTACCACACTAGACAGATCTGCATTACCATCGAGGATCCGGATAGACGAACAGGTAAAGGCTCGACTCATGGCTTCAGAGGAAGAAGCGGTCGTGCGTCTTTATACGATCACCTCTCACGGTTGCAAGACTTCGACAAAGAGGCATGTGCGCCCATTCGGTACATACTTTCCAAGTGTGAGCGGCTCATCTCGCTCCGCCTCGAGACGACGCCGGGAGTGCTGGTCACCAAGAGAAACGTCTTTGCCGCACCCATGACAGACGAGCGGCTCACACCGGCTCTTGTAGACTCGCTGCAGCAAGTCAAGTGCAGTCTCGAAGAGCTCACATGTCTCCTCAGCCCATGGGGCGGAGCAGGGCTGGAAGACCTCTTCACCAATCTGATCAAGTCTCCCTCTCCCCCGCCGAACCAACCCTGGGGCAGGCTGACCCATCTACAGATCCATGGCCCAGCGGGGTTTCGAATCTCCCTTCCCACCTCATCAGCAATCGGAGCTCTCCCCTCCCTTACGCATTTAGGGTTGGTCATGCCAAACGTCGTGCGCGACGCAGGTATGGGCGGGGATGTCAATTCTCCGCCAGCCGCACTGCAGCTCCTCGTCCTCCTTGCGGACAAGCTGCAGAGGCTCGTCGTTATCGGACATACCCTTGAGGGATACCTGGGCTGGAGTGCTCTCTACAGAGCTTGGCTCAGGGCGCTCAGGCTGCCCCTCAAGGAAGACGAAATGTCTGTCGAGGGCGAAAGGATGGGCAGACCAACGCTGAGCGTTCAGCTGATTACTGCTCAAGTCCGGACCGAGGCTGGTCACGCTCCAGAGCTCGTTGGCGGAGTACAGTCGCCTTCGAATCAGCCACACCCCAACCATTTCACCTCGTGGATGATCGCCAGAGGCAGGGAGGGCAGTCACTGGGACTGGTCACTCCCATCACAGGATGCTGTGAAGAGAAACAAGGCAGGTGGCGCTGATCAAGCATGGCAAGTGGATTGGACCGTCGAGGAATGGGACGTTCCCATCGTTGAAGGCGTCGCCTTGAGCAGCACGCCGCCATCGCGAGATGCAGATGACGATGGCGCAAGGGGGCGAGGCGCGACGGGCGAAGATGAGCTCATGTTGACCGAAGATATGTCTCCTCCAGCCGATGACGTGGTGTATGGTATAGACAATCTCGATTGAGCTAATTGATACATATACAACAAGAGAGTGTCTACGGAATTCCTGCCATGAATAGTCCAGGTTTCTCCATCTAGCCCTTCTTACGCCAGACGCCCTGTATGAATTTCCTCTTCAGCTCGATCCCGCGCTTCCTATTCACTCCAATCCTCTCCACTACTTTGACCTCTTCACTCTCCACCTCCCCTCCAGCCTCTCTGAGAGCAGCACCAAGCGTACCCTTTACATATTCTTCCGAAAAGAAGAAACTCATCGTCCCATCTCCCCTCTTGTAGTAGTCGTGCTCCCCACTGAGCAGACACGGCTCCGCCCACTTCTCTTTACTGTGGAAACGCAGCTGAGCTAAATCTCCACGGGCATAGTCCCGGAAAAGGAGAGTTCCACCTGGTTGCAGAAGGGAGAAGAGGGAAAGGAGCACCCGCACTTGCTCTCCTGGTGGGATGGCCGAGAGGACAAAGATGAGCGAGACGAGGGTGGGAGCTCCGAAAGGATGTCCGGCCAACACAGCGTCCAATGTGGGGGAGGGCTGCACAAGATCGTGCACAAAGGCGTTTACCCGCTCAGAATCGTACGAGGGATGGCGCTTGACAATCTCTACGGCTCGAGAGGAGAAGTCGCAGCAGTGCACTTTCAGACCTGGCACTTTTTCGAGAAGAGGGTAGAGCATGTTCCCTACCCCGCAACCTACTTCTAGCAGCACAGGCGTAGCTTGGGAGGAGGAGGTGGAGAGCAAACTTCCAGAGACGAGTGCCTGCGTTTCGTCTGTGTCAAGGTCGTCGGTAGTACCACTGTTGCCGCCGCCGCCGCCGACACTGCTCGAAGAGACTTCCTTGAGAGCCTGAAATTCTCGATCTGTCCAGTTGCGGTTGTGGAAGAAGCGGTCTTCGTGCCTGTGCAGAGCAGGTTGGGAAAGCTTTGACATTAGTTCTACCGCCTTCACGTCATGAACACTCGGCTTCGCCACCTCACCTCTTGTAGAATCGATCCCAGTTGGCCGCGGCATTCTTCTCGCACTTGCGCACCATAAAGGGGGAAGCCGTATTCCGATTCTGACTCAAGATCTCCTCTACATGATCTTGCGGGGCGAGCGAGGCTGCAGCTGCACTTGTTCCTTCCATCGACTCTTCTGCCGCTCTGACGGACTGCTGTACAGCGCTTGTACTTGCGTCGGTATTGCTGGCCGTCATATCTTGACTGCTTGCGCCAGAAGAAGCGGAAGGAGCAGCTTTCCAAAATCTTGTAGGCGGAGCGGAGTGAGCGTCAGTCCAGTCGTGCTCCAAGCAGAGTGGAGTCGAGTGTGTGTCTTCCTTCCGTTCCGCGCAAAGGTCTCCTTCCTGCAAGCAACACCTTCCTCGCCTCGTACCATTGTCAAGAGGTATACCGCATTCTGCATATCCTTCCACGGCTGACGATACCCAATCAAGGAGCTGCAGCGTACCTCGTGCCATGTTCTCCTCCCCTGCACGGCCGACATCTTCGCGGAGGACGGCGGCTCGACCCTCGTCTGTCCATTCCTCTCGAGCAGGCACGCCCGTAGCCCGCACCTCCTCGCCCTCAAAGGCAGTAAACGCCTCATTCTTCGATGGTCCCTCTAGGAATGCCGCGTCCCCTTCGCGTCAAACATCTGCGCTGGGAGGAACTTCTTCTATGGCGAGGGAGCGGAGCAAAGGTAGCGCCAGGAGGAGGGACGTCTACGACGATACCGCTAGTCAGGCGGACGGAGACGAGGCAGTAGCGCAACAGCAGCTCTCCCTGCCTGCTGGGACTCTGTTGAAGAAAGACGGCCATAGCGCAGTGACTGTCTTCTCTGAACTTCCGAGAGAGGTACGCGAAGCTCTGGAAGCGGCAGGTGAGACAGGCTGGGCAGCGAGTGAGCAGCAACGGCTAGATGCTCATCGCAACCTTCTGCCTTCCTTCGCCTTTCCCTAGACCCATATGTAGACGCAAGTACTGGAAGTTTGGATGTAGTGACAGAGCATGGGATTCTGGTGACGAGCCGGAAGACCTACGTCTGGAGCTTTGGTAATGTGAGTGGCTCGCGGCCGTGAAACACTGAGAGCTCCCTGATCTGACGCTCTTTCTTGACGCTTATTCTCTTAGCGCAAGGGCTCCTTCACCACATGCTACACGTTCTCATCCCCTCCCTCCTCCGGTAGCCACGTACATGCCCTTCCATACGCCTCCTTGGTCCCTCGCTCAGCAGGAAGGGAGCCTGGCCTGCTCCTCGTCTCGGTCGACGGCGCTCTGCGCTTCTGGGACAGTATTGCCTCCTCCCTTTCCGGCAGCGAGCGGTATCAGTCCCTCGACGTTGCCCTCGGCGCTGCAGAGAGCGTGATCAACTTGCAGAGATGTGACTCGAACACTTTTGTCCTGGCAACCAGCCAAGGCCGACTCTTCAGAATCACAATCTACTCGTCGGGCGGAAGGCTGCAGGCCAACCTCGCGCCATTCAATCAACAGCGCGGCATCTTCGGCCGGCTGTTCGGCGGCGGTGGAGCGACGACCTCTGGCTTCGGTACGGGGTCGGAAGGGGTGATAGCGCTTGCCCCATCGCCAGCTTTGCAAGGACAAGGCAGCAGAGATTTCTATGCTGCTGGGCATAGGGTGATTCAGAAGTGGAGACTGGCAGACAGCGGGGGCGAGAAGCTTCTAGTCGAGCAGGACGTTGGCGGCTTGCTGGCAGCGCTGATCGATGGAGAGAGCGAGGAAGGTACGAACGCTGCAGATGCAATCAGTCTCGAGATCATCGATGCCGCCGCTCAGAGGTGAGTTCACAGCACGACAGGCGTGAAGCGAGACGAGAGTCAGCGAGACTTGACGCCTTCGTTGCATCTTCTTTAACAGCGACGGAGGTGTATGTCTGCTTTACTCGTACGCTCGTCAGACCAACAAGCCCCTGTACTACGGTGTCACTAGCTTGGCTCTCAGCGAACAAGGAACGTTCACTGTGGACAAGAACGATCTGCTCGAGTATCGCGCTCTGCGAGATCCTCGCCCGTACACGACTCCTCGTCTCGTGCTCCCAAATGGGGGCTCAGCCTACTTTGTCATCTTTGTGGACACAATAGTCACTGGTCTGAGTGGAGATCAGGGTACAGGCACGGCACTTCAAGATCAGATTGTGCTCAAGGACAGCGTTCGAAATCGCGTCCTGGGCTACGGGAGTGAAGACGCCGAAGTGCGCTCAGACGGCTCCGTCGCTGCTATCACTTGCCTGTGCGCTCAGAGCGGGACACTGCTGATTGAATTCGATGTCACAGCCGCCGAGGCTTTCACAGAGAGGTGAGCAGTAATGCACAGGATCCTGGATGATTCTTGATCCTGACATTCCCCATCTCCTCTTACTGTTCTGCAGACTTGAGAAGCCTTCTCAGCGTCTCGCCGCTCTGAATGAGCGCCTCCAGCGCAAGGTCGAGCAAGCGATCTTCTTCGACAAGGGTCTCGCCAACCCGCTTTCCTTTTCTATCACTGATCCTTCCACCCTGCAGGGCGAGCTTCCTTCCGTCGTCGAGACGATCAGCTCTTCCATCCTCAATTCGTCGTCACCGGACCTCCAGTCTTTTGTGGACCTCCGAGAACATCTCGCCGACCATCTTGAGAGACTGGTCAAGCTGGCCGAGGTCATCAAGAGCAATGATCTATGGAGGCTGGTGCCACATCGCAGCAGGTGCCGACTATCGTCGGATGCTGAGCTACTAGCAGCGGGTGTGGACCTCTGGGCATACCACAACGAAGTAGTCAATATGTTACATGGTGCGGGCGATATTGGAGGAGGCGCCTCGACCCCTCTGGGCGACGCCATCAGAGATGTGATGGCAGGACTGGGACTGGGACTTGGAGGAGATGCTGTGAGGATGTTCTTCAGAAACAGCGTGAGTAGACGTGCGAGGCGCGTTGCACGGAGGAAGTCGAGTCGTTGATACTGATCATACCATCCGCACCGTAGTTGATCGCTATCTCGTCTGTCTTCGAGCACCTTCTGGCTCGTCTCAGAGCTACAGAGGGCCATTCACTGGATACACGAGGGGAGGAGACTGCAGAGATCAATCGTGTTGCCTTGACTGCCTTCCAAGCGGCTTTCAGGTACAAGCAAGCGTCGGTAGACTTATACGGGCTGGAGAACAAGATGTCCTTTGAGGCCTGGACATGCAAGGTCACCTCGATCCAACTACTAGAGTCTCTTTTCATCGCTACCGAAGCTCTGATTCGAGATCGCACGCGAGAGTTGGGTAGTATTGTGGATGTAGACCCTAGCACTGCCTTTGGTGTGTCAGAGAACGACCCTACGGCAATCCAACAGGGAGCTCAGCTCGAGCTCAAGACGCAACTATGCGAGCTGTCGCGGTACACACTCGCCTCGTACGAGGAGCGCATCTCCTATCTGACCTCTGATCCTGCTCTCGATCGCGAGCGCTCGACATTTACAGCTCGCTTTCGGTCAGCTCGGCCCAAGTTGATCCATCCACTGGTCGCCATAGGAAGATCAGACCGGGCCTTTGCGCTGGCTGAGCGTCATCGAGATTTCAGAACTTTGACGGAGCTATGTCTAGACCCCAATGCCGGACACTCTGCTTCTCACATTCAGAGGTACTTGCGTCAATACCGCCAGGGTTTCGCATTCGAGCTCTACCAGTACTACGTAGAGCAGAATCGCCTCAAGGAGCTTCTCGAGCAAGGCTCCGAGTGGGGTGATCTGCTGCTCGAATTCCTGAAGGCAACGGACAATGCCTCGATTTCTTGGCTGCACGACTTGGCTCTGCAACGTTACCACGATGCATCTCAGACTCTTCTGCAAGAAGCTACATTCGAGGGAGTTTTGAGGAGCAAGAATGTCCTCCTCAGTCTGGGCAAGCTCACTTATGTCGCAGAGCTGACCGAGGATCGAATCGCCACCGAGGGCGAGCAGCGCAAGATCCAGCTCATCGATGACCAGCTCGACCTGATCAGTATTCATGAGAGGCTCCTGACCCTCTTCAATTCTGTCCTCCCCTCTCGTGGGGCAAAGGAGGTCCACCAGCAAGCAGAACACGTCGTCGCTGCCCTCTGCCAGAGACTTGCGGCCGAGGAGCAAGAAGCGTACTTGGCGCACTATCGAAATCTTGCAGAGAAGCTACTGCAGGGGCAAGTCATGTCCTCGGAGGACCTAATCGATCTTCTTACACTCAAGGACGTCTCCTCTGCCTCTCTTTCGGCAGAAGACGAAGACCCAGCCCAGCAGCAGCAGCAGCAAGACTTTAGCACTGCCCTCGAGATCTGTATTCGCGGCAGCGATCTACGCGAAGCGCCCCTGCGACTCCACCTCTCCCTCTGCTCCATCTGGCGACGGGCCATCCTTCAGGACGACTGGGCTAGTATTGCGCACACGGCAGGGTTGAGCGATCAAGAGCTTGCTGCGAGAGTGGCAAGGACGACCCTTGCCAAGACGCTTAGAGGAGCGTATACCGCAGAACACCTCAGGGAGCTCTTGCTTCCAGTAGAGACGCTGATAGAGGGGGAGGGGGAGGAAGAAGCAAGAGAAGTCCTCCTAGCGCGATTCAATCAGTACGGTCCCCCTACTGCTCACGGAGCTGCAACTGGAGCTCAACAGAGCATTTCCTCGTCGACTTCTTCTACAGCCGCGCAAGTTGAAGTCCTCTTTGCTGACCTGCAAGCCGAATTACGGAATGTGCGTGAGCTCTTGGAGGGAGAAGCGGGAGTGTGGATTCTAGAGGCGGTGAGGAGAGCAGAGGCAGAGGCAGAGGCAGAGGTCGAGGGGGAGGGGGAGGGAGAAGGGATGCTGGAGTGATGAGAGAGCCGTACTAGCATTTGAGGTGGGATGGGATAGGATGAGATGGGATGAGATGGGATGAGATAATACCAAGAAAGTCCAAACTCGTCTGACTGCGTGCTTCTGCTGTCTGCTGTCTGCTGTCTGCTATCTGCTATCTGCTATTCCCTTTTTTGGCTTTGATTGATGATTGACCGTAACGAGTGTCCGAATGACTTTTGTCCGCCTCCACCCTCCTCTTCCTTCGTTCTCCCCCTCCTGTAGCCCTTTGACCTGTTCCCTTCACCCTCCATTCCTTTCTCCCTGATAACCCCTCTCCCTCCGCTCCTTGCGCCACCTCAAGCCTTTGCCTTCATCTTTCCCTGTTGTTTCCTCCTGGCCCTCTTTTCCTCCAATTCCTTCCTCTTTGCCTGTTCCTTTTCACTCAATCCTTCCATCTTGAGCGCGTCTGCCTCCCTCTTTCTCTTCAATCTCGCCTCTTCCTCCTCTTCCTTTTTCCCCCGGTCGCGTTCTCGCTGTCGCTCCGTTTCGAATTCGGTACGGGCGCGACGAATCTTGGTGAGAGAGGTAGAGGTGGGTTTGATGAGGGAAAAGTCGAGGGCGTCGAGGAGGTTGGTGGCGAGGTTGAGGAGGGGGAGAGAGGCGCTTGCGTCGGAAGATGAGCGGGGGACGCGTAGGTTGAGGATGAGAAGACGCGGGTACGTCGAGAGCGGTGGTGGCTCACGTCTGTGAAGGAGAGGGTGGATAGAAGTCAGCTCTGAAGCTCTGACCTTGGAGCATGTCCATCCCGTTATGCATGTACTCACTCCTCGTCCGGCCTCTGGGCAGGTAGATCGGTGATGATCAAACTCTCCAGCCACTTCCCAGCAGGCGAATTGAGTACCGTCTGTACACCCAACTTCGTTCGCCTCTCTTCTCCCGAATTGCCAACCGCACCCAGGAAACCATCGGTGAGATCTGCCGTCTCGCTGATGACGGCCCACTGTGAGCTCAGTCCACGAGCATCTCGCTCCCCTTCTTGCAGGTCTAGCAATCGACCGAAGCTCAAATCAAAGGGACGAGACTTGCGGAGGGACTGCAGGACGGACTTGTCCACTAGGGCAAAGACACCAGAGAGGTTCTCGGTAGTGGGAGGGAGCTGGAATGTCAGGGTGAGACGATCCCGAGCGGCGGAGATGGGAGAGGCAAGGGCGAATTCGTAGAGGGTGTGGTAGACGTAGAGGAGGGGATCGTGTCGAGGGGTGAGGTGGAAGTGGGCGTGTAGACTGTGGAAGAGCGGAAGAGCGGACGAGCGAGGGGAGCGTGAGTGTATGCTTCGATGCTGGTAACTGTCTGACGATGAACATATGCTGTCTACTGACCTCTCTACCCCCCTCCTTCCACTGGCATAGAGGACTGCCTCATCTCCTCCATTCCACAGCAGTAGCTCCCCCTTTCCATTACTGTCCTTTGCGGTGGTAGCAAACTCCTTTTCAATGACGGGCAATGCCTGCTGTACCCATTTGTGAGCCAAGGCTCTATTGCGCCTTTTGCCAATTGCGTGTAGGAGTACAAAGAAGAGGGAGAGGACGAGGGCTAGGCCTTCCCACTTCAGGTCTACGGGCGCAAGGGAGATCTTGGAGGTGATCTGCCGCGGGCGGTGGAGGTAGTCGTGCAGCGCCTCTGAGAAGGTGATGGCGGGGGCGGGTGCCATGGTGGAGGCGGTGCGGGTGCAGGCTGACGACGACGGAGAGGAGGGCTACGATGTGTACTGCTTCTTGCACACGCAGTGATCGGGGCGGTGAGCACTGGGCGATCACTCCGAGGGTGGTTGGTGCTTTGCCTGGGAAGAAGTGGACGTGGACGTGGGCGCGCGCAGGACGCCACGTGGGGTCAAGGGCCTTTGTCAGGGCAAAGGCGGAGAGAGGATGACGTACAGGGTGCAGCCATGGGGCCTCTGCACGGACGTGCGACGTGGGACCAGGCCGCCTTCTTCGCCGGCCGCCCGGCGGCATCTGCTTGTGGGCGTGGACCCCTTCGGCAGGCAACTCGGCATCGTGTGTTCCCAGATTGGCACAAAGCATAGCCCTGAGAAGAATCAGCAAGCACAGCTCACCCAGTCTAGACACCTCGTCGCCTCCACTACCTTCAACCTCCTTCACCTTCCTTTCACATCCACATCTCACCTCCCGATACACTCCCCCCCCACACTCACCATGTTGTCCAACCACGTCAGCGCAGATCAGATCCTCGAGAGGGCAGCAGACCACCCTCATCTCAGCCTCATCCAAAAGGCAGGGGGTGGAAACACTCACACCAGCCACAGCACCATTCGTGGTGGAAGGTACCAGATTGAGGGAATCGTGAGTAGTCATCAAGCGCACGCCTGCACGAGGGTGATTGCAGTCCTCAATGTCTGACTCACGCCTATCCACCTCCACCCACCAGCCCAAGTACAGTCTGCCCAAGGACGGAATCTCCGAAGAGGCAGCCTACCATCTCCTCACCGACGAGATCACTCTCGATGCCAAGCCCACCCTCAACCTCGCTTCCTTTGTACACACTTCCCTCCCCGAGTGGGGTGAGCGACTCGTGGACGAGACAAAATACATCAACATTGTAGACCAGGACGAGTACCCTGCCACCCTCCAGATCCATGGCCGATGCATCTCACAGCTCGCTGACCTCTGGCACGCTCCTCAGCCCAAGGACAAGGACGGAAACGTGCAGAGTGCGTTTGGAACAGCATGCACTGGTTCCTCCGAGGCGATCATGCTTGGTGGACTGGCAATGAAGAAGCGATGGCAGGAGAAGCGACAAAAGGAGGGAAAGCCTTGGAAGGGACTCGGAAACGTAGTCTTTGGCTCCAACGCACAGGTCGCCATTGAAAAGTTTGCTAGGTACTTTGACCTCGAGATGAGATTGGTGCCCACTAGCCCAGAGAGCCACTACCGCATGGACCCAAAGAAGGCCATTGACATGGTAGACGAGGAGACCATTGGAGTCATTGTCATCCTCGGCAGTACCTACACAGGCCACTACGAGCCAGTCGAGGAGATGTCCAACCTCTTGGACGACCTGCAGAAGCGCACCGGCCTCGACGTCCCCATTCACGTCGATGGAGCCTCGGGCGCCATGGTAGCTCCCTTTGCCTCTCCCGACCTCAAGTGGGACTTCCAGATTCCCCGAGTCGTATCCATCAACACTTCCGGCCACAAGTTCGGTATGACCAATGTCGGTTTGGGCTGGGTCATTTTCCGACACCCAGACGTAGTGCCCAAGGAGCTGGTCTTTGAGCTCCACTACCTCGGATCTGTAGAGTATTCCTTTGGACTCAACTTCTCTCGCCCTGCCAATCAGGTCCTCGCACAGGCGTTCCGCTTCCTCTCACTGGGCTTCAGCGGCTACCAGGAGGTGATGGAAAACGACTTGAAGAATGCTCGTCTGCTGTCGCGTGCATTGGAGATGTCCGGCAAGTTCGACGTCCTCTCCGACATCCACCGTCCCATTTCTAGCCTCGCTGCTGCAGGTGCCAAGGCCGGCATTCTGGATGAGGACTCGGCAGCCTACTACGAGGCCGGTCTGCCAGTCATTGCCTTTAAGTTCACCGACGACTTCAAGAAGCAGCACCCTCACATCAAGCAAGCATGGATGCAGACTCTCCTCCGTGTCAAGGGCTGGGTCGTGCCCAACTATGAGCTCAGCCCCGACTGTGACAAGATTGAGGTCTTGCGAGTAGTGGTGAGGGAGACGATGACTGAGGACATGGTTGCCCAACTCGTCCACGATGTCCTCTCCATTACCGAAGACCTAGAGGACAAGGATTCTAGCTCTTCTCAACTCGCCTTGCTTGGTCAAGGTAGTGGAAGTGAAGCTCAGCAAAAGGAGAACAAGTTCAAGCACAAGGGAAAGCATGGAAACAAGAAGCACATGGACTTGGAACGAAATGCTGCTAGGATGGACAAGGGGACGGGTGTCAAGGCTACTGGGTATGCTAGACAGTGTTAATCTGTAGCCTTGATCACGATGAGGGGGAAGTCTGTAGAACGCAAAGGCCGAATGGTAGAGGAATGTGAAACAGTGTAGATTGAGCAAGTCTGTTTCTTTCCGTCTCGAATATAAATAAGGAACGTTTGCGTTACACCGACCGTCCCCTCGTCCCTCACCACAAGGTACGGATCACTCCAGAGCGTAGCACACGTAGCGTCGTCTCTCCCCTCCCCTTGTCTGCTCCCTCCCTCCTCTCGCCCTCTACCCCACCCACACCCCCATATCAAGCCTTCTCAATGAGCGCCACTCCCTGTGGATGCTCAGGCAATCCCTCCGTCAATCCATCTGGATCTCTCTGTCTCCTCAAACTAGCACTAGCATTAGAAGTATCTCCTCCACTAGTGGTAGTATTCAACTTGAGATCTTCCAGAACCCTCTGCCATAGTCTGGCCCGGATGAGTGGATCATCACATTCTGGTCGATGGGTGAAACCGGCATGGGTACGGTTGATGAATTGACCACCGATACTGGCGCTTAATCCGCTTGGGATGGGAAGAGGGAGGGAAGACTTTTCCTCTTCCTTTCCGCTGAGGGCAGAAGAAGTTCGAATGTACTCCTTTGGCAATCCCAAGTCGGTACGCAATGCAGCGTGCAAGATGGCTAGACTTCCTTGCTGACTAGTTACACTGATTAATGCCATCAACAAGTCGAGTCCTTTGACTAGAATAGTAGGTAAAGCTCTAATCGTTGGTGAGTTCCACAGGTTACTCTTGACAAAACCAGGATGAACACCATGGGCGATGACATGTCTGAATTCATCCGATCGACTCAAGCGACGTTGAAGTTCGACGGTCCAGACTTGGAGACGGAGCTTGGCATTGCAGTAGAGTTGAACACCGTGGAGACCTCGAGAGGTAGCTCGCTCGTTGTTAAAGTCGGAAAAGTCTAGGACACCGCCGAAGTGGAAGATGGAGGTGGTGTTGACGATGCGTGGAGCGGCGGACTGCGAGGAGGGGAGGGAAGGGGGGGAAAGTGAAGCTCGCGAAAATCAGTCAGTATACGCTGTTCTGTACGTTTATGTCACCATAATCGCTCTCTCCACTCACCTTCTTCATGCTAGGCAGCACATAAAGCGTAAGCAAACAATGTGCCATAAAGTTGATCTGGTTCACCAATTCAAACCCGTCCTTTGTAACAATTCTCTCCGAAGCTCCACCCACACCAGCATTATTAGCAAGTACATCACAGATCCTTCCACTCTGACGCCATTTGCGTCCAAAAGCTCTCACGCTATCGAGTTTCCCAAAGTCGACTTCCCACCATTCGAATTGTTCCGAAGAAATGGAAGAGTCCCGTGCTAAAAGGTCGGCAATAGCGTCCTTTGGGTGCTGCTCATATGGTGGTGGATCTCGACAGGCAAGAATGACTGTTGCACCCCATTGAGCAAAGACGAAGGCGGCTTCTTTACCAATTCCGCTATTGGAACCGCTGACGATGACGGTTTTCCCTCGTAGGTCCACACGGGGAGGGAGAGAGCGATAGCGTGCATGATCGGAGAAGTATTGCCAGTAGCGACGACGGAGAAGACCCCAGATGGGGGTGGTGGGTAGACCACCAGCACCTTTACAGTGCGTCTCGTAGACGGATGGGGGCATGTTGCGAGGGTTAGCGCTAGATGAGGTGGAGTCGAGGGGAGTGAAGTGGAGTGGTGTGGAGGGCAGTTGCTGCGTGCTTCCTCGACGCTAGCTGTATCTTCCGGCTCGTGGTAGAGAGATGGATGCACTTGCTAGTCCAGCTCAGGTAGGTGGGTAAGGAGGTGTCACTCGTATCTCGAGGTGTGGTAAGGCTCCAAAGACGTGGATGATGTAGCAGCTGAGCGGGCGTGATGCTATGATGCGACCCCCCCAATCACCCCGGCCAAGCGATCAGCTCCCTTTCCGCTCGCTTCGGCATTGACGCTTCCCCGCACTTCATCGGCTGTGTGAAAGAGCGTCACTCAGGCACGGAGAATTCATCTCCTTCCGTTCCGATGTCTCAAGCATGGCAAGCGCCGCTTCGCCAGAACACACGACAGGTAAGTATAAAGGAATCACATTGCAGGCTAGTCGTACATGCTACTGGAAATCTCTCAAGTCGCTGAGCTCAAGCTCACTAACCTCTACCCGGTGCGAGCCATCTTGCTCGCATCACCACCGCCCAGCTCGACAAAGTCCGTGTCCCGTTCGCGCTTCTGGCCTCCTTGCTGGCGGGGCATACTGGGGTGGAAAAGGGGAGGAAAGGGGCCGAGAGATTGTCAGCACGTCGCACTCTTGACATCTCGTAGTTGAAGCCTCGCCATCTTTCAGATACTCACTTCCTAGCGCGATTGTATGCTCCGCCATCCATCGGACCTCCGCCTCCATTGGCTGCCACCCCCGCTCCAGGCGGCATACCAGGGCGATTCATCATGCCCATATTCATACCCATGCCCATCGCAGCTGCCGGGTTGTTCATGCCCATACGCATGTTACCCATTCCGCTCATACCATTCATCCCCATCATGGGATTCATCTGCTGTTGCTGCATGTTCACTGGTCGGAAGCCTTGCTGAGCTTGCCATCCTGCCCCTGCCCCTGCACCGGGCATACCTCCCATGCCGCCATTCATACCGGCACCTGCCCCACCTGCAGCTCCTCCTGCTCCACCATTGGACTGCATCCGTATAAAAGCCATCTGCTGGGCCTGCAGCTGCGTCTGCAGCATCATCCTCATTGGTGGCGGTAGTCGCGGGTTCGATAGGGTCATCACCAGCTGCTGTACCAATTGAGGATTGAACATCACCACAGGTACGTTCGAGGGCATGTTCGGGTTGGTCGATGGAGGGTTACCATTCGTAGAGACGGCGCCGGCTTGAGCTGCTTCGCCTTCCTTGCTCTGAACGGACTCTTCTCCGGTGGGCTGGCCGTTAGCAGTGGTAGTAGCCGCCTCTTCCTCTTCCTCCTTGATCTTCCTTTCGCTCTCTTCCTTCTCAGCCTTGGCCTTTGCCTCGCTTTCCTCTCTCTCCTTGACCTCCTCCTCACTCTTCCCTACCGCCTCTTCGACGTAACTCTCCACTTTCTTGCGAGTCTCATCGTCCTTCTTCAAAGTAGTCAGATCCCCAATGCGCTTCTCGCACTCGGGACATGAAAAGTCGTGCTCGAGGAGATGATTCTGGATACATTCTTCACAGTAGCGGGTAGAGCAGCAGGGCGTTTGTACCGCAGATCGAAGGAGCTTTGAACAGAGGGGACAGGCTAGCGTTGAGTCTGAAGGAACGGATTGGAAGACGTCTGAGCGAGAGAGGGGCTTGATCTGGTTGCGAGTGTTCTCCCAAGTAGCGCTGGCACGAAGAAGAAGACAAAGGCATCGTCTCGTTAGTGCTCAAGCCCTCCCACAGCGACCGGTCTTGCTACTCACCTGTCCACTTGAGCCACAACATACGTTCCATCAGCAGTAATCATCACTCCCGCCTGCCTCTGTTCGTCTGTAGGAGCCTCCACAGTCTTAAGCATACTCTTCGGAATACCGGTCGTTCTCTTCAGCCTAGGCTTGTTGTCCCAGTCCGGATCCTGGTTGGTAGGGCAGTCATAGATCCAGTGGCCCTTCATGTGGCAACGGTAGCACACGTATGTCGGAGGAGGCGGACGATCTGGAGCTGCCTGGTGAGGGGCTGAGTCTCGTGGCGTATAGGTCCGCGGTGGTCCACCTCCTCTGGAAGGCCCGCCGCCACGAGACCGAAAAGTAGCGTGAGACATCTTCTCTTGAGTCGCATCCCATTGGTCGGTTGTAGCCTGAAACATCGCTGCGATACTCTCAGCCTCGCCCTGGTCCCCGTTCGCCAGACTGCTGGGCATAGAGAGCTGAGGGGCAGGGGTCGCGCTGGAAGAAGGCTCTCTGTCCTTGCCTCTGTCGTCGAAGCGGATGCTCATGGGTCCTCGATAAGAGGGTCCTTGTTGCCGCTCATCTCTCCCGCCTCGTACACCGGCACGGGAGGATGACTCGCCAGCGTCGCCTTGCAGGTCAGCAATGTAATTTTGAGCATTTCCCCGCCCTGGCTTTGAGGGCGGAAGTCGTCGAACGATTACTGTTGAGGATCGAGAGATGGAGAAGCTGTCATCTCGGTACTCTAGTATGCACAGCGGAAGTTCAGAGGCGTCAGTATGTTGCCCTCTCCCCTGTGCTCAGCTACTTGCTTCCCACTCACCTTCGTTCGTATCCGGATTGTAGATCCCCAAGTCAAAGTCTGTTCCTTTTCCCATCTTGTTCTGCAGGATGATCTCCCTCTTCAGATCCCAGACGGAGATGGACGTGCCATCGAAGGTGACCCTCGAGGGCTCCCTTTGCGACTTGAACTTGTAATAGACCGAAGAAGACGACATGGCTGGGGAGTTGCTCGCCTAAGCAGGGATGATTGGGGAGGCTGGTCACGGGTTTGGAGGTGGAGATAATGACTGGGCCGGTGTGATACTATCAGGGCTGGTCTGACAGCAGCAACGACCTGTCCAGAGCAGTAGAAGGTTGAGGTGATGTACTCTGAGATGAGCGTATCCGAGATGGACTGCGCTTGAGGGACCGCTGTGAAAACCGAAGCGAGCGAGCTGCGATGTCGACCTTCTATATCAGCTCTGGTTGGACGTCCGGACCGGATCAACTTCTATGAATGCTCTTATTGCAGGAGCCAGGACAATGAGAAGGGGTAATGCAGACGCAGGTAGGAAAAGCAATGGATGGGTAGGGTAACAATGTATGCAGCAAAAGCAATGACAGAGGATGCTAAGTAGGACAGCGAGGCAGAATGACTGGCAGTCGCCAGTGATGGAGAAGTGAGGAAGATGAGACGGCACAGGCGCGACACCTGACACTAGGATGAGGAGGATAGAAAGGTGAGGACGGGAATGACTCCGGGGCAGGTAGAGAAGTCATGCGAGGACGTGGACGAGAGCTTCCGTTCCTCCGTTCCGAGAAGCTTCCTGCCAGCCGTTCCGAGAATTGGCGCGCTGACTCCGCTCGCTTCGACTCGCGCACGCGATGGCTACCACCCAATCCTCATATATCAATCACATAAGAGACAGTGGGATAGCGCTTCCAAATTTATCACATTCATCAGACTCGTAAACAAGTGGTACTGGAACAACATACGTAAGATACACCGATACTCAATGGAACAAAAGAGGCAAAGCTGAACGACCGGCTATGCCGCATTCGAAAGGAAAGAGATCAAAAGGAGAGGCAGCAGGGAAGCTCACAGCTTGACCGGTCACAATGTTCGGTCCGATCGTCGCACTACACAGCAACAAGCAGCAGCGAGCCGCTCTGATGAGCACGCCTGCGACACTCAATTGCCAAAGATGGCGCTGAGGCCTTCAGGGCTCTCCAGCATAGCGGATACGCTGTGTGCAACGCCCGGTACAACGGCAAACTGATGATTGAAAGCCGATGTCCTGAACTTTGCCAAGGTGTCCGCAGTGGTGGTCGGATATGTCCCAGCAAGGCGGGGCTTGGTCGATCGGGGGTCGAGAGTAGGGAAGAGACCAGGATAAGACGGTACGTCGGATCTTCCTGCCAAGAGGTGCAGGTAGGCCCAGTAGTCGTAGTTTCGGTCCCGCCTGGCAGGACCTCCGGCAGCTCTGCCAGCACACGTCTGATCGCCTTCGGTGGCGGTCGTGTCTTGATCTCCTACCAGATAGCGAACATCTCTGGTCATGTAGCGCTTGAAGAGACTGGAGGCGGTCAGAGTCAAGGGATAAGGGGATGCGTAATTATACAGACCGTAGCGGAAGTCGTTGTACCAGCCGCAGGACCCGGTATCGACGGGTACCGGGCGATCTCTGGTAAAGTAGAGATTAGTAGAAGGATTGGCAACTACGTAACGTAGTGCAAGACCAGCACGTGGAGAGTCCTGGCCTAGGGCGGCATATCTTTGGATGCCCTGAGCGCCTGCGCCATGGCCAACAAAGACGACGGTGTCCAGATTGGGGTAGACGCTTCGATCGGCTAGGGCATTGAGATAGGCATCGAAGACAGCTGCGATGTTGCCAGAAGTCCCACCAGGAGCCGTCGGAGCATCACCTCCTACCCACGCGTCCGGGTCCGCCCAGCCCATCAGAGATCCCTTGCGCACGGCCGCGTCCTCAGCTGTCGACAAGAAATTGGGAGCAAATCGGATCGAATTTGCATCACTTGTGACACCAGCACCGCGAGCACTGGCGTACGCCTTGTTGATGATGTTCCAGTAAGTAGCTCCATTTCGATCTCTACCGTGTAGAACGACGTAGGCTCTTCTAGCGAGCCGAACGTTGGTGGGTGTCTTGCCGACAAAAGTAGTGATCGTGCCTCCACCCACGCTGTAAGGAATACTGTTGGCTGCCGAGGGTGGATTGAGGTTAGTGACACTGGCAGGAGGGGTACTTGTGAATCCATACAGAGTATAAGCGTCCCGCTCGAAGAATGTCTTCAGATTCTCCTCCTCTGTGGAAGCTACTGGTGCGGCAAACCCAGGTGTTGCGGTAAGGCCCACGGCTAGGATGCTGAGGAACAGCAGGAGGAAAGAGGAGCAGGCGCGCGAGCTCGGCGAGCGAAGCGAAGCGAGGAACATCTTGAAGCTAGAACACAGTCAGCAGGCGACAGTCGGGAACTGGAAAAGGGAGGGTCCAAGGAGAGCAGCTTCTGGGGAAAATCAGTAGGATTAGGGCTCTGAGCTGGCGGTCAAATAGGCGTCAGGCCGGTGCTCAAATCTGCGTAGAGAAGGCATCGAAGCCCTGTACAGAACTACGTCAGGTGAGCTAAAAGACGATAGTGGTTACAGGCGATCGTAACAGGCAAGCGAACGAGGCAGCTCGGTCTTTGCAGAGGCGGAGCAAAGATGCTTGTACGATCTCTCGCAGATAACGAAACCAAGCTGGGTGGGGTAGGGTAGAGTAGCGAGGAGCGGAAAGAGGTTATCCGTGTGCTAAGCGAGGCGGCTCGGTAAAGGTGGCTTGCGCTAGAGAGCCTCTACGGAAAGGGTGCTTCGTCTGTCGTGGCGTCGTCGTGAAAGAGATCAGTCACCTTTACGGAAGGTCGTACTAGTCGGAGAAGAAGATAGAAAGGGTGCAGGCGTGAAGGAGTGTGGGAAAGGTAAGGATCTGAGATGGAGCGGGGTAGGGCACATCTTTGTAAAAATTGGAGATGGTGTTGAAGGCATAGCGGCGTGGGGCTGGGGTGACGACGGTATCGGACCTCGGCACGGGGTCGGATATGCTGTATGAGCGAAAGGCTTGCCAAGATACGAAGGCACCCTGCGAGGTAGCACAGGGAGCACAGAAGCGCTCAGAAGGCCGCACTATCACCTGACCAGGGTGGTCAGGCCCTTCCGCTGTACGGCAAGGGTAAAGCCGCTCGCACCGTTCTCGACTGAAAGGACGTATCCGAAGAGCGTTGGTCGGCAAAGGTCGGCAGACAATGCAATCTATATCGTCTTTGCAATTGTTTCATCGGACGGATGCGCGGGTGCAAGGGTAAGTGTACGGGCAATCGCGGACGAGAAGCATCGACGAGCAACGCTCGCTGGCGGGGCGTGCGGGTGGAGGTTGGGAAAGCCAAGGCAATCAGCGGTGTGCATCTCTGCCCACGACTGTCCAAATTATTTGTTTGTTCGCCTAAGCGGGCGGTAGACAATTCATTGCACAATTGCAAAGGCCGCGGGCAGCCAAGCACTCTTCGCTTCTCAAAAGGTCGGGCTGAGTCGTCGGAGATTGAGATACGGGAAGGTGGGGTCCTGCAGCGAAAGCCAGCCGGGAATTGGGGATCACGTGCGGAGCTTGGCACTCGAGAGGCAGGCCACGTACTTACGACGGAAGGGGATCACTCAACACGTTGTACCCATTATGGCAGCGTCGAGGGAGTGAGTATGACGAGCTGGACAAGTGACCTGCAGCTGGCCCAACGCCACCACGAAGCTCGGGATCGATAGCCGTAGGGCAGGGCACGAGGCGGGGGATTGCAACACTTTCGAATTCGACGCACGACAGCCGACCTCGCTTGACCGATCACGGAACCGCGATCATCTATTGCCGCTGCTCACACAAAGTCAGCCGGCGAAACCTTAGACAATCGACCCTCACATTCGAGGGTTGGAAGCATCATGTATGCCCGGCGGGGATGAGGGTCTCGGCAAAGCATTGCCAGCACACAGGCAAGGTCGTTGAATCGAGAGTTGATTGGAATGTGTGATACAAGTACAGTGCCCATGATGCCGACGCAGCAAAGTATCCCCGTTGTCACCAAGGGCAAATTGTAAGAATACATGAAATGGTTCGCTTGAGGCGGGACGGAAAAGGTCAGGCGAAGTTTGTGGGTGCAGAGTCAAGACACAGAGGAAAGTTGAGGTTGGTTCAGCGATGCCGATGGATCTCGAACCATTCCAGGCTCGATGTGATCATCTGCCGACGTCGCGAACGGGTATACCGCACGGACCCCATTTACTCCTCCTGGACGAGGACTTCAGGAATTCGACCTTTCACATCTCCATTCTCATCGCCAACGTCGCCATTGCTACCGCGCAAGACTTGCAGCAGAGATAGCTTTGGAAAGTGTGTCTTTCCCGGACCAGTGTTGCCCAGCAAGTCTTCGCCATAGCTCATCAGTCGTAGCATCTGAGGTAGCTTCGGGTCAGCACTCTGCGACTGGCTGGCCAGAATAGCGGCATTGAGCTCTCCGGCAGTCTTGAGCTTCTGCGACACGGAGAGGAGCTCAGCGATATGAGGCGGCGGCTCGAGAGCTGTAGAGGCACCTGGTGCAGATCCGCTCCCCAAGGGAAGATCGAAGGCTAGTAGAGCCATTGTCTTCTCCAGTTCCGGCAACAGCTCAGGGAACTCCTCTCCACGCGGAGCCAGCTCTTCTGTTGCGAATTGCAAGGCAGAAAGGATGTTCCCAGAGCGGATGAGCTCAATGAGCCGCTGTTGCTGGAGGTGAAAGAAGAGCAGTGGGTTTGTGTCGAGAATCTATGCGGCGAAGATGGGCAGGATGTGCGTTAGTGATCTGGCCACGTGGAGATAGGCAATTGGATGTGCATCTCGCGCCTCTCTCATCCGTCCCATCTTCGACCTCGTTGTTCACAGCTTTTGTGCTCAGAGAGAAGATTAGTTCTTAGGTGATCGTGATCATCAAAGCCGAAGCTAAGCGTGGTGCATGATATGGTTTTGTCATCCTGGCGAGTGTCTGTTCCGAGAAGTCCCCAGACGCCCCTGTTTCCCTACTACCGGTGCACTAGATCGAGCGGTCGTGCTACTCACCTCGGGATCGAGTTCATTGACCCTGCCAATGGCGTCCTCGACGTCGCCTCTCTGTATCGCAGATCGAATCGTCATGCGATTCTGGATACTGTCCAGATCCACTTGAGGGGACAGACCGGCCTCGACGGAAAACCTCTGAGCCGCATCTTTGTAGCCCTCGATGACCAGGTAGTCCATCACCAAGCGATTGAGATCACTAGCGTGGGGAAAGGGAGACAGCGAAGGACAGTCAGCTATCTGTGCAACAGAGGCCGTGGAGAGTCGCTCGTCCCCTTCCTCCTGCTTGCGTAGCGCCCACTACAATGATCAGTGTGCAAAAGTAAAAGTAGTTGTCCTCAGGATGTGTAGGAGAGATTCCCACTTTGTGCAATATTTGAATCATCATACAAGTCGTGACCTGTCCAAGAACCGTCTCTGCTGTCTAATTGCTGCTGAGAATACTCACTCCTTGTTGACTGCGACTTCGTTGAGTTTCCGCTCCCATTCTGCCTCGGTAAGTTGCTTCTTGGCCTGAGATAGCGTGAGTGGGGGGGTCGAAGTAAGCAGATGCACTGGAGAGGAAGAATGGTTCCGTCGCCGTGTGTACTGACCATGTTGGCTCTGCGGCGGTCAGGTCATCGGTGAGACCCGATGGTATGCCTGGAAAGACGAGGGAAGGAGACGAGGGAGGAGAAGAGACGACGGTGAAGAGAAGCAGCAGACGCTCTCTGCCTCTGTCGCGCGCCCTGCGCTGGGCGGCCAAGCGCTCCCGGCCACCACTGCTGCCTCACTTCCGTCCCTGCCGGGCAACACTTCTGGGATCCACTTCCTTCCTGAACGACGACGTCACCTCAGAGCCATGGCAGAGGTCATGGCAAGTTCGAGCGTGGCTGGTACCGCCAACGGCATAGCCGTAGCCAACGGCCACGATGCCGAGGTGAACGACCAAGCTGGGCCTTCCCAAGTCGCTTCAGGCTCTTCCGCCCACCGGTACCGCTTCCGCCCAACACGGCACCTCTACGAGCCTCCTCAGCCTCCACCACTGGACCACAAGGTCGAAGAGGAAGCGGCTGCGCAGGCAGCTGCTCTCGCAGCAGGCTTCGAAGGCAGAAAGATGAGAAGATTTCTGCAGAGGCGGACGGTCGATTACATGGGATCATGGATGAAGTACAGGGATCAGAGGATGCGGACAAGTACACCCAGAGGAGACTACTACCTCAAGCCCAGTCCACATTGGGTTGTCGATGTGAGCCTTACAATCGAGAGAAGCGGAAGCATTGTTGTTTCGTGTAAATGCTGACCATCGAACCCTTCCACCATCGCCCCGTATCAGCTTCTCCCCGCTTCAGCAACGTGCTCTCCTGCATCCTCAGCTGCTCCTCACTTAGTCCATACCTCGACCAATAAAATTCGAACACCAGTCAATTGCGTGACCTGGCTGCCATCCTCACGACGTCTCCTCACAGGCTCCTCTTCGGGCGAGTTCACCCTCTGGAATGGTCTCACTTTCAACTTCGAGACTATTCTGCAAGCCTGCGACAACGGCGTCCGTGACCTGCAATGGTCTCACTCTGGCAACCTCCTCCTGTCTGGAGACGCGGGAGGGACCGTCAAATATTTTTTGCCCAACATGAACAACGTTCTGGCCATTGATGCGCATAGAGAGTCTATCAGGGGGATCAGCTTCTCGCCCGACGACGCGAGGTGGATCAGTGGGAGCGACGACTCCACCATAAAGATTTTCAATACAGAGAGAGGTCTGGAAGAATCAGTCCTCAAGGGTCACGGCTGGGATGTCAAATGCGTGCAGTGGCATCCTTTCAAGGGACTCATTGCCAGTGGTGGAAAGGACAATCTCGTCAAATTCTGGGATCCGCGGAGAGGAGGCAGAGAGATCGGAACATACCACGGCCACAAGAACACGATCCAAGCACTAGAGTTCTCCCCCAACCACGTCTCGAACTCAGAGCTGCTAGCATCGGCTTCCAGAGACCAGACAGTCAAGCTGTACGATCTGCGCATGATAAAAGAGTACATGACGCTCAAGGCTGCGCCTGTGGAAGGCGGCAGTGCGGAGACGGGTGGGGTGTGCTCGCTCTCCTGGCACCCTTCGGCTCCTCTCCTCTCTTCGGGTCTGTCGACGGGAGTACTTCAGCACCACTCCCTACTGCCATCTGCCACACCTGATCTACCGATCAGTACGGTTCCGCAAGCGCACGACCAGTCCATCTGGGCGATGAGCTGGCACCCGCTAGGCCAAATCCTCGCTACAGGAGGCAACGACTGTTTCACCCGCTGGTGGCAGCGCGAGCGATTGGAGGAGGGAGACCTCAAGGCTGTCAAGGACCAAGAGGGTGGAGTTCTGGGCGAGGGTGTGCCAAGCAGAAGCAGGAGAGATAGAGGCGCATATGCAGATGACGATGACGACGGGGATGCCAATTCTAGCTTCATTCCTGGACTCGGAGGAGCAGGCCCACCCAGAGGAGCTGTCGGAGGTGCTCCTGGCGCGGGTGCAGGAGGAAGTGGGACCCGCGACGACTTCCAGAGAAGAGATCGACCTCCTCCTCCTCCGGGCTTTGGCTTTCAGGAAGAATTCTCTCGACCCACTCCTCCCACGTCGGCTCCTCCTCCTCCTCTTGGCTACGGCAATGGAGGCGGCATGGGTGGGGCACCGCCTCCTCGGGCTACAGGTGCGAACGTTGGGGCCCGGGACGCTGGGTGGGGAAGGAGTCGGCCCGGAGGCGGGAACGAGGGCGGCGGTGGGGGCGAGTATGGTGGAGAGGTTCAGCAAGGCGCATATGGCGGGCAAGTCCAGGCCTACGGACAACAGCAGCAACAGCAGGGAGGATATTCGCCAGCACCTGGACCTCCTCCCCAACTCCAACAGAACTTTCAACGCCCCCAGAACGGCGCGTATGGAGGCGCAGCACCAAGTGTGGGTGCGGGAAGTTTCGCTCTGCCTGGACTGGGCAGCGGAGGGCCTCCGCCTGGTGGCGCTGGGTTCCCTGGATTTGGAGGACAAGGCGGTCAAGGGCCTCAACAACCCCCTCAGGGCAATTATGGGTATGGATCTCAGCAAAACTATCAGCAGCAGCAGCAGCAAGGCAGAGGAGGGTACGGCTACGGCAGATGAAGTCACAATATCGAGGCGCGCAAGACTTCTCTGTTCGTTTTCAATGTAATTGTATCAATTTCACGTGGAGAGGCCGTCTGATAAAGTGTCCTAGTCTTGTGACGTCGTCTGCTGTAGTGGTCAGGCCTCAGGCTTTGCCGGCGCTGCCGAAGAGCTCGAGGAAGCGAAGAATACTCTGTGGGGAAAGAGGTGGGTGTTGTGGAGGAAGACGGCATGTGAGCTCGAAGGACATTGGGGCGCACCAAGCTGAGCTGCGTGCGTTCAGCAACGAAGAGAGAGAGACTTACCTTCTCGAATTCCTATCAGTTGTCGGACGGAGGGATCATCGGATTGGAATTGACACCTGTCAGCTCACTCACTTCAACCGTCCACCGCCTTCTCTCTCCCGGCGCGTCCAAACTCACCTTCATTCCCCCTTCGTAGAGATCCGGCAATCCCTGCTCCTCCATATGCTTCTGCCAGTAATTGACCTGTGGCTCCCTTGCCCAGCTGTTCATGTTCATCTTTCTCGCTCCCGCCTTTACAAGTGCGGTGAAGAGGGAATCGGGAACATCGTCTGTGCCGTGGATTACAAGGTAGGAGCCCGTCTTTGTACTTGGACCGACGGTGCTCTGGAGTTGCTCTAGGAGGTCGAGACGGAAGGGTTGGGCTGATTCGGGTGGTTGGAGGTAGCTGTGGAGTCCAAGGTAGAAAGGTTGGCGATGTCAATTCAGAAGTAGACGAGCGCAGGAGATGGTGATACTCACGGTTGCCTTCCGTGTACGTTGCCGATGGAAGGTGCAAGCATCTGAGCTCCGAGCTGGGACAGGAACTTCTCGGCTGTATACGAGCAATACAGAAGGTCCACGGTCAGTCAGCCATTTGCCCTTCTTGATGACCAGCAGCTGAGTGACTCTACTCACCCTTTTCAACCTTTGTCAATGCCCCTTCATCGATGTTCCTCACCCCTGCCTCTCCTCCTGCCAATCTACCAAGCTCCACCTCTACGGCCATCCCAATCTTTGCCGCCCTCTGACAATGAGGCATGGCCATTTTGATATTGTCTTCATCCGTCTCATGATGTGAGCAATCGATCATAATCGAGTCTAACGCAACCCCTTCTTCAGCCCAGGTGAGAGCACGATCGATATCCTCGTCTGTTCCAGCATGGTCGAGGTGGACGCTAATGGGAACAGAGGCGGCGTGGGCTGATTCAAGGCAGAAGCGCAGGAAGGGCTTGCCGAACTGCACCATCGTTACGGGGAAGATCATGATCATGATGGGAGATCGAGCGGATTCGGCTGCTCGTATCGTGGCGATGACGGATTGGGCATCGTAGCTGTAGTCATAGAGGACGTAAAGTCGTCAGTACGAGTGATCAACGAGGCAAGGTGAGATTGCCGATGGTACCCCTTCCCCTTTGTGCAGCTCACCATACTTGGGCATAGATGCAGTACTGGCCCTTTTCCGCATCCCTCATAATCTTGAGTGTGCGATTGGTATCGATCGAAGCAGTCATGGTGGGCACTAGGTTAGCGATATGGGTTAGTAACGAGCTTGTGTGTGTTGCTGTGGGAGAAGGAAGGTTGTTTGAAGATGTGCCGAAGGCCCCGAAAGCGGGGTAGACTCGAGGTGGAGCGAGTCCTTCCGCCCCGCCTCCACATCGACTATCTTACGATTGGCTCTCACGCTACAATCGTGTCGGGGACGGCACCTCCTCACATCGCTCCTCATCCAAGGATACTGATTATTTACTGGAAATGTCATCGTCGAGCTCGCAAGTAGAGACAGTCCTGATCACAGGAGCGGGTGGGTTCCTAGGCTCCCTCTTGCCCACCGCACTGGTGCAGCACGAGCCAGACACCCGCTTCAACTTCATCCTTACCGACACCTTTGAGCCCAAGACGCCCTCCTTCTCTAGCCCCTCCTCCTCCTCCTCCTTCTCCTCTTCAGCAGAACACAAAGTGCATACCCTCTCCTCGGATCTCACCGAGCCCAAACAGGTGCAAGGCCTGTTCAACACCCCGCTGGGTAAGCCTGACACGATCTACTCACTGCATGGGATCATGTCTCTTGGCTCAGAGAAGGACTTCGATCTTGGTGTGCGCGTCAACTTTGACTCTACACGGGAGCTTCTCAACTGCGCTCGACGAATCAAGGAGGACAGTGGAGAGCCGGTCAAGTTTGTTTTTACCAGCTCGGTCGCGACGTACGGTGGTGCGTTACCCGACGTGATCCTGCCCACTACGGCGTGCACGCCCGAGGGGGCGTATGGGATGGCAAAGCTCATGTGCGAGTACATGGTCACCGAGTATAGTCGGAGGGGATTCATTGACGGTCGCTCCATCAAGCTCCCTACCATTGTAGTTCGACCAGGGTGAGTAACAGTAATCTCAGCTGCCGCTCCCCCTTTAAGCTGACCCTCTCCCTCTTCCATCTCTCTTCGTCGCAGGCCCCCCTCCGCCGCAACCAGCTCCTTCGTCTCGGCCATTATCCGTGAGCCCCTTTCAGGCAACTCAACCCCCTGTCCCATCGGCAAATCCCTCGACGATCCTCTCCTCTCCCAAACCGGAATATGGATCGCCTCTCCCTCCACCACTCTCCAAAACTTTGTCCTCGCACGCCGGATCCCCTCCTCGCGCTTCCCATCCCATTCACGAACCGTGCAGCTGCCCGGGTTCAAGGTCACCGTCAAGGAGATTCTTGAGGCGTTGGGAGAGGTCTTGCAAGGTGGGGAGGAGGAGGTGAAGAGGATGGTACAGTTTGAGGATGATGAGACTTGCAGACGGATCGTTGCTAGTTGGCCGAGCGAATTCGACGTTTCGTGGGCGGTGGAGGAGTTGGGATTCAAGGTGAGTAAGGGAGGCGCCAAGGGTAAAGGGAAGGAAGCGGCGCTGGATACTGATCAAGGCACTATCCATCTCCATTCATTACAGCCCGACTCGGGAGGGATCAGAGGAGTCATCCAGGAATTCATCGAGAGTCAGAAGAGCAAAGCAGGATAAGGCGCAGGACTGAAGCAGGGAAGGACAGAGAGGACACGCAGGGGGTAGGTGGGGGCTCAAATGGCTCTCAGGAAGCATTGCTTCGGTCTCACTTCTTCGCCAATGCACGCGAATCACAATGTATAACGTAGATGAAAGGTAATAATAGAATTGGGTTCAGAGAACAACGGAGACAGTCTCAGACGAGCTCGTCAATAGCTCGTCCCATCGCAGCTTCCGCCCAATTTCTTCGGTGACAAAGGAGTGGTACAGTCGGCGACCGAAACGCTCAGAGCTGACCACCACGCAGTCGGAGAACGAGGTGAAGAGTCGACTCTTTCTGAATATTGTAGTCGGAGAGAGTTCGACCGTCCTCGAGCTGCTTACCAGCAAAGATCAATCGCTGCTGGTCAGGTGGAATACCTTCCTTGTCTTGAATCTTGGCCTTGACGTTGTCGATAGTGTCGGACGACTCAACCTCAAGAGTAATGGTCTTTCCAGTCAGGGTCTTCACGAAGATCTGCATACCACCTCGCAGACGGAGAACGAGATGCAGAGTGCTCTCCTTCTGGATGTTGTAGTCCGACAAGGTGCGTCCATCTTCAAGCTGCTTTCCGGCGAAGATCAATCGTTGCTGGTCGGGTGGGATACCCTCCTTATCCTGGATCTTAGCCTTGACATTGTCGATGGTGTCCGAAGACTCCACTTCCAGCGTAATGGTCTTGCCGGTCAGGGTCTTCACGAAGATTTGCATACCACCACGAAGACGCAGGACGAGATGCAAAGTAGACTCCTTCTGGATGTTGTAGTCTGAAAGAGTCCTGCCATCCTCAAGCTGCTTGCCGGCGAAGATGAGCCTCTGCTGGTCGGGGGGAATGCCCTCCTTGTCCTGGATCTTAGCCTTCACGTTATCGATGGTATCAGAAGACTCAACCTCCAGAGTGATCGTCTTGCCAGTGAGAGTCTTGACGAAGATCTGCATACCACCACGGAGACGAAGCACGAGGTGGAGAGTAGACTCTTTCTGTATACGCGAAGACAAAGTGATGGAGCGTGTCAGGACAATGATCTAGGCGCATGCAATGTCATATCGTTCGGACAAGGAGCCTGTCGCGAATGCTCACCTGAATGTTGTAGTCGGACAGTGTCCTGCCGTCCTCTAGCTGCTTACCGGCAAAGATAAGCCTCTGCTGGTCAGGGGGGATACCCTCCTTGTCCTGAATCTTTGCCTTGACATTGTCAATGGTGTCCGAGGACTCAACCTCGAGGGTGATGGTCTTGCCAGTAAGGGTCTTGACTGCGAGGACGAAAGGCAGAACGCGGAGCGGAACGGTGGCGTGGAAGTCAGTTTCGCTGTACGCGTCTAGAAGCATCCATCAGTGGCGAAGGGTATCGCGAGGGCAACTCACCAAAGATTTGCATGATTGTGGAACGGTGAGGTGGTGCTGTTGATGTCTGCGATAATCGAAAGATAAGCGAGCAATGAGAAAAGTCAGTGGATGCTCGTGTACGAAGATGGCGGTGGATGCTTGACCCCCTGTTGAGAGCACGAGGTCAAGGGGCTGACTTGCAGTGACCAGCCACCTTGCCGCCACGGCGCATTTGTCCAGGTCGTATGTGCATCAAGATGACGATTACTCACTCTAGTGTGTGTTGTATATGCGAATTCAATCGTCGACGGAGGTGTAGTCGAAGGGGATGGTGGTTGTGTGGTAAGGGAGGCAAGGCGTGACTCAGTCATGGCCCTTCCGTCTATATATGCAGTGCCTGCCTGGTGCGCCACGCGCTGGCCAGATGTGGCGTGGCGCCAGTGCTCGGCGCAAGGCGGGGAGCAGGCGGGAGGCGGTATTCTCCACTCGCACGCCTTTGGGCCGAGCCAGCGCCCATTCGCCCTGCGCCTAACGCCGACAGTCCGCCGACTCACTCGCTGGCCCCGTAGAAACTCTTGCACCCCCCAACAGCCCGATCTACCCTGCTGGACTCGAATGGACTGAAAATAGTTCTGCCGATCAAAACTGTAGCAAAAGGAGAATTATACAGTCTCGCCATACACCGGCTCTCATGGATGTTTCTCGTACCTCTGGTCAATCCTCCCGCATGCCTGCCTTATCGGGCGCAGACAGGGCGACGCCACAGCTGAGGAGCCAGTAACCCCTTGGGTCTGGCCTGATACTACAAAAGCCCCACTATGGCATGAACTTTGTGCTCAGATGGGACATTCACCTTCGCTCGATGATCGCATTGTATGAGCATGTCTTGCTATCATCATAACGGAGTTGCTTTGCAGAAAGACCACTTAAGTCTGATCACAGCTGCGTAGGCTCAAGCCAGACGATGCGGAAATCTTCTGCTTCCTCTTTCCGCAAAAGCGGGGTGCAGCGACACCAGCTGCACCACCTGCTTCCGCCTCCTGCACTCATCGGAAACCCTTCCTTCGTCATCGTGCTCTCCTTTGCACTTGTGTGTTCTTTTACCTCTGCTTTCTCTCTTACCCTTTGCTCTGTTTCTTCGTCCCTTCCTACTCGCTGGTGATACTTCCTCTTCCTGGGCTTCTCCTTCTTCTCACGATGAGCTCTGTTGCGTCCACTTCCGCCGACAATCCCCCTAGGGGAGCGGCCAACCCTATGCGACGCTACCTTCACACGAATGGAGCTACCAAGAGTAATGAGACACAAGCTCCCTACGCTCTCGTCACAGGGTGAGTAGCACAGCCGCAACAGCCATAGCCATAGCAGTGGGCTATGGAAGATAAGACCTCTTTGTCCCTGCCCATGTCCGGCCCCTGAACCCCTGCTTCTGGATTACTTCCCCGTTCTCAGCACCACTGGCGGCATGGGCGAAGAGTGGGCCAAACAACTTGCTGCTCTAGGCTTCAACATCATCCTGCAAGGGCGCAATCGCTCCAAGCTCGAGACTGTCCAGTCCGCCATTGCTGTGGCCACTCCTTCCGCTCAGACCCGGCTGCTAGTGACCGAAGCCACCATCTACCCCAATGAGCACCTCACACAGGAGCTCACTTCCCTCCTTTCCGACCCGGAAGTGCGTCTCACAGTAGTAATCAACAACTTGGGGACAGCCAATGCACATTTCCCTCTGCTGGAGGAAGAGACGAGCGAAACAATCGCACAGGTGATCATTTCCAATACGATCTTCCCCGCCGAGGTGACACGGATCTGTCTCCCGCATCTGAAGCGGCACGAGCCCTCCCTCCTAGCCGTCGTCTCCTCCATTGGCGTCTGGGCTACCCCTCCATACGTCTCACCCTACATCGGTACAAAGGGTTTCGATCTCGGCTTCTGCCAGTCATTGTACAATGAGATGATCGCAGAGAAACGTGACGTCGACGTCACCTGTCTCGTGCCGGGGCAGGTCATCTCTGGTATGCTCGACGCGCCTGAATCTCTGATGATACCAACGAGCGAGGGCTGGACCCGCGCTGCGATTCAGAGTTTGGCGCCTGGCATGTGGAACTTCTGGAGCGTGAAGCCAGGGGTGTGCATCGTGCCGCACAGGTGGCAGTACTGGGCTACGGTCGTTACGAGTTTCTTGCCTGCAGGTGTGACTAGAAGGCTTGCCATTGGCATTGCCAAGGGCTTGAAGGAGGGAGCAGCCAAGAAGAAGTAGATAGGGAGCGCTCGAAAAGGAAGAAGGGCAAATGCAGGCAGGTAGGCAGACTTTCCTTCCATCTGTTCTCGTCTGGACACGTTGTTGCAATAGATACCCCTACATTCATAGTCATAATGCTTGCCGGGCATTCTATGGAGACTTCTGTTGTGCGGACGTGGTATCATTGAATTCTATCTGACGCTCATGCGCTGCCCATCTAAGGTCCACAGTGTTCTTGTTCGTCCCTCGCTTTTACTCCAGGCTCACTCCTCCTCACCCTTCCACTCCTTTAATGCCTCCAGAACAATCTCACATCCCTCCTGCACAATCTCATCAATCTCTCTAGGCTCCCCCTTCCCAGGCTGGTCCTGGACTTCAATCAGTCGAAGGACCTTCTGGGCTGCGCTTTCACTGTCCTCTGGTATTGTCCTCGAAGCGGGAGTGCGAGCGGCAGAGATGGGCAGGACGGTGCCTGCTTCGACGTCTGCGTCTTTGAAGAGGTGGGAGTGGGCCTTGAGGTGGGAGGGCCAGAGGATGTGTGAGAAGTAGAGGGGCGGATCCTGCATTGGAGAAGAAGTTATCTGGTCAGATGAGCTGTTCGCAGAAGAGGCCGATCTGTTCGGCGCTGCACCACTCACCTCCCACCGATCACCGTCTGCAGTGACATAGCCCCCTCTCTTCTCTCTCCTTTCACGTAAGAGCTCCTTTCCGATGCGCAGGAAGATGGGGACATCAATCATGTCCCTCACTTCTTCATCATAGTAAAGCAGGAATCCATCCAAGAAGACGACGTGTGTGGGTCCCCCCTTCCGCTGCATTGCCTCTTTGAATAGCTGCCTGTACTTCTCCTCTGTTTCTGGACGAATCGCCCGCTCCGGCAATGGGTTTGACTCATCATGACTGCCATGGTCCCGCGGAAGAGCTCCATTTGCCTTTACATGGGCAAGTGTGGAACGCAGTCGCCGCCAATCGACGGAGGTAGCCGGGTCGTCCCAGTCTGCACTGCCCACCTCTTCATTCCACTGCAGCGAGGATTCGGGTGGAGCAAAGTCGTCTTGATGGACTATGAAGGATGTCAGGGAGCTGCTAGCAGAAGAAGAGGACGAGGAGGGAGAAGGAGAGGTGGGGAGGAGCGAAAGGATGTGCTTTGTGAGGGTCGTCTTTCCCGAGCAGGTGGGCCCGCCGATGCCCACCAAGAGCACACGAGGAGATGATGAGGATGAGTCAGAGGACGACATGCAGCGAGCTTTGAGAAAGGGAATCGATCTGATATGGAGGAGGCTACGGAACAGCATCTACTTTGCGCAATGGGGTACCAGAAGAAGGTCACCGGCAAAGACGTGACTCGCGGAAGATTTACAAGTTGGCGCACAGACCTCGGGCCGCCCTGAAGCAACGCCGCCGCGGGCCTTGCAGCGAGGCGGGCTACTCAGCGTACGGCAATTTACTCAGCTCGATCCGCCTCAGCTTCAAGAAGCTACACATCAGATCTGTCGATCAGACTCAGTCATCCTTGGCGCTGCTATCTTGCCAATTCGTTCGCTCAGCTAGCCAACCAAAGGCAGTACTGAGCGAGATTCCGGAGTGGAGCGAAGCGGCCTTGGCCTCGCCTGGCCCTGCAGGTTCTGTCTGACTGCCAGGCTTCCGCTCCCGGCCAGCTGGCTGCGCGTTGGCCGAGGAGCCACCCACGACGATCCACCCTCGCCCCCGCTCCGCTCGCCTCCGCGTTGAGCCACACCCACACCCTCTCACTCCCCCTCACCCAACACACCTTCCGATCTCGATTCCGATCGCAATCGCTCAGCATACCCACATCTGCAACTTTACCTTCTCACCAATCTGCACTTTGTAGTAGACTTCCACCTCGACATAGGCATCAGCTCGTCACTCTCACACTGCTTGCTAGCTAGCTCTTCTTGATCCAGGATCGAAGAACACCCCTACTCCGCAACGTCCCGCCCCCCTTTCCTCCTGATCCAACATGGTGTGTATCTGACTTTGGTAAGATTGCTGTGCAGAAATGCGGCATCGCGATACCAAAAAAGCTGGAATGCGTCCAAGAGTCCCACAAGGGGAGAGAGTATCTGTGCATGGCCGCCCAGGGAACAACGATGCTGATCTGTCAGTGGGACGGGACAGGACTGCAATGGTAAACAGTCTGGAGTTGGGCGCACGGCCATGATTGCAACATTGGAAGACCAGCAGGACATCGGACGAGGCAGCGTCAAAGTTGCTTCTGCAGAAGGAACCGGAAGCGGCCACAAGCCTCCATACTCCTTAATCCCTACTGATCTCACTGTTCCTCCCCACCCATCTACCTACCTCCTAGTCGTCCGGCGTAGCCGTCTCCCAGGAATGTCTGGAAGCCTTTCAGTCACTCAAGCTCGGCAAGAAGCTCAAATTCATCATCTACACCCTCTCTGCCGACAATCGGGAAATTGTAGTAGCCAAGACTTCCACTAGCACAAACTACGACGATTTCCTCGCCGAATTGCCAGCTGCAGAGTGCAGGTACGCCATCTATGACTTTGAGTATGAGAAGGGTGGGGATGGTAAGAGGAGCAAGATTTGCTTTTACACTTGGTGAGTGTCAGAGCAGGAGACGGGAGGAGAAGAGGGGAGAGGGCTGGACAACATAGGAGGCTGTGGGATTACAAGGTGTAGAGGGGTTTTCGAAACCGCTGCCCCAGTTGGATATTGACGGCTGCCCTTGCCACTTGCGTGTCAATCTGACAGGTCCCCCGATGACTCAAAGATCAAGTCGAAGATGCTCTTCGCCTCTTCCAAGGACGCCCTGCGCAAGGCCCTCGTGGGAATTTCAGCCGAGATCCAGGGTACTGACTTCTCCGAGGTCGACTACACCACTGGTGAGTAGACTGTTGACCCGAGCAGGAGAGAGGAGGAAGGGTGGATCTGGACAGCAGCAAGGGGGCGGGGTGGGGTGGACGAGGACATATGATTGAAGGCGGACCTCGGGACGTCAGGCTACAGTGCGGTCCAGGGCTGGGACAGTATGGATACGATCTGCGGCTGCGATACTGACGCTGTTCCTTCTCCCATCATTGCAGTGCTCGAGAAGGTCTCCCGATCGACCTTCTAAGCGCCAGTGCCCTCTGTCCATCCTGACTTCGAATGCTGCCCGCCTGCCCTTTTGCCAGTCTCCACCTGCGAGTCTTATCTGAACTTGCGATGTCGCCTGGCTTCTGAGCTGGTGGGCCAGTAGCTTGACATAGACGTGTTTGAGCGAGCGGTGCTGTAGTCACAAGGAGTCAATGAAAAGATGATCATTTCGATGAAACATGCGAGGGAGCACGAGCACGATAACTGGGGGTCACTGCGATGGTCTTCTAGCTGATTGACAAGTCGTCTGAGCCCCTCTGGCCCCAATACCCAGCGAGCTGACCGCTGACCTCAGCTGGTTTGAGCATCACCCCACCATCTGCCATTCCGTTCTCCCCCTACCTGCGACCCAGGCCGGCGGTGCAGGGTGCAGGGTCAGAGTGAGATGAGATGAGATGAGGTCAGGGAGGCTCCGCGCCCGCACCCGCGCCCGCGCCCGCGCCCAGAGAACGGAAAGGGAGCGTGCTGTGGGCGTGATGTGAACGTGGCGTGGGCGTGGCGTGGCGTGTGGCGTTTGAGGCTGCGTGGCTGCGAGGAGACCGGAGCTCTGGGCCGTGCGTGTGGGTGTGGGTGTGCGTGTGTTGCTCTGATGGTCCCGCCGGGTAGAAGGGCTGGTCGTTCTCATCCCCCCTTGCACTTCTGCCTTCACAATCGTCCTACCGAGCTCTATCCCCCTCATCGTCCTCAGACTCGCGAGGTCTTCCTTGAGATTCTGGCTCTCTTGCGGTCAGCTGCTGCACACTTGCATCGTTCCAGCTGACAGCGGGTAAACCTATCGAATTGCTTGAGCTACTGACTTTGCAAGAGGATGGAATAGGGGCTACAAAGCAAGTCTCTCTTGACCAGCCTAGGCTTCAAAGGACACGCTCGCAATTGCTTGTCAGTCTTCGCCTTCGCATACTAGCTGCTTCATCCGAACTCGCCGACTTTCGCAGGCACACCAACCCTCCTCTAGGCACACGACACATGTCGGACGAAGCAGGACCCTCGCGGTTGCGCTCCTTGTCGCCCTCTCGCTCCTTTTCTGCAAAGCCCGTCCCTTCCTCGCCCGCACCAGCCTCGGGATACTTTGCCGTGGGCTCCCTATCGGCTGCCTTCTCAGGCCTGTGGGGCCGTTCGGATACAGGTACCGGGGAGAGCAGGTCAGGTTCGGCGCTGCAGCATGGTGCTTCTGGCTCACACCGGCAAGGAGGAGCCGAACCTTCGTCCAGTCATGAAGCTTCTGGAGGCTGGGGAACTGCATACCTCAGCAGAGCTTGGTACGGCGCTTCCACGAGCACTACTGTAGAGAGTGGCAGCAGGAGCAGGACAGTAAGCCACGATCCCAGTGGAAATTACGACGAACCCTCAGGCGGACCTCGGCGCAAGAGACGTTCTGCTATCCCTTTCGACATGTCACCTCAAAGAGGAGCTGGAGATAGTCGCCGGTCTGCAACGCCTCTGATGTCACCCGCGGCCTCGCCTGGCGGTCGTCGCGCTAGTACTCGAGGCTCGGTACGCCATGAACCGGGCGAATCTGCCATTGCAACTCTGACACGGCTGAAGGCCCAGACGTCCATGAGTAGTCTCCGGACAAGCAGTATGGATAACAGCTTCACCACTGTCAATAGTAGTATCAAGGGCAAATGGGGCGAAGAGGAAGATGACGAAGACGAGGACGAGGAGGAAGAGTCGCTGCGAGGAGAAGTAGGCGGCTCTACTTGGACGCTGGCTCCCAGTCTGAATACGCGGAGCCCAGATCCCGCACATGTGGAAGCCAGTATCAGGCCTGGGGCTCCGCCTCCTCGAGACTGGGGAGAAACGTTAGCGCGTACCGCTTTGCTGGACTCGTACGTGCAAAGCATCGTCTTCCAGTCCGGAATTGACAACGAGAGGCGGCCCATAGTCGTCCTATCGAGCCCAGCCCTACCCGACCCCAAGGAAGTCAACTACGATGACCTTCTCACGAGGATCATGGATCAGATGGAGCTCTTTGTGCAGAATGAATACACAGTCGTCTTCTTCGCTGGCGGCTCATCGCACCGCCCTCCGTGGGCATGGCTATGGTCGGCCTATCGTCGCCTCTCTCGACCCTTTCGCAAGAATTGCAGGAGACTCTTTATTTGCCACCCGACCTTCTTCACACGATCCCTCGTCAGAATCGTCTCCACTGGCTCGGCGGTCCTGTCGCCCAAATTTGCAAAGAAGATTACGCAGGTCAACTCTCTGAGCGAATTGGCAGAGAAGATCGATCTGACGCAGATTGACATACCTCCGGATGTGCTCAAGTGGAACATGCACTACGAGAAGGAAGTCAAGATCCCTGCTACCCTGATCGAGGAGAAGACCGGTTTCCTGGACGCCACCGGAGAGCTCGTGAGTACATCCAGCAAGCTTTTTGGCGTGCCGCTCGACGCTCTCATGGGCGAGAAGGGCGAGAAGGGTGGTATCCCACGAGTTGTCAAGGACTGTGTCGAAGAGCTACAACGTACAACTGCTGCCCCGCACGGCAGTGACAACGGCTCAGCCTCTCCTCCCATCTCCAATCTCGATACCGAAGGTCTCTTTCGCAAGTCGGGCTCGACTGCTCTGCTCCAAGCCGCGCAACAGGCGTACGATCGTGGCAGTCCCGTCTCACTCAAGCAGTACGACGACGCGCACATCCCTGCTGGTCTACTCAAGCTTTATTTCCGCAGTCTACCGGATCCCATCTTCTCGCTCTCTATGTATCCACTGATCCGCAAGTGTCCCCACGTCGAAGAAGGCGACGAGGACTCAGTGCGCGATGCGATCATCTACCTGCAAGACGTCATCCTCCCGGCCATCCTCCCTCAAAGCAAGCTCATCCTACTGTCCTACGTTCTCGAAGTGCTTCACAAGGTCTCGAGGCGGAGCGAGAGGAACAAGATGGACGCTACGAACCTGGCGACTGTGTGGGGGCCCAATCTTGTCAGGAGTAGTGACCCACTCAAGGATATGGCCATGTGCGCTGTAGCCGGAGCGCCGAAGATGAGCACCTCTATGCCCCATGCGGGCAGCACAGGGAAGCTAGCGGGCAGTGATCTGCCTCCAACGACGCTCGGTACGCTCCTGAAGCTATGTATCGATCGCTATTATGAGATCTTCGAGCTAGACTATCTCGATTATGAGCCACCCATGTATCACCCTGCTGAGCTCTTCGAAGAAGGCGGGCAAAACCACGATGATCCTTCAGCCCTCGGTCTCGGCTTCGGAGGAGCCATGAACAGCAGTACGCCCCCTTTGCTGCAGACACGTCAACTGATTCTCGGACAGCACGTGCGTCAGCCTTCCATTGGATCCACCTCGACATCGGCCACGGGGATGATGATGCTCAGCACTGCCACCACACCAGTGACGAGTTCCTTCCCCGGGTCACCATTGAGTCCTCGTCGACCTTCAGTGGCAGTGGCAGGAGCCGGAGGAGTCGCAGGCGGTATGAGCCCTTGGCCGAACTCTGCAGCATTCAGCACACCCATGTCCCCCTCGCGTCACTTCTCTGCAGCCGCAACTACAGGTTCCACTACGAGTGGCAATGTCCTAGCTGGTGCTGGGGCTAGCCCACTCCCGCGAAATTCACATAGGAGGATGCTCTCCACTTCATCTTCAACAACGGGCTCCTCTCCCGGAATGCCCCTCAGCACTTCTGTCGGTGCTTCCACTGCAGGTGGCAGTAGCAGTGCCAGTGGCAGCGTCGGCGTATCGAGACCCACTTCCTCCTCTGGACCTGCAGCTGGAAGCACAGCCGAGTCCTCTTCCTCGATGCACTCTTCCTCCACACAATCACAAAGTCAGCAGCAGCCCCACACAGGCAACTGCACCTCCTCCTCCACCTCTAGTATGAGTCCCGTCTCAGGGAGCGCTACAAGTCCTAGTATCGGGCTAGGTTTCGCCCTCGCACCATTGCACCACGCCCGTGGTCTAGGCAACCCAATGAGCGTGGGACGATCGGCTTCTGGATCACTCAAGCTCACACGGGCAAGGCTGGGGAGTGCCTCGGTCGGCCCTGCCGGCTCCGGCTCCGGCTCCGGCTCCGGTGCCTCTGGTGCTGGTTCTGGTGCTACAGGGGCGAATGGGGCAACGATGCTGGGCGTACCTGCCGGTGTGAGCGGGAGTGCCAGCGGGAACTTCGCCTCGCTTTCGACCTCGACCTCGAGCTCAACCTCCGCTTCAGCGATTACGACAGGTAAAGATGCCACCACGCCAGCAGGCCTAGCAGGCTCAGCAGGCTCAGCCGGTGTCGGCGGACTGGGCGGGCTTAACGGCCTGCCCAGTCAGGCTGGGACGACGAGCGGTGTAGCCCTCACGGGGGCTAGCGCGCTTGGTTTCTTCACTACCAGCGGACCTTCCCCTTTGCTGGGCGATGATGGTGACGAAGAAGACGTCGAGGAGGAGCAAGCAGGTCAGGGAGAGCAGAGAGGGGATGCACTCGCTCGAGATGATGATGAGGAGGAGGTGGTGGGGGTGGAGGAGAATGGTCTGGCAGATCAGAGCATCGAGGTGCACGACGAGGAGGAGGAGGAGGAGGAAGGCGGGGAAGAGGAGGATAGGTAGAGCGGCACAAGAGAGGGGGGGGAAGTCCTGATACGTTCCTGTAGCCACAAGTCATCGCAATCTCATCTAAGTCACGACATCAATGAGTGCAGCTGTTCACTATTCAGCAAAGTGCGCATGAGCAGCCAATGCAATGCAACACAGCACACAGCACAGCACTGTACGGGCACGGGCGGGAGGGAGGGAGCATCGCAGAGTCTCACCTCCACGCATCAGACTGAAGCAAGTCGACTCCTGCTTCAGGTTCAAATTCTGGATAAAAGATAATTGGATACAATACGACCTCGCCTCGCTTCGCTTCACTTCGCTTCGCTTCGCTCAAGCCAAAGTGACTCCCTTTTTTTAATAAAAGGTAAGGTGACATGACTCGCTCCCTCGCTCCCCTCCTTCCCTCCTTCCCTCCCTCGCTCGCTCCCTCACTCCTCTTCCTCCTCTTCTTCTTCTTCTTCTTCTTCTTCCTCGACAATGTTGCTCTTACAGGAAGGGGGTACAGAACCTCCTATGCGCGAGGTATTACCCGGAACTACAACCGCACCTCCAGCCGCACCTGCTCCACCAGCCACAGAGGTAGAGATAGAACCAGAACCAGAACCAGGACCAGAACCAGTAAGAGGAGGTGCCAATGCGGGAGTAGTAGTGCTAGTGCTAGTGCTGTTGGAAGGAAGGGCGTTGGTGGGGTGGGAGTCTTCCTTGCTCAGTCCAGTAGCCGATGCAGGAACTGAAGGAGAAGAAGAAGAAGAAGAAGAAGCAGCAGCAGGAGGAGGAGGCAGGCTAGTCTTCTCCTGCTCCTCCTCCTGTCCTGCTGCTCTTCCCAGAGTGGTTCCCAGTGCTTCTCCTGGTCCTACTTTTGGTACAGCACCACCCTCTCCCTCTCCCTCTGCCCTACTAGCATCCTCATCGTCCTCCCCCTCACAGACTGCGATCATCCTGGGACGGATGTCCCTCCCCAGTGGGGGTGGCTGGAAGACGTTGCGCACGCCAGCATAGCGCGAGGTATTGCTCAGGAGGGAGTTGGATGTGAGAGCTGGACCATAGCTCCCATTGGCGCTACCACTTGCACCTGCACCTGCAGTGCCAGTGCCTGTGCCAGTAAAGGAGGAAGGGAGAGGAGATCTGCGCCCCGAGGGAGCACCACTACCACCACCACCAGCAGCAGCAGTAGCGCCACTTGGAGGGGCAGACATGAATTGCTGCTGCTGCTGCTGCTGCTGCTGCTGGTGCTGTTGTCTTGCCGCACCAGGTCCAGAATCAACCCTTCGCATATCTCCACTGCCCGCAAAAGATCTTGTCCCCCACGATGATGGTGCTGATCCCATTCCCATTGGCATTCCCATGCCTCGAGGACCTCGGATAGGCGAGTCCATATTGCGTGAATTTCTCCAACCACCAGTAGCACCCATGCCTATGCCTGTAGAAGTAGCTTGGTGGCGCAGTCTAGTCGAGTCGAGCTGTCCCAATCCACCGCTGAATGTAGCCTCACCCTCTCCGTCGTCTTCGTCCTCCCAGTCGTCCTCGTCCTTGTCGGCAAAGACGTCTCTCAAGCCAGCTTTACGGCCTCCTCCGCCACCAGCACCGACACCGACACCGACGCCGCCGCTGCCGCCTGCTGAGGTGGGACCGGAGCGTGCGCCGGACCGATTGGAGGAAAGTTCCGAGCTAGACAGACCTGGATCGACAGGTCCTGCCCAGGAGGGAGGAGGACGACCCCAGCTTCGTTGCCATGTGCCTGTCCCAGCAAGGGGCAAATTCTGACCCTGTGGACGCGCTGCACTGTCCCTATCTTTGTCTCTGACTTCCAAAGATGGTGCCGAGGTGGGAGCAGCCATGGATGCAGTGAAGACGGCGCTGTTATTCCGGCTCAGAGAGGGGGAGCGAGCCCCGTGTGCATGGTGGAATAGTGCCGGATTGGCAGAAGGAGGCTTGTAGCTCTGTCTTGTCCTGTGAGCCAGGAAGATCGTAGGCGAAACGCGTCCATGCCCGTGGCCGTGGCTCGAATCGCCCTCTCGTCTCGAGTCCACAGAGGGTCTGCGAGGTGTCATGACACCTGGGGAGTGCAATCCACTGCCAAGGCCTTCGCCTTCATGGACATATTCGCGGTCCGCAGCGACTTCGATTAGGGAAGAGGGGCGGGAGTGATGCGTCTCGGATCCGCGGCGGTGAATGCTGCCTCGTTGCCTGCGAACAATCGTTCCACTGTCCACAGATCTCCTAGAAGCTCCTCTCCGCAAGCTGCCTTCGCCAATTCTATCAGCTAGAGGAGAGTACGGTCTTGCTACGCCAACTCCGCTGTGAGCCAATGCGGCAGGGTAGAAGTGAGAGGAAGAACCTTGCTGACGACGCAACATCATCGAATGGGCACTGCTGGATGATCCTCGTCTTGTACGCATGCCCGAGCCGCCCGCCAAAGGAGTGCGGTAGAGCGAGCTGTTGCTCGGGGCTCGACTGGGTCTTTCACCACCAGCACCGCCATACAGGGTCGCAGTAGGAGTAATACTTCCTGCACTCTGTCGACGATAGTAAGTCGGTCGTGCAAGATTGGACGTGTACGGCGAGGAGGCGTGCGGACCTTGACCAAGCAGGGACGTGCCAGGGCTGCTAGCGTCGTGCCCATGAGACTGAGGATGGCCATGTACACTAGGCGGTCGCGAAATAGACGGCCCTCTCGACATTTGATAAGTACGACTGGGTGCCGGACTTCTCTTACTTCCACGACGAGCTAGCGAGCCACTGGCAGGAAATTGTCCAGATCGACTCCTCATGCTAGGAGAGCGGGCAGCCCCGCCTGGAGCTACTGCATACGGACGCGCAGCCAGAGTTTCAGGTGAAAGATGAGAATGGACTGCCGCAACGCCCCCTTTCTTCTTGCGAGCCGCCACGGTAGTACCTGAGCTCGTCCCAGAGTTTCGCGCACTATTTGCGTCCTTGGCCTTTTCCTCTGTTCCTAGCCAGGTCCTGACAGTGGTCAGGAAAGAAGACTTGCCCCTCCCTTTGCCCTTCTTGGGATTGCTACTGATCGACTGCATCGAACTATCGGCAGTGTCCTGCGTATTTGACAGCTGATCAGCGCTCACGTTGCCTGCACCAGTGTGAGTGGATGAGAATGTATCTTGCGAATTGGAAGCGGGCAGTTGCTTGGACGAAGAAGGCGAGCCAGTGCGATTGGTGTTTGCACTTGGTGATCGACTTGGGCTCTGTTCCCTGCGACCTGACTTTGACGAGTTCGGCGTCGAGGATTGACCCCTCTCCATTGTAGAGTCTCGCACTCGAGTCAGACCACGATCTCCCACTCCGCTGTCTCTGGAGGTCAGATCTTCACTCGAGATGTCGAATGGAGCATTACCCAGGGGCTCACGAGCACTCTTTGTCTTCTTGGCACCACTGCTGGCTCTGCGACTGAACAAGCCAAGACCTGTGCTCAACGCAGGACCTCTCCCTTTCTCGTAACCAGAGACCAGCGGAGGTAGAGGCGGCTCCGGCTCATCGCTCGCAGCTGATTCTTTCCTAGCACCGCTAGTCAGAGCATTGGTCAGCTTGAGACCAATCGAGCTTGCTCGTTGTCTTCCGCCAGAGGATCGTCGATTGCTTGGTGAGCTCATGACCTCTCCACCCGGGTCTGCTTTACCACGAGGACTAGCGCCGTTGTTTGCATCGGGTATAGCGCTGCTTGATCGAGCCTTGATGGCTGGACGCGAGGGTGAAGGCGACGTCAACAAAGTCGTGATGGCCGAAGGAGGTGGAGACTGTGCACGCCTCGGCTGACTGCCTGGCTCTCTGATAGGCTCTGCAGACGTCGTTCCGGAGGCCTCACTTGTCGAGAGCAGAGTTGCGCCATACTCCTGCCCACCAGCGCCAGCTGAGATCTGTCGGCGCCGGAAGGACTCCTGAGCAGAGGGTGGTAGCCCTTCGATTCCAAAAGCGCCATTGCCGAGCAATGGTGAGCTTCCAGATGGAGCAGTGTCAGTGGGAGGCACGAGATCATCGTGAGATCGTGACCGCACATTGTGTTTGTCTGGGACCGCTGGTGGACGGAGTTCGGACGTTTGGTGGCTCATCGAGGCGAAACCGGTTGCCAACGCTGGGGCTGGGCTCTGTTTGGGTGAGGACACCGCGCTCGTGGGCATCATCGGTGAGAAGCCACCGACTGGGAACAGGGACTTCTCCACAGCTTTCCTCTCCTCTGCCTTTCGTCGCAAGAGCCACCACATTGCTGCACTGGCATCGCAGGCGTCGGTCAAGATGCTATGCACAATTTGCCCCACATCCATGCCTAGATTGCTGACTTGATGAAGAAGCTCTTGCTCTAGCGGACTCGAAAATAGAGCCGGCTGACTAGCTTCCAGTAGCGACAGGTAATCGATGGGCCGAGTCTGATCCAGATGGGGTGGATGGTGGTCAGACAGACCTGCAGAGGACACGGAGCGCCTTTTTGTGCGCGACGGCGTACGGTGGATCCTAGACGGGCTTGTCGAATCTCCAGGATAGACATGGGAGGCGGACAGCAAGGCGTCTTGTGACCGTCGTCCTTCGGTACCTGGCGGATATGATGCACTACGATCTTCATCCCCAGCAGCGTGAATGGAATCTGCACTACCAGTGCGTCCTGGAGACTCGTGGTGCGTGGGTAGGTTACCTGTACCTCCGCCACCCTTGACAGTCTTGGCGACACTTTGTCTGCTCAGTCCACCCTCACTACCACTCGACCCGTTTCGCCTGATCGTAGACTGTGATTCGTTGCGATGTTGCATTCCAATTGGCCGGTGTGAAGAGTAGTCTCTGCGTCCTACTGTCTCCCTGCCGACCCGATCCGCCTCTTCTTGCAGGAGAGTTCCCTCCGCCGCTGCGCCTTCGTGACCGTCTGACCGCGAGCCGGAGCCAGATCGCACCGAGTCTTCGATGCTGGTAGGAGCAGTGACTCCGGATACACCTGAGCGATGATCGCTTGTATCGCTACTGTCACTTAAGGGATTGTCTCCGTCCACCAGTGACGAAGACGAGGCAGAAGCAGTCTTGGCCATTGGAATTGTCAAAGATACCCCCGGTGTAGCTGCTTCTGCCTGCGAACGTTGCGACTCTGGCAAATCTTGCCGGCCTGTGGGCAGCGATGGCGCTGTACTTCGAGGAGATACCGGACGCGAAGAGGCGATGTACACCACGCTGGTTTTGTCTTCTCGAGGCTGAGACTGACCTTCACTCCGAGTATTTTCTTCCACAGTCTGCATCGACCCGGTCGCAATGATCTTGGTGAACCAGGGATGGCCAAGTATAGCCCTGATGGACAGTCTCTCAGTAGGCTCCTTTCGCAGAATGCTTGAGACCAAGTTTCGAGCCTCTTCCGATAGTGTATCGGGCAGCTCGAAATCTCCTTGAAGTATCTTCATCTTCATGGCGTTTTCATCGTCGTCGTCAAAGGGAAGAGAGCCGCAGAGGAGCGCATAGAGGATGATGCCGAGCGACCAGATGTCCACTTCTTGTCCAGTGTACTTCTTGCCCGCCAGCATCTCTGGCGCAGCATACCCCGTGGTCCCACAGAACGTCTCCATCAATCTCCTTCCCTCGTACTCTCTCGTGAAGCCGAAGTCTCCCAGCTTGACATTACACCTCTCGTCCAGTAGCACGTTCTCCAGCTTGAGATCCCTATGTACAATTCCCCTCCCGTGGACGTAAGATACGGCGAGGCAGAGCTGACCAAAGACACGTCGAGCTTCAGATTCAGAGAGAGTGCCGCGTTCTACTAGGTAGTCGTACAGCTCTCCACCAGAACACAGCTCGGAGATCATCCAGATGTTTGATTCGGTCGCCAATACCTCGTACAACTTCATGACGTGAGCGTGGTGAAGACGTCGATGGTGGTGAATCTCTCTGGTGAGAGAGGCAGAATGGGCCTTGGGAATCTGTTTGATTGCCACGCGTGTACCTGTGAGACGATGAGTACCCAGTCGGACCTTGCCGAAGGTACCTTGGCCAATGGTCCGGCCGAGGGTGTAGTTGCCGATGGCTTTGAGACGGGTGGATCCGAGCTCTTTACCTAGCTCATTGTAGGCAGAGGCTAGTGCAGCCTTTTGATTGATCGTCTGCGTTGGATAGCGTCCGACTTCCGAGGGACCGCCGCCGCCGCCGCCAGAAGGACCTCCTCCTGCTCCTCCTTCTGCCCCTGATCGACTAGTAGAGGCCATGGCAGGCTGGGCGTAGGACAAGGAGGAAGGACCTGCGACTGCTCCTCGCGGATCACGCTGAGAATGAGCGCTGCGATCCATCTGCCCGTGCTAGGTCACTAATCTTCTATCTACTTAAGAGTCGCTGGGATCAAGAAGGCGTCGATGTCCTCTTGCTTGGGAGTGAGCCTACCATTGGAAGAACAAAGGCGAGTCTGGAAGCGGGCAGCGCGAGAGGGGGTGGACAAGACGCGATGGCTTTCGTAGCGACGGTGATGAGGTAGGTGGTAAGTGGTAGCTGATGATGGGTAGCGAAGGCGAGGGTGTAGGCGAGGGTGTAGGCACTACCAGTACCTGCGTGTCTGGGAGTGTGATACAAATAGTAACAGTAAGAATCCGCGGACGAGGTTCCATTGGAGCGGAGCAAAGGCGGGCGGGCGGGCGGGCGGCTGGCTGGGTTGCTTGCCTGGTGGCTGTTGCTGCTGCTGCTGCTGCTGCTGCTGCTTGTGGCTCCTGGCCTGCCTCCTGTGTCTGTCCGCCTGCCTTGCTGCACCCGCACGAGAGCGGGGCGGGGTAAGACCTGCGTCTGCGCCAGGGAGAGATTGGGGAGAAGGGGTGCGCCAATCCGCGTGTGGCCCTCTCCGCGTGCGGGGCAACCGCCAAGCTCCTCACCGCCTTCGAACCCGTGGCTACGATCCTTCGAGACCTCCCTTCGCGGTCGTCAAGGAGAAGAAGGGCTGAGACCGAGGACCATTTCACTGAGATGGACGACGAGAGCAATGCAGGCAGGGCTCCAATCTGTCCTGGTCGGCAAGACGCTGTGAGAGAGTGGGCAGACGACCTACCCACCTGGCTTGGTAGTCATCGCCAAGACCCACACGCCGGGGATCTACAGACCGAATCCAGTCACCCAAGGATCTTGGCACGACGGCTGTGAGACACAAAGATAGACATTAGGATGGGTACTTTGTCGAAACAGATGAGTAAATGCAGCCGGGGGAGGCGAGGTGAAGCAGCAGCAGTACAGCAGCAGCTCCGACAGAGATGCTGGTTCCCTTGAGATCTATGCCCTCTCTTATACCGCGGTTTCGTCGACTCAGCACTTGCATCCTCCCTCTTCCGATGTGTTCTGGCCTGTGGGTGCTGACACATCGATCACTGTAAAGGGGCCACGGCAAGGTGAGAGTCAGCATCGCTTTCAGAGCCCAACAGCTTCTTCTCAGGGGCATTCCACTCACTCTTGTTGCTCTGCTCTCCCTCTCCAGCCTTGTCCATGCCTGGCAGCGCCTGTGCAATCTTCTTGAACAGCGTCTTGACATTGTGACCCGCCTTGGCAGACGTCTCGATGAACATGACGTTGAAGTCGGCTGCCTTTGCTTCTGCCTCCTCCGTTGTCACTTGCCTGAAAAGGTGGGAGGGTGCAGGAGCCATCAGCGGCCGTCGCTCTGCGTGGCTCTCCAAGCAACGTCCCTCGCACTCACCTCTTGTCGCCCAGATCCGTCTTGTTCCCCACTAGCACAATGATCACATCCGAACCCCTCTCTGCCCTCACATCGTCTACCCATTTCGAAGTATTCTGGAAGCTGGCCCGGTCTGTAAGCGGGTGGGCGATCAAGGACGGTACATCGTCAGCTTACGTCTACCTTTGCTCGCTAAGGGCTGTCTGACCATTTCGAATACTTACTTGTGACATCGTAGACCACCACTGCTACGCTCGAATCACGGATGTACGAAGGAATCAGGGAGCGGAAGCGTTCCTGAACAGCAGCAACATGGAGGCAAGTAAGTCAATGTAGGTTCGCAGCCGAGCCAAGATCGCTCCTCTAGACGTCAAGCTAATCCTACTCACCTGTCCAGCAGTATCCCACAGTTGCAGTCTGACTGTCCTGTCCTCCAGATACATCGTCTTTGAGAGGAAGTCGATGCCGATGGTAGCCTGATATGTCGAGTCAAAGGTATCATACATGAAGCGGGTGATCAGGGACGTCTTGCCTACGGATTGCTCTCCCAGAAAGACGAGCTGTGGTAGGGGAGAGAAGCGAGGAAGTGCAAGTGTAGGGAGCATGGTCAGAAAGGGTCACTGTAAGGATGCAGAGCCTTTACCAGATTCCGAAGGCTTACCTTGAATTTACGCAGGGGCTGCCCGAACTCTGCTGATGTTGGTGTGGTCATCTTGTACCTTTTGCTGAGAGGTGGAGATTCGGGACAAGGTGATTGATGGCCAAGGTGCTCTTTCTATGCCGGTTCAAGACCAGCGATTGCGATTGCCGAGAATGGGACTGATGATGAGTCCTGGAAGGCAGTGCGATATGATGGCCGTTGCCAAAGGCGAATGAACGAACCCAAAGCTGATTGCTGGCTGATTGCTTGGCTGACAGGGTATGCGGCTCGCCTTATGACGACTTTGTGTGATGTGTGTATGCGAGAGCGTAAGTGGGGGTATGGTAGGGGTAATGCTTCAGTAGGGCAGTGGTAGTGGATCAGACGATGAATGGATATTATCTGTCCCTGCCTCTCAGGCGACGTTGGGTGTTCGTTGGGTGTCGGACTTTGACTTTGCTCGCGGGCCGCATTGGACAAGGCGGCGGCGGCCACGGCGGCGGGCGGCAGAGGCGCCACGCCCAGCCGAGCCGAGCGAATCTCTCGTCTCTCGTTTCCGGCAGTCAGGCAAGCAAACTCCCTTCGCCTGGCAGCGCGGGTCGAATAGACTCAATTTCATACGTCGTGGTTGCACTGGATAAGAAGATAGTCTAGTTGATGACTTTTTCTTCAAAAGCGCTGCATGTCATCGGAAGTACCGCATCAGAAGTCTTCACCTCCTCTCGAGGCCACTCTTCGCCTGCCGTGCCTAGATGGCGGGTCTATCACCCCGGCAGGGCCTTGACCGTATCCTTCAACAGCATGATACAATCGTCGAAGCATTTTCTTTCGATCCGCAGCAGCTCAGAATTAGTCTTATCGATATTTCTGCCCTCGAGACAGGCGCTGAAGATGTCCGCGCCTGTAAGATACTTTCCTTGCGACTTCACTTTTGTCAACGCTTGTTGCACATCTCCTACGGTAATGTGGCGAAGCAAGTCCTTGTCGAGAGCGGAGAAGAGCTTCTCATGAGCGTCTTGTATGGTCTGCCGCAGTCCATGCGTGAGAGTCTTCCATCTTGGGTCTGCGGCTGCACAGTATTCATCTAGAAACTGGCGGACGCATGCAGTCGATGCAGAGACGGTCACTGAATATTCACAAAGAGCCGCTAGCGAGGCTACCTACCTTGTCCCATCCCCTGTGGTCTGACACAAGGAAGACCTTTCTGACCCGGTTCGTCAATGCTTCTTCCAGAGATGCTCGAAGCCTCTCGTGCAAGCCATAGATGTGAGCGGTCTGCAAACAAGTTTGCAAAGCCAGATCGAAAGGTGGAGGAGAAAAGGGTCATGTCAGATCTTGCACATACAATCAGGAGGTATAGCCCACTTACTTGCCAGAGCTGCAAGTACACTAGACTTTCCAAGTCATCAATGTAGGGAACTCCATACACACTCGCGCATGGAAATGAGTCTTGAATGGCAGCGAGACCAGATGGGATGGCTGCCAAGATTGGTCCAGCATTGTCGCCGTGTACGACATCGGAGGGCTCATCAAATGTCCTGACGGCGGTGCCAGAACTTCTTGCCGCACTTCTAGCAGGGCTATGGCAGGTAGGGCGAAGGGGCCGGTTCCTAGCTTGCGTATCGTATGAAGTTTTGTCGACTGTCTCTCTGGCATCCTGCGCTCCCGAGTGTCCTGGCGGGCTCACTCCCCTTCGCATATTGCCAAATTCTATGACAAGGTGACTATTCACGTCGTTCAAGCGAAAGCGAGGCCCTGCCTCTGCACGAGCGAGCAGCTGCTCTGCGAGCTGCAGATGCAGATCAACAAGACGACGTGGTTCGATATTCAGCTCGTTTTCATCTCCAATCTGCTGTCCAGTGACCAGAGGGATCAATATGCAAGGTAATGGGAGGGTGGAGGCTGGTACCCTCGTCGGATTGCCCCGAATTGTAACCTGGAAATCATCGGGTACGCTTGCCGTGTCAATGCACACATGGAACAGCGGCGAATTGACCCTCTGTAAAGTGCTCATCTCCTGTGACCTCAGATGATCAGAGAGGGAGAAGGTCTTGATCAGCAGCACTTTGTAGTCTGCTGCAGAAGTGCTAGGCCCTGCCTGGCTCTCTCCTGATATGTCAGTAGCATTGTCTTGTGCCATGCTTTGAGCGCTGTAGTGAGATCTTGTGTGTTACAGTAGATGAGCGTTGAGACGGGAAGATTGGAAGATTTGTTGGGTGTCTGAGTACAACGGCTAGCAGAAGAAAGCCTCAGCTCCGTGCTGCACTCTGGTCACCGCACCCTGTTGGGCTCCGTTCCGACCTTCCCTGTCCTCTCACACACTCCCTGTTCAGCGTACTAGTGAGCTGTGTACCTGTACTTTGAGTCTCTTTGGGTTCCTTGCAGTCTCTTCGTCCATCGCAATGTATACCGAAGACGGCTTCTGCTCTGTGTTAATACTCTCATGCACTCACGCCCGTCGCAAGCCGGCGCTTGCAGTCCCGCTCCGCTTGCCCAGAGGCACATTCGTGATGTGTTGCAAAGATCCACAACGATGCAAGAGAGATGATCAGGTCAGCTTCACATCAGCTGAGAATCTTCCGAACAGACTTAGATGATTCCCGAGAGCTGATGTTCAGGCGGACTCGTGAGCCCCATGTGCCGCTAGGGCAGAGAGATTTGCCGTGACGCAAAGTGACCTGCCGCGGCTGATGGTCCTGCATGTGCAATACGACTACATACACCCAACTATCCTGGTGCACCACCTCTCCACACGCCCATCCTTCGACCTCAATAGATGTCAGTGCTCCGCACAATGCCGCCTTCTTCGCTGCTTCTCACCTCCGTACTCGGCTGCTCGCTCCGTGGTCCGTCGAAACTACCGCTCCTTTGCACGCTCCCTCTTTCAGTGCTACCAGTCTTTCCTCGCCCACTGCTATGCCCAACACGTTCGCCGCCTATCTCGCGCGCCACTTCGCTCGCCGAAATCACCCTTCTTTGAGCGTCCGAAAGAGCAGATACTCCCAGCAGCGAGGCAAGACTCAGCAGAGTGAAGCAGATCAGGACCACGACAGCAGCGGCGTTGATGACTCGCAAGCCAACATGTTCGCCGTCCGGCTCTTGAGGCGAAGTGACCCCTCTCCTCCAGTGGAAAGCAAGTGGTACCGGCCACGCCATCGATCCTCTCTTTCGCACAAGCTTCGCTCTCGTTCTGCGGCCTTCTTGCGCTCGCGGGCTTCGAGACGAACACCCACCTTACACCCGCGACACTCCTGGCCGCTAGTCTCACAGCGTGCAAGCCATCATAGAATCGCAAAGCAAACCTCGCTATTCCGCAGTGTCCTCAGCACCTCACTTCGCCTATCAGGTCTTCGTAGAAAGACATCCACCATGGCAGAGTGCTCCAATACTACTCTGTCCACAACCAGCCCCACGTCCCCGTCAAGGTCCACAATTAGGCCCGCTCCTGCTCGACCTGCGAGAGGTCCTCTTCGTGGCCACAAGAAGTCCTTCTCCGAATCCATCGTCCGATCGCTGTCCCGCTCTCGCACGCAAGTACAGCGTCCGGCGAGGCTGTCCATTTCGGCACCGATCTTGCCTACTCGAGAAACTAGTGCAGGATCAAACATCAGTCTCGAGTCCTTGCCGGCTCCGCGAATAGCTCACCTCGATTTGACTGACTCGTACTCTTCGATCCCGGTGACGGACAGACAGAAGATAGCCACCAGAGCGAGACAGAGCATACTGGCATCACTTCCTACTCTTAACGCCTTGCCCGTGCCCAAAGCAGAGACTGCTACTTTTGCAGCTCTCACTGACTCCCATCGAGTGGTGGTCGATAGCGCCCAGCAAATCACAAAGAACGACTGTCACGTACAAGCAATACCGCTCATGCAAATTCGCTACCCCTCCATCGATGCGCCTGCCTTTGGCTCAAGAAGAGTCACAGTCCCCGACAATGGCGAGAGCGAAAGTGAAGATGACGTGACGTTGTATGCCCAGACAATCTCTTCGAGTTACACGGCTACCGCCAATAGCTCATGCTTCCTGCCAGGGGAAGACAAAATCGACTTCGGGTCTGACGAATGGGCAGCCTCTACGGATCACACGCCACGGCCGCTGCAGCGTGGCATCTTCACTTCGGCAGCCCCATCTAACGAGCAGGCATCCCTTTGTACGCTCCTTTCCAACGATGACTTCACGCAAGCTTCTCTTTCTCCTCTTCACGACGTCAGAAGGCTGAAACCTGTTGACCTCAGGAGGTCCATGAAGACTGTCGAGCAATACCATCCACGAAGGTCGATCGACCAAGTAGGAGCAGATATCACAGTAGACAAGAAGATACTGAGCGGCCTGCAGTGCGAAGAAGAAGTGGAGTTGGAGTGGGAGACCAGTTGCGAGTACCTCTGCGCCACGGAGGAGATCTTGCGCGAGTGCTACGGTGTGTTGTGAAGCGATGTCGTCTTGTATCCACCAGATGTGGGAAACAAGTGCTGTCCTCCGTCCCTCTTCGTCAAGATATTCTCCCTCTCTGGCCTTGCTTTTGTAATACAGAACCTCGCCATGTATCTGTACTCGTACCTAGATCAACCTCCCTTTGCCCTTGCTCAATCTCAACCTCTTGCAGCATCTTCCAGCATCAGCCAATTCCTCAATCAGCCACTTCGTCCACCGCATTCTCCAGCATCGTATCGCTCCCTCGCTCCCTCACTTCGAGAAGCACACTGCCCCTTCCACCTTCCTTCCTTCCTTCCCTCCCTCCCTCCCCGTCTCATTCCGCCAATCACTCACTTACTCTCCCTCACACACACACACAAGCACACAGGCACGTCTATTCCAAGAACAAGAAAAGGGGGAAATGGATCGCATGAGGAAAGAAGAGAGACAGTAAGAGAGAGACAAGAGAGAGAGAGAGAGAGATGTCGAGGTGGAGATGAGAGGAAGAGGTAGCCAATAGAGACTGTAGACTGCGGATCGTGGACCGTGGACTGGAGCTAGAGCGAGAGCGACGGCCAGAATGGGACACCGAGAGAGAGAGGGAGAGAGTGGGAGAGGCCGGTACACTAAGAGAGAGAGGGGGGAGATGAGGAAGTCCCGGAATGCCAGAGTTGTAGCACCGCCGCAGGTCGAAGGACAGAGGGTGGGGCTTGCCCTATAGCTCCCCTACTCGTGCGCCATCGCTCTCCATCTTGCCATCTCTCTGTGCCTACTTCTGACAAGGGGGCGTCTGATGGTGGCACCCCTGGATTCCTTCGCCCTGACTCTTGACTTTGACCGATCCTCCACACGAGCCTCCTGCAATGCTTACTCCCTCCTACGCCCTCGCCCTCACACCCCCACTTGCTCCAGCACGGCCACGCACTAACGACACTCGGACTCGCATCCAGTAGCCAACAGTCCATCTAGAGCACGATGCACTTTCCACCACTCCTCTTCTTCGATCCCTTGCTGAGCAGAGCGGCCCTGGTGGCGTGCTCAAAGACTTCCCTGACTCCCTCTCCGGTCTTTGCACTGCACTCGAGGTAGCGAGCGGCACCGATCTTCTGTGCGACGGCCATACCCTCTTCGGGCGAGACGGGTCGTTGAGACGTCTTGCGGAGCTCGTCGATGATCTTGGGGTCTCGTCGAAGATCCTTCTTGCAACCCACCAAGATGATGGGCAGGTTCTGGCAGAAGTGCAGGACCTCAGAGATCCACTGCGAAGAGTAAAGGGGACCAGTGGTACGACAGGAGAGAACGTGTCAGTACAAGAATCGCACGATCTCAAAGCCTCACCGCGGATTGCGGCCATTCTCTCTCCCCCCTTCCCCGCTACGCACCTTTTCTTGGACGTTGTCCAACGAGTCGGGCGAGTCGATTGCGAAGCAGATCAGAATCACGTGGGAGTCTGGGTATGACAGAGGTCGCAGACGGTCGTAGTCTTCCTGACCGGCGGTATCCCATAGTGCCAGCTCGACGTGCTTGCCATCAACTTCGACGTCAGCGACGTAGTTTTCGAAGACGGTGGGGACGTAGAGCTGTGAAATGACGAGGCGGGTAGGATGATGCAGGGTCAGTCATGAGTTGTGGGGCAGGGTAGAGCATATTTAGTCTTTGATGGACGTGGAGACTCACCTCTGGGAAGGTACCCTGTGGAGGAAGCAGCGGAGCGAGAAGAAGAGAGGGAGATGTTCAGCGACGAAGTCTTGGTCGCGTAGGATAGTTTGACCTCCAGACTCACCCTCGAGAACACGATCAGCAGGCAAGTCTGTACGGCAAGGAGAGATGGGGAAGAGCGAGCTGGACGTCAGCTTACCTCCTCGCCCAGGAAGATCAATACATCGAGCAGTGAGCTCACCTTTCCACAGGCACCGTCCTGTGCGAGTGTGGAGCGAGGCGCATAGACGAATGGAGACAGGGCCAAGGGAATGTCAGCATGATATCAGGGCAGCGCGACGTTCGACCTTGTCACCTGCATCTGAAAGATGTCAAGCTTGTGCCAAACTTGCCGCTGAGCACCCAGTCTCAACTCACACCACAGATGACCAGCTTCCTTCGAATATCCATTGTGAGATTGTAGTGATAGTGATATGTGCAAGTGAGGGATGGTGAGAGAGATCTAGACGAGCAAGATGTGCTGTGCTAGTGGTATGACCTTTTCAGTTGAAAGTGGAGGATAGTTGAAGTGCGAGGTGTTGCAGCACGGAGGACGTGAGCCGAGAGAGTCAGGCGTACGACACACGTCGATCGGAGAGAATTGGCGGGAGACGGGAAAAGGGGCAGGGGAAAGTGGGATGTCAGCTAGGCGGGACTAGAGATACGAGAATCGGCTGCCATGCTGTCTGATCGCTGACGGAGACAGCTGAGGCTGCTTGTATATTCTGTCTACGTGAGTAGCCTTGAGGCAACACAGGCAAGGATGTAAGCTGCTGATAGGGCGCCTCTCCAGCTGTACCCCTCCTCTCTTGCCTTGTATCGCAGATAGCGACATGAGACAGGCAAGGTAGAAGCCCGAGTGCTGAGACAGTACGGTTCCTGCTTTTCAAGCGCTCATCAAGCCCTGATTGGCATTCTGATGCTGTCCTTTCCCTCTCATACGCTGTCCGCCTTTGTCTAGGAGGCTGCCGTAGCGATACCCCCCGGAGCTGTAGTCTGCAGAGGCGTGTCCCGTGTCTTGGCTTGGCATGGCGGGGGTACTCACGTGTCTTGACAGGGATAAGGCCGGAGAGAGAGAGAGATGAAGGGCGTGGTGTGCAGATAGCGAGATCGTCTGAAGGTAGCTGTTGCGTGTCGTGTCTGGGGGCGTGAGAAGAGTATCAAGAGATGGGACCGTGGTGTTGGTGGTAGTGTTGGGTGGGGGGAGGTGAGATGGGTGGCAGTGGCTGTTTGAATTCGATTTCCACGGGGCGCCCGGCACCAATGGCGGGGGGCAACCCACAGCTCAGGCCAGGGGGGGGCCAGACAGACAAGGCCCACTTCGCACTCCGCGCCCAAAGCGCACCGCCAAGGGTCGGACCCGGCGCGGCTCACTCAAAGGGGCTCAGCCAGGCAGGCAGCCAGGCGCAGGAACACTCTCAGCTCAACCTTGCTCCACCAGACAAGCTCGACAGACGCGAACATCTCCTTGGGGGGAGGGGGCGGCCTGCTGCCCAAATCTACTACCATTCACCAGTGCGATGACTGGCAAATGCTACCGTCTCGCGCAAAGACATGATCAGACCTGGGCTCGCACCATTAGCACCTTCCTTGTACAGCCGCCCCCCAAATTTATTGGCCACTTTTCCGCAACGAAAGTGGCCCCATCAGAGCCGGTACTAGCTCGGAAGTCCGCCGTCTGGAGCTCGGGCTTCTAGAGTGAGACCAGCAACAGCCTTGCGATCTCTGATTGGGCCATGAGCTGTTGAAAAAGACTGTGCACACTCTGACCACTGACAGGGCTGATGGACGGATACCGTATCTTGCTGCCCCTCGCCCCGAAGACCATCTGTCTCCAGCACTGCCACTGTGCTTTGCGACCCAGGGGCGGAATTGACGGTGTGGCCCTGCCCTGTCAGTCATCTCTGCAAGCTCGCCAGGGCGGAGCGGAGGTTCAAAGGCCGGGCCGCGAAAAACGCGAAGGGGAAATGCAATGCAGAAGATGCTCATCATCGGGGACAGGCACAACTTAGGCCACGACCCTTGCTCTTCAGCAACAACTCCCCTCATATTCCCCCAATCCAATCGACATCTCCGAGGTACCGAGGCACAGACGACAACGACGACGACGACGGAGCGCGGCCAGCCTCGACCTCTGCTTCTCACATTACCCCTTGTGTCTCCTCCTTCCCTTTAATTCCTTCTCTTCTACCGTCTCTCTTCTTCGTGTTGTCCCGAACCCCCACCCCCAACCATGCCTCGTAAACAAGCCTCTTCGGCAAATCTGCGGAAGCAGAACGGAAACGCGTCCGCGTCCAATGGTGCCGCCGGCCCCACCAAGTCAGACGTCGAGACTGCAAAGAAGCAGCAGGCCATCCTCAAGGACGCACAGACAAAGCAATGGAAGCACGCCTACTTTGCACCAGACATGAGCGATCCACAGATTGTAGGTGGAAGCAAGGAGACTGCCATGGTCAATTACAACCCTGGCATCATCATCTCCGAGAGTGGTCGGAAGAAGGACAAGGAGCTCGATACTCACGATGATTGGGAATTTGGAGGTCCTGTGGGGGTGACAGCTATGATGACGCTGTTCCCCTTGCTGATGTACTACCTCTGGATCTGCCTCTGGTTCTACGACGGCCAGATTATCGTACCTCGAAGCGTGGATCAGATCGGCCCCTTCTTCACAAAGATGGGCCGACACGTCTACGAAGACGCGTTTCCCACCACAAGAGCTCTGGCCGGCTATGGAGGGCTAATGGTTTTCCAATTCGTCCTAGCCTTGGTCATGCCCGGCTATGAACAGGAAGGACTACCAGTCCCCTCGCTCAACTACAAGACGCTCACCTACAAGTGCAACGCCCTCTCGAGCTTCTACGCCACCCTCGTCACATGTGCTGTCTTGCATCTCTCTGGTCTGTACCGCCTGACGACGATCATTGACCACTTTGGAGAGTACATGACTGTAGCCATGATTGCAGGGTTCCTGGTCACATTTGCAACCTACTACCATGCCGTCTTCACCAAGACGACCCACCGCATGTCGGGCAACTTTGCCTATGACCTCTTCATGGGAGCTTCCCTCAACCCTCGTATTGGCCCTGTCGATCTCAAGATGTGGGCTGAAGTGAGGATCCCGTGGGTCCTCTTGTTCCTGATCTCCGTGTCGGGTGCTTGCAGGCAGTACGAGACGTACGGCTACGTCACTCCCAACATGGCATTCATGGTTCTCGCCACTGGTTTGTACATCAACGCCTGTGCCAAGGGCGAGGAGTGCATTCCCCAGACTTGGGACATGTTCCATGAAAAGTGGGGCTTCATGGTCATCTTCTGGAACTTTGCTGGGGTGCCCTTCACCTACTGCTATTCCATCGTGTACATGGCTGCTCACCCACCTCACTACTACCGCTTCTCCACACCCACGTACGTCTTCCTCTACTCGCTCCTGATCTTCGCACACTACATCTTCGACTCCTCCATGGCCCAAAAGTCACGCTTTAGGATGCAACGTCAGGGCAACCTCAAGATCCGATGGTCCTTCCCTCAATGGCCTTGGTCCACTATCGAGAACCCACGCTACCTTCAGACAGAGCACGGTAATGCTCTACTGATCGATGGATGGTGGCAATTTGCGAGAAAGATCAACTACACGGCAGACTGGACCCAGTCTTTCCTCTGGGGCGCCATTGCTGGATTCAGCTCCCCCATTCCTTACTTCTACCCACTTTTCTTCCTCGCGGTGCTCACGCATAGGTGTGGAAGGGACTTTGAGAGGTGTCACAAGAAGTATGGAAAGGATTGGGAGAAGTACTGCGACATCGTCGCCTATCGCTTTATCCCCTACGTGTACTAGATGGTGAACTTTGCAGACGAGGTGGGATTTGCAGAGCATCGAGAGGTGCGAGAGGGAGGGCCTGAGGAGGAGGAAAAGACCAGGCGACGTCAGAGTTTCACTCGTGGATGCAGAGATCCTCAAGAGCTGGAAATAGCCTTGGGAGAAAGCAGGCCAAGCGTATCGAACAATACGCAAGAGGTAGACCGATCACGCTCACTTGCTCTGGGCAAACAAAACCTGCGTATCATTATACCTCCCCTACCTATTCCCCCTCTGCCCCTCCTCACGGGCAGCATTCGGACTCCCTACTGTATTCTTGAGTCGTAGTGTCATTTCGTCGAAGACATCCAATACATGGGCCCGTTCTGCACTCATCATTGCTGCATCGTCTGGCCTGCTGCGCTCATCCGAGTCTGAATCGGTTGCGATTGTCGGACGCTGTGTAGAAACGCGGAGGGTCTGTGCTGTTTTCTCGCGTTCCGTTGGATCGAGGCGAGGCGTGTGGCTCTTTCCGTCGTGAATGGATCGGATTGACTTGCCTTGGTTGCTTCCTTCCTTCCTGTCCTGTCCATAATTCCTGTACACTGCTGTCCGTATCCTTGACTTTTCCTCAAGAAAGAGATCCGAGCCTTTCCAGGCGACTGGAGCAGATCGTAGTGATCCCTCTCTCCCCCTCTGCCCAGCTACGGAGCTTCAAGAGCATCACGGCTTTCCGTGCCCGCGACCAAGCTTTAACATTTCAGCGCTCGCCAAGCTCTGAGATCCCCACAGGGTAGACCATCTCACAAGTTCGATGCCCCCTCGCGCCAAGAAAGCTCCGCGAGCGCTGTCAGAGGAGGAAGATGCAAGCGATAGCCCAACCGGTGGTCCTGCCGGTCCGTCCTCAGCCGGCGCATCCGTCCCGACCGACCCGCATACGCCAGCTCGAAGTAGCGGGCGACCAAGACGAAGTGCTGCCAAGGCAATAGACTATTCTGCTCTCCTTGCACCTGGAGATGAGAATGGAGACGACGATGACGAAAATGCTGAACCTGAGCAGGAGAGTGAGGAGGAGAGCGATGATAGTCTCGGAAGTAGCGTGCATGCTTCTCCCCCTGCCAAGGGCAAGGGCCGGGGTGCAGCCAGAGGGTCGGGTGGGCGTAAGGCTGCACGCCTCGAAATGATGGATCTGGATGATGATGACAACGACGCAGATGTGACTGGCGAGGACTCGGAAGAGGAGCACACCGCTCGACGCTCTGCATTGAAAGGCAAGAAGAAGGCCACCGCGACGTTCAGCAAGGCTCCGGCTTCGTCTCCAGCCATCAAGAGTAGACGCGGTCCCAGGCCCTCTGCGGCCAAGCAAAGCAAAGGTCACTACGCCCACCACGATGTTCGACCTCTCTACCTCCCTGGTCCCTCCGGCTCGGGCCTGCTGCAGATAGACGAGATCCTGCCCTTGGACCAGATTGGCAAACGAGCACCTAGACTACGCCAATTGAAGACTATCGAGGCGCAAGAGGAACGCGTGAGGAGGCATCGTGTCTGCTGGGGCGGCAATGATCACTATATGCGCGTCAACGATGAGACTATGGCTGGGACTGATTGGGCGTGGTTCCCTGGTAAGGACACAGACCTGCAATCGGAAAGAAGGCAGCGTCAGAAAGTGAAAGAATACTGGGAGAAGAGGCGCGCAGACGAGGCGATTGGGGAGCAGGAGCTGCAGGAGATACAAAGAGTCGGGGGGATTGTGTTACTTGATCAGAAGAGTCACTTGAAGGTTTTGACGCATGCGTGAGTACAATGGGAGACTGGTAGCTAAGGTGATGGGAGACTGACCTAGAGAATCTGGTTTTACCTCACAAAAGGGAAAGCCAAGCGTACCGCCCACCTCAGGTCGACCTGTCCTCGCAGCTGCCGCCGCCAAGTGAACTTCCGAAATCTATCGAGGAATTTACTGAGCGAGGGCCCTCGTGTTCTTCCGCTGACGGCAATATCAAGGTAGCGATGGGAGTCAAGACGAATGATGCGGAAGGGACGAGCAAGCAAAGGACCTTTGAATTGGAGAGCAGGCAGGCCAAGAGTTTACAAGACTGTGGCCTGACTCTGGGACCCGCGGGATACATTATCAATGCGGGATCTTTCGTCCCCTCCTTCGATTGGGCTCCTCGTCCACCGCACGGGCCGCTCGGACCAGAATATCTGGCTGTAGCAGTTAGTCTTACCAGCGCACCTGCTGCCGTCCCTGACACTCCACTCGCTGCTATCAGCGAAGAGAAGGGAGGCGTGCAAATCTGGTCCATCGGCAGCAGCAACAGCGACGCGGAGTCAGCTCAGCCACAAACTCGTCCTAGTAGCCCTCTATGTCGCATGGAGTACCAGCTCTGTATACCCAAGGGCGAAGTGAAGCAAGTCAAATGGTCACCTTGTGGGGCTGATCTGAGAGATGAGACAGACTGGCAAAGGGAGAACACAGACATCCCTCCGCCGAGAATTGGCCTACTGGCCTGTGTGATGAGCACGCAGAAGGTGGCAATCTTCGCTCTACCTACACCAGAGGCTGTAAGGCAAAGCCACAAAGCCAAAGGAAAGGAGGCTGGCACTGCTTCAGAACCTCACAGTGAGTGGAGACTTGAACCTTTTCACATTATTACAGGCGTTAACATAGATTCATCTCTCGCGCGCACAGTCGAGCTCTCTCCCATCTTGGAACTCCCAATCTATGGACGCAATCGCCAAGCCATCTGTCTCGACTGGGCTGGCGGCGAGCGACTCGTTGCAGGCTGCTCAGATGGGACGCTCATCTGCTGGCCAATCGGCGCAATCTTGCGCTCTCTCACTCCCACTACTAAGACATCTCCCGCGCCCGCGCCCACGCCTTCCCTCTTGCCCTCCCACTCACTGCAGGTGCACGAGTGCGCCATCCTGTCTCTCTCGTTCCTTCAGCTGCCACCTCGGTCAGCAAGGGACCCAGGCGAGGCAAGCGCGGAGAATGGACACGATCAGGAATCGTACGATCATGACGGACTTCCACATACCATCTTGAGCACCGCGCTCGATGGGAGTCTCAAGATCGTAAATCTGGATCTCGTGGATCTGGTGGGCGATTTGCCGTCTCGAAGAGGTGAGTCTAGTGCGAGGACACGACAGTGACGCTCAGATTCAGATCACAACTCTTGCTTGTGACTGCAGAACCTGGATACAGCACCTCCTTCCTTCCCTTCCTTGGGATTTGGCTGGGCGAGAGAGGTGATAATACCGTGCGACTAGTGAATCCCAAACCTAGCCTGTACGGCAGGAGTCATCTGGTCGCATCGCATGATGGAAGATGCACAGTGAGTCCTACTCAGGCGCTTTGATGAGGCTCAGGATGAGCTAATCCTTCTAACCTTGCGCTCTGCCCCGCGTGTAGACTGTCGACGGCTCCCCTTTCCACCCCATGATCGCTTCTGGTGGGGCAGACGGGGCGGTGAAGCTGACGAATGCGGTCAAGAACATCGTGCGAGATCCGAACAAGGTGAGCAGACAACATTGTCACTTGGACGTCACCCACTCCGGGCCAGTCATGCATCTGACTCCTCATCTCTTGAAATGTATAGTATCAATGGCCGCTCTACCGCCTCGACCTCAATCGATTCACAGGCGAGGTGAGGTACGTGGACAACATTCTTCCTTCACCCTTTGTGAGTCACAGCTCGCTCCTGTCGTTTCGTACAATCTCAGCTTCTGACGTCTTACCTCTCCACCCTCCAGATCTTTCGCGCTCCAGCCACTGCCGCCCCTCCCTCTTCCTCGGATGCTGCCCCCTCCTCGAGTTCTGCGAACCAGACGGGTATCAACACAGGTGCCTGGCACCCTTCGATACGGATCACCTGTGTGCGGTGGAATCCCAATGTGTCTGGACCAGTGCTGCTGGCGAGCGCGAGCGCAATGGGTCTTGTGAGGGTGGAGATGGTGTGTGCGTATGATGCTGCTAAGCTCGAGGTGGTGGACGACGGGGTAGAGGGAGAAAGGCAGGGTGACGCGATGGAAGAGTAGTCGCATGGGCGGACTCATAAGCCGAGGTGTGCTTCCCTGTACCAATATTTTGGCATCTTCCCTTTCCCAAGAGCAAAGCAAATGGAAGATCTTGCCATCCATTGATGATCGATAAATTGTCTTCTTTCAGGGCAGGCGTAGCTGTCTGGTGCCTGAATGGAATGTGGCTTGTGCATCGGCTTTCTTTCACGCAACCCCGAAGCCACCTTCCCCGCACTGGTCACCCCCGCCCGGCCCGGAAAGAGGCGAAGCGAGAAAGGGTCAGCCGCTCCCCGCCAAGCTACGTGGGTGGGGGTTGGTAATGCCCTTGTTTTCCTTTCCTTGCTTGGTTGACCATCTGACCATTGTCGCCTCTTAGCTCAAACGCATCAAGTAGTCAAGTTGGTGAGACTTGGTGATACAGTAGGCTTTGGATCCAGCCTGTCAGCACCCATCATCAGGGATTACTCCTCCACCGCAACGATGACTTCCATTACCATGCCCACCGAGGACTTCGCACGGGGACCAGTTGACCCAGTCGTGGTGAAGCTGGTGAGACAGGCAAAGGCGCCTACGCCTAGGAAGTTGATTCCTTTCCTGAAGATGGTGAGTAGTTTCGAGGAGTACGACGTAGCGAGCTCACCAAGGCTGCTACGGGGACTGACAAAATACGTACACCACTGCCCACCCGTTCACGCACTTGCAGCTCTTATTCTACATCTACTTTGTCCCAAGCGCCACGCTCCTCACACCTCTCTACATCCTCCGTTCTCTCCTCCCTCTCACTCGTCTCGACCCCCGCTGGTCCTTTATCCAAAACCTAGGCGTGATGCACGTCCGGCGCGTAGTGCGTCTCTTCACCCGTTTTGGCGTGCAGCCAATCCAGCCAAGGGAGAATGGCTGGCGAGAATCGAGCACCATCCTCGGTACTTTTCTAGGTCTGCTCAACCTTAGTGGGCCAGGAGGAAGGGTTGTGCATCCAGAAATGGCATTGAGGGCTGCAGAGCACGCGGCTGGACAGAGGGCCGACAGGGTTTGGATTCCACCTCCCCCACTCGATGCATTCCGAGGTTTGCTCACGATCCGCACTGGTAAAGCTGGTGAAGGAACGGCGCATGGTCCAACGTACAATGGACCTCCTCTCATTGATCCTGCATTTGCCAAAGTGCGCACCAGGTGTTTCTGGTTCATGCACAAGGATGGAATTAGCCCGCCTGTGCCCAGCCAGAAGGGAAGGACTAGGAACTCGGATAGACCCGTGATTCTGTACTTCCATGGTGGAGCTAGCGTGACATTTTCTGCTGGTGATCTCTTCATGGGAGAGACATTGGCAAAGAATCTGGCACATACCACCGGGATTGACGTCTTCTGTAAGTACGACGGCGGAGCCGCAGAGGAGTCTGGGCGGTGGATAACTACTGACTCACCCTTCTTTCGTCCCCCTGCCCTCACCTTGCAGCCGTCGACTACCTCCTTGCCCCCGAAGCCACCTTCCCGGGATCCATCGTGCAAGCTCTGGCAAGTTGGTTCTACCTCACCCGTCACCTCGGTTATCTCCCCTCTCAAATCATCCTCGGAGGCGACTCCTACGGCGGTGAGCTCGTTCTCTCCCTCACCCGCTACCTCCTCGGCGATTTCCGTCTCTACGAACCCGAGTCTGGAGCAGAAAAACCCGCTGCTCTCCTCCTTCTAAGTCCATTCTGCGATGCTCGTGCCTCCATCGAGAATAAGCCAGAGTGCTTTGATGAGAATTCCAAAAAGGACATCATTGCATTGCCGTATGGCGCTTGGGGACACGAGGCCAGGGGACTCTTTGGAGATGATAGTGCTGATCGAGGCTTCCTCAAGAAGGAGGATCCTTGGTTCACTTTTGCAAACCTGCCTGATGAAGAGGCAAAGAGGTACCCACCGATGTTCATCGCAAATGGTCGCAGTGGTGAGTGTTAAAAAGCCTCTCCCCCCCCGCTTTATTCTTGCAATCGCTCATCGCTTCCCCCACCTTCACCCACTCTCCTCTCTTTTCTCCCTCCCCCTACGCAGAGCTCCTCTGGGACATGGGTGTAGCAATGGTAGAGCGCTGTCGTTCCCTAGGCCTAAACGTCTACCACCATGTAGACCCTTATGCGGTGCACGACTATTTCACATTGGTCATCTTCCTTGAAGAGGCAAAGGTTACCTATCAAGCTTTTACCAAATGGTTTAGAGAGGGAGTACAGAGGACACAGAGCCACTTGTAAAGTCAGGAGAGGGTGAGGGTCAGGGTCAGGTTGGGAAGAAAAGTCGGGTTGGGGGGAGCAATTTAGCGGGATGGTCGAAGCAGGATGGCAATGTGACGGACTGTACCCTTTGCTACCCTGTGTACACTCCCACACAGACACACACCACTAGTCCCAATGCACAGTATTGACACTCGAGCTATCCCTCGGGCGAAAGAAGACGAAGTGTGTCATGTTCATTCAATAGGTAAAACGTTCGGTGACAGGGGGAAAGCGTCCTAAAGGACTATGTGAAGATGATCGTGGTCCGGTTGAACAAGGCGGGCGAAGCAGCAGCCCTATTACCCATTCCTCCTTGCTCGGGCGGGTTCATAGTAAAGACTACGTGCAGATTGCGACTAATCTCTGCCTGGAACCAGCCATAGAGCTCCTCGGGCGAGTCTAGCAAGAGACCGTCGCGTTGAGAACCTTCCTTGCACGCCGTCATCAAGGCCGAGTACTCATCGCCTTCGAAAAGACCAGGGACCTCGGAATTTGCCAGGAGAGTGTTCATGGCCTCCAGGAAGGCAGGATCCTTGATCTGACTCTCATCAATCATAAAGCAGAGCTTTTCTCCCTGCGTGCCCGCTCGTCTAAGCACACCCTTGAGGTCCTCGTTAAAGTCGGCCATCGAGTACTTGTTGCTGCTAGCAATCGTAAAGACGCCCAATCCGTTCATCCAGGAAACGAAGCGGGTGAGGGTAGCACGACCACTGCCGCTGACACCAATGAGGAGGACGTGACCTTGGCGCTGGCGCAGGACTCGGTCGATGCAAGTGGCTACGTCGAGGACAGAGTCGTGTAGAACGAGCTTCTGGATGTCGAGCTCTTCCTCTGAGTATTGAGCCAACCTGGCGCTCGTGTGTCGACGCAAGGCCTCTTGGTCCACACTCTGCGTCGTTCTGGTGAGCCAATTGGAGAAGAGGATCGGTCGAGCAAGAGCGGCATCGCCCACCACTGGGAAGTGTTGCCTGGCTGTCGCGTCAATCTCCGCATCGGTCCACTGCTTCTCCGATTCGAAGACCAGACGATCTTGGAAGAGTCGAAGACCTTCGTATGCCCAAATACGGACAAGTCCATCCAGGGTAAGGTCGTCGAGGGGCTTGATTGCCTCGTACACTCCTCGCATCCATCGCGTCAGCTCACGCGGCGAGTACACGTAGTGCGCCTGCTGATCAGCAGTGAATCGCTTCTGCGAGGCGAGGTAGAAGTCGACCATGGCCGACGTGAGAGGTTCGGCATAGCCTCGCAAGTTCGGTGTGACTTTGAGAAGAGCTCGGTTGAAGGTCCCGTAGATCTGATTGAGCGAGATCTCACCAGGGTAGTCAACCATGACGAGAGGCGCATGTCGCAGGAAGCGATGCGTGAGGGGCACACGACCCGGATCGGTTGGAGGATTGCAGGCTCCCACGAATTGGATCCTCTCCAAGCGCACCCAGACGCGATCCGATGGTCGCCAGAAACCGCCGCGCTCAACGAGCTGACGGAGGAAGGAGATGACCCTCTGTGTGCCGTACTTGTCAAGGGAGGGCAGATTGATCTCATCGCAGAAGAGCACGATCCATTTGCCAAGCTGCACAGGTGCCAGTACGACACCACTGGGTGTCTTGCGATACTCGCAGTACTGGTCAAAGGTCTTGAGAATCAGCTCTGGAGTGGTGGCACTTGAGAAATTCAAGCCAACCACTTCCTGGTCCGGCAACTTCCGTAGGGCACTGAACAGCGTCATCGTCTTTCCTGATCCAGGAGGACCACAGAGCATCAGCGGCTTGTGCTCAGATAGCCACGAATAGAGGACCTCCTCATGACGGACAGTGTCCACCGTGGGAATGACGACATCGGCAGAAGAGACCTTGGCCGTCTCGATCTCGATGCTGGGCACTTTGCTGACCCAAGAGAACCACTCTGCGTTGTTGACGAGGACGTCGAAGTCGATCAAGGAGCTTCCGGGCCCTAGAGATGGCATCTCGATGCTCGTTTGCCGTGTGAGGAATTCGCCCATTTCGGCTCTGACATCCAGCTTCGAGTCACCCGTAAATGCCCAGAGGATGCTGATCAAGAGCCTCTTCTGTGCATACTGCTCCACGATCTCAGGACTGAGAGGGAAGTCCGAATGCTGACCATTGTAGTCGAGGACGTTGCGAACAGTCTTGTTGATGAGGGAGAAGAGAGTACCCACGGCGCGAGCAAAAGTGAAGTCCATAATATGGAACTGCTCGCTGGCGTGCTGCAAAGCCAACCCAACAAGCCCGTCGTCGTTGAAGAAGGGTGCAATGGTATCAGCAATGAGCTGTTGCGTCCGTAGCTCGGGCGAGACTTCGTTCTCTGCAGTTCCCATAGCAGCCTGCAGGCGAGCGTTGGCGATGCCTGGGATGTCTTCATCTCCGCTGCCTAGAGGCACGGAGCGTAGAGAGCCAAGGTAGTTACTGTATGTCATGGCTGGAGTGACACTGTCATTGCTGAACCAGATCATACCACATCGCGACACTGTTGCGAGAGTAGCATATCGCAGATTTTCGACCTCAAAGACGATCCGCACATTTGGTGGGAGACTCAGTCGCTCTCCATTCGGCAGCGTCAGCAGCTTATTGTCATCGAGGACACTGTTGAGGTTTTCGACCCACTCTGGATCCACATCGCCATCGAAGACGATCCAGTGCCTCTTGCTAGCCTCTCCTCGAGCATTGTCGACGATCTTGCGCAAGATGGAGGTGAAGAGGCCGTCGATCCACTCTCGCGTAGTTGGATCAAGCTTGCCGTACAGACTGTCCTTTGAGATTGCCTTGGGATCGATGACATAGCTGACACCTTCGATGCCGTCGAAGCGCTGCATAGCGGAAAGAAGCACCTGCCAGGCTTCCGTCTTTCCTGTACCCGAAGGGCCAACCAGCATGAGACCGTGCGAGATCTTGTGAATCTGGTATAATTGGATGATCTTGGCTTGCCACACACCGTCGCAGACGAGGTGCTTTTCTCGGCAAACATTTCGGACATGCTCGAGAAGCCCCTCAAGATTAGCAGGCTTGTACTGCACACCAGGGAACACGTCCGAGAGCAAGCTGCTCAGAAGAGGGACGTCATCTCCCACAAGCTTTGGCACGATGGTCTCGGTGATACTCTGGATGAGAATCTCCTGCTCGGCAATTTCCGAGGAGGCGGCCGCTGCACCGGCGACACTGCCGTGCGTGCTCCTCTCCGCCTCCAGTCGGTCTCTCTTCAGTTGTCCGGCACTGACCAGCACACTCTTCAGGGCTCGAAGACCGAAGTCATAGTGAGACTGAGGCGACAGCTGCTCGGCACAAAGCCCGAAGAAGGGGACGACTTTCGAAGCTAGTGCCTCGGATGTTCGGAAACCTTGGGAGAAGAGCATGACTTGAGCAATGAGCTCCCGGTCCGGATGGGTCATAGCCACACTGCGGAACAACTTCTTCAAGTTGATTGGCAGAGCGCTACGTCCCGCGTACGTCGGGTTGGTGGTGATGTTGATGGCCACCTCCGAGTTCATGGGGAAAGTCTTGCCGCCCAGCTCAATCTCGACATTCTCGCTCGTGGCGAAAGCAGCCAGACCACCTTGAATAGTCTGAATCTGTTGCGAGACGGCGGACAGGACAGCCTCTGAAAGTCTGTTGAACTCATCAAAGCAAGCACTTGCCCCCACTCTACAAAGACCGATGAAGATGCGGCCCATCGCAGGCAGATCGAAACCTTCATCGCAGTTCACTACGATGGACATTTGACCCAATCGAGCAGAGAGCGCCTTTGCGCTTTCCGTCTTACCGGTTCCTGCCGGTCCAAACAAGCTTGACCCCATCTTGGCATTCCTGGCCTGTGTGAGAACGCTGAATGCTCGAAGCGTAAGAGGCGTTGTGACGAGGCGGTCCGCCGCTCCTAGGTACTCCCAAGCGTAGTCCATCTTGGCATCAGCCATGTACACCTCGACCTTGTTGACCTCGCTACCGAGCCAATAGAAGCGCATTTGCCTCTGCCATTCCCACGACTGGGGCGAGGTGACGTTCTGTGCGATCAGCTGACGCGACAAGTCTCTCTGTAAGACGAGCTCGGTTACCAGACCTTCACACTTTCGTCGCAGGAGAGGCTGAATGTCCGCTCTCAGCACAGTATCAGCGAGAAGATCGAGACCTTTCAGAACGATGGCCAGTGGCTGCTGAGAAGTTTGCCCGATCTTGAGGTCAGCCTCAACGAGCTCCGTCCAGAGCACTTGAGCTGCCAAGATCGTGAGTTGTGCCGGTACCTTGTCCATCCATGCCATGAAGTCATCCACGGGCAAGACGTCAGCCTGGGTGTAGAGAGGTCGCAGTTCCAGTAAAGCCTCGTTCAGTCTCGAGGCCAACGTCGACTTCATCTGGGTCTCTAGCTGGGCTAGCCAATCGTTGACCTTTGCATTGCTCAGGTTGATCGACTTGTTGAGCTCCACCTTCTCCCCTTCGCGCGACACCATGGCGGTCATCTCTGAGCCGCTCGCATCAGTCTCGATTGTGGCAATGCCGCCGAACATCTTGCTGAGCGAGCTAGAAATGTTTGCCAAGTCCTTGTTGCCGATGAGCTGCAAGAGGTCACCATCACCAAGGAAATACAGACGAGGAGTCATTGCTCTCTGCCTTTCGAGGAACTCTCCCAGAGCTTTCTGTATCTTGGTGAGCAAGTCAGCTTGCCGCTCGAGTGTTCGCAAGATGCCCGGAATGACAATGACATCGAAGACAAAGGGAGACTTGGAGACCTTTCGCATGACGCTGATGAACTCGGCCTCGACGCTCTGGAAGCGAGAGCTCTCAGCTGGCAGGATGGCTCGGATCTCATTGCTGCCGTGGAAGATACCCGCAAGATAGACGTACCGAGTTTGGGCGTCTGCGTAGACTTCGAAAAGTTCCAACACCCGCTCCAGACGCTCGGTCAGACCTCGAGCTTCTTCCTCAAATGTCTTGTAGTGCGGTGACATGGTCATCTGTCTCAAGGCAGAGAGATGATCGCCGGCGAGGCCAAATAGAGCATCAAAGTGGCGGATGAGATGGGCGTCACCCCTCCTCACCAGGTCAAGCGTGTAAGATGTCCATGCTTCCCGAGTCTCTCTCAGGAAGCTCTCACAAGCAGCTTCGCCGGCAGCAATCGCTACTACTTCTTTGATGACGGTTTCGTTCTTCTTCAGATCGAGGTCCCACACTGCGCCGAGAGTGAGGGAAGAGGTGTAGTGCCCCTTGCCCAACCTCTTCCACAGAGTGCGCCAATGGCGGTCTCTCATGGCGTCGCCGTTAAGCTCGGAGATCAGGACTGTCGTTTTGAGCAACGCTCGCAATGTGGCCGCACAGTGCTCAGCAGCAGCATACTGGCGCATTCTGGCTGGCAGACTCTTCGTCTGATCCAAGAGCCCATCGATCTGCTGCCGAAGCTTGCGCGCAGCAGGCACATTAGCCCACTTGGTAGCACGCAGCTCTTCAAGTTGCTTCCAGATACCCGACAAAGCTGTCCAGACTGCCTTGAGATCTCGTAGCTCCTCCAGGGCAGGCTCGAGATTGTCTGCTGTCTCAGTGAAGGGAATGCTCAGTGCCTCCTTGGCGCGGACCATCAGGGTTCGATCTTCCACAAGCTTATTAAAGCGCCCTTCGAAGTCGCCTAGGGTGCTCAAGGAGCGCTCCGGAGTCGACTGACCCTGAATAGGCTTCTCAGCCTCCCAAGCTTCGAGGGCCACAGCCAGGCGCTCCGACAGAATCTTGTCCTCTGCCATAATCTTGAGCTCTAGTCCTGCTCTCTGCTCCTGAATGCCCGCATCCTTGCGTGCGAGAATCTCATTGAGCGCACTGTACTGGCCTTCTACCTGGTCGACCCACAGCCACTCAGTGGGAAAGGTATGTCGCTGCCGTTGAAGAATCTTCTCGCCGCTGGCAAAGACCTCCACCTGCGAGCCCCATACTTTGACTTTCCGCTTCGTATCCTCAACGAGCATGACAAAGTTGACCGTCGAGGCGGTCGAGCTAGCCTCGATTGAGCCCTGCTCGAGATCGTTCCTTGTCTTCAAGATCGAAGAGTGGATCTCTCGCATCGAGTTGCCAAGTCGAGTGGCAAATTGGCTGGTGAACATCCTCTGGAGTGAGTCATACTTCGCGTTCACCTTGGTGGCCACTTGCCCATACTCCACTGTCACGACACTGCCGAATGCCAAATGAGTCTCGGAATTGTCAAACACCGTGCGCGCTTTCCGAATCGAAGAAAGCAAGTCCTGCCACTTGCTGAGGGAGTCGCCAAGGGTGCGCTCGGCTACCTGCTCGTCTAGGTCCCACAGGCTTTGGAATTGAAGCCACTTCGCAAGATACGCGTCGAGTTCCGCCACCTTGCTTTCGATCAGACCAAATGGACGTACCAGCGTTTGGTCTTGCAGCTGTGTAAGCAGAGACGTATATGTCCGATCCGTGCTGCTAGCATCTCCGCGTACTTGCAGACCGATCTCGTAGCGGGCGCTCAAGATGCGCTGCAGCCCGCATATGACACCGAGGACGCTATGAAGCTGCTGGTACCAACGAGCTCGAGCATACTGGAGAGGAGGGTCGAGGTAGATCAACTGATTCTGCAGCTTGATCTCGTGCTTGAGCGGCTTCAACACTACATGATCTTGCTCCAGAGCGGCTTTGAGCGCCTTGTCTTTGCGACGAGCATCACTTCCCTCTGCTTGATTTTGGTGCAGATTGGTCACATCCCCGAAGAGACGGCGAGAGGAGCCAGTGACGCCATTGCTACCGCCTTCTTGCTTAGAGAACTCTGCACTCCATGCAGCACTGATGAGTCGCAGACGCTCCAACAGCACTGCCTCGATCTGTTTGTCAAGATCTGCGGTCCACTGCTCGAGGTTCGGGTAGCCTTCGAGATTGAGCTTATCAATAGTGGCCTGTATTTTGGCCAGTCGCTCTCCAAAAGCAGTGGAAGAATAGGCGCAAGTCCTCAACTCCTCGACAAGCACGTTGGTCTGGCCCTGCATCTCGATGAGCTCGTTGGTCTTGTCTTGAAACAGACTTACAGAGCTAGCGAACTGCCTGACAAAGGCGACCTGCTTGTTCTCTCGAGGATCCACACCGCCAGAGCCAGGTAGATAGGCCATTGCCCGATGGCTTTCATAGGTATTCGCAAAGTGTTCCCACCGCAGAGCCATGCCTTGAGAGATCAATCCATGAACGTCACTGTGGACCTGAGCTACGAGTGGAGCGATACCGGGGTTGGCTGCCACAAGATTGCAAGTCTGGGTGTATGTTCTCACAGTCTCCATCAGCGATACAGCCTGAGGATATACTCGCTTCGCATCCTTGGCCAGATTGTTGATGGCGTGAGGGATCTGGAAACCGAGCCAGATGAGGTTCCGGACTTCTTTGAAGAGAGCAATGACGTGTCGGTCAAAGTTTACGACGAGCTCAAACGTGTTCGTGGCGCGGTTGCGATTGACGCTGAACAGTCTCCCAGAGATGCTCATCTCTCGACGCTGGATGTCCTGTAGCCAACCATCAAAGAGTGGGCGGGTGGCGAGCTTTCGCTTGAAAGTGTCACTTTCGCTTCTCAGCCTCTGTCCCTCTGCGAAGAGCTCCCAGTCTTTCCCCAGCACATCTTCCACACGCTTCATATAGACGTCCAGTTGCCGCTCGATTTGCCGAGCCCAAACGATGGCGCCTGCGATCTCTGGTAGATCGCGCAGCTGACTCAGGTGGTTCGCCTGCGAAGGCCGATATTGCGACTTGAACTTGTCATGAAGAGCTTGAATATCGCTCTTCACACTCTGCAGAAGCTGCTGCTGGTACTCTTGCACAGCGCCTCGTACCTTCGGTCGGACGAACAACGAGTTGAACTGGCTAAGAACGCGGAGCATCTCTCGTGCCGATTTGGCTTGCCCGAGCAAGTCTCTCAGTCGAGCAATCAGAGTGCTCTCGACTCGGGAGACTCTTTCGTTGTAGGCTTGCTCAGCCGCTGACCAGATCTCTGTACCCTCCTGGGTAACGTCTAGCACGTCGATCACTTTGACGGACTCGTATGCGGCCCGAATCTCTTCACTCATCTCTATGCCGGCTTGCGACTGCAGCGCGCCTTGCTTGTCCCCGCTAGTGTTGGCGTCTACCCCGAGACCTTTGCCCGAGCTGACCATTGCCCGGAGCTGCTCGTGTGTCTGCCGGAAAGCGCCGACATAGGCCAAACGGTCCCTCAGCTTGACATGTTCAGGATTGACCTTGATAGGAATGAACTTCTCCTGTCGCTTCCTGGTCACCTCACGAGCGATGTTGACAAACTCCTTCATAGAATCGTCCCAGGCCAGGAAGACTTCGTTGACAGAAGCAGTGATGTCGCAAAAGGTCGGGAACTCCTGATACATCAGACGTTGCGAAGAGAGGACCTTCAGCAGTGTCTCGTTGAGATCTCGAGAGATAGCCTCGACGAGAGGTAGAGCCCTCTTGACAGGATATGGACTAATACGGAGCTTCTTGTTCAGATGGGAGAAGATCGAGAGGACTGCATCTCTTGCTTTGCTTAGATCGGTTGCCGAGAGAAGGTCATTGAGAGGGAAGTCCTTCATCAGCAAATTGTAGTTATTGACCTTCTCCGTGCAGTCTTTGAGTCCCGTATCGGCAAGGAAAGAGACGGTGGCGTGGAAGCGCTTGGCATTCCGGAGGATACCGAGTGTGAGATTGATGGAGTCAGACCTCAGCTGAATGTCAATAGACTCTTGGGCTCGCTCCATCGACAGCCAGAAGTTGATCTCTTGCGAAGTGGTGCCTGAGGCAACATCGCGATCGAGCTTGGTCACCGTCTGCACCTCTTTGACCCATGCATTGACGTCGCTCTGCAACTTGTTAAGAAAGGAGCTGTCAGACAAGAGCGTCTGTGGCTGTACTTCTTCTGGCACCACTTTCCGCCCAGCAGCTTGACACCGCTCGACGGTAGCTCGTATGATAGGGTGGACAGAGAGGTGGATCTCGGGGATCTCCACATTCTGCTGCAGATGGAGCAGACTTAGCTCTAGCTCGGCGAATTTGCGCTTTGCCATGGGTATACCTGCCAGGAGACGGGGCGAGGGTCAGGGAGAAAAATGTCAGAGCCCGTCGCCGATGTGCCCTTCACTTGTTCGACTCACCCATCCTGGTATCGTTGTCCTTGTTCTTCGAGGACGAAACAACCTGCTTATCCTTACTAGCAATGTACGCATCAAACCATGGCGCCATGACATTGTGAACCACGCTGTGCAGGGCCTCGTAGGGTGATTCCCGTACCGAGGTGACGAGGTCTGCAACCGCCTTACTAGCCTCAGTAGCGGCTTCGCCATTTGTGACATCTGTGGCTGATGTGGACACAGCGCCCTGAGATGCGCTGGCTGGACCAAAGAGGGAGAGGAGGTGTAGCTGCTGGGTGACTGGTAGTGCAGAGTCTAGACTTGGCACACGCTTGATAAGGGCTATGCTTGAGACGTGACGTGGAGTATACGATGGCTGCTTGGAAATGCGGTATTCGAAGAGGCCTACAGCAAGGGAAAGATAAGAGGAGTCAGCTCCTGCGCAAAGAGCAGCGAGGGGTGGATCTCTCCTTCCAGTCGAGGGAGAGCCATGGATACTCACCATCCTCATCATCGCTCTGCACAGCTTCCCTTCTGACCTTGTCCACATAGACGGTCATCACGTTCGAGTCATTGGCGAAGCTCTCTGCGACACTGTACCATTCTGGCCCTGCAAAGAGGGACTCTCTTAGAGCTCTTGCCTGAGCGGACAGAAGGACAGGGAGCAGCGCCTCCAAATAGCTCCTCAGCAGACCGAGGTCGAAAGTAACCGGCAGCGGTGAAGCAGATCCTGAGGCCGTCATGGCTGAGGACGAGGCGAGGACATCGGGCGTGGCCATTGTTGCTTCACGAGCCCCGAGCGGCTTCAAGATGGGAGGCGGCAAGAAGGCGCAACGGCCGCGTCCACTTATGAGCTCCCACTCCGCCTTGTACTAGGCCGGAGGACGCTGAGCTGTAGGGCTTGTGGGTCTAGTGATAGAGAGGGGTTTGGACCACTTGCAGCAGACTGCGATGCTCTGTATCTGCGGTCTGGATGTGGGTGAAGTGACCGACAAGGCATGAGGGGAAGGAAAGGGGCACGTCACTTCCGTGCAGGCGAGGTGTTGGACTGAAAGACACGCGCAGCCGGAACGGGGACAGACGCCGACGCCAGAACACCATACGAGGCAGCGACGAGATCTCACTCAATCGCTCAGAAGAGAGCTTGGGACAACGACACAAGACCAGGAGGACCGGTTAAGCTCCTCAAACTCAAGAGTCATCAGATCTCATACTGAGAATCGGGCCCTTGCAGCCTGTCATCAGCGGAAGTCAGTAACCCCTTGTGTGGGCACGCTCTATGTGCAACGCAGTCGCACCGCGAGCTGGCTCCATTTGTGTCTTGGTCTGTGAAGGTCTGGTTCTATCCTACCGTGCAACGTGTATCACGAGTCCGACAAATCGTTCGCAGGCCTTGCTTCTTTCCCTCCCATCGACCATGATCCTCTCTGTGTCACTGGTGAAGCCCCTGGGCAAAGGTAGGATGATGAGATGTATATGTATTGCGGAAACCGACTGGCAAAGATCGAATGCGTTTGGAGCAGGCGTTTACTCATCTCCAACCTTCTTGCCCTAAATACGGTAATGTAATGCGAGAGATGAAGAAGAGTGTCAGCGGCAGCTCCTCGTATCTATCGGAGAACACGTTTCAACCATGTCCTTGATCTCCCTCGTGGATCTTTGAGAGCGCGCAGAATACCTCAGAGAGGGGAGCGCTGATGGTGACTGTATTGTTCGACTACCTAAGACAGCAGAAGAGCCTCCTTCTGCTCATCGTCATGGCGCCGCGCCCATAGGGCACGTCCATCCCTGGCCGGGCTCTCTGCTTCCTTTCCACCTGACAGACTTCCGCCCAGCATCTCCTCAGGTTCCATCATTCCGCAATTACTCACCTTGGAGGCATTGATCAGTCCACCGGTGATGCCAATCATTCCCACGGTGAAGAAGGCCATGTAAACCTTCATGTACATTCCTGAGCGGGGCAGACGCTGGTAGACGGGGCGGGTGTCGGCCTGGTAGATTCGCTGACGCTGGACGATGGTGTTGCTGAGATGTATGCAGAGTAATTTGAGGAAGAGCCATTGATATCGAAGGGGCATGTGAACAGGAGAGGGAGGATTGGTCAGATCTACAACATCTTCTACCATAGCGTCTCTTGCCTAGAGCTCTTGAAGCGGCAGCGGTAGCAGCAGCAATGGCCTTGTAGTCTACTCACGATCGGTTGACAAGGGCGTCGAGCATGATGGGCGAGTGATGGTGATGGGGTGGGGTGGTATGAGTGCGGGAGACGAGGGCGATGGTAAGACGATGGTGGTATCCAGGCGCGGGATGCGGGTTGATGGGATTTGTCTCTCGGCAACCGTCGGAGCCACACTTCGGAGCCGAGGCATAGACGCTTGGGCGGACAGGCCACCTTGACTTGACTTGTTCCTTCCGGAAGTGCACTTCCGCTTCTACCCACACTTTGTCAACCATCACCATCAGCAATGTCGGCCCAATGAGCGATCCGCCTGTTCCACCTATCACACCTCGGCATAATGCTGCGCCGAGCCATGGTACAGAGGAAGGCAGCGCCCGCCCTTCGCAATTCGCCCATCTCAGTGTCACACGCTTCTCAGACTTAATCAGAAACATCGACTCTGCCTCCGCAGGTCCCGCTGGGAACAAGCGCAGACGCACTGAGGCTCCTTCTGTGGGTTCCACAAGTCTCAACAGACCTGTAGGCAAGCCATTGGGGATCGCCGACTGGGCCAAGGCCAAGGCAGACCTTCGACTGGAGCGAAGGGGCGTGGTAGAGCCGCTGCGCAGAAGTGCAGGCGCGAAGGGTAAAGCTGCTTCTGCCTCACAGTCTGCCGCGTCGACGTCCTCATCTTACGCTCCCTTCTCGAAAGCTCGCCTACTGGAACGAATCGCAACATACAGCCTCTCTACCTACAACGTACGCGTCTCTATCGCTTCCAAAACATCCGCTGCGATCACGAGCGAGCAGGGTCAGCAGGCAATCGCCTCCCTGGGTAGATGGCTCGAGCCCATCGGCCCCGCCCTCAACGGCTGGGTCCATCTTCCTCCTCGCTCCACCGCTCAGAATTCAGAGACTGGTGCCAAGAACAAGCTGCACTGCCCAACCTGTGGCTCGAGCAACACAATTGCAGACCAGATCACAGATCTCGAGCCTCTCTTCAAGCAGGTACAAAGTCTGCAGTCCGGGCATCAAGCCTGGTGTCCATGGACAAGACGATCTTGCCATCCGTCTCTGTACTCTCTGCAAAGCGTGGAGGAAGATTTCGTTGGTCGGCTCAGTCGGACCAAGGCCAGGAGGGTGTTCCGAGAATTGGCAACAAGTATCGATGTGGCCGCAGATGTGTCTGTGGTGAGGCCCGCAGGACTCAGCGAGGAGGACCTAATGGCTCTTCAAGCCGCCCTCACTGTTCCTGGACTCGCGAGCAGAAGTAGCGTGGCTGCAGGCAGCAGCGGTGAGGTTGAGGTTTCTCCGCCTCCCAGCGCCCCAGCAATCCAGCTCGCACTCTGTGGCTGGCTTCCCGTCAGCCACACATCTTCAACAACAGCTTCCTCTTCTTCAAGCATCACGAAGAGACCACGCTCCTCTATCAGCTCATCCAGCGTGCTACAGTGCAGATCTTGCAGTCGCAAGCTCACCACGGGATCCTCCAATCGAGCGGCACCCGTGGATCCAGTGCGGGAGCATCGTCGCTTCTGTCCCTGGGTGCAGGCGGACGTGCAGGCCGACACATACCTGCCGTCGTTCAAGAGTGTACTGGAGGTCGCTCGCCCCAGTGTTGATGAGGTAGATGAGACAGATCTGCAGAATGACGGAGCAGCCATGTTGAAAGCCTTTCAAGACGCGCAACAGCAGCCGCTCCGTTCTGCGAGCATCAAGCCTTCCCACCCAGGCTGGCAGATCAATCTACGTGCTCTCCTCCCCTCGCCTGGCCCGGCCTCGCTGGAAAGCTCTACTGCCGCTGAGCTCCCTGCAGGAGGCTCTGCAACTTTGTACTCTATCGAATCTGTTATAGGAACAGATGAAGGACCCGATGGACCAGACTCGAGCTTTGACGTCTCGGCTCGGAGTGCCCGCAGCGGTGGGACGGTGAAGAGGAAGAGAACATCGGAGATTCTCAGGGAGGCCAGGAGCTTGCTGTTCGGTACGGGTGGTGGGAGCGCAACTACCAGCAGGACCGCATGAGTCGGCAGACGATGATGATAGTAAGATGCCTAGGAGGTCAGAAGAAGCCTTGTGAAAGCCAATACGGTTGTCGGATGCAAAGAGTTGAATTGCTATATACCCCACTTTACCACTACACTACATGAGAGTCTATATGAATTCTTCGTTTGGTCGTTACACGTCACGTCACGTCATGCTCGAACAAATACACGTCTGAAGTCCCTGTTCGCTCATCAGATGCGTACCAGACTCCTCTCCCACCGAATCCGAATTGGTCTAGAGTGGGCCTGGTCCCCTCCCACTAGCAGTAGAAGCGCTCCCTCCACCAGCAGCAGCGCCAGCGCCAGAAGCCCACCAAGCCTCACCTCCTCTTACAGCCGAGGTGCGGGTGAGGGACTCGCTACTTCGTCTCCTGCCGATAGTGTCTGTATCCCCATCCCCTTCTTCACTCTCACTCTCACTCTCCACTTCGGCTTGGACGTCATCATCCAACTTCTCTCCAGCTTCATACTCGCCTTCGTACTCTGCTCCATCACTATCGGGTATCGTATCTCCTTCTTCTACATACGCGTCCACACCTATGTCCTCTTCCTCATCGAACTCAACAGGACTATAGATCGATGAGCTGCCTTCCATCTCCTCCTCCTCTTCCAGTTGACCTTCGCCCTGCAAATCGAGAGATCCAGCATCGTCTGCGTAGCGCAAAAAGGCTCCCCCTGCAGGCTGGCGGAAGGCAGTGCTGGGGCTCCTACTCGAACCTGGGCTTGAGCTGAACCCAGCTTGTAGAGCAGCACCTGCCCCAGGACCGAGATTACTGCTGCCTGCATGAGCTCCACCTCCCGCTCCACCGGCGATAGAAGCGAAGCCACTGCTCATTACGCTCGACTCTTCGGCTATGTCCGAGAGACCTTCCTCTGCTTCGCGACGCAGGGCATAGGAGAGACCAAAGTAAGATGCTTTGAGCTGTTCTGATCCCGGATCCGAGTCTGAGCGAGGCGCAGCGCGAGAAGGAGAGGAAGAATAGGCGAGGGTGGAAAGAGCTGGCGCGAGCTGCGAGGAGGAGGATGTATCGGCGTCGACATCTTGCTCCAGGTCGTCCTCATCGCTTTCGAATCGAGGCAGAGCTTGCACCTGGCTCGTGACCTCTTGCGCTGGAAGAGCAGCAGGAGCAGCACCAACGGGCGTATTTGTCCACCAGAGTGGAGGCGCAGTCGGCTCGGCCTTTCTGCCGCGAGAGATCTGACCAGAGGAATGCTCCCTCTCCATCCTTCTTGAGATGCTGCCCTTCATACTGCTCGCTGGAGATGCAGAGCCTGAAGAAAGTGATGGCGAATATGCGGGAATTGTCGTAGTGGTATCGACACGTCCTAGCTGGGCAGCGCGACTCGGCGGGGTGGTCGGTGCTATAGGCGTCTCTCGCGAGGGTGTAGAGGCGGGTGGGGTCAAGGGCGCCGGCGCGGGAGGAGTTGGTGCAGACCTGCTCGAGCTCGGCGAGCCAGGCATGACAGGCTCGCGACCATACTGTACACCGAGCCCCATGACTTCTTTGAACTCGGCTTCTGTGAATGCTCTTCCTCCGCCTCGTGATGTAAACATTGGGCTCTGGGAGCCGTCGGCAGGCTCGTCTCCTTCGTCATACTCCGATTCTTCCCCGATATCGCTCGGCAAGCTCCCGGGGGAGTAAGGTGGAGAGACGTCTTCTCCCCTTTGATGCCATGCAGGAGAGGAGGGAGCCGTGTCGTTGTCTGGCGGACGGGAGTAGGCTGCTTCAGCTGCCATGAGTGTCTCAACGTCGCCACCAATGGGCCGAGCAATGAAGCGGCCCAGCAACTCGAGGCCCTTCTCCCGCTCAGCTTCAGTACCGGCGAGGTACATCGCGACGAACGGCCAGGCATGCACACCTCCACTGCCATGCTCTACGGCAGTCTTGAGCCACTTGCCTCTCTGTAGACGCTCGTACCTCTCCCTCTCTTCCTCGCCGTCTTGTCGTGGCCGATCGTCACGTCGCGAAGGCGTGAGGTCTTCAGGACTTTTCCCGCTGTGCACCAGCTCGACCCAGGCCTCGATGTCAGCCGACATGCGCTCTCGCTCGCCCCATGTCACAAGGCAGCCGCGCTCGAGCTGAATCTTTGACCAGTCTCCCAGAATCGGTGACAGCAAAGGATTAGAGTCAAGATCCGCAGAGGCCGAAGACGGAGAGCTGAGGATGGGAAAGTAGAGATCTTTTGTGCTCCTTACTGCGTCTGTCTCACGTTCTCTTGAGCTGAAGATGGGAGCCAGGCCGGATGTGAAGCTTGGCTGGACTACAGCTGTCGAGAGAGGAGGCGACGTGCGGACCAACTCCTCCTTGGGTACCAGTTGCTCAAAGAGTGGGTGCTCGAGGAAGTCCTTGACGGCCCGAGCGAGTCTTCTAGCGGGATCAGCGACGTGGGTGGTGCGGGTAGCCTTCTTCCCTTTGCGCTGTCCTGCTTCGCCAGCTTGGGATTCTTCTTCGAGACCCCTACTGAGAATGCCTCCTAAGTGCGCGACCCAGCCCAAAGGACCGATGACTCTGCGAGGCCTCTCAAGTACCCCAGCGTATACCTGTGCAAAGTGGAGCAGAGTCTCGGATGCAACATAGTCCCATTCATACGAGGTGATGGCAGCAGTGAGATCCTCGCTAGGTTCCGGATGAGAAGTCGTTGTGCCCAATGAGTCTCTGAAGCTGCTTTGCTTCTTATGAGAGCTCTTTGCTGACTGCTTTGTATCTCTTTGCATCTCCTCTTCTTTTCTGAGGGCAGCAAATGCGTGGGCTTGAGATGGCCTCAAGTCCACCCAGGGACTGATAAGAAGCGCCTTTCCCGGCAGAGGCAGCTTGGTCCAGTCCCTCTCTCGATACACTTCTTTTCCTCCTTGTCCATTCAGGGTCAGCAACATTGCAAGGGCGAGGTTGCCGCCCGCAGAATCTCCCGCAAAAGTGATGCTGCTGGGGTCAAGCCGCTCTACCTCGATTAGATGCGCGTAGCATCTGAGGCATTGTAGCAGGGGTGCTGGGAATCGTGCAGTGGGACCGAGATCGTACTCTACAGCCACACATCTTGCCAGTGGCGCAGAGGGGTCGGCAGCTTCGAATCGGCAGACCTTGTTGAGGACCCGAAGTAGTGCCTCCGCGTAGAAGGAAACGCTGCCCAGGGAGAAGCCTCCACCGTGAAGATAGAGGATGGTCGACGCCTGCCGTGATGTCTCACTCTGGCGACGTGACTCTGAGGAAGCATATGCGTCTGGTCCCATCCAGATTGCCCGAAAGGCAGGGACTGGTGACGGCGAGGAGTCCGTCTTTATTGGCTCACCGCGGATCTCCTTCATGAGCTCCCAGCTGGCGCCGCCTGTCCGCCAGCCGACAAAGGGCAGCATCGTATCTTCTGCGAAGAGAACTCGTGGCAGCAAGTGCGGGAAGTTCATGCAAGCGAAGCGGGTAATGAGAATGACGAGGTGATGGAAGGGTGAGAGTTGCGATGGAGGAGGGGCAAGCGGGTGAGGACGCTGCGAGGGTCTGAATACGTTGGAGGCAGGATTCACATCGCTGTCTTGTGGTTCGCTTTCTGGAGAAACAGGCTGAGGGTGGCTGAGAGTCCACCGCCGGTAGAAATCGAACGGAAGAGAAGTGACTAAGAAGGGGTCGGGAGGTGATGATGAGTCAGTCGTAGCTTCATTGGTCCAGCTCGGGTAGCGCCTCTTTTACTCACAGCAGTACCACAACGACTTGGCAGCGATATCGACGAGCTCAGCTATTGCCAGCGTCTTGATCAAGTTGATGGCATAAGCTGCAGCGATCAAGACGAGATCCAGTGCAGTCATCCCACCCAAGACGGGCCGCTGATGCTGGCTGCTGCTATTCCTCCGTGTAGGTTTTCCAGGCCGCATCGTGGAGACACCGTCTCTAGCGCGAGTGAAGGAGTCTCTCCGCGCCTGCTGTCCTCGAGAATGGACCGAAGAGGATGTGGAAGCGGGTGTAGATGACGTTGTTGCGGCGGCTCTCTTGGACATGGTGGGCATGGTGGGCCGATTCGCCTGGCGTCGCTGCTGAGGCTTCGAGGCGCCCGAGTGCCCACCCATGATGGAGGATGAACTGGGAGAGGAGCGCAGGAAGGTGTCTCTCTGTTCGTTGTAGGAGTGTATGCTCTCTGATTGCGAGCAGTACGCTGCGTGGCGATGAGGGGCCTCCCACTGGGTGAGCTACTGGCGAAGATCTGTGCAAGCTTGCAGCAGCTGCAGGCAATGTGTGCTGAGCTCAGATCTGTCCGAATGACTGGATGAGCCAGGCTGGGTAGCCGTCTCTGACAGCGGTGAGGGTTGTGACGGCAGGAGAGTAGTGGTGAGCCGGAAATGCCAGTGTGAGATGCTGACGAGGTGAGGATCGTGTGGGTCCAAGCTTAGTGGGATACGCAGTGAGTCCCCCTTGTGTGCGTGTGCGTGTGAGTAAATGGCTGCCTCGTCTCTCTACGCCTTCGCCAAAAAGACGCCGAGGCGTGGCGCGGGGTGGCTGCGTTTGCTCTTTGCTCCTTTGCTGCTGCGTTTTGCTGTTGCTGCCTCGCCTCCATTTCACACGCTCCGACTGCACCCATCATCGCACGGCAGAACAATGGCCCGAAGAGATCTGGATAAGCAAGCCCAGACCACACCTTTGTCGCGCCCTTGGCCAAATATCAATATCATGACACTCAGGCAGCACGCTCGGCACGACACACGAAGGCAGAGATTGCGGAAACAATGCCATTGTGTGAAATTTATACTATGCCGTGTGTGAAGAATTGCGAGGATATTGCTGCAATACACTCAAGTCGTCCATCCTGCTCAAGTCACCCAATACCCCGTAGCAAGTGGCCTTAGCGGATAGGTCCGCCAGCAGATGGGTCTGGAGCATTCCCACTGCCTCCCTGCTTGTCAATGGAGAATTCCTGCAAGTCCTGCAAGGTCACCGACTTGAGTGCCAGCTGATGTGTGGCAGGGAGGATGACGCTGGAGAAGGAGCAGGAGAGATTAGCAGCGGGAGAGGAAGTCAGTACATTTCCAAGAACGGGACTTTGCGACGATTGGCTCCAACTCACCTAGGTACCGCCGACCTTCCAACCTCGCCGCTCCTATATGCAGTCAAAGCCTCCTTCCACCTTGTGACGCATAGACACCACTTGCACCCACCACTGAGGATACTCGTCAAATCATTTCCCCTGCTCTTACTAAACTCCAGGAACTCCGGTGTAACCTGCGCAGCGAGTGTGTGCGAGCCTCCGTCAGCAGGCGCCGTATTACAGTATCCATCTCGAAAGAAGCCGGTCAGAGGTTGAGTGGAGCATTGTGCTAGGGGCTGGGAGAAGACATTCGTAGAGGGTTCCATGGAGGACATGCTGAAGTGGGCGGGGGAGTGCGAGGCTAGTCGACGTGTTGTGCTGGGCAGAGCGAGCGAGGTGAGAGTCGCCAGCGAGAAGAGTTTGCGGAGTAGGCGCGGAATGGTGGGCAGATGATGCGACGTAGGTACAGACAGTCAGGTTGATCAGGGTATGATGATGCTTGACTGAGGACGGGAAGGTCTGTGCTGGTCTATACTGTAGCTGACACCCTCGTCTAATCTTGGTCTGATTGCTCGCGCCTCCACCTCCCTTTCCGCTGAGGTCAGCCGACGAAATCACGTAAAGCCCACCATCCGCCCCTCTGAATAGTACGATTGAGGGCATGGAAAGCACCCAAGTAGGATGTTGGCCAGGCGACGTTGGGCACTGAATCTCGCTACAGCCTGCCAAGCGTCATGGTGAGGTCGCCGAGCTCAGCCGAGGCAGCGCTGCGTTGTCCGAGGGGACATTCCAAAGGCGCGCCAGGGTCCACTCACGGCTTTTGCTCCGCTCCTGTCCTGCTCCGTTTGGACCCTGTGCAGATTTCTCACATGCCTGCCCTTTCCTCCGCTCCACAGTCCGCCTTCCCCATGGGGTTCCACTGCCCTTCCCGCAACTCGCAACTGCAGCGATTAGCAATGGCCTGCTCTCTTCCCGTTTCCTCTCTTGCCTTTTGACCACTTCCTTGTATACCTCTTCCTTTTACACAGACCTCACATTGCGGCAATAGCCATCCTATACCAATCTCCGCTTGAGTCCTTTGAGTTCTAATCACCATGGCCCCTCTGCAGACCGAAAAGGCTGGCGAGCCTCTCTCCACCGGCTCACGCTGGCTGCGTCTCTCCCCACACCTCAAAACTCGTCGTCCTTCTCCGCGAGTCCTCATGATCGCAATCACCAACCCTCCTTACAATCTTTTAGACGGCAACGTCCTCTCTGAGCTGAAGCGGGTTCTTCTCGCTCTGCGACCCACTGCGACCGGAGCTGTAATTCTCACCTCGGACGTCCCAGAGATCTTCCTCTCGCACTACTCCGTTCAAGAGATCCTCGACTTCTCTTCCTTGGTACCCTTTCCCGTATCTGCGGGCGTAGTGCGTGGTCTGCTGGCATGGGAGAGCTGGTCTGCCTACTTTGGCTTCCGTGGGCTCACCCGCCGTACGCCCTTGGCGCCTCTAGCGCACCTGAACCTCTACCATGAAGTCACCCATCTACTGCGCTCCATCCCACAAATCACAATTGCCTCACTCAACGGCCGCGCCTTTGGTGGAGGATGCGAGCTAGCCCTCGCCTGCGACTTTCGTGTCATGATCGGCAGTCTTGCCGAGGGAGAAGAGGACAACATTGCTGCCATTTCCCGCGGTATCGGACAGCCGGAGATTGCACTCGGCTTGATCCCCGGTGGAGGTGGAACACAAATGCTCACTCGTCTCCTTGGCCCCGCAAAAGCACTCGATCTCTGTCTGAGTGGCAGGCTGATTTCGGCCAAAGAGGCACTCCAGCTGGGACTGCTCAATCAGGTCGTCAAGGATCAGAAGGAGCTGAACGAGGTCACGATTGAAATGGCAAAGAGTATGGCCAGGAGGAACCCCACGGCCATCCAGTGCATCAAGGACTCTATTCACGTTGGCGGTAGTCAGAGCTTGGCTGATGGCATGCGGCGCGAGCAGGGCAACTTCGGCGAAGCGTGAGTTGAAACGGTCATGCTTTGCAGCTTTCTGTCGGGAAGAAGTACTTATAATGCCTGACACTTAATTACACCTTTTGCTCCTTCTGACCCTGTCTTCTTCCAGCTGCCTCGGCCCAGAGGCAGGCTACGCCATGTCTACCTACCTCAAGAACATCGACAAGTTCCTCGGCACAGGCGAGGATGCCAAGCCTGAAGAGTATTACTCGCCGCTCGTAAATGGAACCTTCATCGACATGACGCCCGGTGGAGCTGCGAGGCAGAACAAGCGGAAGAAGACGTGAGTGGGAGTGCAAATTGGATGTGGGGAAGTCGTAGATAGGACAGCGCAAGAACGCACGTTGCCATTGTTGAGTAGTTTCGCCTACCATACTGTAGCCGAATATGATACCTCCTGCGACAATCTCTGCATCGCACCGCTCCAAGTGCAGCTGGACCCTCGCTGTCTGTCTACCTCCAGAAGAATTTTCCGATCTTCTTGAGCGTCTTCTTCGCCTTCTGCACAGCTCCCCTCACTTTCTTCGTTCTTGGTGGCTTAGTGTGGCGCAACGGAGAAGCAACGCCTTCAAGCTCCTTGAACCTCTTTGGGGCCGTCGGCGGTAAAGGAGGGATAGCGTACCTGCCCTGTGAATTGGACGGCCTCTCCGACTTGAAGAATTGCGGTCCGTTGGGAAAGCGAGGCTCCGTGGCAGCCTGTGTATGTCGAAAGAAGAAGCCACCCCCAGGAGCAGGTTGCTGCTCGAACCCGTCCAGACTGCGCTTACCAAAGAGCTTCTTGAACCCCTTTGTGAGCTTGCCCATTCCTGACTTTGCCATGCCCCCCATCCTGGATGCCACTCCCTTCTTCTTCTGCGGAGGTGCCTCCCAAGCTCTTGGCGGAGGACTGCCTGGTATACCGTTCAAGTTCAGCTTCTGGAAAGTCTTTGGGGACGGGGATGATTTCTTCCAATCATCTGGATTTCCCAAATTGAGGTACTCCCAAAGCTTCTTCCCACCTGACCCTTGTCGTGGCTTTCCAGGGATTTGCAAAGGTGTCGGTCGCGGGCCGCGGATACCTGTCCCTGCAGCCGGCTCCCCCATCATCGCCTTGAGACGTCTCTGCTGTTTTCTATGTGCAGGCGGTACACGCTTCTTCGACCAGTCTGGCTCTGGTGACGAAAAGGGAGGGGGTGTCCCATGTCGAATGACCCTAGCGAATCTGTTTCTCACCAGACCTCTCCCTCTGGAGTCGTTTGAGTCGGAACCAGAGGATTCTGTTGAGAAGGGCGTGCCGGTGGACTCTGTAGGGGTGGTGAGTGGGTGAGAAGAGCCGGAGGGGCGCTCCCATGCTCTTCCGAAGTAGTCGCTGACGGAGCCACCAGACTCGCTGTCACTGTTGTGAACCCCCCGGCTTGTAAGACCGCTCTCAGTATCATCTGTGTTCAATAGGCGTTTGCCAATCGACGGCAACGGCAGCGGTTGCAATGGATTATCTGTTGACCGTTCTACGTAGTTCATGACACTTGATGTCAACGATGTCGGCTGCGAAGGCCGGTCTGGGGGACCAGACCCCAAGGAAGCCATGGCCAGCGTGGAACCTGCCAAGCCGATCATTAACGAGGAAGAGACTGTGTTGATTGGGCATATCCTCATAGTGGAGGGACTCGGCCACTGAGCGAGCCCGGCAAAGGCGAATAGGAAAAAGCAGCAGAGGCCGGCTCTGTCAAGGTTCGGTAAGAAGAGATTACTGGGGAGTGTCTGAGTGACCAGCAGTCATTGTGTGTGGTGCTGAGAAGGGCATGTGAAGGTACTTGGGCGAGAGTGGCGAGTAGGCTAGAGCCTTATAAGACCCGCCGAGATTGCCTGGAGGCAACTCTTCGGCCGGCAAAATCGCCTCTCCTGGGAGCCGCAAACGAGATGTTTGGATACTCATCGCCTCGCTGTTGCGCATCTATGGCGAAGAGAAGGACTGGGCAAGTCAATGTGTTGCGCTTTGCTGGTGAGCAACGCGAGCACGTCAACAGCGGCGTTCGAGATGCTCAGTGACAGCAACAGGGCGGCAGATTCCAAGATGAGCTTGGTGAGGAGTCCTCTCCTGCGGCTTTTGTACTATCCTGGGTCCAGAGACCACCAAATTTGGCCTGCGGTAAGTTCCATCTCTTTCGAGGCCCAGCAATTGGTCAGAATCTCGATTTCAGTCCTGTGTATTCGTCTTCGAGGAAACAACGGAACGGATTCCTCGTTGAGCACGGACCGGGTGAGGCGCCTCCACCCGGGATTGCCTCAGCCTCGCTACCCAACACACCAACACCATCTCCCTCCCGTTCCGAATTGCCTTGACTTCTCCTCCAACGACGTCGTCTAGTGGCTCCTTGGCTCCTCTTCCGACTTCTCTGTCCGGCCAGCGCATGGCTCCCAAGCGCTCTTCGTCGTCGACGCCATCGACGCCCAGCAAGAAGCGCAAGGATGCCGCCGGAGCTCAACCGTCCCTGGCTTCCTTCCTCGCCTCTCCGTCTAAGGCCAAGGCGGATCGGGAGGGGCAGGAAACTGGCAACAATGCCAACGGATTGGCCAAAGAAAGCAATGGCGCTCATGGGCAAGAGGATGATGACGCCTTATTTGCGCTGAAGCTCGCAGCGAGAGAGGCAGGCGTATCCTTGGGTGAGATGCGCAGGCGCTTTGGTCTACCGAGCCTACCGTCAGCAGCTGCAACTGCTCAGGTCAAGCCCAGTGATCGCGTACCGGCTTCGAAACCACTGGAAACGAAGCTTCCTGTTCATCCTCTCTTCCAGAAATCCAAGCCTCGGAATCAGGAGGCTGCCCGTGCTCGCTCGGCGGCTACGACGCCGCCGCCCGTGGAGGTTCGGGATGCCCCCATAGCGGGTCCCAGCACGCCCAAGAAGCCCTCCTTTGATCTTCATGCTCTAGATGCCGACATCAACGCCATAGATCTCACAGAAGATGTGTTGCGCTTCGATCCAGCCTCAGTCTCTACCTCTGGTTGGCCACGCTCGGCTAGCGGCGATCCAACCACACCTTATGCCCTTCTGTCCCACGCCTTCATCACCATCTCTTCCACCCGCTCTCGCCTCCTCATCACGACAGTCCTCACGAATGCGATGCGGATCATCAAGGTACATGACCGGTCTAGCCTTCTTGCCGCTATATACCTGGTCAGCAATCACATCGCCCCGAATTATGATGACGTCCAGCTGGGGATCGGCGGCTCGTTGGTGAACAAGGCGATCAAGTCCGTGACGGGCAAGAGCGCAAAGACGCTGAAGATTCTTTGGGACCAGACGGGTGATCCAGGAGATGTGGCCTTCGAGGCCAAGAAGGGAGTCGACCCTCTGGTCAAACCAAGCCCAATCACAGTCCAGAAGCTCTTCTCAACCCTCCATGCTATTGCTGCTCTGGAAGGGTCCGGCTCAGTCAATACCAAGCTCGGACATGTCACGAAGCTCTTAGTGGCATCGAGGGGAGAGGAAACACGGTGGCTTGTACGGACATTCCAGTCCCATCTCAGGATCGGTGCCGTAAAGAAGACTTTGAGCGGAGCACTCGCAAGATGCTTCAGTCTGATTGAGACAGGAGAAGAGGGACCTGGAAAGACTCCGAACGAGGTGATGGTTGGGGTCGAAGAGAGACAGGGCATCCTTGCAAATCCGTCAAAGCCTAAAGACCGGCAGGATCCGAGACGTTTATCCGTGATAGCAAAGTTCGCCAAAGCAGAGAAGGTCGTGCGGTGAGTCAGACAGATGAGAAACACCCAGCGGAGCCGTGGTAGCTGATGCTTGTTGTGATCTTCTTTACTTCAGAGAGGTCTTCTCCCGACACCCGAACTTCACCTCTCTTCTCGAGGCACTGCTCCATGAGCCTGCGTCAGAAGGCGGTCTCACCCATCTTTCTGCTCTGGTCCCCCTTCGCATAGGAACCCCAATCTCACCCATGTTGGGATCGATTACGCGTTCGCTCACCGATGTGTACACCAAGCTCGGCGTCGGCACCCCAGCGCACAGAGCTTTTGTGTCCGAGTTCAAGTACGACGGACAACGTGTCCAGATTCATGCCAGAAGGGTCGCTGAGGCTGCTGTGGGCGAGGATGGAAAGTTGGGCGAAGAAGCCAGAAGGGTGCGAAAGCAGGTCGATCCACAAGGGAGGGGGAGATGGATGGGCCAAAGGGGCGAATACTTCGTCAGACTCTTCTCCAGACACCTTGAGGACATGAGCAGCAAAGTGAGCATAGCCGTCCGATTGGAATCAGAGCGTGGCGGATACTGACAACCGCTTCACTTGTCCTCTCTGCAGTATCCAGACATCAATGACCTGGTCCCTTTATTAATGAGTCGAACGGCCTCTCCAGAATATCCGGGCGTGGAGCCCATCCAATCCTTCATGATCGACGCCGAGGTCGTGGCTATCGGAGCCGACGAATCAGAGCTTTTGCCATTCCAGACCTTGTCGAACCGAAGCAGGAAGGATGTGGACCTCTCCAATGTCAAGGTCAAGGTCGGCCTCTTTGCCTTCGACCTGATGTACCTCGACGGTCAGTCCCTCTTGAAATCTTCATTCAGAGTCAGGAGGAACCTACTGCATACGAGGTTTCCACATCTGTCACCAGATAATCCACTCATTGCTCGCTTTGTGCATGTCAAGTCTTGCGAGAGCAATGAGCCGGATGAGGTGGAGAAGTTCTTTGCAGAGGCGAGGGGTAGTCGTTGTGAGGGTATTATGGTCAAGACTTTGGATCACCACTGGCAGCAAGCACCTTCGACGCCACCTTCCAATGGACATGGCAAGGAGTCTCCAGGAGACGACGCGGAAGTGAACGGCAAACGAGATCGCGCAGAAGAGGTGGGCAAGCTAGAGCAGCTCGGTGATGTTGTAGCCGATGATTTGACGATGGAAGAGGACGACGAGGCCATCCTCGACGCAGCCTCCAAGGACAAGGCTGGCGCGCCTGTCAAGAAGGGCAAGAAGGCCAAGCAATCAGAAGAAGACGAGGATGCTTCCATCGGCAAGGGTGTCAGCGGACGTGGGAAAGCCCTCCTTTCCACGTATGAGCCAGACAAGCGATGCGAGAGTTGGCTCAAAGTGAAAAAGGACTACGTCGATGGCATGGGTGACAGTTTGGACCTAGTCCCCATTGCAGCTTGGCACGGCATGGGTCGCAAAGCCCAATGGTGGTCTCCTGTCCTCCTAGCCGTATACGACGAAGATACTGGAGTGTACTCTGCAGTGTGCAAGTGCATTTCGGGATTCACCGACAAGGAGTACATCGATATCAAGACTGTTCGCTTTCCGGAAAATAACGACGAGGCTGATTCGAGTTGCTATTCTGCGCGAAGCCAGGTCTGTCGACACGAGTATGATACGGGCGGCTATCAACCCGATGTTTGGTTTGAACCACGTGAGGTATGGGAAATTAGAGGGGCGGATATCACGATTAGCCCGGTGTATCCTGCGGCTAGGGGATTGGTTAATGAGGAGAGGGGACTGAGCATACGCTTTCCAAGATTTATGCAGAGGAGAATGGACAAAGGACCCGAGCAGGCCAGTACGCCTGGTCAACTAGCAAAGTAAGTCGAGATCACAGGGATGTTTCAGAGCGACGGATCGATTTGCTGATTTTTCTCCTGTACATTTTACCCCTTCTCAGAGTCTACTTTACTCAGAACGCCAGTGGTCCGACTACAAGCGCGAGTGCCCCACCTGCTAAGTCGAGCAGTGGCGTCAAAGAAGAGGAGGGTGGAGAGGACGACGAAGATGATGCGGCAGTGGAAAGTGAAGAGGACCGGAAGCCGCTGCTCGGCGACGATGATTATGTCGTGTAACATACCCGGAGTTGTGTGAAAGGAAGTCTTTCCGAATGAATATGTGTGTATGCTAGAATTACAATGTGACCCTCTAAGGGGGAAAAAGCGTGCCGCACCCTCTAAATCTCTACATCTCCAATTCCACCTCCCGCCCTCCTCTCCATTTCCCTCTCAAGCATCGCCTCCATCCTCGTCTCATCATCCTCCAATTCATCTCCACCTCCCTCATCAACTTCAAACTTATCCATATCCCTAGGTTCCTTTGGCTCCTCGTCTTCCTGACTCTGCATAGCATGATCGATATGGCTGAGTAGAGCGCCTACGGAGTCTTCGGAAGTGGCATCGAGGGGCATGAAGTTGATCATGGCAAAGTCGTCGATTAATTGAACGAGGGACTGGTTCAGAGAGTGGAAGCGCGGGTTGGTCGAGGCGTTGGCTTCTTCTGTTAGCAGAAGAGGGTCCGGGTCGAGATACCTGGCGGAGGAAAGCCGAGCGGAAGGGAAAGAGAGTGAGGTAGAGAGCACTTGGTCAGTACCATTGTCAGAAGGGTCTTTAAGTCTGTACCACGTGCCCGACTCACCTCTCCATCTCCCTCTTTCCCCTCAATCCCCTTCCCAAGCGACTAGCCGTCTCCCCCCTCTCTACCAAATCCATCTTGGACATGACATTGATCCACGGCACTTCCAAATTGATCATTGCACTCATTGCCGACAGTGTTCCAGCGAAGAACTTGCTGACTTCATCGACAAAGTGAGATTCGAGGAGGTAGAGTTGACAGAGGCGAAAGGAGTGGGAGACGGAGAGATAGGTGAGGAGACCTTGAAGGAGGGCGGTGTGCGTGTAAAGCTCGATTTGACCTGGAGATCCCGAGTGTGGAGGAAAAGTAATGTCAATGCCAGGACATGTGTGACAAGTCGGGGGAGGTGTTCCGTGCTACTCACCTGGACAGTCAATGATGAGATAATCATCCTCAAAGCCTCCTAATTGCTCATCCAACCAATCCAGATTCTCCAAAAGGTACTCAAAGCAATAGACCAGTCCTCCGTTCGGTCCCAGCTTCATCTCATCCATGACATCTTCAAGTGTGATCAGTTCACGTACATCGATGGAGGGAGTGTAGGAGAAGCGTTCTGCTGCGGGGTCTAGGTTGACTAGGTGGATAGTACGGCCGAGGGTATTGGCGTGGGCGATGAGGGCGGAGCAGAGGGTGGATTTGCCAGAGCCTGCTGGGCCGGAGACGAGGACGGCGTAGCGACCCATGAGCGGCGATGGTGTACGCCGCTAGCTTGAAGTCAGGGGGGACGAGGAGAGAGAGAGAGACGTGAGCGATAATGGCAGTCTTTGGTAAGGCCGAGTGGGAGAGGAGAGGAGCACTTGGTGATGGTGTGAGCAGTTGTGGAGTGAGGAACATCCCTCGCCGCCCAAAATTCAGCTGCAAAGCGGAAGGCGGAGTCTCAGCATCGAGCCAAGTCAGAGTAGCCACTGTGCTGCACTCACTGCCCGGAGACTCCTGCGACCATGACAGCCACGACCTCTCACTCGACTTCTGTAGCGTCATCACTCTTCACAGCTAGAACAGGCAACCTCATTGCCCATCTCTTTGGTAAAAAGGAAAATCTGGCAAAAAGTCACGGCCGCGAGTAGCAAGTGTTGGAAGACGTGAGATTCGAACTCACGAAGCAAAGCAAGCGAGACGTGCGCAAAATTCTTTCTCTCCGCGGGAGATTGGGAATTGTTGAGCTTAAGTCGCTCCCCGTTGACCAGACTTGGGTAGCCTTCCCTCTGCGCTAACCGTGCAGAAAGCGGAGCGTGAATCATGGGAGACGTACTTGTACCCCTCGTCGCCCTCCCCGGAAGCAGCGGCCGAGCACCTCCCCTCACCGCACAAACCGACTCGGCTGCCTTCGTTCCGTTGGCACACACTGTCTTCTGTATTCAAGTCAAGAGGAATAGTATTTGTACAAGTACACAAGGAGCGATTCAAACGACCAAAGAAGTCTTTTGCAGGGAGGGAAATGTAGCGCAAGCATTGCACATCTCTACACTTCACAAAGCAAAAGAAAAAAAGGGAGCAGAACAGCAAGAGGTTTGCAAAAGTGTGGGGGGTTGCAAGGTACGGGATGAATGTGCAGAGTGAGAAAAACAAGGAAGAAGAGGTGTAGCAAAGGAAAAAGGTTCAAAGAGGGAGGGACTGTGTGAGGAGAAGAGCTGGACAGAGCAAAAGAAGCAGCAGTAATCCTCCACTCCTTACTCTACGAGCCCGCTACTGGCCTTTTTCAGCGACTTTTCCACCATAATGTGCAGGTCCCTCGCCACGATCTTCATAATGACCTGGGCAAAGAAATCGCTCGCTCGCAGGAGCTTCGCCTCTATCACCCTCTGGATCTCCGATGGCAGCGCAGCGTATGCCTCGACTGTATCTGCTTCTACAGCAATCGAGCTGTTCGCCGAAGTGGTTGTCGAGGAGGAAGACTTCGACTGCAGCAAGCCGGTCAGATGAGCTTCGAGGATTTGCGCTTTCCTGAAGAGACGTTGTAGACTGTCCACGTATGCAGCGGGAGAGTCGAGATTCTTGCCCGAGGTGGTCTGCTGCGCGAATCGGTCGATGGACCTCGTGAGCTTGGAGCTCAGCACATTGAAGGAGCTTCCGCCCTTCTTGCCTGCCGTTCCGGCTGCATACTCGCTGATGCCCAACTTCTTTGCTAGACCATTTTGAACCTCGACCAGGAGCACCTCGAAGTCTTCAAGCTGCTTTGCGAAAGCTGAGGCCTGCACTGCTGCAAGACCAGGCTGACGTACGCCAGGCGAGTTGTGCAGCAGGTAAGCGCCACTCTTCTCCACTGCATCTATGCCATTGGTGACAATTTCGATCAGCCTGACTTTGGTCTCGAGGGCCGTTAAGCGGAGACCGGAAGCTTGCCAGAGCGAAGATGGGACACAGAGCTTGTTTGTGACGAAGCCACCCTTGCTGATGCTGGTGTCCATCGCCTTGATGGCCCTGTACGGTCCCAGCGCAGCATTTTGGGTCTGGGGCGGCAAAGGTTCGCAAAAGTCTTGCAAGAGAGACGGGGCGGCCACCCTCAATCGCGGGCATGCAGTGATCTGCGAAAGAGTGTACGACGCCGATCCAAGCGCTTGTAAAGATGAAAGACCGGAAGGGAAGAGTTCTGCCAACCCGTCGCCACCGACTGAGGCAGGATGTGGAGAAGCCCAGGAGGGATCGGTTGCCTGGGCAGTCGAAAACTCAGGCGAGGCTGAAACGCCACGTTCCATGACCGCATGATAGGGAGAAGGGCTACTGAGCCCAGGACTCGGCATGCGGTAGCTTTGGCGATATTGACCGGAGGCCGAGTTGGCGTCACCATTCGGTGGGGCTAGACCGCTTTGAGCTGTCATTGTCACTATCGGACCTGGAAGGGAGCGCCCGTTCTTCAGGCGAGGAACAGGAGGAGCCTGCGCAGTTGCTGTGCCCAGGTAGGAGCCGGTAGGGTTGAGCTCGGGTCTGTTGCCTGGCTGGGACAGAGCACGCCTTCGCTGTGCGGACAGCTCTGCCCTCATTGCGGCTGCACTGGCCCCGAAGTGCTCGTCTGAACTACGGGGACTACCTTCGGCGTCCTCCTCCTTGGCTTCGTTGATGCCACCCCCGATCGAAGGACTCTTTCGCCTCTGACGAATCGTGCCATTCTGCGTCGTAGGATGGACAAGTAGCGTCTGCCTGACAGCGTCTTCAGCTGCTGCTCTCGCGGAAGAGGAGGCCACAGTTGCAGCTCGCTGACGCTGTGAAGACTGCGAGGAGACCGACTCAGAGGAACGCGATCGACTATCCATTGGATCCGCCGTGAGCGTGTGAGGTCCGGAAGCAGGCCAGGATGACCCGTCTCCACGAGGACTGTTGGACATGCGCGGACTGGGCATCGCCTGTTCCGTAGCTGCACCAGTAGGTGTGAAGGATGAGTCGCTCCCTGCGGGTCCGTTCAGCGCTGGCCTGCTTCCTCGAGCTACGGCATCGCTTGGCGCCAGATGACCCTGAGCGAATCTATCAGGCGTAGTCAGCATAGGTGAACGAGAGTCTTGTCCGGCGGCTGGGCTGGAGTTGGCATCATAATAGGGCGTCGCGGGCGGGTCTTCGCTGCTCGGGTGACGTATCGAGGGCGGATCGGTGAGCTTTGCTCGAGGATCGAGTGCTCCACTGGAAGGTCCAGGGTTCATCGAGCGATAGCTCGAGTTCGTATCCGATTGTTGCTGAGCCTGGTAGAGACCGGCTTGTGCCGTACTGGCCAAAGCTCCTTGTGAGTCATTTGCAAGAGGCGTGTGTGGCTGCGACTGTTCGCTGCTGGTAGGGATCTTCGCAGAGCTACTGTCGCCACGAGCGATAGGACGACGGTCCTTTTGCCTTGAGGCTTTTGTCGATTCATCCACTTGAGGCTGCTCAGCAAATCGACGCGCACCGTCTGGAATGGCACTTGACCGCGAAGGCATGACTTCCAGAGACTCATCTGCTGGCTCACCCTGATCTGCTGGCTCCTCTCCCTCTGAATCGTAGAGCATAGCCAGTAGTCTGATGCGTTCTGTGTACGTATCGTGGATGACCTTGAGCCTCCTTCTCTCATCTTCCCGATTGCTCTTCTTACTTGAGCCAGGCTTGGGCGTGATCCTCTGCATGACCTCTTGCAGCAGCCTGACCGCTTGGGCGTATGCTTCGACTGCTTCTGGTACTGCATTGTTGCTATCGAATGTGACAGCACTCTGAGCTTTGGCAAGTGCAATCGTGAGGACATTCTTCGATGACAGAGGCGAACCATCCGCTGGAAGGAGAGATGCAGGAGTTTGTTCGCCAATGGCACCCATCTCGACGATCTGAGCGTCCGTGAGTGCATCGGCTCGACGAGGGGATACCGGACTTGTAGGACTGATTGGGTCAGCGTCGGTGGAGCTCGGGTGACCAGATTGCCTCTTGAGGCGCGTCGTTGTGCGTCCGCCGCCTGTGTCTACGGTACGGGCTTTGGTATTGATAGCCTTCTCAACATTCAGGGGATCACCACTCCGCGGCAGACTTTCGCCCTCAGGGGATCGTATACGCGCATTGCCAGTATTAGCTACTTCCGGTCGACCTTTGAGTATTTGAGACGATACAGACCTAAGAGCCGGCGCTGCGCCAAAACTATTGACTGTAGTCTGTGGAGCTCCCGCCGACCTTGCGGCATCCTCTCTTTTCACAGGCACTTCCTGCCGCGCTGTCAGCCTCTTCGATGCGCTGATGGAGGGTAAGATGAGCTCCTTTGCGCCAGCTGTGGCGCTTCTAGGGCTACCTGCAGCATGGCCATCTCGGTTCAAGAAGTGATCATAGCTGCCCATGGCAGATACCGATCGCCTCGGCTCGTTAACATCACCTTTGGCTGTATAGGGACCTGGAGAGTGAGAGGGTGCACGGTAGCCAAAAGCGAGTCGTCTGCCCGGCGGATCCGAGTGTTGAGTTTGTGACGAGATCCTCTTGTCAGTGGCAGCGGAGAGACCAGACACAGAAGGGCCGTCCGGTGGGTTGTAGTAGAGTCGACTTAGTCTACCGGGCTTGACTGTAGAAGGCCCTGCTGCCGAGAGGCCATTAGCCTCTCTCCCTTGACCTTCCATAGCCAGAGCTCTTGCTTGATCGCGTTGAGAGCCCCCAGCGGCCGAGGAAAAGAGCGACAAGGGTCTCCGTTCGCTTTGCACCGTCCGCAAGGTAGGCGTCCGAGAGTCGGAAGCACCTCGCCGCCTCTCTCTGCCAAGCTCCGCTGGTCGTTGCGGCTCTCCACGGCTACGTGAGGGGGACACTCCTTCTGATGTGCCAGGACGATCGCTACTGGCCGCCGACGGGAACTCTTGCGCCTCTGATAATGCCGCCCTGGAAGAGGGCTCGCCGCTGAAGTCCAGCCCCAGTCCGCCCATCAAAGCAGCTGGGGGCGAGGGAAGCATGCCAGTACTACTTTTCCTCCCCATCTGCTGACCCAAAGGAGTCCCTCTCGTACTCTTTTGCCGGTCTCCATCTAGCACTGATACGCCACTGTCCATGCTCACCTCCTCGCCCGTCCCTGTAGTCCGCCCGTATGAGCTCTCTGTGTCTATCATGCCCGGCTCTTCGGCCTTGCGTCGAATCTGAGTGCTTCGGAACGTAGCCGAGGGAGAAGAAGTGTTTCGATGTTGCTGCTGATTACTCGGATAGGCGTAGACACTGGCATCAGCGTACGGATGAGTCGTAGCAGTTCCTGGGTTCCAAACATCTACGTCTGGCCCGGCTCCGGCGGCTCGGCCTTCTAGATCGCTATGGCCTTGAGAAAAGGAAGAGTCGCTCAAAGGCGTATTGGGCTCATCTAGAGACAAGAAAGATCCAGAAGTGTAATGATCGGGTGATGTACGATCGCTCGAAGTACCTCTAGGGTCCGAAGTGTCTGGAGTCTGCTTCTCGGTCATGATTTCCAAGGGCCGAAGTACTCCTGTCCGCGCTTCAGTAGACTCATCTATGCTGCCTGACGCGCCGGCTTGCCCTCTTCTTGTTGCGCCAGTACTAGAGCCGAGCCTTCCTTGTGAAGCGCTGCCGTCAGGCCGGGGTCCTCGTCGGAGGCTACGATATGCTGTCTGAGCGACGCTTTGATCGCTCATGTCACGACTCTCGCCCGCACCGGGCTAGTTCCTCAGCCTGTGTAGCAGTACGAGTAGCGTATTGGGTATGGAAGGTGTAGTCTTCTACACAGTGTACAGCAGTAGGTGCCAAGAAGGGGTATGAGGCAGGGACTTGGGGTATAGAGATGCGCCGCGATAGGCAACTTGTGGTGAGATGTTCACTGGCTCATGGGTACGAGAGAAAGAACAAAGGAGCCGGAACGGGCGGGGGAATCTGCAGTCTGGTTTGCTTCGAGATATTTAGCGTTTGAGGAGCAGCAGTGGGTGCAGTAGCAGCTGAGGCAGGCAGTACAGGGTGGTAGAGGGCAGAAGGAGATGATGGAAGTAATGGTGAGAAGTGCTGCTGCAACTAAAGCGCTACTTCAGGTCCAACGTGAATGAGGTGGCCGGTGGGCAGCGAGCCGGCGGAACGGGGCGCAGACGCGGAAAGGCGTCGAAGAGCCCAGCGGACGAGGCAGTCTATATTTGGGTCGTAACCCCACGATTGCGCTTGCGATAGGGCAAGACGAGCAACCAGAAATGTCGAGGCGAATAAGATATTATTCGAAAGGAGATAGTGAATCTACGCGCAATTTTGATATTTTCCTCACGCCAAAGCATGACCGAACCGCCTCCCAGTCCCACCTCCTCGCACAATATTATTCACGCTTTCCAACTCTTCTTCCATAGGCCAAGCAAAGCCCAGCTGATCGAGTGCCTGGGTGCATGCAGAGACCTCCCGCCTTCTTGCCTCAGCATCAAAGACCGGCAAGGGCGCATCAAAGTCCAGCGCTAGGTCGTACAAGTCCGAGGGGGATGGATTGTAGGGTTCTGGCTGTACGACCGGGATAAAGGTTCCTGTAGCGTGCATCGAAAGGGAGCGGGGATCGACGTGGGCCTTGCTAGGTGGCGGGGGCGATGCTTCCGCCGTCTTCAGACCGCGTGCTACGGCGGAGGAGCTTCCAGCGGCGCCGTCGGCTCCCATTCCCATCGAGGCAGACTTCTCCAGCTCTGTACGTGCCAGGAACTGAGCAATGGCAAAGATCTGTCGCTGGAAGATTCCGCCCGTCTGGAAAGTCAATGAGGGCTTCTGGAGGATCTTTTCAACCAGCCGCGCCACTCGACGACAAGAAAGGAGGGCTTTCTGGCTCGAATGCTGGAACAACTCCTTGAGTTGACGTGACTGATGCGCGTCCTCTGACGAGATGACGTGAGCTCCGTGCGCTCGACTGACCGCACTCAGATAGTCGGCATTGAGGCGATGACGTTCTCCGAGGATACGATAGACACTGAGTATGATCATGGCGGACGTGATCTTGACGGCTGCGATCCAACTCTTGGGTTGGAAGATCTTGAGGGCTTCCATCTGCCTCCAACTCTTGAGAGTGCATCGATCGAAGAAAGCAATAAGGGCCTCGTTACTCTTCCAGACTGCATGACAAGCTTTCGAGAGCTTCTTGTTGTCGGAAGAGGTGGGCAGCATCGGGAATCGCTCTTGAGGAGGAAGAAGTGTTGGGCCAGCAATGCCGTCTACGTGCTTGGTCACGAAGCGAGCAAGGACACCGATCTGCATCATCGCCATGACCGAGAAGGAGAGACCCATCTCAGGAGTGAGCTCAGGTATCTTGGCTCGAGCGGTAGAGGAAGGAACTCCGATACCGGCGCCGGGACCCTTTGATCCGTCGGCTGCCACCGCTGACGGCATAGGCGACGGTGGCCTGGCACCTCGGTCACCAGCATTGACTCCTGATTGGCTGCTTCCGGCCTGCCCGCCACCCGCGCTGCTCCTGATAGTGATGGCCTTCTCCTCCTTGAAGTTGGGCAAGCGACGATAGACGCAAGTAGCGATGGCATCACCAGTCCAGCTGGAGCACCAAACCCTCTTGAGCTGCATCAAGTTGAAGAGATTGGTCACAGCCCGCTGATCAGTCTCGTCGATCTCGTCAACGCTCTGCAGACCTAGCTTCCTCATGTGACTAGCAGCGGACGTCGTCATCTCCGATGCAAAGGCAGGATCGACCAAGTAGAAGAGTTGTACTAGGAGCACCAATGCCTGTACAGCTTCCACCGAAGGTCGGTACAGGAGCTGATGCTTGTGGACCATGACGACAGCACGGGTGAGGAGGTCGTGGCAGAACGCCTGTCTGGCTTGGCCGAGCGGCACAAGGGAAGGGAACTTGGCGGAACCAGCTAATATCTCTGGAGTGGCAGGAACTTCTGTCCATGCCAGTGGGTCAGGATTGTCTCCCAACTGGTCCGCCATGGACAGACCGCTGTTGTAGTAGTGTACACTGTCAGAGCTTGCTGCCCCTGCAGAGCTGCTTCCTGTGTCGCTCGCGGCTCCACTGAAACTACTAGAGCCACCGATACTTCTCCGGAGTCTCTCCTTCTCCTTTCGATTCTTTGCTTCGCTCTTACGGCGCTTTGTCTGGATGTAGTCGTCTGTACACACAATCTTCTTGTCCTGGCAACGGGAGCAAGGCATCCCGTCCTTCCGCTCCATGAGATCGCACCTGACTCGACGTAGACGACATGTGTCACAAGCGACTCCCTGCTTGCGCTTGGGCCTCTTCGATGGAGGAAGGTGAGCATAGCTGCCGCCAGAAGTGGCAGCAAAGGAGCCCGTGATAGTCGCTTCCTTATCGCTCCCCGCGTCATCGGCCGGACTCTTGCGGTCTCCGCTCCTGCCTGCGAGGGTTCCCTTTCCCCGGCCGTCTCCTGTGATGCCAAGCTTCTCTGCTTCGGACCCGAATGCAATCGGCATGTCCGTGTAATGAGCAGCCCAAGCCTGCATCACAGCAATCAGGGTCTCACTAGTGCCCGGTGTAGAGATGGTAGAGTCCCCAGTATCGGGCCATCGGTCTCCTTTAAGACCGGGTATGACGATCGACATGGAGGGAATGTCCTGCTCCTCGTCTCCACCGTTGAGCATGATACTCATAATGCGAGCGTCACCTTTTGCCAGATTGTACCGACTGCTAAAACTGGCAAAGTCGACTATAGGCATTTGAATGTGAGCTGTGGCGAAGAAGCATGTAAGCAAACGCAACGACACGGCTCCGCTGATGACAGAGGCCGGCAGACGAGAAGTGCTGCGTTGAAGACTGTCTAAACCAGGGAAGCTCATGGCAGACTGGCCAGGATCGTTTGGCATAGAGGCTGGGTCAGGGACGGCTCCATGAGATTTGACGGAGCCGTGCATCAACCTGGACAGTGTGAGGAAATAGAGCAAGATTGGAAGGTAAGACAGATGCACCTGCACTGGGCCACGACAGAAGATACTTGCCTTGCCTGCTCAATCCTCCTCCCTGTACGGCTGGGTCTGCCATGCTTCTTGGCAATAACGGGCTTCTTCTCCACTGTACACTCCTGACCTTGCTGCTCGCAATGTGAGCACTTCAAAGACCCTTTTTCAGATCCAAGACCCTCTTGCGTACGTCGTTCAGCTGTCTTTTCCTGTATGTCACAGACCAAAGCATGCTTCTGGCATTCGCTACAGCCAGAGCTAGACATTCGGGCGTTACTCGGGCGCTTAGAGTCGGTGGTCGCGGACCGTGGAGGCTGCTGTTGTACATCCGGAGAGAAATGCTTGGCTTCCTCTGCCCAATGAGAGGTCCGTTCCCGATCGAATCCAACAGAGGAAAGATCAGTCCGGTTGAAAGGAGTATGTTGGGCGACGCCTGCAACGGCCGAAATCTCATGACTCAGCGGGGAGAGGCCGGAAGGAGGGAGCCAAGGTCCCGGAAAGGATGCTGTATGCGATGCGGGTAATTGCCCGTAAATCTCTCCTTCTTGCTGCGCTGGTAAAGTGTTCTGATGGAGCACAGATGGGCTGGCATCTCCCCACAGCTGTTCCGAGGTCAGCAGACCAGAGGAGGCAGTGCCCTCGAGATCGGACGGGAAGTCCGAGCCCAAAAGTAAGGTTTCGGAAGTATAGGGTATGGCGCTATTCAGGCTTGTCTCAAGGTTTCCAGAAATTGGATTGCCAACCGCGTGGCCGCTGACCACTTTGTCGCCAGACCCTAGGAATTGCAGTAGTCCGGTCGCAGACGAGTCGTGTGGAGGAAAGGGTACTGGTAGGCCATGGTAAGAAGGAATGTCGGTTCCTAGTAAGGGCGAGTCACCGAACCATGCATTGGAATCTTGCACTGTGCCGAAGTCGATTTCATTGCTTGTCCCCGTAGAGTCAGAGGGACGATGTAGTGAAGAGGACCCACTTGGGGTGAGCGCAGGTGGCCACGAGGTGCTTCCACTGTGGGTTCTCGTAGGTAATGCAGGGATGGCCCAATCATGCGATGATGTCCCTGCTGCATTGACACTGCCCTGAGGGCCAGGTGCATTGCCGTAGTCTTGCTGACGGGTCTGGCCGGAGTGGTCCGGTGGCTCTCCTTGCCATCTCAGCTCTGGTTGCTCAGCAGCAAAGGGGCCCTGGTGTTGGCCGACTGCATCATATGGAGTTGCTGTCGTGTGCGGAGAAGGGCCAGCCCCATGCCATTCGCGGTTACTCTCCCACTGCTCCGAGCTCATGAGAAGACGTTTTTCATTAGGCTAGACAAGCCAGGAAGGGAAGAAGGCTGCGAAGAGTCCCCGACCTCGGATGCTGAGCCAAGAGACGGAGCAGAGGCGACGGGTAGAGTCGATTGCGCGCTCACGACGTCGTGTACCGGCCAAGATCGTCGATGTGATGCAGGCGTCAATGGCGGCTTTTGAGGGCCAGGCACGGGCGTCGTTGCCTCGGCGCAATGAGGCTGAGCTGAGCCCAGGAAGAATGCTTGGAGCTAAGCAGCGACACTTGTGAGGGATATGTGGGGTGGGAAGAGTCGGCCTGGCACGCTCGCTCTGTCGTAGCCGTCAAAGGTATAATAAGTGTGTTAGAAGAGACAGGATGGTTAGCCTCCTGAGATACAAGGAAGTCTCGCAGTATAAGCTCCGGACGCAGTAAGCAGCTTCGACTCGGGGGAGAAGGCCGAGCATGGCTAATTGTCGCATTACTCTCCGCCTCTGCGCCTCGGGCCGCGCCTTGATTGCCGAACCCCACCAAGAGGAGGAACGCGCTCCCAGGGGGCAGCGTGATAGGCAGGCAGAGGTCACTGGCACTGAGGTACGCGCCCAGACGCACATGCACAGAAGCCTGGGGTGCGGTGACACCAGAATGCAAGTGCCATCACATCCTGCAGCCGAGGGCAGCAGCAGCAGCAGCACTGTACCACATGCGGCTCCCACCACTTGCACGTCTCCAGGGCATAAACCATCATGCTGCATCACGAGGCACGGCCACTCCAAGGCCAAGAAAAGTACAAGTGGCTTAGCCAAGCGATGCAGAGGCAGTCGCCCTTGATGAGCTTTAGAAGACTACGAAAGAAAGATTTGACTTGCAGATCAAGCCGATACATGAAAGGCTGCCCTGCAATGCTTCGCACATCAGCCACACACACAATCTGGCTGTTACATAGGTAGACGATCCAGGTCAAGACCGTATGTTTGATTGCATAGTGAATGAAGTCTTGCCGAGCGACGCGATGTGACGATCGGAAAGGAATAGGTCCGCGGAAGCGGAAAGGGGCAGTGGCCGAGAAGAGGCGTTGGTTTGCGGAGCTACGTGAACAACAGGGGACCAGGCCAAAGGGTCCATCTCGATCACATCTACCATCCGCTCCCATATTCTCGTACTGATCCTGGGCATCTGATCCACTCCCTCTGCTCTGAGCCTCTTACTACACCTTGCAAGCGGTAAATTTCTCCAGATCCCAACCTAGATGGCGTCCTGCTAGTCTGAGCTTCCTACCGTCTGATTAGTCACCAAGCAACCCCCTCTCAGTACTGCGAGTCCTGCTTGGTCGCCCTTGCCAGAGATCTCGGTACTGAAGTCTGCAACTCGTCTTTGTCGAAATACAAAGGCCTGAACATATCGCCAAAGGAGCTTGCCACCCGGCCTCCGCCTTACCTGGCTGACCCAGCCGTCCGATAGCACCTTCTCTCGGAAGGGCGGCCACTCAATCTTATCATGACTGGTGAGCAGGCACTCTCTCCATGTAGAGTATACGAAGCCTTTGCTGATGCCAAATCTTTCCTCTGCGACCATTTGTGGCACCTTCTTCCGACTCCTCCTTGCAGACTATGCTGACCGCAACTTCAACACGGAATTCTCGGGCCTGGCCACAACCGTGGCCATCATGGGCGGTGTTGGTGGCGCATGTCTTCTGGGCTACGAGACACTGAGGCAGATGAAGCGTTTGCCACGTCGTAGTATGGTCAAATTCTGGCAGAACAGCAGTCGAGAGGCAGAGCCTTCTGGCAAAGGTCATTCGGATGCCAGTCGGATAGGCACGCAGGAGGACTGGGAGATGGGACACCTATACCATGCAAGAACCTTTCACGCAAGGTGAGTCCGAGACGCGGCAGTGATGTCTGTTTCCGTAGCTCGCCTCATCTGACCGATGTGCCAAACCTTTCGACCTCAGAACACCGTCGCCTCCATTGTCAAGGTGGCCGCTCGGATGGGCTTGGCAAGCTCTGAAGCTGGACGATTGGTTCTACGCTACACATTGCGGCATGGACAATGTTGTCTATGTCCGCTTCCTACGAGGGATGTTCTGGTGGACGTTCCTGCAGACCGTCACCGCCGCACCTATACTCCTCGCCATCGACTTCATCTATTCTCGAGGTGTGTCCACAATCGACATGTCTCGGGCTAGTATCTCTTATCTGGTCACCTATCCAGATCCGACCTGCACCGAAACGACTGACTCGGACTGTCCCAAGCTTCCCAACGAGCAAGGTCGTAGGCTATTATGGATCCAGCTTTGTGCTCTGTGGTATATTACCTTCACATGGTTCTACACTCTGTGGTGGATAGGCAAAGGCAGCTTGAAGATCAGGAGACGGTTGGTGCTGGGCCTTTACGATGATCGGAGGGCAGTCCTCGCACAAAGAGAGCTACAACGCAGCCAAGCGGCGAAGACTGAAGCTCTTCACGAGGACCGGTTTGGCAGACCATTGAGGGAAGCACAGGGACTGCAAATATCAGATCTCGAAGACAGCAGCAAGGGCTGGCGGCAACGGACGCTGTTGGTCACAAACGTTCCTGCATCGCTCAGAGGCGAGGGAAATATCAGACGCTACTTCGAAGAATATTTGCGGCCTGATGGCGAGAAGACAGAGAACCAAGTAGCTGCACCTCAGGGTACCCAGGTCAGAAGGGAGACAGATGTTGAGAATCCAGAGACCACCATCAGGAGGGTCGTTGGCGATCTCGAAGAACAAACCATCGACAACTACGTCGAAGGCAATGCGAAAGCTGGTGGTGGCTCGTCCAGGACCGCTAGTCCAACGGAATCTCTGCCGTCACCGGTTCAGTGCGTCATCTTGGTGAGGAAGATGGGCGAATTGAGCGCCATGCTTAACAGGCGAGCCGATATCCTTCAACAAATCGAAGCTGCCCATATCAAGCTAGCGCAGTCCGTCCTTGAGAAGGTGTCACAACAGCAAAGGCGGAAGAGGAACGGCAAGAATGGGACCCACGACGATCGAACTCGGCGCAAGAGTCTGGTCTCTTCCTTCTTTGAAAAGAACAAAAGGTCAAAGGATGAGTCGTCGGACGACGTAGCGCCCACCTCTGACCACCACACTCCGCTCGATGAGCTTGCTCTGCGGCTGGCGAAGTTCTGCAAAGATGGCGGTAGCCCATACAGTCAGTCCACAAATGGCCTACTAGACGAGAACAGCCAGTTGAATTCGGTATGGGAGGCATTGGCCGACGTGCCGCGACGCCTTCTTGACCCTTACCAGCCGGTTACTCGACTGTCCGTCCTGTTTCGCGGACAACGAGTACCTACTATCGACTATCTTCTCGCGAAGCTCAATCTCCTGACGGCACTGATCGCAGAGATGAAGGCACGTCCTCCTACCGATTACGAGCCTACAAGCACAGCCTTTGTCACATTCAGAGATCCAAGACAGGCTCGTATGGTATGGAGGGAGCTGAACTCCCAGCTCGTGATGAAGGTCAAGATGGCTCCCGAAGTCAAGGACATCGACTGGGACCGTCTCATGTCCACCTCCTTCACAGGCAGCTTGATCAGGGGGTTCACAGTCAATGCCTTCTTCTGGGCTTTCACCATTTTATGGGTGATTCCGTTATCAATCGTCTCCACTGCGCTCTTCAGTGTCAAGAGCTTGACGACCGTCTTCCCGCCTCTGAGGGCAGCCTTCGCCTCCAATCCGCAATTGGAGAGCTTCGTCTCCGTCACTCTGCCATCCCTGCTGGTTTCTCTGGCGACTATGACAGTGCCCGAAATCACATTTCAGATTTCCAGACGCGGGCAAGGCTTCATGACGTGGTCTGCGCTTTACGATCGCTGTCTTTGCCGATATTGGAAATTCCTAGTGTGCAACGTCCTGATCTTCTTTTGCAGTAAGTCTCTATCACCGGAGCTGCTTCGCTCGAGCAGCCGTCGCTGATCAGCCTCTTCCCCCCCTTTCTACAGTCGGTGTTACAACGGTGGAAGCCATCATCCAGCAGATCATCTCCGCTCCCGGCTCGAACCAAATCCTCACCAACGTGGCCTTTGCTTTCCCCACCGCTGCTCCGTTCTTCGTCAGTTACTTCATTTTGGCGCTTGCTCTGCATTCCGGATTCGAGCTGGTAGGCTTCATGGTTCCCCTCATCGTCCACTTTACTGGAGCCAACAAGGCCTCGACTCCCCGCTCTCGTGCACTCAAGACTCTGCCAAGGAACTTCAACCGCTACTATTGGCTGCCCTTCCACACGCTCATCATGACGATTCTCTTCGTCTTTACGATCCTCAATCCTCTCGTTATCCCTTTCGGCCTCGTCTACGTCTTCTTTGCTATGGTCGTCTTCAAGAGGAGTTTCGCCTTCGTCTACTACAGAAGATTCATGGAAAAGGACGGTGTAGTCTACTTCGTCCGCATCTTGCGGTACTCGTCAGATGGTCTGATGATTGCGCAAGTGGTGGCTTTGATCTTCTTTTCGGTGACCAACCAGGAGAAGGCTTACATTGCCCTCACTGCTGTGCTCATTCCCATCACCGTTCTGTTCAAGGTTGTGGGTACGCAGCTCTGGAAGAGTCAATGCAGAGCGATCGAGGACGACGAAGCAAATGCAATTTGTGGGATCATGCCTACTTCTTCTCCTCCTCACGCGGCTGAGGAATACGAACACCCTCCACCTTCATCGGAGGATGTTGAGAGCGGGAAGAGATACATGCACCAGCAAGGGGCACCTGGAGACGCTCGAGCTTCCGGTCGCTACCCGATAAACTTCGCGCCACCGCCGACGAACTCGAAAATCATGACTACGTGGCAGAAAGTGCATGATACCTTTCATGCCAACGGTGCCGACAAGCCGAGCTACATCGCTCAGAGAGCAGCTGAAGGCAACCCCGTGCATCATCCTGCCCTTGCAGGTGCCAACTTGGTTCTCAGAGCACCTTTTGCAGTGGCGAAGAAGGCCCAAAATGACGGAAAGCATATTGCGACGGTCGCAAAGCTCTCTCTAGGCGTGGACAAGGCGCTCAAGGCTGAAGCTGTGCGAGACAACCAGGAGCACGAGCTCAAGTCGGACCAAAACAGCAAGACTGTAGAAGGTAGGGCCCAGAGTGGCAAACAGGTGATGCAAGACTGCGATGTTGTCGATCGGAAAGCTTCCGTCAAGGCGGGAACTACGACCATGTCTCGATCTCGCAGCGGCAAGAGCATTGCCAATGATGAATCCGCTCCGTTCCTCTCTGGCTTCGAAGCTCTTTCAAATCATGCACCTGTCCACTTTGACCGTCAGATGCTAGAGGGAGATCGCAACGAGGACGGCGAGGAGTCCAACATGAGCATTGTACACCAACACTCGGTCCGGCGACGCAAGACGATGAAAGCCTCGGCTACCGACTACTCTAGCACCCCTCGCAGGAACCAGCCCTCGGCGTATGCTGACTCTGCTCCAGCATATGGCGAAGACAGGGGCAATGACCCACTGTCATACAATAATGAGAAGGCTCAGCATCCGCGACCTTCGACGCCGGAGGAAGCGGACCAAGAGACGCAAGATGAAGACTGGAACTCCGAGGACGAGGCTCCCCTCGTGCGTCCGCACGCGAAGGTCGCCTGGGATGACACCCCCGATAACTCGGCAAGGTACAACAATCCCTTTTATGCCTGTGAGATTCACAACTTCCTTTGGCTGCCTAGGGATCCACTGCTGCCCTTGAACCTCTGCGACACAGTAGAGTGGCATGGCGTTGCTCTCGTTTCATCTGACGGTGGTGACGGAATCATTGGAGAGTGGAAAGAGGACGACGAAGACGAGCAGGGGACATTCGGCGGCCCTGATGAGGATGCAGTCACGGACGTCTCGCGTCTGGGTCAGATCGAAGGCAACGAGGAGATCATTCTCAGTTCTCACCTCGCCAAGCATCTCGAGACGCATGAAGAGGAGACTGTAGAGGCTGTTTCAGACCCGGCTGCGGGTTTGTCAAGGAAGGCTCGGGAAGACTACGAAAGGGCTTTGAAGGCTCAACGGAAAGCCAGCATCAGCGAGGCTAGCCAGGACGGTGGTCTCCTAAGTCCAGGAAGGCTCGTACGCCATTCTTCCAACATCAGTGCGCGCAGTCATCGTTCACCTCCGGCGAGTATTCGTCTGCAGCTCGATGCTGAATTCAATCGCACTCAGCAAGGCTCAGCAAGCGCTGTACATGATACTAACTATAATGGCGAGCCAGCCCTGGCTCAACAGCAACAAGGCAACCGAACGCACTGGGCTCCCGACCCTGACAACACTCGTGAGCAACCTCACAACCAAGATCACATGCCGCCCAGCGCTTCAATGGCCTCTATGACCAGCATCGGTCCTCGTCGCAACCTCACCGTCAGTTCTGACCCGCGTAGGCGCAATGTCAGCGGCAACGCCAGTGTCTATTCTGCTGAAACGCAAAGCCGCGCCGTGACAATGCAAAAAGCACTGCAGGCTGAGGTACTGGAGGAGGAGCGCCGACGGACTATCAAGGACCTTGTCGGCCGCAAGCAGAGCAAGAAGGGCAGTCTCAGTCGTGTGGGGGGAAGCAGGCGAGGCAGAGGTGCATCAAAGGAGCCAGAGGACGGCACGTCGCTCCACGGACCTGCAGCTGACGTTGTCCAGGAAGAGGACGAGGGACTGGAGGAAGCTGAACTGACACGGAACAGCACCATCCTGCGACGTCATCAACGAGGCGTGGACAGGAGGCTACGAAGCGGCTCGGTGCTGAGCGGAACTTCCGCTGAGCCCCCAAGATCACCCTCGATCTTACGGGCAGGCACTCGCAGTCAACACTCGACATCGCCCATGCCTGCTCCCGCCCTAGAGGCAGGCAATGGACTTTTGCCCACTTCCAGTGGTGCAAATTCCCGACCAGAACCCGAGCGTCGGAGCTCGGCCCGTTCTGCAATTCGGGGCAGCTTGACTGCAGGTGCTGCTGAGAATGTGGAGATGTCAGATCTTTCCCGGCCCACATAGAGCCGCTCGGGGTGAGGTGAGGCTAAGTGAAGTGAGATTAGACTATTGTTTTTGCGATAAGTTGTATGTACACATGCCTAAAGAGACTCTACTGCGCTCCATCTGTAATGCAAATCATCCCCGAAGTCCCTCGCTGCTCCCGACCCGTCGAGGTTGTTGCTTGACTTCCAATTGCATGGTGGGCGGAGTTTGAAGTGATGGGAACGGAAGTGGGCACATTTTCCGTACTTCCTCTTCCCGTCGGACGTCCTTCGTACCATCACAAGCTTTGTCCTACCCCTGTTCGCTTTTGACATCGATTCTTCTACGACGCTCTTAGCGACACCCTTGGCTGGGTCAGAGCACGCGCAAGAGTGCTGGCGAAGTCGTACTTGCCGCCTCGCCGACGATGAACCTCCGCCTGGTCTGCCGCCAGTCGAACGGCGAGGAGCGCAAAGTGATGCTCTTCGCCAGCGACTTTGGAATGATCATCAGCGCAGCCGCCGAAAGACTCGACTGTACTAGCGACCAGATCATCCTTCAAGTCAAAGATGGAGATGAGCTGTGGGAGATTGAGCAGAACTTCTGGCCTTCCTTGTCCGAGAACCAGACGCTATATGCGCATGCCAAGCCCAAGAAGGCCAAGAGCGGTGGAAAGAGGAAGGCATCCGCCAATGGGTCGGGCTTTGTGAGCGATTCAGCTACTTCCGCCGGTGACGACTCTCTCAGAAGACCTGCACCACGAAAGAGAAAAAGCACAAGCAAGTCAGTGCCTGTCGGTAGAAATGCTGCCATCGCGGCAAACAACACGCCGACAGGGTCGAATGGTTCCTCCGCCGGACCTTCTGCCTCTGCTTCTGTCCAAGTCGACAATACTCAACCTTCAGGAGATGCATGGGCTCCCCTCCAGCCTACAGCTATATCTTCTTCCAACAGAAGGTGGGATGCAAAAGCTGATGCTATACTGTGGGACAGGCTTCGCAAGACTGTGGAGAAGAAGCCGAAATCCGCATACACGGTCGCCGAAAGGATGGCAGTCTTCGAAGAAATTCTGGGGGAGCACGGTACACATGGGACGGTCTCAAGAGCCCTGGCAGGACGCAACGCTTCGGCCCTCAACGCAAGAGCTGGCAAAAAGATACAAGCTGCTGTACAGATGGGCTTTCCTCTGCCTTATGGCTTGCGGGAGCTGTATGTCAGACCCAAGAATGACCCTGCTCAAAAGTCTCGCTCGCCATCTGCACGTCAGGGAGGAAGGGAGAGCGGAGGAGAGGGAAATGCAGGTGCTAATAGCGCACGTAGTACATCGCGCAGAGACTCTTTCGTCATTGTAGACGATTCCAGCGCACAGTCTGATGGTGATGATGAAGACTCGGACGCTGCCGCACCGTGGCAGATGTCCCCGCACTCACGACGCAGCAGTCGTCTACCCGTTGGCGATGACTCGACCTCCAGCGGCACGGACTTAGGGTCAGGTGACCAGCGACGATTCAGAGACTCAAGACTTCAGACACCACCCTTGCCGACCTTTGCTGGGAGCGCCGCCAGTCGGAAGCGCTGGCCTGCCCAATCGGCTGCGCCATCAGCTACCTCTCCACAAGCAATAGCAAGCACATCTCTTCCCCTACCGCCAGCGTCACTCCCACCCCGACCTTCGCAAGCAAGCGACGCACCACCGCCGCCACAGGCTCGGTCTACGAGGCAGCAGCCGCCTCGAAGGCGTCCCAATGGGAATGCCGCTATACCACCTTCACCAAGTAATGGAGCCCTGCAAGCATCAGGATCAAACGCGACGCCACTCTCGTCACGCACAACAGCTGCAGTCGGCCAAAGGGCGCCTCCAGCAAGCACTGAGCCCCCGCTCTTCTTGGCTGAGGAAAATGCTCGTCTGACACAGGCTGCACAGGCCGCCATCAACCCTTTTCTGGCGTCGAGAGTCGTACGTGAGTCTGCTGCCGTACCGACTCCACCGCCAGCCGAAAGCTCTGTTCAGCAAGCCGTTCAGGCAGAGAATCGGCGTCACCTTACATGGCCTGCATCATCGCAAGGCTCTGCACCTCAGTCAGCAAGTACAAGTGTTAAAAGTGAGAAGACTGATGAGGAGGACGAGTTGGATGGATCTGATGCGCAAGAGAGCGGCGAAGAGGCGTCCGATACGGAAGAAAGGCAGGTAGACGCCCATCTAGCCCGCGGTAGTGACAGGCTACCTTCTGTGAACCGGCCACCTTTACCTTTTGGATTACTCAAAGGCGCCTCGCCAGCAGATGTCGATCTTTTACATATGACGCTGAGTGAAGAGTGGGAAGAGACTCGTCAGCACGCTCGTGCGATCATCAGGTCCTCGATCCCACGCAAGAAGAGCCTTGAAATAGGGGATATCGACTTCGCTCTCGCCGCCTCGAAGTTGGTGGACTTCATGGAGAAACAGTTGGACATGAGCAGCCCTTCCGGGATTCGATATAGCGTCCCTCCCCGGTCACACGAAACATGGTATGCTGGCCTCGCTACCTCTATCGCTCTCGAAGTATTCGGGGCCACGCCCCCAGATTGGTCTGTCCGTCGAACCAGTTTTGCGGTCGCAGGCTACTACGCAGCGCTCGGCGATCATCACCGGAGGACGTTTGCCAAGCAGAAGAACAACAACGTCATTAGATTCATGAGCTTTGCTCAGGTGAGCCAAAAGGTCTTCTGGGCATTACGAAGCGCCGAAGACGGCAGCCGATACCTCGAAGCAGAGGCCGAGGATATCAGTGCCGCTGTCGCTCTAGTGCTCAACCAAAACAGCGTCCTGGGGAGACATCTCGCGGATCGGCTTCGCTGGCGTCCAGCAGAGGAAATGTTGCCACTGGTCATGCGCTGCAAGAGCTACTTGAACAAGCTCGAGGCAAGCGTCAAATTTGTGCAGCGCTGTCCCGAAGCACGAGAATGGGGAGCTGTTCAGAAGGTGACGCGACGCATGATCCCAACAAGGTCGTGTATCCGACACTGGCGTGAAATCGAGCCACAGAGATTCACTCAAGCTCAGGATGCGCTGTTTGTGAGTGACATCGACGTTGAGCGATGTGTCTTCTGAGATCAGTACTGACATATTCTTTACCGGATCCAAATTCAGGACCTTCAAAAAGCCCTGGATGCTCTCCAATCTCAAGGGATGTATGATGAAACGCCTATGGCGCAGCCCTCGGCAAAGAAAAAGTCACGCCCCCCACCACGGCGCAGAGCGTCCGTCCAGACGGGGACGAATGCTGTTCAGCTCGTCAAGCGCGAGTGAGAGGAAGTCAAGACCGGAGCGTCGATTACCGCGCGGTGCATTAGTTCGAAGAGGGTGGACGATAAGGTAGAAACCCTTTCCATCTCACACAGACCTTTCTCGCTACGCTGGATGTGGCGCAGTACCTCCCGTCGTTGTCTTGGGTGCCATGCCCGGTCTCAGAAATTCACTTGTATACCCCACACTTTCCCCAATCGCCGTAACGGCGTCACTAATCAATTGTACTTCTACTCATTGCTTGAATGCTGGTAAGCAGACGAGAAGAGGGGGGTACGAGGTGGGGGTGTAATGTATTGCAAAAGCAGGCTCAAGAGCCACAGAGGACAGAGGACATCGGGCAGGTCAGGTCCGCCAGTCGGACCGCACATCCCTCCTTGTCTTCTCTCATCTACCGTTTCCCGGACTGACGGCGGGACTCGTCGCGCGATGCACGGCTACGGCATACGAAGGTGGCCCGTCTGTCTCTCCAGCGGAAGACGAAGACACAGAGGCCGGGTCGCCCATTGAAGTTGACCCTCCACTGGTGATGAGGCTTCCTCTGCGACTGCTTGCTCCCATCCCATTCGCATCACTGTTCATCAGTCCAGCATTTCCTGTTCCTACCGTTCCAACCCCAGACCCAGACCCAGTCCCAGTCCCAGTCCCAGTCCCAGTCCCAGTCCCAGTCCCAGTCCCAGTCCCAGTCCCAGTCCCAGTCCCAGTCCCAGTCCCAACTCCTCCGGCACTTGAACCGCCCGCGCCGACACTCAATCCACTCATCGAGTCCATGACCATTCCGATTCCAATTCCACTCGTGGGAGGACCCGCCCAGCGCTCCTCGGAGAGGTGAAGCCACTCGTCTGCCGCAGAGCGAAACTCTCCACTTGAAGCTGGACCTTGCGGCTGTGCTGCTGATGTTCTTCTCTCAGCCGAAGCTGCACCTGCACCTGCACCTGCACCTGCACCTGCACCTGTGGCTCGACCCGCTGAGGGGCTAGAAGCAGGACTGATCGCCCGATTGGAGCTCGACGCAATCGGTGGAGAGGAGAGCGGGCTACACCGGCCCGAGCCGGAATGTGGGCTTGCAGCTGAGAGATATCCAGGCGAAGGGGAAGTTCCTCTTCCCGTATTGTTGTTGGACTTGTTGTTGCTCCGTCGGTAGTGTGATGTGGCAAAGTAGTCGTCCGATTCGGGGACATATCGCGCTTTACCATCTCCACTTGGGGCTAGTGAGCCGGGAACGGGAACGGATCGACTGCCTGATTGGGTGTGTGCGCCATAGCCAAAGTCAGATGCAGCGCTAGAGGGTGGCTGGACATTGGCTACGGCCCAGTAGTTGGGTAGGGAGAGCCAAGCGTCTGCAGTATGCGAGTGGTTGATCGTGACGGGCGACTCGATGACAATATCGAAGAGCATCGGTTTTCCACCGACTGGTGCGCCCGGTCTGGCTTTTTCCACTCGGAAGCTCATCCGGAGGACGTGCTCGACGGTAATATTGGATCGCTTGTGGTCTGTAGACGTGTTGATCCGACTGTCCTTTCCGGGCAATTCGACATCCATGCTCAGCTCCCAGGGTCCTCCAGGGTCTAAGAGAGTGGCAAGCGCGTCTTGACGAGCTTCATCACCAAGCGGTTCAACTTCACTGTCGTTCAACGGATCATTCTCGCGAGCCGCATTTGCCTGAGCGAGGACCTGAGCAGGCAAATTTAGTCTTGCCGCTGCGACTGCGTATTGCCCGAGTGGACTCTGCATTAGCGCGTCTGCCGAGTCTGAAACAATGGGCAGAAGAGGCCGAGTGGCTGCTAGGTCCACGACAGCAGTCGAGGTGGAAGCCTCGCCCGAAGCATTGGTGGGGGAGAGCTTGAGGAGGGTAAAGCGTCGCGGCGTCTCGTGCCTTGCAATCTTCTTGCGCTTGGCATAGTAGTGCGTCTTCTCTTCCAAGACGACGGCCATTCGCCAGATACGAATCTTCTCCCCTAGCGGGATGAACTTGAAAGTGAGAGGAATCTGCAGAGGGGACGAGGTCAATACATGAGATGCATCAGGACTTCTGTCTTCAGGCGCACAATATCAACGACTCTACTCACCTTGGACCCGCAAGCGAAGCTCCTCCCACTGACAAACACCCTGTACGTCAGTGCCTCCTCCCACGTCCTCTCCACCACAATCGAGTCCGTCTCCTCCCCTCCCTCCTCATCCGGAGCGTGAATCAGTACCACTTCCTTCTCACAGCTCAAATTCGGCGTTAAAGCGCCCGGACGTCTGACCACAGCTTTGAGCGTGTAGGTATTGGATCCAAAATCGGCATGAATCGTTGGTGGAAGATTGGCTGGGAGGGGCAAGGAGACGGAATAGCTATAGACGCCCTTCTTGAATTCTCTCCAATCGCAGACTGCGGAGGAATGGAATTGAGGTGCTTGGTGAGGCGCATGGGAGGAGTTCATCGAGGTGAGCCGATCTGAGGATACCGCACGTGCAGGGGGTGCCGGGGCGCCATGTTCTAAGCTGCGACGTCTAGCTGCGGAATTCTGGCTTGCAGCAGGTGAGACTGCGTCTGAACGCCCCTTGGAACTTCCTTCCTCCTTTCTCAGACCACCAAGAAGACCTTTGAGACCCGACTTCTTGTGAGAAGCGCTATTGGCTGATCCAGTCTTGGGACTAGCATCTCCACTGGCTTTGCCCTTTCCTTTGTGCTTACTCGCTACATCAAGGGCATTAGCGAGAGCGTCGAACGACGTTCTTCTGGAGGTCGGAGCAGACACAGAAGGTTCTCGCTTCGTCTGTCTTGATCCAGGCGAAGGCGAGGCTCGGTGCCCACCAGAAGCGCTCTCTGCATAACCACTTCGAGTCTGCTCGCGACTAGCAACAGGCGAGAGTGGGACCGGAGTGGTAGATCCCTCACACAGGTCTTTCGGATCGAATCTGACGCTAGGCTCGCTTGCATCTCGGGTTCTTGCCGATGACGTCTCCACTACACGAGCAGACATAGGGGCACCATCGAGGGGCGGTGGTGAACGACCTCTGCGGGGAGCATGCAGGATGGATCTACCGTGAGGCCCAGCCGCCGAGACAGACTGTGCAGGTAGCGTTGGACCTGTCGAGATATTGGCAAAGGAGGAAGTGGGTGAGAGTGTTCCCGGTCCAGCTGCCGATGTCGACGACAGAGACGTTGCGCTGCTGGTAGCTTGGCTAGGTGGAGTCGAGGGGAGAATCGACGTTTGGGACGACGAGGCCGAGGGTTCTTGGGATTCTTGAGCCGACAGCCTTCTGGCTCCAGACGGAGAAGACATCTCGTCGGAGGGTCGCCGAGGCTGATACACCGGAGGAGGAGGCTCGTAAGTCGCTGATGGCGAGCGTGAAGCGTTCAGTCCGAGATGCCCCGGCCCGCCTTCTTGTCTCGGTATCGCCGTAGGAGATGTCGGGACGGGCTCTGATCTGCTTGCTCTGTGCTTATCAGGTCTAGCGTTTGCAATATCTCTCAGCAAGGTGGGCGGCAGGATAGCACTTCCGGCCTTCGCAGCAGCTTTGCCCATGGAGCGAGCTAGATTGGGCGTCTCCCTCTCCTTGCCCTTGCCTCTTGCCTGGCTGCCGGAAGCCCCTGCCTCCTCGCCCATCAAAGACCAGTCCACATCCTCTCCAAAACCCGTGACTCCAGGTCCAACACTATTAGCACGTCTCAGAGGCGCAGCCGGCGCATCTTCCGCTCTGGCATCAAAGAGGACCACTTCTTCCTTGATGATAGGAGCGATATCCGCAAGCTCCAATCGATTACTGCCAATACCTTCCGGCCAGTCTGTCCTACCAATTCCGCTCAACACGAGCTCCACACTCTTGATCCTCGTTGGCTTTGGAAGTGTTACCGTGACCAGTCCTCGCAGCTGACTGGGCTGAGACTCGCCATTGACACCGCCATTGAGGGAGAAGGCGCTGCGCAGTCTTTCACGGGACGAGTCGAGAGTAGTGGACTGACCACGCAGGTAGGTTACCGGCTCGAAGAGAGTGAGAGTGACGCTTGGTGGCATTGTTGGAGACGCTCAAGCTGAGTCGCCTAGCTTGCCGAGGGTATATGCTAGCTTTTGGCCGTGTGCGGAAATATCAGAGACGGTGCGGAGAAGCGGGAATCTAGGACTCGTTCATGATTCGGTGTCAAGGTAGCGAGGTCTCTTGCTCGCCTAACATGACGCGAAGGATGTGTCTAAGTCGTGTGGGAATGGAGGCTGAATGAAGAAGGGGCTCAATGAAGAACAAGCCAAGGGTGAGGGAGGTAGAACAAGGTTGGGGGGGTCAAGCGGGGAAAGTCGTCGTCTGTGCATTCTGGACACAATCGCGGTGCTGCAGCCACGCCGCCGCCGCCGCCGCCGCCTTTCCGTTGTGGCCTCCGACTGACTTGGAGCGCTCCGCCGCCCATGGCCATCAAGCCGCGGGTGTAGGCTACTCGGCACACCCAGCCGGTCAAGCCCGCACACGAAGACGAGGTATTCATGTCACCACTTGTCCATTACTTAAGCCGTGAAGTCGTCAGTCGGTCATGACAAGTCGTAAACCATAGCTCTTCCCCTTCTCGTATCTTGTGCTGCTTTCACTTCTTTGCAGCCGGACGAGTGCTGACAATCTCCTCGCGAGTCTCCTTGACAACCAGCCCTACGCCCTCGCCCGCCTCGGCCCTCAGAAGTCGCTCGTCCTCCAGCTCCGCCTTCTCCAATTGAAGTTCCCTCAGCGACAACCAGGCGGGAAAAGTCGTCATAGGTCCCAGAACAGGGGTGAGGAGAACCAGTAGGACAGAAGGCGCGTACCAGCCGGCGAAGAGGTGGTGTTGTGTGAACGAAAGCCTTGCAGGGATCGTTGTTGTCGTCTTAGGGTCTCTCTTCTGCAGCCTTGTCTCCTCCGGAGGCGGTGAACCGAGCCGTGCCACGCTCTGAGGCAGATGATATGCGTCTAAAGCAATGAACAGCATAGTGAACAGCGCCAGACCGACGGCATCTGAGCTGATGCTGCTCTGCGCAGGGTGCGAGTGGAAGGTGATCGGGTAGATGAGATTCCTCAGCAAAGTCGCCCGTCCCAAATGGACGCGGTCGTACGCTGAAACCGAAGTCGTGATAGTGCGAGAGAGCGCAATCGTAGTCCAGGCCTTCATGAGAAATCCCCAGCCAGCGAGAACAGCGAGAAGGCTCGATGGGCGAAGAATACCCTGAAGACGGGCGTTGCTTGCGTGGATGCCTGCTTCGTCCTCGTCACCTGCCTTTGGGCTCAGCAGACGATGTTCAATGCTCTCTTCGAGGCGATGAAGCCACTGGTGCGGCAGAGTAAGCGCTAGCGGCAACAAGTGCATGACAGCAACGCTGAGCGCCGTAGTAGGACGGTCTTTGAGGCTGAATGCTGCCAAGAGCGTCAATGACCAGAGGAGAAGCCGAGAGGCCAGAGAGGGGTGCGTTGAAGGCGCTTCGATGAGATACTGAGATATAGTCTTGCGTTTAATTGTCTGAGACACAATCTTCCCACCCGTAGTCCTGTCCTCGTCCTGAGCTTCCTCCGTGATGACCTCCTCTTGAACCTCCAGTACCTGCCCAGGCAACGCTTCATCAGCGGAAGAGCTCCTGAGCGCTGCCGTCTGCACAAGGCTTCCCTCGGGTAGAGGTCTCAGTGCAAGTGCGACGTTGAACAGACAAGCTGCAAAGGAGATGGCTACCGTCTGGCCCAACAACATGTAAGCCCACAGCTGTGGAACTCCCAGTCGGCGACGCTGAGTCTGCAGGAAGATGGTCCATGCTCCTACTGTAAACAAACAGACCTCGAGGCTCCACCAGTAGTTGGCTTCATTGTCGACGACTTTGTTCCATGCTTCCAGGAAGAGACTTGTGCTTGAGAGCCAGAGGGTGCATCGTTGCAAGTGCGATGCGGCGTAGGAGATGTGGCAGGGCGAAGAGGAAAGGAGTCCTCGCAATAGGGAGGTGCCAGGCTCACAAACTGGGATAGCAGGGACGCCCTGCGAAGTGAGGTTTGCTCGAGCTAGCCATGCCTGGTAGGAGGCAGAAAAGTACCGAAACATGCTGTGTATAGAGGGAAGATAGTCTGTATCAGCGAGCCTATTGCCAATAGTCACGATGACGCGCTTTCTCTACTCACTACGTCCATGTGCTTCCCAAGCTAAGTACCGCCAGAGCGGCCCAAGTGGCTGCTTCCACCTCTCTCCCCTTGCTAGGCACCCTCTCTGCAAAGATGGACTTGAACACGACTCGATGCAGAAGAAAGGCAATGAGCGCAAAGTACGTATAGAGGATCAGCAGTTGCGGATGAAGTGCCGAGAGGACCAGTGTGGGCCAAGTGGGGTAGGCAGAGGGGAGGGCATTGGGAGCATGACCGGCGTTGGAATGAGGCGAGGAATGTAGAGACATCGTTGGTCGGTGGACCTCTGTATGCTCGTATGCTCAAGGAAGATGTGATGAGCGGTCGAAGAAGCAAGTAGTCTAGCATCCATGAGCTGCCGGATAGGGGTCAAGGCTCCCTCCAGCCTCGCCTCGCCTCGCCTCGCCTCGCTTCGCTTGTCTTTTGTTCCTGTTGTGGAGCAGCGCCAGGCTGAATACAAAATGACATCGTTGCAGGGACGCCATTTTCTTCAAGCTCCGTTCCGACTACGCAACGCAGGCAAAGACGTCAGGGTGGACAGGGATCGCTGAACTTTTGTATTTTGTGATGTGGAAAGAGAGTATGAAGCACGAATACAAGGGGGGAGAGTGGGGGAGATGCAAGTAAGAGGGAATGAAAAGACGTTGTGGCAGGGACACGCTCGAGGAGATGACGCGAGACCGTATGCTGAAACGACAATCTCCCAGCCATGAGCATTCATACACAACTCTCGAAAAAGAGGGAACACATACTGTAGGACAGCCGCCCCAGTCTGTGTGCACCCCTATACCGCACCGATGCCATCTGACGAAGCCCAGCCACTGGACCTCTCAGCAACACATGGCCGTCTATCAGGAGAGTCAGGGCGAGCCCCTCTCCCCTTCACCAATCATGACATGGATGCGCTTAGTTCATCAGCTTGACCATGCGGTTGATGTCACCCTCACGGTTACCAGTGTTACCACCCTCGATGTAGTGAGTGAACTTCTTGCCCTTGAATCCACCGTTGGGGTTCGACAGCTTGAAGGACCACAGGAACTGGTTGGCGTACTTGAAGTTGGGGCCAGCAGTGGCAATCTCGTGAACCAGGTCCTCGACGGAGATGATTCCGTACTTGCCCAGGTGCTCCTCGATGAGGGTGTTGGAGGTGATGGGCAGACGTTGGCGGTTGACCTTGGCGTATCCACGCTTGTAGATCAGGTTGCGGATCGAGGCGACGGTGGGCTCTCCGTAGGTCACGTAGGGCTCAACCAATTGCAGCATCTGCTGGGTGGCCTTGGTCAGCTTGACAAAGACACCGTTGTTGATCTGGATCAGTCGGAGGAGCTGGAGGATCTTCCTGGGCTTGGGGGCGATGTTGTTGATACCACGCAGACGGATGACGAAAGCGACCTTGGGCTGGGCAGGGACGTAGAAGTCGCCCGAGGCCTTGGCAGCGCGGCGCAGACGGATCTCCTCACGCTCACGAGCCTGGTTCTCCTTGACGTACTGCTCAGCACGCTTGAAGATGACTCGGCGCTTGTTCTTCTGGGCCTACGACAACGAAGGAGGGACGGGGTAAGGAGAGTTGAAGCGTCAGTTTGCAATGGCCAATGATAGGGGGTGGCCGACGTAACTCCCAATCCATCCTCCTCTATGTTTCAGACCCGAAAGATGGTATAATTTCGACAGCATCGCCGGTGAGGCTAGCCAGAAGTGTAAAGGTAGTTCTGCATCATTTAGCCTCTCCCGTGGGCATGGCGGGAGGGCACCTGAGGAGCAACCAGAAGTTCCAGAGGAAGTCGAGTCCCCATAGTTTCGCACTTGCGAAAGTAGGCAAATTGACAGTAATCGAACCAGGCTCAGCTGAGCGCAGACAGGTCGCTACACAGCCGTGGAGACCATGTCGCACGGCATTACCTGGCCTGGCTAGTACAGCACTGTGGGCCTCCGATCTCCTTCCTTCTGTACTTTGCAATCGCAAGGCATGACGACTGTTCGTCCATACCTTCCCTGATAGCTAGCGCTGTGTGCCGACAAGCGCTTGCCTATGCCATCCGAGATGGTCCATCTTCGATACATTAATGGAGAGGAGACGGGTCACCTCTACTCACCCTCTTGGCCTCGACTCGGTCAGCAGCCTTCTGCTCACGAGCCTTGGTGTCACCTCGCCTCTTCTTGAGGAGGGTCTCTGGCATCAGCACATCGTTGGCCGATGGCACGGAGGTCTTGACGGTGGCGGGCATGTTTGATGTTGAGGAAGAGGTGGTATTGGGAGGATGCGGGATGGAAGGATGGGTGAGAATGTCAGTGGTTTGGCAGTCGCAAGTCGGTGTGCGTCGAATTCCTACGCCGGGCGGGGCTGCCTGCCTCGCCTTTGGATTTTTGCCCAGGCGGCGCTGTGTGTGTGGCCGCCGTGCCAGTCGCCCCCGCCAGGGCTGCCCTCTGCGGTTCGCCGCGCCGCGCACTCTTCCGCCCCGCCCAGCCCCCGCCCGCACGCCTGGCCCAAAATCCCACACCACGATTCTTCGAATCGGCACTCAAGGCACCCCTCACCGAATCCACTCTCCTCTCTACCTCACACATCCCTCATACACATCATGGCCACCAAGATCCTCCGCACCGCCGCCGCCCCCAACGTCGCACCCACCGAGGTCGAGACCCAGGTGGGCCAGGCCCTCATCGACCTGGAGAGCATCGGAGAGCTCAAGGCCGACCTGCGAGCCCTCAACTTCAGCGCTGCCAAGGAGGTCGACGTCAAGGGTGGCAGGAAGGCCATTGTCATCTTCGTCCCCATGCCTCAGCTCAAGGCTTTCCACAGGATCCAGAGCAGGTGTGTATCAAGGAAACCATACGCAGCGCCAGAGAGGCCGAAGAGTTAGAAGCGCGAGAGACGCAGCAAGGGAGGGGGACAGGCGATATAGGGAGGTTTCATCGGGTTGAGGAGAGAGGGAAGGTGACCTCCGTCAGTCTAGACGCCGCTACGAATGGGATGACATTGGAAAGCTCAGGTCCATGAAGTTGCTTAGGGTTACTGGCACAATGATCTGGACTCGGGGGAACAGACTCGTAGTCGTTTGCAGCTCCGTGCACATGGGCTGCCAAAGTATTAGATTTGCATGGTCTTCCATGAGTTCAGAGACAGCTTGGACTCATTGGAGGGTCAGGCAGGCTGATGGTAGCTGCTCACGATGAAGGCTCCAGCCGATGTGCTTGGACTGCTTTGCTGACCTCTCAACTTCCCTCTCCTCTCACCCCTCCTCTCTGCTCAGGCTCACCCGTGAGCTGGAGAAGAAGTTCTCTGACCGCCACGTTCTGTTCATTGGCCAGCGCCGAATCCTTGGCAAGCCCACCCGCAACTCGCGTGTCAAGCAGCCCCGACCTCGTTCGCGCACCCTGACCTCTGTGCACAACTCGATCCTTGAGGACCTGGTCTACCCCACTGAGATTACCGGCAAGAGGACTCGTGTTGCTACCGACGGTTCCAAGGTCATCAAGTGCTTCCTGGACTCCAAGGACGCTACCTCGCTGGAGTACAAGCTGGACAGCTTCTCGAGCGTCTACCGCAAGCTGACTGGCAAGGACGTGACATTCATGTTCAGGGACAGCGAATAAATGCGAGTCGTGAATGGTGTGGGACGAGGGGAGGATGACAAGCATTGCTTCTAGCTGGCAGTCGACTTTTGGGCGTAGTGCATAGAGGTGGTGTGCAAGTGCCGTCCGGCGCGGCGGAAGCTACGCCGCTGTCAGGCAGATGTCGGAGGGTGCGACTGCAGCACTTCTGACTCAATCTGCGCAAGGTCAGGAGAGCATACCTGCTCAGTCGTCTTGCCTTGCTACTTCCATCTCCGCTATACTCTCACTCCTCTCCTCGCCCCCTACTTCCTCTCTTCCTTTACTTTGTACTTTCAGCATCTGCGACTCGGCCCTTCTACACACCCAAAACAATCAGGTTCATACGCCGCCCTATGATGACTGCTGGTGCTGTTCGTCTGTCAGTGCCGAACTTGAGTGAGACCAGTCCGACGAGTGTCTTGGTCAGTGATTTGACCATGCATGGAGTCCTAGCCCAACCCTGGTGCGAGGTGACGGCACACCTCCCACTGTCCGTGGGTGGTGAGCTTCGTCCGTTGCATTCTCGCAGCCTCTGCTTCCGTTCCTACCTCTGCTCTCCGCGGCTCGGGATTGCGCCTTGTGTCCTGTGCTGCTTTCACGACTGAGATGTGCGCGCGCCTGATCTCTCGCCCAGTGCCATTCCGCACCTCCTCGTCGGCAACTTGGCTTTGCTCCCCTCGGGCCGTGTGCCGAGGTGGAGCCAAGGGGCGAGTGAGTAGCCGGGGGGAGGGGAGATGCGGGGAACATGTACTCACTCATCAAGGCAGACGTCGTGGGGCAAAGGCTGAGGCTTAGTCCATCTGCCCTTGGCTCGCCTCTCATCTCTCACACCTTGAAGCCTTCGACTTTGTTCCCTTTGTACTTTGCCACACAACGTATCACCACATCACCTTGTAGTTGGCAGTTCATCAGACATACCCATCTTGACGTTGCAATAGGTATACCCACTACTACCACCACTTCTCACTTCCACCCACCATGTCTTCCCCCGCCGAAGCAGCCGGCCTCAAGTACAACACCGTCGAGGAGATTCCCTCCATCAACGCCTCTCTCCGCCAGGCCTTCCTCACAGGCAAGACTCGCGATCTCGAATATCGCAAGAATCAACTCAAGCAACTTGCCTTCCTCATTACCGATAACGAAAATGCCTTTTGTGATGCCTTGGCAAAAGATTTGGGAAGAAGCAAGTTTGAAAGTATGTTTGCTGAAATGATGCTTACGGTCAATGAGGCAGTGGATGCAGTGGAGAGTTTGAACAAGTGGGCAAAGAAGGAGAGTGTGCATGGTGGACTTGCTTGGGGGTTCCATAACCCACACGTTAGGAGGGAGCCAAAGGGAACGGTGTTGATCTTGGGAGCTTGGAACTACCCATTGGTGAGTGATGACGACGTCAGAGGTGGAGCACCAGTGTGTCCGTACTCATCTCGTTGGTATCCATCCTCCTCACCTCGCCATTGCAACATGACAGACTGTCCAGCTTGGCCCCGTCGTTGGTGCCATGGCAGCCGGAAATTGCATCTGCCTCAAGCCCTCGGAGCTATCAGCCCACTGCGCAAAGCTCATCTCCGAGCTAGCCCCCAAGTACCTCGACCCAGAGACCTTCAGAGTAGTCAATGGTGCCATTCCCGAATCCACCGCTCTGCTGGACTGTCGATGGGAGCACATCTTCTACACCGGCAATGGAATCGTAGGCCGCATCGTCGCTGAAAAGGCGGCCAAGTGGCTCTGCCCCACTTCTCTCGAGTTGGGCGGAAAGTCGCCCACTTGGGTTGACGAGACGGCCGACTTGACCATTGCTGCCCGTCGAATCCTTTGGGGTAAGCAGCTCAATGTAGGTCAGACGTGCATTGCTCCAGACTACATTCTCTGCACGAGCAAGGTGCAGGGTGAGCTAGTCAAGAAGCTCAAGCAAGTAGCAGACGAATTCTGGCCTAGTGGTCAGGAGGGAAACAAGGATCAGAGTAAGATCGTTACGGAGAACCACTGGAAGCGAGTTAGGGGAATGCTCGAGGGTACGGCTGGTAAGATTGCTCTTGGAGGTCCACCAGACGAGAAGTCTCAGTCTAGCAAGGCCTTCCCTGTGACGATCATCACCGACGTCAAAGGCGACGATTCGATCATGACGGGCGAAATCTTCGGCCCTATCCTGCCCATTGTCACCGTGAAGGACGTCGATGAGGGAATTGAGTTCATCAATGCCCGTGACCAGCCATTGGTACTCTACGTCTTCTCCGACCACGCAAACTACATCTTCGACCGAACCAGATCTGGCGCAGCCGTCTCTGGCGACACACTCTTGCACAATGCCGTCGGCACGCTACCCTTTGGCGGAACCGGTCCTTCCGGCTACGGGTCTTACCACGGAAAGTGGGGCTTCGATGAGTTCTCACACAAGAGAGCCGTACTGGAGGCCCCCGCAAAGGGTGTCTTGGGAGCAATCGTCGAGTGGCTCATGAAGGGACGCTACCCGCCTTATAATCTCAAGGAACTCGCAACATTCAAGCTCCTGGCGGGAAAATCTCCCAAGTTCTCTAGACCGACAAACCCAACGGCTTCTAGAACTGTTGGCAAGGGACAGAAGGTAAGTAATGCGACTTGTCTGGAGTGAGGTGGAGCGGTGTGTGAGAGACCAAAGACAGCTCTGATCCTTATGCCCCTCCTCTCCTCTCCTCTCCTCTCTTCCCTTCTCCCCACCCCCTTCTTTACCTCGTCTTGCCACCTTCTTTTTTCCCATGACCTCCCTCCTTGCGCACCGCAAGAGTAGCTAAGCACCTCTTCCATCCTCGGAAAACGCCTAGGTCTGCTGGTACTCCTCCTTGCAATTGCATTCGGGGGCGCACGGCGCCAGGGATTGATTGGCGCTTGAGCAGCGCACGGGAGTGGCGCTTGAGCTGGAGCTGGAGTTGAACAAGCCAAGGGTGGTTAGAGTCTGGAGTCTGGGCAGCAAGAGGAGTAAAGGACACAGTAGCCTGGTGTTGCCCAGCACGGCACGACAGGGCAGGGCAAGGCAAGATGGTAGCGAGGGAGGCGCCTTCTTTTGATCAGTGGTCGCTAGCTATGATCCGCATCCGCATCCGCACTTGAATGGTTCAGTGTTTGATTGGTTAATCTTCAGCAGAGCAGAGCAGAGCAGAGCTGAGCTGAGCGGAGCGGAGCACTTCCTCCACCCTGCTCCTCCTCCGCCTCCGCAATCGCAATTGCAAAAGGTAAGCAGGCAGGCAGGCAGTTCAGTAAGGGGTCTCAGATATGTACGATTCGACTCGACTGGACTTCCTCAGATATGAAACGATGAAAATCACGTACGATCTTTTGAACTTTCTTTAGCTACATAGACATTACTGTCTGCGTCTGCGTCAGCTCTCTACCGTCTGCATCTGCCGTTTCCTACTAGGCCTAGTAACTAGTAAGTGACCAGGTAAGGTAAGCTGAGCTAAGCTGGGCTGGGATGGACACACACACACTCTCCCACTCTCCCACACTCCCACTCCGATCATCACACTCACACCAATCCTACTTCAAGCGGTAGACTGAGCGAGCGAGCAAGCAAGTTGAATCCAGACAGACTAGTGTGTGAATGAATGTTCGTCTGAATGTTCATGTGAATGTTCATGTGAATGGGAATTGTCATGTTCATGTTCATGTTCATATGAATGTGAATGGGAATGGGAATGGGGATTGTCATTGTATGAGCTTACAGATATGGAAGACGAATCAGAATCAGAATTGGAACCGGCATGGGAAGAGGTGGAGAGTAGAGAGTAGAGAGTAGAGAGTACATAGTACATATGAAATATCGATGCGACGGGACGAGACGAGATGGAATGGGGATGGGGACGGGACAGGATGGACCAGGGAAGCGGAGAGGGACAGAAGAGTGGTGAAGAGTCGTGAAGAGAGAAGAGTGGTGGAGTGTTGCGAGATGGGAAATAGGCTTGGAGCATACTGAAGGAGAGGAAGACGAAGAAGGAGTGGTGTCGAGCCGGGAAGAGGAGGCAAAAGAAGAGCCGGCTGGGAGCAAGGTCGTCTTGTTTTGCCTAGACCTCCCCAGCAGGAGGAAGCAGTGTCCCCCTCCCCACTCCCGCTCCCACATCCACTCCTACAGGCATGCCCAATGTATTTTCTTTGCTGACGGCAGATGCTCCAGGTGCGACTCCAGTCGTAGGTGTAGTCGAAGGTACGGAAGCTACTCCCATTTCAATCCGCCTACGTAGAGCTTGAGATCGATGATTGATCGACTTGAAGAAAGGTTCAACGGTCAAACCCGTCGTCTCCTCCATCTCACCGGCAGCGCCACCGCCCGCACCGGACGCATCCCCTTCGGCACTGCTACTGAGCAGACACGACAGCATAACCGCTGCCGTCTCGTAGGCGAGCAGGCATGCTTGGATATCCCACTGTCCCGCGCCCGATAGGGAAGGGGGCGTGTTTGACTCTGGTGACGAGCCGACATTCGCATTGAGGTTCACGTTGACGTTAACGTTAGCGTGATTGTTCTCAAGCTCATCAAGTGCCGCTGCCCGCCCAATCTCGAGGGCCTTGTCGTAGATGAGCTTGTTGACTGCTTGCTGATTCGATTCGGAGGTGGCGGTGCTGACTTCGGAACATTTGGAACGGGCAAAGTCGGCCTTGTCGCACGTCTCGTTGAAACGACGACGCAGGGATTGGACCGCTGTGGGTATCAAGAGAAAGAAAGAATGAGGACCGCCTTTGATCAGTATTTGCGCTTGACTACAAGTGCTGCAGTGGCATATCTACTCACCCTCATTCAAATCAGGACTGATTGTCGGCGAGGAGCTCAGACCACCCGTCGCCCCGGTACCCTTCATCTCCAGATACCCTCTCACAACCTCGATTCCCCGCAGAAGGAAGCTCAAGCTCTTGAGGTAGATCTGCAGTGCCTCATTCGCAATCGTCTCGGCATTGCCTCCTCCAACGGCTGCAGCGCTTGCAGTGTTATGTGTAGAGGAAGCGGAGAGGGAGAGGGAGCGCTGCCGATCCATCGAGCCTGCGGTCTGGTGGTGGGAGGATGAGGCAGAGGAGGCCCAGGCAGGCTGGTGAGGTCCTTCTGGGTAGATCGAAGAGAGCTTGGAGTCGGCAAATTCGCAGAGGACGAAGGCTTTCTGGGCATAGTCGTCCAGATACAGCAGGAGAGAAGTCTGTCGGACGAGACCGTAATGGAATTTTACGTCAGTTCAGCACACGACCGGCTCACTCTGCTACTTTCTGTTCACTTACCTCGCCACGCAGAGCAGCGCTCCCAGCCGGAGTGCCCTGAATCGCCCCCATCCTACCCCTCATCAGTGTCGCAGCACCTCTCAAGCTCAGACCACCACCCAAAACAGCCGTTCCACTCGGCATACCAAACAGCTTCTGGCTGGCTTGACTGATCGCCCTCGCGAGTGCCGAGCCAGGCGAGACGCTCACGCTAGGGTAACGGGCGACTGCTGCGCCGCCAGTGCCAATGGGACTGATCGAGGTGGGCTGCGCTCGACCTAAGTCAGACTTCTCCTGATCTACCTCCTCTGACCCTTGTGGGACACTCTGTGATGGCAGAGATGTGATAGTAGGACGAGGTGAGCCGAAGGCTCCTCCACTCGTTCGTCTAGAGGCGAAAGAAGGTTGTCGCCTAGCACCTGGAGGTAGAGCAAATGGTGCCGAGGGCGAAGAAGAGAGCACGCTTGGAGCCGTAGCCGTCGTGCTCAACGGCGGTCGAGCAGGAACAGTATCCGGAGGCGAGCTCGTTGTCTTTGGTGCCGCCGAAGGGGATGTTGGTCCAGTGTAGCCCGAAGCGAGTCTCGTAAGCCTTGAAGGTCGTCGCACTAGCAGAGCAGCAGCAGTAGCAGCTCCTGTTGCTAGAGGGCTGCGCGCTTGATTAGGGCTGTAGGCCAGCTCATCCGCAAGAGCGTTTACTTCGACGTTCTTCTTTTCGATCATCACATACTGCGACTCGTCATCTTCCTGACTTGCTGAGACTTGCTGTAGAGCTCCTGCAGAGGGCCTGCGACCACTGCCAGACCCTCCCTCTGTTCGCTCCGAAGTCGCAGACAGCTTTGTCGAAGAAGGTACCCTCGACGGTGCACCGCTACTTGCAGGAGTAGTCACACTCTTGACACTGCTGGCACCGCTGCTCTTCTGCCGGACAAGAGGAGCCGCCCTGACCTCCTCGCCGCCGCCGCCGCCGCCGCCGGTTGCCTTGGCAGTGCGGGAAGGAGGGGCGCCAGAGTCGTTCTGCGAAACGGCCGAGCTGGCTTCGCTCTTCTGTGCAACGATGTACTTGGAGCGAAACTTTGGCAACGGCGCCTGTGAAAGGGGCGGGGGTGCCTGCACCCGTGTGGAAGGAGCGGGCTGCAATGGCAATGTTGGACCAGGAGTAGCTCTGGGTGGTAGACCTTCACTAGCACTGCTATACGTAGAGGAAGAAGGCGAGGTTGGTGGCAGAATCTCTTGGGGTTGAGGCGATTCCGGTCGTTGCCTGCCAACCTTGGCGGGCCGAGCGCCCAGTATCACTGGCGACGAGAAGAAGTCTTCGAAGCTCATACGCTCCACTGGCCGCCTCTTCAACAGAGCGCGAATCAGTGTCTTGATGTCATCGTCGACCTTTGTAGGACCACGCTTCTCCTCTTCTATCGAGACGTACTCGTCCGCATCTCTCCGCCTCTGTACTTCCTTCAACCAAGTGCCCTCGCTCCGCTCATCGGGGAACTTGATCTTATCGTCGTTCCGCTCGATCCTCCGTAGTAATTCGACATGGTTCGCAGCCCTAAACGGCGGCTTGCCTACTGTCATCTCGAACGTCACCGCCCCGATCGACCACAGGTCTGCCTTGGCGTCGTACTTTTCGTACCGCAAGATCTCAGGCGCCATGTAGAGTGGTGAGCCGCACAGCGTTTCTGCGAGGCTGGCAGCAGGCAAGCTCCGGGCGAAGCCAAAGTCGGCAACTTTCATCTGGGGGATTCCGGCGGGATGGCCTAGTGCGATGCAAGACGAGGTGGGAGGTTGAAGAAGGAGATTCTGTATGAGGGACGGTAGAAATGTAGCGTCAGCGCAAGCCCTCCTAGGTCAATCCAGTCCCTCGCTGCCGGTCTGGCTACTCACCTGAGGCTTAATGTCTCTATGCACAATGTTACGAACCCTCATGAATTCCATCGCAGCAGCCAATTGCTCCAAAAAGCTCCGCACGACCTTGGCATTAAGCCCTCCATCATTGGGATGCGGAAATTCCTTGGCAGCGGCCAAGAAAGCCCTGGAGGAGGACTTGCTCAGCGCATCTTCTGCCAGTAGGCCCTTTCTCTTGATGTACTGCGATAGATCTCCGCCAGAAGAAAAGTCCATTACGAGGTAGATGTGTGACTCGGTCTTGAGACAGTCTATCAGCTCTACGATGTTGGGATGACTGACAGCCTTGAGGATGGCAATCTCGCCTTCGAGATTGTCCAAGAGCTTCTGCGTCAGCTTACGGCGGGTGACAATCTTGATAGCCACCTCCTTGGCAGACGCAGATGCGGACGAGGATGAAGACGACGACGAAGCGTGGCTAGACGGATGTGACTGCGAGTGATTGCCATCGTCTTGCAGTTGTATACCCTTGTGCACAACTGCAAAGGAGCCCTTGCCAATCTCGGGACCAATATGAAAGGGACCTATGGAGCTTGGAGTTCCAGCTGGCGCAGCGTTAGGCCGGCTGGATGAAGAGGCCGCAGAGGATGCCATGGTTGCTGTTGTCCTCTTGATGTGGGCCTCTCCGGCAGTAATGTTGTAGGCTGGCTCAGCAGCAGCGGCACCAGAAATCCCGAGTTACGATGGCGATGTGGAGAGCAGATGCGGCTGGAACGGCAAGCAGAGAGGCGAGAGTGAGGAGATGGAGTAAGGGAGGATAGGAGTGGCTCTAATTATTAGCGACCAATGGTCGCCCTGAGCATTTCTCCCTCGGGTCTCCGGAGGCTTTCAGGACTCGTGTGCTTTGACTCCTTTGGCTGGCGCAACGCAATGCGGATCCCCTAATGCCAGGCGTGGCGGAGGCAAATGTGGCACGACGCAGGGCAACACAGCGCAGCACCGAGGGCGATCGAGGCGATGCAGACCACGTCTATGAGGAGCGATAGTGAGAAGCAGAGGATGTGATCAACACGCGGGATCGAAGAGTACGATCAGAGCGGGGAGGAGGGGGGGCAGTTGCGAGTGCGGATGGGGGGATTTAGCTCAGCGGTGAGTCAAAGGGGGGGGGCGAGGCTGATAACCACCGAGCGGAAAGGGGAGCGAGCGGGGCGTGAGTGAGTGAGCGGGCAGACAGGCGCATGGCGGACGGTCCCCCCACGCGGAGTCACAGTGGGGCGGCAGCAAACGACGACGCGGCGCCAGAGCAAGGCGCAGGGGCCACCCACCCACACACACACACACGCGGGACCACCTCCTCGGCTGCATCCAAAAAATTGGCCTGGAGCAAAAGGAGCCGCCGCGCCGCGCCTCTTTGGCCCCCCTGAAACACGACAGGAACACGCGTCGGGCACAAAAGGCAAGTGACTGACGACAGCGGCATTCCCGATCACGCAGAATGGCATCACACTGGTCTCAGAAGTGACTTGGAGGCCGGCGGGACCAAACTTGGGGCATCATAGTCGTGTGGGTGCAATGCATTCATTTCGGGCAGGGTGATTGTCATCAAGATTGTGTACAACAAACGAACCGTGGGCTTCCTGCTGGGCCAACGATTGCAAACTACAGAGTCTGCATCCCCAGTCGGTCACTCCCGCTGTCCCACTCAGCTTAGTACGAGTAGCGGTGAGCACTGTAGTCATCTCCCTTGAGACGCATCGCCTCTTCCACGCTAGCATACGTTCCACCAGGAGTACTGTGTACCGACTTCTTGAGTGCCAGCCACCTGTTACCCAGGCCGCCCTTTGACTTGAGTTCGGCAATCTCTGCCTCTCGGATCCTCTGCGCCTCAGCGACGGCCTCCTCATGAGGGAGATGGTCGAGGATAGTCTCATTGCGGCTTCCCCTCTCCCTAGCTGCATTCTCCCTCTTGGTCGACCATAAGTAAGTGAGGGTGGCCAACCATCCAATGGCCAAGTAGACGATCAGGATCGAGTGTCCGACAAAGTAGCGAGGAGCAGACTTGGAGTAGTAGACTTGAGAGGTGGCAGCTCCGTTCAAGTTACCAAAGCCGATGAACATGGCTAGCACGACGGAACGCTTGTAAGCACCTTCGATGTGCGAGCCGAACAGGGCCACTGAGTTGGGGATCATCGGGTAGATTCCCATAGCGGCCAGGTAGATGGCAAAGTAGCAGGCACCTGGAGACTTCCTTGGGTCGACGGCTAGAAGAATAATGTATCCCAGGATGCCCAATGGGTATAGGCACAGGTTGATGAGGGCACGGTGACCCTTCTTGTCTGCCACGAATCCAATCACAATCGTGGTGATACCTGCCACGATGTAGATGGGCACACTGAGCAAATTGGACTGCACCGTAGTCCACGTTCCGAGGGACTTGATGATCGTGGGGGTGAAGACGGAGAAGGCGTACAAAGGACCGTCACAGCCCATGTAGGCAAGCATGGCGAGCCATGTCTTATGGTCGAGCACACCCTTCCAGACGTTCCTCCAGGCAAAGCCTTCACCCGCAGCAGAGTTCTGTTGACCCGCCTGAAGGCGAGAGATGACAAAGGCACGCTCCCTCTCCGAGAGCCACTTGGCCTTGTCAGGGAAATTTGGTGCCAACCACCAGGACAGGATACCAGATACAATGGTGATGAGACCAATCACGATGAAGATCCATCGCCAGCCGTCATTGGGACCGTCGTAAGTGCCTCCTCGGATTTGTGCCAGACCAGTGGACAGGAGACCACCGAAAGCACCCGAAGCCGAGGCAGCGGCGAAGAAGATGGCTGCACGCAGACCAAATTTGGAGCGGACGTACCATCCACTCAGGAGATAGTTGACTCCTGGGAAGAGGGCTGCCTCGAAGACACCGAGGAGGAACCTGGTGGCTAGAAGACCGCCGTAGGACTCGACGAGACCCTGACTCATCATGCAGATACCGACGAGGGCACATGCGATCGCAAACCACACTGGCGGGCTGAGCCTCTTGAGCATGATGTTGCTGGGGACCTACAAATTGCAAGTGTATCATTGGGCGCGCTGTCAGCATATGCGGCTGACATGAGAAGACTCGCTTGGCCCACGGCATGCACTCACCTCGAAGAAAGCATAACTGAAGTAAAAGACCGACACAGCAATGTTGTACTTGGGTCCCGTTCCAAGCGCGAGCGATGGGGTCATACCGAAGAGACGCGCATTTCCAATGGCGGTTCGGTCCAGGAAGGAGAGCAAGTAGAGGAAGGAGAGCCAGGGCAGGAGGGTGAAATCGATCCTTCGGTCTAGCTTCTTGATCTCAGCGTCGGACAGGTCATGGCTCTTCTCGCCGTTGCCGCTTGCCATTTGGCTGTCGCTGGCACTTTGTGTCAGACCGAGCGGCTCGCCTTTCTTCGTCGGTGACTCGAGCGACCGCTCCTCGGACTCGGCCAACGGGGGTGCTGCGTTGTTGGTAGCCATGTTGCGTGAGTGCGGACCGGGAATGGCGTAAAGATAAGGGGACCGAGGAACGAATCGCGAAGCCAGAGGTATCTCGGACGCTAAGAAAGACAACAATGGAGGTGAGAAGTGGACGAATGAGGGCGATTACGCTGCTGGTGGTACTTTATACCACGCATAGGCCGGTCGGGCGTCTTCGTCCGGCCATTCGTCCGGCCTTCTGCAAGGGTCAGACACCGTGGTGGTGCCCCGCACTCTGCCTTACGATTGCCAATGGATGACTAGCAGTCAGCCAGTGTCAGCATTTCGCACCTCGTCGGACGTAAGCGAGATGGGGCGCATCGCGCAGGAAGCGGGCAATCTCTTCTTCCCCACACTGCCCCAGTCTACCCCGCGTTGCGCCTCCCCCCGCCAATCCGGCACGAACACCGAGCAACGGACAACGAAAGCTTCTGGAGGCGTTTCCCGAGTGCTTTCCCCCCGCCACCTACCTTCAGTAGCGCGAATCGAAGGGATTTCTTGGCAGGCACCAAAGCGATGTCCCAGAGAACCTCAAAGGGGTACGAAAGGCGAAGCGGCGAACCCCCTAATACGATTGAGTTTCAAACACCCTCTTTGTGTGGGAATGCGCCACCCCTCCCTTTTCCCCCAGAAAACTTCCCCGCCTTTTCCGGAGTAGCTCCAGTCTGGTCTGCTGCTCAGAAGTGCAATAAAGTCAGTCTCTCAGCGCAAAAAGGAGAACAGAAAGCCGGAGATAACGTAAAGGTCACGAACGGCAGTCCATCTCATGGCATCCACGCGACAGAGAGCCGTCGGCAGCGGAGCGGCAAAACGTCCAACTACGGGCAAAGTTGAGGCGGCTTGTGTTACTGATCGCTGCGTGTGAGTCGGACCCCGACGTCTTCAGACGCTAGCCGTTCGCGTGGCGTCCATTCGGCGAAGGAGCTATTGGTAAGGTCGGGTACCTCTATGTTTGCGCCACTATGTATTGCGCCGCCGAGGAAAGTCCGTCTGAGAAGGCAATACGTGAGTGAAGTGAATTCCTCGACTGCCACCCCATGACCTGGTACTGGATGCAGAATGTGCCTTGTGAGTAGCGAGGGGTCATCGAGCCATCCCATCATGCAGCCGAAAGCTGGGTCTGCAAGCAAGTGCATGAATGTTCCGACGGGAAAGAGTGGGTATCAAAAGCTAGAGTAATGTACATGGGCTGGCGTCTGAACCTATCAAGCAGTGTGCGTCTCTTCGGAGGAGACAAGAACAACAAGTAGGCCAGCATAAAGGTTGAGCTCAGGCGAGGAGCGATATGCAGGAGACTGGAGCACTCTGTGGGCGGCAGCAGCACAGTCGAATGCAAGACTAGGCGTGAGCACAAGGTGTCGCATGCCTGAATGGGAGGGACATGCCATGCACGTTCTTCACACAGCCAGTACTCACAGCTCGATCTCATCTAATGCCTCTTTCCACCTGCCAAGGACAATCAGCTCCTGTGCTCTGCAGGCGAGCATCAGAGGGCGCTGGGTCGGAAAGCAAGAGGCGAGTCAGTCAGCTGGCCCACAAGAAGATCACCATGTGTAGCTGTCTAGACCTCCACGGTCTTGCTACTCACCAGTCCTCTCCGTCTTGCTGCAACTTTGCGTAGAAATTCGATGCGCCTTTCAGCAGTGGCCACTGCTCTAGCTCTTTCGCGTCGCTTGCTCTGCGCATCACTCCCATTGGTTTGAGTGTTCTCGCCCGAGTATTCCGACGGCAGTGACATCGAAGACGCACGCGATGACTCGGGATGTGAAGGAGATCGAGACCGTCCATCTCTACTCCTTGCCTCATCACCTGTCTCCTCGGCAGAGCTGACCTCTACTGAATCTAATCTTCTCCTCTTGCTCTGTGGGTCTCCTTGGTCTGCTTGAGCGTCTCCATCCTCTTCGCCGGACTCTTGTGCCTGAGCCTCGCCTTCTCCGATGTCAAGACCGGCCCAAGCAAGTCCTTCCCTCCATAATTCTCCTTCTCTCCACTCCTTGCAGCCCCATAGAATTCTCACAATCCTACCAACCCTGACTGCATTCTTCTCCCGGAGAGACTCGCCGCCGGAGCTAGCTTGTCCGTCCTCCTCCTCTTGGGTTGGAAGAGTAGGATGGCGTTGTAGCAGTATGTGCAAGAGGGAGTGGAGGTATTGCAAGTGCTTCTGACGATCCGATGGTGTCTGGCCAGGATTGGGGTGGGCATGTGTGTAGGTGTTGCCGTGATGCCGTACAGGCGGCGGAGGCGGGAAGGGCAGGGAGGTAGAGGGAGCCATCTTGCGGTCGGTAGAGAAGGCTAGCTATAGCTGTATAGCCTGGCCATCGCAGGCATAGGACATTATGAATTGCCTTGCCCTCCTGCTGATGTACTCGATGGTGGTAAGGACGTCGGAACAAGACTTCCACTTCAAGCGTCGTGTCGCGTGTCTCTTTCCGTTCTTCGGCGTCTATGCCGCGGCTTTCCGACGAAGGGCCGTTGGCTGTACGTACAGATGCAGTGAGCTGCCGGCCAACAGCTTCCCCCTTGCTTGCTCGACAGGGTCCGAGAGGGGGACCCACCCATTGGGTCCTGCCTCTCCTTGGCGAAGTTGTCCCTATGAGATGCAAGATGGGCGGTAAGATCTTGCCTTCGAACCTTCTCCACTCCCCACCTCTTGCCCCTACGTAGCTCCTCTTGCCTTTCACCAGCATTTCCGGAGACGCTGTAGACTTAGCAAGAGGCGCAAGACCTTCTTCTTCACCGATCGCCTCCAATCTCATTCAGATCTCCTTTACTCTGCTTGCTTGAGCGAAGTGCTATTTGCACAGACAGGTGGATGGTGCCTCCGCACACGCTTCCATCTCAGATCTCAGCATGAGAGCTTCCACCTCGGCCTCTCACCTCTCTCACGCTGACGGTATCGAGTCTGGCTCGGCTCGGACTCATGTCGCCGCAAATGGCACGAGAATGGTGGGAAGTAGCAGTGCTCATCAGCTCTCGTATCCTCAAGACAATGCAGAACGGAAGCCTCGATTTCATCACAAACCGACTCGCCGGCAGAATGCTCGTATGCAGTTAGCCGCCGCCCTCATCGAGGCTGACAATGAGCAAATCTTGCACAAAGCAGAAGCGCTCAGAGCCGAACAGGAAGCGCGGGAAGAGGATGACCTCGCGTGCCCTGGACTCGGACCATCGCCTCTTCCAGAGCCTAAGCTAGCCTGCCAGAGTGTTCTCTTCAAGCCTTGGAGGGATGGCTTTGAAGTTGATCAAGACGAGGGAGAGCCAGGAGGAGGAGAGGCAAGCTTCGCTACTCCTCTTGGCGAGCCTGACATCCCTCTCCGTCGATCTACTAAGCGCATCCAGGAAATCCAGACCAATCGAAGACCTTCAAGCGTTGACTTCCTAGGCATCAAGCTGCCAGGAGAGAGCTCGGAGAGGCTCAAGGTTTCACACAGCGCTCCTGTCTCTGGAGTAGGCTTTAGCGTAGGCTGGGGAGTTGACAGATTTCTCAGTGAGGATGCCCTCAAGAGTCTTGCGGAGCTACACGAACATTCGAAAAGGCAGGCGACACCCGATGAGTCCACGCCAGCTTCACTCGAAGCCGGTGAGCAAGCCACGAGTCACCAGCGCAGTGCAAGCGTTGGCCCCTCCGTGCCGTCCACTGAGCGAACTTTCAGCGGTACACAACCTAGGTTCAGAAGGTCACAATCAGACGCAAGTGTCCTCGCGGAAGGATCGCGTTCCCGGGGCTATGATCTGAGATTGCTTGCCAGAATCAAGGCCTATCGAGAAGGACAAAACGATGATCAGCGAGATGACGAGGCTTTGGACATTGCCGCCCCTCACCTCTCCCCGCTCTCAGCTTCCGACGGTATAAGGATGCAACTCGCGGACACGCAAGCCGATCTGATGTTGCAGCAGCCAAGCATTAAGCGTCCACAAGGTTCCGATCTATTGCGAGGCGACAGCATGGCTGGCGTAGGCTCGTTCTCGCCTGAGAGACGCCTCTCCTTTGTAGGAGCCCCCGTAGTCCTCCCTGAACTCGGCTTTGATTCTTCGATCCCTTTAGCCTCACAGCGATCCGGGCTATCGAACGCTCTCAAGCAGCCGGAGGTCGACTCATTGACAAGACCAGCCCACAACACTGCTGATTTTGGAAATGTAGTTGCTCTTCAAGGCGATCTGTACACTGCTCTTGCACTCGCCGAGAGCCCTTACCCCGGATCGTATCGACGGTTTCACCGGAGCCCGACGTTCGGGGCACTGGAAAGTCTGTCTCCACCCATGCCTCCACTGCAACTTTCTGCTCCTGTGGAACCCCTGTCGGGCCTCGATGATCAGAGAAGAGGGTCAATGTCACCAGAGCAGGGCCTCTCGACAAGAGAGCTACAGGCATTGGCCAGGCAAAGTCACTTCCCGGATAGCTACGGCATCTTTGTGCCTCCACCTAGCAGTGAAGAAGAAGTGAAGACGGACAGGGCTCGAACGAGGGGCTCTTACCGCACCGATCGACCTGTCGGTGGCACTGACAGAGGCCCCGCGGCAGCTGCATCTGACGTTTGGCCGGCGGACCGGTCGCCCGGTCGGCTCAGACGGGCACTCCGCCCTGTGACAGGTCTCTTCAGCAGTGCGGCGATGAGCACACCACCGCATGACCAGCTAGAGGAGCGTGTTAGCGGACGTCGAAGAGAGCCGGACCTGAGTTCATCAAAGTGGAATCCCAAGAAAGGCAAAGTTCGGCGTGACATCACCGATGAGCAAGGTGAACCTGGCAACGGCGATCAAACACTGAGAGAACTCACATCAACGGAGCAAAGTCATCAGGAAGGGCGCTCTGATGAGCTCGGCCTGTATTCTACACCAGAGCTGATGGCTTTCAAAGAGGAAGAGCGCTACGATGCTGTGACGAATCAAGAACCTGATGTCGATGACGATTACATCTCACCTCCGCAGAAGGGCCCGCTCAAGCCGAAAGGCGTAGACGCATGGCTGCCACAAATCCTCGTCACACCTGAACCGCTTGAGCACACCGTTCAGATGCCACGAACGAGACTCAGCGATGGAACGACAGTGGCTGCTACTGTGGTCCCCATCTTAGCGCCTCCAGGTATCGGAAGACGAAGTAATATGGCATCTACCGCCCTCTTCCGCAATGGGCTTGTGCACAATGAGGAGGAGAAAGAGGGCTGGGGTTGGGAGCTCTCTTCGGCGCCTCGGCCCTTGCAACGTTCCGAAGAGGTGGACTCAGACCAGCTGAGCTCGTCTGAACAGGGACCCCCGGTCAAACCTAAGTTGACACGCAAAGAGGCAAAGGCCAGACAGAAACGGAAGCGCGCACGAGCACTACGTCGCGAGAAGCGTGCCGAGGCTGATGCCGCTGGGCAGACCTACGAGGAGGCAGGTGTACCCGAAGATTCACCTCTGGAAGACGCATCTCTATCGGAAGACTCGGCTAGCGATAATACGGACTTCGAAAACAGAGAGGAAGAGCTGTTCGTTGATGAACAAAGCAAGCCCGCTGGGAAACTCTTCGGTAAGAGCTTACTCGATGTGGCTCAGGAGCGGCAAGAAGAGAAGAAGGCTGTCACCAGGTACTATGGTCAGCGGGACCTCGGCGACTCTATTTCGCAGAAGGATGGCGATACTGCCTCCATTGCGCCCAGCTCGGCAGGCCAGTCTTTCAGAGACAACCCATTCGGCTTCAACGATACAAGAGAGAGGATGCGAGCTGCTCTAGGCGTCGATGCCAACTGGGAGAGGGAGATGGCAGAGCGCCGGATCAAGGATGCGGAGGAAGAGGAAGAGATGGCAGCCGTCCGGGCAGCAGCAGCTCTCCTCCAGCAGGAGAAAGAGGCGAAAAGGCAGAGAAAGCGCAAGATCTTCGGTCGTCGAAACAAATTTGGTGGTGATGATCAGCTTGGGGTGAGCGGCAAGGAAGCTTGCCAATTTGTACCGGAGATGGCTACTGAGGCGGAAGCTGCCGTGAGCTCGGAACGTGCGCAGGAGCCCAAAGCGATCGAGTCTTCGGCACCAGAGCCCGACCTAGATGCCGATGACACTCTGCAACCCGGCGGTATCGGACAGGAGCAAGCACCGGAACCTCCGGCTATCACACAGCCTCCGAGGATCGAGATTGGTCTTTCAAGCCCCCCTCAGCTACGCTCGGCTGCCGGCCGGGGTGTTAGTGCGTGGCATCCGGCGTCTTCCGGGTCATCGGATGAGTCTGACTCAGAGTCTGAGGCTGGCAAGCCAAAAAGGGTACTACGGGAGTCTTCGTCGGCCCGACTCCTTGGGCCCAATGACTCGAGTCTACGTCTCTTACAGATGAGCAGAAGATCGTCAACTGGACAAATCAATAAGACGGCTGAGTCGGCGGACAGTAGCGACGATGAAGTCCCCTTGTCCGTCATCAAAAGAAGGACAGTGTCGAGCAATGCCGTGCCTCAGCGTGGAGACGCCTCATCTTCGGACGAAGAGGTCCCGCTCGCTCAGCTGCGCTCCAAATGGCCGGTCAAGAAAGCTCCGTCACATGCGTCGTCGTCTTGCGTCGAAAACAGGAAGAGCGACGAGCAAGGCAACGCTGTAGATTCAGAGGAAGATCGACCGCTCGGCCAGCGCCATAGTATGTTGGCACTGTCGACCTTCCAGCAGCTGCACAAAGGCACACTTCGCGCTAGCGACCGACGATCAGCCAGCGAATCATCGGACGACGACGCCCCGCTTGGGGCCTCGCACCCGCAAGCCGCCATTATCGCCCAGCAAGCTGCGCTGATCAAACAGCTTCAGGCAGAAACGAACTTTCATCGTCAAAGTGCCTTTCTCGCCGCGAGCGCAAGCATGGCAGCAATGCCGTTCCTTCCACCCACGATGACCTCTGTACCGTCGAGGATGGGTATGGCACCCGTGCCGACTCCCTCCCTGCCCGACCTGCGAGCAGCCTACCTCGCGACGAATTCTTTACCGCGCTCACCCTCGATTGGCAACTTTCCATCTTCCGAAACGAGAATGTCCCACCTGAATGCCGGGACTACTTTGCCGATTGCGGCGCAGGCGACAATGGATGGAGCGGCGGGAATTGATCAGTGGAGAAATGGCGTGCTGCCGGGATCTGCAACGCCTTCGTCCCTGACGACGACGACGCACTCCTCCGCTTGAGGTCTTGTTGCGATTTGCAACCTCGTCACACCGAAAAACTATATCTTCCCGCTACCACTCGCGATAGCAAACGGACGTAAGAACACGCGCATGCTCGTGATACGCATTGCCAGGCACACATCCGTGTATCTCCGATCACGCGTGGGAATAGCGAACGAAGGCACAAGTCAAATTGCTTGAGAGCAAAAGCGGGGGTAAATGACGAGGGAGCAGCATCGTAGTCGAAAGGGCAGCAGCATAGTCTGAGGCATGCGTGCCTGGTGACGACTCCAAGTGATCAGCTGCGGAGAACGAAAGTGCCTGAAGTCTTCTTCTGATTATCCTGTAGGGAATGTGATGCACCGAACTTCAAGAGAAAAAGGACACATCACATGCTGAGGGTCGATGATTCGTCAGGGCAATAGATCGCATATGTAAACTAGTCATGCTACAAGGGAGGTTCCCTCTCCCTTCCCAAATCATCCAATCACATCTCGCTCCTTCTCTCCAGCCTTCACCCCAATCTTCCCCATGCAAGTGACCCTTCAGTATCATCACCATGGACGATGACGACATCTATGCTGACTTGTCGATCTACGAGCCCAGTGAAGGTAGCGAGTATCGTCTGACTGATGACTCGGACTACGAAAGGACGCCAGCAAGGCCAAAGAAGCGAAGCAGGCCAAGTGCCTCTTCCCGTGCTGTTCCTGAACGCCAGGCAGTAGATAGCACAGCTGAGATCCCGAAGTGCATACGAGAGAAATGCAAGTTCGACGTTGACAAGCTCCCTCGAACTTCTTCAGACCCAATTCTGCTGCTGACAGGAGAAGAATATAGGGACAAGTGCTGGACTTGTCTTGACAAAGGCTTGCCCTGTGCTATTCTATCTCGCGGCAAGAGCTGCGCAGGCTGTTTTGCAAAGCACTTGAGCTGCAATGCGAATCGACGTGGTGAGTGTGAACGCTTCGCAAAACGTGACCTCAGCTTACTAAGTGCCTATGCAACTTCTGCAGTGCCTGACTTCCACAACACTTGCTTGCGCTCGCTATACGAACGATTGCAAGAGGATCACTTGAAAACACAGCGAGCCAAAGGGGTCACGACATGGAGCCCTGTCCCGACCCATCCTGCCAAGTGGGGTGTCACCCCTCCCACCACCAGTGCCTGGCGCGCATTGTTTAGCCGCCATGGTATCACCATGCCTGCACACTTCTTCGTCAGAGACGGAGTCTTGATCACTACTCATTGGCACCGGAGGCCTTCGCCTGACGCAGTGAGGGGAGCAGGCAAGGCTGTTCCTCACCGAGCATCCCGTCGATCATGGGCCTCGAGGCGAACTAGCAACACATCCAGCACGGTCCGAAGCGGCACATCACGAATCTCGGAGAGGCACGCCCACCTTGCCGGCTCCTTGCGAATACAGCTGCCTGACCTCGACTCTGCCCTCCCTGAGGAAGAGCCACAGCGCAAGCGAACGTACAAAGTCAAAGCAAGTAAGTCTGTCGTGGCGAGGTCAGGCTCTGCGTCGGTCGCCCCGTCACGACGCGTCGGAATCCGGGCAGCTCGCCTACTACGTCTCTCCCAAGCTCGTCAATTGAGGCCGCTACCCTTTCTGAGGTCTCGAGCGTTCAGGCACTCCACTTCTGAGCCTGATGAATGTAGGCTTCCTCCCAGATCTCGAACATGCAATCCGCCTGAAGCAAGCTTTAGCGCCGCCCGAGTCCCGTCGGACGCTGTTCCAAAAGTCGAATGCGCCGAGGAGCCCCTCGTAGACGGTCAAGATCAGTCCGCAACAGCTGCAGACGCACCCGACCAGAGTACCGAAGAGCCTCTGAGAGGTGCTCAGTATCAGCATGATGTAGTCGCAAGTCCACAAGCGCAAATCTTCAAGGCGCCTTGCGTACACACTCAGCGCCAGCCCGCAGTAACCCCGGATACATCCGTCGAGAGCCCGGAGGAGCCTCTCGTAGACTTGCAGCGCCCGTCTGCACTAACTACGACTACACAAGTTGAAAGTTCCGAGGCACCTCCCGTACATGACGATCACCAGTCTGCATCAGAAACGACTGAACCAATGGAGAGCCCCGAGGCACCTCCCGCACATTCTCAACGACAGCCCATGGTCTCTGCCAGTCCGAAGTGCAGCATCTCGCTACAAGAGGACGGTACTGTAGTGAGCTGGGGTAATTTCTTCGGCGTACTTGATCCGGCGGATCCAGCAAGTCTTCGCCGCAAGTTGGCTCGATTGGAGCGTCAGCTGGAGAATCTAGTCTGTCCCATCACGGCTTACTATCGGCTGTGCGAAAGCTCATTGCAGAATTGTGATCCTCAACATCGAATTCGTGGCATGGGCTTGATCAATTATCAAGCGCTAGCGGAGTCTCGCCGCCGTCGTCGAAGAGGCAGTCTCGTGCCTGCTCGAAGAGTCCGCTCGCTGCAACGTCTCCGACTTCTTACGCCAACGCTGCGTCGTCGTCGCCGCCGCTAATTTGTCTTGCTGTCTTTAGCCTCTCAGTCATGCCCAACATGTGCTGCTCCTCCGCGGCTGTCTCCCTTGTTTTCTCTAAGGGCCCGAGCCCAGCTGATCGACCGAAAATTGCAATTTTCTGGCTAAACATGCGGGTCGGGCCTTTGGCGCTCTTGTTTGGACCCTCTGTCCTTGCCATTCTGTCCTCGCTGTACATCCCTTCCACGAGCTGACCCCTCCGAAATCCATGTTCTTTGCATTTCACTGGAGTACCCTTAGACTTTGCAACTGCCGTCGACGTCACGTCCATCGATGTGTCCGAATGTGAGGCCCAAGAGTACTACATCGGAGGCCCGAGCTGCCCGCAACGGTCTTGACTATCATCGAGGGCCCGAGCTTACGCAACCCTCCGGATCTCAGGGGCATGTGCAATGCGATGGATGTGAGCACTGTGGCTGCGTTCGCCATGATTCCCTGTATGTTTCTTCATCACCATTGCTTGCCTACTGTGGTACCTTTGCAGGTAGCACACAGTGCCCGTCCTGCAACGCCTCACACCGCACACTATGTCCGCCTCTCCGACCTCCTCAGCACTTCAGCGCAAGCCCCTCCCAGCTTCCCAAGTGTTCTCTGCTTCGGCTTTGCCTCTCCACCTTCCAGCACTGGACAATGTTCTGAACGATCCCCACCGCTTCCCAGCTTCCCGCTTCAGCTTGCCCGATACGACATGCTCCGCAGAGGAGCATGAGCTCTTCGGCCTCGATGAGATCCAGGGTGGAGACAAATGCAAGGCGAGGAAGCGGTCGAAATTGCATATTGGCGGAAGACAGCTGAAGATCGCGATCAAGGAAGAAACAGGGGGTGCAGGGTCTGCTGTGAGCTCGAGGAGGTCCCTAGTCCGCAGGAAAGGCTTTCAGGCGCTTGTCGGAGAAGAAGAGGAGGCCGTTGACGACGATGACCGGACGCTGTCATCTCCCGCCAACAGGAACATCAAGACGTCTAAAATCAGCTCCGCCAGCTCCTGTCTGACCAGCGATACTTCACCTGCATGCAGTGATCCAGTCGTCTTCCCACCGCTGATGCTCCTGCAGACGGCTACTCTCCGCGAGCTCAAGTCCAACGCCGTCGGGCCGCGCAAGCCGCCAGGAGGCATCCTTGCCGCTCTACCTGGCGTTCAGACCATCCTCTCCACCATTATCGACCTGATCATCGGAGTCGAAGGGAGCACAACGGTCGTGTCGCTCATCAATCTGTCCCTCTTCATAGACTTTGCACAGATCATGCGCAACAATCTAAATTTCGTCGAGGCGAGCGGGCAGGCGGACATGTCGGCCGTCAAGCGCCTCTTGACAGTCACGATTCCGTCCCTGCTCGCGCTGGACTTTGTCTCTGTCTTCGGGCTCGCCATCGTCTTCTGGATCGCATGGATCGCATTGGTCGTCCTTGCGCTAGTATGGTATCTCAAGATGACATCTTCGTACAATTTTAATAGAGATGTGCAGGGCTTCGAAGGGCAGCCTGACATCTTCCGTTCACCAAAGAGGCGGAGCAAGGTCGCCAATGTCTTGGTGACGTTCCTGCTCATGGCATTTTACCTGCCCCTATCAAAGCTCTGCATCGATGGACTCGTGTGGGGCTCGGCATTCTGGCCGACCGATCTTGGGACTGGAGTCGCTGCGTCCGCGTCCGATTCGTCGATCCTTCGTTCGGACTTCTGCTATACAACGACGATGCGCGAAGACGACTTCAATTGGGCATGGATCATTCTCCCCCTCTCCAGCGCGGTCCTGATAATCTACACGGTCCTCTGGCCTCTGCATCTGCGCAGGGTGATACGGAGCATGGCTCCCACAGTCAGCACATACGACGAGCTAGGGATCAAGCGCGACCACAGCGAAGTCGACGCGACGTACAAGCGGCTGCTGGACAACGACAAGTCCCCGCTCCTCTACCTCTACAGCGCCTTCCGCTCCGCACACGCGACATATAAACCACTCTACCTTATCTTCTTCAAGTTGACGACGACAATGATCGTCGCCGTGGTCACCTCGCAGAATTGCCTCTGGAGACACGTTGATGCGCAGAAGATGTTGGTCATTGAGCAAGCGTTGCTGATTGGCCTTCAAGTCGTCCTCCTTGGCTTGCACCTTGCGACGCGCCCCTTTGTCGATGCCTCTTCGAACCGCTCAGAGCTATGCTCCCGCATCGCATACGTCCTGACCGCCGTCGTTGGGCTCTTGGTCGCGACAAAGGTCGAAGGGGAAGGTGTTCTGCACACCGGCATTATCTACACCATCCAAATCTTTTCCTACGGCACTAATTTCTACTTTACGTTCATTAAGCTGGATATCACAGCGCATTGGCTCAAGAGGTGCTGCAGCCGTCTGGACTTCTCAATCGATATTCACAACCCGGCCGTCGATCTGGAGAAGCACATTAAGCGCAGAGTATGGCAGGAGACTTTGTCCACCCTCCTCTTGACGGGCGAAGATTACCGCATGCCAGTGGGCAGCACTGTCACTTTTTCTCGCAGCGCGAAGTGGCCCCCCTCCTTACTCTTCTTCCAGGGCACGGCGGCAGAGAGGCACGTTGAGAACCTCAAGATCGTCACGGACATCGGTATAAAAGAGTATCGCAGGCAGCTGGAGAGGCTGAGAGGTCGAGAGGGGAAGGCACTCCGATTGGCAATGGACGCGATCCAGATACAATTTGCTGGGCCGGATAGCTACTATCGCCCACCGCAGGCGCCCTTCCCACAAGGCGGGACCACTTGGTTTGGCAAGACGTTCTTGATTCTATTCCCGCCAACGCTCGTGATGCAATACGACCAAGCCAGCCATAAGAGTGTACAACTCACACAGCTTGCCGAGCTTGAGGAATTCTTACGACAGAATCGCAGCGCAGAGGTCAAGACACGACGCATGGTCAGGATCGCCCTCAGGGCCCTCGACGGCCAGATTGTGAGGTGTCACTATGCAGCTCAACATCCACACGAGCGCAGTGGCCACAGAAGACTTGCGTGTTCGAGTCGCAAGGCTCCCAGAAATGTCCACGTCCGTACCATATATACTGAGGGGAGGCTGAAGGTGAAGGTGCAGGACTTCCCAGGATGGGAGTCGTACAACTTCTCTGCAGGCTTCGATGTAAGCATCACATTCTCCCGCGGTCGTCGCGTGGACGCAGAGGGCGAGACGTGGATCAATGAGTCGATCACAGTACCGGCAAGCGAGGCTTTCGGACTCGACGAGCATTGTCATCTTTCAAGACAAGTGAGTGACTTTCTTGCGCACAACGTGGGAATATTGAATCAGCGCAGACCCGCTATGATGGATCTTCTGCAGCGCTACCGCCGCAAATTTTACGATGAGGCCAAGCGCAAGGAGGAGGTGCTGGCGTATTCGTTCCTCGACACCATATTCGAGCAGAGTACTCTCTCGTTCAGCGAGCTAGAGAGATCTTTCGAGAAGGCAAGCCAGATCGAGGCAGTCCAGTCTCTGCCCAGTCGCTTCCCAGGCTCAATGACTGCCCTCTACGAGCGCATGGCGCAGATTCGCAAGAGCAAAGTGCACGCCTTCTGGTGGCTCTGGTGGGATGACCTATACCGTATGAATGCAGGAGACTACAAGCTCCTCCGCACACATCGGACGACGTTCGATCCACGTTGTTCGACTGCCATAGCATATCGGCCCGTGCCACGCGCGTTCTTGGAACAGATCCTCATGGAGAAGGGTCTGTGGAGGAAGGAAGGTGCAAGTGGATTCCTCAACAGAGGGCAGATCAACCGCTTGTACTTTACGCTGAACCGCATTGTCTTCGATCGAGGCCGCAGAGAGCGAGTCGCCCACCCAGAGGACGCACCGCCTTCATACGACTCCAGATACAGATCTGGGCTGGACAGCAAGCGCATAGAGGTCGGACAGGGCTCAAAATCCGCTCTTGTCGTGCCGCACGATGCTTCTACACTGGTAGGAATTCGGCAAGTGGGCAGTGCTGCGTCGGCAGCGGAGGATGTGTGGCCTGGCAGCCGCTTCACCGGCGGTGGAACAGCGGACGACAGTCTGGGTACGATAGTTGATCGACCGGCGTATCGCTGGGAGCAGCGTATGAATGGTCGACCACAAAGGAGCCTAAAAGGGAAGCTAAAAGATCGCTGCTTGCAGGCGCTGTCCTTGAAGCCGTTTGCTGTCAATCCTCACTTGGAGGGGTTGTGGGTATTTGTTGAGGAGAGAGATGGAAAGCTAGTGTTACAGGAATCGTAGCGAGCTTGAAGTGGGGAAGTCTCCCCCTGTTTTGTGCTCATTCTTCATCGTCGTTACCGCCCTCTCCGGCCAGATCGTCTCCTCCGCCATTCGTGCCATTAACGAAGTCGTCGTCATCATCACCCTCTCCGACCCCTTGCTCGTCATAGACATACTGAGAGTCGTCTTCTGCTCCGCCGATGAAGAGACCATTGCCTGCTCCAGTTTCATCAGCTCCAGCCTCGGCGGCCGCCCCACTTTCATCTTCGTAGGCTGCCTCATTCATTTGACCTGCGCCGCCAGCAACCTCATCTTCGGTCGGTGGGATGGGGATGTGGGTTGCTACGAGGTTCATGAGCTCTTCAATCTGAGACTCTGTGAATCGTTCGCCCAGCTCTTCGACGAGTGTATGCAGCTCCACCAGGCTCCTCGGGGCATTGTTGACCAATTGCAATCTCTCCGCCTTCGTCAAGGCCCGATCGGGCAAGATCTCGTCTGGACCCCTCTCCTCTGGGTTGTAGGTGGCTCGCTGCTGCTCCTCTTGTGCAGCGGCTGGCGGAGGCGAAGGACTTCGCATGCTGGGGTCGCCCTCGTCGTCTTTCCTGAATCTCTTGCCCTTGGTTCTTCCGCCTCCCTTCGTTGCCTTGCGCTTCTTCTCCTGTGCTGGACTGGCAGGAGCCGGGGGGTGAGATGATTCCCCTCCGCTTGCTGCTGCATCGAGGGGATCGAAGCCTCGCCTACCGCCGATGAAGCCTGCCGCTTTCAAAGCTACGTGAAAGCTGCGAATATGATCTGCTTGTTGATGGGCGGCGGGGCGGTAGGGTTGTGATAGAGTTGATAAGATCTGCGTAGGCGTGAAGCGAAAGCAGGGATGATGTTAGGTATAGCCCCACATATAGAGACACAATCTGTCTCTGCGCTTGCTTTTCCTCACCTCGTATTGTATCGTCCGCAGGTTCTGAGGTACCTTTGCCATCTTCTCCATCAGCCTCTTCTCTGCGTCATCTGCGTCACCTTCTGCTATGCGGGAGGATCGTTCGTTGCCCTGCTGCTGGTCTGCTTCCATTTCCTGCAGAAGAGAGAGGACCTCATAGTCGGACAGGAGTGCTGTACGAGCATTGAGGACCTTCATATTCGGGTGGGAGAGGGTGACGCGGAGGCGACCGTAATTGTGGTGGTATCGCAATAGGGATCGAGATCAGCCGTCCTTGTCCGAGGTGGTCTGTCTGGTCTACCATCGCCCAACGGAAGTGGCCCTGCTTCGCTTCTTCCGCTTGGCGTCGGCGCCAAAAAATCAGACGAGGCGAGGCTGCGCGGCGTTGCAGGCGGGGCGGAGAGACGAAGGGCGGATGAGAAGATCCCAATGGTCAGACAGGCACTTGCTCGTCTGACCTTTTACTTTCCTTCGATCATCGATCATCACCACCACCACCATCGCTCATCATGGTGTCTATGCCTTCCTCGTCGTCACTACGGCGATGCTTCCAGGGACTGAGTCTCTCCGCTCATGCTTCCTCATCGTCTCTGCGGCCCACCGCTGCTAGGTTCACCACCTCCTCTCGTCTCAGTGCTGACGAGGGTTCCAGCCGATCTACCCCTCCTGCTTCCGAGTCTTCCTCCCCCTCACCTTCCTCACCTGCCTCGTCATCCAAGCCTACCGACCCTGCGTCGGCTACTTCCCCTACGGAGCGTGCCCCCATCGGGCAGCCATCTCGCAGCAATCGTACAAAGAGTCAGCCAGAGGTGCTAGCAGAGGGAGTCACTGGAGAGTCGGGTGGACAGAACACCGCCAATACAGGCCCTCCTCGTCGTGTCGCAAGGTCGAGCGGCAGTTCCTCCTCCAGATCTGAGCCATCGCAGCCGATGAACTTCAGCGACCTTTCTGCGTTCCCGTCCATCCTACACATCCCACATCCCATCATCGACTCTGGGGAAGTCTTGACCAATGCCCCCTCGGCAGATTCACCCTACGGCTCCACAGTGACCATTTACAACAACCCCAAGCACTTCCGTCCATCGCCCATGTCTGCTTCGGACATTGCCCAGGGTGATGTAGCCACGACCGAGGGTGGTGAAGGCGATGCTGTGGAGAACATTCTCGCCGAGGAAACGCCCCTCGGAGCAGCCGAGATTCGCAAGTTCCACCGACACATCTTGGTCATGCGCAGAGTCGTGCGAATGACCGGTAAAGGAAAGATCCCATCCATGTCTGCCGTCATGGTGGTTGGCAATGGCAAGGGTATGGTTGGATTTGGAATGGGAAAGGATGAGAATGCTTCTACGGCTAGTCAGAAGGCGTACAAGGACGCGGTCAAGAAGATGGACTTCGTCAAGAGGTTCGAAAACAGGACCATCCACAGGAGCGTCGTGGGCGAGTGGGGAGCGACAAAGGTGCACATGAGGCCAAGGCCGCCAGGTGAGTTGCACGAACACGGAGGGGCTGAATGAGCACAACGATGGAGGTAGAGCTCAACAACCCCGTAACGTTTCCTCTTTTTCCTTCTCTCCCAGGATTCGGCCTGCGAGTCCCCCCTGCGGTGCACGCAATCGCCCGCTCTTCGGGCATCACAGATCTTTCTGCCTCTATCACCGGCTCGACCAATCCCATCAATGTGTGCAAGGCGGTCCTCTCTGCCCTCTTGTCCGGCGCAGGACCGACGGGCATGGGCGATGGACTGGGCGGGAGTGCCAGGAGGCAGGATCTGGGTGAGGGAGCCAAGACGTTGGAGGATTTGGAGATTGAGAGGGGCAGGAGGTATAGAGTTGTGCGGTCGTAAGGCGAACGAGGGAGCCTGGTGGACGTTAAGCATTGGTGGACGTTCAGAGCTAGGCAGCTTGAAAATGTGAACCACTTTGTAATGGCAGCATCAAAAGTGGAACGATGAGCGCAGTCTCCAGTCAGAAGAAGACAAGTGGTGACTGCCTGATTGAGAGCATGAGAGAAAACAGACCTTCCAGTCTGGACGGTCTCGAAGCACCTTGAACCAATGTGAGATTGCGATGACAGCTCCGACAAAAAATTTCTTCAATGCTCTTTTGTATTTCTCTTGTAACATCTCTTCCACCTCATCTGTGCACTTGTCTCCCCTCCGGACTCCCAACAGGCACTGCCTCTCCCGCCTTCAATCCCTCTCTCCGTTTCACCACTTCCGTACATCTCCAAAGTTCCGTCAATGCACCTCCACACTTCTTTTCCATGACCTCATCGCTCACTTCTTCTGAAGCATTGCTCTTTAAACAAGAATCAAAGGCATTGATTTGTGGAGCGCATTGGGACTTGATGGCGGAGAGGAGGGGAATGGCAGAGGAGGCGCAGGCTGAGAGGGAGGCTTTTTGGGGTTCGCAGAGAGAGGGGTTGCTTGGGTTGGAGAGGATGCAACTAAGGGAGAAAGGGAGGGAGCAAGCGAGCAAGGAGGAAGCAAGATTGTCAGAAGAGCGCTGTTGAGATAGAGCTGAACTGCTTTAGGTTGGCTCACTTTTGGAATGCGTCTGAGGGTGGGAGAGGGCGGTGCGCAGAAAGAAGGTCAGGTCAGCGATACATCTTCGTGGACCCGTACCTCGTTGCTTTCCTCCACTCACGCAGCTCCCTGCCACAGCTCTTTGCCACCTTTTCCATCGAGTCTTCCATGGCGTGACTGTTGCGTGTGTAGTTATCGGAGCTAGTGTGTGTGTGTGTGTTCTAGAGACGAGGAGATGGTCTAGCGTAGTCGAATGCTGAGCGTGCGTTCCCGTATGTACAAGCGTAGGAAGATCGTCGTCTCTCTCACTCTCTCTCTGTCCGTCAATCGGCCTTCGCAGCCGAATGAGCGAATTCTGCCTCTTCCACTCGATGTGTGTCTCTCCACTTTTTCTTTTCTCTCGCAGCCAGCCACAGGCCGCGCCACGCCACGCGCCCCGGCTCGCCGGCAAAATCGGGAGTCCGGATGGATGGAGGAGGGATGGATGTCCGCCGGGTGTGGGGTAGATTAGAGAGTAGCAAGGCTGACATCCCCCGAGCCGCACATCAGTCAGCCTTCTTCCTTTCTTACCAGTCCTTGCCCCTCCTCCTTGGTTCATACACACAATGTCGCAGCAATTGCCAGACTTGACTATCAACTCGCTCTTTAGCCAGGAAGGCAAGGTGGTGCTGGTCACAGGAGGCGGTACGGGTCTGGGTTTGATGATGGCTACTGGATTCGCTCAGAATGGGGCAAAGGGTGAGCAGGGCAGTGCACACACCTGTGTACCCACGATGGATCGACTGAAGCTGATCTTGTGCTGAACACCCTCTCCTGCGCCGCACCTCCCCCCAGTGTACATCGCCAGCCGCAAAATGTCAAATTTGGACAAGGCCGCAAGTGCTCTGAATGCCTATCACGCCGGATGCTGCGTGCCCATCACTGCCGACTTGACCAATAAGGCTGGCTGTGATGCTTTGGCTGCCAAGCTGAACGAGCTCGAGCCCAACGGTCTCGATGTCCTGGTCAATAACAGCGGTGTCAGCTGGGGCAGTCCGCTCGAAGACGTGGATGAGGTGCGCGGATGGGACCGCGTCTTTGCCGTCAATGTCAAGAGCATCTTCTACCTCACAGTAGCCCTGCTGCCTTTGCTCAAGAAGAAGGCGAAAGACGAATTCCACCCTGCAAGCGTGATCAACGTCACGAGCATCATCGCTTCGATACCCATGGCCTACATGCCTACGGCACAAAAGGGACAGGGAGCCTTCAGCTACGCGGCAAGCAAAGCAGCTGCTGCACACCTGACAAGGACAATGGCTGTGCCACTGAAGAAGATGCACGTGAATTGCAATGCCTTGGCACCAGGATTCTTTCCCTCTAGTGAGTGCGAATAGAGCAAGGGCAAATGTATGTATGTTTTGATCATCCAGTGGCTCAGACAAAGTCTCACCTCTGCTTCACATACAGACATGACGGCTGGAGCTGGAATCGACCCTGCTGGCTCAGACCCTTCCAAGAAGCCCACAGACCCGCTCTCCCGCTCCTCACCCAACGGCCGGCTGGGCGGTCCTCGCGATATTGCTGGAGCAGCACTGTTGCTGGCCTCGCCCGCTGGTACGAATCTCTCTGGTGTGACCATTACGTCGGATGGTGGATTCAGCTTGTCGCCAGTACAGAAGCTTCCAAAGGAGCTGAGGGAGTTGTATGAACCTCCTCCAAGGTCGAAGTTGTAGAGGTGCGATTGCCTCGAAGGATCGGGACAGTCGGGGACTTGACTGCACGACAAAGTGGCCGTACCTGTAGTCGGGCTTCCATTGCATCAAACGACATTCAGGGGCCATACGGAGATCCGTTGCACATTGCTGTAAGATCAACTCATCAGGGCTTCACCGGCTTCTCAGCCCACTTTACTGCCATTGCCGCGTGGGCATCCTTGTTAGCTTCCTCCCCCACTCCATGTGTGAAGTTCTCCGATCCCAATCCTCCGTACTCCGCCCAAGCCCCTAGGCGCCCACCCCTCTTCGGAGCTTTGCACACGTTGTGCTGATCTGGTCTCCGCTGCCATGCTTTTTCTTCCTTCCCGAGTCGGGCCGCAGAGCGGTAGAGGGCTTAATACACCGTCGGCATTGCCGAGTTGAGCAGATGAGCAGATGATCGAAGGTCGAGCTTAATCCTTTACCAGTGTGAAGCTGTGGCCTGACTTGTGGGTGTGGGTGGGTGCAGGCGACTAAAGGGGGGTCCATTCGAAACCAGTCGACGTCATCTGCAGCCCTTTGGCTTTGTTCCGACCGAGGGAGCGGAGCCGCGCAAGCCACACAATCGATGGAGCAGACACCGCCAGGCAGAGGCAGAGGCAGGCAGGGCAGCCCTCGGCGGGTCGGAGGCAAAAGGTCCCAACCACGACGATGACCACCAACCAACCACGCACTCACTCACACCTTCGCTGCCTCCTGCTGCTTCTTTCCTCTCCCCCTTGTCACACTCGCTCGCTTGCTCGCACCTCATCCCCTCCCCCAAACAACCAGTAGTGTAGAGGCTCGAGGTGCCCCTCTCCTTGGCTGAAGTGCGCGACTGTGAGCAGACGCTGCCACAAAGGAATCAATCTGGACTTTGCTTTGCTTTGCATAGAAGTACTTGCAACGCAGGTGTGCTCGTGGGAAGCTTAGATAGAGATCTCGAAAAGATCAGATCGATTGTAGTCTCTACTTTCCTCACCTACACACATCAGCATCATCAAGATGGCTTCCGTGAGTGACCTCGTCCCAGAGGTCCGACACAGATCTTTCTTTGAGGTGCGGTTTCGCTTACGATCCCTTGCTCTGCCACCTTGTCCTCCTAACTGCAGGCTGCTTCTACAACAACAACAACAAAGCCCACAGAGGCAGTGACTCCTCAGGCCGAGGCCGAGAGTTCGACTGTCCCTAGCTTCGACTCGACGATTGAGAGGGAAGTCTTTGATCAATTGCTGGAGATGGACGATGAGGACGATAGGACCTTTTCGCAGGAAATTGTTTGGAACTTCTTTGAACAGGCTACCTCCACCTTTGCCGACATGGATACAGCTCTGTGAGTACGACGGGTAGTTGTCTAAGCATTGAAAGAGGTGTATCCATTGGTTCTCACACAGCCCACCCACTTCTCCTATCGCCCCCTCCACTCCTTCCTTTTGCCATGGTCTTGCCACATGCCAGAGAGGAGAAGGATCTGGCAAAGCTCTCCACACTAGGACACTTCCTCAAAGGCTCATCAGCAGCAGTGGGAGTGGCTCACGTGAGGGACCTGTGCGAAGCAATGCAGCATCTCGTAAGTAGATCAGAAGTGATTCAGGTCGGTCGAGGGGATGGTAGCTCAACAGGACATTGCAATTCTCCTTCTCCACAGGGCAAGCTCCACGACGAATCAGGGGTAGAGGATATCAGCCGTGAGGAAGCTCTGAGTAAACTTCAGACGACCATCAAGGACGTCAAGGCACGCTATCAAGACGCCGAGGCTGTTCTCAAGAAGTTCTACGAAGACGAGGGCATGCCAGGTGGACCTGATGGAGCTGACGAGGGAGAGGAGGAGGACGACTGAAGAAGACGAGCGGACAAGCAGTGGCGCGGTGAGAAAGTTGAGGAGGAAGAAGACATGCAAGCGGCCAGTCCTGTACAGGCCAGGCCGGGCTGGTGAGACCGTTCAGCGACTCCTCACTGGTTTGCTCTTTATGACCTTAGATATGCCCAAAGAGAGGGGGAGGGAAAGATGCAGAGTGGCGGAGGATGTTGAGAGTTGCTCATCCTATTTCGCCTACTCACACACAAATTCAAAGAATCCTGCATACCCCTCCTTGCTCTCCGTTGCTCATGGTGCTACAAAAGACTCTGCTGCGTCTGTCCTGTACTGACCACTTTCAATCTCAAAAGCAAGTCCTCTCCGTCGTGCGCGAGAGGTGCCGAACAGCTGAGCCTGCTCGGTCTTCGCATCGCGTGGCTATGTCTTTCTCTCTTTCTCTCTCTCTCTCGTGTCTACTACCACCATTACGCACAGCTTTCCCCAGAGTGACGCTACGGACAGAAGACGGAAAGTAGCTCTGTGAATAATTTCTTCGCCTCTGGTGGTCATGCTAGAATTTTGTAGACGAGATGACAGGGTCCAAGGCGCGGCGCTTCTGAATGCTCTTGAAGACGTGGTGAGAGGGCATGAAGTGCTACAGCCTGTTATGGCTCTAGAACAGAGAGAGACGTGAAGGTACTCAATGACAAAGCTTGAACCGCCTTACCTGCCTTAGGCCAGAAACCTTGTCATGCAAGACTCTTATCCCAAGACATCCACTACTTCTGCAAGATTGAAAGTGACTGAAAAGTTGCATTACTAGTACTACGAACACCTCTGCTCATACATCATCAAACACCGTGGCACTATCGACACTAATTCACCAACCACCTCCACTCCTCTCGGCGGGAATAGTCCTCCTCTGCTCCCTCCTGTCCGACTTCTCCCTAGCAGCAGGTCCAATTGGGTCCGGACTCGAGTCTAGCTCCTTGACAATGTCAGCAAAGGCATTCGAGAGCTTAGCGTCCTTCATTGCGCTGGCCACATCGAGGAAATTCTCAAAGGCGAGGGCGCCGGTACGAGAAAAGTCGACTTCGTCTACGATGCGCTGCAGAGCTCCGTCGTCCAGTCGCTCATAGCCGAGGTGGGAGAGGACCTGCTTCAAGTCCTCTGCGTCCAGTCGTCCGTCCTGGTTCACATCCAGACGCTCGAACTTCTCACGAAGGGTACGCAACTCGTCCGAGTCGAATTGGGCGCGCGAGAAGCCCGTGGCGAGCTTGTCCTTTGAGTCGAGGGAAGATTCATCCAGGTGGCTCACGCGGGGCTTCTTGATGGCAATGTCCCTCAGTTCAGACAGGGTGAGCTTGGAAAGCTCCTCCCTGCGTCCTGGCTGGAGACCCATGGACCCGAGGAACTCAACAGAGTTGGAGAGCTCGGCCTGCTGGCGCTTGGCATCCCAGCCTAGCTCCTCGGACATGATCTCGATGATGCGCGGCAGGGTCTGGACGGTGGCTTCTGTGTTCAGGAAGCTCAACCTGGAGCGACGAGCGATAAAGTCGGGAACGGTGGCAGCGTACTCTGATCGGCAGGCGTAACGTACCTCGGCTTCGAGGTAAGGGTACAGGGGGTCTAGTCTCTTGCCGTGCACTGGCCAGCGTTGTCCAGTGGGCTCGGCAATGGAGCAGACGGACCAAGCGCGGTCTCCGTATGTTGCAGAGAGGTGCTTGGCGACGTCGGTCTCGAGACCGAAGCGCTGCAGGAGCTTGACGTACATGGTCTTGCTCCAGCCGTGGGAGCCTAGGAGCTTCGTCGACTTGGTCACACAGCCCCTCAGTGGCTTCAGCTTGTACTCGTCGATGGCGCGATCCACCGTCTGCTCGGCCATCTCTCTGTAAGTGGTCCACTTGCCTCCAGCAATGGTCAGCAGACCAGACTCGCTGACGTTGATCATATGGTTTCGCACAAGCGACTGAGTGTCCTTGGCATTCGGGTCTCGTACTAGCGGTCGCAGACCAGACCAAGCAGAGAGAACGTCACCCCTTCGAACCTTGATGTCTGGGCTGAGGTAATTTCTCACCTCGTCCAAGATCCACTGGATCTCCTCCTCCTTCGGGTAAGGGTGAGCCTCAACGGGGGCAGCAGTGTCGGTGGTTCCGGCAATGGTGTTTCCCTGCCATGGCAGGAAGAAGATGACTCGGCCATCTGAAGTCTGAGGGTCAATGAGACCCATACCCCTCGGTGAGTAGTAGCCGGGGAGAGTGATGTGTACACCAGACGACGGGGCAACAATCTCTTGCGCGGTAGGTACGTCAAGCTTTCGAACGGCGTCACTAAAGGGGCCAGTGGCATTGATGACACCCTTGCACTTGACGTCCCACTCGTCGCCGGTGAGAAGATCCTTCATCCTGGCACCACAGATTTGAGGCTCCTTCTTTCCAGGCACGTTCTTCTTGTGAAGGGCAGTGACCTCTGTGTGATTGGCAATGACTGCGCCATGGTGGACAGCAGTGAGGGCCAGGGCAATGTTCATCCTCGTATCGTTGTGCTGACCATCGTAGTAAACGACGGCTCCGGCCAGACCTTCGCTCTTGAGCATGGGGAAAGCCTCCATGGCCTTGCCCCTGCTGAGAACGTAGGAGCTCTCCATGTTCTCTGAGCCAGCCAGCATGTCGTACATCTTTGTACCGGCCCAGTAGTAAGGAATCTGCCAGTATCGGTAGACAGGCAGCATGATGGGCAGGTGCTCAGACAGGTAGGGGGCGATGTGTAGGAAGGTCTTTCGCTCGTGGAGAGCCTCCCTGACCATCTGGTATTGTCCGTAATCCAGCTCGAAGACGGCCTTTTGCAGGTATCGCACACCACCGTGAATCAGCTTCGTCGACTTTGACGAGGTACCTAAGAAGTCAAGTAGGGCATGGTGAGATGAAGAGCCGTCAGCCTTGTTCGAATTTTGCCTCCTCGGACCACCCTCGATCAGCTCTACTCACCAGCTCCGAAGTCGTCTCGCTCTACCATTGCAACGCTGAGCCCCCTCGTGGCGGCATCAACAGCAACACCGGTTCCAGTAGCACCTCCACCGATGATGAGCAAATCGAATCCATCCTCATCCTGCTGCTTTGCCTTCTCGAATTGCAGAGCCTCCTCAGTGCTGTCTTTTCTAGCCGAAGGCGAGGGCGCGGAGCTGACAATGTCTGCTGCATTCTGCTTGAGTGACTCATCAGCGCCAGTCGTTCCCTTTGACGAGGCCGGACGAATGGACTTGGTGGAGGACTCCTTGAGAGCCTGGATCATCTGTGAGCGAGAGGGAAGAGCCCAAAGAGGTGAGGGGCGGGCATCTCCGGGTACTGTTGCGGGAGGGGCATCGGCGAAGAGGGTCGAAGGGAGGAAGGCAAGAGAACCCAGCAGCACTGTAGCGCCTGCAGCGTAACCGGCATAGGTGGAGTAGCTCTTGGAGCCACCTGAAGATGACGAAGAGGAAGAGGAAGCCAGTCTGCTCTGTTGGTAGACCGACCTTGTGGAAGAAGACGAAACAAGACCAGAGGGCGAGGTGAATCGACCCCGGGTCAGTTGACCGCTGCTGCTCCTAGCCGACGAGCGCAACATCATCATAGTGAGCAAAGTGCGGGAGAGGGAGACCTCGACTGGATAAGACGAGGTGAGTGGCGGTTTGTAGGAAGGATGGAGAAGGTAGGAAGATGGAATTGGTGGAAGAATTAAAGTAGAGGTCACAACGTCGTCCCGGGTGCTTTGAGCCCTGCTGTTCGCCGCTTCCGATACTTTGTGCGGCGCCTTGGCGGCCCGGCGACGACGTTTTCAGTGACGTCGGGCGCGCAGATCCCCGAAGGCGGAAGACACTCGGTGAATTCACGTCGCCGAGCACCGATGCCACGCGACCACACTTGGCCACCCGACCGCCGGCTCAAACTACTCGACGCGCCATTGGCTTGGCAACCACTCTTCTGTAAGCCTAGTGGCAGAATCTCAATGCCTTGAAAGCTCACACAATGGTCACACAGGGGACAAGATGCTCGAGTGTAGATTGAAGCAGATGCAGCCCCCACAGTGACATGCCGCTTCGTCAGCCAGAGCTCTTCCAAGTCCCCCGCATCGGACAATCTCCTTTGTACAGTCCCTTACGTTCTTCTCGCTACCTCTTCACAATCTCAAGCCGAAGGAGCAGCAGAGGCTGCAGCTGCCTTCTTTGCTGCCTTCTTACCGGCCTGGCGGACGGGTTGCTCCAGCATCTTCTTGAGAGCCTGAGTAGATAAGAGAGGGAAGGAAAGACGGTTAATGCGGTCAATATCGAAGACTTGTCGCTCATGGTTAACAGCTATCGCCACATCGAAGGTCCAACTCACCTCATCCTTGACCTCCTTCTCACTCTTGACAACCTCAGCCGAGTACCAAGAAGGTGCTGGTGTGACTCTGATGGCTCCTTTTGCGCTGACAATGGCCGTGAAGAAGAATTGAGTGGTGACGGCTCCTGGGGTACCATCGTACGAGACCTCGAAGCTGGTGATCAAGTTGTGGTTCACACATTCCCGCACACCCATCGTTCGCCCCCTTTCAGAGTCCTCCAAAAGTCCCAATTGGAAGGGGAAGGCACCGGCCCTCTTCTGGATCTCGGAGAACACCTTACGCGAAGTGGCCATCTTCAGCAGGTAGGTCGAGCCGGTCTTCTTGTAAATGGTTGTGGCAGAGTCATCGGTCTTGGTCTTGCCATCCTTGCCGGTTGTGACCGAGACATCAACTGCGAAAACATCGCCCTCTTCAAGCTTCGAGGCATCGGGGCGTTGTTGTGGGTCCTGAGGAGGCGGCAAGCGCAGCGTGCGATCGCAATAAGTTCAGTGGAATTGCTTCTGGTCAATGTCAGACTGCCTTGACTCACAGGGTTGAGAACGATCTTCTTCTTGCCATCAATGACATCCTTGTCGACCTGGTTGGTCTGCATGCCCTCCACTACCTTGACATCAAACTCCTTGATTGCCTTCTCCACCTCCTTGGCGACTTCAGTAGTGATGGTACCAGGCTTAAGCAGCCTGATAGCAGCCTCAGCTCCAACATAGGCTGCCTTGATAGCATCTGCGGTCACGCCCGAGACGGGCTTGGCAGACGAGGCACCGACGACGATGGTCTCAGCTGCAATGGCGGGGTAGCCATCGATGTGGGAGCCGAGCTGAATTTTGACAACATCGTCAGCCTTGAGGGCCTGAGAGTACGACTCAGAAGTCGAGAGAGGGGCGTTGTTGCAGATGATGCTAGCAGTTTGGAGACGAGTAGTGTTGTTAGAGATCAGAGCATGAATGCGGTCGTCACATACGTAAAAGACTCACTGGTTGATGGAGATGGTGGTCGGGAAAGCAGAGCCTGAGGGTCATGCAAGAGCGGTTTTGAGCGTCACATCTTTCAACTGGCACGGTACAGGTCTCTTTATCTCTTCCCTGTTCTCCCACACTCACCCTTTGCCATCTTCTTGTCACTCTTGTACACCGATCCAGTGCCCTCCTTAACGGCATCGTCTCCGACCTTGCAGAGCTCTCCTACGGTAGCCCCTTCCTTTGCCGCCTGAATCACAGCCTTGATAGCCTTTGAGGTGATCTCTCCTGCCGTCTTGTACTTGGCTGGATGGGTCGAAATGAGCAAATGGTAGAGCAAGGCAAGGTAGATACAGAGTTCGGATGGTTAGTACACTGACCGTGCCGGGATGCAGGCTGATCACTCCTGAACTCACTCAGGACGACATCGAAAGCAGCAGCTGCCTTGGCAGCGGCATCGTCAGCGGGCGCCGTAGTGGTAGGGTTGGTGTCTGCGGGTGCGCTCATGATGATTGTTGATATGGTGTGGATGTATGGTGGCCCGGCAAGAGAAAATAAGGCCCCTCGGTAGCGAGCGTCAGTCGCAGGAGAAGATCTTCTCAAGCGAGTGGAGTACCAAGTCACGTGCGCGTCAGCCATCCCTGCCACCTGGGCCACCGGAACGGAACCCCGTACGACGATATAATTGGTACTGGGCAAATGTTATCAGACGTGTGCAGGGGATCGTATCATTGCAGCCATGTCGTCGATTGTCACCAACACAGACGTCCTGAAGATGTGTAGCAGACTGGCTTTCGTTCGTGGCGAATTGGCGTCCTCAAAGCCACCGATCGGGACATGAGGATATTTCAGGTCGATGCTATATCCTCCTGTCCGCTCAAGAATCCATCTACCCACGCCGCAAAGCTCTCGCTGACGACGAGTTTGTTGTGTTCGGCTGCGCCCTGGTTCTCAAGTGGGGTGACCTTTCCTTCGTCCCCGTCACGATACTTGCCTGTCTTGACAAGAGCTCTCTTGATGTTTAGGTCGGCCGGCAGAGAGTCTGGTCCCGCTTTGAGAATTGAAAGGTCTTGAGTGGCATCGTCGCCGACCTGACGGACGTCGTTGAGGGCCATGAGCAAGTCAGAGAAGCCGAAAACATGCTGATATTACTTTTTGTCAATCACTCACGATCCAAACTTCATCCTTACCATTTGCGCCAACCTTTGCATCGGAGCTCCATCCCATTCCCTTCAGACATTCCTCGAAGAAGGTCCACTGAGGCTTGCCGACCGTCACTGTGTTCTCCCTGCTCAACCCAGCCCCTTCTTCGAGAGCGGCCAGGAAGGCTCCCGGCCCCAGGCTGAGAGGTTGCTTCTGTGCTCCATCTTTGCCTTTTCCACCCGGCCGATGGTACAACGCTCGATGCGTGCCAATCAGCCGAACAGTTTTAGATCCGTACTCGCCAGACAGTAGACGAAAAGCTTCATCGAGCCATTCATACCGCATGAGACCTGGCGCCAGACCTATCACAATGGCATCGCATGCTCGCAGCTTCTGTTGCTCCTCAACGTTCAGCTCGCTCGGCAGACGATCCGCCTTGGCATGAAACGCTCCTGGCAAGTCTTGAAATGGCTCTTGAGCGGACTGAGAGAGAAGCAGCAGCGGGGCGGAGCCGTTCGAGGTGGAGGCAAAGAGGCGGCGAGCTGCGTCTAGAGAGGTGAACACGTCTTCTGGAGGGATTAGAGCAGCCGGGAAGGACATGCTTCGTAGCCGAGCAATCAGGGAAGACGAAGACTCTTTTGACGAGTTGCCTGGGAGACCGTTTGGGACGAAGAGTTCGGAGCCCTACGTCAGCCCATGAGAAGCAACTTAGCTTCACTGCTTTTCTCAGGCCTGGGCAGTACTCACTGCAGAAGCGCACTTTGAACTTCTCTCCACCCTGACTTGCCTTCTGCAGCCTCTCTAGGGCAGCGAGTGCACCAGGGGTGGGCGTGTCACCTACATGAATCGTTCCATTGAGATCAAGCAGGAGATACTTCATCGCGCGAGCCAAGCGAGGCGCAGAAGGTGGCATTCGAGAACCAAGGGGTGCGGAGAAGGAGGAAAGTCGGCAAGCTCGGAAATTCCGTCAAGTGGTCCAAGCACCGGCATAGAAATGCGGGGAACCGGGAAAGTGGCAGCCCGGAGTAAAGGCTCTTGCAAGTGCTCCTTCCCTTTCCACTGCGAACCATTGCGTACTTTCTCTGAATCCCTACTCGTCTGTGTAGCTCCTACTCTCCTACGCTCTACGTTATGTCTTCCCCTGGTGCTCCGCCTGCTTCCTTCTCGCCCACATCTGCTCCCATCTCCCTCTCCTTTCCCTCTCCGCACATTGCCCTCATCACCCTCAACAACCCCACGAAGCTCAATTCGCTCAAATCTTCAGACGTCGCTCATCTAGTCGATGCTCTAGAGTGGGTCGCTTCTCAGCCGGATGAGGCGATTCCTATCTGCGTCCTCACGGGCAAAGGTCGCTTCTTCTCTGCCGGCGCAGACGTCCACGACCCTTCTCGCCAGCCTCCGCCAGAGGCGGCTAACAACCCCCGCATTCTCAAAGACTTCTACACCCAGCGTCTAGCTTTGAGCAATGCTCGTCTGGCTCGGGTTCTTTCGACCTTCCCCAAGGTGCTAGTGGGCGCCATGAATGGCCCTGCAGTGGGCATTTCCGCTGCAGTGCTGGGACACTGCGATCTGCTCTATACGCTACAGGACTTCTGGCTGCAAGTGCCCTTTACCCAGCTCGGTCTCGTCTGTGAGGGACTGACTAGCACGACTTTCATCCAGCGTATGGGTCATGGTAGAGGTGTTGAATGCCTATTGGAAGGCGGAAGGGTACCCGCAGCCGAATTAGAGAGGAGCGGCTTCATTACGAGAATCTTGGCACCACCCCCGACTGCCTCGAATGGTCAGGACGGCACTCCACCAATCCTCAATGCCGTGCTAGAAAGACTGGAGCAGCGCCTCTCTCCACCTAGTATTGACCCTTTTGCTTTAGCCTACTCGAAGCGCCTCATCCAAAAAGCTACGTACGAGAGCTTGGGCAGCGAGGAGGCCAATCAGGCTGAGCTGAGAGGAGCAGAGATCGTCTTCACGAGCGGCAAGCCCGCAGAGAGGGTGAGTAGACGCGACTCGCTCCCTTCTGAAGAGCCGATAGAGCTGATCGGTTTTGCACTGCGCCCTTCCATCAGTTCGCGGCCATTGCGGGCGGCAAGCGGCACAAGCTGTAAGCTCATTGCCGGGCACCAAGCCATGTTTACGCCTTCGGTCTCGTCTGTATCAATACGACACCCTTTTCTCTTCGATGACCTGCGAACAGCTGCTTCTCGCACCAGTCTAGGAAGCATTTCTCTAAGTATTGCTGTGCGCGACCACAGTGCGGTACCTAGCGACGTGGGGTTCTCTCACCCTCGGAGCAAAGGCTGTCTCTCCCCACTCCGGCCTGCCTCCCTTCCATCCTCTTCGTCCGTTCCCTCCACGACCTCGTCCCGTGCGTCTCGATACAGAACGTAGTGCTGTGTCATCAAAGCCACATCGAATGTGAGGGAGAGGAAAGAAAGCCCACTGCAGCAGGAGGCGTAGGAAGGAGGCATGTGTCAGGCTCGGAGCAGCGGATCATCTCAATACCAATGGCTCTATACTCACAGCTTGCCAAAGTCCCCGGTCACAGCACTCCAATCCTTGTTGATGATCCCTGCATCGAGCAGCAGCTGGCCGAGACTGAGCACCCCTCCGGTAAAATCGAGGAGTATATTCGAGATGCTGAATCCCCTCGTGCTCTTCCTCTTCCAGTTGAGCGTGAGCTGCGGGAAGTATTTGACGAGAGTGACGTAGAGCTTGACATAGGAGAGGAAGTTGACAAAGTCTAGAGGTTGGAGGGAGAAGGGGTGGCTTGGGAGGAAAGAGAAGAGGAAGGAGAGGAAGATGGCTACTAGCAGAGAGATGAGGGACAGGGTCGTGAAGCCCGACAGCCTCCGGTAGGGTCTCCGAGGGAGAAAGTTACTCCGTCCATTGCCTCCGAGGTCTTCGGATTCGCTAGCGGTGACTGTGTTTCCACTGCTGTACCAATAGCTCTGCCCTAGCTGGATACTGGCGAGAGTGAAGGCATGCGCCGCAAAGATGGCGTCATTCCACCTCACCACATTCTCCCTGCCTCCATGTCTTTCCCTGTACTCGTGTTGAATCTCCCTCGACAGAAGAAAAGACGCATTGTAGATCGTATAGCAGAGAAACCCTAAGACGTTCAGATGGGCAAAGTCTTGCGAGAAGCCCTTTACGGAACCTCGTGAGTAGTTGAGGAAGATCTGCGGGTAGAAGGACAGGGACCAGAGGAGGGTATAGACCCAGCCTATTGCCTGCGAGAAGAGTACCAGAGCAGACATCTCAAACATGACGAGGCTTGCTGATGAGAGTGTCTAGCTGGCTGGTCTGAAGATCGATAGACTATGGCGGAAGGTATGGTGCGGGATATGAGAGATTGCCGGAAAGGGGCCAACTTCCTGCAGCATTTCTCCACGCCTCCACACATCCTAGGGTGACTCAAGTAAGGCTTGGAAGGTGCCACCAATCACGACATCGCTGACTCGAGTGTCTCCGTCGAAGAGCTGCATTGGTAATCGTGGACATGCTAAAAGTACATAAGGCAGAGCAGGATATGCAAGAGACTGAACAGGAGACGCGACTCTTTGAGTGGAGCGTCGTCATATGTGTGGGTGAATGGAAATGCCTGTCGGCAAAGGATGCTGGGGACGGAGCGAATTGTCAGAGACTGCTTCGACAAAGGAAATCTATGCTCTTTGATTCAGTGGCGGCATGGATTTGTGGAAGAGAGCGGCCGTCTCAGCCTACTTGCTTGTGCCGCCTTCTGCCATCTTGCAAGCGACCTGCGCAAGACGAGGAGGGACGAGCATAAGGTCAGTGACAGCTTCGAAAGTAGCTTTTTCAGCACGAGGAACTGGTCAGGATGGCAAGCATTGTTGGGCCCCGGGATTTGCTGATACTGGTCACGACAATGTTTCTTTCCATCTCACTCCACGTCTCTACTCACAATCTTCAGCCTGTCTACTTCAATTTCTTCTCCATTGTCCAGCTTGACCTTTCCACCCTGGACGTTGAACGTCCACACCTCATCACAGCTATTGTAATTCCTCAAGTGACCCTTGACTGTCGCCTTGCTCTTGACCTTGGCAGATAGAGTCTCGGCAATGGAGCGGTCGAACTGGTTGAGCACTCGGATGGCTAAGAGAGGGTTGATGTGACCGGACTGGATTAGCGTGTCGAGAGAGGCTGTGAGCTGCTCTCCGATGCTGATCCGGGAAGTAGAGCAAGAGGGTGCGGCTGTGCGTCAGCCTGCCAGGACTCCAGAACAAGATGAGAGCTCGCGGGGCGGACAAGTCCGTAGCGGCAAGCATGGCATCATCGCCTTCCCCGGCTCACATCCGCCCACCGCGACATCATCTTCTCCTTCATTCGTTCATTCCAGACACCCACCTGCTTCTTCTATAGAGCTCATAGTAGTTCTGACCATTGTTGCCGCCCTTGTTGCCAGACATTGTGCTCAGCAGAGTCTACGTAGAAAGAGTCCTTCAAGAGCCGGTCGTAAGTTCTCTTCTCTGTCGCTGGCGTTCCGAAGCACAAGAATAGTACTTTCAGCAGGCAAGAGTCTCACTTCTCTACGTCGCGCAGAATGACGTCGAGGAACGATGTCGGGCGTATGGCAGTGGATACAAGGTGTGGTCTGGTGGACAGGGCTGATTGATACGAGGTAGATTGACTCTTGTTGCCTGTCGGCGTCCTGCGCGGGCAATTTCATATCTGGCGCCACTTCCGCCCCGAGCGGTCCGTGAGCCAAGCGTCATTCCTACCAAAGCCCACCGCTCACGAACACCCTAGCTGCTGTTTCGCGATGCCACCGTCTCCGTTCCCCCGACCTTCGACCTCTCAGCTTCGCTCTTCGGCGCCAGAGTACAAGCGCCTACTAGCTGTCAGGGCCAAGCAAGGCGGCCCGCCCAAGGAGCGAACGAATCTTGTGGAGCTTGATGAGCAGCTGTGGGGACGTGGAGAGAGCAGTATCAGCGGCAGATTGGGAAGCGCAGAGCATGGAGAGAGTGCCGAGCTGAGTCTTGAGGACCTCAAGAAATGCATGACATGGAAGCTGGCGGTGAGTACAATTGGACAGGGACGGGGCATGAGTCAGGCCGAGATGGTTCGCGGCCAGCCTCGGTGCTCATCAAGCCTCGGCTGGAGTCGAGCGAGTCGATGTTCAGGACTGACAGGAGCTTTCCCAATCTACCTGAAAGCGCGGCAAATTTCGTCCTACTCTGCTTCCCCTGCTCTCTTCCAATTCGCCAGATCTAGTCGCAAATACTACACGCCAAGCTTTCTCCCAATATGCGGCCACCCCAGCAGGGGCGCTAGCCTCTCTCAAGACGTTGTGCGTCCTGAAGGGAATTGGGCCAGCAACAGCATCACTACTGCTATCTCTTTACAGCCCTGAGACAGAGGCATTCATGAGCGACGAAGCTCTTCTCTGTCTTGACTGTAAGGTGGGGTATACAGAGAAGGACTGGAAAGGCTTCCGCGAGAAGGTGACTAAGGCTGTGCAGGAGGGCAAGTGGGAGAGTGCAAAAGAACTGGAGAAGGGATGCTGGGCATGGGCTATGAGAGTTCAGGGGGGAGAAGAGACCAGTGGCGAGTTGCGAGAGGCAAAGCAGGACCTTCCAAAGACCTCATTAATTCAGAAGAGCCAGAAGAGCACCAGCAGCAAGGTATCGCAGAATGCGGAGCCCGAAAAGGGTCGCGGGAAACGTACATCACTGCAAAAAGCATCAGAAAGCGAAGAGAGCATGACAACAAAGACGCAGACGGTTGACTCTGCTGTGGACAAGGCGAAGCGCAGACGGACGAAAGCATGATGCGAAGCAATGTACAGACCTTCTCACCCCCGCATTTCCCATCTCTCTTTCCGCTTCGACTTCCGATGTTGCGCATCGGCCTCTTGATTTTTCTTGAACCCGATCGGCGCCATGGAGGACGAAGATGCCTGTATCATACTCTTCTAGCATAGATCGCTCAACATGGCCGTAGATAATCCCCATACCGAAGTCAACGGTCGCCCCACCGTAGAGGCTCGCGATCCCGAGGGGTCAGGTGAGGAAGAAGCTCAAGATGATTCTGCCAATCAAGCTTCCGCTTCCAGCAGCAAGAAGAAGAAGTCGAACAAGAAGAAGAAGAAATCTTCCTCCTCATCTGCTGCGAACGATCACCCTACATCGAGTATCGACTCCAGTCTGACCATGCCCTCCGGTATAGAGCAGCACTACTTCGATCCAGTGAAGGGCAAGGGTCTGCTAGCTACGAGGGATTTTGCAGAGGGAGAGACAGTCTTCACCGATTCTGCCTTTGTTTCTGCACCTCCCATGGCTCAGGCGAAGAAGGTGGCAGGGGGAGAGCTGTGCAATGCCTGCTTTCAGCCGGTGGATGGAGCAGGGGTAGGGAGAAATACAGGGTGCAAGGGAAAGGATTGTCAGGCGGTGTGGTGTAATAGGGAGTGTGAGAGCCGGGGTAGGACGGCGCATCACAACGTCCTGTGCAAGGGCAATAATCCCGCCATAGTAGTGAGTAGCGACGTCAAGAGCTATGCAGGGCCCCATACTGACAGTGAAAGTGCTGACTCGTGCCCTATACCTCTTCCTCTCACCAGCCCTTTGTCAACTTCATGTCCACCCATCCCTTCCTCTCCCTCCACTCGGTAGCGCGCCTGTACGCACGCATCCTCCTCTGCCACTCGCCTACCCCGCCCGAATCTCTCATCAAGCCTTCCAGGCCGGCGACTGTCGAGGAGACTCTAGGCCACACTTCGGCCTTTGCTTCCATTTCGGAGCTGGTGAGGAGGAAACGCAATCCCGGGTGGGAAGTGGAGAAGCAGGCCTTTGAGCTCACGTTCAAGGAGGCGCTCAAGCTGCTCAAGGAAGGCATGGACCCCTATGACGAGGCTAGAATTGCGAGGGGTGAACAGGGAGGAATTCGCGGAAAGGGAAAGTGGACAGTGAATCCAGACTTCCCGAGGGATGTGGCTCAGCAACTCTTTGGTTGGGAAGGCTTCATGCGGTGAGTAGCAGCCCCATGCCGTGTCGATTTGACAAGAAAAGGGCGACTGACATCCTACCTGCCTGTCTTTGTCTAGCTCTCTTGGGCGAGCTAACCTCAACATGGAGTCTCAAGGCTCCCTGTACTGCATCCACTCGCATCTGAACCACTCTTGCGCTCCCAACCTCTCTACTCAACACCCACCCTCCCAGAGAGGTATCCGACAAGCTACGAAGCTAAAGCTCATGGCCAACAAGCCCATCAAAGCTGGCGAGGAACTCCTCATCACCTACCAAGATCCCTCTCAGTCCGTGACCAGACGTAATCTTCTCCTCTGGAGGGAGCACATCTTCGGTCCTTGCGAATGTCCACGCTGCGAAAAGGAAATGGGCGAGCTGGACGAAGAGGAGCGGGAGAGGCTGAAGCGCTTTGAGATGACTAGTGAGGACAAGGAGGAGGTGAAGTTGAGGAGGAAGCAGGCCGAGACGCTGCAGAAGGAGGGTGAGAAGCGGGCGGCAGGAGAGAAGGATCTCAGAGGGCTGGAAGAGGAGCTGAGGGAGACGCTGGGCTTCTGAGCCGCTCGTACAGAATGCAGCGTCAGCATCTGTCTCAGATACCCAGCATTAGATTGGAATTGCACATGAAATGTAACTGCGTACAGCATTTGCGCTCCCTTTTGCTTTCTCTTGCCATTGCTACCAGGTTTGAGTGTCCCTTGACTCGCCCGCTCGCCCGCCGAATCAAAATTTGCCCTTGCCCGCAGTGACCTTGCCTCCCACCATCCCAGCGAGCTTGATGCCCCATGCAAAGTGAGATAGTCTAGCATCGACTGCATACTTTTCATCCTTTATGAGTCTAGCTAGTTCATCATAGAGTCCCGAGAGCTTGACCAATCTCTTCTCGATGAATTCTCCCTCATCGGGCTCTGCAACCGGGTCGGGCGTGTCGTCTTCCTTGAGTGCGATGCGTACGCATGCGAGTTTCATGGTGGATGTGCTCATCCCTGGATCATTGTACATGAGTGGGGAGAGCTCCACCACTTGCACATCTTCACTGCCTGCATTGTCCGGATTGCCGTACCCTGTCTCTTCACGCAATTCGCGAAGAGCAGCACGGCGTGTGCCTTCGTCCCCTTCCTCTCCTGCATCGATGAGTCCAGCAGGCATCTCGATGACCAAGCCTGTAGTGCTCTTCCCACCTTCCACAGCCACAGGAGGACGATACTGCGACACGAGTAGCAATTCAGGATCCTCTCTTGTCGAGGGCCTCGTGATCAGACAACAAATGGCCACTGCGTCCGCCTCTCCCTTTTTCGTCTTGCGACAAGAAGTCTCCCAGTGTCGCTCCCTACCAGTGGGGTCTTGCCAAGTGATGGATCGAAGACCGACCCACTTGGATTGGGAGTCCTCGAGGGGGTCGACAGATTTGATAGAGGAGGAGGAGGCGGAAGTGCTGTTGGATTTGGACATGATGCGGGAGGTGTAGGCGCGTGTGGAGGTGCTGAAGCGAGGTGAGGAGAAGGAGTGAGGAGGAGTGGAGAAGAGAGGCTGCTGTGCGGTATGGATGCTCTGTCGAGCGAGACGAAGGAGTGAAGACGACAAAGAGAAGGAGGAGGAGGAGGAGGAGGAGGTGAAGCTGGTGAGGATTCGAGGTGCGATTGTCGTCGTGGAAGATGACATCACGCGTGGAGAGCAAGGAACGAAGGAAGAAACGAAGGACCGACGGTGCTTTGCTCAGACACGACCACTCGTGCAGGGGCCACCCGCATTGCCTTCCCCAGGAACAAATCAACCTCGGACCGCAAAGCGCAACGGCGATGTTACACCTCATGTGGGGCCCCTTTTCCCTCCAGCTTTTAGTTTGTCACTCTGCTCCCCCTCTCTTCTCCCTCCTCCCCTCGCCAAATCTTCTACGACAGGAAGAAGCAATCGAAGAGGAATTGATTCACATTCGACGTTCTAGAGCTAAGGACTCAAATTTCCATGCAGGTGTGAAATGGTACTCTTCTGGAATGAGAGATCTATGAGCAGTGTTCAACGCCATCAGAGTGGGTGTGACACTCCTTGTGCGCCTTCGTCGTCGTCGTCGAGCCATGTGCATCTGCCGCGTCCGTAGCATTGGCTGCTACCTCACCAACGCATCCTTCTGGCGTGATGTACTTTCGCGAGAAGACCTCAAAGGCAAAGTCCTGGATAGTGTGCTGGTTGCGGACTGCCTCCTCAGGGCTGTGATGTGCCAGCTCTAGCAGCGCAGCATACTCATCGGCAAGGTGCGTGACGTGCTCGTTGGTCAAAGCGGGGAAATGCATAGCGCGGTGCAGCAAATCGGCGCCCCAGTAAATGTTGACATTGTCCCGTGCGAGCTGGAAACCACCTGCGCATGTCTTCTCGATGGGTAGACGAGTCTCGAAGGATAAGGGACAGATGACCGTCTCGCCGGTGGCATTCTCTCCACGCCAATGGCCGTTCCAGCCCTCTTGGGTTGCACAATTATGATCAGGGTCGTCGCAGCGGATAAGCGTGTCGCTCTTGTCGCCCTGCCAGTCGAAGAGGAGAAAGGTCGACACATGGGACGTCAGTACGATGAGAATTACTCCATTCGTAGAAAAGTCCCTTCTACTCACACGAAGTAGACGCTCGAAAATGCCCAGCGGCACCGCCGGGTCGGCTCCTTCACCAAAATAGCTAGTGAACACAGCCGACTGGTTACCGTGTTCCAGGATGTGGTCCACGGCGGTACGGCACAGTCGCTTCATATCGAAGAGACCGCGCTCCAACTGTAGCTTCTGTGAGGCATTGCACGATTCGTGAATGGGAAAATCTTCCTGGACCTGATACAAGGCGCGAGTTGCAAGGGCGAATTTCAGTGCTGGCTGAGGGTAGAAGGGAGCAGCGAAAGTCGATGCTGCCGCCAGGAGCAGGCAGAGAAGATGAATGACCTGCATGCTGAAGGGTCTTTTGACAAGAAGGGCTCGAGGCGGATTGGGGGAAGGCGAGGTCAAGGTGAAGAGGCCAGGGAGGGGAAGCGAGAGGGGCGAGGGGACGGGCTGGATGGCTAAGTGACCATTACCTTCCAATCTGCTCAGGGCGTGTTATATCTCTACTGTCCGTCGCAGATTCTTGTGTCCAGTATCGGGTGTCGAATGTGCACATACCCTGCCGGTTCCCGGAGGAGGGCTGTGACAACGTGTTCGACCCTGAAATAGATGGCACGTAAGGGTCTCGAAGTTCGTTTTTTCTCCCGCAAATCTACTGACTTTCTTGCATTGAGGCAGCGAGCTCTCACGTCGTCAATGCTGCTCTGCTGTGTGGTGGACGCCAAGAGAGCGTTGTGATAGCCGATCTCACAGCGCACAGAGTTTTCCGAGGTTGAGAGGAATCGGGATGACTGGTTACATGTGCTTAGGAACGACGAACACTCCGAAAGAGAGCAGCAAACAGACGCGACACGAATTCCATCACCACGGCGTCGTTGTTCGAGAAGAGCGCCTGTCAGGGCCTCCATCTCCTGTACCCGCTGCATCAGGCACAGGAATGGCTTCAGTTCTGTACCTCGAGTCTGTTGCAACAAACCCTTGGCCGCACAGACTCAGGTTTAGCGACGAGGACCCATAGGCAAGAGATAGTAATCAATCTTGCTTGGCGACACCGGTGAGGTTCTCACCTCGAAGGTCCGCCTGCAGTGGTTGCCATTTGTAATTGAGATCTCCCCCGCCTTGAACCCCGTCAAGGGGTGCGGTGGAAGAATACCGATCAGGCACAGCTGGGCGCATCACTGCGCGGGTCCTCGCCCTGCATCCGCCCGGGAAGACAGAGTCTTCGTTACGAGTCTTCCCCTCTCTGTCCTATACCTGACGCATGTATACGTCCTGGATCGTGAACATGGAATGTATTTCTAATTGTAGAGTCACTGCTGGCCAGAGAGATGAAACACTGGTATATCGTTTGCCCTTCTGCGCCATACCTCGCCTCATGACGAGGCATGTGTAGTCCCGTCCCAGTCTATCCTTGCGGCGTAGTCTGTTGCAGGGATTACAACCGTTGGACAGGAGGGGTGTCAGCGGTATGACTTTCGAGGGCGCTATCTCTATCTCTCTACGAAGCCGGTGCGAACACTTACCTCGGATGTTAGAAATCACGTTTTCCTCTACCTCGTCAGCCCGGCCCGCTGCAATACGGAGCACGAGCTCATTGACCTTGGCGGCTCCCTGAGGGTATGCATGGTCGATGTTTGGTCAGTACGACATCATCGCTTGTCCACTAGCCGTGAGGTGCGCCTCTCAGAGGGTCTTGGCGCTTGTCATTTGCTACTCACCAGAATATCAACATGATCCGCCGTCTTCGGTCCTCCTCTCAAGTCCATCCCTTCGGGCTCATGCAGCAGCTCATGCGTAACAATCTTGCATCCAGCAGGATTATACCTCTTCCTCTTCCAACCTTCCACACTCATCGCTCCAAGTGACAAGAGGGAGACTGTTCCATCTCCATCTCCCATTTTACATCCAGCGCGAATCTTAGGAGAGGCATTAGGTCCATCGTAATGCACTGTCGTGTCGATCCAGTGGGAGCGGGCAGTGGGGAATCCGAGAGGGGCGGCTTCTGTTTCATTTGTGCAAGTGGAATCTGTGCACCGGGCCGCATAGCCTTCGACGATGGTGTCTTCCTGCTCAAAGGGACCTTTTTCGTAGAAGTAGGCTCGCTCCGTTGGTTTGCCAACACCGTAGAGACTGATGACCTTCATCGAGGGCGCATTGGGGAGGGCGGCCTCGAGTGGGTTGGACCAGGTGCGTGGCTCTTGGTTGTTCCGCTGAATCTCGTCCTCATCGAATGACATGCCATTGGAGTAATTGGTCTGCACCATGCGTTGAAATGTGCTAGGCGTGTGCTGGAGCAACCACGTCAGTGCAGCGTCCGCCGAAAGGTTGCCCTGCACTTGCGTGTGCGAGGTGAGGTCGTGCAGACTAGAGTTGTCCACGCCACGGCTGTCAGAGGCGTCCCCCGCTCCAAGGAAGACAGAGCTATCTCCCTGTGGTAGTCGGAAGGTGTACAGCGACCCATGCGTCTCTGTAGCATCTCCATCATCGTCTGGAGCCCACGTCGTGTTCCCCCAGACAGCATCGCCTCCTTTGATGATCATACTAGCTGAGCCAGCCCAAGTCCTGAAGAGACGGGCCCTCTCCTTTCTCGAGAAGAACTTCTCCAACAAGAAGGCAGCGGCGGGAGGTACCTCGACTGTATCCCTCATTTCTCCCGAGAGAAGGGCAGCCATTGCCTTTGGTACTCCGAGGAAAGTTCCCGCAATCGAAGTGAAAGACTCAAGATGCTGCTCCACCCACTGGTCGCCTCCATTGCCAAAGCCGGGCCCTGAAGCTTCGACCCATTTCATGAAGTAGAGGGCTACTGAGCTCCCCATCGAGTGAGCGACGAGGACAGTCTTCTTGCCGGAAAGAGCAAGGTTCTGCTCTATACGCAGCTTCAGCCGCGTGAAATACTGATCTCGGACTAGAGTGCAAAGAGGGAAAGAGAGACAGTCAGCGAGACAAACTTGGAAGCTCCTCCACCTGACCCTCCCGAACAGCCACTCCACTCACCTTCCAGATTCGAGTAGCTGAGTCTCCAATCATAGCTCGCCATGTACAGATTATTCGAATCATATCCAATGGCCGCCAGATTCTCAATAATCCTACTCCAAATCCAGTAATTCCCCAAGAAAAAGCTAGCTGCATCCAGCCCTTCTGCAGCTCTGACTTTGATCCCCGGTGGGTCCAAGCCGGTGAGGGGGTCGAGGGAGAGATGTTTGACCCACATGTCCTTCTCCAGCGCAATTGTTCTCATCATCGTGGTAGTGCCCCAGAGACGTTTCCTGAAATAGCCTGAAACGTCCTCTCCCGTTGTCCAGGACTCGAGTCCAGTGGAGATAATGCCGGGCATGAGCACCACCGGATACTCGGCTTGGTATCCTTGAGCCGCAAGTTGTCTGCCCACTTTGAAATTCTGCGTGGAGAGCCACTCCTTCGATCCACTGAAGAGATTATCGCGTAGATCTGCAAACTCTTTCGGCATGCGAAGGGAAAAGTCAATAGAGGAGAGGTCTACCCCTACATTCATCAGCTGATCGTCCATGATTGTACGAAGGGCACGGATATGGCCCTCCATGCTGGCATTCTGGGACGCAAGCCAAGCTACAGCAGCACCGAGGAGGATGCCAACGATGAAGAAGGAACGGCGATAGCGCGTGATGCCTTTTTGAGTCTCCTCGTCTGGCATCTTCAGGAAATCCACCTCACTAAGATCGAGCTCGTCAAAAGGCGTGTTGGGCGCTCGAACAGTATACGATGGCCGTTGCTTATTACCTCCCAACAGGCCAGGTCGCCGTGCCTTTGACTTCTTTGCCTGCGTATCCCGCTCCAAGACGATACGCATAGGGTATTGAGCAAAGTCATCATCTGATACGGGCGTGGATGTACCGTTGGACGGGATCTCTATCGTGTCTGGAGCTGTACCTGTCCTCTTTCTTGCTCGTGATTTGGCGCCGGAGGGAGTAGGTGAGGGAGAGGAGGGATGGCTTGAGAGGGCGGATGACGTCGCGTTTTGGCCATTGCGTCTCGAAGAGGAGGAGGAGGATGGGTCTGCCATGACGGATAGATAGGGGTATCACGGCGATACTGGGAAGATAGACAGAAGCAACACAAAGCAACACAAGCCAAGCAGCTGAGCCACAGAACGACAGAGAGACAGAGGGAGGGAGGGATGATTTGCGATGGTAGCGGATGAAAGGCAAGAGGTGCAGTCCGTTCCTCTGCCGCCGCCATCGCCGCCGCCGCCGCCTCCGGGACTATGACGGCGGAACCCTGCAATCGATCAGAAATGTCCGAAGCGGAAGCAGCCACTTCCGCAAACAAAGTCAAGCAGCGGGAGTCCACTCACGCGACAAACGCACAGGGGACCAAGGCACCAAGGCGGCAGGGCAAGGTCAGGGTCCACGCAGGCAGGCGTGCAGACCCCTGACATGAACACCTCGCATCCTCCCAGATCGTAGAGGGCATCACCTGACGCGTTCGGCTATACATTCTTCATGGTGACACAGGACGGCATTTGCAGGAACAAAGGGCAGGGGAGAGCAGGTGCAGCCAGGAGTCAGAAACGGGGTGTGGATGGTACGTATATTTTTACAACAAGTCGACCTGGAGAAGCGTGACAAGTACACGGAAAGCATGGAGCATGCAAGGTATGAAGGTGGAGAAAAGGAAAGGAATCCAGAGACGATTTCACAGCCGCGCTAATGCCTACTGCACCACATCTCAAGCAGCCTGGGACGCAGGAGAGTAGGAAGCACCTTGGCTTGGTCCGCGAGCTCCTTGAGGAGGACCATACTGCTGCGCATGCACACCAGGACCGCCCTGTTGCGAGTGCGGTCCAAGCATGCCAGGCGGCATCAAGGGCATTCCACCAGCCTGTTGATGCTGATGCTGGCTCATCTGCATCAGCTGACTCTTGAGGAACATCACCTCGTTCCTCAAAGCCCCCACCGTCTCTTGCAGGCCACCATTCTCGGCCTCATAGAAGGCGACCTTTGTCTGCAAGTCTTGCAGCCAAGCCTTCTTGCGCTGACGGCACTTGAGCGCCGCTTGTCGATTGCGCTCCAGGAAGTTCTTCCTCTTCTCCTCATCATCGCCAGGTGAACCTCCCTCACCATCGAACTTGGACTCGTCTCCAGATTCGCCATCGCTCCCGTTGATTTCGTCCTCCACCGATTCCGACTTCGCCCCGCGCTTGGCCTTCTTTGCATTCTTCGCCGATGCACCAGCGGCTGCAGGCCCAGCAGAGGAGGCTGCCTTACCCCCGCTCCCATTCGCGCCTTCGTTACCACTACTGCTTGCATTGGCATTGGCACTCGACTTCTTGCGCTTGGTGCCCTTGCTGGCATTGCCATTCGCAGCAGGAGCTGATGAGCCCTGTTGCCCATTGAAGGACGAGGGTGGCTGCGGTTGTGGAGCTTGGACCATACCGTTGGGCTGTTGAACCGGTCCACCTTGTCCTGCCTGTTGTTGATCGCGCTTGGACAGCTCTTGGTGCGCTTGACTTAGCAGGAAGAGGCCGGCAGCTCCTTGGGGACCACCGCCTTGGGTCTGGCCATTGGACTGCAGCTTTGACTGCCCGGGCTTCCCTGCCTGCGAAGTTGTATCAGACGACGCGCCATTGCCATTTGCTGCCTTTCCACCCTGAGCCTTCTGGCGGGCATTGGCAGCACCACCTGCCTGTTGCTGTTGTTGCCGTCCGAAGGCGAGGTCGAAGTCGCCTTGGTTCTGGCTGCCGTTCTGCCCACTGCGAACATCCGACTGCATCGGTGTGATGCCAGTATGTTCGCCAGAGTTCATAAGAGACGATGCGTGGTTCGTCAAGGCGGTAAAGGTGTTGGGCGTCATCTGAGGTCCATTGCCATTGACCATTGCGAGGAAAGCGGCTGTCCCAGGCGAAGGAGGTGGGAAGCCGCTGGCGCTGCCAAGTGGAGTCAGACCGGTCTTGAAGTTGGACAGGTCAGGAGTGAATCCAGTGCGGAAAGTAGATGGATCAAAGTGATTCAAATGGCTCAAGTGATGTTGAGGGCCAGTGAGCATAGCAGGAGAGAGAGGACCGGCTCGAAGAGAGCCCAGACTTGATGGACCCCAAGGATAGACGTTGCCGCCCTCTTGGTTGGGGGAAGTGAGAGAGGCTACGGGAGGGAGTGCTCGCTTGTCTGGCGTGCTTGTGCCAGCAGTCGCGTCTTTCTTGGCACCAGCTGCTCCTGTAGCAGTGGTAGTGCTGCGTGCACCTGCCTTGGCGGCTGCAGGATCTTGAGTCGTGGTAGAGGACGAAGCGGGCTTCTGTTCCCCAGACTTTTGCTTCACGGCATCGTCGCTAGAAGCTGGTCCGCCTTCTTCCTCCTTCTGTCTCTTGGCCTTGCCAGCGGTCGAAGCCGAGTCTTCCGGGGGAGAGGCAGAGTCGGAAGGCTTGGAAGAGAAGGACTGCTCAAAAGGATTCGGCTCAAGAGCGTGCCTCGCGTTCTTTGGCTGCGGGCGAGCCGGAGGTCGGGCGGCTGAAGGGGACAAAGAAAAGGAAACAGATGGTAAGCCTCTCTGCTCGGGTACGACTCAAAACTGTGACGGCTCATGCAGTAGCCGAAAATGATGTGACGTAGGCGTCACAGGCGACATTTGCATCTGTGCCTAATCGTGTGTGCCTTGCAGACAAATCCTGACGTCGTCTTCTGTCGTCCATTTCCTTACGCCGCCCTAAGACGCGTGTGCATTCGATTCGGACTACTCACCTTTCTGCGCCGGTTGGGCTAGAAGACGGGAAACAAAGTCGGCAAGGAGAAAGGGACGTGACGATGGGATCAAAGAGGGGGGAAAGAAGTGTGCTACATGGCTCAGTAACCTGTAGCAGATCGAACATCCGCCCTGTCCATCAGAAGCAATCTGATCGGGACAGGTGCAGAATGCATAAGGGCGTAAGGGCGACCGACTACTCACCCGTGGCCTTGGTAGCCGTGGCTGCTGCTGCTGCTGCTGCCATGACGACGACGACCGATCGATCTATCAATCAACCAATCTGTCAGTGCTTCAAGCCCGAAGGCGATGACGATGACGACGTGCGGGGGAGAGCTGTGCGGACAGTCAGGGGAGGAGACGCGGAACAGGCTTTCGCGACGTCAGAGTGTGCTGTGGCATTGGCCTCGCTTGCTATTCGACCCGACCCATCCATCCGCCCAGGTCATCCAGGCTAGGCTGAGGATGCGGAGCGTGAGAGAGAGAGGACCCTTGCGAGATGGACTCGCTTGTGATTGAACTTACCAAGGGCTGGCTGTCGGATGTGACTTTGCTGCCAAGTCGCGAGTGGGCGGATGACGGGAGTGGAGTGGAAAGGGGGCAAAGGTGGTATGACGATGGGATGACGACGATGACGATAACCACGCCCACCAGGGGGATTTTGCCCTGCAGACGACCTCGCAGCGCAGCCACAGGCACTTCGCCACTGTCCACGCCGTCACCGCGCACTCTTTCCCAGAGCCACGCGACACGCCCCCACGGCTTCCCAGACGTCCGCCCTGGCGCCTGGCCTGCGTCTCAGCGTGCATAAGCTACTGTACGCAATCGCCGACAGATGCAGGTAGGATGTATGGCAGCTCTTTCCCCCGAGCGGACACATCGAAATGCGGGGTACACGGCCGCGAAATAGGAAGATGTGGGGTCTAGAATAACATGCATCGAACCAGCGTGACCGAAGAAACAGGCAAGAACGGAGAGGAGGAGACAAGGAAATTATCGGCCAGAACGCGTGCCCTACTCTACAGGAAGACCAACCTGTTCCCTGTCACCTGCAACACGCCCAGGTCTTCGTACTCTCGTAGACACTCCTGTAGCTGATCCTCGACCCACCCACTGGCCAGAATACGATCCCTGACATCTCTGATCAACAGCTCTCCTGGACCATCACTCAGAGACGCGCCTTGCGAGTCCAATAGTGCTTGTGTGTCCACCTCGTCCTCCTCGTCTTGGTCCTCGTCAACCTCCATTGCGTCACCACCTCTTCTGGAGCCTCGCCTCCTTCTCCTCTCCGCCGCCCTGGCCCTGAGGCTCTCCTGCTCCTCGCGAGCAGTGGCAGAAGCGACCATGGCCATATCTCGGATGATCCTGTAGATCTTGCTGACAGGGCTGTGATCATTGACCTCGTCGTCCTTGCCTCTCCTTGCCACTCCGTCGGCGTGAAGGGAAGCCTTGGAGACGTCCATCAGACGCAGCGCCTCGTCCACATCCGCCAGCTCCACCACGTCTGCGAATCTGAGGCGCGCTAGAGCTTGCGACAGGCGCAAGACACCCAGCAAGGTCCTGGCAGAGGTGTACGAGTAGGCGTGGTCACGCTCCTCGTCTTCCTTGCCTTGTGCTCGCAGCTTCACGTATGCTCCTACCACGTACTCGCTCACCGCCTTGGGGACGGTTGGCCTCTTCTGGCGGGCGAGGGCAATGTAGTGTCGCATCACCAGCGGGTCCAGAGGCTCGTGCTCGATGGGCGGGTGCTCCGAGTGCATGTGCACATAGGCAACGTGCTGAGCCAATCGCTCGTCATCTTCCCTCGACGGTGTGTCCAAGATGAGGAAGAGAACGTCGAATCGAGAGAGCAGAGCAGCAGGCAGATTGATGTTGTCCACTGGAGATACGCGAGGGTTGTATCGACCGTAGAGAGGGTTGGCTGCAGCCAGGATTGATGTCCGGGCATTGAGCGTTGTGGAGATTCCAGCCTTGGAGATACTGATCGTCTGCTGTTCCATCACTTCGTGAATTGCAGTCCTGTCTGACTCTTCCATCTTGTCAAACTCGTCAATGCAGGCAATACCGTTGTCTGCCAAGACCAGGGCTCCTCCTTCAAGGACCATCTCGTCCGTCACCGGGTCCCTCATGACCGCGGCTGTCAGACCGACACCCGAGGAACCACGACCAGTGGTGTAGACTCCTCGAGGTGCAACCTTGGAGATGTACTTGAGCAGCTGAGACTTGGCCACTCCTGGGTCTCCCATCAAGCAGACGTTGATGTCACCTCTAATCTTCATACCATCACCAACAGTCTTGCTGACACCTCCTACTAGCAAGAGCAAAAGGCACTTCTTGACATCCTCGTGACCGTAGATTTCAGGCGCAATCGAGGCGGCGAGCTTTGCATACAGAGCAGGGTCGGTCTTCAGCTCAGAGATCTCGGCCTCAATCTCTGGCGTGAGCTCCATGGCGTCATATTGCTTCTTGAGCTGGTGAACGTGCTGAGCGTCGAGATAGGTGTCGGTCAGAAGACCAGCCCTTACAGCCTTGAAGCCGGTATAAGGGGTCGGCAGGAAAATACCACCGACGTCTGCTACGTCTCCTGGGCTCAGCGAGCGAGTCAGAGGGCCGTACAAATGGATGGTCATAGTCCTGGGAATGTGACCGATAGGGACCTGGTCGGCCATCTCTTGCACCTTTACCTCCTGGAAGGGTACGAACTTGCTAGCCCTCGTCTGTTGAAAGAGGGATCCCTTGACACGATTCGTTGTGCATTTGGCACTTGGGCACTCGACGAGAGGCATGTAAGAGCGTCCCACCACTTCCTGGAAGATTTCAGCACCGCAGTTGTCACAAGCGTAGGCGTCGACAAGAAGGTAGGGCTTGACTTCCGAAACTCTGGTGACGATTCCTCGAATGGTGATGAGCTTGCCTAGATGAGCACCCTTGACAGAGCGCACTGCCATGTGTGGGGCGTTCTTGAGGGGCGCAAAGTAAAGCTGGTATCTTCGTAGAAGAGCTGGAGGGAAAGGAGCGCTCTCCGCCTCACGCAATGCCGCTTGTGATTCATCTATCTCTGGGCCGGTCATGTCGAGGGTTGAGATATTCTGAGCCCTAGCATTCCTCTCCCTTCGCTGGTGCATGATGACGTCCAAGACGTCGTCCTTGTGTGAGATGTCCTTTGTAGCCTCGGGCATGATTTTGTCGACAATCTCCGAGAAGAGCTCTGTGTAGTGGCGGGTGTTGTCAATGATCGAGTGGGCAAGTTGCCTGCCACCTTCCTTCGAGGTAGAGTTCTTGTGCTAGAAGGCAAAACATGATGCGTTCAGGCGTGGTCAGTCGCTGTAGGGGGCATAAGAGCGTCCCGCTTTCGTACACTCACGCTGACTACATCGTTGAGATCGATGACCAGACTGTCCTGTTCGCGGTTGGCAATGCGTTGCTGATGAACGAGTCGCAAGTGCCGCCGTTAGTACGATGAGCCCTTTCGATCAGGGTGCGCTTCTTAAGCATTGCACTCACCAGCTGTCCCATGTACTTCAGAGCGTTCTTCCCCTTTCCACCTCCAGCTCCATTAGCACCATTAGCACCACTCCTCGTCGAAGTGCCAATATCCATCTCATCCATCTCCTCCTCCAGATCCCCCTCTCCGTCGTCCTCTTCATCCTCCTCGTCTCCGAAATCTAGCATAGCAGACTGGGACTGTCGCTTAGAAGGTACAGCACCCTTGAAGCCTGTGAGGAAGTCGGTGATCTTCTCGCGCTCATCGGTGTAGTTGATGTCGAGCTTGATGACGGGGAGAATGGGGCCTGCTGTTGCGGCCATGCTGGACGGCGGATCGAGCTGAGCTTAGGGAAGGTGGGGTGATAGCCCAAGAGCAGGTGATAGAGTAGAGGGAAGGAGAGGAAATTTTCGTTGCTGTAGCGTCAATATGCAGAGATCGTAGGGTATAGGCGGGGATCGGGATGGGTTCGATGGGTGAGGATGGTGATGGAGAGAGTAAGTGGGGAGAGGAGCGCTCGACCAAGGCGGCAATCAAAGAAGGCGTGTGTTCCCCTTCCGAACGCGCCACTCAACGCGAACATTTGGCGCGTCTTCCCAAGCCACTTTGCGCGTCGGCCTCGCCTGCCACGTCCCGCCCGCCCCGCGACACCTGCCCTTCCTGCTCATGCTCACGGGCTGGCGCTGAATGTCAGAAGTGTTCACGCGAGAGACAACGCACAATGGATGATGTGTTCAGGGCACAGGCTCAGTTGACAAAGGCCAACCATTGACCACCCCCAACATATCCTCCGTCTTCTCCTTCCCCGACACACCAAGCCCATCGGATGCCGACACTGTCTGCTGCTCCGTCTGCTTCTGCCCTTGGATCCAGCCAGCCTGCAACGCCAATGTGCTTCTCCTTGTCTTGTTGCGTAGCCATTTCTACACCCGTGAGCATCTTGAGCTGCTCGTCCTGTTTTCGCGTGAGACTGAGCTGTTCCAGCGTTGGCGGAGGCTGCCTGTACAGCGATCGGACAGCAAGGATGCGGAGCACTATTTCTGTGATGGAGGATAGAGGATCTTGGCTTCCTTTGCACCAGGCGATCCGACGGAGCATGTGCATAGTCACCTCTCGTAGCATGGCACTTGACGAAGGCAGATGCAGATGCGAGATGCCCTGTGCGTTAGAGGAGGAAATCGAGGTAGAGGTCAGATTACGATGCGGCTGAGAATGATGGAGAAGCGGATGACCCGGCATCCCGTCTTTGATCACTCACCTTCGTCTTGATCAGTACTTCCCCAGCTTCGATCTCCGCACTGGTACGCAGATTGACTTTTGTGATGTGGCTTACCCATCCCGCATCCCTGCCCTTGCACTCGAACCATAATAGCCCATCGCCTACCTCTGGCAGCCGAACACGGATGATGCCATGGCAGAGCTTGCGGCTCGAACCCGCATCTGCGCTCTCCTGGTCGTCGGCAACCAGCTGAGCGATCCAGATGCGGGGCCTCTCCGTCTTCTTCTTTGGAGCAGTCGGAGCCGATGTAGCGTTGTTGGTACTTGGCGGCTGCTCGGCTAGCAACTTGTCAAAGGATTTGCAATTGCTGCGTATGCTCTCCAGCCGGGTGTTGATGGAAGCCCGTATGGATTCTGCTGAAGGATGACCCTCAACCTCTGAGGCTGTCTCTCCCTCTGAGGATAGGACTGACTTGATCAAGGTGTCGAAGGACAGCGTTTTCGGTGTCTTCGGGGAGCTCGTCGAGGCGATGGGCAAAGGAGCTGGAACTCCTGCATCGAGCCGTGCCTGCGCCGTAGCCCTTCGCTTCCTCCTCCTGCTGAGGATGATCTCCTTCTTCTCTTCCCTAGTCAGCTCTGCGCCCTCCCTACCCCTCTTGCCGCTCTGAGAATCAAGAACATCCTCAGCGATGCGTATTGCTTCCCTCACTCCTTCGCCCGTCTCATCCCGTACTCCAGTCATCAGTTGCGACAAGATGGACGACACTTGCGAAGCTAGTGGCCGGTACGTTGCGAGGGAGGGACTTGGCTGAATGTTGGTAGTTAGAGATGCGGAAGCATTTGGCTTCTTCCCATTGGACCCGTTGGCACTAGTACGCCGATCTGCGGTGGATGCTGCTGCCTGAAGACGAGTGAGATCGGTGAGTGGAGCGAGGAGGTGAGGTAGAATCTCTACCAGACCAGGGAAACGCGACTCGGAGGATTGCGGTGCTTGGGTGGGGTCATCGACTTGTTTGGAAGCGGAAGAGTCGAGAAGGGTGGAGAGGTAGGACAGTTGTTGAATCGACTGTTGAATCTGTTGCGACGTCGGCAGCGGAGCAGACGAGGATGAAGAAGTGCCCGCCATTGCGAACGACAAACGTCTGCAGGGCGACTCTGTTGAGATGTAGCAATGAGAGACAACGTCGAGTGTGGAAGCAAAGGTGATCGATCGACTGATCGCTTGCATCAACGGACCACACTTCGGAAAGGCGGAGGCGGAGCTTCAATTCGCTGCAGCTGCTTCCGTCCTCACTCTATTGCTACACTTCCTTCCGATGGACCATCACCCAGCGACCAACGCCGCTCGCTGCCCAACTTCTGCCTTTCAGAGGTATGAGTGGCCCTGCGTCCACTACATCGGTGTCGTCCCCACAGCGTACATCTGCATCCGGCATCGTCCACGATGAAGAGACGCAGACGAGAAGTATACCACAGAGCAGGAGAGCCGATGGAAGGTGAGCATGCCTCGGTTCTGTCCAGTGCTGAATTCAGCTTCAAACCTCTGAACCATTTGTGTGCTTCTTTCTCCTTTCTCAGCCTCCGGAAAGAGCGCAAAGTCAAGCCAGGCTACACTCCACAAGAGGACATCGCCCGCTTTCGCTCCAAGCGCTTGATGGAGGAAGATGCCCGGCGAGCTGCTTCGGGTTTGGGGACGGGAGTTCCGGGCTCAGCGAGCTGGGTAGCAGCTGCTACGTCCCCTGCCTCGGGTGGTAGCAGCAGCCGGTACTCTTCGACGCTCGTCGGACTCAATCCCCGACGCCGGGAGCAGCAAGGCAGAGAAGTAGTCGAGAGCAAGCTTTCATCTACAGAGAGTATTCAGGGGTCTGAAGCACGGGAAGAGCGTCCCGTGAAGGTCGATGAGCCTCCTGCTTCATTGAATCTCGATAAGCCCAACAAGTCTGAAGGAACTGCCGGCCCTGCTGCGTCACCGTCTGCAGCTAGGGCGGCACCTCCCCGCGGACTCTTCGCGAGGGCAATGGGAGGGGTCACGACACAAGACAGGCCCAGAGAAGGCAGGTCAACGTCCACATGGGGTAGTACGCCCTCTGCTGCTCGAGATGAGAGGTCAGAAGCATCTGCAAAGACAAGAGACACTGGACGCTTACCAAGGGGGGTACAGGACACCAAGAGTGGGGAGGGCCCGAACAGACGTGCTGGCCCTCGTCTTCCTCCTTCTTCTGGTTCAGAGGCACAGAGCTGGCGCAGAGGTCCAGCTACAGCTATCTCAGCCGCCAAGACTGCTCCAGCTAAACCGAGAGAAGAAAGTGCTTCTCGGACGACTGAGGTGGACCCTATTCATCAACTATCGGAAGGTTTGGAGAGCTTGAAGGTGGAAAGAAATAGCAGTGAAAAGTAGTACGTGTAGAGGTCTGCACACATTCTTGCGATTACACAGGGCGTTTTCGACACACAGCACGCAGTATATAGAATGATCGAAAGCAATGCATTGGGCCTTGTTGCTACGGCAACGAGGCGGGTATCATAGATTGGTGCAAGCGCAGATCGTGAGTCTCATCCGAGCGTCCCCTCAGTCTCCTGCGCCTCCGCTTCCAGCTTCTCGTTCATCCTCTTCTTCTGCTTCTTCTTCTTGTTGAGCTTCTTCTTCCTCTCCTTCTCTCTAGCCTTCTCCTTTACGCTCATCTTCGCATCGCCAAGTCCGGCTCGTGCTCCGCTGCCACCGCCGGCGCTGGACGCAGTACCATCGTCAATGTCACCACCTCTCACGCCCGCTACCTGACTAGCTCTCAATCCCTCTTCAAGCAGTACGCTCATTCTTCTCCTGGCGAGTATTCTATTCCTCTCCAAAGCCCTCTCCTCCTGGCACCGCACAATTGCGCCCGTCGGTAGATGAAGCAAATCGCACCGGCTCTTGTTCTTATTGATAGCCTGGCCCCCCTTGCCTCCGCCCCGGTTGAATGTCTCCCTCAAGTGCGACTCGTCGAGCTCTAAAGGTAGCTTGCGGGAGTTTGTGAATTTGTAGTGCGTGGAAGAGGTGAACCATTCGGGCAGTTGATTATCTGGGAGGAGAAAGCGACCAGAGAGAGTTCCTTGACTTCCGGACGCAGAGCGAGATGCTGAGCGAGATGATGCGAGAGACGAAGTCTGCTCTGCTTCATCCTCCTCGAATTGCTCCTCTTCGTCTTCGTCACGTTCCGTCTCCTCTTCCCTTGCACTTGCACTTGCGACCGCTATCATGTCAGGGTCCGGTGACTCAAGGCTAGTAGGCGCAATGGGTGGGGCCGTAGTCAGCACCTCTAGCCATGAGTTGATGATTCTTACATCCGCCCGCCGTCACTCACACTCACACGCCGCACTCTTCCTCCAACCACTTCTGAACTTCTTCTGGACCCTCCTTGTCCACATCCTCCCAAACGATCTTATCCAGTGCCTCCCCCGCCTTCTCCTCCTCTGCATGCTCGATCCGATGAGCCTCGTACCACGGTATAGATTCGGTCTTCTGCCTTGCAATTTCTTTGGAAGACCAAATGACTCTGCAAGGGAAGCGTGGCTCAAAGTTGTACTCTTCGAAGGGAGTAGGGAGAAGAGCCTGATGGGCTTTGTGCGCCCTCGACGAGGAGAGGGGCGGGTCGAGGAGGAGAAGGGAGGAAAGGGGATGCGAAGAGGCGTACTGCTCTGCGATCAAGCTGGAGAGGTATCCGGTGAATAGGACTGGTGGGAAGGGGGAGGCGGTACGGAGCAGCGAGCTCATGTCCCTTTCGTAAGCGTCGAGGATGTCCTTGGAGGTAGTCTTGCCTTTCACATCGTCCGGGTCAAGGTCAATGACGATGCTCTCGTAGCCCTGTGCAGAGAAGTGTTGGATGAAAGCCGAATACAAGTCCTTCGCTTGTGCCCCGTCTTGGAAAGCCTGCGCCGCCAAGAACATGATAGGCGTAGGGACTTGACGGGGAGCGTCTGGGCTTGGCTTGATGGTGCTGAGGGTACTCTTCAGCCGAGCCTGCTGCCTTAGCCAAGATGCAGCGACAGACGTCGAATGTACGCCTGTTGCGCATCGTGGCTGAAGGGCCCTCACAAGAGTCGGCAGCGCCAATGTGAGCATCGTGAAGCTTGGAGAGTGGCAGCCTTGGTTGAGAAGAAGTGGGCTGCCTGCTTTCCTCTCGCGGTGCAACTTCTTCCCGCTCCACTCGTCCACCTCCTTCCGTTCCGGCCTGGAACCCAGAGGGGGCCCGATCCGTGGTTCCTGACTCGCGGCCGTGGCGTCGCTGCGTCGGCAATTGAAACGTTCCGCTCGTGCCGATTGACGGCTGCTGGCTGCCTATCGATGCAGAGTGGCCGAGGAGCCGGCCGGCAAGGGGCCAAGCAGGTAAGTTCACAGCCAGGCTTCTGTGTGAGAAGAATTGGAAAAGCCCAAGCGAGTGGGAGCCGTGACTGACCCCTGGCCCACTGCCTACCTGCCCCTCCTCCCCGGATTCCCCGCGACGCACACACGCAGTCGCCCTTCACGCGCTCGTGGTCATCCTGCCTGCCCTCAGGCTTATGACCCCATGGGCCGAGATCTGCCACTGATCGACTCTCCCTCCCTCCCTCCGCCCCTACTGTCTCCTCTTTCACCATCTTCTGTATCCCTTGCGCCTTCCTTCCGTACCGGACGCAGACGGCAGCGAATACGATCCCTTCTTGCCACTGCGGAGCATCATCACGTCAGCCTTCTGAGGACCTCCCTGAGTGCACCGCCACTGTCAGCGCCTTCTCTTCAGACGCTGGTGTCGCAATTAAACGCACAAGATGCGTCTTACCATGACACTGTCCCTGCTGTCTCTCCTCTCCTCCCTTCTCTTTCTGCTGGCCGCCCAAGGTGTTGCCGCACACCCGACGGGAATGAATGTTGCTGCAAGGGAGGCAAGGGCCGGACTATTCGAAAGGTCATTGAAGGGCGAGGGGTGAGTACTCGATAGACAATGTCACTTACTGCTACACAAGAAAGTAAGGGTCGCTGACTCTTGGCCTCCTTTCTCCCCTTTGTGATCACAGCAACGTGCATCTCGCAGCCCGGGACGATACCACCAACGTATGCTCCATGACCGGCAATATGGGTCGCGGGCAATCAGCCTCCTGGACGGCCACCTTGGCAATGTCCTGCTGCTCGACCTGGAACGTCTCCACTTGCTACCAACGCACACAGGCCGACTATAATGCAACCGAGCAATGCATCATACCAAGCTGCTCCGATTTGAGCAGTGGAAACTCTGATCTTATGCATGGTTTCACCCCGTTGAGCAGTACAATCGGAATCGGCACGAAAAATAACAGCTATCTGATCACAACTTCGGGTGCCTTGGGACTCTTCGCCGGAAGGTACGAGGCAATGGCCATCGTTGGAATGGCAGCAGCACTCCTCGGCGCTCTTTCGCTGCTGTGAGGCTTCCCCTGCAGCAAAGGCAGTGGCAGACAAAATCGGACGCGACTGTCCCTTCTATACCTTCTCAAGTTCCGTTGGACCGTACTCTCCCTTTCTGTGTTGTATTTGTTAGCTTTTGCACTGCACTCTCCTCCGACATCGTCGGCCATCTCACGACCCTCAGGCTATACAAAGCCTTGTAATGATGATCAATTGCCTCGACGACTTCCCCAGTATCGGCAGAAAGGTTCGCTTCGATTTTGGTGTGAGTGATGACTATGATGGCTGACTACTACGCCGCCTTTAACCGCACGGCTATCCCGTGTAGGTTGCGAGATGCCGAGCCTCCTTTCAGTATACCAGGACACTTTTGGCCCTTCTGACTCTCCTCGAAATGATGTGCACTCGACTGACGTCTTCAGACCCCTACTTCTTCACAGCAGCAGCAGCACCCTTTGCCGCTCGTTGGGCACCCGAGGAGGCAAGCGATGCCGCTGACGAGCTGACCTTTGCTACAACTGCTACGGTGCCCGAAGGAGGCAGCGGCTTGGCCCATCCCAGTCGGACCATGAGTTTCTGCAGTGAAAGAAGCGAGGTCAAGAGAGGTGTCAGTGAAGCACTCGGCCAGGCAGTCAAGGTGGCTAGTCACCTCCAAGTACTCACCACGAAGCTTGGTGTCAGAGCTCCCGTGCCCATGACACGGAAGGGAAGCAGCAATGTCTTGTGGATGGTGTAGGCAAGTACTGCTTCTGTCCACAGTGTTGATGATCCTCCCTTGTTCTTCTGTGAAGCAGTGGCGCCCGCTGCAGCTGTTGCCTCATCCGACCCCTTTGTCAAGGTATCCGCTGCGAGCTTCCCAGCATCCTCGTTGTTACCACCCTTGGCAGCTCCAGGTCCTCCCAGCACCCCTTCCACCACGGCAGGGGTCTGACCTGGTAGCGGCCAGACAGCCAGCTCCTCGTCTGCTGTGTCCCTCTCCTTGAGTCCTACCGCCTCCCTGACCTTTGTCTCTACGTCCCGGATATAGTCTGCGCCGAAGAGGTGAATCACAGCCCAGGCTAGCGAGAAGTCGGCAAGAGACCAGAGATTGTACACTCCAAATGCCCACCAGCCGTACCGCTTCCAGAGATAGCGCATCCGTTGACGAAACGAGGGATTGCCCGACGGACCCGAGTCCTCTTCTGCTGAGCCAGAGGAAGAAGAGGAGGAAGAGGAAGAGGAGGAGGCGTATCGAGAGGCCGAGGGCTGCATCGACCGTGTGAAAGGGGACGCTCTTGAGAGACGCAGTATGCTGTGAGGCAGCGATAAAGGTCGGCTGTCGAAGGCCGTCCGCAGAAGAGGTTGCGAGCCCACCATTCGTATCGCTGCTCTGGGCGTGCTGGAGAAGGAACGTGCCACGTCGGGAGCCCTACCCGCCGGCTGAGCCATGGTTTGGGACAGCAGATGGCTGGTAGAGGCTCTGGGAGGCGACCTGACTCGCAGTGCAAGCATGGCGGTCTCTCGTATCGATGCTTCCATCATTGACGCCATGCTGAGTAGAGTGCGGTGTGCGGCGTGGAGTGATGGCGTCAAGAGTACAACAGCCGCCTGTTGGGAGCGGACCAGAGGAGCCGCGGGAGAGGCAAAAAGTCACAACGTGCATCATCGCGGGTGAGATCTCGAGGGTATATGTACGATTATTTGCGACTTTTCGGATCTCGCATTGTCGGGGTTTCGTAACTCAGTTGGTTAGAGTGTCAGCTTTACAGATTACTCTTTGGACGCTGAAAGTCGTCGGTTCGATCCCGACCGAAGCCATTTGCTTTTTGCTTAACCCACACCCGAGAATACAGCAAGCTACTATGGAAAATTTACCTCAATGTCTTCCTCTATCGATTCTAGTCTACATTATATACATTGTGGGAGCCGAGCTCAGCTCTTGGCAGAGACCAGAGAAGACACATGTGCCGCTTGCGACGACGAAGAAGCCGTGCTACTACTTCCATCCTCGGCCTTTTCCCTCTTCTTCATTTCCACTCTGCATGTCCTCGAACAGAATTTCCGTCCCTTTCGATCCAGCGGCGCGTTCACGCACCTCACTCCACATAGATGACAGCCAGTAGTGGTCTTGAGGCGGGATGCCTCCTCTGCTTCCGCTAGAGCAGGATCCAGCACGTCGCAGCTGCGATGGGAAGAGGTTCGGTCTGATGGTGGACGAGGGGATGTTGGTGGGGAAGCGCCAGACAGGGGTGACTTGATGGCGGTGATGGAGGCTGCACTCGGGCGTGAAGGGGATGCAGGTGTGCTATGACCTGCACTGCTGGCCCCATTGCTGTTGCCAGTGGCATACGTCTTGCGACTGGTTGGGTCGATTCCTGCGAATGCGCGAGAGCCTCTACTGGCGTGCTGAGAAGTCTGCTCGTGGCCTTTGTTGCTAGCTACACCCGCCGGCACGGCGGAGTCGGTGTGGGTAGATGCAACAGCAGCGACTGGCACGCTGGTGTTCGTCCTGAGGGCTCGCAACGTGCTCAAAGCCGAAGCGCCTTTCCCGCTAGCTTGCCTCACGCTGCCGCTGCCGCTGCCGTTGCCAACTGCTGTCGTCGGCTTGTTCCTCATGCTCGAAGGACCAAGCTCGGCGTTCTCAGCCGTCGTCGCCAGTGTAGCACCTGTCACAAGTCTGCCCGGGGGCAAGAAAGCTAGACTAGGCGCTACGCCTCTACCCTGGCCAGTAGCAGGGTAGAAGCTCGGTGCTCGAAGCGAAGCCAGACCCGTCCTTCGACTGGTCGTCGAGAAGTGGCTGGCGAGGGATTGCGAGCTATCTTGCCGCCGCATTTGTGGGACTTTGCCCCCGCTCGTCGAGCGCTGTTGCGCAGCGTAGCTCTCTGCCAACTTGCGCTCTAGACGCTCAGTCAGCAGAGGAGCTGATGCATCAACATTTTCCTTCTCCTTTCCATCTGTTCGTAAAGCAGTCGGAACAAGGGAGTCGCTGAGACTTCTGATGGAAGGGAAGCGCGGTAGCCTGAAGCCGCTTTGTGGCGCCCGGGCGACGGGCTGTTCTACTTGTACCGGCTTTCCCAAGTCTGACCTATCGTCAAGGGGTTCCTCGTCTCTGCTCACATCATGTATAGCTCGCATAGAGCGTATCGATACGCCAGTAGCAACAGTGGCAGAAGAGTCGGCCCTGCGCCGGCGTACCTGCGTCTCCCTCAGAGATGCTGTGGGATCGAACAGACCACTGGAGTCTACGTGGCCGTAAGCTGTTGACGACGTGCCAGACGTAGTCACAGTTTGCGTAGTGACCGACGGTTCTCCATACAGGCTTGTCACTGTCCCACGCCTCGAAGTGAGTGCTGTCGGATCAGTTGTCCGGCGCTGTTCGGGGTTTCCACCTCCACGGCGTGACGAGCTCGGCAGCCCCAGCGAAACCAAGGGCTCCAATGGATCCTCCCCTTGATCACCAAAGAGGAGGGATGGCGAGTCAGACATGACCGAGGAAGGTCGTCTCACTAGCTGCTTGTCAGCCGGTCCTGCGGGTGCGCCAAAGTGATGCAAATAAGATGGACTGGGACCCTCCAATTCGGAAGTGCGACCGAGCTTCGTTGAACGACTCGAGACCTTTGTTGGTGCGGATAGGAGAGATTCAGAAGGCTTGCTGTTTGGTCCTGCATAGCTGATCGTTCTGGTCCGCAGACGATGGGAAGATGACGTAGAAGGCAGATTCACAAAGCGACCAGGCACGGAGATAGTAGGATCCACTGCCACGCTAGAACTACGGTCTTTTGCCGGCGATGTAGGGGCTCTCAGTAGCACTGGCTGTTGGGCACGAGCGTCTTCAGCTGTAACAGGTGCTAGTGTCTCCAGAGAGCGTCGCCGCTGCTTCGTGCTGCGTAGCGTTGGTATGTTGCGTCCTCGTGCGGTAGTTTGCAACGACATCTGAGGGTTTGGTCTTGCTGTAGATCGGGTCTCTACATGCTCCAACACGGGCACAACAGACTCTGGAAGTGTCTTGTCAAGGCGCTCCCAAAGGCGGCGTCCTGCTTCTTGGACAGTCTTCGTTTCACCTTCCACTGCCCCGTCTTGTAGCTCCTGGATCAGGCCGTCCGCTGTAGCGACAACCTGTCGAATTTCGTCAGTTACCGTAATCGGTAATCCGTCCGTCTCTCCGAGCTTCCAAGCACTGCGGAGGCTAGGTATGGTCTTGTCTTCTAGCACGCCTACTTTGCAGATCGAATAGGTCAATGCTAATGCTTTGACGATTGCGACATGAACCCTTGCAACGTGTATGAGTGCCGGTAGTTCGTCTGCACTCTCGTCATCAGGTCCTCGATTAGAGGCATCGCTCTGAGGGTATCTGCTCTCGGTCAGGAATGACAACTCTGCCTCTAGCCAGAGTCGTGCTTCTAGCATTGAAGGCCATAGCTGAGGGAACGTTTCGCTTGCGGGATCGACAAGACCCTCGGCAAATGTCTCTGTGGTCCGCTTCCTCCCTCTAGCCTGGAGACGACGGAGATCGGGCAGTCTGATATCCCCGTCAGTCGTTCCGGCCCTATCGGCTCCTGAGCGGCCTAGATCGGCTGCTACCTCCTTCGTCCTGAGCAGCCTCTCTATCAGCGCTAATATCTTTGCAACTTGATCTAGAGCATCCTTCTCCTGAGTCTGCTTCTGTGCCACTCGAGTCCGTTGACCAGATCCGCCATCTGACCGTCTGACCTTTTCCATTCTCCGTCTGAGTAGCCTGACTGCCTCCAGAGCCCAAGCAAGAGCGGCGAGAGGCTCTCGATAGACAAGAGTCACAGGAGGCTCAACACCTCGACTGACTCCAGTGGTGTAAAGGGCGGAAAGTGAGATGCAGGCGGAGACGCTTCCAAGGGTGGCCGCTCGTATCAGCAGAAGCAGAGCCAGCGACGGCGAAGCAGAGAGGAGAGCAGCCTGTCGTCCACAAAGGGAGACCATCTCAGCCAAAGGTCTTAGAAGCAATCGCCAAGGGGCCTCACTCACCTTTGCTTCCCACTTTAATCTTCCAGTATCTGTCGCAGCTTCGATGACCTCTTCCGTTACCTCCTGGACTTTCAGACGCTCCTTAGCATAGCTTCTCGTGCTTCCATGTCGACCTGAATGCGATGCAGCGCTTCTCCCTGTACTTCCCGCAAAGTCCCGAGCAGAGTCCGAGGTTTGTACAGCCGTGAGAGGCACAGACGAGGGTCCTGCCTGCGAGGCACTAGAGGTTGCTCTTGCCCTTGTCCCGGCAAAGAGATTCTGCAAGTTGGCAGTGGCCGCCTTCTTCGCCTGGTCAGAGGGGCCTCCGGCAGAATTGCCAGTCGAGCTTCCTTCTCCCCTTGTCCTGCCACTCAGATCCTGCTCAACGAGCCCCTGAGCTCCTGCTGCGATCCCCAGGCCTTTCTGAGCGCTGAGAAGCCTGTATCGCGAAGCCAAGAGCGAGTAATGCACCTGAGCCGAGACGTTGATTGTACTGGAAGCCGTCGTTGCATTGGACCAGCCGATGGAGCTTCCGGGCAGGATTGGCCGCGCATGGGTGTCGGTAGTCCGAAAGGAGGAGAGGGTCGAGAGGGAGGTGGTCGAGGCTGTGCGGGGGAGGAACATCGCTCGGTGTGGGGGAACAGCGATGGCCTAGGCGCTGTAGCTTGATCAAGGTAGGAGCAAGGGGCGCTAAGGTGACCTCGGGGCGATCGGGGACATGCGGGCGATGCCAAGATAGTATCTGGAGAAGAAGAGCCGGCGTCTGCCTTTATGGTCTGTGAAAGTCTGTTGCAGATGGCCGTGGGGTGCCGTCCTGCCAGTGGCTGAAAGCTTTGAGCTATACGTTCGGACTGCAAGGCTCCTATCCACGAAGATGTGGGCTGGTATACGGAATGGAAGTGTAGCAATGTAGGGACCTGGCGATCGGCATTGATGTGATTGCCTGGGAGCAAAGCGGGCAGCAATCAGGAACAATACAAAGGCTGCCACACGGCCAAGTAGCAACTCCTGGATCCGCGCCCCTGACCCGCCCGCTGCTTCCCAACGCCCACGACAACGCCCAGATCCCATTCCTCCACTGGATTTCTAGCTCCGAATCCACTCGATCACCTCAATTTGAAATTCCTGTCAGAAGTCTGCCCGCACTCTCTCTCGTACCCGACTTTATTCAGGCTAACCAACACCGGTACTTTTCAGACTTCAAATGACGGCCGTGTCAGGGACCAAGGTACAAGCGCAGTCGACGCGATAGCATGTCTTTCAGTCGCGCCTACAGTGAAAAGTTCATCAGCAGGAGCCAGAGTCCCAGTCGATCTCTTACCTCGAGTCGCGAGTTTTTGGATCCTGAACACTACCGCGATGAGCACCTCGGCGGCATACATATCTTCGTGAACAAGTTGAAAGCAGAGCAGTGGCCTAAAACGGCAGGCTCGAGTGGGAGCTCGATCATGAGAAGTCACCACGTGGTCTCGCTTCCCGTCGCGCCGCAGATCAAAATTGGGTGCTTCCCGCTAGCTGTCACCCGTGCCGCTACGGAAGAGAGCGCAGACACCGTTGTCCGGTGAACATGTACACACTCAGGAGTCAAATTAAGCAAGTAGAGTTAGAGCAACTGTGTATTAATCATGTCGTATTGTACAATGGTAGGCAAGACAGCTGATGGTGCTGTGGCCGATGTCGTCGAGAAGCCGAGACTGATGATGTGGATGGATATAAATGTACAAGTCGTCATGTCAAGTCAAGTGTTTTGGGTACTTCACCCGTTTACTTTTTTCTTCCTCCATCCCTCTCCCCTTCCCCCTGGTGTCGCCTGTCATCTAGATCTCAATCCTTGAATCCGGTGTTCTTGATGTTCTTCCTGCTTCTAGCTTTGAGTGCCTCGACATCGAAGCCTTCAAGAGCCCAAACGGCCTCCTGTCGGCTAACACCCTCCTCGCCGTTGGGTAGGAAGAGGGAAGGGATTTCTGCGGTGGCAGCGACCCTGAGTGCGTGTCGCCTGCAAGAAGGGTCTGGCCTCCAGTGGTCAAAGGTAGCTGCATGGTTGACGACGGCGTTGTTCCAGAGGACTAGGGTGTTCTTCTCCCAGCGCACCCTCAGTGTGAGATTGGGATCGACATTCATCAGGCTGTAGAGCATGTTGAGAATGGCGTCCGACTCGCTCTTGGGGACACCGACGATGTGACGAGTGAAGGCCGGATTGACGTAGACGCTCTTCCAGCCAGTAACAGGGTTGGTTCGCACGAGAGGGTGCTCAGTCTCGACGGCTCCGCGACGCAGGTGGAGGCCGGCCTTGGATGCTCCCTCCGATTGCTCCACGCCAGAGTGAAGGGCAGTGAGCGTCTCGAGGTACTCTCGCATGGGCGGAGACAGGGCATCGTAGAGTCCGTAGCAGGATGAGAAGAGTGTGTCGCCACCGCCGTGAACAGGGTTGGTGAGGTTGTAGAGGGCGGTGAGACCGGGTGGGTTCTTCTCGAAGGAGACGTCGGAGTGCCACAGCTCGGTAGCGGTGTAGAGAGTACCGGTAGGCCTCATGTTCTCGTCATGCCAGATGGTGTGGATATCGTCGAGTGATGTGTCCTTCCACTCGCGTGCTCGAGGGACGCCGGAGGAGGGGTGCTGGTGGAGCGGGCGCTCTGTGTGTCCATAGTAGCGGCCGAGCTTGACCAGCTCATCGGCCTCGAGATGCTGGCCCCTGAGTACAACTACGCCTCGCTCTGCTACTAGTCGTGCAAGGTCATCCTTCTGTGCCTCATTCAAGTCCTTGACTTGGAAGCCAGACAGCTCAGTGCCGATGTTAACGCTGAGGTTGTCGACCTTGTCCACTACAGAAAGAAGGTTGCGCTTGGCTGAGTCTCCGAATGTTCCGCGGTCGACGTAGTTGTCAAGGGGCTGGTACTCTTCCGTGTTGATGTCAGTGGGGAAGGAAGGCTTGAGGTGAGCGTATGGGTACTGCTTGTCAGCCTCGGTGTCGTCAGCGGAGAAGGGGTTGTGGTAAGGATTGAAGTCCTTGATCGTGGAGCTCTTCTTTGCTGCAGTGGCGGTAGTGTCTGTCGTGAAAGTTGTGACTTGGCTCACGGGCTTGGTGGCGAGGTAAGTCTGACCCTCGGGGGAGTAGCGTGGGGGCGGTGATGTCGATACTTGGGCCATGACTGCCAAGAGACGAGCTCAAAGATACGGACGAGGAGTATACGATGTTGTATGAATGGGGAAAGGAGCTATACTTGGACCAGCCACCACTGTTGGCTTTCTTATACCTCCAGCTGTCCCCTTCCATACGCCATCCATCGGCCTCTGGTCATCTCGGCCCGCCCATGAGGGCCACCAGGATCGACTGGGCGGGCTGAGCGTCGTGCTATGGTGCCATATCCCCGTGCAAAGTGGTGAGTGGAGTCCGAGGCCCGACAGGCAGCAATGGCGAGCGGAGGCCCCAGCGCGTCGTGATCGCACGCCATCTCGCTTGCCTATCACGCCATTCCTCCCGCGCCTGGCGTCCACTTCGGACCTAAAAAGTCGGCCCGGAGGATACGCTCAAAAGGGAGGCTGCTGGGAGCTCGAGGGAGCTCGTGAGCTCAGAAGCTATTTCGGCCAGAATTGGCTACACTCAAGCCCCTTGTTTCTGATCACTCTCCCGCTTGACCTTGCCTTGGCAGCGGCGCACATCACGCCGCTCGTAGGTTCGGTTGGAGGCAGCGGTCCAAGCAACGAGCAATGCATGGTTCGAGATATCTATGGACCTGACCACTTGCTCTCAAGTATAGCATAGGGCGCCTCCCTCTATTCATTATCGTCAAGTGGATTGAGCTAGATGCTACAGAGTCGTGCAGGTATCAGGGGCTGTCGAACAACCTCTACTGACTCGTGTGAACCGAAATTCCTTGCACACTATCTTCGTTGAGACTGAAGCTCACGCGAAGCCCTCCCTTATCTTTGCCGCCCGCTCCTTGCTCCTGAGGAAGGCTATCCGATCGTCGTACCGACGGACGACATCTCTCTTCCCGCTCTCGACAATCTCGAGCTCGTTCCGCAAAGTCTTCAGCTGCGAAGAGAGCTCCCAGGCTGTTTGCTCTGCGTTGCGCCCAGTGTCATGGACTTGAGCTGTTGCAGATAGTGCTCGATGGGCATTAGCGCGAGGTGTTGTGACAAGCGGACCGTCAAGCCGACGAAACGCCGAGGGCGGCGTGCTTGGCGGCTCCTTTCTCCTCCTAGGTAGTACAGCCGCCTTATCAGTGCTTACTGGCCGCTCTCCCGTCCGTAGCCAATGCAATCTGGTCGCAGCGTCACCCTCACCATCGGCCGAAGCGTCCCCCTGTAGTAGACTCCTTCCTTTTTCGAGCACATTACTCTCCAGAACGTCGAAAGCCTTTGTGACCCTATCTCCTTCTGCTTGCAGAACCCTAATCTCGGCCTGTATCAACTCGCTGCTCTTCTCCCTGTACTCTATGTCCTGCTCGTCCAAGCCGACAGCCATGGCGAGAAAAGACGTGGAAGCGACGGGAATAGGCGGGACGTCTGCGCCAGCAAGTATCGATGCGCCATTTGGTGTCCTTCCCTTCTCGTCATTGGGAGACGATGGCGGATCGTGCTTGCGTGCCGATGCACTGGTCAATTTGAGGCTCTTGACTGACCTGGTCTCCTGCACAATCCGCTCCAGCTCTCGCATCCTTTCTTGTTCCTCCTCCTTTGTTGGGCCTCGGAACCTCCTCTTTGACGAGACCTGTGAAGATGCAATGGAAGCAGGTCCAGAGCGAGGTGAACGTTCTTTTCGTAGCAAGCTGCCCAAACGCGATGGAGAGTGCGAGGCGTCTGTGAGGAGACTTCTCCGGTCCGGGAAAGGTGATGAAGTGGTCGAGTTCGCCGAATGAATTGAGCTCGAAGATTGTTTTAGGTGTGCCCGCTCCCGATCGGAACGTGAAGGCGATGAGGCCGACGCAAGCTGTTGAGCATCGTGTTGGCCAGTACCTCCTGGCTTACTGACGCCTCGACGCTCACGCAAGCTCGTAGATGGTAGAGCCGCCTGCGTATCATTAGGGTCACCCACTTCTTCGGGAAGCCTCCTTAGACCACCAGAGATGGCAATCGGCCCGCTTGTCGACGGCCCAGCATCCAGCGCCGAGCCAGCTTCTTGCGAGAAGGATGTCGATATCGCGCTACCGGTGACAGACACAGCTAAACTTTTCTGCGCCACCTCAAAGAGACCTTTGCGAAGAATGCGATACTCCGCGTCATTCAGGAGGCCATTGCCATGAGAGATTGCCAAGTCGCTCAGCTCAGAAGCTAGAGCTATGGGCGACATCGCGGGCCGATGACTGGCGTTTGAAGATGCGCAGCTCTTTGGTAATAGTGCTTGACGCATCGGATCTGCCACGGACTCGTCAGCTGATGGCTTGAAGCTCAGGACCGGTAGAGAGGCCTTTCTTCTGAGTCCTCTGAACATGCTGCCCAAGGTCACACTAGTAGCGCTAGAGGCATTGCCACGCTGCAGGCTATTCACAGTGGCCGTTCTCCTTGGAGGCGCTTGCGATTCTGCGTCGTCAGACATCGGGAGCCAAGTTGCTGTTGCGCCTGAGTCCTTCGCGCTCGCGTCCGCGGAGCACTTTGATGACAACATGTCAGGATGTTGTTCAAGGGCCTCTAGGAGAGTTACGCGGGAGTCATTGATGGTGCGATTCGTACAGCTTCCATCGCTCAAGCTTTGTGTTCTTGAAATCTCGCCCCTCATGACCGCCTCTTTGCGTTCAGTGCCGTCGGTCTCCTCGTCTCCATTCGCGTTCGTGACCACGAACACCGTTGGATGGGGCGTCTTCTCGAAGACGGCTTCGTCGTGCTTAGGGGGTACACCTCGCCTCCTGAGCGGCACTGTGTTCGCATCATCGTAGGAGGCTGCTCTTCCAAATATCACACCAGGCCCTGATCTCGCTCCTATCGTTCCCCATTTGGCATCATTCCCGCCACTGGTGGTCTTGAGCGATCTCCTAGAGCTGGACGAGTCAGTCCTGCTCAGGCTGAATCGAGTCTTGTTGCGTGCCCAGCTGGAAGGCGGGGCTCGGCTAGCTGGAACAGAGCCAATGTCGTGTCCGGCCCCACTGCCGCTTCCGCTGCTCTGACCAGCAGAGGGTAGGCTGCGCTCAGCACGAGACCGCGATTGCCCGTATGTGGTGCTTGAAAGTGGCAAGGCAGGGTAGTAGAAGTCTTCATCGTCTTGCTGCTGACGAGAGGATAGGGCGTGCGTAGAGTCAGAGTGCAAGCCTCGCACCGAGGGAGCCGTGGAGGGGCGACGGGTGAGGAAGGCCTTCATTCAGGCCTTCGTGCGCAGCTTTGCCAGCTTGGTGTGCACGACCACCGAGAGGTGGAAAGCCGGGGACAGTACAAATGAGGTAGATATAAGGGAATGCGCTCAGGAGATCCTACTCCGGGATGTCAGGCTTCTCCTGGGCACCGAAGGAGGTCCGACCACTGTCGATCTGGCGCGGCAGAGGAGATAGGAGTAGGTCGAATCATGAGGCATGAAACGACTCCTAGTCAGATCTTGAGAGCAAATCATGAGCAGCATTCGATCGGTCAGGGCAGGTTCAGGGCAACTCGAGTCAATCAGGGCGTCAGTCCAGCGCTGGATAGCTTCAGCAAGGTGTGAAATCATGAAGTCAGGTACAAATTTAGACAGGCACACCATTGACGGCCTCCTGCTTCCGTCTCCGATCATGTGGAGAGCAACACAAGCCCCGCCGAGTGTTGTAGAGAGCAACACTGGTCGGATCCCGGCGGGGAGGGAAATCAATGTAGAAGGCAGACCTCAAAGGAGAGAGCGACATCGTTGAATAGCATTACATTCCGGCCACGACTTAGTTCAGCCCATATGACACACGTCTACTGCCTTTGCTCTGCACCATCTCCTCCACAGGTTCGGATCCTTCTCCCTCTCCCCCCTCTTCTGCAGAGCCATTGATCATCTTGTCCCCACCGTGAGGCGTGCCAGGCGCCGGGCTCGAAGCGCCACTAGTACCTCCACCATAACCAGGCGTCACGACGCCGACCCATTCCCAACACCTGCTGTACTCTCCCTTCCACTTCTTCATACCCACGCGCACATTCGAATTGCTCTCCACTTGCTTCGAGACCCCACTCCAGATGCTTTTCCTCACTACGGCAGAGACGCCTCTGGCTGCAGGTAGCATCAGGTCTCGCAAGTGGTTGGCAGGCAGGTGGGAGGGTTGCGCATTGGAATGCAGCGAGACCATCTGCTGCTCGGCCAGACGCTGCAAAACTTCCGTTGTGAGCTCGTCGATCTTGTGAGATTCGAAGCGAGATCGTCGCAGACGATTGCGAGTGTAGAGGAGCGCGAGTGCGGCCGACAGAGCCGCTACGATGTAGAGGAACGTAGCTCTGAAGAGGGAGCGCAGTGCAAGTCGCAGCCGGCAGCCGAGAGGGATAACAGCCAGAGAAGCAGCCGGGAGTAGCAGGACGATTGAATCTTGACTGGACGAGGCTTCTGAATTTGACTCCCTCGGCTGGGTAGAGACCGTCAAGCGCTTCGCAAGTCCTTCAGTCTCCAGCTCCTCGATTGCACTATCCCACAAATGCGAGAAGTACTCTTCTGACGAAACAGCAGCTTCATCTCGAAGGTCCAGCAAGGCTTGGAACAGTTGCTCCTCCCTTGCTGCAAATTTCAGGCTCGCCTTGTCCTCCTCGGAAAGCGAGAGGTCCTCCCGCTGGCCAATAGTGGCGATCAAAGACGCTACTTCTGGCTGGGGCCGACTGCCGCAGGTCACAGCCCCTCGCCAATTGCCCAGCTGACGAGCAATCTCTCCCGCCAGTTCATCAATCATTTCCAGTCGACGACTGTCGGTGTGACATCTCTCCGACTGCCATTGCAGAGGTAGGAGCGAGCGAAGGATAGGCACACTTGACCAGAGGGAAGGACGATGAATGTACTCATCGGATAGACACGATCTGAGATCTCCCCCTGCGCACAAAGCATGAGGAGGGCAGGGAGTGCAACCGGGACGAATCGCATTGGGCACCAGATCCATGAGGAGAACCGAATCGGCTTCATCGTCTGCAGAAGCATGGTCTCTGATGTGTCTCCTCCTGTCATAATCGTCTATCCGAGTCTCGAGCAGAGCATTGCTGTCCGAGGCTATATCGCAGTATCCGATCGTCTTGCTATCCCGCACATAGTAGATCCACCACCCGATGAGGGCAGCTGTGGCTAGCCAGCGAAGGACAGCTGCTGCCGAGGGGGCGCTATTGGTGCTCATCGGCCGTTTCCGCTTTGAGGATACGAGCGGCCGCCTCCTTCCGCGAGCTTTTGAGGGGGTCTCATCCTCTACCTCGTCCTCTTCGTCCTCTTCACTGTCTTCTACATCGTCGGCGAGGCCGGACACGTCTGCATCAGCTCCTTCGTCTGGGCTGTCGAAGTTGCCAGTGATGGTACTGGTCATACGCTTCACAGCGCCGCTCGTCTTTCTCAGGGTCCCATTGACCCCATCTGTGACCTTGCGCGGAGGTGTTGCTTTGGCGACGATAGGATCCATGTAATTTTGGAAGACGGAAGAGACTGATCGCGAGGACGGAAGCGAAGGCGCTTGAGGTACTGATGATGTAGGTTTCCGAGCCGAAGAGCTGGCTAGGCTTGAAGGGTCGATGGTCTGGAAGTGCGGATGAAAGGGTGGGTCAGAGTAAAGTCGGCCAAACAAAGCACATCACCATTTCACGCACCTTTCTTCTGGCAGCTGGCGCCTCGTCTTTGACTTTCGTTGTCTTTCGCGTTGAAAGTTCGGCTCCTGCACTCTTCCTGGCCTTGTTTACGCCTCCCCTGGGCTTTGGACTGGCTTCATTGCCACTGCCCGTCTGGAATACATTCTGATCCGAGAAGTTGCCAGCTTCATCCTCCTCTTCCTCTTGTTTAGCGAAATTACCTCGCGTCTGCCCCGGCGTGCCAAACGTTTCCTCCACTGCTTTGACCAAAGCTGGCTTCCTGGCGGACGTTGGCAAGCGGATGTTGCGAGTTGCGAGGAGAGAGCGCAATTCCGGTACTCGGAGGTCAGACGCGGTGAAGTCCGGATCAGCGGGATCCACCACGCGGCTGGGTGTCGAGGGAGTGGGTGGCATGCCGAGTGCCGCCGGAGGATGGATGTCGAGACAAAGACGGAGTGGCGGTGAGGAACGAGGAATGGAAAGGGAGGCAAGAAAGGGAAGAAAGAGAGAAAGAGGGCGACACACGGAAGTAGGAATGGCAATTGACAGGACGTGGAAGCAGAGCGGGGCGGAAGCAGTGCCTGTGAGCGAGGCACGTCACGTCCAGCGACGGAAAGGGAGAAAGCTGAGCTCAACTTCCGCCGCGAGAAGGTGTTGGACGCCGTGCGCCTGTCGTCCTGGTCAGCATACCTTGCCAATTGAAACATCCTTCATCACCTGAGCTGATCGTCGACCGAGAGGCCTCACTCAGGCTTTCTCTCGCGCTCAATGTACCGCAGCGGCGGAAGAGGGACATTCAAGCCTCCGTCCTTCTTACAGCGGACTGACAGTGCTGGTAGTGCATCAGCGGGGCCCTCTGCACCTCGGTATGCTTCAGGTGAGACGCCAGACCGCCCTGTGGCACCCCTGAAGAGGCAGTCCACCACCTCAACCATCTATGATAGAGGCGAAGTTGGCGAAGTGGACGATGAGACCCGGACATCGACAAATCTCACCCCTCAGCGAGGGCAAGCCATCAGCGCCCAGACGCCACCCATGTCCCGCCTCTCCTCACTCACACGGCAGAGCGGCGGTAGCACGGCCCCGCAAACGCATAGAAGCCCAGCAAGTGGATCTTCTGAAAGCGAGGAGTACTACATGTGCACTTGGAGGAAGCCTCAGGGGCGCAAGCATAAGACATGGGACGGTGACGCCGTGCTGATCGTTAATCGAGCTCAGGGGACCTGCAAGCTCAAGTGCCAAGAAAGTGGAAGGGAGCTTGGATTCAGCAATAAGATCGTAGCTGAAGACTTGGGCGGAGGCGAAGAGCTCACTGTGGGAGGCAAGGAGATCGAGATCGACCGTCAGATCTCCCATCGAGAGTATTTGTCCGGTATCCCTGGCCAGCCAATCTATCCTCCCAAGAAAGTCAAGGCCAAGCAAGCTGATTCGCGTGCGATCTCCGTCCAGTCTACTACGCCTGCTTCGTCACGTGCGCAAGGGCTTCTTGCAGCCGCGCCTTCGGCCTCCTTCTACAGCAAGCCTCTTCCTCAGCCACGGTCGAAGCAGAATACCGAACGGCTCTCCCCCGAGGTGGGACGTGCTCTGCAAGAGGAGTCGAGCCCCAAGAAGGCATCCTCAAGCTCTAGCAAGAGTGCTGCAACAGCCGTCCAGCCTCGACCCCACGGTCTCTTCAATCCAGAGACTCAGCCCGAGCCACGCTACGACCCGAACGCTTCTGGAGCAATCGTATTGAAGCGACCTGACGCAGATCACCAAAAGAAGTACAACCGCAGAAATCTTCCCATCGTCGATGTCGTCGTCAATCCGATCCTGTCGGAAGCTTTACGCCCCCATCAAGTTGAAGGCGTCAAGTTTCTCTACGAAAGAGTCACTGGCATCACCGATGTCAATGGTCAGAAAGGCGCCATCCTGGCTGACGAGATGGGACTGGGTAAGACACTACAGACGATTACCCTCATCGAGACGCTTCTGCGCCAGAGCCCTTATTACACATCCAAGCCTTGCGTCATTGAAAAGGCTCTCGTTGTTTGTCCCCTGTCGCTCGTCAAGAATTGGAAGCGGGAGTTCCGCAAGTGGCTAGGCCCAACGACGATTGGCGTGGTCGCTGTCGACGGCTCCAAGAGTAAGGAAGCCACGCAGCGCTTTGTCACCTCAAGGCGAGATCAAGTGCTCATCATAGGCTACGAGAAATTGCGGACCTGCATCGACATTCTGTCGACTGCTCAGCCGCAGATCGGGCTGATTGTCTGTGATGAGGGACACCGTCTGAAGTCGAAAGACACGAAGACGAACAAGATCTTCGCACAGCTCTCTACAAGTCGGAGAATCATTCTGACCGGTACACCAATTCAGAACGACTTGTCGGAGCTCTACGCCATGATCGACTTCGTCTGCCCTGGCTTGCTGGGAAGCTACAACTCCTTCAAGGCGATCTTCGAGGATCCCATCCTCAAGAGTCGAGTGCAGCATTGCTCGAAGGAGGTGCGAGACTTAGGTGCACAACGCAGCCTCACGCTCTCCACAGTGACGCAGCTCGTCGTCATCCGCCGGACAGCAGACATCCTCGATGGCTTCCTACTGCCCAAGAATGAGACGGTCATCTTCTGCAGTCCATCGAAGCTACAGCTTGAGCTCTATCGACGAGTGCTCAAGTCGACGGAAGTGAGGGCATTAACCAGTGGGAGCGCTGGAGGATCAGCTCTTCCCCTTATCACGATGCTTCGACAGATCTGTGACTCTCCTGAGCTTCTGCTGAAAGAAGGCATGGCGTCTGGCAGCAGCAACGGCACTTTAGCCGGCGACCTGCTGAGCGATGCTCGTCACCTCTTCCCGTCGAGGAAAGTCACCGGAGACGAGAGTCTAAGTGGGAAGCTGACTGTCATCAGTCGGATGCTAAAAAAGATCAAGTCGACGACGGATGACAAGGTCGTCTTAGTCTCCACCTTCACCTCGACATTGGATGTGCTGGAGGCATTCTGCAAGAAGCTTAGGTACCCGTATGTACGTCTCGATGGTCAGACGAAGCAGGATGACCGCCTAGACATTGTCAACACCTTCAACCGTTCGCCAGTCAGATCATCCTTCGTCTTCCTTCTTTCTACCCGGGCAGGCGGTGTGGGTCTGAATCTGATCGGAGCCAACCGTCTCTTCCTTCTCGAACCAGAATGGAATCCGGCTCTAGATCAACAAGCGATGGCCCGTATCCACCGCGATGGTCAGCAGAAGCACTGCTTCATCTACAGGATGATGCTGAGCGGAACAATGGACGAGAAGATCTTCCAGAGGCAGATCACAAAGCTTGGCTTGTCCGATACTCTCATGAACACTTCTTCGAGCAAGGACAAGAAGAATGTCGGTCGTGGTGGCGATTCGGGCAAGAGGGGTAAAGGAGGAGATTCCTTCTCGCAGGAAGAGCTCAAGGATATCTTCACATTGCACGAAGACACGCCTTGTCTGTGTCACGATCTGCTCATCTGCACATGCGGTGGTAAGGGTGTGCTCATTGGCGAAGGAGAGCAAGGAGGTGAGGGCGATGGAGAGCACAGCTCGGACGAGGATTCTCCGCCGCCCCCGTCTTTCATCCCTGCCTCCATGCAACAAGCTACGCGCGATGTCCAGGTAAGTCATTGTAGAAAAGTGCAGGGATGCCAATCGTCCCGCAAGACCATCTGCTCACTTCACAACCTCTCCTCTCTCGTCTGCTCATCGCAGCTCGCAAGGGAAGCCCGCTCCCGTCTCGCCGGTCTGGCCGACTGGCGACACGTGGACCTGACGGATCCCGCCTCCTTCACCCCTCTCAACGACGAGATTATAAATGCCGTCGTGTCCGCCCAGGCTCCCATGCAGGGGGTTTCATCCGCCGTCAAGCAAGGCAGCAATGCTCTGCCAGGCGGACTCGACGATGACGAAGAGGAAGACTTGATCTCCCCAACCCCCGAGGAGACAGATGATGATGCTTCACACAAGGGCAAGTCGCTCCTAGAGCTGGCAGACTTGGATGTGCTTGAAGCGTCTGTTGCCCGAGATGCTCGCAAAGCCGCTGCTGCAGCAGCTGCTCTCAAGCGTCGGCAGGAAGAGGAGCGCGAGCGGGAGCGCGAGATGGCGATGGACAGCGGTCGGCGCTACTATGCCGGTGGGCGTGCAGCTGGGTGGGACATTGGTCTCTTCGAAGGTGGGAGCGTACTGTATGCCTTTACGAAGACTTCTGGAGCTACCAACACTGGGCTCGAGGAAGATGAAGAGGACGAGGAGGAAGGGGAGTCTAGGATTACTCCTGTCCTTGAGCAGGAAGAAGAGGTTGGATCTGCAAAGGCTACTGAGGCGGATGAAGGTAGTCAGGAGGTCCTAGCTGCCGGTAAGGGCAAGGGGAAGAGAAAGAGGAGTGCTCGCTCTTCGGCTCGATTGCTGGATAGTGAAGAAGAAGAAGATGCGGAGGAGGAAGACAAGGAGGAGGAGGAGGAGGAGGAGGAGGAGGAGGAGGAGGACAACGATTCGATCATGGATCTTCTAGACGCCGAAGAGGAGGAGTGAAGATCGTCGCAGCAGAGCATCTGCAATTCAGTCACCATGTCACACATCTCACTAGGACCGTCATTCACCACATACGCATACGCTGCATACTAGAAGCGTAGTGCCCTTTGTCGAATCCAGCAATAGCAATATGTCATTGGCAAATGTGTATGTGTATCAAGTATGTCGCGTGGCAGCAGCAGAAAAAGGAGGCTGGCTCATAGGGCCGGCACGAGGTTGTGTTCTTGCACTGTCGGATCGCAAAATTAAAGAGGACGAGCAGGGGGGGAGGTCAGTCATCCCTTTTCTCTGCCAGTCAGAAGAGGTCCTCACACTACAAGCCCAAGTGTAAGCGAAGGGGCTGCTCTACTCACCTCGGACAATAAAGTTGAGGAGTACAGCAATGAATAGGGCGGCGCAGATGAGGGGTGGTCCGATGAGATCGTCTGTGAGGCCAGAAAGGACCGATGTCAGGTCCCGAGATCTCCCCTTAGCCACCTTGTCGTCCCTTTGTCAGTCGACTCACCAAAGCTGCCCGCATACCTCGTCTTGATCAAATGCACCCTCCTCAGATAATTCCCCAGTCCCCAGCTCAATGTCAATACTGCAATTCCCGCATACACTAGTGCAAATGCCCTTACGGTTCCTGGGTTGAGGGGAGGGTTACGCTTGGGGTGTTTGGGATGGGTAGGGTCTTCGGGAAGGTCGGGGTGGTGGTGTGAGAAAAAGGAAGAGGAGTTGAAGAGGGCGAGGGCGAAACTGCCGATTAAAAGGGAGACGTGTAGCCAAGAGATCCAGGTGCGCTACGAGGAGAGGAATGGGAGCAAAGGTGAGCGGTGAATTGCCAGTGCCAGACAAGTCTACAGCGGCGTCGTCTACTCACCTCGTTGGCCAACCAGACCTTTGTCTCTACCCTCACTGGCGTCTTGATCCTGGGCGGCTTCGGCACAACGAATCGTTGCGAAGGTCCCGCTGTACCGTATCCTGCTGCTCCTGGACGCTCTCCTCCTAGATTAGCCAGAAGAGGTTCCCGCTCTGATGACGGACCTGACGCTGCTGGTGATGAGGCTGATGTGGACTTTGAGCCAAAGATGGATTCGAGAACCATTGTGAGTGAAATGGGACCAGGGGACGAGAGGAGACGCTAGCAAGATGAGATGGAGGGATTGGCTCCACAGGGGTGTAGTGCGGGATGATAGGAGCTGTGACCGAAGGGCCAATAGAAGCGGACTGGGACGAGGGAGGGTAAGGATGAAGAACCTCGGAAGGTTTTGGAGGCTGGTGAGATGCAGAGTGCTGCTGCTGCCGCTGCTTCTGCTGCTGGTGCTTCCGACTTTGCTGCGATTGATCGAGGAGTGACAGGACAAGAGGGGCAGCGGGTAGACTCACAGTGGCCGGTAATCCTACCTGGGTCTCCTTCAAGGCAACGTGCGCCCCCGGAACAGAACAAATGAGGCGCAGATATCGGAACGGAAGGAGGAAGGGTGGGTGGGTGAAAGCCATGCGGGGGGTCGAGGGTCATCTGGCCGCGCGCATGGCCGCCCTGTCCGTGCTGACCCGGCTTTGCTAGCAGAGGCGCAGGACAGAGGCACAGGCAGCAGCAGCCACGCCTGGCATGACGCCTTGGCCCGTCGCATGTTGATCTTCCTTCGTGTCCCTTCTTACCACTGCCTCCCACCCACCTACCAACCATCACCACCTCATCCCACCTTCACCAAATACGTGAGTACTGAGCGAGAGCCGCACGGCGCACAGCTATACAGCTAGCACTACCACACACCCTCCCAATCTCACACCCACGCACCCCAACCCACTGACATCCCACCCTCCTCCACTCTCGCCCCACCCCTCCCAGCCATACCCTTCAAGATGACCCAGCCAGTTCCCCCCTCGTTCAAGGATGTCGGAAAGTCGGTAAACGACCTCCTCGGCAAGGATATGTGAGTGAGAAGATGATGAATACCTCGTAGCCCTCACAGCCATCTCTCGCCATTGCTCATTCTCATCACCATCACCCTCCCCACCGCACAGCCCCATCCACGGCTCTACCCTCGAGGTCAAGACCAGGACCCCCTCCGGCGTCACCTTCAAGGTCCTCGGCGTCCGTGACACCAAGTCCGGTGCCATCTCCGGCGACCTCGAGGCCAAGTTCGAGGACAGGAAGAACGGCTTCAACCTCACCCAGGCCTGGTCCACTGCCAATGTCCTGCGCAACCACATCGAGCTGGAGAACCACATTGCCAAGGGACTCAAGCTCGAGCTCATCTCCAGCCTCCTCCCCGACAAGCAGGCAAAGAATGTCCTCGTCGCTTCCACCTACAAGCAGCCAGGTCTCCACACCCGCCAGTTCCTCGACCTCTTCAAGGGACCCATCTTCACCGCCGACGCCGTTCTGGGCCGTGACGGTTTCCTGGCTGGTGCCGAGGCATCGTACGACGTAAAGGCCTCCAAGGTCTCCAAGTACAACCTCGCCGCCGGCTTCAACGCCCCCGAGTACGCCATTACCCTCCAGGGTCTGGGCAACCTCTCCACCTACTCTGCCTCGTACTACCACCGTGTCAATGCCGACATTGAGGCTGGTGCCCGAGCCACCTACGACTCCAAGTCGGCCGCCGACGGAAGGGTCAACCTCGAGGTGGGATCCAAGGTCTACCTCGACAATGCCGCCTTTGTCAAGGCAAAGATCAACAACCTGGGTGTCTTCTGCCTCGGCTACACCCAGGCACTGCGACCTGGTGTCAAGGCCTCCCTGGGCCTCGCACTCGACACTGCCAAGCTCGCATCGGCCGAGTCGAGCGCAGTCGCCCACAAGGTTGGCGCTTCGCTCACCTTTGAGTCTTAAATGGCGACAGGATAGCGTTAGAATTAGGGCTGGATAGGGCCGGAAAGGCAGGAAGAATGGGAACAGGGAAGCGTTTGGCAGTGCGTGTCTAGATGTGTGGAGGTGGAAGAAGGAGGTGGAGAAGAGGGCAAGCGGCAGGGGAGGGTCAGGCAGAGGTGCGTCTCGGGGAGTGTCCAAGCAAGGATCGGAGCGCTTGGTCAGGCATAGCACGGCAAGTAGAAGCTAGCCATCCAGCTAGTCGGCCAACGCGGGGCCCCAGCTCTGCCTCCATCTCGACTTGACCTGACCTGGCCTGGCCTAGCACCCTCGCTTCGTCCTCTTCCTCCGTCTCCTTGTACTCCTCGAAATCCTATTCCTCATTCCTCACCTCTCTCTCTCTCTCTCTCTCTCTCCGTTTGTCATTCCAAACCACCACTACTATTCGAATCATTACCTTCCCCTTTTGATGATCAATCTTCTTCCAGCGAGCCAGCCAGCCAGCCAGTCAGCCAGTCAGCCAGAAGAGAATGTAGTGGGAAGCGTTTCCCTCTATCTGATCCCGGCAGTGCCAGTCTGAATCAAGTGAAATCAGGTCTGGGTCAGGGTCAGGGTCAGGCTGAAGGGGGAGAAGAAGAGGGAGTGCAAATGGTGTGCAAGTGATCTTGGTAGACGTTCTCACTCTCACGGATTCTCTATCCCCACTCCCCCACACTTGGTTTTCAGATAGCCTAGTGTACGCAGCCCCGCAGCCCCGCACTCGCACTCGCTCAATCAATCAATCATCCATGTTCCTTCCTTTGCCCTTGTCTTCCCCGTTTCCAATCCCACCAATCGTCCTAGCCCTCGTGGTGCTAGCAGTCGACTCGCTAGTCTCGCCCCCGCCAGAGCCAGAGCCAGAGGCAGAGCCAGCAAGGGCGGTAGATCGGACCGACTTGCCCTCGCCTAAGAAGGAGGAGGAGGAGGACATTGTACTCGTGCTCGTCGTGCTCGTGCTCGTCTTTGCGGCAGCAGCAGCAGCAGCAGTCGCAGCATTTCTCCCGGCAATCGAATTCTCCCTCTGTGCCCGCAGCCGCTTCTCGGTTGCTTCGAGGAGGGCAGAGCGCTTCCGTGCCTGCTCGGCGGATTCTGCGCTGCTTGCACCCCTGGAGGTAGCTCCACTGCTGCTACTGCTACTGCTATTTCTTGCGTTGCCGTCTTGGAGGAACGAGGGGAGGTAGGAGGACCAGCTTATACCACCTGAAGCACCACTGCTGCTCCCATCCCCAATCGACCTTCCCCTTGGAGCGAACATTGTTCCTCCTCCGAACCCGAGCACCTGTCCATCCCTTCCTGCCTGCACCCCCGCATTTGCTGGATCCACCGAGGGAGGGAGAGCCCTCTGCAGCCAAGCTGGAGTGGGGATGAGTCGAGGACCACCGTTGGAGGGGAGGTCGTGCCGAAGTTGGTGGTAGAGGTAGGCTGCGAGGAGACCGGTGGAGGAGTGGATGAAGAGGGGGAGACCGCCGAGGATTAGATCGAAGACAAGGTAGGCGCTGAGCGGGGGCAAATGGGGCGATGCGAGTGTCAACGAGTCAGTGAGCAGTCGTCAGGAGGCAGAGCGGAAGAAGAGAAGGAGCTGCTACTCACTAGGGTAGCAGAGAGGCTGGGCAGCTGACCACTCCAAATAGGGACACGGTAGCTCCTGCATTGGATCGGGCCCACAGGTAATTGATTGCCATCAGCATCGGCTTGAAGAGGACCGTTGATCCTAGCGGGTAGTTGGTTGCCTGTCAGGGGGAGCGCGAGCAGAGAAGCGGAACGCTGTAATCAGTCAGTCTCGACCCTTGTGGGAAGAAGGTCCAATAGAGCCGACTTACGATGATGAGGGATCCGATGACCATGAGTGCCCAAGTGAAATCGGCCGTAGACCGATGAAAGTGATTCAACTCGAGCTCCATCGTGTTCCGTCTGTAAGAACTCAGCAAAGGTGTCAGCTCACTTGTCTTCCTCCTTCCCTTTGGCCCACTTTCCATCTTCCACTAACCCAAGCATAAACACATCAAAGATGATCTGCATATTGCCCCCACCCGTCAAAAAGAAACAAGTAATCAACCGCCATACCTGCTGTTTCTTCAATATTGCTGGCCACCAGAGGAGAAAGGTGTAAGGGTTTGCTAGTTGGAGAATGGGACCCACGGAGACGAGAAGGACGAGACCGACGAGGGAGCGGGTGATGGGTGGAATTTTAAGCCTGGATTAGAGAGGAGAAGAGCGGGAAAGGAGGTGAGTATGGAGAAGAGAAGAGAGAGAAGGAGGAAAGAGGAGGACGAGAAGAGGGGAACTTACAGCTCGTCCATCTTTACCTGCTTTGGCTCTACCTGCTGCGCTATGCCTTCCTTTTCCCTCTACTGGGCCTCGGGGTAAGCCTGCACAAGGCTTAGAAGTAAGTCCTCTTGGCTTGAGCTTGCCGTGAAGATGGCTTTGGTATGCTGCTGATGCTGAGTATGGTATGGATACAAGATCAAAGAGCGACCCTCGGCTCTGAGCTTCCACGTCTCCGCGTCCGAGGAATGCACAGACCAGCGAGCGGATGGACGGAGGCAGGGAGGGACGCAGGGCAAATCGTGTCAAGTCACGCAAGGCGACATTGACGACTCGTCGGCTGCTCAAGGACAGACATGACCAAATGTACATCTTCTCTATTTGTTTGTTTGTCACAGCGTGGTACAGAAACGGGGTATGCGATCCTCCTCTTGCTATATGAACCTAGTCGATCTCAATGGGTTCATCCTTGAACCCGCTTCCCAAAGACGAAGATCCAGCTCCGCCTGATCCTCCTCCTCCGCCCCTTGCACTTCCACCAGCGCTGCTACTCATATTGCGATGTATAGCAGCTCCAAGACTCTTGCGAGCTTGACTCTCGACGGTGGCGTTGCCGCGCTGCTCCTTGCTTCCGCCAGCGCGTCCATTCGTGAGACCAAAGGGCATGACTTCCCACCCGTCTTCATCTAACTCCACACCTGGTATAGAGCTGTAGTCCTCGTCGCTCCTGCTCAGCTGTAGACCCTTGCCGCTCGCGCGGCGGTCGAAGAAGCCCTTGCTGGACTTGCTGTCCGAGGCAGTCCGATCTGAAGATTGTCGAGGTTTGCTCACTTTGCGCTCTTCCTCTGCTTCTTCTTCATCTCCGTTCTCATCCTCGTCAGGTACGATGAAGTCGCCCATTTCAGCCTCGAAAGCAGCGCGCTCCTCGTCCGAGTCGATGAGGTCATCGTCATAGTCGCTGAAGATGTCATCGGCCTCTTCGTCGCTGCCAGCACCCTTCTTGACCTTCTTCTTGCGGCCACTGCCATTGGATTTGCGAGGCTCTGCTGCCTTCTTTACGAGAGGCTTCTTCTTTGCCGCTGGCGATGTACGCCTGGAAGCCTCGGCATCATCATCTTCGTTACCATCGTCTGACTGAGAACCGGATCTCTGAGCCCCACCCTTCTTCTTGCCGCCGGCTTTTCCGCCCTTTTTCTTCTTCTTAGACACATTGACCTCAATGACCTTGCCCATCTTCCGCGCAGCCTCCTCAGACAGGCGCGTGAAGCGGATAGCTTGACGACCTGGGCAGACGTACACATTGACGTTGTATGCCGTAGCATTGTAATCATCGGCGAGGTAGTGCTTGTTGAGGAGAGCGATGATCACCCTCTCTACGTCGTCGCTGGCCAGATCTGTAATCTTTCCGCCGTAAGATTCCATCTTGAGAACAGCAGCCCCACCTCCTCCGCCGCCGCCATTGAAGCGCTTTCTCTTCCCACCTCCACCGCCGGCTGCCACGTTGTACTGCCCTCCTTTCAGTCCGCGGACCAGGTCGGCAAGAGCTGCAACTGTGATTCTGCCTCCATTGTCGTACATCTCCTGCAGAGCATTCACAATCTGCCAAGCATAGAAGCTGACGTCTTGAGCCTCAGGCGGGTCTGTGCAATTATCGCACTCCCCGCACGGCTTATCGCCTTGCAAACTATCTTCAAAGTAGTCTCTGAAAATGAGCTTACGACACCTCGAGCTCTGGGCGTACTCTAGCATAGCTGCTAGCTTCTCACGACCCGCAGGCTCAGAGGCCACGAGACCTGCGACGCGAGAGGCATCCTGTGGCCGATAGAGAAGAAGGCAGTCTGACCTGTTACCATCTCGACCAGCTCTTCCGCTCTCTTGGTAGTAGCCTTCGAGACTTTTGGAGATGCCCGAATGCAGAACGAAGCGCACGTCCGGCTTGTCGATGCCCATGCCAAACGCAATGGTGGCGCAGACAACTCTGATTCTGCCCTCTCTCCACCGGACATGTATTCGATGCTTCTGAGTGTCGTCTACGTCTGCATGATAACAGTCAGCCTTGATGGAGCCCTCGCTCAGCTGCGTTAGTTGCTCAGCCATGGTCTCTGTGTCTTTCTTGCTCAGGCAGTAAACGATGCCAGTCTCTCCTGGATGATGCTCCTGGATCCAGTCGCAGATACTCTGGTAGACGGCTCCAGTCCCAGAAGGACGTGTGAGGACTTGGTAGATGAGGTTGGGTCGATGCAGTGGCGCAGTAAAGTAGACGGTGCGATTCGGCCAGGCAGAGGTCGGCTCTGTTGTAGTTGGCATGCCGAGGGTGCTGAGGACATCCTTCAATACAGAGGGAGAGCAAGTCGCAGTCAAGCACGTCGTCTTGGTTTCTGGGAAGAGCTTTCGCAGGATGGACAGCTTTCTGTAGTCAGGCCTAAAGTCATGACCTTGGTTCGAGCAGCAATGAGCCTCGTCAATGACTACGCGAGCGAGCCTGCCACGCTCGTACGCCTTCTGCAGGGCAGACATTAGCGTCTTGGACTTTGAAATTCTCTCCGGGGTGACAAAGAGGATGTTGATCTCCTCATCTCCATGAAGCTGTTGACCAGTATTCCTGACTCTCCTGAGAATGTCATTTGCCTCGTCTTTGGAGAGAGCGCTGGACATGAACTCGCAAGGGATGCCAGCCTCGCGCAAGTGGAAGCATTGGCTGCAGGGGAAGGTGGGGTTAACGTTGAGTCATACTGCCGAGCAAAGCCTCGCCATACTCCCGTGAGCTTACTCACTCAGTTGAGAGAGAAATAAGAGGCGACACTACGACAGTGACTCCAGGCGACATGATGGCTGGTAGCTGGTAGCAGAGAGACTTGCCACCTCCGGTCGGCATGATGCAAATGACATCGCGGCCATCGAGAACGGCTGGGAGTAGGAAATTTCATTGGTGAGGGTGAGTACGGGATGCTGATCGATAATGTCCACTTCTTGAGTCACTCACCATTTACCACGCCTTCCTGACAATGTCTCCAATTCGCAATGCCCCACGTCTTCTTTGCTCTATTCAGGAGCTCTCTACTCCAAGGAAAGGTACTCTGAGTATAGTCTGTGCCTCCAGACGGTCGAGAAGAGCCTGCAGCCGCATTGTTGCTAGTCGAGGTGGCATCGTGTATCACCTTCTTCCTCTCTTGTTCCAGTGTCCGCTTGAGATTTTGCAGCTGTAGGAGAAATATGCGGTCTGGGTCAGCAGGATTGGCGAGGCTGGCTGAGTGCCTTTGTGCCACCGGGTCTCACCTCTTTGATCTGGGCATTGACGTCTGTGATCTCTGCGTCGATTCTGTTGAGCAGGCGATGGGGCGCTTCAGCCACGTCGTCTCTGACCGAGCCGTTGGGCGAGCAGTCATCACCATCCTTCCCTGCGTTACTCACCTGTCTAGCTCGTCCTGCACCGGCGGTGGTAGAGATGCACGCCCATCTGATGCGCCATAGTCGTCATCATCGTCTATGAAGCCACCATAGCCTCCTCTACCTCCTCCCCTGTTCATCAAGGGTGGCGAAGAGAGATTCTTATCTGCGAGCGACTAGAATGAAGTCTTCCAAGTATGTTGGCGTCACAGATTGGTACAGGGATACTTCGGAAAGAAGGCTTCAGGGCGGAAGTGGGACTCAAGCAAGGCTTCGCTCCACTTCTTCTCACGCGGACACGCCTGCAACACCCCACAGCGCATGGTTCAGTCAGACGTGGCCACGGCTCACTACGCTTGTTCTGCCTAAGAGCAGTTGTCTAGCGCTTCGCATTCATCGCAGGCTCCATACCAAACATCAGAAAACCAGCATTAATCGAAGTGTTCTACATCTTGAGCTGGCTAGGCCTTTGTGTGTGCTCTGTGCGTGCGCGGCGTGGGTCCCCTGGTCTACTTCCGTGGTCCAGTCCGGCGGCGCGTCTTGCCCCGCATTCCACCTCACACTACCCACTACCCATTGCCTGACTCACTCGCAGCTTGACATCTGCCTTTGCCTGATACTTGTCAGCCCACTATGTCTCTACCTTTTCTATCTGCTCAGCCTGCGTCGTGTAGCGATGGCGACATTGAAGACCACCATGGTGGCGCTGGCTGTTCGCAGGGCGACCGGGAACGGTGCATTACCAATGGCACGGCGGTGAGTGAGCAGCGCGGACAGGCAAAGCGCGGCAATCAAGCCCGGCGCACGGCAAAGGCGGGAAAAAATCCCAGCCAAGGGGCGCGACTGACTCCTTCTGGCGGCCAAGAGGATTGCAATCCCATACTCACAACCAAGGACCTTCTTCACCCTCCCACCACCACCTTTTGCGTACACCTCACCCTCACCCGGGTCATACGCCCCCCACCATGGCCTCCTCCGCCCTCTTCCGCACCTCGAACCTCACACGCTCCGTATACCGCACATTCTCACAGTGTCCTCACCATGCCCGCTCCTTTGCCAGCACCAGCAACGTACCCTCTTCCAGACCCGGACCGGGCAACCTGAACAAGTACTCGCGCATCATCACACGTCCAAAGGACCAGGGAGCTTCCCAGGCCATGCTCTACGCTACAGAGGGCATCGATGCCGACGAGGACCTGCAGAGGGCAATGGTCGGAGTTGCCTCGGTGTGGTACGAGGGAAACCCTTGCAACGCCCACATCTTGGGACTGGGTCAGAGGATCAAAAAGTCATTGGTGGACAATGGACTGACAGGCTATCAGTTCGGTACCGTGGGAGTCTCCGATGGAATCTCCATGGGGACAGACGCCATGAGCTACTCGCTGCCCAGTAGAGAGATCATTGCAGACAGTGTAGAGAGTGCAGCTGGAGGTCACTGGCTCGATGGAATGGTCGTCGTGCCCGGCTGTGACAAGAACATGCCTGGTGTGCTAATGGCTCTTGGTAGACTCAACCGCCCAGGAATCATGGTCTACGGAGGAACCATTCGACCCGGAAGCTCCCCCTCTGTTCCCGGCGCCCTGGATATTGTGTCCGCCTTCCAATCCTACGGCCAGTACCTCATGAACGGCAGCACTCCCGAGGCTGAGAAGGTCCGGTACGATACCGTCCGGGCCTGCTGCCCTGGTCCCGGAGCTTGCGGTGGAATGTACACTGCCAACACAATGGCTTCTTGCTCCGAGGCCCTCGGTATGACCCTTCCCGGCTCCAGCTCCTTCCCTGCGGAGTATCCCGAGAAGCACCAGGAGTGTCAGGATGTGGGCGCTGCCATGCGCAATATCCTCGAGAAGGACATCAAGCCTAGGGACATTATGACCAAGGGCGCCTTCGAGGACGCCATTGCCCTCACCATGGTCTTGGGTGGCTCAACGAATGCTGTCCTGCACATGATTGCCATGGCTCACGCCGTGGGCGTAGACATCAGCATCGATGACTTCCAGCGCATTGCCGAAGTGACTCCCTTCCTGGCCGACTTGAAGCCCTCTGGAAAGTACGTCATGGAGGACGTGTACAAGACTCTGGGTGGAATTCCTACAATCATCCACTACTGCATTGAGCAGGGTCTAATGAAGGGAGAACACATGACCGTCACTGGACACACCCTCAAGGAGAACTGCGCCAAGTGGGTCAAGGAGCGCGGTAGGTGGCCAGAAGGACAGGATGTTCTGCGTCCCGTCTCTAACCCCATCAAGAAGACCGGCCACATCCGTATCCTCAAGGGCAACCTCGCTCCAGGAGGAGCTGTTGCCAAGATCACCGGAAAGGAAGGTCTGCGTTTCACAGGAAAGGCGCGCGTCTTCGATACAGAAGACGACCTGGTTGCAGCAGTGGAGAACAAGTCATTGAAGCAGGGAGAGAAGACGGTGGTGGTGTTGAGGTACAAGGGACCAAAGGGAGGACCGGGAATGCCAGAGATGCTCAAGCCTACCAGTCTTATCATGGGTGCCGGATTGGGCAATGATGTTGCCTGTGTCACCGATGGTCGTTTCAGTGGAGGGTGAGTAGCAGTCATAGATCTCCAGCACACTACCAATGCCTCAAGAGCAAACTCTGACGTCACTTCTTCTTCTCTCCTTTCCTCCTCCCTTTCCAGTTCCCACGGATTCGTCATCGGTCACGTCGTCCCCGAAGCGCAAGTGGGTGGTCCCATTGGTCTGGTGCGAGATGGCGACACGATTGAAATCGATGCAGAGCGCAACAGTATTGAACTCGTGGATGTGTCCGAGTCAGAGTTGGCAGAGAGGAGAAAGAGTTGGGTGGCTCCACCACTCAAGGCGAAATGGGGACACCTAAAGAAGTACTCGATGCTAGTGCAGGACGCTTCAAAGGGGGCGGTCACTGATGTGGATCTCTAGAAGTGGTCTAGAGGAGGCGAGGAGGGGAGGAGGGGAGAAAGAGGTCAATAGCATACATGTCCCCTTTTTCGTCTTCTTCTTCTTTTGTGTGTATCATTTGACTCGCAATAATGCCCGACCTACTTGCAAGGTTTATTTCACCTCGATTGCTGGGATTTCCTCTCTCTAGCTAGCCAGCTACTAGCTGGCAGACGTGCCGGAGAGAGAGTACACTCTACTATCACTATCAACAACGTGTTCGAATTTCATCATCATGGAGAGGTGAAGAAACAGAGCAGAGCACAGCGCAGCACAGCACAGTACAGCAGAGGAAGAACAGAGGAAGAAGGTAGTGACAGGGGGGGTCGAGCGAGGGGTAAGAGAACTGAACGAATGAACACATGTGGGAAAGGAGAGTGGTCAGCGGAGTGAGAGTGGAGAAGCCCAAGGGAAAGGGGGGGAAGGGAGGAAATGTGCTATAGAAGGTGGTATCAGTGAGCAAGAAAGAGGGGGGGGGAGGGGGAAAGGGCCGCGTGTTGCTGTTGTGCTTGTGTGTAGGGGGTATGAGGCAGGCAGGTGGGGTATGCAAATGATTGTTCTATCTGTGTATCTTTCAACCCCTATCTCCTTCCCATCTCCGCGTCTATTCGCATAATCTCTCTTCCACGTGTGGTCAAGGTCAAGCCCGCTACTCGACCTTCCACCATCCAGATGTAGTGCTCACTGGCGCTGCACCCGCCGTCGAATCCTTCCTCGGCTCCAGAAACAAGCTGCGCTTGTACAGCTCCTCCGGTCCCCTCGGACGCGAACTCTGACCAGCAGCTTTCCCACTCAGCACCTGCGTGAGGGCATTCTGGATCTCAGGGACCTCGAGGAGGTTGAAAGGGACTTGAAAGCGCTGCAGGCCCTGCACGATCTTGGCATCTTTTGCATACTTGTCAAAGTTGATCAGCTGTTTCGTCTTGTCCAGTGGGGAGGGACGGGTAGCTCCATTGCCCTGGTGACAGAAGGTGATGTCCGTCAGGAAGAGACCCACAAAGGGGAGGGCTGGCGCAGTGGCTGCCCGCAAGCGGGCACGGTAGGCGGAGAAGTTGCGGGTATGCTCGATGAGGTTGCTCTGCTCCTCCATCATGGCCATGTACTTGCTTGGTACAAGGTCCCAGGTTTTCCGCAGACGCCCAATTGTCGAAGCATTGAGGGCACTTTGAATAGCGAAGAGCGCATTGAAGTTGTTCAAGAGCAGACATCGATTACCAAGCTTGATAAAGTACTTGACCAACTGCGCACGCTTCTTGACGTCCGCTTCGTCCAAGATGCACTCGGCAATCCATCCCGTGATTTGCGTCGTGAGGGCACTCATTTGCTTGACGTGCTTTGCACCTTGGGGAATGGCCTTCTTGAAGAGGTCTGATTGACCCACAAGCTCTTCTGGAAGGATGCAACAGAAGATTTTGCTTTCCATGATGGTCAACTGGCGAGCCAGCTCCAGTGGATTCATCTCCAAAACGTTGAAGTGGATTCCGGGAGGCAACATCTTCAACGTGAGCAGCAGACTCTTTGAGACGACTGGCGCCGGCGGCATGGGTGTCATTCCCTGTGCGAAGGCTGCAGGCAGGTACATTGAAGAGATGTCAATGTACCCATACTCCTTCATTTTGCCACGCAGCTTTTCACCAGACACGATCCTCTTGAGGCTACCCGGACCGCGATTGGCACCAGCCGTCAGGACAGTGGTCTTGCCGTCTTTGCAGGAAAGTCTCCTCGTCGCCAACTCGAGCAGTCGTTGAGAGGGCAGAGCCAAGGAAGGAGTCGTCAAGCCTCGAAGGAAGGTGATCAGGGATTCAAGGATGCAGCGATCGGTGACAGGTTGCCAATGGAGCTCGAGCCACATTCGGAAGACATTGAGAACTCGCAGTCGGATCGGCAGAAGCTTGGTGCTCCTCCAGTCCTTCAAGGCTTCGGCATCATTGAGCACGGAGACGGGTGCTGATATGTTAAAACGTGTCAGCAGGGCATCAAACATCGTCTCGGGAGAGGCAAAGACCCTGAAGCACAGGAAGAATGGCGTCGAGAAGTCCGCTGAGACCATTGATGCATGAGGTGTCATCCGTTCGATCAGAGCAGGAAGAGTAGCACCAGTGACCTGACCATCAGCATTGAAGCATATGTCCTCTGCTTTGTAGTCTGGCGCAAAGAAGCTCGCATCGCTTGCGGAATGGATCCTCTTTAGCGCTTCCTTATCGCTACCGCCGGTGGTGAGCGACATCGATCGTAATTTAGTGACAGACAGGAGAGCATCTTGGCTCTTCGCAGACCCAGAAAGACTAGCGACACTGTCTTTATTGCTCAGGGATTGGTGAACAGACGTGCCCTTGGTGGAGTCCGAGCGATTGGTACTGGATGAATACCGGGAGTCGCCTGGGTACAGGTGGCGGGACGGCTCATCGCCTGAGTCGCTAGTTGCAGCGCTGGACTGGTAGCTGCTGAGAGCCTCCTGAGTAGAGCTGGAGTCACATTCTTCTGCCAAAGAGCGAAGTCGAGGTTCGTTGCGCTCGGTGCGCAAGATGTGAGGAGCTGTCTGACCTCTCCTTTGGCTCAATGAGAGTCGTTTGCCTGGCTGCAGAGATTGGCCTGCCTCGTCGTACACGCCGTCAGTCGAGAGAGTCTTGTCCTCAACCTCGGAGTCATCGCCGGTGTCGTCGTCGTCTGTGGTAGAAGAAGAGCGAAGATCTGGAGTTGCGATGGCGTAACGCTCTTCCAGGCATGCTTGTGCATACGCCTCTCGCTCTTGCTGCGAAAGCGACTCGCTACCAGGGCCTCGTCGCTTCGGAGCAGGCTTCGGATCTGAAGCGGGTATGGGAGACTCAGAGGCTATTGCGACCTTCTTGCTGGGCGAGATCTGATCGCCCTTTTCGACCGCCGTCTTCATCCCATCCTGTTCCTCGAGCCTGCGGGCTTCTACTTTGGCGTCTCGTCGCGCTTCGGCCCTCGAAGGCATCGAGAGCGAAAGGGAGAAAGTCTCTGGTACCTCGCGCAGGCAGTCTCTGAGTGCCGACAAACAGTGCTGGGCTGAAGTGACCATCTTGGTAGCGATGCCGAGCAGTTGTCGGGTCTCTACCTCACCCTCAATGGTGGCTGTGGATTTTATGCTGGCACTTGATGACTTCACGGGACCCTGATTCGTAGGACGACAAGCGGCGACCAATACCGATGTGCTCTCACGTAGGCGGTCTCTCGATTCACCCAGGATGGTAATCTTCTCAGAGACCTGATCCTGCAGTAGAGCGTTGCCTTGGATGTTCTCCACGACCATGAGGAGGTTCAGTACAGAGGACACGACTTCTTGTGTCAGATCGAATAGGAAGAGCGAGCTTATCTGTGGGCCGTTGAGAGCCTGTGCATGTAGATGGCCAATGAAGGCTCCGATAACAGAGACAAGATGGTCATGGAGCCTTGTCGCCCGGTTGAAGATCTCGTCCCGAGTCTGTTCGAGTTTACCTTCCGCGCCATGACCAGCAGCTTCACACTCTGTCGAGTGGTCCTCAGCTCGAATGCGACCACTCGCGCTGGACTCATCCGATGTGCTGACGTAGGAGTCACTGCGGTATCGAAATTCGCTTGGAGACGCCGAGCTATCTGCGTAATCTACAGACGCTGCTCCAGACTTTTCTTCGTCCTCGGTATCCAGTTGGGACGGCTCCTCTTCTGGGTCGGATTCGTACGGCTCGTCCGGGGGCACCATCTGCGAGTCTTCCGACTCGGTAGCCCTCGCCAACGAACTGTGGGTGCGAGCAGCGCCTCTGATTGCAATGAGATTAGGAGATCTCAGTGAGCCAGGGGTGGGTGTGCGATCACTCTCCGACCCAGGCTTCTCGGCCAAGACGCGAGCGGGAACTGAGCCATACGAAGTCCTCTTCGCAGCGACGGGAAGAGCAGCTCCGCAAGCAGCAGCTGCTGCCAAGAAGGTCCGGGTGTTGGCAAGAACGTTGAAGGCGTACCTCAGCATCGCTTCCATCTCTTCTTCCAAGGGTTCTTCTCTTCCTTCCGATGCTGAAGCCCTTCTTGACTGGGTCACCAGACGACTGAGCTCCGACAGAACTGCTTTGCGCTCCCTGGCTAGCCCAGGATATTTACGAAGTGTAGCTGATTCACGAGTCAGACAATCTGTTTCAGAGAGGACGGTGCGTACTGAGGAGATGACGCAGGCAGTGGCAGGTTGAAAGTGAGCCCATCTTGCGGCTCGAACGGCACTTTGAAGGAGTCCGATGGAATGCCGGATCGGTTGCAAGACCTCAAGACTTTTGCGCTTGTTCTCATCCCTGGGTGCTTTCCCGTTTGTGTGACGACGGAACCCACCTCTCGTGGGCGTCAAAGGTTCTTCGCTTGCAGCGTGTTGTCGCGTGCTTGCCAAGCGTCGCTCCTCACTCTCCAGCTTACTATGATAGACGACTGGATCGTCGAGGGAATCCACTTCGCCGTCGTCATACATAGACGACATGCTGAGGCCCGAGTCATCTACGTAGTTGCTTGGGAACCATCCGCGCTCCCCATCAAGCTCTCCATCCCACCAACCCGACGCATCGCGATTGTGGACCTTGATGACCTGGTTAGCGCGAAAGGAGAGACAGTCTGGATTGTCCGAGGTGAAGTCGTGAAGAGCCATAACGTAGCCTTCAAATGCGAGTCCACCATCTTCGCCCACGTTGGAAGCGTCATCGCCACTGACAGATCCACTTGCAGAGGTGAGATCGGATTCCTCCTCTTCTTCCTCGACAACGTAGTGAGATTGAAAGTTTCGACGACGTATTGAGCCTCCTGACGACCGGGGTTGACGTCGTGGTAGGGAGGCTCCCGACTTATTCCTTGCCGATTCTGAACCCTGAAGTGTCTCTACGCTGCTGCGACTTACTGTTGTGTCCGACGAGGTCGTTGAGGCAGAATCTGACAGAGTGGTGAGGGCCGAAGCGACAGAAGTGGGTCGTAGTATCACCCGAGGCTGTGGAGTGTGATTCATCCCAGCTCCAAATGGCAATGCAGAGTAGCGTCGAGGAGGTGACGTGGTCGCGACAGCCATGGACAATGGTACAACTTGCGCGGTTCCGGACTATTGTGAGACTTGCGGAGCGCTCATGTGATAGCCGGACACGTTGATGAAGGGCAGCTGCAAGAAAGGGACGTTGTCTGGAATTGTCAGCAGAGTAGTCTGTCAGCATATAGCAAGAGATCAGAGTGGGTCTTCGCGAGGGCTGGATTGTGAAACTCACGTTTCCAGGTCGAGACGGAGCAGTCGTGTTCCCCGATGCGTGCGATCACTCAGCGACGCTTGTGATTTGATACGAGACAGTGAGGCGAAGATGCTGAGGATTCGACTTGAGAAGCTTTTGAGGTGAGAGGAGTTGACCGTAGGACGTTTCGAGAGACCAAGCAAGAGAAGTGACAGCAAGGAGAGGTAGTCGGTGAGGATCCAACGGCAAGGATTGGAATTGGTGGCGATATCGGGGTGGGGACTTTGTGGGGCCAGACGATGCTGACGATGATGGTCCTACAGACGCCGGCGTCGATCACTTTGGAGGACAAGGACAATGGGGACGGAGCAGTGGGCGGGCGGCACTACAAGAGGTCCAAGCGCTCAAGGTGTGGTGCAGGTGCAGGCCGGGGAAATGCGGCGCGAGGCAGAGGAGGAGGAGGAGGAGCAGCAGCAGCCAGAGAGCCGGAGCAAGGGTGGGACCAAATGCGGGAGTAAAGTATTCCGTCTTGATATTCAGCCGCTGCTCCGTGCCGGTGGGGTCTTTACGAGGGCGCAGGATGGTTGTCCAGTGGTGTTTTAGAGCTCGGTCAACTGCCGGTCGTCTGATCCTGTCCTCGAGCTGAAATGAAAGCTGTACAAAGGCAGCTAAGCAGTCAGAAGGGTAGAGGATGCGTAGAATGGGGCAAAGGCCTGGAGCGATCTGATCGGGATGGAAGGCAAATGAAGGGATGCAGGGGTGAGCTCTAGGGCCGCTGATGAGGGGTTGATCGTTGCTGTGACTGGAGCTCAAGGTACGAGGGAAAATGGGGACCACTGCGCGGCTCTAAAGGAGGACCCCCCAGCTCTTGAGGGCCCTTGTAAACAGAAGGCATCATATCCTTCTCCTAGGTGCTTTGCGTACACCACACCCTCTCACATGGAGGAAGCGGGGACGACGTGGGGTCTACCGAGCCGCATCCCGGAAAAAATGGCATCGGCTCGGGTAGACGCGGTCGGAGTCTGGATGGCCAAGGGTCTCACAGAGCACATCACAGCGGAGTTTCGCCGAGGACCAGAGGAGAGCAAAGCCGAGGTACGAAAGAACATGCGCAAAGGATCCTTCTGGGTACTACTACTAAGCCGTTCTCCCTCTCTCACACCTTCATCACTTCGCTTCGCTCAAAGATGCGGCGAAGTGGCGGTGTCGATGCTAGCGCATACGCCACGCGGCCCTCATCGTGGCCTGCTCTTATCGCCCTGGTGTGCTAGAAGGACCCTCATGCAATCGAGCGCGCCTCGGTAGCTGGCTGCACAAGCGAGCTGGGGCAAGGGTTTGCGGAATGTTTGCGACACCTTGCAGTGAGAGACAGTACCCCTACCTCGGCTCGACTGGATCAACCCTTGCTTATCGCTTTCCACACGCGAGAAGATGCCGAAATAGTATGCATAGAGTGATGGAATGGCGGCAGGACAGCCAAGAATGATACAATACAACATGCGTGTGCGTGTGTGTGAGAATGCCAAGATTGTTTGCTTGCAGAAGGGTCTAAATCCTGGACAATGTCCGCCCAAAGACGCGGTTCAGCATCCACGTGAAAGGAATGGCAATTTTGTTTCTCCAGCTCACGCTCATGTACAGGCTATAGGTGCTGTGCCACAGAGCAGAAGCAGATCGACCGGACAGCTTGCCGCCCTTGCTAAATTGAGCGATACCGCGGCCACCAGACAAGTTGGCAAGGGTCCCGCTGTGTTGATACTTGAAGGATTCCCCTGACGCTCCTTGAGAATTCAATAGCTTTGCAAGGAATTTGCCTCTGAACATCGAAACAGATCACAGGAGATCAATCGTAACAGTCAGCTGCACGGCTCTGAAACGGACTTGCGCTGAAGACGACTCACTTTTGAGCAGCTACCTGCGCTGTCGCCGGCAATGCATGGTCCTCGATCTGGGCACAATCGCCCATGGCATAGACGCCCTGCACTTCTTCCGCATGGGAAGGGTCAGAGGGAATGACCTCGAGTTGATCGTCTGTGACGAGTGCTCCCGTCTGGTCTTTCTTTACATTGGTGATGCCCTTGACCAAGGGCCCTTGAGTGTTGCCCGTGGACCAGACGAGCAGACCAAAGGGCATCTCACCATCTGGCTCTACGACGAAATTTCCCCTCTCCACGCCTAGGAACGGGAGAGGCGCCAAAGGGGCAGGTGCGAACCATCAGTGACCGGAGCTACCTTTTTATTCACTTTGCCAACACGCCTACTCACGGACAGGCTTTCGGTTCAGCTTGAGCTGGATACCATCTCGCTGGAAAGTCTTCTGAGCATACTCCTGCAAGCTCTTGTCGAAGGTGTTAAGAATGCTACCCGCCGCATCGACAATCGTGATGCTACACAGCTTCACCAGATGGGGGAAAACCCTCCGAATGTCATTGTGCACCATGTCGAAGAGAGCCGACGCCATTTCTGACCCAGTAGGACCACCACCGACCACGATGAATGACAGGACATTCCGCCTCTGTTGATCTGTCAACTCCGGATGCTCGGCTTGCTCGAAGCACTCCATAATCCTGAAGCGGATAGACCTGGCGTTCTGGACATCCTTCAGGAACCATGCATTTTCCCGCACACCAGGTGTACCGAATGTCCGATTATAAGTCCCTGTCGCAATGACCAGCTTATCGTACGGCAAAGCATAGCTACGTCCTTGTTCCTGCGAGTCCCACGTCTCATTGGGCTTGTCATCGTGCTTGCGTGCTGTCGCATGGGTGGCGTCTTCGCTGCCTTCAATCGCTTGACGATGCGGTACGCGAACGTAGCTAGACTCTTGACCTCCGCGACTGTTGGGGACTGCGCTGCTCTAGAGGTATCGAGAGAGAGCAGCAGACGTGAGCAAAACTGCCTCGAACTCCTGCACGCTTTTGCCGTTCAGCTCACATTCTGACCTGCTTCAGATCCACCAAAAGCCGGATCGGGACTCTGAAAAGCTGGGGGATAGGCCGGTGTCAAGTGGACGCGCTTTCGTGTAAAGTCGATGCGATCGCACCACGCATGGTAATAGTATGCCTGGTCGCAACTCTCTCGAATCGGTTCTAAGCGCAGGAAGAAAGGAGATGGCGGTGAGTGAGAGTCTGGAGTGAGGATCTTAAAGCTGAAGGTGGTCTGAGTCGCTTCCTTCGGGGCGTCCCGATATCGAAATGGGCCGATACAAGTCCGACTTACCTACTACGTTTCGAAACTCAAGGCTGCCGGCTGAAAGAGACAGTATGGCGAAGTCGATGCGCATCAATCAATCTGAAGCGGAAGAGGCAGACTTCAAAATTCACTCACTGGCTGCAGACGCCAATAGAGGTGTCATGGTCCAATACGTGTTTGGTGCGACGATGTAGACATCGTATTTATTCTGCGTGTCACGCGAGCAGAGATATGCGAGGGGTAAGTTGATGTTGCGAAAATTTAAGACCAATCCACCCGTCCGCCCCGATGCGATCCGGTCAATGGCTCACCTTGTCAACGCCTCTCAACACCTCGAAGCCTGACCACCCGCCGCCGAGAACAACGAGCTTCTCCTTGCGACTGCCGTCGCGGGAGCGCGTTGCCTGAACCGACGGAGTGATGTCTTTGGCGGTGGCATACGAGCGGACAAGGAGCGCCCTGCTACCGTGTGGAGCAGAGGTGATCAACTGCCTGCAGGTGGACAGCATCGTATACGAAACGTTGCACCAGATTGCACCTTTGGTGTGGGGGTGCAGCTACGAGAGGGATATGAGCATCAGAAGAATCTATCAGTGGACCCTGTGCACGGCTTGGTCAGAGGCTTTCCCAGACCTCCACCAGCTCGGCCGGCCGTTCCGGTCCCAGATTATCTCCTCGGCCACGCCCGTCGCCCGGGACCCTGGGCCGAGTGCAGGACGTGTGACAATTGGGTCGGTGAGATGGCGTGGGCGCTCTTCCTCAGTCAGGGCGCGCCGATGATGAGGGCAGCAAGGCTGAGGTTCACCGCCGCCATCGGTGCGGGCTTTGGATGCTGAGCTGCAAATTTGGCACAAATAGGCGCAGCAGATCAGCAGAGGAGGCAGGGATGCAAGCTAACACCGACACGCGAAGGCGGGCCACTAACTTTGACCGCGCCTAGACCTGTCCCATCCTGCCCCCGCCCTGCCCCGCCGATCTCTCACCCCCCTTTTCGCCTTGCAGGCTCAGTGGCAGGGTCGCTGATGGGTGTGTCCCCCCCCAGCAGGCTGGCTCAATACAACGGTCGTGGCTGCGCTGACCTATTCCAAGAGGGCCATCTTGCCGACCTCTGCTGCCTGAATCAACTCACCTCGTCTTGCCTCCCTCTGTACCATTCCCACGCTGCTCAGTGGAACACCTCGACAGGCCCATTCTGCCGAAGCGGACAACAAGCTACTCTTTGTTGGCTGCCGCCCCCATCGCTTTCACCCTCCCTCCCTCCTCCCTCTTCCTCGCGCTCTTCGTCCTTCTCATTCATCTTTGCATCACTGTCCTGACCTCCTCGGGCTCCCAAATTGCAGCACGGCCACTGCCTCCTTCATTACTCTACTCTACTGTATCCAGCTTCCCATTGACCTCTGCTACTCTAGGCTGTACTCGAAGACGCGCTGTCATTGTCATAGACGGACCGGCCAGAGCGACCTTCAGGTCGCAGGTGTTTGGCAGAGGCACAAACACAATCGCGGCAGCTGCACCTCAACGCAGCGTCGCAAAGAGGGGTCCATAGGCTTGCCAGACCCTTCTGAGTTTGGGAGCCACTCTTGGACACGACAAGGCTAGATTTATTCGCATCGTCTCAGCCCCGAAGTCCTGACATTACGAAGGCTAGATCCTGTACAGTCCGCCGACATGTCTCCCTCAGCAGGAAGCTCGGCGCTTCCTTCGGCGGCGGCATCATCTTCAGCACGGTCTGACGAGCCAATGATGACCCCTCCGGAGTCTCCCGCACCATCTTCCACAACGTCAGGGCGAGACGGCCGCCCATCACCGCCACCCGAGACTATAGAGTCGCCACGCAAGAATAGTGCGACTGCAAATACCCAGGCTTTCATCTATCCAATTCGCAGTGCCGTGGCCGTCAAGCCTGCCCTGAATCGGCAGTACTCCAATGGCTCTGCAGGCTCCTCCAAATACGGAGGCAGCACAGCCGGTCCCAGCTCTCATGCCGGCGGGTCTCAAAAGGGCATTTCGACTCCCTTGCAACGCCCCATCCCAAGTCGTACAATGACAAAGTCATCTCGTGGCGGCCTACGCAGGCCGTCGAGCCCCGAGTCGGGCAAAGACAAGGAGAGTTCTCAGCCAGCCGAGGAAGCCACGGAGCTTTCTGCACAGTCTGACAGCGACATGATGGTTCCCCTCAATGGCGAGGACACTCAAGATGTCCAACCTCTGGACGAAGAAGAAAAGGATCGCCTGGAGTCTATGACACAGACGAGATTCAAGCATGTTGCCACCGAAGAAGGACACATGGTCCTGACTGGCAGAGACGGAGTTTTGATGCGTTGTGAAGACGAGGTGAGTGCATTGCCCGATCAAGACCCTGGTACCGGCATCTCTGACCATGTCCTCCGGGTCATTTCCTCTTCTTCATCGGGCAGCCGATCCACATTCCCGGAGCTGTGCAGAATTTCGGATGCATGGTCGTGGTGCGCGAGGCAGAAGACGGCTCCCTTGTTGTTCGCCAAGCTTCCGAAGTGAGTAAGCCGCGCGGGACAGATCTCATTCCGCCCGCCCAGCGCTCATCGTCTGACGATACCACTCCCTTTCCATGACCTCAGAATACCGGCGACATCCTCGGCCTCTCACCCAGCTACCTCTTTTCTTTACCGAGCTTCCTCGACTGTCTCGAGGAAGATCAGGCGGACGTCCTCTGGGATGCCATTGAATCTTTGGACGATCGCGAAGATGAGCTCCTGGAGTCTGGACCCCATGTCTTTCAAATCTCTGGCTTCGGACAGCCTGGACCCGGGGTCGGCAAAGCTCGAGCTAGAATGCATTGGCAATGCTGGTGTGCCGCTCACCGGTCGCTCAGAGGAGCGAATGCTGACAGCTCCAAAGCGCCCATGACGATTTTGGAATTTGAGCCCATGCACGATACCAGATTCCCTCTCATGACACAATCGGCACCTCCCACCCCAGCTCATGAGGCGACCGAGGAAGAAGCAATGACTCCGCCCGTGTCGGGCACCTCACGATCCGGCTATACAGTCTTCACCGATGATAGCGAGAGCGGAGAGTCGGTTGACACCAAGCTCAGCATGCAGTTTGCCTCTTCAGCAACCATCCGAGGAGGACTTGATGGGATGCCGTACGTACCCACCGTGGAGCAGCTGCGCGAATCTACCACCTCAACGTCAAAGCCGATCAAGGCATTGTCTCGTATGCGTAGGAAGAATGGGGAGCAGTCCGAGAAGCGAGCACGGCCGCGAAGGACTGGAGGAGCTGCCGGTCCTGGCCTACCAGGCTCCCATACCGCGGGTGAGGACGCTATGCTGGATATGTTTGGGATCCTGACACAGATCAACGAGCAATTCTCTGCCCAAGAAGACCTGCCCTCGTTCCTCAAAATGGTCGTCAGTGTCGTCAGAGACTTGACAAACTTCAGCCGAGTCATGATCTATCAATTCGACGATCAATGGAATGGACAGGTAGTCTGCGAACTCGTGGACATCAATGACACTCATGACCTGTACCGAGGTCTCAACTTCCCTGCGACAGACATCCCCAAACAAGCTCGCGACCTATACAGGATCAACAAGGTACGCCTGCTTTACGACAGAGATCTTCCCTCTGCCCGTATGGTGTGCCGTGAAAAGGTCGATCTTGATACCCCAGTAGACATGACGCATAGCTTCCTACGAGCTATGAGTCCAATTCACGTCAAGTATCTCGAGAACATGGGAGTGAGGGCATCCATGAGTTGTTCCATCATGGCCTTCAATCAGCTGTGGGGTCTCATCTCCCTGCACACCTATGGCACACATGGTCGTAGAGTGTCGTTTCCCATGCGACAGCTCTTGAGGTTGGTAAGCGAATCAGTCTCGCACAATATCGAAAGGCTCAGTTACACCAAGCGACTTCAGTCTCGAAAATTGATCAACACGCTGCCGACGTCCGGAGCACCGAGCGGCTACATCTTGACCAAGGCGGAGGAGCTCCTCGACCTGTTCGACGCAGACATTGGAGTCATCGCGATTGGGAGCGAGTGCAAGATCCTCGGCAGTGTCTCTGCGAGTCAGGAAGTTCTTGCGCTCACCGAGTGGCTTCGTCTGAAGAAGTTCAGCGGAATCGTCCACACATCGAACACTACAGAAGACTGGCCCGACATGGAGCTGCCGGAAGGCGTGGACCTCAGCAATCTGGCCGGTGTTTTGTGTATCCCGTTGTCAGAAGGGTCGAAGGACTTCATCGTGTTCATCCGCCGAGCGCAAACGCGGACAGTCAGCTGGGCGGGAAAGCCCTTCAAGGAGGGCAAGGAGGCGAAAGCAACCCTCGAGCCCAGGAAGTCGTTCAAGCTCTGGAATGAGACCGTTCATGGAACCTGTCGTGCTTGGAAAGACGAAGAGCTTGAGACCGCATCGGTGCTTTGCCTCGTGTACGGAAAATTCATTTCCGTATGGAGGAGCAGGGAGGCTGCGATGCAGTACAACCAGCTAAATCGTCTGCTCTTGTCCAACGCAAGCCACGAGGTCCGCACGCCTCTTCACCATCTCGTCTCGTATCTCGAGATGGCTCTCGATGGCCCTCTGGATGCAGAGACGAGAGAGAATCTTACTCGTGGTCGCATTGCTAGCAAGTCGCTCCTCTTCACCATCAACGACTTGTTGGACATTTCGCGCGCCGAGCAAGGCAAGCAGCTTTTCCTGCAAGAGCCGTTCGACCTTGCCGAAAGCGTGCGAGAGGCCGTCGAGATGCACGAGTGGGAAGCAAAGCGGCGCAAAATCAGCTTCAAAGTTGTGACTAAGCCATCCTCTTGCGTTATCCTGGGCGACAAGAATCGTCTTCGCCAAGTCATCGTCAACACGACGTCCAACTCGTTGCGGCACACGCCTGAAGGAGGCAGCATCTACATTGAGATGCTCCGCCGCAAGAAGGACAAAGCTATTCTGCAGCTTCCAGAAGACTGTGACGTGGAGATGGAATTGTCCATTTCAGACACCGGCTCTGGTATCCCACGTGAGAAGCTTGAGGCCATCTTCCGCGAGTTCGAGCAGGTCGAGTCGGTGGTTCCAACGGATGATACGCTGGCTGGTCGCAGAGCCTCTGATAATTTCGAGGAGTCTCTTCTGCTTGGCCCGGAAGGACCTCCTCTCGACAAGGCTCCTTCCTCCAGTGGTTTAGGCGTGGGTCTCGCCGTGGTCGCTCGAATTGTCCGCAACCTGCAGGGCCAATTGCGGGTCGACTCTACAGTCGGAGTTGGTTCGCGCTTCACCTATCTCATTCCTTTCAAGCAGGCGGATCTCTCCGAAGTCACAACAGCTTCCCCGGCCCTTGATGACTTTGGTAGCCATCAGCGCATGACTCGTAGCAGCAGCCAAGGAACCTTGGACATAGGCAGCTCTGGCGGCAACAGCGAGCTTGATTCGTTGGTGGAAGCTATCGGGGCTCCCTCGCGCACTGCGAGCGAGAGGGGCGCTCTTCTTACCAGTGGAAGTCGAGGCGCTGGCCCACGTGGCGCATCCGCTCTCGGTCCTTCTCGTCATGATCAAGAGGGATATATGGAAGTGACTGGCTCACGCATACCTCTACGACCCACCAAGGTGGATGCACATTCTATGGATGCGAACAGTAACCATAGCGGCGACACTGGAAGTGCCTCGGCCAAGGTTAAGAGTCCTCCTACAGGCAGTGTCACGAGCGAGGGTCCTGTCAGCTTCACTGCCAGTGATGCTGGCAGCGGCGGCTCGCGCAGACCTAGCGCGCCCAGCGCGCGACGCAGTCAGAACAAAACAACGGCTTCGGTGCGGGAGAAGGTGAGCCCTCTGCGCGTTTTAGTCGTCGAAGATGACCCCATCAATCGCATGATCCTAAAGAAGCGGTTGGGCATTGATGGTCACACGGTCCTTCAAGCCATGAATGGAGAGGAAGGTGTTCACAAGTTTGAATCACACACCAAGGACATCGACCTCATCCTCATGGATCTCCAAATGCCGATTTGCAACGGTCAGGATGCTTGCAAGCGCATCAGGAGCATCGAGGCGCAGCGACGCGAGGCAGGTGACACTCCGGAGCTGCCTGCCATTCAGAAGACGAATGGCCGTGTACCCATCTTTGCAGTCTCTGCCACTCTGACTCCTAGCATGCGAGAGGAGATGACCCAGATCGGTATGGACGGCTGGATCTTGAAGCCGGTAGACTTCAGTCGGCTCGCGATTTTGCTCAAGGGGACTCGTGATACAGCCACGAGGCGTCAGGAGCTGTGGACCCCGGGCAAAGATTGGGAAAAGGGTGGCTGGCTCTGTCCCCCGCCTGGGAAGCCCGAGAAGCAGCAGTCACCGGAAGCTTCACGAAGGACCAGCGTGTAGAAGGGCAGGCGTTTTTACTATACAGATGTTGTCCCAGTGGCTCTGTCGCGGGCCTCCTCTGCATTACCTTGCTTTTACGCAATTGTGCTTGTATCTTGCCCTTTTTCTTGCCATTATCATGCCTACATCTCTGGACATGCTGTTCGCCTCGCAGGAAACCGTCACTGTTACTATCAGTCGCCTTTCTTTATATTTCCTGCTGTCCCTTGTACTTTGTCGTGCAACCTTACAGTCCAGACTCTTGCATTGTTGTCTAATGCATTGCAACCTGATCCAATCTCAACCTCTGACGCTGTGACATCCTTTGAATTGAAGGCCGTTTGTTGAAATGACGGCCAAGGAAAACGACGGAGAAGAGTCCGATGCGGAGAAAGAGAAGGACAGCGGAGTGGAGTGGCAGGGTGACGTTGAATGTCGGCACCGGAGGAGAACAAGGCGTTTGCAGTGGATGCCGCCGGCGACGTTCGCCCACTGAGAAAGCCTTGCTCTCCTCTAGTGCTGCAGCCACGTGGCTCCGGCAACTTCCTCTCCACACACCTCGAGTCTTGGCAATCGATTCTTATCCGCCCGATCACCACTACGCACTCACCGCGGGGCGGATCTCCAAGACCGGATCATCCAAGGCTTGCCTCGCTCCGTCATCGCGTGGCTCAATGCCAAGAGATACCCAGACATTCTCAGCACCTCGTACGCACGCCAAGACGGCAGTCCGCGGAGGTTGACCTGCTCTAGGCGAGGCAAGGCAGCGAGGGACCATGTCCACCTCAGCTGCCACGCCTACGCGATGGATGGTGGCGAGATGGGAAAGAGGCAGCGATGATAACGCCGATGGTCCGACAGGAAGGCTGACAATAGGTCTCGCGACAAGTATAAGATAGCAGGCTTTTCGGCAAAGACGCCTTCTTCCTCCCTTCCCCCAGTAGTTTTGGCATACCTGGATCAGCCCTCGTCCTTCCTCACACCTCGAACATCGTCTTGTGTCCATACCCACTGATTACAGACGTAACACAACTCGAACGCACAGGCTATCCCACCTAGCATATACACGCCAAGACTCTCTCGTTAGTCTTTCGCATAATATCGACATGGCTCTCCCTTCACGGAGCGAGACTATGACTGGCAGCTCCGATGCCACCAAGGTGGCAACCCGGCGCAACTCTGAAGACCGCAAGTCGCCCCCCTGCAAGAGCCCACTGAGCGAAAGCAGCAACCTACCCGCTTCTCCTACTTCACAGACTTCGCCAGAAGGTCCGGTGAAGGATATAACGATGGAGGAGGCACTCAGAGCACCTCACCTCTATCACTTTCGGGCGGTCCTGAAGGCCCTCGCTACAGACGAAGAGGCAGGATTGCACGATTCAGACGTCAAGAAGAGGCACGTGAGTATAGTCAGCAAGACCTCTGTTCTACGCAAAGGCTGCGAGACTGACTTTGAGGTATTCTCACTTCTTCCTTTTCTCTCAGACGGATTACGGCAGCAATGAGCTTGAGAGCGCGGGAAGTGCATCACTCACCACCATCATCGTTCGACAAGTTGCCAATGCCATGACCTTCTGCCTCATCCTGGCAATGGCAGTCTCCTTCGGTATTCAAACATGGATCGAGGGGGGCGTCCTGGCAGCGATTATCATCCTCAACGTCTCCATCGGTACATGGCAGGAATACTCTGCCGAGCAGACCATGGACTCTCTACGCAATTTGGCGTCTCCCACAGCACGTGTCATTCGTGGAGGATCTGCTGCGACCATTGGCGCAAACGAGGTGACAATTGGCGACCTCCTTGAGCTCTCCGTCGGCTCAACAGTGCCTGCTGATGTGAGGCTCATCGAGACTCGCGACTTCGAGACCGACGAGGCTCTGCTGACTGGCGAGAGTCAGCCAATCATGAAGAACGCTGCCCTCAGCTACGGAAAGGAGGGTGGTGAGGAACCTGAGATCAGTGTGGGAGACCGGCTCAACCTGGCATACAGCTCTTCCAATGTCACAAAGGGCCGAGCCCTCGGAGTTGTCGTAGCCATTGGCATGACTACCGAAGTGGGCAAGGTAGCCGAGGCTCTCCGAGGAGCTGGAAAGGGTCGCAAGATCCGAGAGGTGAAGCGCAATGCGCACGGTAAGGCTGGTCCTCATCGATACGCACAAGCCGGCGTCCTGACTTTGTGGGACCACCTGGCACACTTCCTCGGCCTGACCAGGGGAACACCACTACAGCGACAACTCTCTTGGCTTGCTGTTCTCCTCCTCCTCTGCGCCATTCTCTTCACCATCATCGTCTTCCTCGCCAACCTCGGCGCTTCAGTGAGCCCGTGGAGCTCTTCGGAAGTCGCAATCTACGGTGTCGCGACTGGTGTCTCCATCATCCCAGCCTCGCTCACCGCCGTCCTGATCATCTGCCTATCGACTGGATCACGAGCCATGGCCAAGCGAAATGTCATTGTCCGTAAGCTCGAGTCGCTTGAAGCTCTGGGCTCCATCACCGACATCTGCTCCGACAAAACGGGCACTCTGACTCAGGGACGAATGGTCCTGCGAAGAGCTTGGGTGCCTGGAAGCGGCAACTACGAGGTTGAAGAGACGAGTGAGGCCTTTAATCCCACCCTGGGCAAGGTCGAGCGCGTGAGCGGCGAGAAGAGGGAGGAAGTCACTACGGAACAGCAAAGCGCCGACAAGATTTCTTCGGACACAAACTTTGTACCCTTCCTGACCGTTGCTTCTCTTTGTAACCTCGCCACGGTCTACTACGATGGAGAAAAGAGGGAGTGGACTGCACATGGTGACCCTACCGAGTGTGCAATCCAGACCTTTGCATGCAGATTTGGCTACTCGCGTCAGGTCCTCGCAAAGAAGGGCGCAGAGTCCCCTCGCTGGACACAGATCTGCGAGATGCCTTTTTCATCTGACCTCAAGAGAATGGCAGTCGTCTTCAAGAACAACGAAGAGGGTGACGGCAAGACGCATGGCTTCATGAAGGGAGCCGTTGAGAAAGTTCTCGACTGCTGCAAAGACATCACGACTGGCCAAGGTGTCGAGATGAAGTCCAAGGAGCTCATCGACGAGATCCTGCAGAAGATGGAGGAGATCGCCTCGCAGGGCCTGCGAGTACTTGCTGTGGCTCGTCGAGACCTCTCAGATGAGGAAGCTGCTCTTGGCGAAGAGATTGAGCGAGCTGATCTGGAGCACAACATGACTTTCCTTGGTCTTGTCGGTCTGTACGACCCTCCTCGGCCAGAGTCTGCAGGTGCGGTGCAGCTGTGTCGGGAGGCTGGCATCGCCGTCCACATGCTCACCGGTGACCACCTTGCCACCGCTTCAGCCATTGCAAGACAAATCGGCATCGTACCCAAGGACGACGGCATGCTCAGCAAAAAGACTGCAGACTGCCTCGTCATGAGCGCTTCGACCTTCGACAAGCTGAGCGAGTCGGAGATTGATGCTATGCCTGTTCTACCAGCCGTCATTGCCCGCTGCACACCGCAGACCAAGGTCTCGATGATTCAAGCCATTCACCGACGAAATCGTCTCACTGCGATGACTGGAGATGGTGTCAACGATGCACCCGCCCTCAAGATGGGTGACATTGGTATTGCCATGGGGCAAGCCGGCTCCGACGTGGCAAAGGACGCTTCCGATTTGACTCTCAGTGACGACAACTTTGCCAGCATCACAAATGCCATCTCGGAGGGTCGACGTCTGGCGGATAACATTCAGGCCTTTGTCCTTCACTTGCTCTGCCAGAACATCTGCCAAGCATGTGTTCTCCTCATCGGACTCGTTTTCAAAGATGAAAGTGGGCTTTCCGTCTTTCCCTTGAGCTCACTCGAGGTCCTGTGGGTCATCATCGTCACTTCCTCTGCTCCTGCTATGGCTCTGGGCATGCAAAAGGCACGTCTCAATACTATGAGCCGACCCCCTGCTGATCTGAAGCGAGGAATCTTCACAAACGTCTTCTTCATCGACCTTGTCGTCTACGGTCTGATCATGGCTGCCCTCTGCTTGGGTACCTTCCTAATCTGCCAGTTCGCCTTTGGCGATGCCGACTTTGGACTGGACTGCAACGCCGGCTATAACCCATCCTGCCAGACTGTCTTCCAGTCTCGAGCCGCCACCTTCTGCGTCATGGTGAACCTGTCCCTGCTGCTGGCTTGGCAACTCGTCGACGGGGAGGCTTCCTTCTTTAACGGTGTCGAGCAGGGGCACTGGTACTCTCGCTGGTGGTACGGCACCTGGGGCAGAAACAAGCTCCTCTTCCTTATCATCACCATCGGAATAGTCCTTGAATTCCCCCTGGTCTTCATTCCCGGATTAAGGGACGTCGTCTTCCTGCACACCTACCCGGACTGGCAATGGGCTGTGGTCGTCGTTGCGACGATTCTCTTCTTCGCTATCGCAGAAGGTTACAAGTGGATCAAGAGGATCTACTATCGAAGGAGGGCAAAAAGCACCAAGACGGATGAGGTCACGCTGCAGCTGGACGAGGCGGCTGGCACTGAGAAGTCGAGTGCTTGAGTGATACGCCAAGAGAGCTTCGTGGGTTCTTACATGATAGACTGCACCTTCTGTACCTATTAGCATTATGAATTAGCACATCGGATCGTTTCCCATTCATTGTTGCTCTGTGACCGTTGTGGCCACCCATGCCTGCGCACGAGTGCGAGTGTGTGTGAAGTATACATTTGGCAAGGGAGACCGTGCAGAGCAAACCTTTTGGGCGGACGAGCACTAGAAATACAGATGGCGAGATAGGCGGGCCGACGTGCGGTATCTGACCTGAGAGGTGAGGGTGAGGGTAAGTAGATCCCAAGGAGCTTTTGCGTTTGCAAGTTGGGCGGTGGGCCCATTAATCCCATGCGCCTTGCCTACCAGCAGCTCGATCGTGCCGCCTTTGCAATACCCATCTCTTCTTGCACTCGCGGCTGGTTGGGGTGGAGTACGAGCATAAGGCATAAGGTAAGAAATCAATAAGCTTCCTACCCATTTCACGAACCAGGGCCTTTCCCCTTCTCCCTCTCCTGCCGTCACCCTCCACCCCGACAAGACTCACTACTCCTCAAAAGCCTCTGTACATTTTCCTCGATCGTACGAGTTGTTCTCCATACACTTCATGCTCGCCTTGGCCGCGTGTGCACATGGGTCAGAGAACTTCGAAGGTGCCTTGCCAGGCATGACCGAGATCCAGTCCTTGGGTTTGGAGTTATCTTGCTCATCCTGCTGCTGCTGCTGGGATCGCGGCGGCGGTGATGAGGTGACGGGTGCCGGAGGAGGCTCGGATGAGGAAGAGAAGAGACCCATGCTCGATGCTACCAAGGAGGGAGGAAGGGGAGGTGTCGCTCGCAGTCGTCAGTGGCGAGGAAGGCAGTGGTGGTCGAAGGCCAAGAGGCAGCTGCAGCGCCAAGCCGGAGCGGAAGCGGAGTCTGTTGTGCGCCGCCTCGCACGGACGAGGGATCCGGACAAGAATGGCGTGAGCGAGTGAGACCCTGACTTCCCTTTGTCCCCTCGTACGAACCTCGTCGTTGGCCATCTCTGCTGGCAATCCTTGCTGCTACGTACGGCCCACACCACTCTCAGCAGCAAACATCATGCGCAGTATCGGTCTGTTCGGCTGCTGGCTGCTGGCTGCCTCGCAGCTCGCATCGGCCAATACCAATCCCGAGCGCCAGACCGTCTTCTCTGCCCCCCACGGCTCCACTAGCTCGTCCTCTGCTTCATCTGGGCCGCGCAAAATTGCCATCATCGGCTCGGGTCCATCAGGCGCCTCTGCTGCCTACTGGCTGAGTAGAGCCCAGCAAAAGCTAGACGAGCTCGGCAGGGCTGAAGAAGGTTTCGAGCTTCACTTGTACGAAAGGGAGGAGCGTATCGGTGGGAGGGTCAAGGTCACCTACCCTTTCGATGACGAGGAGCACTATGAGGCGGTAGAATTGGGGGCTAGCATCTTTGCTGAGGTCAACAAGAATATGGAGAGGGCAGCAAAGGTGAGCAGCCGCAGGACAGGAGGCGGGGAATGTACCTCCGCGAGACGTGAGCTAACAGCAGGCTCCATCATAGACCTTCCGCCTGCCTATGACAGCCCATCTAGGGGAGGAAGACTCTCTCACAGGAGTCTGGGACGGACAGCAATTCGTGCTCGATGACTTGGGAGGCTCCTGGTGGTCATCAGCACGGCTCTTCTGGCGATACGGCTACTCCCCCATCACCACCAAGAATTTGGTCACAGAGCTCAAAGACAAATTCCTCAGGCTGTACGATCCGGCCTTTCTGCACCGGCCGAAGAGCGCAAACACTACCGAGAGCGGCTACCCGTGGGGTTCGATTGAGAAAATGGCCAAGCACTTGAACCTATCCGACTCGGCCAGTGCAGACGCCCAGTCCTGGTTCTACGGCAAGGGCGTCTCGCAGCTCTTCACTCAGGAGCTCATTGAAGCAGCTAGCCGAGTCAACTATGGTCAGAATACAGACTCCATCCATGCCTTGGGTGCAGGTGTCAGTCTGGCTGCTTCCGGGGCAACGGGCATCAAGGGTGGCAATCATCGTGTATTCGAAGAGATGATTGCCAGGAGCGACGCTCGAGTCCATCTGGGTGAACATGGCGAGGTGACTGGCCTAGTGAAGTACGACTCCAAGGAGCTGTTCCAGGCGTTCGCAGCCGGACAGCTTCCCGGCGTATCCGAGAGCGAAGTGACAGCCAGCAAGGATGGCTCGACCAAGTGGTGGGTCGGTACAGCTGCGGGCGGGGGCGGGCTCTTTGATGCCGTCTTCATCGGCACACCTTGGCACGCGGGTGGGATCACTCTCCTCAACACTGAGGCGACAATCCCGGTCAACAAGTACGTCCACCTCTACGTCACCCTTCTGGCTACGAACGCCTCACATCCCAGCGCCCAGTACTTTGGTCGAACCCAAGGCTCAGACGTGCCTAAGGCAATCCTGACGACCTATGAAGCCGTGCGTAAGGCCGATGCACCTGCAAAGCCCAAGGTAGACAAGAAGTGGTATCACTTTGGCCACTTCGGATCTGAGACTATCGCCGCCAAGCGTCCGGAACTCGAATTCACCTCTCTGACCTACATGTCCACATTGCCGGCAAGGTCTTCCTCAGCAGCTCAAGACCACCTCGTGAAGATCTTCAGCCTGCAGCCTCTCTCGGACGAGAAGCTAGACGAGCTCATCGGCGCAGACACCATTGGCTGGGTGTACCGCCAAGAGTGGGATGCTTACCCTGAGCTGCACCCCACTACCGTCTTCCCACCGATCACGCCCGATGAGGGCCTCTACTATATGAATGCAATGGAGCCGTTGATCAGTACCATGGAGACTAGCACGGTCAGCAGTCGAAATGCCGTGGCGCTGGCGCTGGAAAAGTGGTTGGGGTTGGACTTTGTCATCGGTACTGAGTGCGATTTCTCCACGGCTGACGAAGAGTCGTGGGACGGTTGGGGATGCCATTCTGGTTGAGCTCAAACAAAAAGGCTTTGTACCACTGCGATGAAATTGTACCTTGCCAAAACGGTCCATCGATGCAATGCCGACGGCTCTGAGCGTGGAATCGTGTGTGATTCGAGCTTTGTTCAGGTCTTCGCCGTCATCCTTCGCTCGCCTGCGCCCTCCACCGCGGAATGACCTACAGTCAGTCCGTCCCAATGCGGGGGGGCCAGTCTGGGCGGTTGATCCTTTCCGCCACGCGTTTTCTGACAAAAACACTCCGTGTCCCCTCTTAGGGGCTGAGGGACTGACGAGTGGAGCCATGAATGGGTGATGATGATGCAGCAGCATTTCCGCCCCTTTTGCTCCTCCCGGTAGCGTGTACTGCACTGTATCCTCTCATCCCTTCCCCTGCCGTACCCCTCTTCTCCAAGCTTTCTCGACACGATCGAGTAGGCATTCGTACACGTAGATCTACTCATATCTGACCTCCTTGACGTCGAGCAATTAGGTCGCGCCTTTGCCGCCCTTGCCCCCTGCGCCGGAATACCCATCCATCCACCTGCATCCAATTGCATCCACTTTTACCACGAGCTCAGAGAGCAAGATGGTAACGACGAGGTGAGTGACTGTGGAAGTGTACTGGCATTGAGGATGGCTGCATGGATACACGGTGGAGGCTTCTAGGCCGGAAGGGTGCGGATGGACGGAAAGAGGGGCAAAGCGGTAGAAGGTGGTACCGCGTTTTTAGATCAGCCCTCCTCGCACGCGTTCCGCTCTTTCTGGGGCCGGAATTATGGACGGTCCATGGAGTGTAATAGGGAATAGGAGTCTGTATCTTCCGTAGGCAGGCGGGGCAGGACGAACATGATGACACAGCCGGAAGAAGATGCGGACGCAGGCACAAAGTGACGCACTCAAGTAGGCGTACGCGCATGTATGCCTATGCAGGGCTGTGCGTCTGGACGATTGCTGCCAGAAAGAGACGCATGGCATAAGAGGAAGGCCAAGGCGCCGCCTACCGCTGCACCTTGTGTCTTTCCTCCGTCTTTGCTACGTTGCTCCCTCGTTTCCTGGCCTGCGTCACCATCACCCACCATCCATCCACTTCCGTCCCGATTGCCGTACCTCTTGTCCCTCGCTGGCGGCACTGCATCCCAGGAAGATCAAGTCTCCTCACACTCCTGCCCCTTCTTCCTCGCGTCCTCCCCCATCAACCCTTGTCTTGCTATACAGAGCTGGAACCCCTGCCGCTACGCCGGCTGCGACCCCTACTGCCACACCCACAAAGAAGCGCAAGACGGCTGCTAGCAAGCCCACCTCTACCTCTTCCCCTCGAAAGATGGCCACCGAAGACTCAAAGTCCAACGGACATGCCTCGGCCGTCACCTCTGCCCTGAGTGGTGGTAACAGCTCCTCCCCCGCCGCGGGCAAGCGCGTCACTCGCTCAGAAGCCCACAAGGTCGCAGTTGCGACTGGCAAATTCCCCAGCGAGAGCAAGGAAGTCTTGGCTCCCAAGTCGGAGCACTATGAATTTGGCGGACCCCTTGGCTGCCTCTTCGTCTCGACTGCAGTACCCTTGACCTCCTATGGACTTTTTTACTTCTGCAATGGAGAGGCGGGCTGCGCTGTCCCCCCTGAGAACTGGAGGGCCTCGCTTGATCTGATGCTCGAAGGAGTAGTCAAGAGCTGCTTTGATTGGAAGGCATGGGCCATCTACTTTGGATGGTACGCCTTCACTGTACTCGCTTGGGCTGTGTTGCCTGGCCCTTGGGTCGAGGGAACTGAGCTGCGAACGGGCGTCAAGCTGAAGTACAAGATCAATGGTGAGTAGCCGTGCTAGCGTGAGAGAAATCATGAGAGAGGTCTGAGGCTGACTTCAGACACCCAACGCCTCTCCTTGTCTCTCGCCAGCCTTCTCCACGATGGTCCTGTCTCTCTTCCTCACTGCTCTCCTGATTGCCTTCAAGGGACCCGAGAGCTTCACCCTCCTGTACGATCACTGGGAGGGCCTCGTCACTGCCTCTCTCTTCAACTCGGTCGCACAAGCCATCTACTGTTATGCTGTCTCTTTCCAGGAGGACCGTCTGCTGGCAAAGGCTGCCAACACTGGCAACTTCATCCACGACTGGTTCCTCGGCCGCGAGCTGAACCCCCGAATCGGCACCTTTGACATCAAGTACTTCAATGAGCTGCGACCTGGACTCATCCTTTGGGTGCTCCTCGACATCAGCTGTGCCTGTGCGCAGTACGCCAAGGAAGGACAGATTACCGATTCGATGTTCCTCATCCTTCTGTTCCAGGGCGCCTACGTCTTTGACGGACTCTGGAACGAGCCCGCCATCCTCACCACCATGGACATCACCACCGATGGCTTCGGCTTCATGCTGAGCGTAGGAGACCTCACCTGGGTGCCCTTCACCTACACCCTGCAAGCCCGCTTCCTCGTCTTCCACCCCGTGTACCTTGGAATTGCCGGTACCCTGGCCATCTTCGCCTTCAACGGCCTGGGCTACTACATCTTCCGCGTTGCCAACGGAGAGAAGAACCAATTCAGGAGCGGCAACAACCCCAAGAACCTCAAGTACATGACCACTTCGAGTGGTCGCAAGCTCATCACCTCCGGTTGGTGGGGACGCTCTCGTCACCCAAACTACATGGGCGACTTGATCATGGGACTCGCCTGGTCCCTCCCTTGTGGATTCTCCACTCCCATTCCCTACTTTTACATCATCTACTTTACTGTGTTGCTCGTGCACCGACAGATTCGGGATGATGATGCTTGCAGACTCAAGTATGGAGATGATTGGGACAAGTACTGCGAAAAGGTGCCTTGGAAGATTATCCCTGGGGTGTACTAAAGGAGCGGGAACGGAGAGTGGAAGCGCAGCGCGATGTGGCTGAGCTGTCAAGGGGCGGTGAAAGTGGTGGAATCGTGTGCGGGGTGCAAGGGTGGGGAAGGGTTTGCAAAGGTGAAGGGGATGAGAGACGTTGCCTCCTTGCTACATGCTCTGTCCCCTCTTTGTGTGTCCATCTGTCCATGTCTGTTTCTTTGTCTCTAATACCAGAAGGTTTCCGATGACCTGTTGTGCACCTCTCAAATCGTGCAAGCTGGGCTACAGTTTCGTACAGGACGCAAGAGTCTCGATATTCGATGCGCAACGTAGCCACACGACATCGTGTTCACTCTTTCCCCTTAGCAGCGCACGAGTAGTGAGGAGAAGTGATTCAATTGAGCTGGTGTGTATATGTGTGTAATGTTGTGGTCGTACTGTACAACGGGGTCGTTGCCCCTCGCCTCGCCTGTCCCTCTCTTTTCCCCAGCATCGTCCTGTCTGCGCTCTCTGCAGATCGGAACGAGCGTTCCTCCCTCCTACGCTCATCAGGAGCGATCTCCTGACCTCTAGTGGTAATCTTGTCCGCTCTCAGCGGTAGACCTATTGATCTCTTCCATGCTCCTTTCGCTTGAAGAGTCCCTTGCTTTGACATCTTCATCTTGGTCCTTCTTCTTCTTCTCACTTCGATCAAGCTATTTCCTTCGTCTCCCTCCACTGATTCCAAGTAACGAACGGGAGCTTTACGATTTGGAGCTTCCTCGCTCTCGGAAGAGCACATGGCGCTTGACTAGTCGGGCGGGCAAAAGAGGAGGGGAAGAGGGAGTAGAAGGTGGACACAGGATAGGGTATGAGCGACTGCCGCTCTGCTCTTGCTCCTCCCCCCCCCCTTCTTCCCATCCCCACTTTACCTCCCATCGAGCCCCCTTCCTCTATCCATCCATCCACCCCGTCCCCACCACTTCCTCGACCACTCCTACTCACCAATAGGGTCATACTTCATCAGCACCAACCGGTCAGCAATACGCGGCCGCACAGTCGTATAGGCAAATCCTGTGCCTGCAGACGAGAAGAGTCGGGCAATGACGATGCGCGAGCGGGCTCGGACGGCCATTGTGAAGACGTGCGAGGTGGGTGGGTGAACGAATGAAAGGGGGAGGGTAGAGGGGAGGTGATGCGAAGATGCAGGTGCAGGTGCAGGCAATGAGATGAGTATGTCGGAAGGAAGAAAGGCAGACGTTGCACACCTATAGCCCCTCACGCAATTGAGGCCCCTCCAGGGTGTGGTATATATACGTACATTGATTCAAGCAGTCCTCACGTCGGTATAGTATAGTGGTTAGTACACCATGTTGTGGCCTTCGGATCTTCGGATCCAACCTCGACATGCTCCCGTGGAGACGGCTGTTCGATTCCGCCTACCGACATCACTTTTTGCCCCCCCGCGCGTAGGGGCATCTCTTTTTCTTCTACTTTCTCAGCTCTTCCCCACGGCTGATCTACGCTCATCTGGTGCAGCCTGAAGAAGGGGTACTTTGACGACATCTTGCCACCGTTTTCGCATTTCTCTTTTGCTGCAGAAGGCTCACACGAGAAGGATGGGATGAGAATTTTCGCGTCGAGTGGCGGCCTGTGCCCGGCACAGCGGGCGGTGCTGCCGGAAAGCAGGCACTGCACAATTTTGCCCCGTGAACTGAGCTCTTCTCACCCTTGACTCATTACATCGCTATTGCTCAGCCAAGTCTAGACCCAAAGGCCGAAGAGGTCCCCGGATGAACAAGAGCTCCTAGGGGTTTGAGTGGCAATGACGGTCTCGCTAGCTCCGCTAATCTAATCGGGCTTGACAGCTGTGGGGTGAAGTGGGCGTGGCGGAGAGCTCAGCTGGTCCGGCCGAGCGGTGCGGACGGCTATGGACTGAGCTGCCGACGCTCAGTCTGTACCTCGACTGAGCAAGGCTTTGGAAGAAGTGAAGGAATGAGGAGGAGGGATATATAAGGAGGTCTCTTGAGAGAGCAGCTGATGTGAATTCTTTCCCCGTCTCACCCACTCAAACATCAATCATGTCTGCGTACCCAGCTCCCCACTACCCATTCCACCCTTTCCACCACTTTGGCCCTATGGATCGTCCTTCCAACCCTGGAGGTCGCCACCGAGGGCCCCCTCCTTTCGCTGAGCCCGGTCACGGAGGTCGCCACCGTGGTCCTCCTCCTTCTTTCGCCGAGTATGCCTTCGAGGTACCTGGCGGATTTGCCGGTTACGATGGCCCTCCTCCACCTCCTCACCACGGACGTTTCGGCGGTCCTCCCCATCATGGACGATTCCGTGGCCCGCCTCCCTTCGGCGATTTCCACGAGAGGTCTCGCTTCCATGGCGAGCCCGACTGGCACCACTACGGTCCTCCTCCACCGCCTTTCTCCGGCCCACCTCCTCCGCGTCACGGCATGGGCAGATTCGGCCCAGAAGGCTTCCACCGGGGTGGTCATCGCCACGGAGGACCTCGTGGTGGACCACCTTCCGGGTTCTTCGGACCTGACTTCGCCACACGAGGTGAGCATGGACCCCACTTTGGTCCCATGGGCCGCGGTCCCAGAGGCGGACCACGTCACCATGGCTTCCACGAGTGCTGCTCTGGCCCCGAAGGCGGTCGACGAGGCTTCCACCCTCGTGGCCATGAGGGCGGCCGTCGACATGGTCGTCACCACCGACGAGGAGACGCTGAGCAGCCTCCCGTCGAAGGCGAGCCCAGCGGTACCTCCTCTTCCGACTCCTCCAGTGACGAAGAGGCCTACATCATTCAGATGGACGAGGCTGGTCGAGAGGACGCCACTTTGAGCCTCTCTTCCGCCAGCGAGTCATCTTCTTCGTCGTCTGAGTCTGAGTCAGACTCCTCCGACAGCGAGCCCGACGCCCCGCGTGAGGGAGGTCACGGCAGGGGCAAAGGCAAGGGCAAGGGTAAAGGACGAGCGCACCCCGGCTTCGGCCCGGGGAAGCATCACCCTCGCCACCGACATTCTCATCACCGACAACCTGACTTTGCCCACCCTGAGCATGCTCAGTGGTACCATGGTCCCCATGCAAAGAGGCACAAGACCTCTAAAAGGCACTGCAAGTGCCACTACGATCATCATGAAGACGAGGACAGTTCCGACGCAGAAATAGTCGTCGCTGGCTTTGCCGACGATGGTACTCCCGTAATTGTGGCTATCCCAGAAGGGGAGGCCGCTGCCGAGGACCTCACTGCCATTCCCGAAGCGGCAGACGCTGAAGACGATGCGGCGGACGAGGAGAACGACGCAGGACCCTCCCGAGGCGAGAAGGGAGGCAAGAAGAGGAAGCACGGGCGAGAGCACAGGCACAAACACAAGCATGCCAAGGGAGGTCGAGAGGGCAAGCGAGGCCACAGACGAGAGGATGACCATCATCGCTTTGGTGGCCCCCGTTTCGAAGGCGGTCATCATGGTCGAGAGGGCGGTCGACGCATGGGTGGACGCGCCGAGCACTTCTACTGGTGAAGCCCAAGCGGGCTCATCGTATCATCACTTTCACCCAGCCGCCCTTTGGCAGTGACAATTAAGAGATCTGTCCCTGTTCGTGTCGTGGCTTCATCAATCATTTCTTTCATCTTAGTCGTGGCCAGCCAAAAAAAAATCCCGTCGTGGCAATAAACAACAATTTCCGTAGCTGTACTTTGTGACTGCGTACTCGTAGCGTGTGATAACAACTCCCAGCAGAATTCCGTCTTTGTGAGAGCCAATGAAGCGAGCAGAGGATGTCGTGAGACGGGACGTCCTGAAGCTGAGACACCGTCATGCATTGGTCGAAAGCGATCAGCCGGATCCGATCAAGCGGGCTGGAGGCTCCTATCGGTACACCCAAATCCGTCCCGACGCTATCAAGACTCGAGCGACGTCGGCATCGAGCGCCACACAAGATGAGATCTCATTGTCCCCGGCTTCGGTATGTACCTGTCATTTGGACCCTATGCGGATCGAAAGTGGTAGTGATGTGAATCCGAAGCGGTGAGTGTGATGTTCCAGGTGAGACTGGGCTCTTTCCGCACGCGGGTCTGAGTGAGTGACTGCCGGCGCGTCCGCATCCTCCTGCCGCCGATTGCCCGCGTCGATCGATTTGTTGGAAGCGATGACATCTTTTCTTGCCCTTGTGCAATTGACATGGCATAGACGCAGCGAGGTCGTTCTGCCTGAATGAGACGCTCATGGCCGAGAGCGGTGGCAGGTCATTGCTGTCCACGGCCTTCTCTCTTTTCGGTCTCACACCCGGCTGAAACATATGAACGGATACGGCATTCAGGGAGCAGCAGGGAGCAGCAACCCCTGTCAGCATCCAGAGAGGATCAGTGCAAGGGCCTTGGACGCCCTCTCCCGTTGTCTCAATCCGCTCTTGCAACGAGGCAACGACGTGGAGGCGTCCCGTCGAGAAGCGTTGGTCTCGCGTGGGAAGGTACGGATGTGCCTGAGGTGCCTGAGTGTGGTGGGTGGAGTGAGACAGGGCGGCGCCGCACCTGAGGGACGATTGCGACTGGCCCGCAATATCGTCGGCTAATATTGGGAACCCGCGCCCGCGCCCGCACCCACGCCCGCGAGCCCCCCCACCAACGCACGCCGCTTGCGTTGACCCGCACAAGAGGCGTCATCTCTGCCCCCTTTCAAAGTGAGACACGAGCTGAGCTCTGTACGAAACAAACACTGGCTTGGACACTACATCCTCGCTGCATTTTTACTCCTCGCACGTCGCCGGAGATCAGCCAACTTCCATCCCGTTTGACGGACGGTTGCGTCGCGGTAGCAGTCAGACAGGCAATGAGTGTCGCAGCCCCTGGCTTCGGAGGAATGGGACGAAGTACGTACGAGATGTGATGCAGTTGCCCTTCAGGGCCTTGCATTGCATTTTGGAAATGCGTGTTTGGCGTGGCGCTCGCTAAAGGCCGGCAAGGGAAGCGAAGGGGTGGTGGCTCGATCCTGAGACGATTGCCGAGCCCCTTTTGGCGAAGGGGGGACGCAAGCAAGGTGAGACCAATGTCCAGTGGCGAGGAGGAGATGGCTTGGCTTCAATGTGCGTGTCCTGCGTGGATGCAGTGCCTTCCCGCCTGGCCTCGGCGCCCACCCCCACCTCGGCCTCTTGAATTGTAATGTGTGTGTGTGTGTGAGAGCGAGGAAAGGGAGCGGATCATAATCTGAATTTGGGCGCGGACCTGGACGCCCCCCTGTTCTGGCCTCTGCCTTTTGCCTACCTGTTGCTTGCCGCCCTTTGGATCTGTGTCTTATTGTCGCCCTCGAGGCCCGACTCCGCCAAGCCGAGGAGGACATTGATGATCAGTCGTCCAAGGGCAATGGCAGACGCAGGCCAGGGCCACAGCCAATGCCGCACTCACACTGCCATCACAATTACCGAATCTCGTCGTCACCGCTTGAGCCCCGCCTTGCCCGTCTGCCTGCCTCCTCGCATCCCCCGGTCCCACACCCCCTCCTCCTTGCCCCTGCCATCCCCTTTTGCTCTCTTAGACCCTCTTCGCACATCACATCCTCGTTGCTGACGACTCTCCTTTCCAGAAGATCCCTCGTACGTGTGTGCGAACGAACGAACGAAGGAACAGGGTGCAACGCCAAGTTTGCTACCACACCCCAGTCCGTCACTTGTACCGGACGGACGGCCTGCTCCGAGCCTGTCTCCCTCAGTCAGCCGATTAGGGATTCCCCCCTCCTCCAGTTCAGCCGTCACCACCTGAGGATGATCACCTCGAACTAAGCTCCTACCATTGTTCGTTGCCCCTTCGAGCACTCCTCATCCTCGCCTTCAATTGCCGTACCAAAGGTGCCAATAGCAATTAACGGCGGCGGCAACAGTGGCAACTCCTGCCTCACTTGGCGTCAATTGCCCCCGGCGAACTCATTGGCCGCCTGGTACCTTTCATCGGCATTGCTCTATCACTGCCCTTCCTCAGCCTTTTCTTCAGCCGGTCTATCACACCAGGTACCTCGTCTCCCCCTTTTCACCTCTATTCCCCCTTTACTCCTTCTCGACAGTTCTGATAACCACTCTTCTCAATCATGACCTCTGGCTCTGCCGAAGCTCGCGAAGCATCATCGTCCACCACTAGCTTCCGTCATCGCTCGCCAAGCATCTCAAGCTCGTCTTTGCCCTCTGGCAGCTCACCTCCTTCTCATCGTCAGAGCAAGCGAACCCTTAGCAACGCAGCAGCAGCCGTCGTCCACCACGCCACCAATGGTAGCGCTCGTGGCGCTGACGGTACCAGTGGAGGCGGGCCTCCTACTGAGACTGGCCTTTCGATGTCAGGAGCATTGGATTCATCTCCATCTACATCGTCGTCGTCATCGTCGCTCGGCTTGCAGGGCAAGACAGGGGTAGATGGCCATCAGCGTTCGCCAGCTTTGAGTAGTATAGCGGAGGATCAGGTGCAAGCATCGGGCAGCGGAAGCAGCCACAATTTCGCAAATGCCGTCCACTCTTCGTCAAGAAGGGCAAGTGGAAGCTGCCACCTCTCCTCCTCTTCTACATCCTCCTCCTATGATGCAGCGGACAAACACCCTCAGCATCATGGGCGACTCCACCTTCACCTGCCTCCCCGTTCACAGCTGGAGGAGGAGCAGGAAATCGTGGCGAACTACCACACCTCTTCTCCCTTGTCAGAGCCGCACCTCGCGCTGCCTGACTTGACAGACTATCACTCCATGATGTCACACTCGAGGGGTGCAACATCTCTCACAGATCCAGAGCAGGCAGGAAGGTCGCTTTGTGGACAGCGCCGACCCGAGACGGTCACGGCCGAAACATTTGGTGAGTCGTCGCAACACAGGACAAGCTGCAGAAGTCTTCCCCTTCCTCACCTTGAGATATTTCGCCTTTCTCTCATCATAGCTGAGCAAATAATAGCTGTCGGAGGTCACATGGTCCAACCGTCTTCCAGATCTGCCAGCTCGGATCACCTCCACGACACAAGTACAATGCCTACCCACCCTCTCACAACCAAGGACATGGGTCCCGATCTGCCTTCTTCGCCTAGACATCCCAGCAGTACTACTCAAGGCAGCCAAATTGCTCTTCTACCCTTGCAGCAGTCCACGGTACAGCAGACATCGACTGCCAGCACTTCGCTGCCCTCGCCAGCTTCTCCCTATCCTACGACTTGGTCCACTTGGTCGTTCCCACCCCCTCGGCCTTCGAAGGCCGGCGGGCTGCATACTGTCGCAAGGAAACGAATGAACGTCGGTTCACAATCCAAGATTGGGAGCGTAGGACCTCGACGTGCTTCTTCGCGGGTCAATTGGGAGACCGTGGTGGTCGATCGAGGTCTGTCGGGCAGTCCGACGCCCAACCCGTGGAAGGGGGACAGTGAAACCAGTGATGCTGGACCCGTGGGACAGGAAGGTCTTGGACGGAAGAGGCGTCTGCCTAGCGGGTCTCTGCAGTGCAACAACAGCTCACGTGCCCCTGCTGATCAGAAGGGATTTCAGCTGCAGCCAGTGCCTCCTGGCAAAAGACGTCGGTACCAGTACAGGCCTTCTCAGTCCCTCGGTATTCAGCACGTTGATGACACTGGGATGCAGCACCAGAAATCGAATCTCGCGGATGGCCACTCCTGCCACGATCAGCCGTCACATACACTCCAGCACTCAGCTAAGCTTCAATCGACGACATCGTCATCTTCTGGAGTGGCCCCAGAGAACCATGGCTTGCCCACTGCTCACGAGGCAGCGGATCTGGTTCCGTCCGAGCGGTCGGAGCACCGGACGACGTCTCCTTCTTCTTGGGATTCTTCTTCACGATCGCAGCACGCTCCCACTCGTATGTCGCAGCAGACACGCCCAGAATACATTGTGCCGGTGAGGGAGAATTTGTTCAACGTGGCCGGTGCAAAGGGAACTGCTCTGTCGCAGATGCGGTGCCCGTCCTTCTTTGCCTCACAGACGCCAGCAGAAGCAAGCTTCGCAAGCCGATCGGCCGGCCTCACGAGCGCAACTCGTGGTCGCCAGCCCTGGCCAACACCGCATGGTCAGGCCGCTCGCAAGCGTCAGCCCGCTGTCCAGGCACCCACCGCCCTCCAACTCAATCGCCTACTGCCTCGTCTGAGAAGAGCCCAGAGTGTCCCAAATATGCGAGTCAGGACATCAACAGAAAGCCTAATCCAGCCAGCCGTACACCGCCTCATGCTGCCACCCCACTTGGTGAATTTCTTGGCCTCCCTCCAGCGACCTGGAGCGACGGTCAGCGATGCCAATTCTATCGCCAGCAGCAGTAACTCACCAAGTCCGCTGCCCATCATGATCGCGCCCGCCACGAGTAGCAACACCGGCGAAGCCGTACTGCACCAGAGTCGCAGTCGTGATGCTGGAAGGAAGCATAATGTCTACATGCCACCTCTCCATCCACCCATCACTCGTCACACACTGCGCGAGCTTGATCTAGCCGAGATCCTCAAAAACCCACAATTGAGGCACGACGTAGTCTTTGACGCCAACGTCCAATTCAGGCCCAACTTTGATGGCGAGAGAGGCAAGAAGAAGAAGGAGGCCTGTGAGAAGTACTGGACGGCCGTGACTCGAGAGATTGAGCTTGGTTGCACCTGCACAAGCTTCGAAGGACAACGTCTCTTGCCTTGCATTTGTGGTGGCAGCGTGGCTGCTCGCTCTGCATCGCAAGTGTCCTCCGCTGCCATGACGAGAGGGAGCAAGAGTGGGTCAGGAAGCTGCTCCAAGTTGCCTGCTGACAAAAATCCACCCTCTCGAGTGCCGGTCCTCGTGCAGGAGTTGCGAGCAATCTGTCTGTCAATTTTGCCTGGCAGCAATGGCGCTGCGCATTCCCCCATTTCTTCTCGCTCGCCAACAGGCTCATCGATGGCGGGTGTTGGAACTCCTCTCGTCGGTCAGAGTGGTGGCACTGTCGTCTCATCCGATCACTCTGTCCTCGCCTCGACCCTCGACCCCGTCTTCATCTCTCAGCAACTGGCTCATGGGGTGCTCGACGTACCAGGTTTGGTGAGCTTCCTGGCTTCCGTCCTTCAGCTCCACTGTGCGCCCATGCGCGACGAGATGATCGACGAGATGGTACAAGAGACGAAGCGAGGCCGGATCGGCAAGGGCCTAAGGATGTGCTTCGAGATCCTCGAGCTAATGAAGCTGGACATCGCCAACCATCAGCTGCGATCTGCACGACCATATCTGGTCGAGACTGCCGTCGAATTCGAAGCCAGATGGTTCCGTGATCAGATCGTTGGCAGTAGAATGGCTCTTGATCGGACCACGGCTTGGTTCAGCGCAAGCTGGCGGGACCTCGCCAGCCAGTCTTCCACGGCTGATTGCAGGCAGTCTCGAACAGCCTTGATCTCACAAGCCTACAATGATGGCTTCCTACGCCTAATCTTTGACCCACCCGGTACTGATACAAACATTCGAGCGCTGCACTCTCGCGCAGCGGAAGGACCTTCGCTCTCCAGCTCGTCTTTGAATCACTCCTACTCGGCCGCCTACCCGGAGACGTTCCAATTCGACGCTTTCCGCTTGATGACATTTCACAACGATGCCGTAGATCTGACGATTATCTACATGCTCCTCATGCTCTTCAGACAGCTCAGCTGCTCGCCAGCCATTGCCGGATCCGCTCCTCTCCCTGCCACGGCCAGCACAAGTGCCAACATCAGCAAGGTTGCGGCCACGCTAGCTAGCAAGCAGCTCGAGTCTGTCAAGAACGAGGTATGGTGCCTTCTCAACGAGGCCAATGCGGCTATGTCACGATCTGAATCCAGCGCTGCTGCCGACCCGGACTTGCCGGCGTCCCTGTCAGGAGTCGGAACAGGCGGTAAAGCAAAGCTGACCGACCCGCGCTGGCGAAGTGCTATGAAGGATGCTGTGCTACAGGTAGCAGCCCGAGCTGGTGCTGTCTGGGACGAGGCAGCTGGCATCTCCTCCACATGCGCCACGCGGGCACCATCGACGCAGACGATTGCGATGCTCGAGTCTTGGCTGCAGACGAACCTGACACCCCAATCGGCGCTGATGAAGCTGTGTCTGGGCAGACTGCGAGGCGTGCTCGGCTCGCTGATTGCACAGAAAGTCGTTGGTAGTGCTTCGGCCGTCGCTGGAGCTAGCGTTGTGGCTGCTGCGTTATCGAACGAGACGAATGAGGTCGTCTCTCAGCGCAAGCGAGCAGCCGAGAATGCTCCCGACACCTCAGCAAAGAGGCACAAAGGAGATGAAGCGGTAGCAGAGAGCAACACTGTACCAGCGCCACAAATTCTTTCAACGACTGAGTGCGCTGTCCCCAAAAGCCAGCCGCGATGCTCTCCCTCGAGCAGCAAGTCCTCGGTGGACCTCGAAGAGCTGGAGCAAACGGTCGACGGTGTCACACTTGCTGTCTGCTCCGGCGAAGACGACGAATGGGAGCGCTCCCTCACCAAGGCCGGTCTGGATCCACTCCGCTCCGAAGTGCGCGTGTTGGGCGCAAGGATGCTCCAGGTGGCCGCGGTGAACCTGAAGACCTTCCGAGTGCTGTACGAGCGGTTGGCTGTCTAAGATTGGCACAAGTAGGGGTTTATTCCGAGGCATTGCGGCGCGTCTAATCCTCAATCGTCCTCAGATTGCGGCCGAGCATTTCGATATCTAGCCTTGTTCATATTGTCTCATACTGTTCACTTTTTGTCTCTATCTTAGTCACCATTGTGGTCCCTCTAACTTTGCTTCTTCACTCATTCCGAGTTTATTATCCTACCATTTCGTTCTGAGGTGTGATCTCAGGGAGGGGCCCAGATCAGAGGCGGAGCTGAAGCAAGCGCGAGAGCATTGTGGAGGCCAAGGTGTTGGTCTCAGCCCGCACATATTCTTGCTTCCCGAGCCATCATCTTCCCCCACCCTTTGCCACCTGTACGCCCTGATTCGCCCATCTGCCTAATTTCCACTGGAAGCCCTTCGGCCATAGTGGTACCTCGAACGCCACGTACCAGCCCTGAGGCTGAAGGCTGAGGGCTTCAGGCACAAGGTGGTGGGAGTACAGGCAAAGGCACTGCCTCATCGGCCCGCCCAGGCCGAGAGCATCGGTCAGGAGACAGTGGATCACCCCACTCTCGTCTGCAGCCAACCTGACCCCTATCACCACTTATGTCCATACCTTCTGTCAGGATGACCACGATGATAGACTGGAATTGGATCAAGATGGTCCTCATAGGACCTGCACCGCCACCTCCCCTGGACGCAGTACCCCCGCCTCACGGCGCTCTACGAGGTTTTGGTCTTGCGAGCTTCATCCTGCTCCTCCTCGTCATCTGTTCCATGACTCTCCCCTCCCAAGGCAAAGCATGGATTCGTCTGACACTTCTACCAGGGATCCTCTACCTCAGCCTTGCCCTATCTTGTAAGCCAGAGCTAGGCAGCTTTGGCTCGCTGCTATTGGACTGCTTCTGGCCACTGCTGGGATGGAATCTCATCGCAAAGGCTGTAGATGTTTGTATTTGTGGGACTTTTGTAGATCGGGAAGGTGCAGAGAAGAGTCCGAGGTGGATTGTGCCCAAGAGCCAGGCTGGTACATGGGAGGGCGCTGTTAAGCTGGATCTGAAGGGCCAAAGCGCTGAGACTAGAGACGGCGAAAAGAGGGAGGCGAAGATGAATGGTCACGCCTCGGATGAGCCTAAAGCTACGACTTCCCCTGTCTACGGAGACATCGAAGCGGAATGGTACGCTGTGCCACACTCGCAGCACTTCTTCTCTCTCCGTAGATTGCTGTGGGCCTGCGACCACCTATTCTTGCTCCGTCCTCACACCTCCTGGATCTTGCCTACAGAACAGCGAGCGCTCGAGTGGGCGCACAAGGACCTCGTCAGAGCAGCGTTAGACCCCTCGTCATCTCGGTACGGCAAGCCCGAGGATCAAAGCATCTTCTCCGTAATCGGCAAGGTATCTCTCATGACGGCGTGCCTCCTCAACGAACGCCTCTTACTCGTCCCGCCCGGACCTGCCTTCTACTCGATGCCTGTTCTGGTGCAGGCCTTTAACGTCCTCTTCTACGGCGCACTAATTTGCCTCAGCAATGGGCCTATCGAGTACTTTGCTTTCCCTCTCCTCAGACGCGTGCTGCCAGTCAGCGCTCTGTTGCCAATGATGAATCAGCCTCTGCTCGCAAAGGGCCCTGCTGAATTCTGGGGAAAGAGGTGGCACGCAATGGTGCGCCGCTCTTCCTGGCGCTTAAGCCGCCTTTTTCCCGGAGGTCGTCACCCGGTAGGCAACAAGTTGTGGGCATTCGTCATCACAGGCAGCATGCACAGCATTATCCTAGCCCGTTGGCTACCTCCACCTCCCACTGTGTGGTATGTTCTGGTGCTGCTACTCGTGCCTGGGCCGATGGCCTTCTTTGTCGGACAGGGTGTGCTGGTCGCTCTGGAGCTCGCATTATTGGGACCGCTGCCGAGCGGTGCAAAGGGTCAGCAGGGAGAAAGATGGACCAAGACGCTGGCGAGGAGAGCGCTGACGTGGGGAGGCATTCTTGTCACTTGTCGGTACTTCGTTGGGGCGATAGCAGCTACGGGCATGCATACGGCGGCACAAAGATCTCATGGCTTTGGGAAGGACTGATAGACGAGAATCCATTTACATGACTAGCGATGTTCACTTTCATAGAAATGATATAGAGCACACGATTCAAGTGACGATCAGACCCCCTGGAAGAGTGCGACTTGTAGATCCGCCAAGAGTGATTACCTCGGGAAAGTGTTGCTTTCGGCGCTTTTTTTTTTGGGTGTGGCTGGCTGCGTGGGGATCGGGCAGGAAGCGGGGCGGTGGCGGCACAGGAGGAGCGGGACGTGGGTGTGTGTGTGCTTATGTGCTTGTGCTGCTCCTGCTGCTTCCGCTTTCCCAGGCGGAGGTGCAGTGGTGCCGCCCAAAGGCACTGCAGAAGCTCGGGCCTCCGCGTCGCATTGAGTTCAGCTCGGCCCCCCCCCCCTGAACAAGCACGACCCAAGCAACACCCCTGGAATCACTCCTGTCATCACCTCAGCTTCCATCGCGGGGGTGTGGCATCGCCCTCTTCTTTGTATCCACTCCTTGCCAACACTCCCTCCTCCAGTGATACCGACCACTCTTGGTATCTCCCTCCCACTTGCGGCATCTCCTTGGCACGGCGATCCTCATCCGCCCCTGACGCCCATCGGCACATTTCCTCGGCCCGGGCTTCCCTCCACGCACGCCCCATTGCTCCCACGCCCCTGACCTGAGTTGCTCCTACACCGCCGCCGCATCACGTCCGGTTGCTCTCTGGATTCCCTCGTCTGTACCTGCATCGTCATCAACAACATCATCCTTATCACATTCCAACATGAGTGGCAGCAACGATCCTGCCTCGCCTTCTTCACCTTCACGCCCAGCAGCCATACCCACTTCAGCCTCAGCCTCAGCCTCAGCTACAGCCTCAGCTACAGCCACTGCCGTCCCACGTCCCTCTGCCGAACGGACCGGATCAGCTTCGGAGATCCACTCCCTAAGCACTACTCCGCGGCAGAGTCACATCCTCAGCAGTGGTCCATCCACAGGCGCTACCTCTTCGCAGCCCCCCAGGTCACAGTCGGCACTGATGCCCGGCTCGACGGATAGCTCGGCAGCCAATAGTCCCTCGGTCTCACGGGCGAATAGAGCAGCTGCGCCTGCAGGGTTGGGCCTACGACCATCGATGCAGGCAACTTTTTCCACACCGGCAGCAGGTGGCTCAGGAGCAGGGCCGTCTGGCTCGCTGAATGCAAAAGACTGGGCATTCAATGAGGAGGGTGGGACAGCAGGCATCGGCAGAGGACTACCAGCAGTGAGTAATGTAGAAGCGGCGACCTTCGGGCACGCGCGATCAGACTCTTATCATTTGCTCTCTCCGAGTCACCTCATCTGCAGAGAAACCCCAATACCCGTCCCAGGGGAGGCTCATCGGTGCGAGAGACGTCCATGTCTGGCGCAGGACGACGTGGCCTGTCAGCCTATGGCATGTCGGACGCCGACAGGCGGTCCATCTCTGGCTTATCTGCGTCAGAAGTAGACGGAGACGAGTCGGAGGACGGACAGCCCGCTACAAATACTCAGAGCGCTGGTCGGTCTTCTTCTCGGAACACTGCAGCAGCCCCTAGAGCTCCTTCTAAGCAGCAGCGACCCGGCACCCTCAACCGATCTGAATCAAGGGGGCGCAGACCGAGCTATCTCACAAGAAGTAGTGACCTGCCAGACTACCTGGATGATACGGACCCCAATGCCTTTGGGCCACTGGATGAAGATGATGACGAAGTAGTTCCATATGATCGTGGAGAGGAGCTTGTCCGACGTCGTATGAAGGCCCGTCAGAAGGAGAAGAGGAAGAAGGAGAAGGAGGCCGAAAAGGAGAAGAGACGGACGTTACTGCTACCTAGTGGAAGCCGTCCTACCTCACCTCGCCCGCGTCCAACGAGCATGCTGCCTTCAGGACAGCCCACCAGTCCTGGTTCTCAGCAGCTGCAAATGGACAGGGAAGGACGTCCGACCTTTGTTCCTCTACCTCGTCAAGGCGGCAGCGGTGGTGAGCCTTGGCTTCTCAGTCCTGCTCACATGGGCAGCGCAAGTAGTCCCGGCCCGTCCTTCACCTCCGTCCTGCAAGGCGGTGGCAATATGGGAGGCTCATACCCATCTCCACACTCTCACATTCGCCGGCCAGTGGCAGGAAGAGCCAGTGGTTTAGCCGGAGGTCCTGCTAGCGGCGGCCCTGGGACAGGTGCTCCTTCTACGCGTGGTCGAGGCATTGGAAGTACACAGAGAGCGCCCAGTGCACAAGCTGCCCTGCCATCTCAGGACGGTGACAGGTCGCAAAGCCGTCAACGAGACATCTTCTCTGAGCGTCCTCAGAGCATAGCCACAGACTCCAGTGTCTCGGCAAGCAGCTTCGACGAGGGCGAAGAAGGAGGCGAAGATGAAGGAGAGGGTGACCATCTTGCCGATCTCAACGTAGACGTCGAGGAAGGCAAAGCGTATGCTGCAGACTTGCGAAACCGAGCAGCTGAGGGACAACGGAAGCGAGAGATGTCCACTCAGGAGATTGAACAGGAAGGCGACGAGGAGGAGGTTGCAATCGTAGACGACGAAGAACTTGATGGCGACGGAGATGAGACGCCCGAGGGAGGAGACTCGTCTTCCTCTGGCGATATCGAACCCGAGGACGTGGAATATACCCTAAAGGATCGTCAAGATGCAATCAACATCGAGCATCCCTTTGGTCTGCCCATCTGGAAGCCGGCTCTATACAAGAAGTCTCGAACGATTACACGCAATGCCGAAAACGCCTTACATTCCATTCCTAGTCGAGCAGCTGAGCGCCACTTCCTGCCAGGCAACATCCTTTGGACGCTCATCTTTGGTGTTTGGCTCAGCATCATATGCGGCATTGCCAGTGTACTTCTCAGACTCGTACCATTCGGAGGATCGAGATACGCCAGGGTCACGCTCGAGCTGGCAGGCTATCTCTTCTGGCCTTTCGGAAAGTACGTCGAGGTAGAGATTAGCCCACACAATGTCGAGAGGGCTGCTGGCGGAGATCCCGCCGGCAAGTACAACTTTATTGATCAGGAAGGCGGCAGTGCTTTCGACGATTGTTGGCAGAACGGGGGCCATGGAGAATGCGATCAGCCTGAAGAGACCTACACAAACGAGTTCACTCCCGTTGCTGCTCGCTACCCACACGATCATCAACATCGCGTACCTTTCAACTCCAGACCTTCACGGCCCTCAAGTCGCGACGTAACCCTCGTAAACCCTGTCACACCAGGAGACGAACCGGCTACAGGCTCTAGTAGCGCTGGCTCTTCAAATGGGGAAGCGAATCACACATTCGGTACCGCCAGACAGCCCTCGAATTCCAAGGGTGGCAGTCCTGAGACTCTGCCTCTGCTTGGCAAAGGAAAAGGGAGGGATGGCTACGGGGCTACCTCTGGTGGAGCAGCCGGCTCAGACGGAGATGAGGAGGCAGATTCTGCTGACGATGATGCTACGCGGATCGAGCGCGAGTGTGATCTTTACGAATACGTCGTGGACAGTCGAGGCCGCGATGTCGGATTTGGCAAGCGCTGGCTGGGCAGCATTGCTTATGGCCTAGTCTTTTGGCTGATCATCGCCCCCGTGTTGGGTCTAATCTGCCTGGCCTGTTGGGGTTTGGTCGTCACCATTCCCATGGCGAAGTTGAATTGGGTCCTCCTCAAGAATCTTGCCACGCATCCACTGGCACTGCACTTTGGTTCTGCACCTGCAGCTGCTGCCGCACTGGCCTCGGCGAATGGCGAAGCCTGTGCTACTCCATCAAAGGGCCAGCCTGATACTTCGCTGGACAAGGCAAAGCGACTTCTGCAACCTTTGAGACCTGGCCAGTTTGCCTCGAGGTCTAAGTCCTGGGGCGGCTCACCTTCGTCTCGAGGTCTGCGAAAGAGCAAGATTCTCCTCTGCACCTACCGAGCGATTGGTCTACAGTACTACAAGTATACCGTAGGCGGAGTCAACATCCTCTTTGTCAATACTCTTCCCTTTGTAGGCTTCACCATTCTGGACTTCTTCTTTCTCCTTCCCTACGTGGAGAAGCACGATATGCATTCTGGCTTTGCAGGCTGGGTTAGCGGCCAAGGAGTCATCTTCATCTGCGCACTGGGCAGCGTTATACCCCTCTCGTACTTCATTGGCATGGCCGTCGCGTCCATTTCTGCACAGAGTTCGATCGGCATGGGAGCAGTCATTAATGCTACCTTCGGTTCGATTATTGAGATTATCCTCTACGGCATCGCACTGACGCAAGAGAAGGCGCGACTGGTCGAGGGCTCGATCATCGGTTCAATTCTGGCTGGTGTGTTGCTCATGCCAGGACTCTCAATGTGCTCAGGAGCTACCAGGAGGAAAGAGCAGCGCTTCAATGCTCGCTCGGCTGGTGTTACATCCACGATGCTCATCATGGCCATCATTGGTATCTTGACGCCTACCTTGTTCTATCAGATCTACGGCACCTTCCAGCTCACCTGCACCGGATGTCCTGCCGACCCTGCAGCAGAGGTGGATTGGACTTGCAAGCGATGCTTCTACGAGCATGTGCCGCCAGCGACGGACCCTTTCTACCAAGAGAATGTCAAGGGCCTCATGTACACATGCACAGTCATCCTGGTTCTCTCCTACGGCATTGGTCTTTGGTTCAGTCTCCGAACACACGCATCTCAGATCTGGCAGAACTCGCTACCGGCCCCGGCACTAGCAGCGGCTGCCGGTCAACAGCAACCTACCGCTGGAGCCACCGGTCAGCTTGGCAATGATCCTCTGGCAACGGCTGGCAACAGCGTTCAAATCCCCTCGGCGCAGCGAGCTTCAGTCTATAAGCGGCTCTTGCCGCCACACCTCGCTCAGGCGGTCTTGCCTACGTCACAGAGAGTGGCGAGCCAACCCACTTTTTCTGCCACAGGCGGTCAGAGTCGCCTCTCCTCCGCAGTTGGTCGAACAGAGGGCAGTATCACCTCGCAGGAACCCCCGCCGCTGCGCTTGCCTGAGAGTTTCAGTCAAGAAGAGTATGCCAAGGCGATGGCTTTCACCGCCAGTGCCTTCCAGACGGCCATTCGACAGCATCAGCAAGAACAGCAAGCCAGTGGGGCCAGCTCTGCGACGATGCAGCCTGCGCCTGCAGCTGCGAGGAGATCGGTGCAGTCTGCCAATCAGGCGATGCCTCACGGCGGTCACCAAGGCCACCAAAGAGAGCTGTCGATGGCTCCCGTAGAGGCGGAGGATGCTGGTGGGCACGGCGGACACGATGCTCCATCATGGTCTCGAGTAGTGTCACTCACGGTGTTGCTCTCCTGCACGGTCCTATACGCCATCATTGCCGAGATCCTAGTAGATGTTGTGGACGTGGTCCTAGACGGGTCAGGCATCGACGAGAAGTTCCTTGGAATCACCCTCTTTGCCCTGGTACCCAACACGACCGAGTTCATGAATGCCGTCTCCTTTGCCATCAACGGTAATATCGCCCTCTCCATGGAGATCGGATCCGCCTATGCTCTGCAGGTCTGTCTTATTCAGATCCCCGCAATGGTGGCATTCAGCGCCTACTACAATCGTCCTGGTGGCACGACAGTAGGGGGAGGTCATCTGGAGCATCGCTCCTTTACCCTCATCTTCCCCCGCTGGGACGTGATAGCCATCATCTTTTCCGTCTTCCTCTTGACCTATACCTACATCGAAGCAAGAAGCAACTACTACAGGGGAAGTATCTGTATACTCTCCTACCTCGTACTGGTCGCAGGCTTCTTCTTTGCCCCGCCTACGGGAGATGTAGAGGCGCCTGGGGATGGAGCGCCAGAGGACTTTGTGGGGACGGCATTGGTGAATGTGGTCAGGAGCGGGATGGAGCTGAATTGGGTACAGTGGGCTAGCGCGCTCGTGGGAGCCTTGTGGACGCGGTGAGACTGGGTGTGGAGCTGCTTGTCTTCTAGCAGCAGGTAGAGAGTTGTACGATTAGATCTTCGCTTGCTTGATTGCCTTCCTTCCTATGCTCTTGCCTGCTTCCCTCCTCCTTTCTCCTCCTTTCAATCCGACTCTTTTGACGACCATTGCCCTGCTTGCCCTGCCCAGTCCTCCCAGCTCAATAGATTCACAAAAGTCGGCTGCGGCACATGAATGAGAGACGAAGGAGTGCTGTATTGCCAGGAGCAAGGTGAAAGGAAGACACGGGGGAACAGGTGACGAGGAAGGAGAAGGGATAGAGGTGCATTTGGCACACGTTCAACTACGTACAAAGGGAGAAAGTGGACCAGGAACACAAGCTGCAACAGGTTCAAATTACCCGCCGATCGCTGCCAAGAAGACAGTCTTCATCTAGCATTCCTTCTCTCTCAGGATCGCGAATCGGCGTAAGCTACAGCAGCGAGTGCGGGCCCATTGTCACCCAAGAAGCGCAAAGCCTCAGTGGTGGTCCTGGTAGTCCAAGCTTGCTGATCTCGCAAGACCATGGCCTGTTGAGCAGCTGCATTTCTCCCATCTCGCTCAAAGTGGCCTCGTGGTCCTAGCTGTAGTCCATTCGAGGTGAGCTCCAAGTCGTCTAGAATGGCCAGGAGGGAGACGATGGCTTGATCCTGCACTAGGGCTCGTTGGCGGGCTGCTACCGAGCGACCGCTGGTATGTCCAGTCCTGAAGGTGCGGACGCAGGGCGAGGAGCCAGAGTAGAGGCTGCTAGCAGCCGAACCGCGACGCCTGAGCGCACGGTCGCTCTCCTTGCCAGCGTTGGCCTCTGTCAACCTGGCCAGGACCGTCTCGACGATCTTGTGTGTCTCGTTGATGATGCGTAGTGCCTGTGTATAGTTCTTGCGGCTGACAAGGAGCAAGGAGCGAGTAATCATATCTGAGACCAGGAGCTCGATTCGTCGACGTGTGACCGTGGCATCAGAGGTCTGCTGAGGATTCGAAGAGCCATTTTCTGGCGCAGTCCCATCCACCTCGAGAGTCAGGACTGATGGATTCGAAAGGCGGTGTAGAGAGGAGCCAGCTGTCACGTCTCGGTAGGCAGCGTCGACTTCGAAGACTGCGACCTCTTCGATGAGACTACCCATTGAGTGGTCAATTCCGTACAGATCGCTACTGCCCGCTGTATCCTCGAGGTTCAGATCAGAGAGACCCAGTCGTTGAATGAAGTCATCCGTGGCAGAGCCAACTTCGATGGCAGGGGCGTTGCGGACTTTCCTCACCCCACCTACACGCCCATCATCATTCGTCTGAGCGATGAACGGCACTAGTCCATTGATGTCAAGCTCAAGCTCAACGAAGAGCTCTCTGGTTTCTCCATAACGCAATTCTCCCACCTCGACATCGACGTGCTTGCCAGAAGAAGACACGACAGGGTTCAGAACACCCTGCACTTTCTTCACCCTGAAGTGATTGTCGGAAGGTACGGAGATGCGCAGCTTGAACTGATCAATCGCAGTGCTCATGATTGATCCGATGCAGCCTGCAATGCACTCTCTCAGCTGGTACCACTCTCGTACGAAAGTATAAGAGCCACGGGTGTGGTTCGAAATGAGCCAGAGAGACGAAGGGTTGCTTGACTTGCCAAAGCCAAAGCAGTGGATGGGCGTATTGGCGGCTTCGGCCCTAGCCATGACCAAATCCATCTGCCTCTTGGCAGGACCATCAGTCGTATCGTTGATCAAGATCATTCCAGTCATTGAATTCTTGACTTTACGTGAGAGGACAATGTCCAAACCGACATTGAGCGCAGTCACGGTGTCTGTACGCTCACTTGCCCCACCGAGCGTCTCGCTGTCGACTCGGTAGGGATCGTCTTCGTCCTCATCCCAGGCTTTGCCAATGCTTTCGATGAAGTCTTGCAGCTTAGCTCGGCTACGTTCTCTAGCAGTGATGCTCAGCAGGCCGGTTTTGCGTACATCGCCTTCAGCGCCCGAGCTGTAGGTGACGACGGCAAGTCGGTCACTCGGTCCCATGTGGGACGATACGAATTCGAGCGTTGATCTGATCAGTCGAAGCTTCAGAGCTGCCGAGGACGAGACCCCACTGGTATCCTTTTGCAATACGACAGGGACGGACACCATCAAGACCAGGTCGAGTGGTGCATGAGGGAGCAATTTGGGAGGTGGCATAGAGGGATCCAGGCCACCAGAGGCAGACCACTGCTGCTGTGTGGGAAGACTGGCCGAGAAGCTTGCTCGTGTATTAGCCGCATCGCGCTCAGAAGACAGAGTGTGAGTGCTCTTCGATTTTCTCGGCTGCTTTGCTGCCTGAGTCTTTGGAGGTGAGGTTGCAGGTGTGCTGATGGCTGTGCTACCTCTTGCGCTGGCAGGCTCCGAGCCTGACTTGCCACTGATGAGAGAAGCACTACGAGCTGACCTCGCGGTTGCCCCTACGGACGATTTGCTAGGAGTCGACGTGTGAGGTGGTCCCTGCTCATAAGACAAAGGCTCTTGAGCCGCTCGTGGAGGTTGATACTCTTTGAGAATACCTGCACCTCGACCAACGCTGCCGTTGCTGTCATTGGCCGTCGTGACACCGTTGGCAACACTGGCACCAGGAGCTGAATGACGCGAATTGTAGCTTGCCTTGCTCTCGTCTGCCAGGGACTCCACTTTGCTCCTCCAGGCTTGGCGAATACCTTCTGTCGGGAAGACAAGGACGAAGTTGCCCAAAGTATCATCGTCCAAGGTGATAGCCAGACTAGGAGAGCCCTGGACGTTCTTCTCGATCATATCGGAAATGTGCCTCAGCCAGATCCTACCTTTGAGCTTGAGCTTCGGTGGTTTGGTTGGCTTCCCCTTGTCCGAACCAGTCTTGCTGCCTAGACGACTAAGTTTCCGATCGGGTTTGCCCGACTCTGTGACACAGATGAGGGCGGAGTTGAACAAGTAGACCCAGAACTTGCGAACTACATTGTCTTGGCTGATGCCAATGTAGTCGTACAGTGCCAATTGGCCGAACTTCTCGATGGGTTGACCTTTCCAGTCTGCCAGTCGTGCCTTTAGATCCTCGAATACCGCATCGTACGAAGTCTCATCGATAGCTGGAGCGGCATGCATGGAGAAGTCCTCGTCACCTCCGTTACTGGTCTCTTTGCCGCTACCTGAATGGTTCTCGTCTCCGTACTCGTGCAGGCTGTTCTGATCATCGTGGCGAGCCAAGCGCTCGTGTCCCACATCCGAAGATGCAAGAGCTCTGTCGTGGCCGCTCGAAATACTCTCTGACAAGCCACTGGCACGATGGTTGTACCTCATCTCAGCAGGAGGTTCGTCTCCTGCTTCCAGACCATTGTCGATACCGCCATCTGCATCCTCTTCATCGGTAGCTTCTTGCTCGTCGTCATCATCTCCATTGAGAAGCGGCAACCCCTTCCACTGCATTTGATGTTTGGCTTCTTGCTCATCCAGAGAGAGAGGAGGTCGGCGAGATGGAACTTCCAAGGCGACTACGCAGACGATGTTCTGCTTGCCATTCTGGCCAGTCGGATCCTTTCGATAGATTGTGTCGAATTCGGGTCGAATGCGGATCACCGGGTGCACCATGCCGGGAGAAGTGGGCGAGGTTGGCAAAGGCGAAGACAAGCTTTCGTGGTTACTGTTCGCTTCCAAGATCACATTCCTTGACGCTGGAGAACTCATGGTGCTGTGGCGCGAGGATTGCGGGTCCGGGTAGCTACGAGAAGTGGAGCGAGACATTGTGCTGGACAATGCAATGGAGCCAATCGGATCATCGATCAAGTTGCCTTCATCACGTTGGCCAGCATCGGACGGCCTACCACGCGTTTCTCCAAGTCCCATCATCCCAGTGATCTCTGAATGGGAGGGGTAGCGAGATCGAACATAGGGCAGCGGTGGCGAATAGAATCCGGTTTGTTGACAGGTTTTTTCAGAATCCGAAGACGATTGTGATGAGTACGAGTAATGTTGATGTTGATGATAAGGCGAGCCAGAGCGGGCAGACGCAAGAAAGGTGGCAGATGATGATGAGGGAGGGGGAGAAAGTAGAGAGGAAGAGTGGTGAGGTCTGTCAGTACTGCGTGACTGATAATGATAATGGTTCATGGCGCCTTCGATGGTAAGATCTGATGATGATGCTGCAGTAGGAGACAAGGATACGGGATGAAAGCCAGCAGAAGAGGAATTTTCCCGCCGTTGCTTCTTTGCTGCAAAAACCCCACGATGGCATCGTGTGAACGAGGGAGATATGGCTCGTTGGCAAGGGGGTGAGGATCCAAGTTGCCAATATAAACGGTCCTCTGTACCTCGCCGGGGCAAGAAATAGAGCGCATCTGGGAGATGCAGACGTGCCTTTATAGACTGCCCTGAAGGTACCTGCCTATGTCCCTTGCCTGTGTCGATCGCGATATCATGAACCGTCGGCGCTTTCCACCCGCTCGCGCATCCCTTGGCGGATTTGCTTGGGGACCGCCCTTGGGGACTCTTTGCTCTGGAACCGTTGCCTCTTCCTCTGCCTTCGCCTTCTCCCTCAACGAGACTGTACTCACTTGCAGATCTGCTATTATCCCCTCCGTCCCCACCTAGAACAATCGCTTTCCTGCAGACACCACACATCCCAGGCGGTCCTGCCTTCTTACCGCTCGAACCTCCTTCCTGAGCTGCCAATATGTCTTCCGGCTTGCCATACACAGCAGTGAAGCAGGCGTTGTGCAAGGCATGCCCGCACGTGGGCATCACGTGGGGCTTTTCGCCCGCTAAACGGTACGACAGACGCTCGAGGCAAATCGGGCAGTCTGCCTCCGTTCGGCTGTCATCGCCATTATTGTACGAAGTTGATGTGTCATGGAGGGAAGAGCCTGACGTGCTGGCTGGAGGGTCCACAGAACGATGGCTCTCGCTTCGACGCATCGCCTGTGAAGAATTGAGAGCAGCTGCATCTGCTCCGGCTCCCATCATTCGTTCGAGCTTGCTGTTTCCAGAAACGCTGCGACGACCGGGTCCAAGGGAGCTAGGCGCGTCCCTCCTCATACTCGTAGAGGAAGCTCGGGGAAGATAGCCGATGTCCATCAGATCCTCCACCACACTACCCTTACGTACAGAGGGTGTGCCTGAGTTCGAGCTGAAGCGAGTCCTGCTGGAGTCCATCGATCTGCTTGCATTCATTGCGCTAGACCCCGCAGTCCCGCGATCGTAGTCGTCCCATTCTTCTTCCTTCTTTGAGCTGCTCGACTTGCGGCCGAAGGACAGCTTCCAGCTGCCGCTAGGTCCACCCTTCAACATCTGATCTGGTGCTTGCTGACTGAGGTCTGGATCAATAGAGGATGCAGTGCGTAAGACCTCGCAAGAGACGGAACTCTTCGATCGAGAATGCTCAGGAAGTGTTGGAGGCACAGCACCTGAGCTCGATTCTGATCCAAAAGATCCGAAACTTTCAACGGAGGACTGATGCTCGTGACGCTGCGCGTAGAAGCTGTCGTCGCGCAATAGCTTGATATGATCGTTGCTAGGCCTTGCTGTCGAAGAAGATGCCTGATTGCTGCTTTTCTGTCTTCCCAGGGTATAATGTGCGGTTTCGCTTGGCCGTAAATCAGCTGTAAAGGCTGTCCAGTGTGGGGTCTTCTCGATCCAGGGTGTATGATTCTGAAGGTCCTCTTCGGAAGGGGGTGTAGCAAGCTCAATGTAGCTTCGACGTCTCTTTGTGCGATCGATTGCAATAGCCTCTTCTTCCTTGATCGCCTTGCTCCTGAAGAACTTCTTCACTGATCCAAAGGCGACAGCAGCAAAAGCTGAATCTGTTCTGACTCTATCGGACTGATCGGTTGAAGACGATCGAAGTCCGTTCCACTCGGATTGCGACGAGGGCTGTGTGGCCGATGCAGAAGGGGACTGGTATACACGGAGCTGTCTGTCGGACTGGAAATTCGAGTCGCTAGTAGTGTCGTATGTGCTGCTGTCGTCAGAGACGGACCAGAAGCTCCTGCGCTGCTCTGCAGAAGTGTGCGGACGAGCAGCCCTGTTGAGTCGTTGAGCTACAGACTCTCTGGAGGCGGGTAGAACTTGCTTTCTGTCTCGAAACGGATCAGGTGGAGCGTTGTTGCTGAACGTAGGGACTGCTCCTTGTGTGGGATCAGGCGGAACGACAAGTCGAGGTTGCAAAATTTGTCTAGATGCGAGGAAAGGTAGATCGTCTCTATTCGGGACGAAGGGCGGCTGAGTCGTCAAGGACGAGTCTCGCGTGGGTAGCTGCAGCACTGGGTATAGAAATGGAGTATGCGTTGCTGCCTCGTTGGAAGGAGCACTGGTGCAAGTGGTAGATGAGGATGAGTGGACGTCCCTACTGGCCATGCACTGAGGACCCGGTTATCCCTCGAGGCGGCGGCTAGACGGGCGATGGGGAGGAAGACAGCAAGTGGCTGAGATCCGGGGTAGATATGCGGATGGGGATGGAGTACAAGCAAAGACGTCCTTGGTCAGCTCTCATCTTCACGTCCTATTCGAACATCTCTGACGCCCTCCAAGGCTACATTGCAGCGGCACTTGATTGCTCGGCAATCGCGCACGTATTTCACATCTCCTACTTGACTATCGTCCCTGATCCCACGGCTCTACTCACGCTGAGCAAATGCCAGGCCACGGAAGTAGATAGGCCGATCAGAAGCGGCAGTCCGGTAGCAATCGGACGGGAAGCGCAGGGCGAGGCGAAAGCCGCAAAGTCGGGCAGCGGAGGCAAGAGTAGAGGGGGAGAGAGCAATGGTGGGCCAGTAGAGTGGTAGAAGTTGGAGGAGCAAAAGGAAAGACCAAGATCGTCAGTATGTGGTCAGCAGGACCAAGAGCGCAGCAAGACCAATCGTCCGCTGCCCCTATCAAATCCTCGTCCATGACCTATCCGGATAGCTCAAAACTTTCTGCTGCACGGATACCCAAATGCCGAGATCAATGCCACTCACCGAGCACTTTCGCTTCCTTCTGTCTTCTGCCTCGTCCGCTCGCAATTTAGCCTGATCTACCCCTAATAAAAGAGGTAGGTGTAAGATGACAAGAGGTCCGGGCGGTGGAACTGCAGGACAGACGAGGGGTTCCGAGGTGCGGAGGGCAGGATGATCAGCTCTACTCGTAGCTACTGCTGGATGCTTCCCTCTTCCACAGCGAGAGGTCCCTCCACCTGCCCTGCCGCTCGCCTTGAAGACTTCCCTCGGCGGTTTGCGCCGTGATTTTCCGTATCTCTACCGGGCCCTTTCACCCTCCCAGCGATAGCCAAGATTGCACAAGATCTCATGCTCACCTTCTCTGTCCAAGCTCCCCCTAGGCTCTAGTATCTTCAGCTGTCTACCCTTTCTACCAGCTGTAATTCCAGCCGAGGTAGGGGGGGAAGCTACTTGAGCTTCGCTTCGCTTCGCAGCACAACAGCGAGACGAGACGCGACTTGTGAGCCTTGCGGGCCGGCCAGGCGGCACACTTTTTCGCGAACGGGCCCGGAGTTGCCGAGGTGGGCCGAGGTGGGAGGAGGATGCTCACAACCAGAGCAGAGCGAAGCAAGGAAGTGTTCAATACGAAGCTCCCTGCGAGTTCAGAGGGCAGCTTGTATGAGGGAAGTCACAGGTATATTATGGTATGGTGTGACAGCAAGAAGTGGACGGGAGAGATGGAGCTGACAGGATTGACCACCAGGTGGGGCTGTGGAAGCGGAGGCGTCAATGCAGATACGCCCATCTCGGTGTGCATCTCGTCTCCGTCTCTGTTGCGTTTTTGTGTGAGCTTGTTTGCCAGTCTCTATCAGCCAACTCAGTCAGACAGTCCCTGAGTCAGTCCCTCAACCCTGTCAGCCCTTTCCCACCCTACCTCTATCGCCGCGGGGCGGGCAAGTGGGCGGGGCAGGGCGGGAAGCACACTCGGAGGGAGCGAGCAGGCAAGGGAAAAGAAGCTCAATAAACTGAACTAAACGCCCCCATTTGCCCGCTTGCCGATTGCCAAATTCAACAGCCGAATAGGACAGCACGGGGGACAAGGGGACAGACAGCGATCCACTTTGACAGGCAAGCCGGCATCTCGTGGCGTTGGAGGAGGTTACGCGAGGGGAGCCAGCATGCACGGCAGAAGCAGGAGCTCAAGCAGAGGCAGAGAGGCACACGCAAAGGCAGAGGACAAGAAAGGCGCAGGAGCGGTGGGGGCTTCTCTCGAGTGCGACGCGCTGCGCCTTCTTTTTGACGTGTCGTCCCCGCCTGAGCAAGCAAGCCTTTACGCCTCCTTGGCCATTGCGTGTCTCTCCCTCAACATCTTTGCATGCTCGCTCGCTCCCTCTATTGTAGGACAAACGGCGGAGCGGGAGGGGGAAAAGGCAAAAGATGGTGGGTGGCAGCACGACAGACGGACCACCTTTAATCAACGGGACATTTCTACAAGGGGAGAAAGAGGCGTGGGAATCGCAAGGCACCATTCGGAGCTTGAGGGCCAAGTGGGGGGTCAGTGCAAGGCAGCGCAGAGCTACTGTGTAAGAAACGTGGCTGGGACTGACTGTCTGACTGATCGGTCTTCTGAAAAGAAGAGAAGAGGTCGGTCCCTTCACGGACTGATCATCGGCTTATGGTAGATCACTGCAGCCTTCTTCGTTAACCTCGAGAGAAGGTCGCGCCAGAAAGGTTTCTTCTCTTCAATGCACTGCACTTGTCCACTGCGAGGAATCAGGCCGTGATTCAGTCAGGCACGCGGCATCCCTGCCCTGCCGCTCCCCCACCCCCACCGGCGTCTCACATCCTGCACGTCTTGCAGCCGAGAGAACAGGACACCCCTCTTTCCTCTTCGCTTCCATCGCTCCGCCTTTCCTATTTTGGAAGGTAGCAAGAATACAAACGTCTTCGATAGAATGTGAGAGCAGATGCACAGCATGACAGGAGGAGCGGCGGTAAGAAGCTGCTTCGATCGAAGGGGAGAGAAGCGACCTTGTGTGTTTGTTTGCTGTGCCGGCCCTCGGGCAAAGAAGACCGAGGTGGGCGAGACTGCATTTCGCGGGCATGGGCATGGCGGACTCCTCACAGCTCACTTTCGACAGCAGAGACACACTCTACAGACAGACAGGAGATTTTGTCGAAGTCACTGATGATTGAGAATGTCTAGTGTTACATGACGAATTGATCTTCTATCTTTTATCTTTTGCATGTGATGCCATCGGCGCAGACCACACACCGCCATCACTCGCATCTGTGACAGTTCGCTGACTACCTCATCCCTCGGTGTCTCGCATGGCCAATTCTTGATGCGAGCGCGCCCGTCTGTACTCACAGAGCATGCCGATACTCGCATCCCGCCTCGTTGCAGGACCCTTCGATGGCCTCGACAGGGCACCATCGCCGCTTACCTTTCCGTGCCTCTTTCGAGGCTCCGTTTGGCGAAAGTGCTGCCTGCGGAGAGACCTGGCCTTTGAGGAGCGTAGCTTGAGTAGCGTGTGGAGGGGAGATAGACGAGGAAGGAGAGATCGACATGTTGGATGACGAGGAAGGGACAGACTCGGCTGTGGCGGACTGCAGGGTGAGCTACAGACGGGTGCAAAACGGGATGAGGAAGGTGATGACGACGACGACGGATCGGGAAGAATAGAAGGGAGAAAGGTTAGGTCAATATCCCCAGCCCAAGCAGAGACCTCAGATGCACCGTATGGCAACATATTGGATGGTCCTCCTGTGAGCGGCCTGTGGAAGGCCGGCTTACCTCTGACTTGTCGACTACGTGAAAAGACAGTCGGCAAGCCAGCAGGAAAGAAAGTCGGAAGTTGTTAGCGATGTCTTCTTACGAATTCTGTCGTCGCAGAAGACGGGAGATGTTGCAGGGCCAAGTGCCAATGCTTCTTTTACGGCATTCCCACGTACCTTCCTCTCTCTTTGAATCTTCGACTTCGCCCCCAGACTTCCGAGCGCTTGACGTCTCGGAGAGGGCAGCTGCAGCTGCCCTCTGCCTAGCCTTCTTTCTTTGCCTCTTGAGCCGTTTGGAGCTAATCTCCTCGGCAGGTGCGATTTGGGGTTCAGCAAACGTAGCGTCCGATGCGGGCGCGGGAGCTGACACTGATATCGATGGTTCGACATCGGGCGCTGTACTCAGATCTGCCTCATCGTCAGCCTTCCTCTTCAGAATGATTGGTGAAGGAAGGGTCTCGTCTGACATCACCGGATCGCTCTTGGTCTTCCTCTTCATAGCCTCGAGCAGCTTCCTCTTCTGCTCGGCAAGTTGAGGATTTAGGACGAGCTTTCTGGTGGAAGGAGCCGAGGGGGAGGCGGACGCAGTCTCGGTGCCCTCGGCGTACTCTCCTTCTTCGAGGTCCTCGCTCGGCTTGCGTAGCGTTGTAGGAGCCGATGACGGCGAATTAGATTGCGCCGTGCTGCCTTCCGCTGGCTGAAGGGGTTTCGGAGAGGGCTGCGACGAAGTCGATGCCGACGGTTCCGCCGACGAAGAGGCGAAGGAATCTTTGGGTTGACCAGACTCTACGGGACTTTCAGCGCCTTTCGAGATGCTCCCACCGTACTCGACTGGCAAAGCAGCCATCACGACCTGGTCCCCAATGATGGCATCGGGAACCGATTCGATTGCAGGCACAGAAGGTGTAGGAGCTCCATTCTGTCTGACTTCCTGCTGCTCGCCGAGTTCTACTGTCACTGCTTCTCTAGCCTTCTTCCTCGCTGCTTCAAGCTGTCTGATCTTTTCCGTCATCATCTTGATCTGGGCTTGCTTCTTCTCGTACTCTGTACTCTCAGCCGAGTGGGGAGCCGGCGATGAATTCCCGCTACCGGTTGCAGAGATCAAAGCTGGCGGTACTCCCTGCGCTTTCTTCCACAAGATGGCAACATCCTCAAGTGTCTTGCTACGAATGGATTTTCGGAGTGATTGACTCGAAGTCTCACCCACCTCGTCTGCATCATCCTCTTCGTCACTTGAGGCATCACAGTCTTCAATCACTACTCGACCGGTTTGCGAAGGAAAATTCGGCCTCCGAGCTGTGAAGGTCGGAGTCCCATAGCGACGGCGTGGGAACGAGCCGGGACCACTGTCATGATAGTGGTATGAGGAGGGTCCTGCTCCCGATGATACCAGCTGCGACTGTCGTCCGACCCAGCCTTTTGGGCCCGTGGGAATAGCGGATGCAGACGCTGGCGCAACGTAAGGCGCTGGCGGATAAGGATGGCTGTTCAGTTGGAATTGGGAAGATTGCTGATACGGCGCCGTCATCGGAGGTGGTGGGCCGCTGTAGTAGGGAGGCGCGAACGCAGGTCCGGGGTAAGGTGAAGAGTGAGGGCCATTATGATGCAGATGATGAGGAGGCGGAGGATAGGTAGCAGAAGCTGGTCCAGGAACATACGCTGGTAATGGAGCCAACGTCAGGGGCTCGACACGCTGTTGAGGCTGAGGGGCGGAATACAAAGGCGCCTGTGGCCAGGACATCTCGTAGGGAGAGTGAACCTCATTGTTGGGCTTTGAAAGGCGCGAAGTCGAAGCACTTGACGATACGCCATTAGGTCGAAGCGATGGTAGAGGAGCCTCCAGGTCGACGTCACCCGATGGAGCAGCTAGGGCATCAGAGTAGGATAGCACCTGACGTCGCCGGTCCATCCTGACTGGAGAGACGCGAGCGTCTTGCGCTCCTCAGCTTGGCCAGAGCCAGGAGTGTACAGGCTGCGGGGGGAATGGGATTCCGACTAAGAGGATTTGCTTCTGTCCCGATTGCGAGCGATGGTCACAGATCGATCAGACGGGCTATATGCGGACCTTTGGGTGAGACTGACGTTGATGAGGAGGTTTAGGAGCTACAAGACTAGAAACACGGTATAGTAGTCGCCTTCGCCTGTGCCTGTGCCTGACCAGGTACGAAGCCACCTTCCGATCCGGCTGCCGCGGCTTGACTGGCCTTGGCTTGGCCATGTGCCTTTGCGCGTCGCTTACGTTTCCGTCCCTCCACCCGCTTATTCCCTGACACCAGCAGCGGGACAAGCGTCTTGAAGGGTATTCACATCTTCTGATCAAGAGAGCTGATTGAGATCACCTGGCCATATACCACATCTTCTCCTCGCCATCATGTTCCGATTTGCAGCTCCCGCCTTACGCAGCCAGCTGCGAAGCGCTGCCACAAAGGCTGCTCCGACAAGGTCTTTCGCAACATCCCATCGATTCGCCAAGGACAGCAAGACGCTCAAGTGAGTACCCCCAGCCCTTCGTCTATATTAGTCATTCTACAGTAAGTGGGGAAGCTGACTTCTCATCTCATTGACCTAACACAGGAAAGGAGAAGTCGATGAGCATGCTCGCATCTTCGATCCAGATTCAAGGGCAGGCACAGCAGCAGCCGCTACCTCCGAAGGCAACGACTTTGCCAAGCATCGGCCAGTAGACACATCGGCCCGCCGGAGTTCACAGACAGACAGTGGCGCTGCTGGACAGACGAGGACGGCTGCAGCTTCAAGTGAACGTACAGGCGAGGTTGATGAACACGCTCGTATCTTCGATCCAGACTCGAGAGCAGGTACAGCAGCTGCAGCTACTTCCGAGGGGGGCGACTTCGCCGAGCATCGTCCGGTAGACACATCAGCGTCCAGGAGCTCACAGACAGATAGCGCTGCTGGCGGACAAACGAGGACAGCTTCAGCTACTTCGACTCCAGCGTCGAGTAGAGACGCAAGCACTGGTACCGATCCGGGCTACAGCGCTCCCTCTTCTTCCTCGGACCCCTTCCCCATGCCCTTTTCCAAGGGCGTTGATCTCAACTCGGCATCACAGTCTGACTCGTTGGAAGACTTCGGAGCTCCTAATCGAGTGCCTGGCCGAGAGCCCGGCGACGAGTCTCGCGAGCAGATCATTCGACGTCTCATCTACCAGACGCGCAAGAGGGGCATCCTGGAGACGGACCTACTCATGTCTACATTTGCCTCAAAGGAGCTGTGGGACATGCCGGACAAGGAGATTGCTGAATTCGACAGACTGCTCGACGAGCCGGATTGGGACATCTACTATTGGTTGGTGGACAAGAAGCCTGTACCGGCTAGATGGAGGGAGAGTTTTGAGACGGAGGGCAGGCTGGGCGCACGATTGAGGAAGCACACAAGGAACGAGGAGAAGGAGGTGAGGTGGATGCCGGATGAGCCGCCTGTTGAGAAGTGAGGGTCGGCGAAGGAAATGATTAGGGCGCCTCCTAGCATCTTGGCTTGGACACTGAATACCTTTAATACGATATATGATCATACGAGCAGCCTTAGACACAATTTTGGAAGCCCTTCTCGTGGCCTTGTACATCACCTGGCGTGTACGCGGCGGCGTCGTTCTCATCCTTCCTTCCTTTCAGCTGCTGCTGCCTGCACCTGGCCTTCTTTCTCATGCCGCCCGGCTGCCCTTCGTCATTTCTGAGTTTTCTATCATGCGCCTCGCACCCCGCCACGCCTGCGCCTGCGTCTGGCAGCAAATGCCCTCGACGGCGTCTCTGGTGCGCCTGCCGAGGGGATTCCTTCCCCGCACTTTTTGACTGGCCTTGCCAGAGTTGCCTGTGCTGCGAGAGTCGTCTGCTGCCCCTCATCTGGGGAAGGAAGCACTTGTCCGTGGGTGCAGCGGTGTGGTGTGGTGCGAGTCTTGTGCCGTGTGCTCCTGCGCCTGACGCCTGCGATGATGCCTAGGCGCTTCCTGAGACGAGGTCGGACGCCGTCTCTGAACCCCACTGCCTTCGAACCCTTTGCCATCCATCAGCTGCTGCGATATCCTCCCCCGGTCCTCCTCCTCCATCACTTTCTTTGCCCGGTATACCTTTCTTCGTCCTCTCTCATACCCTTCTTGTCTGTTATTCGTATCACATCACTTCGGATACCCTCCGCCCCCACGTCAGGTGGGCCTCCTGCCGTACTCTCTCTGAGACGGTCTTGCCCTTCCCACTACTGCTTTCCTTCGTACTCTCTTGCCCAGCATGCTTGGGTTCCTCAACAAGCTAGGACCGGGGTTCATCATCCTCATTGCCTTTCTATGCTTTGGGGCTGCCACGATCCTTCAGCTAGTCGTGAGTGTCTCTCTCCTGCGCGAGATTGCGGCTGCTAGGATCATTAGTCGCTCTGCCGACCCTCATACTGACATGTCGTATTGCCTCTGATCGCTCCCCGCCACCTCTGCGCAGGTCTCCATTGGGCTCCCTACAATCTCGGGTCTCTACTTCATGCGCTTCACTCTGCAAGATCTCGGTCAGACAGTCACCTTTGGACTATGGACCATCTGCACTGACCTCTACTTTTCGAATGCACTGATGAGCGACAATGGCATCACATGTCAGCCCGTCAGTCTGGGGTACGAGGGCACCCAGTTCGGGGCTATTGCCCAGTACTTGCTTATTGCGCCCGTGGCAAAGGCCGTGAGTACTGCTGCGAGGCGCGACGGAGCGAACGTCTGGCAGAGCAGTCACTTACCCACAACCTCTCTCTCTCTCTCTGCATACTGTTCTTCTTCACTCCTCAGCTCGTTGTGCAACCCATTGCTTGCGGTTTCGCCGGTCTGGCCACCGTCGCTTGCGTTCTGCACCTTTGCACCAATTTCCTCCTCTGGCCCTTCATCGCCTTCCTCGCCGGTGCACTGGGCGTCCTTGCCTTTGTCTTTGAGATCATCCTCTTCACCACTGCCCGTGTTCGCCTGAACACCTCCGGCGTAGAGAACTATCTTGGGCAACAGATCTCCTCTTCCACCCTAGGTCCAGCCATCTGGATCCAGCTTGCAGCAGCGGCTCTCGTTGCCTTTGGAACGCTGTTGAGTTGGTCTGCCTACATCAGGAGGAAGGTCAAGAAGTCGCACACTGGCAAGATGGGCACGAGTGTCAGAGGCAGCGTGTACGACGAGAGCTCGGTTGGATCGTACAGGCAGGAGAAGCCTGCAAAGCGAGCAGGTCTATTCTCAATGGCCTCTACCGCCCCCAACAAGAAGGGCAAGCCGAAGGGCGGCCTCCTTAGCCGTTTGCGTGGCGGTGGCAATCAGGACGATGAGAACGGTTCCGCCGTTGCCATGCGTAACATGGCTGCACCTCTCGCTGGCGCTGCCATTGGCTCCAAGAGGAGCAGTCAGCACGACAAGAGAAACTCCAAGAGCAGCGCAAGGACAGCACGAGTCTCTGGCACTCGAGCTGGTTTCACAGACTACTCTGGACGGCGTAGAGCTCGTCATGCCAGCATGCCCCTACCGTCGTCGACGGATCGTGGTGATCGATCACGTCGCTCCAGCGGTACTGGCGCCAATGGCAGCAGGACGGCAAGGACGGCCGCTCTGGCCGGTGGTGCTGCGCTGGGTGCTACAAGGTCGAGCAGGAGCGGTAGCAGCGCAAAGGAGGCTTACTCTTCGCGCAGACACTCGAACCAAGATGACCTCAGGAGACAGCGTAGCAGAAGAAGCCAGGACAGCGATGACGATGACGACGACATGTTCCACGAAGCCGACGACGGTGGAGACCGAGCCGACCTGGGCTACCTGCTTGGCTCTCGTCCTTACTCCTACCCTGCCGGTCGCTCAAGGGAAAGCGTTGACCGTCGTTCCTCGGACCGAGACCGTTCGCGATCCCGTCCCAGCGGCGAAGGACAATTGCGGGCGCGCTCCCGCTCTCGCGATCCTCGTCGTAGCAGCGAGCCATTTGCCGTGAGGCGCAAGCCTGCTCCCGCACTAGACCGTGGAAACGGTAGCGGTAGTGGCAGTGGCAGTGGCACACGTCGCACTAGCGGTGCTGGCGGTGGAGGTGGATCGGGGTATGGCTCCGGGTACGGATCTGGGTATGGCGGACGTGCCGAGACGCGCAGTTCTGGCATGTCCAGATACGCATCCGAGCCGCTACGAGAGGCAGATGATGATGGTGGCTTCATCAGTCCCAGAAAGGGAAGGAGATCAGAGAGGTATAGCGCTCGTATGGCCGAGGGAGGTTGGGATTGATCGATTGGTGTATGTGTGCGGGTATGGGTTTTCCTCTTGTTTTCACCTTGGTCTTTTTCGTGCGCATTCCTTGTACTTTGTACCTTCTCTGATTCTGAGTCTTCTTGGACTGGATTGCAATTCCGATTCACTTCTGAAGCTACACAATCGCCTTCACCGTACCGTACCGTTGACCGCTACCCTCTCTTTTTGATTCAGGAGCAATTGCATAGCATGCTTTGGTATGGTTTGGTACGATATTTACTAGCCACAACGCGGCTCAAGACAGTAGCTGGACAAAGTGGGTGATATTGGGAATACATGTACAGTACATACAACAAGAGACGAAAAGGGAGGTCAGAGCGAGGGGTGGAAGGGGCTAAAGGGGAAGGGGGGAGGGGAGCAATTATCGTATCGGAGAGAAGGGAGGGGGGAGCCAGAGGCGAGGAGCAAAAGAGAGAGGGCAGAGCAGGGCAAGAGCAGAAGCACAAGCGAGCCAAAGAGGGGGCAGTGATAGAAGCAGGCGGCTAGCTCAGCCCAGCCTCACCTCACCTCACCTCACCTCACCTGGCAACTCCCTCGCCATGATGCGCAGCACTACTTCCCCTCTCTTCCATCTCGATCTCCACTCCCCCACCATTACTACCAGGAGGCCCCTGCCTAGGCTGAGCAGCCTGTCTGTCTCTCTCAAGGGAAGGGTGACGTCTGAGGTACTCTCGCTGGATACGCCTCGCCTCACCATATCCTCTCGAATCGGTACTCTCCGTTCCAAATCCAGAAGGAGTGGCTGCCCCACCCGCATCTGCACCACCGTCTGGACCTGCCACGCCTCGATTGAAACGGGCAGGACGACGTGCAGAAGGTGATCGACCTGGCTGCGATGGCGACTCGGAGAAGAGGTCTGCGTCGTAGAAGCCATGCAGGAGGGCAGCTTCTCGGAGCTGAGCTTGCTCTTTTGCCGAGAGAGACACACGGCGACCCTCGTAGTCGTCGTAGTCTCGACTTCCTGCACCTTCTGCACCCGTGTCTGCCCCGAGGGAAGAGGAGTCGCCGTCCCCCTCACCTCCACCAGGACTCGACCGAGTTGCAACGCCTTCACGGCCCTTTTCTGCCGGCCAGACGCCGTCGCCACTGCCTACACCATCCTCTCGGGCTCCTTCCCGGGCATGTCTCCTTCGTGCGATGAAGAGGGTCAGGAGAAAGAGTCCGATGATGACTACGACAGAGACGACGATTCCAATTGCGATTCTCGCTCCCGTGTTCAGCCCACCTGAGCTGCTCGAAGAGGAAGAGCCGCTGTACGATACGCCAAAGGCGGCATTGTCCCCCAGCTGCTCGTTGCGCACACGCACAGCGTCAAAGTCCAAGTATGCTTGCGTGAGATCCGTCGTCATCGGACGAAGACCTACCGTGGGGTTTGCACACTCGGTACCCTCTGCTGCTGTGGTGTTCGTTGAGAGTGCGGGTTCGCAGGAAAAGACCGTGTAGACGTTGCGTAGAAAAGGGGTGCCGAGGATGATGTCGGCTCCTGCGGAGGACTCGGAGGAGAGGGCAGATTGGAAGGAGCCGATACAGCCGTCGGAGTCCTTGCCAATGCCAATATCGGAGTAGGATTGGTAGAAGGAGGCGTCGAGTGGGTGAATGGGAACAGAAATGCCCGCCGAGAGGGAGAGAGTCATGTTCAATGGTAGGTCACAAGGGACGTAGACTGTGCGATTGGAGATGGTAGGCGAGCGAGAGAGGTCAGCTGACAGGCTCCCAAATTCTCATTCGCCTTCCACTTTTGTTCACTCACATATTCCATTTTCACCAGGACCAATCCTGTTCCCGCTAGCGTCCACAAAGGCTCCATACAATGCATCCAGCATCGAAGCCGGCGCATAATTCAACGAGCTCCCCGAATCCAATACGACGGTTGGTTCCACAGTCTTCTGCCCCGCAAATGAAATGGGGATAGAAGACGCTGTTCCGGTAGCGTTTGTCACGCTGAGACCAGTGAGGGACAAGGTCCAGTGTTCGTAGCCGGTGCTCGAGGTGGCTGCTACGGGCTGAAAGGTGATGGAGGAGTACTCTGACTCTGGGAGGTAGGTGGAATCTACACCACCGATGGTCAGGGACGAGTTGGCAGTACGACCCCCGCCGTCGGAGGGAAGCCTTTCCAGTCCCAAGGAGATGATGCGTGGCGTGGAGCTCGATCCACTCGAAGCGTCCCACAGCCCTGAGAGGACGCTGCCTGTGCTACCGACTGTGGTGAAAGTATTGCTGGTGCCACTTGACGGACTGAGTACATTCTCTATTGCCGAACTGGATGGCAGTGACAGCCCCAGCACTCCCGTCACATTCGTCTTGTCAAAGTTGATGGTGTCTACTTGACTTGCGCTCCCAAAGGCCTGACCAGCCAGCGAGCTCTGCCCAATTGCGAGCGAGGAAAGCGTGTAGATGGTCCCGCTAGCGCTTCCGTCAAAGTATGTCACGTTCCACTTCTGATTCAGCGAAGAAGACGATCCGACGTCGAAGGACTGCGATGGGCAGTCCCCATCACATCCTGGAGCCGCGAGCCAGATGTCACCTGCGCCAGTGTCTAGGACGAGGTTGGCGATCAGGTCGTTGGGTAGGGTGATGGGTACGTTGTATGCCAGCTGCTCATTCAGGAAGCCATAGGAGAGGGCAATGGAGTTCTGCGATGCGGGGAGCGAAGTCGAGGTGATCTGCGATGCTGGGATCTGACGTCGCAGATGAGGCAGGCTGGAGTCGCTGGATGAGAGGGCCCGCTTACGACGGGGCTGGCGAGGCAGAGTGCGCTTTGACGATGCTCCTGGATGACCCTCAGCGTAGATGTCCACCATGACGGAAGGCAAAGGTAGACGGCGGCGAGGAGGAAAGCGCTGAAGTGTGTGCGAGGCGAGCTCAGGGCTGGCCTCGCCGCGGGTGTTGTGATGGTGAGCGGAAGCTAATGGCGTGCCGTGCGCGTGGGTGAGTGAGTGAGTAGGCAGCTCGCTTTGCTAAGCTGGATGATGCAGTCGAGGTGGAGCAACGAGGCAATGCTGATGAAGGTCTTGCCAAGGGGAGCGATGAGTTGGATGCTGAGGATGAACGTGACTTGGTACAGACGCTAAGATCTGCCTGCCACCCAAGGAACTCACCCGACCCATTCAGCATCCAACGCTCCCTCTGCGTACACTCGCCCCTCAACGGCACAGGCGGCAGAGGCGAGCGGCATGAGGCCAGTGGGCGGAGTTGCAATTCCACGGTCGTCAGGACGACAATCGCGGAACAGCTCTCTGCACTCCGCCTCAGGAGGAGGGGGGAAAAGCAACGCAGCGCAGCCAGGCACACACACACACACAGGCACACCAGCATTCCGCGACACAGTGGCACGCACGCACGCACGCACGCACAGGCATGCAAGCAAGCCAAGGACCACGCCCCACCCCACGCACTCACTCTCACTCTCACACACTGGCGCAAAGAGTAAGGTTACATTTGTGAACAGAACAGAATACAGAAGGTGGTGCCCACTGCTTTCAGCAACGGCAAGCGGCACCCCGAGTGATTGTTGGTACAATTACAATACGTCAAAGCGGGTAAACAAAAAGAGAGGGCACCTGGTGGCCGGCATCGCGCCGACTGGCGGTGCAGAGGAGCCGTCTTGCGAAGCGAGAAACGAAGAGAGCGTCCCCTCAGCTAAGGTAGTGCTTTGTACGCGCGCACTTGACGATGGTCGATGAAGTAACGGAGATCAGAGGCATTCCATTTGCCGCTGCACACTCTCGCCTGGTATATTTATGCAGCAATGACTGCACTATGGGTTGCGTTGGTTGCCACTGTCTTTTGCTAGTCGGATCCGGTCCACTCATTGGCCGCCCCACTTGAGGGCGCTAATCCCTGTTATCCTCCTCAAGCCCTGCCAGTCCTCTCCATCCTCGTCATAGTCGACGAATTGAATCGCTCCCGTCATGAATGCAATGAGAATCGAGATGAGCCAAGCCCACATGAACGCCTTGGCGAATCTCGCCAGGGCGCGCCTTCTGGCGATGCTTGGGTCCGCGGTATAGAGGAGCACAGGCGGCATGGCGGAAGGAGGTGGCATGGGCGCCACTCGCATGGGATGGGCAGAGTGGGGATCTTGGATGTAGACGATACGATGTGGGGCTCCTGGCACTGGGGCATGCACGCCATAGGACCCTGCAGGCTGCGAAGATTCAGCTAGCAAGGGCGGCGGTGGCAGGTGGCGGTTTTGTGAGGATGCTTGGTTGTGTGCTGCAATCGACTCAGCAACCGCTTGGTCGTAGGTGGGAATCTCACCGCCTTGACTCTTGCTGTCGTCATGTGGAGACGACGATGGTGGCGGGGGCTTGGCCGCTGCAGGTTGGGGTGGCTGGAGAGGCATAGCAGTGGATGCTTCGTGAGCTGCTGAGTAGGAAGTGGCTGGGGGAGAATCGTATCCTCCGTCGGATGCTGCTGACGAAGAGGACGACTGAGAAGCGAGCGTACAAAGGCAATCGTCGTCGGTGAGGATGGTGGTGAGAATGAGGAAGCAAGGTCAATTGCAAAAAGGAATTCACTTTGTCTGCTAAGCATGGCCACAGGTATAGGGCCATTTACTTGGTCGCCCTGGCTGCGTGGCTGCCGTCGGCTATGTCTTTCCGAAGGGGGGGACGGCCCTGCTGAGCAAGTTTCCGTGACTCGGTGCTCCACCTGCGCCTCCGCATGCCATCCTTTTTCTCCTTTCGGCCGTTGCCTCCGGCCTTCGGAGCTGCAATGCGGATCTCTACATCCGCGCCGCCTCTTGCCCCCTTCCGACTCCGACTTTTGTCTTGGCTCGAGTCCATTCCACCCCCGCCTCGTGATACCCACGCGCTTCCGTCGAGGCTCAGGCGCATGGCCCTCGGCTCTGCACTCCTTCTCGCTCCGCTCACGAGCAACACAAGGTCATGTCTGGCGATGCATCGCCAACAGGCAGTGATAGTCAGCATGATCTCCAGCCACCAGGTCAGAAGACTCTCCTCGACGAGGGCGGCGGCGGCATCGTCGATGAGACCGACGATGCCAATCTCTCACGCTTCTCTCGCGCTGCAGAGTTCCTCTCACTGCTGAACCGCTTCCTGGCCAGCAAAGACGACAATGCTGTCGCTTCGACGTCGACATCGACGCCAAAGGACAAGCTGCTATCACAGCTGCGGGCCATTCTCGATGACTATCAAGAGCAGTCCTACCTCCTTGATCCTCACCTTGAGGCGATGGTCATGCCTCCTGTTCAAGCGTTGCAGCGGGCAGTCAAGAGCCGGCGCAACCTCACCAGCGACAATGAAGACGTCTGTCGCATCGCTCGCCTCTTATACTCTTACGCCAAGGTCAGAGGCTACAAGACGATTCTGCGCTTCTTCCCACACGAGGTTGGAGACGTGATACCCACTGTAGAGGCTCTTCGGCACTTTCAGATGCAAGAGGACAACACATCCGATACCTGGGAGCTACGCTACGTCCTGCTCCTTTGGCTATCTCTAGTCTGCATGATCCCCTTTGACCTCAAGAACTTCTCTGCAAGCATAGCCGATGAGATTGTTGTCATCTGCCAGACATTTCTCGAAAGTCCGGGTAAAGAAAGGGACGCAGCGGCGATTACCCTTGGTAAGCTCTTGCAGCGCAGGGATACCGCTCAGACGCAGCTACCTGCGTACATCAAGTGGTGTCAAGAAAAGCTCTCCCCTCAGGCCAGACCATCGCCCTTCCTCGCTACGGGCATCTTCCAGACGCTCTGTGAGATCCTCAAGAATCCTAGCCCGCACCTGGTTCAGCCGCACTTTGAACAGATTCAATCGTTAGTCTCGCTGGGAGAGTATGGAGAGGAAGACTCAGAGGCTCTGAAGAGACTCAGATCCAATGGCTTGGTGAACAAGCTGCGTGGAAAGCTTGCGACGAGGATGGCTTTGACGCTTCTGCGGCCGAGAAAGAATGGGCGTGCAGTAGCTAGGAGATTGCTAGGTGGTGGCAGTGGGAAGGTTGGGGCCGCATCACAGGAACGAGGGACGGAAGGGGCGCAACAGGAAGAGGAGGACGAGGACGACGACGATATACCCCCATCGATCGACTCCTACATCTCGCAGCTCCTCCGAGGTCTACAAGACAAGGATACACTCGTCCGTTACTCGTCCGCAAAAGGACTAGCGCGGATCTGCGAGCGGCTCCCGGGCTTCTTCATCGATCAAGTCGCTGAGGCTGTGACTGACTTGTTTCAAATCAATGTCTTGACACTCAACGATGGGAGTCAGGACTACAGCGCCGTTTCCGAGTTCACCTGGCAGGGAGCTTGTCTAGGCCTTGCCGAAATGGGCCGTAGAGGGCTGCTCAGTGAGGCGACACTGGGTGAACAGCTGGAGTGGGTGAAGAAGGTAAGTGTGCGATGGCAAGGCGCTCAATATGGACTCGCAGATTACCGACCTTCCTCCTCTTCTCGCAGTCCCTCTTCTTCGACATCCGGCGGGGATCTCACTCCATTGGCTCCTCCGTCCGTGATGCCGCGTGCTACGTTCTGTGGGCCCTCTCACGTTCCTACCCATCCTCGGCGCTCATCCCTCACGCCCTTTCAATCGCTCAACACCTGATCACTGTCGCTCTCCTCGATAGAGAAGTCGCCATCAGGCGAGCCGCTTCAGCAGCTTTTCAGGAATGCGTGGGCCGCTGGGGCCTCTTTCCACACGGTATCGCCGTGGTGGGTAAGACCGACTTCTTCTCCGTCGGAGTGCGGAGAGTCGCCTTTCTAGAGGCTCTCCCATTCGTAGCATCCTACCATGAGTATCGACCATTCTTGTTGGAGACGTTGCTGCACAAAACCGTTGTACATTGGGACCCAGCTATGCGAGAGCTGGGAGCAAAGGCAGTGGCCAAGGTGGCTCAGCTGGGCTTGCGACGGATTGTGCCCGAGATAGTGCAAAGGCTTGAGAGCAATTGCACCTCCAGAGACTCGGTGATACTCCATGGCACCTTGCTGACCCTCGCCGAGGTCGGACGGCTGTGTAAAACCCTCACTGAAGATGCGAAAGAAGACCCGGTGCTTGTCGCTACGCAGCGCAAGATCTTCGCTTTGCTCGACGTTGTGCCGAGGACTACTTTCCGGTCGCTAGGTGGCGCTCTGGTCCTGGAAGCAGCATGTGGTTTGATTGCCGCGACGGCATCGAAGCAAGCGCTCGACCATCATACCTCCTCGGCGAGTCCACCGACGTATGACATCTTCATCGACGCTGCCCTCGCTCGTCGAGAAGAGGTGGTGCACGCAGCCGCTGCCTCTGCACTTGAAATCGTCAGCCGGCTCGTCGACTGTAGTGAGCGCGTGATCAAGGTCATTAGCGCTCCCAAGGTTTGGAGAGCTTTCAGTCCTTCACAGCAGCAAAGCTTTGCACTCGCTCTCGGTTACATCCACTATCCCGATGAAGGAACACAGGCTGAAGAGCAGGGAATTGGGATCAAGGGACCACTGCTCCACCGCTCACTGCGCTTCCTCCTTGCGCTCGTGACGGTGAAACCTGGCAGTACAATCTACTCGTCCCACATCGAGACGCGCCGCAATGCCTATATGTCTCTTGTCGCCATTCTGCAGAGGACGGGTAACGATCTTCCGGAGCGAGTCCCTCCGCAGCTTGGGCAAACAGTGTTGCAGGCTCTAGTGGATGCCCTTTCGGACTATACTACAGATCAAAGGGGCGATGTCGGATCCTGGGTGAGGGTTGCGGCCATGCGAGGGTTGACCACATTGGTAGCGCAGTACCGGCACCTCTTCCGTGCTGGCATCCTTAAGGGTAGTGAAGATGTGCAGGCCTGGCTCCCTGAACAGCTCTTCCATGCCATTGTGTGCGGGATCAGTAAGCAGGTCATGGAGCGCATCGACAACGTACGTGTCGAGGCCGTGGGACACCTCCTGTCCCTCTACCGCCAGCAACCCGGTGAGGCAGAGGGGCTAGACCTAGAGGTCTTCCCTCGACCGCACGGACGGGAGTACATCATGCAAGCCTTCTTCCCCGAAAGCAGCTCAACAACTCTCACCCCGGACATGCAAGTCGCCCCGGAGGTGATACGCAGCCCCTCTCTCCTCTATCCCCGCCTCATCACGCTCCTCCTCATAGAGGCCTACCGACCACACTTGCTCAGTGGTCTCCTCCAAACCCTCTCCTCGCGCGTAGACGTCGCTCTGCGCACCGTTGGTCCTTCGTTGGTGGACTTTGCACTGGCCGAGGCGGATCGTGAGACGTATAGCGCGCGGGACATTTGGCGGGATTTACTGCTGGTGGCGGAGGGGAGGGAGGCGAAGATTGTCGGTGGAGGGATGATGGGGATGAGCCTTTTGCTGGAAGGAGGGCTGGTGGATCTGCTTGTCGAGCAGCGGGACGCTCGGACTGATGGAGACGCAGACGCAGACGGACATAATGATCAAAAGGGGGATGCTCCGGCTTGGCGAGAGCTCTTCGAACGATCACTGGCAGTCGCGATGCGCAACGTGGGCAAGATCAAAACGCACCAGAGGCTGATGCTCTCATTGTCCCTCGGGATGAATCTACTGGCTGTGCCGTTCACCAGTGTACAGAGGGAAGTGGTTCAGCAGGTAGTAGGGACGTTCTTGGGCCATGATGAGCCGGCAGTGAGTTCAGTCGCAGAAAAAGAGTGGTCACTGTGTTGGGTCTGCTGACACCTTACCTTCTTTGCACAATCACACGTCTCACAGATCCGACGAGCAGCAGCTGAAAAGCTCTACCTCGTCCTCACCTCCAGCGAGACACTGCAAGACGCAGAGGGTGAAGGCGCGCAAGAAGTAGAGGAGCTTCTACTGGAAATTCCTTGGAGCGAAGAGAGGGAATTTGAGGTAGAAGTCACAAAGGTCAAGGAGGGGCTAATGGGATTGATTGAGGGTCCACAGCAATGAGGAATAAACCAAAGAGGGACAAGACCTCGTATACCATGAACACAGCTTCCTTCCTCGAACGCTTGTGCGAGAAGAGAGGGATAGCGAGACTACGAAGAGTTCATCCTGAAGGCAGTCTTCTGCACTTGGTTTTTCTGTAGGCCAGAGGCGAGGACGGGGTAAGAATTTGTCAGAGTCAGACCCTTCTGCGTGGCTTCTCGTCTTCCTATCTATCACCCCAAGTTTCACTCACCTCGAACTTCTGATACCACTCCTGACACTCCTCCATCGGTACAACATTTTCCACGAATCCCTTGAACAAGTCCTGCTTCTTTTCGAGCAGCTTGAGTGCATCCCGAAATAGTGCTCGTACGGGACATCTTCCAAAGTCGAATTTGAGATTCTTGTTATAACAGTCGGGACCCTGAAGGGAGAGTGGGTGGGTGTGTACACCGCATGAAGAGATGATCCCGTGTGGACGTACTACCTCTACTGCTGTCTGCAGTGCACTTGGGTGTCCTACGACTTCGAGGGCAACATCTGCTCCCCTTCCATTGGTGACGGATTTAATCTCAGAGAGATAATCAACGGACTTGTCCTGGAAATTGAACGTCTTTGTAGCACCGTGCTTCTTGGCAAGATCCAGACGGGCGGGGATAGAGTCGATTGCGTAGACGTGGGTGAAGAATTCCGTCGCAGAGGTGATGGCGCAGAGCCCAACTGGACCACAGCCGATGACTACGCAAGTCGTTTCCTCCTTGTGTCCTGCGCCTTCGGCTTGCACCAGGTGGTCCTTGGCCTTCTTGGCAACAAAGTAGCCCGTGGGGAAAATGTCCGCCATGAGAATTAGGATCTCCTTTGGAATTGTAGTGGGTGCCTGGAAGAGGGTGGTCTCGCCCATGGCGATGCGAGCGTACTCGGCCTGGGCGCCGTCCAGGAGTGGAGAGCCGATGAGCTTGGACTTGACGCAGCGACCTGTGTGACCTCGGGCGCAGTAGAAGCATTCACCGCTGGGAGAGATCGCAAAGAGTGGACCGGTGAGCATGAATTGGACCCGCACTTCGATTCTCACTCGCCCTACTCACCAGCTGACGGTAAAGGGACAGACGACGTAGTCTCCTACCTTGAAGCTCTTGACGCCTGAGCCGATCTCGTGGACATGGCCTACCAATTCATGTCCCATGATCTACGGCACGAGGAGTACAAGAGAGGGTATGAAGGCATATACGGCACAGTCAGCTCTCGCGGTCTGCCTCGCCCTCGCCTCCCCCGCTCTTTACTCACGAAGCCAAATCCTCCCTTTTGGTGACCTCTGTAGACATGCAGCTGTGATAGGGTAATTGGAGTGGGTAGTCAGCGACTGGTCCCCATCTCTCCCCATCTCCCTGACTCGTCCAACCCTCTTGCCCGTTACGCCATGACTCACATCGCTTCCGCAGAGTGCCGCAAGCTCTACCTTGATGACTACGTCGGTAGGGTCCTGACATTTGGGGATGGGTCGCTCCTGCAGGGATACGTCGTGGGCAGCATTGATGACGATGGCCTTCATGGTGGACATTGTGAGAGTGATGTTGGTAGAGAGGAGAGAAGCGATGTCTCCTGTGCCTCTCCTGCTTCTATTTGCTCGTCTACTCTCCACTGCTTCCCCGCATTTCGGCCATGGCTGCGACCGGGTCATGAGGTCGCTTCTCGGCTCGGGCTCTCGGCTGTCGTGTGCCTGCCTGCTTGCCTTCTTCTGCCGGCCCGGGCGTGCAGCCTCTGAGCCGGAACGGAAGGAAGGAAGGCTTGGCTGAACCCTGTCAGCCGGAGTGGGGCCGAGGCCCGCCCAGCCGCCGGACCGAGGCAGTGGCTGGGCGTGGAATTTTTTGTCACGCAGCTCCCGACGAGGTTCATGCAATGACGCAGCAGGACGCAGGGGGAGAGACGCGGGAGCCAGGTGAGATAGCAACAGGAACAAACGCAGCGGGGAAGGACAGACACACACGCAGACACACACATACGCACCGAAACATTGCATTCACCTTCCTCATTTCATCGACATACCATCATAGCCATCCTAGAGTAGAGTACAAGTAGATCTAGAGGGTGGAGTCAAGCGCAGCAGATCAAACAGCAGCAGCAGCAGCAGCAGCAGCAGTACAAAAGCGCAACCTATCCCACGCTCCCTCGCTCCCATCCTTCCACCCACCACCACCCCACCACTGCATCATCCTCACACGCAATGTCCTTTCCTAATCGATTCGGCTCATGTGAGCATCTCAGCCAGAAGCGCACATACATCGTGCCACCTACTGACTCAGGATGCCTATTCCTCCCTTCTCTTTGCAGCCCCTGCCCTTCCACGAGATTACGGTCTGGTCCAGTCCACTTCCTACACCCCCTCGAGCACAATTGACGAGGAAGACTACGAAGAAGGAGACGAAGAAAGCGCCGCTAGGACACATTACCGGCGCGCAGACGACCAGTCCTCCCTTGCACCCACTGCCGACGAGAGCGACAATGACGAAGCGGGCGAATCTGCACTAAGCTCTAGCCATGGGGGGGATGACAACATGTCTCAGCTCAGCATCTCACACGCTTCCGACGCAGCCGCCACCACACCTCGGGCATCTAGTAAGACCCGTTCCAAGTCTGGCGCCAGAGGGAAGAGCTCTTCCTTTATCGGCGTCAGGGGTCATGGTAGTCGAAGAGCAAGCAATACCAGCGCCAGCGGCCACCACGATTCTGCGGGTCACCATGAGCATGGAGGCATCGCTGGCAGTCTCCTCTCCGCATCCTTCCTTCTGGGTGGGGAGCCACTCCAACCCCCTCCCTCTGCTGATCTCCGCAATGAAAGCGAAGCCGCCGAGGCAGGCGATCTAGAAGCCTGGGAAGACAACGACCCAACACCCATGCCCAACCGCTTTGCAGGCGGCCAAGATGGCTGGCTCACACGCCCTCCCATCACACGGCCCACCGAGACCACTTCGCTCCTCAGGCAGCGAACACCAAGTGGGAACAGCTATGCCTCCGTCAGTGCCAATGGCGACCACGCGTCCGCCGCTGCTCCGCCTCATCATCACATCTCCAATCCGCATGCCAGTGGTCTCCTACCGTCTGGCAGCGCATGGGCCAACATGGGCAATCTTGCGCAACCGCTACCTCCCCCGCTCGCCGTCATCGACGAGATTGAGCACGAGGCGCCAACAGATAACGTACAGCGTCGTGAGCTCTGGATCTTGACCAAGTATTCTCTGCCAGTATGGGGAACTCACTTGCTCGAGCTCTCCTTGAATGTCGTGTCGGTCTTTTCCATTGGCCATCTGGGCACCACACAGCTCGCCGCTGCCTCCCTCTCCTCGATGACGGCCAACGTTACTGCCTTTTCTCTCCTCTCTGGGTTCATCTCCGCCCTCGACTCACTACTCCCGCCTGCATTCACGCAGCAACCAAAGCGAGTGGGCGTGTACACACAGAGCATGGCCATCATCGTCTTTGCGCTGTGCTTTCCCATTGCGCTAGTCTGGCTTAATGCCGAGCGCGTCCTTCTTGCCCTAGGCCAGGATCAAGAGGTGGCTCGCCTCAGTGGTCTCTACCTAAGGGTCATGCTACCCGGTGTGCCAGCGTATGCCGGCTTTGAAGTTTGCCGACGTTACCTTCAAGCACAAGGCTTGATGAGCGCATCGACAATGGTTCTCTTGCTGGTCTCCCCGTTGAACGCCTTTCTCAATTGGCTACTGGTGTGGGGTCCAGACTCGGTGCGTCTTGGCTTCGTGGGCGCTCCTCTAGCCTCTGCCATCTCCAATTGGATCATGTTCATTCTGGCCATTGGACAATGCTACCTCACCCCACGCACGGCTTGGGGAGGCTTTTCGCTAACCTCGGCGCTCAAAAAGACGAACATGGCTCCCTGCCTTTCCCTCGGCTTTTATGGCTTCCTCGCCATCTCATCAGAGTGGTGGGCATGGGAAATCAGCTCCCTCATCACCTCGATGCTCGGCACTACACCCCTCGCAGCACAATCTGTGCTCCTCGTCTGCTCCTCCATCTTCTATCAGCAGCCATTCGCCATCTCCGTCGCAGCCGCCGTGCGCATCGGCAATCTCCTCGGAGCTCTCAAACCCTACGAAGCGCAAGCATCGTCGAATGCCTCGCTTCTCCTATCTTTGGGCTCAGGAGTGCTAAACTCTTCCCTCGTACTCCTCTTCAAGAGTGAGATTGCCGGTCTCTTCTCAGAAGACCCAGAAGTGATTGCCCTCCTCACCGGTACCCTACCCCTCCTAGCCCTCTTCCAGCTAGCAGACGCATTTGCTGGAGTTGCTGGTGGAATCCTACGTGGAACAGGTAGACAACATCTAGGAGCCTACATGAACATGTTTGCCTACTACGTAGTAGCACTCCCAATTGGCGCATGGCTTACATTCCGATACCATGGAGATGGAATGGGCCTCAAGGGAATGTGGGTAGGACTTACCGCTGCCCTCGCCATTTCTGCTGCCGGAGGCTGTTGGCTGGTCAGCAGGACAAAGTGGAATGATGAAGTGAGAAAGGTGCAGGCTAGAATGGGGGAGGATGGAGTGGCAGCGCCGGCTGCTGGCGGTCACTAGCCTAGACTAGATTAGAGCGTCGTTTGTGTTGCTTCGATGCTGCTGTTTTCATATCATTATTCTGCAGATGGTCCGGTACCAACGTAGCTCTACCTCTCCACCTCCCCTGTACTCCGTTTCTCTTCCTTGCATGCATCGTATTCGCAGTCGCAAATGTGCATCAGAAAATGTCTTCTCACACGGTTGTCGCGCCGAGCCAAGAGAGAGAATTATGATATGTCGCTCCTCTGCGTGGACACCCAATTAACGCAAAAAGAGAAGTCCCCACTCTCGGAATCGAACCGAGGGCCTCGGGTGCACATGTCTTTCGACAAGCAGAGTTTGATCAGCCAATTACAAACCCACGCTCTTCCATCTGAGCTAAGTGGGGTTCAAAGATTGATGGAGAGTGAGAAGGCAACAAACGTATATCTACTCTGTACGTCTTGGGACGACACAGACGCGGGACCAAAATTTGACCGTGCCCGTGACTCCGCCTGGGTGATCTTCGCAGGCTGCACGGGTTGCTATACTCCCGTCTGCCTGACCGTCCTATCTGCCCTTGCTCCTATCGCTCAATCGCCCACCGTTACCGCTACCTCTCCCGCCCGCATCCTCACCATGGATGCCGATGCAGAGGCTTCGTCCTTTGCCACTGGCTCGGAATACTTCAACTCCATCTTTGCTACTGCCCTCGACCGAGCAGGGATGAAGGCTGAAGATCTGCGCTCGGCTGCTGCAAGCTCGTCCAGCCCACCTCAGCTCCTCTCGTCGAGCCCCAGCAAGGGCGGCCCATCGTCGAGTGGGGCCGATGTCAATGCTTCCCAACAGCCATCAACCCTAGCCTTTCCTTCTTCCACCTCTGCAATGACCTCCCGCAATCGTGCTGCCGGCCCCGATCACATCGACATCGAAGCAAATATCTCGAATCGGCTTGGCTCCACTTCGCTTGGCAATGGAGCGATCAGCCCCCCTTCAGACACAGAAGCCGACGACTCGGAGCAATTCAATGGGATGCATGCTTCCACTTCCTCCCTACCTCCTCGAGGAGCTAGTTCGAAAGCCTCCGGCCCCTCGTCCATGTCCGCATCCGCGTCTGCGTCTGCCTCTTCTACGGCGGCACTACCGCCCAACCATGCTCGTCGCTCCTCCTCGACTCACAGTTCTCTCGTCGCCAATGGATCTCGTGCCGCGCTCTCCCGGCAAGCAGCACTGGACTTTGCCAAGATCCGCGGTGGAGGCCTGGGCACACCTACAGGCGAGCGAACCTTCATGGGCGCTTCTTTTGGTGGAAGCGTCCCCGGCACCAATGGTCCACCAAGTGGGACTATGACTCCCGTGATGGACAAAGACGGGCTAGGATGGCCTGCAAAGAAGACTCTGGACCGGCTCAACTATTCTGCTGAACAGGCAGCAGCGAATCAGGCTAGATTGGCCGGAGCTGTCAAGACTGTGCTGGAATGTCTGGGAGAGGACCCAGAGAGGGATGGATTGGTGATGACACCAGAACGGTATGCTAAAGCCCTCCTATGGATGACGAGGGGCTACGAGGAGAGGTTGAGTGGTGAGTACAGACGGGTACGCGTACTATGCACTCGTATGGTGACTGGATGGCATACTGGTCTGCTTTCCCTTCGCCTATTCTCCCAGACGTCATTGCCAATGCCATCTTCGACGAAGAGCACGATGAAATGGTCATCGTCCGCGACATTCCAATTGCCTCTCTCTGCGAGCACCACCTGGTCCCCTTCACAGGCAAGATCCACATCGGTTACATCCCCAATCGTCTTGTCATTGGTCTCTCAAAGCTAGCAAGGATAGCCGAGACTTTTGCGCGCCGACTGCAGGTGCAGGAGAGGCTGACCAAACAGGTCGCTCTGGCTCTCGATGAGGCCATTCGACCTCAGGGGGTAGCAGTCGTGATGGAGTGTGAGCACATGTGCATGGTCATGAGGGGAGTCCAGAAAGTGGGGGCCTCGACGGTCACAAGTTGTATGCTGGGCGTATTCAGGGATCGGCAAAAGACCAGACAGGAATTCCTAGAGCTGATCAGATCGAAGTAATGGCGAGGAGATAATCAGGTAGGAATTATTGCATGCAATGTAATGGGTCAAGACTCAAGAATGAGGCCTGTTGTGGATTGAGGAAGAGAGTCCGGTAGCGATGGGGGGTGTTCTACACAACGATGGTCTGGATCGATCGGAAGCTGTCTACGCGATAGTGCCTCAGCTTCTACCCTGCCCCCTCAGTGTTGGTGTTGACGTTGCAGCAGAGGCAGAGGACGAGGCCATCATCGAGCGCATGAGAGATCGGAGAGTGCGGCCGGCGTCAATGCCCCACTGTCGGTGAGAACGAAAGAGGAGTGAACGTCATCGTCAGCTCCTGCGCTCGGCCTCGTCAACGTCAATGTACTGCATGGTGTCGCTATCGATACTGACCTCTCCCGCGCTAACTTCATCACAGCACCTCTTAAACTCCTTGCTTCCCAGCACACCTTGTGCATTCTCCAGAACAAATTTCTCCACCTCGACTTGAAGATCCGCATAATAGTACGTTGCCAGCAACGTTGCGAAGGCAGAGTCTTGCGTCAGATTTGACAATAGCTCGCTCTTAGAGAGGGAGCACAAGTCGATCTGACCATAGCGATGGCAGAGCTTGTAGGTCGCCAATGGCGATGAGCTGAGCTGCGACGTGGGCGCTGGATGAGAATGAGGATCTTCCGACAGAATGGAACCTAACAGGCTGGCGTGATTCGCCTTCGGCGACTCGTGCGTGAACGGTAGCGAGGGTAATCTACGAGAGTTCGAGGCCTCCGAGCGCATCGAAGGAGGTGAAGCAGGAGGCGTCTGATGAGCCCTGCCAGGTTGAGTAGGCGAGGGTTGACTCTGAACCTGTTGGTAGTGAGAGGATGATGTGCTAACGGACCGTCGCTGCTCTCCCCCAGCTAAGCGAGGAGCGTGAGAGCAGATGTGTCCCGCTAAGGAGCAGTCGGCACCACACCTGCCTTCCTCTACCTGGAGCTCGTCGAGGCTAGTCCATGCCCAGATCGGGAGGCGGCGGAGATGTGATGATGCATGATGCAGGCGTTCACTATTTGTGAGCTCTTGGGCAGCTCTCTGATGTGAGCCTAGCCAATCTTCGTCGAGAGCTACGCTTCGTACATCTTCCTCTCTAAGGAAGTCAATTTTGCCGGTGTATAGGTAGCGGATCAAACACAGAGCAGTCGTGTAATCTAAAAGACCGGAGCGAGTGCCACAGATCAGCGCTTGATCATGTGTCTTGCACGGAGAAAGACCTTGTATCACTTACCGACATCGTCGATTCTGACTGCCCGGGCAAATCGACCACCTCTTTCGTCCCTTCCCTCCGCGAATCCAGAGGCCAACATCGTCTTGAAATATGTGCTTCTGGTGCTGAGAAAGGCACTATGAGCCCATATGACGCGATCTCTCACCACCACCTGGACTCTCGACTGATCATCTGCACTGAACGGCATTGAAGTCCCTACTGGCCATGGCAAAACTTCAAGCTCACAGTGCGTCTGACTGTCGGCGGAGTCTGAGCAAGGCGTTAGGACCACACCCCTCTCAGGAACCACCAAGGCCAGGTCGCCTGTGAAGGGACAGTCCACCAGACTAGTCAAACCATCCAGAATCGAATTGGGCAGGAATCGCCCTTCAGGCATATGGAAGGGCAAAGCCTCACTCGCCTCGCTGCTGCCCTGATTGAATTCTTGCTGAGAGACGTGCGGCCCTGTCCCAACCTGTACCACCAGTTCAATTGCGTCATTCTTGGCAATGGTGTCATTGGCCAGGAGAGTGGAGATCGAGGGAAGATCCGAGCAGTGATAAAACTCGCTATCGTACTTGAAGGTGAATGTGGTGGAGTGAGTCCAGAGGAAGTCCTGAGCTTGGCCGGCACCCAGCTGCCCGTGTCGCCTGCTCCCCCATGGGCGGATCCCAAAGAGAAGGTTGGTCGGAATGGCTGCAATTGGGGACCCATAATCCACCACCATCGAGGTCAAGAAGAGAGACAGCACGTTGACGTGCACTCCCTCTGTTTCGAAGTGGTCGCCCTCGATCGCCCTTGCCTTGCCATTTGTCCGACTGTCTTCGACCTTCTCGAAGCGCGCCGTTCGGATCAGCTCCACTTTCCATTTTCCATCGCCAAAAGTAGGGTGACTTGCCCACACCTCGCTCTTGCCAGCGCCAGCACTGACTGATCTGCCCTCGTCTCCAGCGAGTGGGGTACTCTCCACCTCGTCTCGGAGTAGGCGAAGATCGGTAATCGCCCAGGAGAAGGAGATTAGGGCATTCTCCTGGAAAGGGCTACCACCACTCCGATTCCCCATCTGAGGCCCCGACGTATACAGTGAGGAGTGCTGCCGAGGAGTACCATGCGAAGGGCCGGCAGGGCGCTGATGAAAGTGCCCTGTTGTACCGTGGTGAGTACAATGCGGTAGCCTGCAAGGTTGGGGAGATGTTGGCGGTGTGCGCCAGAAGCCTGCACTGGATGCGAAGCTGGATGCGGATGTTGTCGTGCCGTCGTAAGACCCATTCTGAGGAGCCGAAGCAGCAGAAGATGTAGAAGTGGGACTGAATGCATTCCTCGGGGCGATGCTCACACCATTGTTGGATATGGCATTCCTCCCAGAGGCCGGATTTCTATCCATCCGAGCTTCGTCGGCCGCATCGCTACTCGAGGGGACCGGAGGATTTGGAGGTCTTGGTCTCACCCCACCTCGACTGCCATTCGAGGCTGCATTTGTCAGTGGGGATGCACCCCTGGTGGCCGTGGGCGTCGAGGTCCCCGACAGCCTCTGCCCCAAGGAAAAAGACGCAGTAGCAGGGGAGGGCGCTGAGGGTATGCCAGACATGTAGATGGAGCTAGAAGCAGGGCTGCCAGACATCAGAGATCGACGCAGAGCTGAGCTTGTGGGTAGACTAGTGCTTTGCGAGGTGGATGTATGCGCCTCCGATGAGGACGCGGCGGCAGGCCCCTGTATTTGACCTGACGAGGAGGTCAAAGCAGCAGGTGCAGAAGCCCCCGGAGAGGAGCCCGGCCCTACAACCGCAGCTGTAGCAGTGCGACTTGAAGCCGATGTGCTGTCCGGAGACCTCGACTGCGGAGGTGCTGACATCAGGCTCAAGTGAGAGATAATGGTGTGGATGGTATCGCTCGCCAAGACTCAACCTCGCCCTTTCCGGCAGCATCAACATGGCGGCAGCCAATTTGTCGCGCTCAGATCACCCCCTTTTCTTTCACTCACGGACACGCAGGCGGAACGGAAGGCGGGCTCAGGCAAGTCGGAACGGAAGGCTACCCCTCTTCGACTGGAGCAGCGACGCACATAGTCAACAAAAGTTCCATCGATAAGCTCACATCAACAGACAACCTGGATTCCGATAGCAGTACGAAGGACAGAGACAAGAAGATTCTAGTTGCAGGGACATCAAGAGGGGGCACGAATCTCGAGCATTTGCAAAGTCATTGCTCTCGTGGTGGGGTCTAATATCCAACGCCGGACTGATAAACGATAAAGCCCAGTTTCTTCAAAGCGGTGGGATCTTTGACAATGTTGCGACCGTCGAAAATCCAAGCAGGCTTGGACATGCTCGCGTAGATTGCCTTCCAGTCCACAGCATGAGACTCAAATTCTGCCCACTTCGTAAGGAACACCAGTGCCGATGCACCGACGCAAGCCTGCTGCATTGATGCTTCAACTGTGTAGGCACGTTGTTCAGACTGGAAAGAAACGTTAGAGCCCTTGGCGGGACCGAGAGCCCTGTTGATGGCAGACGAGGAGACTTTGGGATCGTAGATGTGAAGGAGTGCCCCATCCTCCAGCAAGTCTCTACAGACGTCAATGGCAGGGGCTTCACGGGTGTCACCGGTGTCTGCCTTGAATGCAAAGCCGAGGATGGCAATGTGCTTGGCGGTGATGGTAGAGAACATCTTCTGGACGATGTTTCTGGCAAAGCGTTGTTTAGTCCAGGCATTCATGACTAAGACCTGTTTCCAATATTCGGCGACTTCAGGCAGTCCAAGACTCAATGAGAGATATACCAAGTTCTGTAAGTCCTTCTGAAAGCAGCTGCCACCAAAGCCGATGCCAGCCTCAAGAAACTTGGATCCGATCCTGAGATCGAGTCGACACGCAGATGAGACTTCATGGACATTGGCCTCTGTACGTTCGCAAATCGCAGCGATTGCGTTGATGGAAGAGACTCGTTGGGCCAAGAGGGCATTGGCTGCGAGCTTGCTGAGTTCACTTGACCACAAGCCCATGGTGACAATGGCTTCGGGTCGGACCCATCGGCTATAGACTTCAGCAAGGCGTTGCTGAGCAAGTCGCCCGCGGGTAGTAGGCATCGACCCGATGAGCACCCTTGCCGGGTCCAAGAGGTCTTCGACAGCAGTGCCTTCGGCGAGGAACTCGGGATTGGAGAGGATCTCGAAGGTAGCGTTCGAAGGACTGAGGGCGGACAGGATCTGATTCATGCTTTCAGCCGTTCGACATGGTACAGTAGACTTCTCTACGATGATGGCACCTCTCTTGCTGACAGTGGCGATGCGTCGAGTCGCTGCTTCGATATAGCAGAGGTCTGCCGCTAGACCGGCTCCAATGCCTGCGACTTTGGTAGGAGTGTTGACCGAGACGAAGATGAGATCCGCCGCTTCGATTGAGCCATCCACGTCAGTGGTGAAGAAAAGGTTGCGTCCACGCGCCTCTTTGACGATATCATCGAGTCCAGGTTCGAAGATAGGCAGCTCGTCGCTGTTCCAGGCTCGAATACGGTCTTCGGCGATGTCTGTAATGGTGACCTTGATGTCTGGACATTTCCAAGCCAAGACGGCGCATGTTGGACCACCAACGTACCCAGCACCGACTGTGTGAACGAGATGGAAGGTCAAAAGCACATCCGGCAGCGCAGGTAAGACACATTCTCACTCACTACAGCAAATGTTCTTCACTGAGCGGATCTCTGCATCAGTGTCGAAGTAAGAGACATGAGGTGACATTGTGAAGGGGACGTGGTATAGAGTGGGAAGAGGATGTTGCAGATGGTAGATGCGTCGGTGATAGCGCAGTACAGATCCACATGCCTTATGTTCATATTGCGATGGAGATCGCCGACTAGCCCATCGAAGGCATCACGGAATCCGATTCGTGAGAGGAATCACACTCACTCCGTTGCACAATCAAGATCGATGGCGATCAGCCTCTCGAAGTCGCTATCACACTTCTCGTGGCCACACGGTAACTTACAATCTTAGTCAACCCCGCCGATCGTAAAGCTGTTACGTTACTTTGGCAATCTTTGCCTTGGGAGTCTAGATCTCAAAGAGTAAATCACCAGAAGCCTAGCCTAGGTTTCAGAAGTCGTAGTACGAACATCTAGGCTGCTCTGCTCTTGATAGGACAACAAAGGAGGGACCCCCTTGCTCTATCCAAATTTCAAGCGCGGCTCCTCTCTGCAAGGTAGGGACCGTGAAGGCGACGTTACGACGAGTCTGACTGCGCAGTAGGGCAGCAGCACGAAATCTCTTCCATACTTTGCTCACACAATATGCAAGGGCATGGCTTCAGAAGGGCCCGTCTGGCCCAGTCGCTACCGCTCAATTGTAAAGCTTTGCCAGACGGGAAAGGCGTGAAGGCTACTCGCTGGCTTGTGCGTATCGTGTATGCTGCCAGGAGCTGCTGTCCTCGGCCTTTGGCGGATACTAAGCTACAGTACAGAGCGTCTTCCCGAGCGCGAATCCTGCCGCTACCGGAATCGCATGCTCACACTGCCTGGCTCTCTTCTTCTGGCACAATACGAGGCCCGACTCCATCCCCTTACTGCCCTCTCTCTCTCGGCCGGATACCGACAAGCAACTCTGATGCACAAGGGTCGAAGGGCGAAATGTCTACATTCGGCAACCGTTCCCGCCGCGTCGCTGGCGACTTCGACGCCACATGCGCTGTTCGTGCTGCTTTTTCTTCTTCGTGCTACTTTCCCTCCCCGGCTGGCTATCGATGCGAGCCTACAGCGTCACTGCCGAGTGCTGCAACGTGGGCTAGCCTCCGCTGCTCCTGTCCGTAGAGGACTGTGGCGCGTGTGCGCGTGCGCGTGGACTTGCTGATGTTGCGCGTACGCAAAATGAGATGGCGCCTGCCAGCTGCGAGGACGGCGCTGTACACGCCCGCCCTATCTGGCCCAGGTCCATCTTGCCAGATCCCACTCCATCTGGCCGAGGACTCTATTTCGAACACCTCCTGCTTCCCTGACGCCTCCCCGGGCTCTTGGACCGTGGGAACGATAGCTTTGCGGGGAGCCCAGATATAGTGACCTTCACAGGACCCCAAAGGGGCTTGTGGCCCAGGCAGGTGACAGCAGACTGAGACCTCGATCACAAACAAACGTTTTGGTACCTGTCCGAGGTAGAGATAGTGAGGCAATTGTTCGCGTGAAAAGGCGCACGTTGAAATCTAGAGGACGGCGAATGTACACTGCCTATGTGCCTGGCGCACCCAGCCACAATCTAATCAACGCGAACGAGGACGCTCCCGCGGCGGAGATCAATCTCTGAGGCCGGCGGTACCTCAATGCAGGTGATCGTCGACTACACGATTCCGCTGAAGGGGGAAGCGGGGGGCCAAGGGGCTATGGGAACAATGCTAGCAGTGAGGCCGTGGACTAAAGGTCGAGGTAGCAACCATTCTTACTCTACTCGTACTGAAGCGGGAGTAAAGGTCTACCACAACAAAGTCATGGCCTCACGACCTAGGGTCCAGACTCTCGACTGCTATCTTTGCAGCAGATGTCTGGCTAAACGGCGAGTCGTCTAGAACGGGACCGTCTCGAGGCGATAAGGCCACGGCAACTTCTCCATGCTCACTGAATGAAAGCCAAGCTTGGCCTGTGGGCTGACTTTGGCTATATAGTGACTTTCTCTGGCGCGTTGTGTGGGCTCAGAAGGTGTCCTCATAGCAGTCGCTTCTTCCATCAGCCCCCTTCACGTTTCAGCCATCTCCTGTCCCTTCCTATCTTGAAAACTCCATAGCAGTCGCTTCTTCCATCAGCCCCCTTCACGTTTCAGCCATCTCCTGTCCCTTCCTATCTTGAAAACTCCATAGCTGTAAGCCAAATATGACAAGCAAATTCTCAGAAGTCATCGAGGACGAGAAGCTCGGCGATCTGAGCGAGTCAGGCTCGTCCCCGCTAGGTTTCGTCTCCCAGCTTCGACATACTTCACTGGACACTTCTCTGTCAGGCCAGAGCGACAGCATGTCTCCCATCCTTCACTGTCTGGCCAAAGATGAGATCACAGTCAAGGAAATGTGCGAGGACCCATCGAGCGTAGCCAAGCCGCCAATGGCTCACGTCAAGGATGGCAGAGGGAGCGCTTCGTCCTCGATCAGCAGCCTGGACTCCTTTAGGAGCTCTGCAGAAAAGGGAGCACTGCTAGACCTCGAAAGGGGCACAGCAGGATCCACCGTCAAGCAATCCCTTACTCTATCTTCGCGTATCCGCCAATGGATCGATGGTCATTATATCCTCACCAAGAAAGACCCGGAAGTTGTCCTTCCACAGGCTCCTAGCGACAAGGACAAGTATGGCTACATACAAACTCGTAGGCCCTTCTTCCTTGCCTTGGGCCTCTTTGCCTTCTTGTCCTCCAGTGCTGGTCTATGGCTCTTCGCACTCTGTGCCAACTACTTCATCTGGTATGCACCTGTCGTATTCGTCCTACAAGTCCATATCTTCTTGTCTTACGGACTTGGCGCATGTGCAAAGGACTTCGACCTCAAGAAACATAACGAGCTGCTGCAACAGTATCCCGTCACAGGCAACCATACTTCGGTTGACATCTACCTCCCAGTCTGCAAAGAACCTCTCATCGTTCTCCGCAATACTTGGAAGCACGTCAGGAAAGTACAATGGGCCCATGGCACCTTGACCGTTCACGTCCTCGATGACGGCGCCATGGACGAAGTCAAGGCCATGGCCGAAGAGTTCGGCTTCAACTACATCCGACGTGACGACAGGCCATACTTCCGCAAAGCTGGCAACCTGAGGTATGCCTTTGCCAGGACTTCGGCAGACTTCTTCGTCATCTTCGACGCAGACTTTTGTCCTCGACACGACTTCTTGAACGAATTGATGCCTCGCATGCAACACGATCCCAAGATTGCCATCATACAGACACCGCAATTCTTCAAGACGACAAAGGAGAATACTTGGATCGAACGAGGCTGCAGCGAAGTCCAAGAGCTCTTTTATCGTTGGGCACAAGTCAACAGGGACCGATGGAATGCTTCCATTTGCGTCGGGTCCAATGCTCTGTATCGTCGACAGGCCCTCGTTGAAGTCGGTGGCACTGCTCTTGTCGGCGCCTCCGAGGATGTTCACACTGGATTCTTTGCAATTACTCGAGGCTGGACTCTCCGCTACATTCCAATCTGCCTTGCCGCGGGCATCAGTCCTGATACCCCTAGAGCCGCATTCTCGCAGCAGATTCGATGGTCGCAAGGCTCAACTTCTTTGCTGTTGAACGGAGAATTCCACAAGGCTCGCCTGGGCTTCATGACAAAGGTGTCTTTCTTTAGTGGAATGCTTTACTATTGGACAACCTCAATCTCGTGCTTTACGATTCCACTACCTGGATTACTCCTCGTTTGGTGCCGACCAGAGGTCGTCAGGTACTATAACCTTGCTTTTGCGGCCCCTTCCCTCATCTACGCTCTCCTCGTCTACCGCATCTGGTCAGTGGGTGCGCACTCGGTCGCCACCGAGCAGATTCGTGTACTTCAAGCCTACGCCTACTTATTCGGTATCAAGGATCGCATCCTCGGCAAGACGCATGAATGGGTCTCGTCAGGTGCGGGGGCAAAATCCGGCAAGAAGACGAATACCTACGCTAGGGCAAGGTGAGTTCTGACAAGTGGCAATCATGAGTGCTCCCCAGCTGACCACTTTCACTCGCCTGCCGTTTGCATCAGAGCATTCGCCACCTGCTGGACTGTTCTATATCAAAGCGCTTGGATTTCAGGCGTTGCGTACCGCCTCATCGCAAGAGACCTTTCATGGTGGCAGGTCTTTCCTCAGATCTTGCTCTACTCCTTTGACCTCTACGTCACCCTTCCTTTCTTGCTGACCCCGGCGTACTGAACTCAGGGACATTACCCGTCTTCCCGGGATTGCTTTTCCCAACAACGCTTAGGTTTGAGCCTCGACAGGTGCTGCAAAGGGGTCATACTTCGGGGTTTTGTATCCACTCAGAACTTAGCAGCAGCGAATCAGGTTCGCAAGGTAAACATCTCGTCTTGCAGAGATCAGCCGATTTCATGTATCAAGCTCCATTCCCTTTGTCACCGTTAGTAGGTCGCTAGGTTCGTAAGAATCTTGTCACGTTCAAATCAATGCGACTCTTTTTCTACTAAACGATGTGACGTAAATTGTAGTCGAGACTCTGGGTACAGTACGGTGACTTTTTGACGCGCTCCCACTACTTTCCCTGCCTCTTGTCCTCTTCACCTTCCTTACCAGCGGCAGCCTGGTGCTCGCTAAACTCAGCACCCTGTGGCAGCCGAGGCATGCTCTCCACATCTTCCGATCGCAGGTCCGAAGCGTATACTGCCGAGGATCCATATCGGTACCAGAGGTAAAGGACGATGAATGCGGCCAAGATTTGCATGGCAAAGACGGTGTAATTGCCCTGCCTGTAGTAGTTACTGGTGTCGGCAAAGAGGAAGGGAGCTGTGATACCACCAATGTTGGCAAAGGCAATTGTTCCTCCCGAGGCAATGGCGGTGGCAGTGTGTCCACTGACGGTCGACATTCGGAAGGCCAGGAAAGGCATGACTGCAGCGTTTGTGCAGACAATGAGGAAGCATCCCACCAGTCGGGGTGCGTTCGTCTTTGTAGCGGCGAGCAGAATGTATCCCAGACCGATGATCACCAAGCCTCCGAGGGTATGCAGGATTCGTTCCTTGCGCTTGTCACTCCAGACGGAGTTGCCGATGATGATGATGCATGCGAAGACGTTGGGAGGAACGGTCATAGCTGCAGAGAGGACAGTGAGAAGGATGAACGTCAGACTCAGCGATCGCCAAATTCTATCATAAAGTAGACTGCTACAGCTACTCACCTTGACCACGCCAGCCAGAAAAGCCAATGTCGCTGATGAGCGTAGGCAGAAAGTATCCAGAAGCGTTGAGAGAGTTGGTCATGCAGAAGTAAGCGATTGCGAAAAGCCAGAATTGACTAGACAGGACAGTCTTGCGGAGCGCGGTCCAGTCGACATTGGCATCCTTAGCGGAAGGGTTCTCCTCGCTCATTCGCGAGAGCAACAGGGTACGTTCCTCTTCAGTGAGGAACTTGGCCGTCTCTGGGAAATCGGGCATGAAGAACCAAATGAGAACGCTCATGATAACGGCAGGAATGGCCTCCAGAATGAAGAGCCACTGCCAGCCATGCAAGTTTCCTTTGCCGTTGAGGAAGCTGATACCAGTAGCCAAAAGTCCGGAGAAGGCTCCAGAGACGGCCACGAAGGAAGTGAAGATACCCATTCGCTGTGCACGCTCTTCCGGTCGGTACCAGAAGCTGAGGTAGTAAATGCAGCCGGGGAAGAAACCTGCTTCCGCAATACCCAAGAAGACTCGGCAAATGATCAAGCCAGAGTAGGTAGTGACGGCAGCCTGGCAAGCAGTGACGATACCCCAACCCAACATGATTCTGGCGATCCATCTCGAAGGAGTGTACCTGGCAAGAGAAGAAAGGAAAAGACAAAACAGCGCGACAGTCAGCAGGAGGTCAGACCGCGGGGCGATACTGAGGCGGCGACCAGTCGATGAGGCGGGGCGTACGGACACTCACTTCTTCAGAAAGAAGTTACTGGGGAACTCAAGCAGGACATAAGGCACAAAGAAGGCAGCTACCACCAATGAGTATCTCTGACCTGTCAGGTCGACCTTTGAGGTGAGTGATGCCCCATGGACATTCGAGTTCAAAGTCTTGGCATTTCCAAGGTTGGATCGGTCCAGATAATTGATGAGGTAGGCGATACAGATCCATGGTAGCAAGTGCCAATCGAGCTTGCGAAGGAGTCTAGCCTCGGCTGCGGGGTCGATGGACCTCGCTTGGGAAGGGTATGAGGTGACACTGGTAGAGTCACCCTGGGGCAATGCAGCTTCGGCAGATTTTGACTTCATGACTGGTTAGGGTGAGGACTGGACGATTGATGCGAGGATGCACCATCTCTGCAATGTAGGCAACCCTTAAGTACTTCTTGGAGAATCCCATGGCGAGTCCGAATTATCTCCTCGATCAAGATTTCATTCTGCGCCTTATCTCGGAGCAAGAAGAAGCGGACAGACGTCTACTCAGAGCCCAAAGTCAGCTTCCCTCCCGCGCCGGACGTTTTTCCGGCTGGGTGACAGCGTGGCTTGGCACCTCGAGCGGGCGGACCTGGAGAATTTTTGACAAGACAAGACAAGACAAGCAAGAAAGCCTACACGGCAATCCCCCGCTGCCTGCCCTCTGCCTTCACCGATTCGATCGGGCACTTTACATGCAAAGATAGCAAACAGGCAGCCCTGGCACGCTGATGGAAGCTGCAGTTCCCAAATAAGCAGCAGCACATTTTGAGCTGCACTTCATGCTTGAAGCCACTTCGCGCAAATCCCGGCAGAAGTCGGCTCACTCGAGGAATGGTACGGGTCGCTTATCAGAACTTTACCTGTGGCTTTGCCCTAGCGGCAATGTCCGCTGTCACAAAGTACCCGGGGTAAATTGGAAGATGTCGGACGCCCGCTAGGAGGTGGCAGTAGGCCTAGCAGCCCCGCGCTCGGTCTTTGCAGACGTTACCGCTCTGCGAGGCTGCTGGCCCGACTTGACCGCTGCGTCTGTACCGTCTTGCTCTGTGGCGGCGAGGTAGCGGGCACCTCGCCATGCCGTCCTCGTAAAGATAGCGGGGCTCTGCGACGTCCCTCTTGTCGAGACCGCTTGTATGCATGACCGGTAGGATAGCGAGAAGAGCTGGATATGCATAGACGGCAAAGTGATGCAGGCACCTCGCAGGCACACGAGGTAGAGACCATACTAACCTGCCGAAATTCTACGTACCAGACGCAGCCTCTTGCTTCTCATGCAGCCAGAAGATCAGACCGTGTGGGGTGTAGCACAGAGCTTGTCTCCCACTCACGTAGCACTGCTATTTTCGGCACCTGTAGAAGCCTGATATGGCACACCACTGCGTTGGGCTGTACCCAATGAACGATTCACCCCTTTCCCCCACCACCCCGCAATTCTGTCCAACCGATGACCTTCCTTCTCCAGATCTTCACCCGATCGAAGAGGACACGGGGTTCTCCGGCTGCTTAACCGGCTGATAGTAGCTCCGCCAGACACGCAAACAGGCAGGCAAGGACACTCTGCCCCCGAGCGAGAGAAGGGCGGGGAAGAGCAAAGAGGACGACGATGAAATGCCGCAGATGGTATAAAAGCCGCACTGTTTTCGCCAACAACGATGACGAACGCCTGACTACACTACAATGCCGTCCAACCTTAGCACGCACGCATGTCGCTGAATGATCAACTGATTGACCTGGTCTACGCGAACGGGTCAAACTCCCCCCACTGTCCCTGTGAGCCTGCCGCCGTTCCGCCCGCCTTATTCGCAGGTTTGGAGGGCTGAAGCACACTCCCTCCCCATCCTGGGGGGCCTTGTTGTTGTTGTTGTTGCTGCTGCTGCTGCTGAGGGTTAGGCGTGTACAGCGACGTCTGAGCTTGTGGTGAAGTAAGATTCAGAGACGATGTCTGCGGCAGCAAAGGCGGGAGACCGCTACCGTTCATCATAAGAGCGGTTGAGCCTCCGTTCGGCCCACCGCTGCTGCTACCGCTGCCGTTGTTGGTGCTGGTGAGCTGTCCAAAGTTCGATGCTGGCGGCAGGGAGATGTTGTAATTCGGCCCCGTCCCTGGAGAGGCAGATGCAGTGATAGGCGCGCTCGCGCCCAGGTTTGACCGCGATGCTGAAGAAGCAGAGGAAGGGACAAGCGTCCCACCTGAAGTCCATCCCGGCGGAGGTGTCGCGGCACTTCTACTTGGCGTGAGCGAGGGTGAGCTGAGCCCCGCAGAGCGAATGGCAGGTGTGAGACCCGTGGAGGCTTTCGCGCCTCCCCCAAGTGGAGGAGCAGCGAGTGTTGGTAGCGATGCCGTGGAAGAGGAGCCCGCGAAGCTGTTTGAGGCAGACCCAGCCGAAGGACGAGGACCGGGCCGGAGGTACGGCGCTGGTGTTATGGATGCGGTGCCGCTGCCGGTGTGTGCTGGGGTGAGCGCAGCTGGCGTACCGCCCATTGGACTCGAAGAGGCGGGAGGTAGGTCGTCGAAGGCAAAGGGATCGAAAGAGGCCATACCGTTGCCGCTACCGGTACCGTTGCTTGCGGGCACTTTCCCCACGTCCCTCGCCACGACGCCCGTGCCGCTGTCCTTGCCACTACCTACGAGTGTGGCAAAGTCGACATCTCCTGAGCTACTACCACCACCGCCACCAGTACTACCAAGTGCGTCATCTGGACCGTTCCCAGCGTACGACTCGCTGTGCTCCTGCATCCGCTTCATCTCCTTCAGATGAGCGAGATGCTCCTTGGCGACTTTATCTCCCATCTCTCTCGCCGCCCTAACAAACTTTTCGAATTGGTCCGCAGAGAGGAGAGGACCCATGGACATGATCCAAAGTTGCGGGATGATGTGGATGGCGAGTGTCTCGCGGTCCACTTTTGAGGCGAGCGACTCGTGCACTGCGAGTGTGGCGATCATGACAGAGGGCTCGCGGGTTTTGATGCGTGAGAGGAGAGGGACGAGCTTCTCCGTGAGTGTGTGCTGGAGGCGACGGAGAAGAGGTCGGTCAACTGAGCATACTCCTCGAGCATTCTCTACCTTTGCCGAACTCACCTTGTCAAGAATGGGTATCATGTGATGGAATGAGATGAGCGTGTTCACTTTTACGCTCAGGATCTTGGTCTTAGAGAAGAGCACTGCAATCTTCGGGAACAACACTTCCTTGACGTGGGAGTACTCCAAGACCTCGCAGAGGCGGGGAACCTTTTGCAGGGCGCGCTCCTGGACCTGCGCCTGCTCTGTCTCTAACGAAGAATAGAGTAGGGGCGTCACGCCTGAGACAAAAAGGGGGCTAAGCGTTCAGCAATCAGCACACGATAGCTGCCATTCTCCTCTGCTCTCCTGCCCTACTCACCTTCTCGAAAGACTGGCGGAGACGTCTTTGAGACGAACAGCTCAATCTGATCCAACAGCATCAACTGCGTCTGCGGCGGGTCCTGTACGGTAAAGAGAGGCTGCAAGCGAGGCAGTACCGACGAGCTGAACTCGATGCTGGAAAGCGTCTTTGCAATGTGGAAGACATTCGGCAGGATAAATGGCAGGAGAGATCGATCGCTCATCAGTTCTAGCAGAGCCGGGAGCACCTTGCGCCTCAGTAGTCGATCAGAAAATTGTGGCAAGACGCCTAGCAGGCCCTTGAGGAATTGCACTCGCTCCTCTTTCGTCCTGCCGCTGAAGGACTCGCGCTCAAGGAACTTGAGTGTGGAGACGAGAATGTTATTGAAGTAGCCTGCCTTTTGGAAGCTCACAGCAGTGTAGCGACTGCCTGGAAAACGAGTGAGGAGAGAAGAGAGAAGCTCCACTACGTCTTTGCCCAAGCGTCGCCAATCGGCGGACTCGGCAGCAGTAGAAAGGCCATCGACGTTGCTGCGGAGATTCGTGAGTGAATTCCTATTCCGGAAGGGAGGACTACCCCTCGAGTGCACGGCAAAGACGACGCAACCCAGGGAGTACAGGTCATTTGCCGGCTCACGCTTCTCGTCCAAGGCGTACTCGGGCGCCAGGTAGTCAAAATTGACCGAAAGAGAAGGTGGTAGTGTGGGATCATAGTCTGGATGACGATAGGGCGTGAGAGTGCCATCGGGCTGCTTGAGAGGAGTCAAGAAACCAAAGCTGCACAGCTTCCAGTCTCCCTTTGCGTTGATGACAATGGCATTCGAGTCGAGATTACCATGTACCATGCCAGCCTGATGTAGAAATTCCAGACCGCGGGCGACTTGTAGTAGCCCCTTTTGGATTTCCACCTCGTCCAGAGCTACCTCCGCTGAGGCTCTGCCTGCCGACTCGCTGGCGAGGACTGCTTGATGTAGAGAGGCTACGACGGGCTCAGTCGCAAACGTGAGAGCTCCGCGTGTTTCCTCCACTGGCTCTACCACGGACAGGATGCACGGGTGACGCAGGCGAGTGAGGGTCGATGCCTGATCAATGGGGGAGGAAGAGCAAGAATGTCAGCTAAAACCACAGGAGGCCCCGCTCTTCCCCACTCCTTGCCTACTCACCTCCTTCTTGAGCATCTCGACGACTAATTGCCTCGCCGACCCCCTGGCTTCGAGTTTTGCCTCCCAAATGCTCACCACCCCTTTCCCCGCCCCCAAATCCGCCGAAGGATTATTCACCATTGTCTGTGATCCTCCGCCTGCTGCCGAGGGCCCTGCTGCGCCAGTCGACGACGAGGAGGCGGCGGCAGAGCTCAAGGCAGAGCTGCTGCTGTTGCGGACGGCGCGGGTGATCCTCCAGTTGCCGCATTGTAGAGGTGGTGAGGAAGAGTCGACTGTGTAGTTTGATGCGAGGGTGGTGCGACCGAGGTAGGAGGCTGCTGTGCTCAGGAAGGACGCCATGACCTGCACGAAGATGGGTGGTGTTGGTCAGGGTGCCAGTCGCAGGATGGGACCTCCTCTGTAGGATGTGAGGTGTGTGATGGTGAGTGGGTCTATGCGTGTGCGTATCTTCCCAAGGTGTTGCTCCTGCCTTGTGCCTGGCGTGTGTGTGTGTCTTGTGCTCTTCTCCACCTCTGCGCCACAATCGCGAGTCGAATGTGTCCATGCGGGGAATTCACTTGGCGCGGATCGGCAGTCTGGGAGACTCTCCGCCTGGCACTCATCGTACTCACCATCGCAGCAGTCCTTGGCTCTTACATTCACCCTCGAAGCAGAGCATAGCAGAGCAGAGCAGGTCATGACGTCTGCAAACACCATGTGAGTAGATAGACGTAAGAACAGCCGCGTAACAAGGCATCACTTTCTTGTCTCCATCATGCTTCTCGTCTTCTTACTCTAAACCACCCCTCATCTCCTGCTCTATCCTCGCGCAGAGCCACCCTCCTCTCCCTCTCCTTTCTAGCAGGGGCAGGCTACTACCTCTATCAAAAAGTCAATGGAGGCAGTGGTAACGCTCGAGGAGGGTACACGGGCAAGTATGACCCCAAGACAGGGTTGGGCAGAGGCGCGCCGGGGTTTCGTGAGTGTGGCAGTGAGGGGGCATGGTTGTTCAGCAGCTTGAGAAGGCTGACGCCGACGCCGATACTGACTTTTCCACTCCACTCCACTTCATCTCGCCTCCACCCCTCTTCTTTTCTCCTCCTCCTCCTTTCCTCCCCCCGGCTCTGAATACAAACAGAAACATCCGTCTCCCGCATCGCCGTCCCTGCACATATAATCGCCCGTATCCGAGCCGGGGAAGAAGTTTCCGCCGAGGAGATTACAGCTGCGCAAGAAGAGGAGGCTCGGCGGCAGGAGAGGGAGGCAAAGGGACTCAAGGTCAAGCCGAGACCGGGAGTGGAGAGGACTAAGAGTGGAGGAGAGAATGAGTGGTTGCCTGAGGGGACGGGAATGGGAAGTCCTGGTGGTGCTGGAGGGAGGGGAAAGGGGAGGAAGAGGTGAAGACGGGCAAGATGAGGGGAAGAGTGTGGAGTAGCAATTTCGTCGTCCTTGCTAAAAATGCATGGGGTAGATGCGAGCACTCAAGGCTGGTGGCTGGTAGTAAGATCTTGCTGATCAAGTCGTACAAGGATTCGTACAATACGCAAGCAAAGGAACGACACAAGGGGAGATTTCCTCCCCTCCTCGGCGGCGTTGATTCGTTTTGCCTCTCTTCCCTCACGACGCCGCTCACTTCTTTGCCTTCTTCTTCTTCGGAGCATCCGAGTCCTCACTGGCATCCGAAAAATTTCCATCATCACTTCCCGCTCCCTCATCCGAAGAAGCCTCAGAGGGCGAACCTCCATCATCCTCCGAAGGGGCTTCAAAGTCCTCGTCGTCCTCGTCCGAATCATCATCTTCAGCCATGGCAGCAGCAGCCTTGGATGCTTTGCTCGCCTTCTTCTTACTCTTCCTCTGACCCTCACGTCCATCCGCATCGCTGCCGTCGTCCATGTCCTCATCCGAGTCGTCCTGCTCTAGCGCAGCCACTGCCGCCGCCGTGCCCAACACACCTTCCTCATTCATCTCATTCTTGATGCGCAGTCGCTTGTCGGCAAAGTGGGCATTGAGCTTGTCGTACTCATCCCGTTGTATGGCGGCAAATGTGTGCTCCTGACCCGTGGCGCGAGTGAGGACGCGCAGGTCAAAGGTCTTTGAGGAGGTCACGCCGGCAGTTGCTCCACCCAAGCCCACGCGGGAGAAGATGACTTGGTGGATGTCGGTGTGCGAGATCCAGATGGGCTGCTTGCTCACCCATAGGATGGACTTGTCCAGCGGGTAGAGCAGACCCTCGGTAGCCTTGACATTACACTTGACACTCGACTGATCCGACGTTGATGTGAAGGATCCGGGAGCAGTCAGCTTCTGCCCTGACAAGACCTTGAAGATGTTGGTGACAATGCGGAATGTAGGCTCCTCGTAGCGCTTCTTCAGCTTACCCTCGTACTTGGTCTGGATTGTCTCTTCGTCCAGGTTCAACTCAGCGTCCATCTCCTCCTCACGAGGGAATTGGAATACCAAAAAGGGGTAGCGAGTTTGACCTTGGCGAATAGGCGGGTCGAGGCCGATGACAAATTGCACATGGACCTCGTCTGGCTTGGGGAGGAGAAAGAGACGGTTGATGGACTGGTAGAGGATTTTGTAGTCGTACGACTTGCCGTGCAGTCGCAAGAAGGTAGGGAACATGTCCACGTCGTACCTTCCTCGCGGAGTGAGTACGAGGACGTCCTTGAAGACGACGATGCCGTCCCCTGCGAGCTGTCCGATGTCTGCCTTGCGCTTGATGGCGTCGTGGAAGGCAGTGGCGGCAGTCACTTCCTCATCGTCATCGTCTTCAGCATCACTGCCGCTTCCCGTCTTCTCCACGGTACCAGGCACGTGCAAGCGCATCTCTACCAATTGGTCCCCCTTGTTCTTCTTGAGCGGCTTGGTACCATTGGTAGCTCCTGTATTTGAGCCAGGCTGCTGGGTCTCGGGATGGGCAAATTCCATGCTGACTTCAGTCTTGCCAGCGATGTTGGAATTGGCGATGTGGGAAATGGGCATCTCGAATGCCAGCTTGTCCTTTACGTAGAATCGTACATCTGCCTCTTCGATTTTTGCCTTTCCCCAATTCCAACCACGAGTGGACACCTCGACGCTCTCGAGGGAGGAGTCGTAGAGGTCGCGTACCATGCTTGCTACACGGTCGTATTCGTCTTTTGTGAAGCCGTCGAAGTTATCCCTTCGCACGTCCTCCTCCTCATTCTCATTGTCCTCGTCTTCATTGAGGACGATGCGTAATTGATAGCCCCGAGCAACTCTGAAGGTGGACAGCGATGAGTGAAGGGGACGTTTAGCTACCCACATTGACACTGAGAATTTTGAGCTTTCATTATCACTCTCTCTAGGTCCTCGCCTACTCACTTTAGCCATTGAAACGCCTTGAACCTGCTCGCCACGAGGGTATGTGTACTGCCCTCTCCAGCCGGCTTCCACCCCAATCCTCCCTGTGTGAACCTGAGCTTGCCAGCCGTTGTTCCGAGGTTGTGGAAGACATTGTCAAACTGCACCACCGACGAAGAGGACGATGCCATGATGATCTGTGAGGAGTGGCGGGAAGGTTGGGTAGCGAGGGGCTCAGCTGAACGGGAAGGAAGGAGAAGGCAATGCTCCCACGCAACCACGCCCGCCCACACGCATCGCCCACACGCGCCGCCCAGTTGATGAGCGCGACCAGGGCGCACGATTTTCCCGCCAGAAGGAAGCGGAGTTGCACCAATCTTGCGTTCCGACGATGGACGATGGACAGGAAGCGCGGCAGACGACCCTGACAGAGAAGGGGGCAGCCAAGGTGGACTTGGTTCACTTGCTTGATATTTGTTCCCTACCTTCGCTACCATCTACGTCGCCATAAACAGCGATACTCAGCCTCCTCACCGTCTCTGTGGATTCCAGTCCCTCGCTCTCCCCGCCATGAAGGAGATCTAGATTGCCTCCACCCCGCAAAGAGGGCATCAGTCACTGAGGAGGTGTCTCCTCCTGTTCTCTCCTCGCCGTGCTGCGAGTCGAACTCCAGCGTCACCGATATGAGCGGGACGGCCTCGACAAGCGCTGCTGAGTCTTCCAAAGCTGCCGCTTCTTCGGCTGCCGCCTCTTCATCCTCCTCCTCCTCCCCTCTGCGGCGCGAGGTATACTCCCTCGTAGCTCGCTTGCGGGAGAACCCCAAGGATGCATCGCCTTATAGCACCCTCATCCCGGCCGCTATTGACTACATCAAGGCAACGGATACGGGGGCCAAGCAGACTCACTTTTTCTGTCCCAAGGATGGCGCAGCAGAGGCTGAATTGCACACCTGCATGCTCAGAGTGTTGAGCTTCAAGACCAATGACCTGATACAGGATTGGCTCAGCCGCCTGGCGAAGCATCTCTACGGATGCGTGGAATGCTACAAGGGCTTCATGCTCGCAAAGGAAGATCTCAGATCGAGCTTCCTAGCCGGCTACTCGGATGGGCAGATAGAACGATTCCTCTCGTTCCTTGACGAATGGGAAGAAGGCATCGCTCTAGAGCTCTGGAAGTCTCGCAAAGTCGGTCCAGGTGATGGCCTCGGCTTCCTCTCTCCTGCAGAGCTCTTTGCTTCTTTGACGGTGGCAGCAGTCAGAGATGAGATCTACAAGCTGTTCAAGCAGACGATGACTCCTCATAAGCTTGCCACGGCCATGAAACCCATCTCGCCTGGAGTCTTGCGCTTAGCCTTCGATGAAGACTCAAAATGCAGAGCCTGGGCCAACGTGCAACTACAGGAAGCACCTCATCCCGCCCCTCTGCCACAAGAGTTTTGCCAGACAAGGCCAGTGAGGAAGTTGTTGGCTGAGGCCGCCAAGGAGCTGTCGGAAGGTCCATTCCCGCAGAGAGCTCAACAGCTCTGGACAGCATTAGCATCGATAGCCTACCGCTGTGCACCAGCATCCCTTGCCTTGATGTCTGATCTCGTCTCTCGGAATCTGCACGATGCTGGACCAAGCTTACCCCTTATCCTACGAGTCTACGATGGGGTGTTGAAGGCGCAAGGGCCACGGCTTTGGGGTGACGATCGTGAGCAGGCATTGGTCAGCCTCGCCTCTGTCCTCGACAACGCAGCCTTCATACAGGCAATCGCTGCAGCTTCCGAAGCGGAACTGCTCGACTATACAGATTGGATGAGATCCTTTCTGACATCCGTTGCAGACGAGGAAGGCAAGGACGCCAATGGTACCGCCAACGATTCCTCTGCTAGACGGCAGGACACCCCTCCCACGACGAATACGTACGGCGAGGTACTGAAGCGCCTCATCCACTTCTTACTCGAGCGTATGCAGCAAGGCAACACCTCGTCCACTTCCCGACGGCTGGTCTTCGATCAAGGCACCTCTATCCTGCTCGAGGCCTTCGAGAGCATCACAGACCTTGCCTCCCCCGCCTTCACAACCATCTCACAAGTGGTTGGGCTTTACGCCCGTCCCATCACCAATCTCGTCTTCCGTGGGCAGCTACCGACCTCCAACGAGCGCCTGTCTATTGAACGCACTTCCCGTCAATTGGCAAAGAATCTCATACTGGCCATCTTTGAAGCAGACCAAGCTCTGGTCGCAGATTCGATTCGTCATCTGTCTGAGATCTCACATCGTCAATTGAGTAGATGGAAGAATAGGCAAAAGCCTGGACATCCGTCACGTGAGGACATCTACAAGATTGGCCTACAAGAAAAGTATCCATCGCCGAGCGTTTGCACGGAATTGTGGTCCAATGCCTATCAGTCTTTCAATGGCTCCGCAAGCAATCCTCGAGAGGTCGCAGATACAGCAGGGGTATTTCTGAAACCGCTGTCGAAGCTCATCCTATATGGCGAGCCCACTTTGAGCACGCATCTTCTGCCTCCGCCATCCAGTGCTCCCGAATCGTCGCGATACAACGAGTACAAGCAGGCCGTAAAAGCTTGCATTGTGGCCATCTCCAGGCGATTGAGAGTCATCAGAGGTGAATTGCCGATCTTGTTGACGGAATTGGTAAGTATATGATCACGCGCTGCGATAGGCTCGTGTCGATACTGACTCACCGCGTTTGATCCCCTCTGCGTCGACCAGTCTGAGTCGGACATGAGCAGTAGTAATCACGGCGGACTTCAAGAACAGTGTCTTCACTTGTCAGCAGAACTGGTTGCCCTGAATCTCAGTCCGGTCCCGGAGCTACACAAGGCTGCACAGAATGTCATACGAGCCGCCTACCCCGACGTAGAGAGCAGAGCCGATGTCTTCAGGGTCCTGCTTAGTGCGTCCACAGCGTCTCTGCATGGCGTTCGGTCCTCTTTAGAATTCTTTGTTCAAGCTTGCAGTGAGCTAGTGGAAGCCAACGATGCTGCGAAGTGGATTGTCAGAAGTGGAGCAGACATTCTTGACGTGCTCTGCAACCGCACTAGCGGTCTCCTTCGACCCGGCGCGGAGAATTCCCTGGTCGACCGTGAGAGGCAAGACAAGGAGCTCCTTGAAGAAGTCGTCCCTTCAATTTGGGAGCTAATGTGTCGCAGCATCGCTACCATCTTCCACAAGACGCCCAAGTGGTCCGAGCACATTGCAAAGGAAGACATGGTGGCATGGTTCCGAGATGTGACAATCTTTGCATCGCAGCTCACGGAAGAAGTTGGCACCATGCAGCGTGCTGCCAATGCCAAAAAGAGGGGCGAGAGGGAGCGCAGAGGAGCTGTGATCACCGAAGAAGAGGAAGAGATGGACAACTTCATCCTGTCCTGCCTGGCCCTACCTCTTGAGCAGGCAATCTCATGGCTGCGCATCAACGATACTGAAATCGTCGGGGAAACGCTGTCATACATTCTCAAAGCGCTTGATCGCTTTGGCGGGGAGGTAGAGCTTCCTCAGAAGATTGCAGACAAGATTCTCAAGTTCGTCAAGGAGCAGCTGGACATCGACGACCCCATCCAGCGAAAGACCGTGCTTTCTGTCGGCGAGCTGTTGGATTTGCAAGCCAGACTCGACCCGAGCATCAAAGCTATCACTATCAGCGACGAGGAGGAAGACGATGTCGTGCTCAGTAAGGCCTCATCTTCTATGGCGCTATCGCAGCGGGATTCTCAATCTGGTTGGCTGTCCTCTATGACTTCGCCTACTAGATCGCAGCAAAATCTGATTGCTGCCAAGGAGAAGCGGCGAAAGATGAAGCAGCAGAAACTTAGCTTCCCTGCCAAGCAAGTCATCGATGTCGACGGTCTGGACGATCGTGACCCTCCGCATGGAGGAAGCAGGGCCAAGGACATGGCTGAGGCCTTGCGTGGAAAGCAAGCGCAACAGCCCTCGGTTGTCGACATGCTCAAGACTGCCAAGCCAGCCGCAAGGCCTGTTACAAGCGCATCGGCTGGCACATCCGTCAACAAGTATAAGAGTGCGTCTGCCTCAGCTGTGCCGAAGAGAGCCGCAACAGCGCCATCGAGGTCAGCCAACCCAAATATGGCAGCCCTTCGCAAAGGCTTCGCTGCCCAGCCGAGGTCGTTTCCCGTCAATCCGAACGCCGTCCGGCGCGTGCCTCCGACAAACGCCAATTCCATGCCTGAGCCCAAAGCTCCTTCCGCATCTAGCACAGTGACGGGAGCTATTGCCGGCCACATGAGCAAGGGCCCTTCCAGAGAGGAAAGTGACGATGACACTTCCTCTAGTGATGACGACGATGACGACGAAGCAGCACCCAAAGGCTTAGCAGCTCTTGCATCTGCCACGCGTTCGCCGACGAAGGGGATCAAGATGGTCGCTGACCCTGCACCTCAACCGCGTCGTACCAAGCTTCTTGATGACGGTGGCCTTGACAAAGCCCGGCAGGAAAGGCTCGAGGCAGAGCGGAAGCGAATGCTCAGAACTCCACCCGATCTGCAGGCTCTGCATCTCGCAATCCTGTCGTGGGACTGGTACCACGTGTCAGACGTTCCTCCAGCCGCTCCTGGAACCGCCGGGATTGACCATCGCCCAGTGCCTGACAAGTTCGCAAATGCGAATGAGTACGCTGCCGTCTTCGGACCGTTGCTCATGCTCGAAGCTTGGGCACAGATGCAGAGTGCCAAGGACGACTTTTCTCGCGGTGTCATCCCAATGTATACGTGCGAAGTAGCAAGCAGGGTCTCCGTCGATGCCTTCATCGATGTCGGGCTCACAATGTCGAACACAACCCCTCGCAGCTTCCGTCTGGGAGACGCGGACATTGTCGTTCTCAGACAGCGACATGATGCCATTGAGGCTGGACAGCAATCTGGACAGGATCGAGTGGTTCTCGCCAAGGTGGAGCAATTCAAGAATCATCCCCAGGGTAGTCAGGTGACCCTGCGCTGTGCTCTTGACAATGATAAGCAGGGAGTGGCCTCTCGGCTGGTCAATCGCTCAGTCTGGGAGGTCGGGTCGCTGTTCAACTTGTCAACCCTTCATCGAGAGTTTGCTGCGCTGTTGACCGCGAGATACTACGACCTTGTTCGAGACATTCTACAAGCGAAGACGACCCCTCGGCGCAGAGCCACACCTTCTGAGATGCGTATGATGAAGGACAGCTACGGCGTCAATGAACCTCAAGCAGAGGCAATTCTGGGAGCTTTGCATTCAGATGGATTCACTCTGGTTCAAGGACCCCCTGGAACGGGAAAGACCAAGACGATTTGCTCTCTCGTCGCGCATTTCGTGGCTACTCGCAAAACTCCAGCTCCTATCGCGGTAGGGCAGGGACGGACTCCTGTCGCCCCTGTCACCAAAAAGCTACTCATGTGCGCCCCGAGTAACGCTGCCATCGATGAAGTGGCTAAGCGAGCCAAGCTCGGCTTCAAAGGGCCTGACGGACGAAATGTGAAAGTGAATGTTGTCAGACTCGGACGAGAGGATGCGATGAATGAAGCCACCAAGGACGTCTCCCTCGATGCTCTTGTCGAAGCTGCTTTGGCCAACAGCTCCGGTCAGGGCATCGATAATTCGGCCTTTGAACAGGCCCAGATCGAGTTGCGCTCTATCAGAGACGAGAGAGAGCGGAAGCAGCTCGAGCTCGAGCAAGCTAAGGCTTCGGTGAATGAGACTCTCATCAAGCATCTGGACCTCGAGATCCGTGCCCTCGGCTCAAAGCGTCTGACTGCTGCACAGAAGCTGGACGATGCTAGAGACAAACGGCAGACTGCATCTCGTAAGATGGATGCTGATCGACGAAGAGTGCGGACAGAGATTCTTCTCAATGCTGACGTCATCTGCACGACGCTTTCGGGAGCTGGACATGAAGCGTTGGTGTCACTGCCGATCGATTTTGAGACGGTGGTGATCGACGAAGCAGCCCAAGCGGTCGAGCTGTCCATCCTCATCCCTCTACGCTACGGTTGCAAGCGTTGCATCATGGTCGGAGATCCCCGCCAATTGCCTCCCACGGTGCTATCCAAGAAGGCTGTCACGCTCAAGTACTCGCAGAGTCTGTTCGTGCGTCTCTTCGAGCAGGCAAAGGATAGGGTGTACCTCCTGGGTATCCAGTACCGAATGCATCCGGAGATCTCCACATATCCTTCACAGCAATTCTACGGAGGCAGGCTGATCGACGGAGATGGCATGGCCCAGCTCACTGCGCAGACCTGGCACTCTGACCCGCTCCTCAAGCCATACCGTTTCTTTTCCATTCGAGGATTCGAGCAGAGCTCACGAGGCCACTCCTTCATCAATGTTGAAGAAGCACAAATAGCTGTGGCGCTCTATGCTCGCTTGCGAAGGGCGGCGCCTGGCTACAATTTTGACGGCAAAGTCGGCTGTGTGACTATGTACAAGGGCCAAGTTGAAGAGCTGAAGCGCAGATTTGCTCAAAGCTTCGGCGCCGACATTGTCCAGCGCGTAGACTTCAATACCGTCGATGGCTTCCAGGGTCAGGAGAAGGAGGTTATCATCTTGAGCTGTGTCAGGAGCGGTCAAAAGGGTCTCGGTTTCCTCACGGATGGAAGGCGTATTAACGTCGCCATTACCCGAGCAAAGTCGAATCTCTTCATCGTCGGAGACGCCGAAGGGCTGCGTAATGCCTCGACTCAGGATGGACTGTGGAGGATGCTTGTTGACTCTGGCAAGGCACGGGGAGTAGTTCAGGACGCTTCGGTCGACATGCTCAAGTCGGGAATTAACGGCAGGGGAGCAGTGGTTGCGCCGAAGCCCTCTGGCGGAAGACCAAGACCGGCTGGATGGGTACAAATGGAAGCGAACTGTATCAGAGGCCCGCCTGCTACTTCTACGCCGGCGTCTGCCCCGGGCACACCAGTCAAGCGAGGAGCTGACGCCATTGCGGGAGATCGCACCACATCGTCCTCCCCGGCCACGAAGAGGGCTAGGCCGAACGAGAGCGTCCGGCCTTCTGCAGCAGTCACCTCTCCTGCACGTCCGACGGCAGCCTCGAGCCCAGCGCAGTCGGTGCCTATACGTCCCTCTCCCCAGGCTTCGGGTCTCAGTGCAGCTCCGAGTCCAGGTCCAGCAGGCGCAGCAGCGCCTCGTCCTCCTCCTTCCCGTCCTCCCCCAGCAGGCATAAACGTCGACAACCTGCAAACGCGCAGACCTGGCTCGGGTCTGGGTGCGCCTTCTGGACCAGCAGGGATGAGGGGTGGTATGCAGGCCCGTCCGCCCATGCGACCGCCGTTGCGTGGACCTCCAAGACCTTCAGGACCACCTGGAACAGGGGGAGGACCGCGCCCGCCTGCTAATGGTAATGGTAATGGTAATGGCAACGGGGGAGCCTCTAGTGGTCCATCCCAGGCGGCTTTGGATGCGGTATTTGTCAAGAAGAAGAAGCGGTAGAGTAGAGAGAGACATGAGGAGGGAGAGAGGAGGTAGGGCGGTGCAGGGTCGTGTGATCATCTCTTGTGGCGTTTCTACCAGCATGTTCATCCCATCAGCACAGCACAGCACAGCATGTACAAGCATCATCATCATCACCTACCTACTCGATCCTCGACGACCACATCATTCATGCATGCATGCATGCATGCATCTCACGTCACCAAGCGCAATATACCTTCTTTTTGCATTACAGTTACATTTACATCAGTGTCTACGTGACGAAAACCCTTGTCACAACCGCTTCTGACCTCCCTCGCGCTGACATCCCCCTCCTGCGAGCACCGCCTCTACACGGTCGGACCCACCTCCCCTCCTGCAGGTGCTGTAGCAGCCGCCCCTGCACCAGGCCCCGCCCCCGCCCCAGCCTGAAGTGTAGCCATCACTTCGGCATAGAAGGTCTGCAGGGCAGCAGGCTCGGCACAAAAGGCCTCGAATTCCCTACGTGTGCGATCTGGGTCTGGAAGGACAGAGGAGGCGTGCTCGTCGCTGCCTTCGTGCGGTTGCGCGCCTGGGCCGAGGCCGAGACCGGCTCGTCCGCCATTACCACCGTTACCGCCGCCGCCACCTCGAGTTGGGAAACCCCTCCCGACTGGCCCGCCCTGGGCGTACCTCCCTCCTCTGCCTGCTTCCACGCCGACAGCGCCTGCTCTACCATTGCCTCCCGATGCACCCCCATTCCCACCACCTGCACCCCCCGCAAGGTGATGGGAGTTAAAGAGTCGATTGTTAAGCCAGAGGAAACCCTCGGCTCCTCCCACCACCTGCACAAAAGCCACTCCGCTCCTGTGTACAAATTGCGAGTAGTCAAATCGACTCGGCCTGGACTGGTAGATGATCTCAACGCCCGAGGGGTAGCGATCTGACGCCTCTTGGTCCAGCACAAAGCCAAAGCGCCTCAGTAGAGCCCACTCGAAGTATTCGCTTGGGTTGACGTGTGGGGGTAGGAAACTGACGTAGCTTGAAGTCGGTGGGGGATCGAGGGAGAGGTGGATCTGGATGGGCGCTTGGAAGGGGTTGTGCTTGCTCACATCGCAAATCTGCCCGATCGGAGCTTCGATGAGACGAAGACCGTACCGCTCTACGATGCGTGTCCAGTTCTGGACAGTGTCCTCGATGAAGCGGGCAGTGGTGCCGAGCCATTGTAGTTGGGCATTGAAGCCATTGGCTGGGTTGTGGGCGATGTCGTAATGCAAGAAGGCAGTCTCTGCGCGATCAGATTTGCGAGAGGGGTCGACGTCGATGATGAGCGAGCGAGACATCTTCATCCTTCGACGAGGAGCGCTGCTGCTAGTCGGATCCTTGGTGATAGACGCACTCCGAACGATGCCTTCAGAGACATCTCCAGTCTTGCTCTGAGCAGCGACCCTCTTCTTTCCAAGTGCCTTGGTAGCATACTCGTCTTTGAGTCTGTAGAAGTAGTGTCCATCGAGGAATCCGTGAGCTGCATGGACGTGCTTGAACAGCCCTGCCTTCATTAGCTTATCGCCCCATTCCACTGCCTCGTCACGATTTCGTACATCTGCGTACTCGCACGAAAGCCACGTAGTAAAGTCCGTGCCGGTGAACGTAGCAGTGTAAAGCTTGCGATTCCATAGTCGATCTTCGATTTTGAGACCGTGCTTCTCGTTTGCCATGTTGACAGCTATGCTGTCCAGAGCGACGTCTTTGATATGCTTCTTGACGGCACGGCTCGAAGCCTTCTGCGCTTGCACAGCCTGCTCGACCTCCTCGTCTTCGACAATGGCTGCTTCCATTTGCTTCATGAATTTGTCATCCCACATGCTCGCCGAAGGGTCCAAGCTTGTAGGAATAAAGCGAAGAAGAGCAGCGACCCGCGCTCTACCGGTGCTATCGCTACCGGCCCCCCTCCCCTTCCATCGGTTCCGAGCGAATTGATCCGCAAGTCTGTCCATACCAGCCAGCCTGGTCTCTTCCTCGTCCAGAGGCTCACCAGTAGCAGCATTCATCGGAGGTAGCGGCCCTTCAGCAGGAACGATGACAAATCGCGTTCGCCAGTATCTCAGGTCATCGCTGAATTTGTCCTCTTCGGCGTGTCCAGCGACGAGTGAGTCCAGATATGTCCAGTCGTACGTCCCAAACTCGGGGTACTTGAATGTGGTGTTTACTCGTTGGTAGCCTGGTAGATTGCGGGGCCAAATGCAACAAGTGTATGCCAGTGGCGAAGTGTCGTAGGGCATCTTGCGGATGTACCGCTCGACGTTGATGGCACTGGCCGCTCGATCGTACGAAATTCTGTGGATTTGATTCGACATTCCCAGCAAGATCGGGTTACCAGAGGTGAGTGTGCCAGGTTGGAAGAGCTCAGAGGGATTGTGCAAGCTGAAGTTGCTCCGCCCTGGGTTGCTCGCAAATCTCCGGGAGGACAGGGCAGTACTGCGAGATGTAGCTGCTGCATTCTGCTCCTTCTTCAGCGGTACAATGAATTGGAAGCCTTGGGCGAGCCGCTGGGAAGTCAATTCTCGAAGGACTGCTAGCGCTGGCGCTTGATTCTGTGATCGCTTGACGAGGAAGCTTGACAAGTCAGACGATACCGATAGTGTGTGGGGGTATTCGGCCCACTGCTCGTGCAGCTCTTGCTCGGTGGGAAGATAGTGTGTTGTCAACGGCAGACAAGCCGGAGTAGTGATACTCTTCCATTTGATCGAGTGTCGGTTGAGCCGACGAGGGAACAGATGTTGCCAGCGCTGCAGTTGAGTAGAGACTACGCTGGTGTTCATCAAGCTCTTCCGAGGGTTGGAAGGGTTCACCAGGGTCTGCTTCTCAATTTGGGCTCGCTGGGCGTACCTTGCCCGAGCCTCTTCCTCGTCGAGAGCTTGCTCATAGGCTTCTTGCTCGCGATTGATCTCCGCATCTGCGTTGGTCAAACGAGCTCTACTTGAGCCTGCCTCGCCGCCTGGCCGTGGAGACGTCTTTGTTGAGCTGGATCCGGCCGAGGTTGAGGTGATCGGCACGGGACGCGGCCCGCCCGTCTCCCTCTCTTGGTCCTTTGAAACGTCCTCAAGTAGATTGCGACGACTGGGTGAGTTCTTCAGAATGGCTTTGATCCTTAACGACGCGAGCGATGGCCCCGCTTGCGAAGAAGCCTCGTCATAGGTCCCCTCACCATTCTCTGACTTGATAAGTTCGCGGGACGAGGGCGAGCCGATGCTTGGGGACCTGCCTCCTTTGAGCGAGGACCACAACCATTTGTAGCCCTTCTGCTGTCTGGCCTTCTTTGGATCATTGATAGCAATAATCTTTGGTTTTTCCTCCTCTTCCGGCGAGGGCAGTTCGTCTATCATATCAGCATACTGTGTGGGAGCGACCAGCGCTTCAGCTTTTCCAGGCTGCTGCCCTGGCCGAAGACTGCGATTCATCGTCGCAACGCTTCGTAAGGAGGCCGGACGAGACGAAGTGAAGTCAGAGAAGTCACCGCTGATAGATGATGCCATGGAGAAGTAGCGGCTTCTTTCCCTGACCGAGGGACTCGAGATTGGCGAATCATGGAGTCGCAATCTCGCACGAGGGGATTCCACCAGTGAGTTCCGATTCGAGTCATGGACCTGATGAGCTTCGTCGGCAAGTGTCACTCCGTCGTCCTCAGCATGTGACTCCAAGGTCGGTCTGCCCAGCATAGAATCTCTCCCGGGACGGCTATGTCTCTGAGCCTTTGGAAGCGCAGTAGCGCCAGCAGCAGCCTTTTCCGTTGTGATCGCCGCTGCAATTGCTTCTCTCTCTTCATAGCTGCCCGGCAGCCAGCCAGAGGCAGCGGCTACACTCATCATGCTTCTATTCCCGGCGCCCGACGCAAGGAGCGATCTGTTCCTGGCGTGCGTGGACGCATTCTCCAGATCTCGAAAGGTCTCTCGGTCGAAGCGCTCTCTCAATGCTCGCCTCTGCTCTCGCGATGTCAGCTTGTCGAGGAGATTGGAACTACTGCTGCGCACAGTGTGAGCTCCTCCAGAGCTGCCTCCGCCTGGTGGCAGTGATCTGGGCAGCGAGAAGCCAGCACTGGGGTATGTTGGATCGCCAGCAATCATCCTCAGGTCTAAATACGGCAGAGAGATGTCGCTAATTTCATTCTCCATATACCCGATCTGTTGAATCTCTTGCATCTTCACTCGAGGGACGAATCGATCCCTTCTGAAAGGCTTGTCTTGCTGCAAGTTGTAGAACGAGGCATCGATCCAGTGTGGTATAGAGTAGAATTCCATCTGAAGTGCCTCGGGGGCGGAGTGAATACCTCGAGGTGTCTTGACCGAGTCGTAGTAGAGCGGATCAGGAGGTCCAGAGCTAGGCTTTGCTCCGTGCGGGGCGCTGCTACCGGCGAATTGAGAGAACGAGGAAGAGGCTGCTCCTTTGTAGCCAGCCCTCCTGCCCGAGCGCAGGTGGGACGCAGACTCCGCGGTCGGATCAGGTATTTGACTCCTGAAATGGAATAGAGGAACGGAGTGCAGGGGCATCTTCGTCAAACAAACCAGATCGAGACCGATACCATTATCGATCATTCTCTCAGTCGTCATCCGCAGCCACTTCTTATCCACCCGAAAGTGGCCCGTACCAGCGGTAATGATGACGAGATCCAATCCGGTTCTATTCAGGTCTCGATCAATGTAGTGCTTGTCGAAGGGATTCAGAGCCAGATTGATGGCCTCGAGGATGTTTCCTTCGTGAGACGCTGCGACGCGCCCAGCTAACAGTGCACGATCTCGACGCAGAAGATCTGCATGCTGTTCCTCTTGCCAAGGTGCTCCTGCCGGACCCGCGACTGGTCTGCGGATCAGCAAGATGTCGTGCTCGAAGCGCCAGTGCTCTTCCTTTAGCATCAGCGACACCTCGCTCCAATTCGAGCTTGACTCGAGGTCGACGAGTACCTTGTAGTAGTCGATGTAATGCCTTCCACCGGCGCCTTCCTCCTTGAGGACAGGTAGACCGACCTCATCTAGCATGTGTAGCTCGCTCTCATCGTACCATACGCGAGCGAAGAGAGTTATGCTAATGACGTGATTGGTAGCTGCGCTTCGCCAGCGCCGGAGCAGCTCTGGCAGGAAGCCAGTCACGGCCTTTTCATAGTATAGCTCCCCATCTTCGTCAAAGTCCCACATCTCCTTTCCAAGTTGTATGAAGAGGTGGTACTTCGCAGACTCAGAACGGAAGATTGTCTTGGTTTCCGGAGCTACGTAGCCTGAAGAAACTTTGCGCTGGTCTATGAATATCGACCCAACTGTAGCCCTCACACTGCCTACCAAGTTCACCTTTTGGCCGAAGTAGACACAAGTGTCTTCGAGGGATGCAGTCAATCGCCACATGTCGGCTCTCCCGACGTATTGGTCTCGGAAGAAGAGCTCTACATGAGAGATGGTGCGAGATGAGCGAGCAACTCGGGAGAGGATGACCTCGCTGCGATTGTTGAAGCCATAGCGTGTTGCAATGTTCTTGGAAACGCTGAGCTGAACGTTGCTGGCCTTGCTTGTTGACTCGGACTCATGCCCGCTCTGACTAGGGCGAAAGACGAAGGAGCCATCGTGGGGAGCGCCTTTCTTCTTACGACGGCGATGGTCATTGTCGAAGTCTTCGGGACGTGGGCCTGGCAGCTGTGAGACCTCATATACTTCGTTTTCGCCCAGTGGACCGAACAGCTTTGCAATTTCGGGATTCAAGACGACTTCGCTAGTGCTGAAATTGGGAGGCTCATGAATCCAAATGATCACAGGCCGCGATGTGAGGGTGGGCCGGCTGCCGTCAGTGTGCCTAGAGGAGGACCTGCGACGATTTGCCGAAGTGGATGTTTCCGCAGGAGTGAGTGCCATAGTACGCCGTGTACTGGCCTCTCTATCCCGAGTGGAAGGGCCGGAGCGACTGGTGGAAGTCGGCGAGGGCGGCCGCGAAGACGAGGAAGACGGTGTGGGTGCCATGCCTGCGATCTCCAGAGGCAAGCAGACGCAGGCTGCGCAGGGAGAGGGTGCCGATATGCTTCTCTGAATTGGTGCGTGTTATCTCAGAAGCATCACGGCGAGGATATGTGGAGGGATCGCTGCTTCGTCGCCTGCTCCGAGGCCGAGGGTGAGACGATGAGGGCTGTAGCAGGATCACTTCAGAAGATGGAGGAGGAAGGCGGTGGTATGGTAGAGTATGGCGAAGGGCGAGTCTGCCTGTGCGTCTGCCTGGGTGGGTGAAGCTTTCTCTTCCCGTGAGGCTTCCTTATCCGAGAGGGTCCATGCGTCGTCCGTCTGTCCGTCGTCCGTCGTCCGTTGTGCGCCGTGCGTGTGCCTGGGTCAAGGTTGCGCGCGCACTCGAGCCTCGGGGCGATGACCCACACTCGATCGCACCGTGAGAGGAGCAGCAGCCGCCTCCGCCTATCCTTCCCATCGTCAGCTCCCCGTATCGCAGCACTCCCCACCTCCAGCAGCATCACCTCGGATCAATCAACAGGTCAAGCCAGACTTGGACACTTCAGGCAGCACCATACTTCCACGCACCTCGATTCACATCGGCGCTGCCCCTCTGCCGCCACCTGCACCGCCAACCGCCTCGCCTCCTCTTCCCGCTTGCGACACTCCACCTCACCCCCTGCCTGATTGCCCGTCATGTCTGGCCCTCAGATGAGCGACCGTGAGCTCTTCGAGATCAACGCAAAGGCTGCGTGAGTGGTCGCTGCCCAACTGAGGAACTTACTCGGCAGAAGAGGACCTGCCCGCACGCCCTCCTTGCTCACTCCACTTCACATTCATCTCGCCCCCGCCTCACAGCGTCAAGAACTACGACGTCGACCCGCGCCTGGGTGAGTCGATCATGGGACCCCTTTTTTGGCTGGCCAACGACTGACTGAGTCATTCCGGCCCCCTTTATCCACGCTTCACAGACTACCGAACTGTATCTGCCATCAATGGGTGAGTTGCAGATCTGTCCTGTCCGTGGCTGACTGCCCGCATGTACTGATGGCACCCGCACCTGTCCGCCGCTCTCGACAGTCCCCTGGTCGTCTTGGACAACGTCAAGGTAAGTCGCCGTCTATGTCTGCGCTCGTCCGTCGCAACGGTACATCAGACTGACTCAGTCTCCACTTCACCATCCACATTCCCTTGCAGTTCCCATCTTACAATGAAATCGTGTCTCTGACCCTGCCCGATGGATCTCGCAGAGGAGGTCAGGTGCTCGAGGTCAGTGGTTCAAAGGCTGTCGTGCAAGTCTTCGAGGGAACATCGGGTATCGATGTCAAGGAGACCCACATCGAGTTCTCCGGCGCCAGCATGAAGCTGCCCGTTTCGGAAGACATGTTGGGTAGGATCTTCAACGGAAGTGGTCAGCCAGTGGACAAGGGTCCCAAGGTATTTGCAGAGGACTACCTGGACATCAACGGTGAGTCACCATCGGGAACAGAGATGATGTGCGGTATTTCTACTATTGTCGTACTGACAAGCTCCCTTTTCTGCTCTCAGGTGCTCCCATCAACCCCTATGCCCGAGTCTACCCTGAGGAGATGATCCAGACCGGTATCTCCACAATCGATACCATGAACTCGATCGCTCGTGGCCAGAAGATTCCCATCTTCTCTGCCGCCGGTCTGCCTCACAACGATATTGCCGCTCAGATCTGTCGTCAGGCTGGTCTGGTCAAGAAGCCCGACTCGGGTAAGGACTCGCGACCCACAAAGGGTATTCACGATGACCACGAGGACAACTTCTCCATCGTCTTTGGTGCTATGGGTGTCAATATGGAGACTGCTCGCTTCTTCAAGCAGGACTTCGAGGAGAATGGATCTCTCGACCGTGTCACCCTGTTCCTGAATTTGGCCAACGACCCAACCATTGAGAGGATCATTACCCCTCGTCTGGCCTTGACCACTGCCGAGTACTACGCGTACCAGCTGGAGAAGCACGTCTTGGTCGTCTTGACAGACATGACCTCGTACGCCGATGCTCTACGAGAGGTCTCGGCAGCCCGAGAGGAGGTGCCCGGACGACGTGGATACCCCGGATACATGTACACGGATTTGTCTACCATCTACGAGCGAGCCGGTCGTGTGGCAGGACGAAACGGATCCATCACCCAGATCCCCATTCTGACCATGCCCAACGACGACATCACCCACCCCATTCCCGATCTGACGGGTTACATCACAGAGGGTCAGATCTACGTCGACCGTCGGCTGCAGAACAAGCAGATTTTCCCTCCTATCAACGTGCTACCCTCGCTGTCCAGGTTGATGAAGTCCGCCATTGGAGCCAAGCACACGCGTGCTGACCACTCGGATGTATCGAACCAGCTCTACTCGCTGTATGCTACCGGTCAGGATGTGGCTGCTCTCAAGGCCGTCGTTGGAGACGACGCGCTGTCGAGCGAAGACAAGCTTGCTCTGCAATTCCTGGACAAGTTTGAGCAGCAATTCGTGCAACAGGGAGCCTACGAGTCGCGTACCATCTTTGAGTCGCTGGACATTGGATGGTCGCTGCTGCGAATCTTCCCCAAGGAGATGCTGAACCGAATCTCGCCAAAGATTATGAAGGAGTATTACTCGAAGCGGTCTACTCAGCAGCAGCAGAAGAAGGACGACGAGGAGAGTGATGAGCAGAAGAAGAAGGACAAGTCGACGAGGGACAGCGGAGATGATGGGGATGACAAGAAGGAAGAGGGATCGAAGAAGGACGATGACAAGCTGGTCGACGCCTAGAGTGGGATCAAGAGCAGGCAGGTTGTCGTGGCCATACGCTCTCTCCCCCCTTCCCTTTTCTCTTCTCTACTATTGTTTGCGATCGCTTCTTCTCTCGATTGTCTCGCCCCCTGCGAAATAGGATGCGCTACTCTACTCTGCTTTGGTTTGCTCACCCCGCGAATTGTATGGTGATCGTGCAAAGGTGCTTACCAATGTCAAGAGTCCTTGCTGCTCCTGCTCACCTTCTTGTTGACTGCCTACCTGCCAGGTGTGCCTTGACAGGGCGTCAACCACACCACCTCTACTGTACTATGCCCTTTGACATTGCCCTCCATCCCTCCATCCCGCCCATCCCTCCACCTCTGACCCTCGCTTGCGGGACAAAGCTGCAAGTGGGCGCAAAGTGCCAGTGCCAGTGTCAGTGCGAGCGGGGCAGGGGAAAGGGCAAGGCATCAGGCAAGGGAACGGTTCGGCGTCTTTTGCCCGGCGTGGGGTGGGTGCTTAGTGGGCGTGTGCGAGTGGGAGTGGAGCAAGTGAATGTAGTACCTGGCTATGGTCTGGTATGGGTAGCTGAGTCCTTCTCTTCTTACTACTCCCTCCTCCTATCTTCTGAGACCATCACATCATCCGCTGCAGATCCCCAAATAGCCTGCCTAGTCCTAGAACGACCAGGGCCACCTCTTCCTCGATATCCACACTCCGCCATCAACTCCGATCTGTCGATCGTCTCCACTCTTTGCACGCCTCACGCCTGGCCCCGGTCTTGGTTCTTCTTGTGAGGCCAGACGCAAGCAGCCACGGAAAGGGACACGGACGAGCAAGGACTGACAAGGATCAGGCACAAAGCACAAGCACAGGCAGACAGACAGACAGACAGACAGGCAGACGCAACGCAACACCAGCACCAAGCAACCAAGCCAAGGACAAGAAAGGCACTTTGACACCTTCTTCCTATCGTTCCCACTCGCTTTCACACCTCTCCGTGAGCACGGCTTGCTCCGGCTCCATCATCATCATCATCAGACAGAGCACTAGGCACCTGCGAGATCTTATCCTGCTCGCAGTGAGCGCAAGGACCTCGACCAGCTCGCAGACACTCGGGGGGCTTGCTAGACCAGTAGGGCCCAAGCAAGCGCAACAAAGGGCTTCTTCTGCCAAGCAGTCAGATAGATACGCAGTCCGGCTTCTCTTCCCTCCTTCGGCTGACCGTATCCATACAGTCATCTACAGCTTCTTGCGCAGCAGGATTCACCCATTGCAGCTCATATCGCCTGCTCTTCTTCCTACCGAGCACCTTCATTTCCACCTTCCGTGTACCAGCGAGACACTCTAGCCCCTCAGGATGTCCAGCGTACGCAAGAAGCGCAATTTCAAGGGGCTGCAACTAGGCGAGTCACCCCTCTCCTCCACCACACCCTCCCTCTCCGCCTCTTCCTCGTCTTCATCAGCACTAGCAAGTAGCAACGCAGCAGCAGCAGCAGGTCTCAGCGGGTCCGCAGAAGCCTCTCCCTCCTCTGCTTCCTCCTCCCACCTCTTTCGAACGATCAATTCGCGTACAACACCCAACTCTTCGACGCTCTCTCAAACCTCCTCCTACCCTCAATCCGCCATCGAAATCGAGTCTGCCTCTGGCGCTAGCTATCACAATACCCTCACTGAGCAGCTCAAGAATTTGGAATTGGGAGTGGAATACAAGTTGGATTTAAAGAATGAGGATTTAAAGGTATTGAATGAGTTGGGGAGTGGGAATGGAGGGACGGTATGCAAGGTTGTGCATGAGAAGACGGGCACGGTCATGGCCAAGAAGGTGAGTCGGGCAGGGTCTCGGCCTCATCGGTGAGAGGGGAGTAAGCAAATGACCTCCGATCTTCTTCTTTCCCCTCCCTCCCCTCCCCTTCAGACGGTCTTCATCGATGCCAAACCAGCAGTGCGGAAACAGATCCTTCGAGAGCTTCAAATCCTCCACGAATGCAATTCGCCCTACATTGTCAGCTTCTATGGGGCATACATGAATGAGCCTCACATTTGCATGTGCATGGAGTACATGGATAAGAGGTACGTTCGTCGACGTCCAAGGCATGTGGCAGACAGGTAGCGTGGGTAGCCAAGCTAGAGATTGCTTACCTCGATTGTGTACATACTTCTCCTCCAAGCTCTCTGGATACCATCTGGAAGAAGTGGGGACCTATACCGGCCGATATCTGTGGGCAAGTGGGACTGGTAGTCGTCCATGGCCTTACCTATCTGTACGATGTTCATCGCATCATCCATCGAGGTACGTTCGGGTCATACAAATTCGCTTGATTTGGTGAGCTCAAGGCTGACGCCGCTTTTACGGTCTTGCCTCCCTTAGATGTCAAGCCTTCGAACATTCTGGTCAACTCACAAGGGCAGATTAAGCTCTGCGACTTTGGAGTGTCAGGAGAGCTGATCAATAGCATCGCAGACACTTTTGTCGGGACAAGTACTTACATGAGCGTGAGTTGAAGATGCATGAAGCCTTTGCGCACATACAGTAGAGTACTTTAACTGATGTTCTCCCCCCCCCCCCCCCCATTGCTGTTCGATGTCGCAGCCGGAGCGTATTCAAGGTGACCAATACAGTGTCAAGTCGGACGTCTGGTCACTAGGGATTACCATCATCGAATTGGCCTTGGGGCGTTTCCCCTTTGCCGAGGAGGGAGAAGACTCCGAAGAAGGTTACGACTACAACGAAGAGGACGACGATGATGATCTGCGGGGTACACTGAGCCCAAGTGGACACAGTCGGCGGAGTAGGAGCGGCGTCAGTCTCGATGGAGGCGGTGGAAGCTCGAGTCAGATGAGCATGCTAGAGCTCCTACAACGCATCGTCAATGAACCTCCGCCAAGACTACCCGCAAGCTCGTCCACGTCCTCCACTTCCTTCCAATCGTCCTCTTCAGCCACCTCTGGTAGTGGTGGTGGAGGTTCCCGCACTAAATCCTCCCGAATCACCTTTCCCGAGGACCTCTGCGCCTTTGTGGACCTGTGTGTCAGTAAAGACCCCAATGTGCGGCCTACACCAAAGGAACTGACCAAGCAGGGGTATATGGTCAAGTGTGAGAAGAGGAAAGAGACGGGATTGGTTGATGTCAAGGGATGGGTGGATCGACTTGTGTGAGCTGGATGTGGGTGGCTAGACGGTAGACGTGGATCCTCCTGGCGAGCAATGCTTGCCAGACTAGTCCCGAGAACAGAACGAAACACAGCAGTGGTGTCATTGGCGCCCCCCGCCTGCAGTGTCCCCTCACTCACTCATTCCCCTTCCGCCCCCCCCCCCCCCTCCCTCTCTCCCCCTTCTATTTTCCCCTTTCCCGTCCATGTCTATATCTCTCACTCTCCGCTCTCGCTGTCGCTCGAAACCAATACAGTAGCACGTCCCTTCTGTTCCCCTGCGGTCTGTTCGTCCTTGAATAGACAGAGTGGTGCGTCCTGTAGACTAACATAGCCTATGCCGACCTCTACGCCATTGCCGAGATCTTCGCGCCTCGACGCCAGGGGTGGAGGTGCGGCAGGCCGAGCCGAGCCGAGTCGAGTGAGCGGGGCTGGGCGTTCGGTCACGTTGAAATCGGAAGAGGAGGGCGAGAACGCGGAGGTCGTGGATGGTGATCCTTCCTGATCCTCTAGAGCCCTTTCTTTTCCTTTCCTTTCCACACTGCTCGCCCTACCGGCATCGTCTCTTCTCATTCTTTCGTAGCATAGTAAGAGGTAGAACGCTCTCGTCCGGATTTCTCGCACCTCTCCTCGGTTCTCCTCTCGTTGCCATACTGGAGGTCATCTCCGAGGCGGACCTTGTTTAGTCTACTTGTACCGCGCTGTTTTGGTGGTGTAATTGATCGCAAAGCCTGGGCAAGAAGCAGAGATGGACTATCCGAAATCGAAGGTGACGGAGCTAAAGGAGATGTGAGTGTCGTGTTGACTCCTTCATGTTATGTTTCCTCATTGCCGAGGGACTATATGCGGCTAACTTTGTGCGCGAAGCTTGCCCTACTGACTCCATCCTTCTCTCTTCTTTTGGTTGGCGATAATGAATAGACTGACATCAAGGGGTTTGTCCACAAAGGGCGTCAAAGCAGAACTGATCGCTAGATTAGAAGAGGACGATGCAGCGCCAATGGCGCCAGCCGCGCCAGCTCAGGACGAGGCAGAAGTCGAAATCCCTTCTACAGAACCTGCCAAGGTGGACGAATCTGCTCAGGTCGAGGAGTCTGCTGCAGCTCCAGCTGTTGCTCCGGCTCCAACTTCAGTCTCTGAGCTTTCCCCCCGGCCTCATCCCGAGGCTTCGGAGCTGATGAAGCAGACTGCCCAGGCAGAAGGAGTGGTCGAGACGCTTGAGGCTCAGGATGAGGTGGAGATTCAGGCAGAGCAGGAGGAAGGAATAGGTGCAGAGACTGCTACAAAGTCAGAGGCTACGGCTGCTCCGCCTTCCCTGACAAGTCGGCTAAGCACTCAAGATGGTGAGAAGAAGCCAGAGCAGCAGGAGGAAGGAGGGCCATCAATGCTCTCTGCAATTGCTTCAGCTCACTCAGCCGGCGTCGAGGCCATCGTCCCCGGCGAGTCCTCTGCCTCACCTCTGCAAGCCGAGTCTGCCCCTGCTTCAACGTCCACGTCCAACCCTCCGCGAAAAGCTGCCAAGGGATCTGCTCCTCTCTCCTCACTTGCGCCGCCTCACCCGCCCACTAGAGCTCTCAGAGTGACTGGACTGGTCAGGCCCATGATGCTGCCGAGCTTAAAGGAGATGCTGCGCGAAAAGTTTGGTGAATTGGATGAGAGCGAAGAGGTCAAGGGTGGAGTCTGGCTTGACGGGATCAAGAGCGCGGGATGGATTGTGGTGAGTTGACACTGGCAAGAAGCTTCACTGCGACGAATCTTCGAAAGACTAACTTACAACGTCTTCCTGTCCGTAATTGCAGTTCAAGGAAGCATCTTCCGCTCAACAACTCTTCGAGACCTTCAACTCCAAGCCGTTTCCCTCCTCGGATAGCTTCCGAACTCCCGTCTCCTTCTTCTACGTACCAGCAGAGCAAGTCCCTCGCCTCTTGCAAGAGGAAGAGGATTTCTGGGAAAAGGAAAGGGGAAGGATGGACATTGTTGCTACTACTTCTCAAACTGCAGAGGATGGAGGAGAGAGAAAGTACGAGTACTCCACTCGTCCGGTGCGGCAACAGAAGAAGATTCGAGATCCCAAGCCTCCTCCCCCCTCGGCTACTGCTGCGCACTCGATCTCGGGAGCTGCAGCAGGTGGACAAGGCTTGAGTATTCGAGGCTCAGGCTTCAATAAGCGGGCAGGAGCAGCTGCGAATGGAGCGGGCGCAAGCCCTGTAGCCGATCTTCCCATGGATGCCAGCTCCCTCCCTCCAGTCAGCTTCCCGCCCGTGCGTTCTCCGAAGCAAGACCGATCAAGAGACGAGGGCAGAGGAAGAGGAAGCAGGGCGGAGGGGCGGTATCAACCCTACCCTCCTCCCGGAGATCGAGACGTTGCGCCAGCTCCAATTGCAGACCCCTATGCCAAGGCTACTTCGCCTTCTTCAGTAGGCCCACTGCGAGACGCTCAGACCGAGCTCGAAATCTCCCGAAGCAGGGATGCTGCTGCTAGCGCCTACGCAGGGCGGGGTGGGAGAGGTCCCTCTGGTCCACCTTCGGCCGCTTATGATTCGAGGAGGGACGACTATGCCTCTGCGAGGGGAGGATACGATCATGAGCGTAGTGGACGCGGGTATGATCGAGGAGGAGGAGGAGGTGGTGGTGGTGGGTATGGGTACAGAGGGGGCTACGATCGGTACGATGAGCGAGACAGGGATAGGGATGGCCGACGGAGAGGGTACGACTACGACTACGACTACAATTACGATTACGATCGTCGCGCGCCAGTACAAGCGGCTACAAGGGACGAGCGCGGCTACTCTGGCAGGAGTAATGGTAATGGCAGTGGCAGTGGCAATGCTGGCGGCTTCAGAGATGCAAAAGCGGTGCGAGGCGCTTCACCTGGATGGATGGGCGATCGACCTCCCCCTCCCGCTGGCCCTGCTCGGACTAGTGGCGGGGATCGTCGTGAGCCTCATGGGAGAGACAGGGAAAGGGAGAGGGAAAGAAATCGGTACGACCGGCCATCTTCGTCTAGGGATGACTACCCAGGAGGTAGAGGAGAAGGCGAGGCTAAGGACAGGGCAAAGAGGGACCGCTCACCCCGTGGGGCTAGAGCTGGTGCAGTGGAAGAGGACAGGTATGTTCCTCGAGCGAGAAACGAGAGGGATTGATGAGCATGGCTATGGCTGGTCATGTAAGAGCTACACCTTTTGCAATTCTGTCTGTGAGAGCGCCCTTCGACTTCCAGTCCATGCCATTCTAAAATCTATCTCCCACTCTAGCGGGACAAGCATGTATATCACCCAGCGTCGTGCCCATGAATGCTCCTTGATGATCGTCCATGCTATACCCCGCCCACCAAATACTGGCAGTCCCATCTCTATTCTCTTGCCCTTGAAGCACTCTATATGTGCTTGAATTGGCAGGGAAAATGAAGACTTGCCCAGAGAAGTGACGATACCCTAGGATCTTGGGAGGGAGGCTGGCAGTGTAGTCGTGACCATTTGCTACGTAGGAGAGGTGTGGGGGGAGGGTGGAGCTGCCAGAGGAGTTGGAGGAGGTGAAGGCGGCATTGGGATGGAAAGTGGAATCTATATAGTTTGCAAAGGCGCGATTGCCCACTCTTGGCTGGCCGACTAGTGTGGGAGCAGGGAAAAGAGGGACCGATCGCAGTCAGTAAGGTCAGGTCTTCATGCTCTCATAGATTCTCCCTCGTTTGGGACTCACAAGTGAGAACATAGACGCGCTCCTTGTACAACTTTTCCAGCGCGACAGAGGCGATAATGGCCAGCTGAGCGCCCATTGAGTGACCCGTGACGGTGATCCTGCCGGCCGGGTCGTGCGGCTCTTCCCTTTGGACAGCCTCTAGGACCTCATCCCAGTGAAGCTTCCAGGCCCTTTGCGCTCCCCCCTCTACCTTGACACCGGCCGGTAGACCCAGTAGTGGATCTGCCTTGTCCAGGAGATAATCATTGTTGATTGCCATGGACGTCTTGGATGTGACATTGGTCCCCGCATATGCTACCACTAGACCCAGCGAAGCGGACCGGTATATATTGACACGCTGCTGTGCGTCCGAGTCACCCACTGTCCAGATGAGTTGCGCATCTCCCACCTCAAGACCAACAATGTTGGAGGCAGGACAGTACGTCTGCTGTACACAGCCAGCTGCCTGAGCGTAGTGAGTCTCGGGAAAGGGAAGGGGTGTCTGTGGATTCCAGGCGGGGGTGGAAGGCTCTCGCCAGAACCACACGTAGAGGAAGGAGAGGAGGCCGACGAGGAGGGACAGTCGCTGCGATGTGATCATGGTTGCTACCTCTGGACAGGGCTCAACCTCGTCGATGGAGTACGTACATGTGTACGTGCGTTCGCCCCTAGCCTTGAAATCATCTCAAGCTCCCCCCTTTGAGCGCACCAAAGCTTCTTTCTAGTCTACTCTCCCCATACTTGGACCTTGCTTCAATCACCCGCACCCGGCAGTCACGGCCGTGCACCGGCCACTCGGAACGAAGCGGAGCTGTCAGGCGAAAACTCAGCTCCGCGGGGAGTCCCTTCGACAAGAGTCCAGCTCCGTCGGAAGTGCCGAAGAAAAGAGTGTCATTACCAGCCAGACACAAGCACAAGGAGGGAGGGGAGAGGCCAGAATGGGAGCAGGAGCAGCAGCAGCAGCAGCAGGAGAAGCAGAAGGAGCAGCAGAAGGACACAAGGACACAAGCGTCTTCCGCGTAGCTCGACGCTGACACGCACAAATCCGCATCCGCGGCTTCTGGCCACTGCCGACGGCCCATCACTGCCTCTCCCTTGCCCATATCTCGGCGACCGGCTCTAGCCAGTCTCAGATGTAGCGAGCGACACTTGGCGGGAGACTCCCGTTGTCCTGTTCTATATAGCCAAGTCCATGGTGATCACCAAGGGCAAAAGAGTTTATATCCCCTAGATACTCCTTCAGGCTCACTCGACGTTACCTGCCTCACAGCAATTGAGGTAGAGATGGCCGCCCAACGCTCCTCCACCGCTTCTGCCTCCTCCTCCTCCTCTTCTTTGCCACTTCAGCCCTGCGTTGACGAGTCCGCCTTCCCCACACCGGAAGACTTTGAGCAATGGGTCGACAAGATTTGTTGTGGTGGTAAGCTGCGTATGCCAGGAGGCGAGACGCACAAGGGCGCCGTAGAGTGGCTGGAGTCAGAGCTCAAGAGCATCGAGGGACTTCAAGTCACCTCGACGGAGCATGATTTGCGCGTTTGGGAACCAGCAAAGGGCGAGACGCTAGCATCTTGCTCTAGTCTGGCACTTGGCTCCAAGAAGGTGCCAATTGCTAGCACCATTGCCTACTCTCTCCCCACTACCGTCACTGCACCCTTGGTGTACATTCCTTCTGGCACACCACTCACAGCCGAGAATGCCGCGGGAAAGATTGTAGTGCGGGATACCTCCTTCCCTCGCATCTGGCCCTATGCTTTCATCTCTCTCATTTCCTACTTCACCACACGCGATTTGCCCTACTTTTCACGGTACAAGCGTCCAGCAACCGATGATCAGGCCATCGAGGACATGCTCGTAGGAAGCAAAATTGGCGTCAAGGGTTACATCGACGTCCTTGACGTGCCTAGGGAATACATGGAAGGACACTTCACACCTCACGATGGTATCTTTTACAAGTTGCCGGGAATCTTTGTGGGTTGTGATGAAGGAGCAGAAATTAAGAAGGCTGCAAAAGCTGGAAAGGAAGCGACGATTACTGTCAGGGCTGATGTGTCCGAGTCGACGACGAAGAACCTTACCGCCACTTTGCCAGGTGAGTCCGAAGAGAGTGTGTCGATCTTTCCAAGTCGCCTGTATTGACGTCGTTAACCCTCTCATCCTCGCAGGTCAATCGTCTGAAAGCATCCTCTACGTCACTCACACCGATGGCTGTTCTCACGTGCAAGAAAACGGTCCTGGCGCACTCCTCGCCCTGGCCAAATACTTTGCCTCTGTTCCTCTCTCCTTGCGAACCCGTACAGTGCAATTCGTCTTTAATTCTGGGCATCTCAACTTAGCTCGAGAGGGGAGCAATTTCCATTCGCAGGCACTAGGCAAGGACTTGGGATCGGAAGTGACGCTAGTGGTGCCTATTGAACACATGGCCGCACGGGAGATTGAGCAGTACTCGCGGGGCTTCTGGACTAATGGGTGGGGCCTCAAGTACACGGGTAAAGGAGAGCTGATGATCTGGGCAGTGGGACCCATGGAACCTGTGATCAAGGCTGTGAGAGAGGCAGTGAGCCGACGCAAGCTAGACCGCGTCGTGGTGAACCGTGGAGCATGCCTACCTCAAAGCGTGGTGGTACCGACGTACACCAGCTTTGGTGGACTGGGGACCTACTACCACACTCAGCTCCTACCAACAACTTCCATCATCTCTGGACCCTGGTCACTTTGGTCACCCTACTGGGGCCCTAAAGCAGTCGACTATGCACGGATGCGATCACAGACACTGGCGCTTGGAGACCTCTACTTTGCTCTGCAGGACGTAAAGCGGGAAGAGATTGTCAAGCCCTACACCGAGTATAGGGAAGAGGTGACTTCGGGTAGGAAGAAGCAATTTGTTCACTATGTCCCTAATCCGGACGTGCAATAGTACTAGTGAGACATGAAGAGGACAGGGAGAGGCTGTTCCTCATCAGTCGTAGTCTTTTCTTCTGGAGGCGGGCACAGAGCAGACAGAGCTACCGGCCATACTGTCTGCCATAGGCCAGGCACATTGGGGTCGGCCGCATTGCGCTGTCTTGCTGCTGGCCTACCCCTGGGTAGTCTTCGATGGCGTCCAATCAGGTGGGTGGTGTGTGGGTAACAGGTAGAAAGATTGTCGAATAGGATCGGTCATGGACATTGTCTCGACTTTACATCATCATACTCCATCAATGTGAATACATGCAATTCTCCTCCACTTCATGATCTTCTCAAAACATCCTCTTCTTGTTGCCTCTCTGGCCCTCGCGACGAGGGATATTCGCAGCCTTTGTCGTGTCGAGGGTTTTGTGGAGCCCGTGCAGACGCCGGCGGAGGAGCGCAAAATTGGCGCAGGCGCAGGGATACGGAAAGCACTTGCTTCATTCCTTCGTTCCTTTGGTGATCATCAGACTGCGAGGACTGCCATCACCATCACCACCACCATTCCTACCTCTCAACCGACCTACCGTATACCTCTCTCCCCCCCCTTCTGACTTCCAACGATGAACATTCGTCCTGCAACGATCCACGATGAGCTGGGCATGCAAGCCTGCAATCTCCACAACCTACCCGAAAACTACACCATGCGCTACTACCTCTACCATGCTCTCACCTGGCCTCAATTATCCTACGTTGCTGAAGATCTCTCTTATGATGGTGGGAAAGATGAGAGGACAGGAGAGAGGAGAGGAAAGATTGTAGGGTATATATTGGGAAAGATGGAAGAGGAACCGACGGATGGAGTGCAGCATGGACATGTTACTTCCATTAGTGTGCTGAGGAGCTATAGACGATTGGGAGTTGCGCAGAAGCTTATGAGGCAGAGTCGTGAGTGTCAAGCCAGAAAGAAGGAGGAGAACGAGAGAGAAAGAGGGGGCCCAAGAGTTGGAGGGTAGCAATGCTGCTGCATGGCCTGCGAAGGATCTTCAACAAACCATTAGGAGCGTGCAGCAGCAGCAGCAGCAGCAGCTGGCCTCCATCCGACTCGTCCCCTCTACTCAAAAAGTCTCACCCATCTGAATCATATATCCATCTCCCCTTTCCTCTTTCCTCCCCTCACTCCCCTCAGAAACGGCCATGCGCGACGTCTTTGGCGCAAAGTACGTCTCCCTCCACGTCCGCGAGACGAATCGAGCTGCCATTGGACTCTATCGGGATACATTGGGATTCGAAGTACATGGAGTGGAAAAAGGCTATTGTGAGTGACAAAGCGATATGAGAGGGGTTTGTGGGAGCGATCGAGTGAGCGAGATGGTACGCAAGGTTGGGTCTGCTGACTGACTGCGAAGTCCTTCCTCCTCGCCTCGCTTTACAGACGCGGATGGAGAGGATGCATGGGCAATGAGACTCGTGCTGCAATGAAAGATGGGGGGAGGAGTTGGTCAGAGGCATAGTTCTGTAGATGGTGTTGCCCTTCTCACAGAGGAGAGGAGGGGTATGACTGAGCTTCTGGTTACACAGAGTCGAAGGGAGGGAAGGCGATTGTCACATGAATAGACTCTTGGTTCTCATGCATGCCTTACTGGGTGTAGTGCGGGGAGACTGACAGACGAAGATCTCGAGGACCATGGCATAGGACGCCGAGGGATCAGGTCAAGCGAACGAGCTGCACTTCACACAAGACGGAGCCATTGTTGAGACCTCGGGCTCTATTCGCAATCAGTCTATTGAGTTGGCCACGATTGACAAGTAATGTGGTCGGAGAGGAACGTGTCCCGAGAGGGATACCTCCCGAAAGTTCTGATCAGAGCACTCCAAACCCCGGGTGAGGTATTGCATGCTGTTGCTATCAGCACGGCCGCCTCCTGTCTAGCTCCATTCCTTACTCGTAGACTGTAAGTAGACGGGCAGATCAGGGCATCTAGTCAGATTCCAATTGCTCACTGCTCCACTTTCATCTGCCGCTGATCCCTACTCACCGTGGACAATGGCAGTCCAAAAGGTCCACCAGAGGATAAAGCTGAGCAGCTCTCCCTTGAGTCCCTCGAGTAAGTACCAAGCAACATCGCCCATATCCTCTCCCTCTTTACCTCCTACAACTTTTTGCTCTCTAGCCACTCCCCTCGCATTAGCACTACTCGCCGCTCCACCAAGCACAGCTGAAGCTCCATACGCCATGATGCCCGGCGAGGCAATGGCCGCCGCTGTAGCTACTGATCCACCAATTCCCAGTACGAAACCCAAGGGTGATTGAGGTGGTGGGTTGAGTAGGTACTTTTGTGGAGTACCTTTTGCGGGGAGAACGAGGATGAGAGCATTTATGCTTAGGATGGAGAGGAGGAAGAAGAGGAGACCGGGACCGGAGGAGAGACCTAGGATGCCGGCTGTGCTCCCTGCGACGGCTAGGGAGATGGAGCGGATACTACGCGCACGGGGGAGGAGGAGGAAGAGCAGATGGATAGCCAGGATGATCAGCACGACTGTATACCACAGCAGCAGCAGCAGCAGTAGCGCTCCCCCTTCCTCTCACCCCCATCTCCACTCCACTCCACTCTACTCACTAAGAAATCTGCTTATTGTTATGCACAATATTATCCAGATAAAAAGATTGAAGTTGCGTCGCCTCCCTCTCTCGTGCCTTTTGAGCTTGAATCGCTGCCGAATTGGCTTGACCGCCACCGCCCATACCGGCCATTAGGGCTTCCATCTTGTCGACTTGAGGATTGGACTGGACTGGACTGGACTGGACTGCTCGAATTTGTGAGTCTTTGAAGAGGAGGAAGACTGGGCTTTGCCGCAATGGAAGTACCTTGTCAGTAGCGATGACCTGTAAGTAGGGAGCAGTCTAGCGTCTAGCGGTGGTAGTAGAGTAGCGCCCTTTGTGCCCGTGGGTGTTGGTGAGGAAAAGAGGTGCGGATCAGAACATCTGTCCCTGTCTGGCTCGAGCGGGAGGCGGGCAAGGCAAGCCAACAGCTCGACACGCGCCAGCCTCCGTTCCGATTTCTTCCCCCCCGTCGACCAGCCAGCCAGCCAGGCAGGGACACGAATGCAATCGCACCTCTCATCACTCCCTACATCGGACGGATTCTACAAGTGCCAATGTGAGTGTGAGGAGAATTGATGAGAAGTTGCTGTTGACTATTGTATGAACAAGGAAGTGAAGAAAAAATGACAAAAGAAAGCTTCTGCGCGCCTAGGGGCCAGGTAGCGTACGGAACCACGTCTGTGTTTTATATATACAAGTAGGGATCTCAGCAATCATTGTCCTCTACCTCTCCTCTCCTCTCCTCTCCTCTCCTCTCCTCTCCTCTCCTCTCCTCTCCTCT